AACTTATGTTCTTCAAGATTCCGACGGCCAGGTCCACGATACACACTCGGTGTCCGCTGGGTTAGATTACCCTGGTGTTGGTCCCGAATTGGCTTACTGGAAGAGTACTGGAAGAGCCGAGTTTATTGCAGCTACCGATGCCCCAGGCACTTCAAGGATTTAAATTACTTTCTCAGTTGGAGGGTATTATTCCTGCTCTTGAATCGTCGCATGCGATTTACGGTGCGGTTGAAAGAGCCAAGAAAATGCCAAAGGGAACACATATGGTCGTCAACCTTTCCGGTAGGGGAGACAAGGACGTTCAAAGTGTCGCTGAAGTTTTGCCCAAATTGGGCCCAAAGATTGACTGGGACTTGCGTTTTGAAGAGGACCCCTTCTAAGTAAACTACGAGAAACTAGTAAATTAGTTTTTTTTTGTTGAATCTAAATAGTTTATGCAAATCCTCCTTTTCTTTTCTTTCGTTGACTTCTCTGGCTGCCCTGCGACATCTTGTGACGTCTCTGTGATCTGTGAGCTTGTGACTGAGTTTGAGAGTTCAATTGAGTGCCTTGTGATAGAGGAGCAAATAGTGATGATTGTGACTGACTGCTGTTGATGTTGATGGTAGGCATGATCACAGAGGGCTCAATGTCAGGCTGCGTAGTGACATCAGCAACAACAATTCCCGATTCCCAGTCACCTAATATGGACTTCACCTCATCGCTTGCTTCTTGAATCACTTCCTTGAATTTTTCTTCATATGCTTGATTCGTGCTCGAATGCTTGGCCCTGTAGATACTGCAGCCCAATTCCAATGTGGTCCTATTGAGAATCTCTGGAGTAACTGAGCCTAGATTCTGCTCTTTGCCATAGTATTGCCTCAACGAATTGAGCCGATTTCGTAGCAGGTCTTCGCTTTCTCGTGATAACTCAAACTGTTTCAGTTTGAAATATTCACCCAATTGTTCGATCATCGAATCAAACTCGTCAATGTCTCGCACATTTGTAGGTGGATTCTCAGATATATCAAGTAATGAGCAACTTCCATTTGCCTCGTTACGAAGCAGGTTCTCATCAAAAGCCAGTGCCCATTCGCCTATTTTCAGCGCAAATTCTTGAATTGCAGTGCTATCAGATGAAGTGGTTTTAACCTTAGACAGCATCTGTTCGACTAATTTTTTCCAATCTTTGGCAGACATATGTCGGCAAAACCCTTTACCAGTCTCCACAGGTGTGCCTGACCTGCTCCATAGTCCGTCAGTCACGACAGTATCTCCTAGCTTTATAATTTTTGTGGTACTCAAGAATCTAAAATGGAGTCCAAAGTCAGTGTGAAGTTCAAACATTCCAAAAATCTTGCTGCTGGAATTGTCGATGGGAAATACATGCAATTGAAGCACATTATCTCGAGCTTCATGGTTATAGCTGCTTAATGAGCGGATATAATATGGGGATCGTAAGCTGTAGGGCAAGCCGCTTTTGAGGCCAAAAGTGTATAAGAAATAAAGCGGTGCCTTTTGTGAAAAAATAATGCAAATAAATGTTGTGGAGTCCACGGAACACACGTTTAACTTCCAGGAAGGATCTCGTTCGTCTAGGAAGTGTTTATAGGAAATGAGTCTCTTCAATGTACCATCGTTCTCGAACCAAATGAGCTCTCGAGACGTGAGCATGAATGAGTATTTCAGGTCTGCTGGGGCTCTTTGAAAGTCGAGGATACTGGACCAGGTGTTGGAGGTCATTAATCTTGAACATTGGGATGGTGGTCCTATAGTACATTGAGTCAAAGAGGACCTTGAGAATACAAACATCACTTCAGGTGCAAAGAAGCATATCTTTTTCCAGTGAGAAAGTTCTTGCACGTTATCAATAAACGATTCAGAAGCAGAGATGTTGACTCGTTTTGGATCAGATTTTCCATTGGGACAGAAATTCCACACTCCAAAATGTCCCTTAACATCCACGAGAGCTACTTGCTTTGGGTCCCATGGATTGAAACAGGCATCAGCAAAAGATTCCTGGTTGAGACTAGAGCTTTTGACTTGTCCCAAGAGCTCTAGGTAGATACCAGAGCGATGCAGAGAGGACTGAAACGGCTGAACAACGTAGACTCGGGAAAACGTTCGAATGAGAAGACTACCTGCGACATTGGAACAAGCAACTTGCTTTATGGGCTCGGAAAAAGTAAGCTGGAATGGAACGTCAAAGTGTGGCGAGGATAGTTGGATCTCTTGTTCAGAATCAATGCAAGAAACTTTCATAATAGATAAGTTTAGCACGGTTCCAACTTCACCAGAAACGTAAGCTATGCCCGTAGATGTAGAAGTGTTTGAGCGAGATCTTAGCGGAAATATACAGAAACGAGGCCCAATGGTCGGATCATAAGCAATGGTGGATGTAAGTGAGCCAGATTCTATGAGATACGATTTTAGGATATCTTGAGGAATGTACAAATTTTCGAGCGGATCCGACAGAAGATCGTTGAATATGGTTGAGTTGAGATCGAAGTCGCTTGTTTGTGGTTCAACTACGGTACGCAAGGACCCCTTGACGGGTTTTAGGCTGGGGAAGGTTTCGTTTGATGCCAGAACGCCAATAATTTCATCACTATCGATGCCATTATCAAGGCTTGGAAACTCGACTTGCGGCAGTCGTCGTCCTTCTTGGGTTCGTATTATGCCGTTTCCACGTACACCATAGCCGACTTGGGCACCTAGGCCATATTTGGATGGCCACATGGTGGTGGAAACGAAGGCGAGTATATGGGATCACTGTAGGTGAAGTTGAAGCGCGCGATGAGATTTTCCCCAGAAATTGTTTCTGACCAAGTTGCACTTTTGTAGTAATGAGACTCTTGTTGCCACTTTTGCTTTTTGTGGCGCTGGTGTGGCCAGGAGTCAGAGCAGAATTCTATTTTGATATGGATGAGCTGATCCGGTTGGGGAGTTTTGATGAAAATCAACCTGGTGATGTCGAACCCATGTCTAACCGGTCGTTGCTTTGGGGCCCTTACCGGTCTGCCCTTTACTTCGGAGTGAGACCACGTATCCCACGGTCGTTGCTTTCGGGGTTAATGTGGTATAACATTGATGGTTATGGTGGAGTGGGCAGTATTAGGCACTTCTACGAGCAAGGTGACAAGATGGGAAAAGCCAATTGGATTCGCTACGACCCGAGATTTGGAGGAACTCAGGTGATAGAGGACTTGGAGTGCCACATAACTCTCCACATTGACTTTGTAAAAAGTCTGGATGGACTTTCGTGGGCTACTAAAGTGAGAGCTATTCCTCACGATGGGTTTGAGAATGTCAAAACGGCTTTCGTATGGTACTCCGGTCTTGAGGGAGAAACAGATACAGCAGACCCATTTGCGCCTTCAAGGAATGGAGTAATCAACTTGGATACCCCTAAGAATTCTAAAGGTTACACAGGAACAATTACTCTTTCTGGAGGCTCCGAAGACCTAGGCTTGTTCGAGCTATCGATAAACGATGGTCCTTCTACCAATAAGCATCCCAAGACTTCCAAGCTCGTGGACAAAGAATTGAATCCAAGAAAAACTCACCATATCAGCATGATAGTCCCAGACGATAGCGTTTGGATGGCTCGTGATATATTCATCACCATGCTTCAGGAATCCGTACAAGAACTTGTGGAACGTTTCGGCACTCTCGATGGAATTCCCCCCGAGCAGGCGTACGTATTGAGGGATATGCACAAGTTTGAAGGCAATCTTCATCTCGTTCAAAAGATGTACCAGGGAGCTTGTGAGTTCGATGTTGTATTCAATAACGCTGAGACTCCAGAAGCAGAGAAAATCACCTTTGATAATTTGAAGGAAAAAATTGTTGAAATGAGCTTTAAGGTGAACTCGAAATTCGACAAGCATTTCAAGTTGAAACCACCATTTGACAAAGATCAAGGCTACAAAGAATTTGCCCAGGAAATAGTTTCAGGCTTGCTTGGAGGCATCACATACATGTACGGCGATCACCTTGTTGATCGTGATACTGTTCTCGAAGAGGATTCTTTTGAGAACCTCAAATTGCAAGGCTCATTAGAGGGACCACACGAGCTTTTTACCTTGGTTCCATCTCGCCCTTTTTTCCCTCGAGGATTTTTGTGGGACGAGGGTTTCCACGTACTACCATTACTTGACTACGACTCGGATCTTGTGTTGGATATTTTGCAGTCTTGGTTCAAATTGATCGACGATGAAGGCTGGATTGCAAGGGAACAAATATTAGGACCGGAAGCGAGATCTCGGGTTCCCGAAGAATTTCAGGTCCAGAGCCCTCAGATAGTTAATCCACCTACTCTTATGTTGGCATTTACTTATTTGTTATCCCACTTTGATAGTGCTGGCGATGTTAACGAGCCTCAAAATGTGGACGGGTCATTCTACTCTGAGCCGGGCCAAGTGATAATGAACCACCCGGAGTTACTTGCATCTTACACTAAAGACATCTACCCAAAATTGAGAACCCACTTCCTTTGGTTCAGAAGAACCCAGCAAGGTTATATCGAGGAGTTTGATCGTGGACAAAACCCTGAGGGCTACAGATGGAGAGGACGTACTTTGACCCATAGTTTAGCTAGTGGCTTGGACGACTATCCTCGTGCTCTCCCAGCAGATGTTGCTGAATTGAACGTCGATTTACTCTCTTGGGTGGGAGTAATGACGATGTCCATGATTCAAATGGCTACAATTTTGGACTTGGAAGATGACCGGGCCGAGTACGAGAGGATTTACAAAGATATCACGGAAAATTTGGATCATCTTCACTGGTCTTCGGAGGAAAAAACCTATTGCGATGTCAGTCTCGACGAAGACGAAGAGAATGTCAAAGTATGCTACAAAGGTTATATTTCGTTGTTCCCATTCATAACGAAGATGATTCCACCATCAGACACAGAAAAACTCTCGAGTATTGTCGATCTCATAAAAGACCCAGAAGAACTCTGGTCAGAATATGGAATCAGGTCTCTTTCGAAATCCAGCGACCTTTATCGCACCGGCGAAAATTACTGGCGCTCGCCTATATGGATGAATATCAACTACCTTGTTCTCGACGCTTTGAAGCATTACCACAAGGCTTCAAATGACGCCAAATTAAGCGACACTCTTGCAGCCACTTATAAGAAGCTTCGTGAGAACTTGGTTAGGAACGTTTACAAAGAATGGAAAAGAACAGGTTTTGTGTGGGAACAGTACGATGATATCTCAGGGACGGCACAGAGAGCGAAAAATTTCTTGGGCTGGACCTCATCTGTCGTTTTGATGATGACAATGGACCAAGAACTCATATAGACCATATACTAGCTAGCTGCCTTGTATGCAGTTTTGTTCACCACCGCTCATCTCAACTTCGTGCCGAGAGGTGCAATCATGAATCAGGATCCATGTACGTATGAAAGCGTGGTGTAGCCCAGAATGGGGCCGTTTCTAACTCAGTGCAACAAGTAGAACCCTTTTTGAAAGCGGTTTTGACGTCATTGGACCTTCAGTACCAATCTCCAACGTCGTCGTATCCATCGGTCGAAGCGTATGCCACTCAATTTGCCAAGCAAATAAAGACCCAGTCGGCCGTTATAATTAATGGGAAACCCATAAGTCCAGGATCTACCAACGCCAAGCTAGAATTTCAGAAAAAATGGCTCACAACACCTTTAACTACACACCAACTCAACAGCTATGATTGTCATATTATTCCTGGTACGGGTACCATGGTAATAAATGCCAGTGGCAAGGTTAGGTTTGACGAGAGTGGGCGGAACAAGTTGGGGGAGACTCCGGATTTGGTGCAAACGCCGTCTTCGAATAATAGGACTCGGCCAGAATGGGGTGCTTGGTATGGGTTCAATTTGAATATGGTTGTAGATGAGACCATGATGCAAAATGTTGAGGAGGTTGTAAATACGTTCAACTACAGGTTTACGTTCAAGCCGGAGGACTCGGTCATACAGTTCTAGCTAGAGCATAAATGTATAATATTAGAGATCGTTGTGTTGAACAAACTTGTCTAAAAGTTCACCCAAGTAGATTCCAGAGTAGAACTTGACTTCTTCCTCGGAATGGCCCAATTCGTTCAAAGCCCACTGCACGTTGGGCGTGATGAAATTGTAGAACACAACGTCTACCTTAGGGTCGTTTTTGCTTTCTTCGTCTAATTCAATGGACTGGACCACATTGGGTACAGGAAAGTTAACCACTGGTTTGTGAGGAGTATCGTCTCCCAGCGAGCCAAAATCATCGTGAGTAACATACCCTTTCGCTAGGTGGCCCTCAAGCTTGGGCAAGGTGAAGATATCCTGTCTTTTTTCAGTGAGTGAAGAAAACCGCTGATGCGCCGGTAAGAGCAATTGGCCAAGAATATACGATTTTTCGTTCAACTTGTCTGCTATTTGCACAGCAATACTCCTTGGCACCGAGATAAAGACCCAGTCGTTCTCAAACGGAGAAACAGTGTATCTTGTGTCCAAAGTATAAGGGCCTTTGTACATGTCGTATCGCACAGAACCGGTATTGATGATAATTATTCTTGAGCTATGTTCTTTTCTGTCGGCCGGTAGCGTGGGAAGCACTCTCTCAGATAAGAGCTTGAAGATACTGTGGGGATGGTCAATTGGAACGTAGTCCATGTAGTAATTATTGTGGATGGTACCCAATCTTGGCGAGTCCAATCCAAGCAGTTGACGCAAAGATTGAAGTTGCGAGGAAACGTTTTTGCCATCTGAGGTCTTTTTACTTCTGCCAGAATGATACTCAAACGATTCTCGGTTAAAATCAATGTACGATCTCGAAAAGACCTGCTTCATGGACTCGACCGAGCCGTCTGAGGAAGCGGTTAAATTGATACTGGCGAACCCCACAGTCTCACAAAACCGACCACTTTGAAGCGCTGTCAGGTTTTCGTCAAGAACTGTGAAATCACGAATGTGGGAGTGTCCTCCAAAATACTGGATTTTTATGGACGGGAAGTATTGGCGCAATTTAGCATGCAAAACGAAGAGCTCCTTCCATTGGTGCGAGATGGGGATATGTCCAAACACAACGAGAACATCCACTTTGTCTGCGTATTCCTCGAGAAGAGAAACAAACCAGGATTCGTGGATAACTTTTGCAATTGGCTTGACGAATGTGCCGTCATTGAAGCGATTAAAATCGAACAAAAAGGAGAGTGCAAGCACTCTAATCTCTTGTATGGGTGTCACAAAGTACCGGTAGCGGTTCCCCAACGGCACAAGAGATCCGTTGTGTGCTTTGACGTGAACATTTGTACTCACGTATTTTTCCCCAAATTTCGAGAGCACTTGTTCAAATTCCATCTTTGAGTTTTTCCACTCGTAGAGTTCATGGTTTCCCAACGTGACCAAATCGTAGTCTTGTTTCATGAAAATCGGCATAGACTCTTTCCCGTTGGGAGACGTCAAGTCAGACAATCCATTTCCATCATGACGATCACCAGTATCGACAATGAGAAGATCCTGACCATTTTCCGCCAATTTCTCTCTCATATGGGCACCAAAAGACACAAAGTCTCCCCAATCAGCATCGTAAACCCTTTGGTTTCTGTGACCCGAATACCAACCATGAGTATCGGTGGTGTGGAGAAAGTTCAAATCTCCATATTTCAAGGGTCTTTTGTTTGAAGCGAATGGTTTGGTGTGGTGAAATTGCAAGCAGAGCAAGACAAAGAGTAGCCCTGCGAGCCCCACAGCTGCGCGAGACATAGAAGAAAGAAAAAGAGTACGAGGATAAATGAGAATTGAGTCGCACTTTAGTGGTTACAGTCGCGATAAGCGGCTATAGACGGAGGAAATGAGAAATGAAGAATTTGAGCAAAACATGAAAAATTAAGTAAAATAGAGAAAGAACCAACATGAAAGATTCGCCTCTTTATTATAGCATGTATTACGAGTATCTTACAAACCTTGTTGAGCTCTTCTTCTGTCTCTCTCCTCGGAGATAGAGAGTTTGATACCCTTACCCTTTGGCAACGAAACCCATGGCTTACCAGCCTCGGTACCGATGACGAAAACGTTGGTCAATCTGGTGACGAAAGTGTTCTCCAAGGAATCCTTAATGTGCACCAAGTCGAAACCTCCCTCGTGCTTTTCTCTGTGAGTGATAACACCAACACGTCCCAAGTTACGACCACCGGTAACCATAACCAAAGCACCAGTGTCAAACTTGATAAAGTCAGAAATCTTTCCGGATTCCAAGTCGATCTTGACGGTGTCGTTGGCTCTGATCAAAGGATCAGGGTATCTGAGGGTTCTACCGTCGTGGGTAACAACGTATGGAATACCTCTCTTACCCAATTGAACCTTCTTGACCTTACCCAACTTGTAGGAAGCCTCTTCAGCGGTGATTCTGTGGACAGCAAATCTACCCTTGACATCGTACACCAATCTGAAGTGCTCGTTGGTAGCCTCCAAGGTGATGACATCCATGAAACCAGCTGGGAAAGTGGAGTCGGTTCTGACCTTACCGTCAACCTTGACGTGCTCTTGCATCAAAATAGCCTTGACTTCTCTACCGTTCAAGGCGTACTTGAGTCTGTTTCTCAAGAACACAACCAAAGGCAAAGACTCTCTCAACTTGTGAGGACCAGCCGATGGTCTTGGGGCATAGGTGCCGGACAACTTGTCCAACATCCAGTGGGATGGAGCTGCCAATCTCTTAAGGTGCTTCTTTGGTCCTCTAGCCATTGTGTAGTGAAGAGTGAGAAGGTGAAAAATTTCATGATGGGTCGCGGGTGCGAGCCCTAAGCGGGATCACGTGCGCGACCATCAACAATACCAATGTGAATGGCTGCTACCAAAGTGCAAGAAACCATGAAAGCAAGCAAGAACCAAGGACTATGTTCAGTTTCTGCTTTAAAAGAAGCTTCTTTCTATCTTTTGAGAAAGTTCTCTTTCAAAAATTTGCAACAAGTATTTTCAGCACCTGTATAGATGTGGATCCTACAGAACCTGGAGACATTGAATATCTCTTCGACGATCTTTCCAGAAGTTATTCTCTTTTCCTATCGCTGCCACCACCGCTTCTTTCCCAATTTCTCCAGCAACTCTTCATCTTGGACCGTCAAAGTTTCCAACTGTTCTTCCAACTCTGTACATTTTTCAATTTCTTGAGCATTTACTTGCAACAACCGCTGGATTTCCTCTTCTATGTTCTGGGGTATTGCTGGGGATTTAAGAGCATCTAGTGTAGATTCCGAAGACGAAACAGATGGTGCTTTCATTTTAGCCTCTAGTTCTTCTAAATCGGCTCGCAATTGCGTTATAGCTTTCTGGAGATCGTCGTTTTCCGACTCGATTTCTGGAATCATTACCTTGGTATCGACCATTTTCTGAACAATATCAACATGGTCCCGATTTAAAACCGAAAACTGGTGTTCGAGGGCCTTGATATCATGGCGCAAGCGGCCGTTTTCATGACGAAGCTCGTCGATTTCTTCAGCCCTGTGCTTCTCGCTGGCGTAAATTGCATCGAACTCTCTCTCAAACTGAGCCAAATCAACCATACTGACTTTGATAGCCATGGCATCTTCCACCATAGAATCGAGATTGTAGTACGAAGAAGATGATCCCTGGCGCTTGCGCAAAGAGAACCGCCGCTCGTCCACAAACTCATCGTTGACATACCGGTTGAACAAATGGTCTTTCAAGAACTCAAGGAGCTTGTCAAACTTGAGCGACAACAATTTGTTTTCATTTTGAAGCATCAAATTGACTGCGAATTTCAACAGCGCTTCAATGCCATGAGTAATGACAATATCGTAGATCCGCAACACTATTTCCAACGGGAACTTGTAAGCAAAGAACGTGAGGAACCATTGTGATGCATACATGGAAGATTTTATACCTTGTTTCACCAAATGGTTATAAAGTAACGGTGAGTTCTGTTCCAAGAGCCTATCGAATTGGTAGAGTTGGCGATGCAATCCACGCATATCCGGGCAGAAAAGGTCGCGGAGCCTATAATCTTTCATCATTGTCACCAAGAGACAGAAACATTCGGAGTCGGTCATGTTCATTATCAATGGAACAGCCACGAATATCATGCCTTGGGTGTACCCAACATCAGGATCGAATAGAGAATAAGCCTTTATGACATTGTAGAGATCCTCTCCTTTGCTGACAGCGTCTACAGCAGTGTAAAATGAGGTTCGAGTGAGGTCTCTCTTGATGGCCTTTTCATGAATGGAAGTTTCGCTCTTTAAGGTAAGATAAAATTCCTCGAGTTCGTAGTTCTTGGACTGTGCCACAAGCTGCCACACGATTCCCCGTACTTCCTTTGGAATACCAGCGGCAATTTTGGAGTGGAGAGCGTGAGAATTGTTCTGAACTACAGACTCATAGTCATTAACCACATTGGCCCAGAACTCCCAGTCAATTTGGTAGTCGTGCTCAAGGGCCCCGACCGTCGTACGGATGTCGTTGAAGGTCTTTCGGATGTTCTGGGTGGCAGAACGTATCAGGGTTTGAACTTGTGACGACTTGTTGTTGAACCCGGCGTTCAATTGGTTCAATTTTGACTGGAGCAAATCGTCCGTAACCACGTATTCCGGTTCCAGCGTGTTCTCGGTGGCACCAATTGAAGCCTGGGCCAAGATTTCAGGGTCTACAGACGCCAAATTACGCAAAATTTGTCGGGACGGAACCGGCGGCCGGCCATCAGATGGTTCCAAATTGGCATTTTTTTCGACTTTTGCTTCATTTTCTGCTTGCTGGTGGTGTTGAGCGGGTATATCAGTGTCTGAAGCACCCGAATCTCGCGTTTCAATGTCTGGAATCACCGTAATTTCGTCGTTACTTTCGTTATCTTCGTCATTCTCATTTTTATTTGTGGTGCTATTTGTCTCAGAAACATCATACGAAACGTCTGGGTTGTTCTCGCCGTTATCTAGCACAGGGTCTTCATTCTGATCGTAATTGGAACTCGTTTCCGAGCCGGCAAAGCCTCCAGGCATATTATCGGCTGAATCCATAAGTTGATTTTGGCGCGAATTCGTAAGAAAAACACAACTACATGTAGTACGTTAAATCAATATTCATATTATGCGCTAACCCAATAATATTCGTCACTTTCATTATCACTTATCCTGACCCCTTGGCCGGTTTCCATGGCAGATGGCCGAACCACATTTTCAAAGCTCAATGGCTCGGCAAGCTCCTCTGAAAATACATCAGAAGAAGCCAGCGACATGGAGGACGAACCAAACGTGCTCAAGATGTCAGAGTCCGTCACCGTGGGCGAGTCGTCCACAGCGTACCTGAGCGAGGAGTCCTCATAAATAATGCCGCCTTGGATGTTTTTGTCCCGCAAGAGCGACTCGAGCTGCAATCTATCACAGTTGGGGAAATGCACCCGGATCACGTTCTTGTTGACGAGGTATTTTATGGGCAATTCACCAAGATCAAACAACCTCGTCAAGTCCAGCTTCAACTCGGCCAACTGTCTTTCGAAATTCTGGAGGTTTTCCATCACTTCCAGCAACACTTCGTCGGTCAAAAACGTCGCGGACGGGATGGTGAGATGTGCATTAATGGGGAAGTCAACGTAGCATCCCTGCGACACATACGTTTCGTCTTTGGACTCTGTGGCTAACCGGAGCGCAGTTTCGTGGTGCTGTGGGCTCAAGGAAAGATTGAGTCGAATCAGCGAAGGAACAATTTTGGCCATTCGTGGGTCTACAGCGGCCCGCGAGGCGTTGCGTACAATCACCTTGGTGGGATGGAAAGGTTTAGTGTGGTCATCTGGGTGCTTGCATCCATCTTCTCTCAATTCGTACAACAGACGAACACCCATGCCCAAGTTGCGTGCAGGCTGCTGGTTGAGGAATCTGGCTCTCAATTGGTTCTGGAGGTGGTTATGGGTGAAATGGTCGCGAAATCCGCCCCAGCGGTTGATTTGGCGAAAAGGTTTTGTTTGGTAGCTTTTGAAGAATTTCAAGTGGATGTTTAAAAACCGAAATTTGAACGGCCGGATGTGTGCACGCCCATTGAAGTTGTAGGGACAAGTAGAGAAATGTCTGCGGAACTCACGACAAAGAGTCCAAGACCGGTTTCGAACCGGAACAGCAACGGGGACCGGCACCGGATTTCTATTGCCGAATTTTTGGTGTTGTTTGCGGCGAAGTTCACGGGAGATTTCTCTAGCCAACTCATCTAGCGCCTTTTTTATGCGCTGGGTGACGTTCCGCCCACTAAATAGTAGGAGCGCTAAGCTCATGAATGAGGGATGTTGTAGTTGATAAAAGGGGGCCGAAACGGGATTGGGTCAGGCTGGTGCGCGCACGAAAAAAATGGGAGTATATGCAGGATCAATCAAACTGTCTTGTGCGAGACTCCATAGCGAACTTGGTTTCGGGGGGTGGCGGTTACGTTAGCATTCTTGTATTGTTTATTCTACGCCGTCAATCATAGGAGCGTCCATCACCTCGTCGAAAATGGTGTGGTAGTCGGGCGAATCACATGTGGAGGGCGGCTCGAGCGCCGTCATTGTCAAGCCGAAATCGGCCCGTTTACTGGTATTGCTTTTTTGTCGTTTTATAGGTTTGCAGTCAATGTCATGGTAGTCGTAGTCCCCGTAGGAGTTGAGAGAAAGGAGCGATGAAGGCGACGTGAGGGTGGTGTTGGAAGGGGAAAACGACGTCGTGGACTTGGGTTTTGTTTCGTCCCACAGGGGCAGCCGCAGTGATTGCAGAGCCGAATTGGTGGCCTTCATATCGGTCATTTGAGGAGAAACGTATTGAAAGTTGCTTTCGGCCGAGATGTTGTTGAGAAGAAAATCGTCCATGATTTCTTGCTTGATTTTAACCGTATCGATATCTCCTTCTCGTTCGGGTCTAGACCCATCAAACGAGTCACATACCGAGCCGTTTTCGTTGGAAAAAATCGAGTTGGAAGGCGAATGTGCCAACGATGCCGCGGCTGTATCCGCAACTGCCCCGGTCGACGGGATCGCAACTGGACGGGCAGAGACCGCCGGGGCCCTACCACTGTCTCCGTAAGTTGCTGCCAATACTTCTTTGCAAGGCCGCAACTTGGTAATCCATTCGTTGGTTCCACATTGGAGTATGCGATCGATACCTCCCAATTGACCCATCACCTGCAGCGGCAACAAATACCGAAGCATATCCAGGAGTTGCCGCGACTGATTTTCCACCATTGTCATGTTTGCTCTGGTTAAAGGCGACCGTACCGTGCGGGGACTGTAGCAGCAATCCCACCCATGTTGTGCACACTTTGTGCACTGGGGGAATTCTTTGGAACATTTGAGTTTGCGTTTGCGACAAGAATCGCAAGCTTGTTCCACAGCATGGTCTTCTGGGTTGTGCGAATACCCTCGTTCTGACAAGCTGCCGACACCAGGGCCAGTGTTTGTGTTACTTGGATTAGTGTTTGGCTTGGTATAATTTGTGTTAGTGTTTGTGTTTGTGCTTGTGGTTGCGCAAGAACCTGGATCCGAGGAGGACTGGGGGTCAAGAACAGGGGATATAGGTTCTTGCTTCATGGAGTGTAACAGCAAGATGTGTCAATAGCAATGGAAGGGACCGAGAAAATTGAAGTTTGTAATTTAGGTATTTGGAATAAAAAACTAGTTTGACGAAACGTCGCCGAAATTCGCTGAATAAATTACAGCGGAACTGGCGATGCCCAGCTGCACTCCTCACCAAAAATGGGATTTCGGACTCGGAGTGGGAGGGGGTTTAGTGTGCAGGAGGTGGTTGAATTTAAGGTTTTTGGGGAAAAGTTGGTGGGCGTTCTGCGCCGAGTTTTTTGGAATTTTACAAATCATGGATCGAGTGGCGGGCGGGCTGCCTTATATAGTGAGGTTTGCCCTCGGTTTTGACGTCCGCTTCGTTGTGGTAAACCGACCACATCATCACCGGTCTCAAAGTCGCATGTTGACGTAGTTATGCAAGCACGTGCGGCGTGCGCCATCTCGCAGGTGAATCATGATCGCAACCGAGCCCCTCGGATGATGCGGATACGGGCAGCGACGTTTAGTTGGGGTCCTACAGTCGCAACTTAAGTTGCTGTTGCTGCACACTCTCCCCGGATTGGTGGTTACTGACGCAACTTATCACATCAAATTTCCGGCCGTCGCTTGGCGAATTTAGTTCATGCACCTGCATACAGACAACAAATAAAACCGGTACCGGAAAACATCAGCTGTTGCAATCGAAGCAAATCTTATCTACATCACGATATCTATCTCTACAGATCTTTTCTACATTTGATTTCTTTTTTAAAAATCCGTCTAGTTTTCTGCGTTTTAAATGTGAATGAAAATTTTTTGTTGGCCGAGTGGGGTTATCGCTGCGTTTGGTTGGCGGTATTCTTTGCAGGGTAACCGACGGAGAATTCGTCGACAAACAAACCTGCACAATGGATGAGGGGTATGTCTGTATGCCGGTCACTGAAGTTGGCGGACGGCTCGGTTGCGAGCGTGGGTGCCGCCAGCCGTGTCACGTGACATGCTCACCAATTTGCAGCCGAGAAATGAAAGAGAAAGAATACCAATGGGGGTCAATTCGGAAAAGAGAACAAGTGATAAAAAAGACAAAAGTGAAAAAAAATTATTTCTGGTGAAAAATTTCAATTTGAATTCGAGAAGTAAGTCAGTTTGATTCTACTAGCTACTTTAAACCTTGCTCGACAACAAATTGTAACTAAATATTTGGCACAGTTTATCTGAGCTTTACAGCCATCCAGCTTAAGATTATTGATACCTTACCATTACCTGGTACCTTTATTATGGAACCTTATTAGCTGGTTATACTTTAGCACTGGTGCCTTTATTCTGTACCTTACTCTGGTACTTTCGTTGCAAGCATTTTAAGGATTGAGTATGTAGAGTCCCAACTTTATTTATATCGCTCAATTCTCATACATTATCATCATGGAAAACAAACCGGCTCCGTTTTGGGTCTATTGGAGCATTCTTGATGTACCGCTCATCGTCAGGAGGCCGCGAGTTGTTTGTATTGTGCACGAGCATCGAGTGTATGCTGAGTAAAATCGACTCAATCAGGCATGCTGGAGTCCAATCTTCGCCAAGAAGATTAAGGCAAATGTGCCCATTGGAATAAATATGTGGATGGATGGGAATGGCATCGTTTTGGTCTTGAACCACAAACTTGACCAGTGGAGAGTCAACAGGATAATCTTTGGTTACAATGATCAGGAGTTTGTAAAGATCACCACTGGGATAAAGGTCATTGTCAGCTACCAGAATTCCAAACAAAAATTGTTTCAAGTCCTCCTCATTCGAAAGAAGCTGTACCCCAGGAATGGGGTCTTCACAGAGCAGTTTGTGCTCCTTAAGTAATCGGCGATGGTACGGATGGGACATTGAAATTGTTGCGGTTCGTGGTGGTTGGATGAATTTTATACCGTCGTGCGGCGCTTGACAAGCACTATAAGGGCATACTTCGAAACTGGGTTTTCGGTACTTGGGACCTTCTTTGGCTTGGTTTGTGCACACGGTTCGACTTTTGTCCACGACTGCTTTGGGAGGTACTACTTTGAGATGATTTTCCGCCGTTTTTTTCTCTTTTGATTGCAGCCAATGCTTTCTTGAAATGCACAAAATCTTGTGCCTGGTCTTTGGTGATGCCGCCTACCTTGAGAAAGTCCTTTTTTGATGTTGGAAGTAGTAGCACCATCTCTTTCAACGAGGCATTTGAAATCGTCAAGTTGAGATTGTCTCGGATCGAAGAAAGCTTGTTGAAATGTGGATCGCAATTGATATCTTGTCGCAACAGAGCTTGCCTTTCAGCAATTTCACGAGCACTCACAAACGATTCCGTAAGAGATCCTGCTCTGATACTTGTCTGGACCTGCTCTGTGAACACCAATTTCACCCGTTTTTGTCCGCTGGTCACCATAGAAGCCGCTCTACCTACACGAACATAATTGGATGCGAATCCAGCTCGCATCACAGAATACTCTTCAAGACAATTTTCTGAAAGAAGATGGAAAAAAATCCGCTCGATTTCAAGCTTGTCCAAGGTTTTTCCCTTTCCATGGTAAGGGCTTCGATTGTAACCCGGTTTCGTGATTTTGCTGCTGTTCAGTCCTTTAAATATATCCTGACAAAGAAGTACCGTCACCTTATCTCTTTGAATTTCCAGCACCAACAGGATAATATCCTTGGCAAATAAAGTGATATCTCGTTCCACCGACGTCACCGTATCGGAATTGGCACAATTGTCACATTTTTTGGAACATTGAAGTGGATCAAAATGTTCATTGAAATAGTGCAAAACCTGTTTTCTTCGACAATCAGTAGTGTTCTCACAATATTGAACCACTTGCCTCAACTTGTTGAGATGGTTCTCTCTGCTTTCCCGATCCAAATCGCTGTCTCGCTGGATCATACTTTGTAAAGACCTGGCATCTTTATAGGAGTAAAACATAATACATTCACTGGGTTTACCATCTCTTCCAGCACGCCCTGTTTCTTGATAGTAACCTTCAAGAGAGCGAGGGATGAATAAATGGATCACAAACCTGACATCGGGCTTGTCAATTCCCATACCAAAGGCAATTGTAGCACAGATGATTTTGACACTTCCATCCTGCCATTTTTTCTGGATATCAAACCTTTCAGTTGGTCCCATTCCAGCATGATAAAACGAGGTTTTCAACCCCCACATGTTGAGCTTTTCTGAAGTTTGTTCACACAGCTGTTTCGAATGACAATAAATGATCCCCGTATTATGAGCGTATTTTGCAACAATATAGTCTCGAATCCATTCGAGGTAATTTCCATTTTTCCGCTTGATTTCGTAAAAAAGATTTGTTCTGTTGAAACTCTGCTTGAGTAAAACGGGCTCGGTCATGTTAAGATGATGAATAATGTCCATACGCACTTTTTCATTGGCAGTGGCAGTAAGAGCCATAAGTGGAATATTTGGATACTGCTGTTTAAACATGTTCATTCCCTTATAATCAGGCCGAAAGTCATGTCCCCAAGAACTCACACAATGAGCTTCATCCACAACTATTCTTGCGAGTTGTTGATTGCTGTTCAACCTGGAAATGATATTCTGGATTTGCAGTGAGGCATTGACCATCTCAGGAGAAAGATACACCAAATCTAGCTGTCCAGATCTGAAAAGTTCCACCGTTTGTTTGCGCTCCGAAGCCGTTCCTTTAGAACTCACCATGCCAGCACGGATATTTTTATCTAATAGATGTTGAACTTGGTCTTGCATCAACGAAATTAACGGCGAGATCACTATTGTAGTGCCTCGAGTTCGCCCAGAAGTGACTAAAGCCGGAAGCTGGTAACAGAGCGACTTACCTCCACCGGTTGGCATCAACACAAAGGTATCTTTGCCTTGCAACGTTGCAGTTACAGCCTCAAGTTGGTTGGGACGAAACGACAGAAGATTGAAAGTTGATTGGAGAATCGAGTAAACTTCCTTAATGAACGGTTCTGATCCTGGAGGAAGCTTTTTTCCAGCTGTCGCCTGGGCAGCTGGTACTGGAAAAATGGAATCTGGAATAGCACACAAATCCTCATCAGAAAAGTCGAGATCCGACTCAAGATCAGAAAGAACCGTCGACAGTACTGGGTTAATTTGAGCGGGCAATACCGGTTTTTTGGAAGCTGCAACAGGATTTTTAGTAGGTGCCATAGGTTCAGATTTGATGGGAGGAATGGGCACCAAATCGTCTTCTTCTCCACTACTGATCTCGATGACATCGTGATCTTGTAGTTCTCTTTCTTCGTTGAGTTGAACCGTAAAGTCTTCTATCTCTTCCAAATCACTGTTATCAGAAATCTCATCTACCAAGGCAACATTTTGTGAATCCTCTTCAGTGACCTGAGTGGGATTATTAGACTCACGATAAGTTCCATCGACCAGAACTTCATCGTCATCAATGAAGCTTTCCAAGTCACTATAGTTGTCGTCGACTTCAGACGAGTACAAACCGTCCATGGTTCTTTCACCAAAGTTGTCTTCTTCGTCCGAACCGGCACGATTAGAAGGGCCGTTTAAAGGTGAATCCAGCACGTTTAAAGGGGAACGATCATTATGGGGAAAATTTTGGTCATTTCGAGGGTAGTTCTGTCCATTGCGAGGAAAATTATGTCCATTTGGAGGGTAATTTTGATCATTTGTGTGTTCAGCTCGAGCTTCGTATCGCATTCGCTGAACAACTTCACGAGCTTCCACCAAGTTTTGTTGGTGCTGGTCATGTCGAGGCCGCTCAATTTCCCTTGCTTCATCAGCCATACGTCCCATTTCGTCTTCAGAAAACTGAGAGCAAAAATCGATTTGCTCATAGGCTTTTTCAGGTTGATCTGAAGACTCATTTATTCGAGTCGACGAAGCAAGTTCCGCAAGCGATGACTCCAAAGCCAGGGCTTGTGGCTCGTAAACAGTCTTAATATACTTCTCCTTGTCGTCCTGAGAAATTGACGAAGACTCAACGATCGAGAGTTTGTTTTTCAACAACGAAATTAATTTGGTTTGAAGACCAATATATTTCTGTAAATTTCCAGCTCCAGGCTGGGAGGAATGGCTCAGGAGTCGCGACCGTTGCGAAGTCTTTATGGGGATATCTCGATTTGTATCCATTGGCTTTAAAGGTTGAAAGTTGGATGAAAAAGTGGAGTTTTCACCATGTTCGATTCCCATTTTGGGACGTTTATTTGTCATTTCTGCACTTTCAGAAGCTCTTTTTGTACTACCGGGAACCTTGTCACCAACCAATACACTGTGGGTGCTCTGATACGTCGAAGAAGGCACGGAAGACCGGATCGAAGAAGTCGGATCTTGTGGAGTGGTCGGAATGATTGGATAATTCGGTCGAGTTGACGAGCTTGGAGAGTCCAAATCGCGTCGAAAAAGAACACCAGCGGTGTCACGCAGTGGAATATGCGGCAGCAGGCGTTGAAACCATGCCATATGGACCTGGAAGTTGTTGGCCATCGATGGTATGAAGTATAAACGGAACGCGCGATGAATACAGGATCACGTGTATAGTCACGTGCGACAGCATGTGACTGAAACGGATTCCACACGTGACTAGGGGTTAAGCTCGTGCGGCTGCCGAGTCGGAGTCAACAGTTGACGCAACCCCGCCGCAGCAGCAACAGGAGGAGAGATATGAGGAGAAGGAGGGGAAAACCAGATGCAGATATTGCGAAAAAGGGGTCGGAATTAGGCATTGCAACCACAGAAAATCGACCCGGCCCACCCGGACCGGATTTCAACTTCTCCGCTATCTTGTCAAAATCTCCATTGTAATGCCAAGCGCCATGACAAAACCGGAAATACCTCCTATCTTTGCGACCGTTCCGGAAACTACCGGTTGTGTGAGGTGAGGGGAAGTGGCTCCGCCCGTCACGTGACTCGGAGTCGACCAAAACCGAAATTACAGTCGAATGAATGAGATTCGAGTGGTACGATCATCAACCGGTGGTGTACATGCTACCGCATGAAAATGAATGATTTCCGACCATTTTTCCCCCCGCATATATGCAGCCTAACCACCCGCGCTGTTTGCAACCGCGCACAGTTGCTTGTCGGGGCCCAACGCCTGCATCCCCGCCTCCCAACACCGTCTCCTCACCTGAGTTCCGAATCGGAACATTTGTGCGCGGCGATGATATAAGTGGTGCGACTGCCGTTGGCAGCATCTTGTTTTTATACACAAAAAGCTATCGCTAATAAGTTAAGCTAACCAGCTAGTAAACAAGAAGCTAGGCTAAGAAGTTCAAACAGCCAAGTACTAACAAGCTAATAGCTAACTAACTATAAAGCTAAACTAGACGCTAATTACTACAAGTGAAAGCTACTAAAATTAGCGTATTTTCACACAACGTGTCAACCATATAATAGAGTGACGAACCACTTTCTTATCAACTTCTAGTCTAAATTTTTAGTCTAAAGTTAACCGGAAGTTTGTTTGCCTTCCCTCAAGCCGAATTTTGGTTATCTGTCTCGGACCTTAGAACTGGTGTACCGGGTGTTGTATTTTTCCGAGCCATCGCTCCATCCTAAGAATGACTGCGTTCCAACCCGCCGATAAAAACGGTCTTTTGTTGGACTTGTGGACATCCCAGTCGTCCATGTCCCATTCCAATACCCGCCCTTGCACACAATCGCCGTTATGGGGCTCTAATTCTCTGCAGCAATCGAGGTACTTTCTGGCTGCCGATGGCCCGTGATCCCACGTTTGATTATGCTGTGTCGCTTCTACCTAACGATTTGCTCCAGAATGACGTGATTCTTCCCAAATTAACCGAGGAAAACTTGAAACTTTCCAGCTATCATCATTCAGGAAGATCGTCGTTTTCGGAGCTGGATGATGACGTTTTCAGCTTGCAAAAAAGTGTTCCTGAGGCTCATTCGACCGAATCCAGCGATAGCGGCCATGCCAAGAAACACGATCATTCTAGGCGCAAGCACAAGAGCACCACTAATACCCAGCTTTACAAGACTGAATTGTGTGCTTCGTATATGAAAATGGGTGTATGTCCATACGGAGGAAAATGTCAATTTGCTCATGGAACAGAAGAGCTCAAGCAAGTATCACGTCCTCCCAAATGGAGATCGAAACCTTGTGTGAACTGGGCCAAGTATGGAGCATGCCGGTACGGCAACCGGTGCTGTTTCAAGCACGAATAAAAGTTATGATATGACGGTATTTATTATAGATCAATGAAGTACGACCAGTTAAATAGAATAGAGAAAACCAAGACATACTGAAACAACACTCGATAAATTCAGACTCAAACTCAAACTCAATAAACCATCACTAAAACTCAATACTGAATTGTGCGAGCCTCAGAGTTGTGGTACTACGCTCTCATTTAAATTACAAGATACTCTACTTCTCTCTGATCTCTCCTCTTTCCTTTTCTCTCACTCGCTTTATCAAGGCAAATTTAAAACTCTCTTTTTAGGTTCTTTGTCATGACTACATTCTCTCAAAAATCAGTCAGTTCAACTGATCGATTTGTCTTCAATTTGTTCTGGTTTGTTTCCAGTTACTCGTCTGCTTTGGCTTGTTGGACTTGTCCTCACTCCCCAGCCTTTGCTTTAAAACATTCTAAACCAAAGTTCACCGAACTCGACTTTGACTTCTACACCATATTTATCGTTTTCACTTGCTCTACAATATACTCAGATTCGTGTCAACTCGTCTTCAGCTTGCCTACCTCAGCTTGACTTGGCTCACTTCACTTGTGGTGGCTCCTTGTCTACAATCCAATGGTCTACAATTCTACACTTCCTTTTCACTCTCACTCTCTTTCTTTCCACTCTCACTTTCCCTTTTATTCACTTCCTCTTTTTTCTCCAGTCTCAGATGGTCCTACCACCGCCTGTGTGGTGAGACCGCAATGGTGTCCACAGCGCCCAAAAAGAGGCCCCTTGCGGGATTGCTGAAACGGATATTAGTACTCTTCATCGACTGGTATAGTTGATAAAGTTTTTCGCTCGTAGCGCGCGCTCTTAAATCGTCGCTAGCGGGTAACCTTTGTGCGACCGTGAAAAAATCCATTGCCTCACTTACTCTTCATAGTGTCCATGTCCACCATGACTGTGCTCCCTTGGGATGCGGATATACTGTTAAAAATAACCGACTCGCTCACTAGTGTAAGAATACAAGCACTTCAACTGATAAAAGATGCAATTTCCAACCTCGAATCCCAAAATTTCCATGACGAAATCATGGCTTTGTTGCCAGTTTTACTTGGAACCTACGATTTTTACTCGGATACAAACTCCAGGAACGCAGTACTGGATACAATTGATGCCGTTGCAAGGCTAGGTAGCCAGTTTATGGACAAAATTGTGGTTTTCCTCGACAAAATCACCTCATCTTCAAAGGTTCTGGCCGTCACAGATTACTTGACTTTGCTTGCATGGACCCACCGAGTCCTCACTATAAGCTGTGAACTGGAAACCTACTCAAATCTTGAGAAAATCATCGAAATCCAGGCAAAATTGCTTGTTCTTTGCACCGCCGACTGCAAATCTCATAGACTTCAGCATCGAAACCGAGTGTTTAAGTCGGTTGTTTCCAGCGGAAAAAGCGCTGTTTCAACCGCTGTTTCAACTTCCAAGTCCTGGCAGAATGTCATACAGGCCTATTTGAATATTATAAAGTCGTCTTCACCAGATTGCAGTCTTACGCTTGCAGGTGTGGTCTCAGAAGCCGCCGATTCGTTGGTTCCACTGATCCCAGCGGTGGCAGACTTTTTGCACAAGAACTCCTCGCTCGTTTTGGAGTGTTATACGACCGCTCTTCTCGCTAAAATTCCACCATCTTCAACGTCAACTGCCATTTTTGGCTCGTTTATCACGAAACACATCGACGAAGACTCAGTCCAGAACAAAATAGCACCTGCGATGGAGAAGGCTATTCTCAGGTCGTCGGAGAACTCGTTTAACGTTTTCCTTCCTTCTTTTTTTCACGCTTTAAGCAAAAAAATCGACCTTTCGCAAACGGTTTTAAACACAAAATTGTTCACCAATATCGTTAGCGGCCTCAAATCGACCAAGGAATCGGTAAGGAGCGGCGCAGTAAGAGCCTTAAAGCTGGCGTTGCTTTTGATAAAGGTTCCAGAAGCCAAAGTTAAAGTTACAGATGAGATTATAAAGACATATAAAGCAACATCTTCTGTCGAAATCAAAGCCACTATTATCAGCATTCTCGAATATTTGGTACCAGGACAAGCTTCCAACCATGTGGTGGAGGGTTTGCATGGCTTACTAGCAAAAGATCAAAATGAAGTATCTTTGTCCGCTGGCGTGAGGGTATTCTTCTTGCATTTGATCAAAGGTGATGTTCCCTTATCTTCCACTTACGAAACTCTCGTTCTGAAGGGACTTCAGGAAAAGAAACCCAACCTTCGTAAAGTGTGGATCGTTGAGCTTTGCAATATCCTGGCCAATAATGGCGGAAATTCAACGTGCGACAGCCTCATAAGTTCAAACTCGTCGGTTCTCATCGACACCGTACAAGAAGCACAAAACTCCCCAATGCCTTCCGTGAGCAACAGGGTGCTTATAGGAGCATATGCGGTGCTTTCTATGGGACTGATAGTGCAAATTCCTCAGTCTGTGATTATCGGCTCCATCAGCGGTGTCAATGAAAAACCAGCTATTCTCACTGATTTGAAGGTGCTCACAAAATTAGTTTCGGAGGATATCGCCTGGGGTATCAAAGCTTTGCGTGAAGTTGACTGTTTAAGCAGTGTTTCTGAAGAATTTCAGACCAAATATGGCGATGCTTGGACATTTTTCGCAACATCGTCAGAACCTTCTCACAGACTCGAGGCATTGAATTCTCTAAAATTGCTTGTAAGTACTCCTCTTGTGAGCGAGCTTATAATCAGGAGCATCTACAAAGCACTCAGCGACCCAGAAAGTCCTATTCCAATTCTCAGGTTCTCACCTTTGTTGTCGGTTCTTGTCACAATTGACAATGAGGAATTGCGTTCAAAAAACGCTGCCGCTTTGCTCATAGCTGCTCACGATGAACGGGTTCGCACGAAGGGAGCCTGGATCGGATTGTGCCAGCGATCGCAGATTGACATTGGAAAACTTGTGGAGAATCATGGTCACCAAATGGTGGAAAATGCTCTTTCTTTTGAACATTACGACAAGAAAACCATCTTCAAAGCCATTGCTACGCTATGTTTTATCAATCCCAAAGTCATTGCGCCGCTAGTTACGACATCCTTGGTGAACCTCATGAATCCTGAAAACATTGATTTCGACGATCTACAAATCAAGATATGGAAAAGCACCTCCGAGGAGCCCGTAGTTGATGTGCTCAGCAACAAAAAGAAGGTGGTGGACAAGAACGACAAGAACTACGAAACGAACAAATGGGAAGAAGAGCTTCGACAAGAGCTTGCAAAGAAAGGAAAAGTCAACAAAAAGCTAACCAGAGAAGAACAGAATATGGTCACGGAACAACTAGTGAAAGAAGCATCGATTCGCAAAGATGTTAACAAAAAATTCACCTCCATTCGCTCTGGTTTAATTCTCATTGAACAATTGATTCTCAGCACAGTTCACGGAAAGGAAGGTAGTGAATCCTTTGTCGACACTGGAGCTTCGTCTTGGTACCCAGCAGCTATCAAAAGTATCTTGGATCTTTTGGGGTCTGAGATTTTCAAGAAGTCTGACGTTTGGGAATTTTTGGGTGCAAACGCAGTGAATGTCTTCCTTGAACTCTCAAGACTTCTTTCGCCTCGGTTGGGCTCTCTCAAACCTTTTGTTGGTGTAGCCACTTTGAGAATTAGGTCCATTGCTGTTCCTGAAAACCTCAAAGACGAACCGTTGCTTGACTTGACAGGAAGAATTCTTTACCGGATGAAAATCCTTTCCGACCAGTCTCCATTGGATCCTCTTTCGTTGATGTATGCGCTTCCTCTCTTGACAGAGACCCTTGAAAACGGTATTAAAGTTGCAAGAAAAAATGCTTCAAAGCCAGTGGTGACATCGGAATTTATCCAGGAAGATCCCGAAGAGGAACATCTTTTATTGGCAGTGGAAATTGTCGGTGCTCACGCCGAGGCGTTTGAAGACGAGGCTATTCCGAGAGGTCAAATTTTGGCGGTTTTGATCTCGTTGTTGAAGCTTCCTTCTCGAGCAAAACTTGCAAAGGAAACTCTTATGGCGCTCTCTCAGTATATTAGTGTGAATGCCCTGATGAACGACTACGAGCTTCTTTTTGGTGGGTTACTTACAAACGAATTATTTGCAAGAAGTGCCATTTTGGAAGCTCTCGATGCCGAGTTTGACTTGTCCACCGATATGAGTTACCGCAACGAAATTTGGATAGCAGCGCATTCCAGCGACATACAAACTGCTGAACTTGCTGCTACGATATGGAGTGACAATCTGTTTCAAGTTCCACAAGATGGACCCAAGCAACTCATCAATTTTTTCCGCCAAACCGACTCAGAATTGCGTCTAGCCGTCGCCAAGGCCTGGGCCGATGCCGTGAGAAATATTGGTGAAACTGTTTCTGAGAGCATTGAGTTGCTCGTGAACGAATACCACGACAAAAAGAACCCTCCTCCGCCCACGTTGGACCGGTTTGGTTTGGTGATCAAGAGCTCTAGCGACCAGAAAGATAGATGGGAACAGCGTTCTACCGTGGCCTTGGCAGTGAAGCATCTTGCTGACCAGCTCACCAACCCAGCTGATTTGGAGAGAGTGTTCAAGTTTTTGGTGGAGGAAGAAGCTCTAGGAGACAAAGAGCCCTTGGTTCGCCAGGAGCTCCAGGATGCTGGAATCGACATTATCGCTGCTCATGGACAAGCCAGTGTGGAGAAATTGATTCCTATTTTTGAAAGTTGTCTTGCGGCTAAGGACCAGGGTACGAAAGCACAGGACAGAATCAAGCAAAGTGTCATTATTTTGTACGGAGCTCTTGCCAGACACTTGGAAACCACCGACCACCGTCTTCAAGAAATCGTTGACAGACTTATAGCCACTCTCGATACACCATCGGAGGATGTCCAGCATGCTATTTCCGAGTGTATTGCTCCTTTGGTGCCCACGTTTCCTCATAAGCTCAACGAGTACTTTTCCAGGTTGTTTGACAAGCTTTTCAACGAAAAGAATATTGCAAAACGTCACGGTGCAGCCTATGGAATTGCAGGGTTGGTCAAAGGTTGTGGGATTAAATCGCTTGGTGAGTTTGGAGTGATGAGAGAACTTGAAGATGCCGCCGAAGATAAGAAAAACCCAGTGAGAAGAGAAGGTGTATCTTTTGCTTTTGAGTGTCTTTCGCTTGCTCTTGGCAAGTATTTTGAGCCTTATGTTATCGAAGCATTGCCGTTGATTCTCAAGTCTTTGGGAGACCAGAGCCCAGAAGTGAGAGAAGCCACCGACTTGGCAGCTCGGCAGATCATGAAGAACACCACCAGTTTCGGAGTGAAAAAGTTGATTCCGGTTGTTATATCCAACTTGGACGATATTGCCTGGAGGACGAAAAAAGGGTCAGTGGAATTGCTTGGTTCCATGGCATATTTGGACCCTACTCAATTATCGGCTTCTTTGTCCACTATCGTCCCAGAAATCGTTGGTGTTTTGAACGATACCCACAAGGAAGTCCGGAAAGCTGCCGACCAGGCTCTTAAGCGGTTTGGAGAAGTTATCCGAAACCCAGAAATTCAAGCCATTGTTCCAGAGTTAATTCAAGCCATTGGCGATCCGACAAAGTATACCGATGCTGCGTTGGACAAGTTGATTCAAACTCAATTTGTGCACTATATCGATGGACCTTCTTTGGCACTTATCATCCATGTAATTCACCGAGGTATGAGAGACCGGTCAGCGGCCACCAAGAAAAAGGCGTGTCAAATTGTTGGAAATATGGCCATTTTGGTCGACACAAAGGACCTTCAACCCTACTTGGGTTCTTTGGTGGAAGAGTTGGAAGTTGCTATGGTGGATCCAGTCCCTGCTACTCGTTCGACAGCTGCTCGTGCTTTAGGTTCATTGGTGGAAAAGTTGGGAGAAGGAAGATTCCCAGACTTGATCCCAAGACTTTTGGACACTTTACAAGACCCCAGTCGAAGCGGAGACAGACTTGGTTCTGCGCAAGCTCTCTCGGAAGTTATATGTGGTTTGGGTATCGACAAGCTTGAGGAATTGCTCCCCACCATCTTGGTCAATGCTGCTTCACCAAAGAGCCATATTCGTGCTGGTTACATGCCACTTTTGCTCTTCTTGCCTGTTTGTTTCGGATCGCAATTCTCACCTTATTTGAGCAGAATTATTCCTCCTATTTTGACTGGCTTGGCGGACACCGACGAAGATATTCGTGATACCGCTCTTCGTGCCGGTAGACTCATCGTCAAAAATTATGCGAAAAAAGCAGTGGACCTTCTTCTCCCCGAATTGGAGCTTGGTCTCTCCGACTCAAACTACCGAATCAGACTCTCGTCGCTCGAGCTTACTGGAGACTTATTGTTCCAAGTTACCGGTATTTCAGGTAAAAACGAGCTTGTGGAGGACCAGTCGGAGTTTTCTGGAGAAGTCCGAAACTCTCTTATCGAGGTTTTAGGAGAAGATCGTCGCAACAAGGTTCTTGCGTTATTGTTTGTGTGCCGTTCCGATGTCAGTGGAACCGTGAGAAATGCTGCTGCTGATATTTGGAAGGCTATAGTAGCCAATACTCCTCGTACCGTCAAGGAAATTCTTCCTACTTTGACACAAATCATCGTCAGAAAGTTGGCTTCCGAAGACGAATTCCAGCGAGAAATCGCTGCCCTGACTCTTGGCGAGATGGTGAGAAGAGTAGGTGCCAATGCACTTGCCCAGCTCTTGCCTACTCTCCAGGAATCTTTGTACTCGAGCGACCAAGATGCCAAGCAAGGTATTTGTATTGCATTGACGGAACTTATCAAATCTTCTCAGTACGAAGCTCTTGTCGAGTACCAGGATGTGTTTGTTTCTGTGGTGAGAGATACCCTCGTGGATGGAGCACCACAGGTTCGGGAAGCAGCAGCGTATGCGTTTGAAGCTCTTCAGAACCAGCTTGGAAAAGTGGTGATCAATGAAGTGTTACCCTATCTTCTCACCATGCTTGATTCTGGCGACGATTCAGAAAATGCTCTCCTAGCCTTACAAGATATAATGGCTACTCAGGCCGATGTGGTGTTTCCCATCTTGCTTCCTAAGCTTTTGGCTCCTCCAGTGGATACTAGAGCACTTGCTTCTTTGGCTGCGGTTGCTGGCCATGCCGTTTACCAGCGTCTTCCTTCAATCATCAACACTTTGGTGGACGAAATGAAAGATAAACCAGACATTAACGTTAGTGAATCACCATTGACTCAAATCTTGATTTCGGTGACTTCTGACGACGGAGCAAGACCGCTCATTACCCACATTTTGTCGCTTGTCAAGCACCAAGACCCAGCGAAAAGAGCTGTCATATACTCGCATCTCCAGCCGTTCTTCGACAATACCACTCTTGACTACTCGATGTACACGGCAGACATGGTTTCTCAGTTCATTTTGTCGTTGGGCGACTCTTCGCAACAAGTGGTCTCCGGCGCTTTTGCAGCTTTGAATGCGCTCATTAAGCACCAGCCCAAGGAAGGTCTTGACCGTCTTGTCAAACCTGCTAGACAATCATTGGAACTTGCTGGAGTTCGTGGAACTGACTTGCCAGGATTCAAGTTGCCCAAGGGCCCCAACGCTATTCTCCCCATTTTTCTTCATGGTTTAATGTACGGAAATGGAGAACAAAAGGAGCTTGCTGCTGGAGGAATTGCTGAGGTTATCGACAAGACTCCAGCCGACAATCTTCGTCAATTTGCAACTGCCATGACAGGACCTTTGATTCGTGTGGTTGGTGAGAAAGTGTCACCTGATATCAAGGCAGCTATTCTCCAAGCGTTGACACTTTTGCTCACCAAGATTCCTCAGTTTTTGCGGCCGTTTATTCCTCAACTTCAACGTACTTTTGTGCGGTCTTTGTCTGACAAAAATGACAATTTGCGTTCCAAAGCCGTGGTGGCTCTTGCAACTTTGATAGGCTTCCAGCCTCGGGTAGACTCGCTAGTTACCGAGCTCGTAACTGGGGCTAAGAACGCTGAAGATGCTGGAATCAAGGCAGCTATGTTGAAGGGTCTTTTGGCTGCTGTGACGAAAGCTGGTCAAAATATGAACGAAGCTTCAAAAGCTACCATCATGACTCTTGTAGAAGATGAAGTTCAAAGTGTTAGCGAAAAGGCTGTGGTATCGTATGCTCGTCTTCTTGGAGCATTGGCGAAAATCATGTCCAGTGAAGAAGCAACTTCAATGCTTCGAACCAAGATTTTGGACAATGCCATGGTTGATGAAAAATTCGCAATTCTTGCACTCAATTCTTTCCTCAAATACTCACCCCATCACATCTACGCCGAAGCAGTGTTGGCAAATATCTGTGAATTCATCATTCGCTGCTCCAACTCAACGGTAGACTACATCAGCGACAACGCTACAGTTGCTATTGGAAAGATATTGTTGTTGCACAGAGAGAAAAAGTCTCCATCTTCTGAAGAATATTCTGATAAATTTTTGCTCCCAGCAGACCTTATCGTTTTGTTCGTTAACCAGCTCGCTGTGCTTGCTGCAAGTCCTCCTTCTAGCTCACCAGATACCCGTCGTCTTGCGTTGGTGGTGATCAGAACCGTTTCTCGGTTCCAATACGACGACCTTATCAAGCCATATCTCGACACAATTGTTCCAGCTGTGTTTGTGTGTGTTCGTGATCCCATTATTCCCATCAAGTTGGCAGCGGAAAAGGCTTTCTTGGCGGTTTTGAAGTTGGTCGACGACGAACAAATGGACTTGTTCAAGCTGTGGTTTTCCGAGTCCAAAACCTACCAAGCTGCAAACGGAACCCAGGTGCAACCTAGGTCCATTTCCGACTATACCAGAAGAGTGGGAGCCAGACTTGCAGCCGTGGAGAGAGAGAGAGTGGCTGCTGGTGGTGACGAAGAGACGGTTTATTCTGACCGGATCGAGGACGAGACAGAGGTGTGGGCTGTTGGAGGAGTTGACATGAGTTGAAAAAACTATTAGACAAGAAATTAGAAGATTGGTGATTTAGACTAACTGGACGTAATAGTCTAGTTTAGTAAAATAGCACAGTTAATTCAATTAAAGAGCCGATGCTGAAGAAATTTATATGAGTAGTTTGACATAACCGCCATTAACCAGGAGCAGACTGCTAAAAGCTTCCAGATAAGACTTGATCTATCTTAGGAGATTAACAAAAAATTAATGTAAAACCAACGTCTATTTAACGTAAAGTAAATTGACTAAATGTAGGTTGAACTAAAAGTCGATTGTACTAAAGTTGATTGAACTAATTGAATCTAGAGTAAATGGACTAGAAGTAGGTTGAACTGAAAGTAAGTTTAACATGAAGTAGCTACAAGTGGATTGAACTAATTGAACGTAAATCAACTAAAAGCAAATTGAACTAATTGAACAAAGCAAGTTAACCAAGTTGATCTAAAAGTAAATTATAAAGTAAATTCAAGAGTAGATTGGAAATAGAGAGGATTGAAATAAGTAAATGTAACTGAATGCAGATGGAACATAAAGCATATTAACCCAAATTGAACGAAAAGTTGATTGAACTGAAGTAGATTGGCAAGTGAATTCAACATAAAGTAGACTGAACTGAAAGTGATTACAAAGTAAGTTAAACTAAAAGAAAATTGAGCACCAAGTAAATTTAACATAAAGTAGATTGAACTTCTACTATCTTCACTTGAACGAGCTAACAAGTATATCCCATTTCATATCCGCATCTATATTACACTATCATACACTGCTAATTACAAGCCCCTATATCGTTTGTTCTCCAATGGCGCCTTAAAGTTATTAGGGAGGTCCAACTTGAGACTTCGCAACGGCGGAAGGTGGGTATCCTCCTGTCCACCAGGAGAATGTTTTGGGGTTTCGAGATCGGTGGTAGGCGGTGTGTTCTGACGACCGATTGACGATGCCACATTGCTGGTTGATTTGCTGAGCGAAGACATCAAAAGTCCCAGCAAATTGGTACTACTATTATTTGCAGAAATAGCAGGAGATGTTTGGAGCGACAACCCCATAACCGGCGAATTGGGAAGGGTAAAGTTGTTCCGTGACAGCGGAGAGTTTGGTCGCGACCGCTTAAGTTTTTGCTTGACATAGTCAAGATCCAGTTCTTCCAAAATGTGCAGTCTTGTAGGTTGAGGATGGACAATATCTAGTGGAGTCATTCTCTGCAACCCCAGGAGCCCTGAAAACTTGGCAGAGGGAAGAGTGGTGTAGCTTTTGGATTGTGGAGGAGAACCTAGAGCCACATTCAGTAGATATTGAAGATTATTGGCGGAATGAGTCGACGCCTTGGGTTTCTGCAATGGACGAGAAAAGTAGTCGGTGAGTGTGGGTAAGGAATGCGAGTTCGACTCGAGGTTCTTGAGTTCTTCCGATGCGGCGCTGGCGAGAATGTCAATGTTCAGCGTGAGTTTTTTCCCGTCGTCCAGTGGAGGCAGCGTTGACCGCAAGTGGATATCTTCGTCGCTGGAGTGGTGAGAGTCGACGGAGGTGGATGCAGAGTGCTCGATGGAACCGCCAAAGGAGCCAGAATTTGTTAAACCAGAACCTGTACCGGAACCTGTCAGGCCGGAAGAACCTGAACCCTCGATAGGCACCGGTCCAACGGATGGAACCGTAACACCGGGACGAAGTGAGGACGAGTCGGCATCTTTGGAGCTGTTCATGGAGGAGACGCCGTTGACGATAAAGTCGTTGGTGGAAGGCGGCGATAATCCCGCCGAAAACGATGAAAATGTATTGTGTTTAGCTGAACTTTCGTCTTCTTCTTCGTCGTCTTTAGCCTTCAAGTTCTTATTCCGCCTCAGATTCGGGTTCGAATGTATCCTGGAATGACGGGTGAGTTCGTCTGAACGACTAAACTTCTTGAAGCATCCTGGAAATGAGCAACTGTGGGGTTTTTCCCCAGTATGAGTTCTGATGTGACGAGTCTGATGTTCAAGTCGATGGAAAGCTTTGTCGCACATAGGACACTTGTAGGGCCTGCTGGTTGGGTCCTTCTTGAACTTTAAGGTCTCTGTTTTGGCCGACATTGTATAAATCTTCAAAAAAAATGACGATAAAAAAATCACAGTTTCCCCGTAAAATGGTTGATGGGCCGAAATCGGGTTAGCTTGTGCCAAAAAAAAATGATTTCTGCACCGAAACAGACGTGTTGCCTATAGATAATTCCCCGTTTGTTTCCGCACAAGCGTTTGCGCCACCAAATTCTACCCTTGTTTATCAAGTTTTAGCCCCGGAAATTGTATGGGATTTTTCTTAGAGGGGAAGAAGACCTCCTGCAGACAGCCCGCGCCAGCCCCACTACCCATCGTTGTGGCGTGCATATAATGCAGTAGTTTCAGGTATACAGTGGGGCAATCCTGCAGACAGAATATGTTCCCCCAGATATGTGGGGATAACCTGTTAGATTTAGGGGTCTGGAAAAATTCCGAGTGCATAAGGAGGGGATTCTCGGCCTATGACATCCGAACTGGTGTTCTGGTGCATTTTTGTTTCTCCGCAGCTGCGGTTGGGTGTTGCGTTGGTGGTTGCAATTCAACTGTGGAGAAGCAGAAAAAGAAATGCGAAAGGCGGAGGCGAAGAAAACGGGTGTCCGGGTGTAAAATTAGCCAAGACAAGCAACAAAAGACAACGAAAAAAGACAACAAAAAAATGTAAATAAACGAAAATAAAAAGGGGTAATTAAGCCAAGAGACAGCTTAAGGCCGAGCCGTGGCTTAACCGACATCTTTCAGAGGCATCTCACTCGCTTATTATTCTACACCCGTACACCCCTTTTGCAGCCATAGCTAAATTCTTCATATTGAGGTCGACTTTCCCCATTCTATACTCGCTTGCGGCCTGTTTGTATTTATGAGCTAAATCCGCGGTTGCTGTCTCTCCGCGCACAGTTTCATTTCACTTTCGCGGGAAGATTTCATTTTCGCACCGATCAACTAATCAATCTAGTGAGTCATGATCGGTACCATTTTTGAACGGTTTCGTTAGATAAAGAGACCACGCATCTTCAGGCTTCAGCTTAGCAAGGGAAATTGAATTTACGCAAGATTATAAATTGGTTTTGCACCCGTCGTAAGATGATTGGGTTTTGATTATAATTAAATTTCGGCGAATTAACTTTCGTTGGCTTTTTTATATAGCCATAAGGATACTTCGCTGTTGTTTGAATTGCTCACTTCAAATTGCTCCAGTGCATTTGTCTCATCTAACCTCCATTCGCCACCTGGAGTCAGATCGATCAGTCTCGTACTTTAAAAGTTGATCAAGAATACCAATAGACTGAGAGCTTGCTCTCATACCAAACAAAGAAACCACCCAGAGAAATGAAGACAAGAATTTGGATCTCTTTTCGAGACTTCAACATTTAGATCAACTGATGTCTCACTAGTAAACTGGTCCCAGTAGCAACATTACAGCTTGAATTCGAGCCAGCAATTGTCTTTACTAAGGAGAATGAGGGAAGCAGTTCTGCGGATGTCACTGTGAGCTTAATCCACGAAAAGCCTGAAACTTGAAGATATTCCCTAAATGTGTGTGCGAAGTTCCTTCGAGTCCAAAACCGCTGACTGTTCGATCTTCTCGTAGATAAAGCCTGGGTGGACTACTAACAAAATAAGACATACCAAAAGCATCGTGGTACTGTCAAAAACGTATGCAAAAGCAGCATGGCGAAAAATGTATCCATTCCATCCTTGGGCATACTCGACCAATCTAAAGATGTTCCCGATGAAAAATAGGACTATGATCACATACAAGGGTGTGATATAACTCTTCCACGTATGAAAACCTTGTGGAAAACTAACGCTGGCTCTTTTTAGCCTTCTTTGAGAAACAAATGTCAAGGTAACGAAACAACAGAAAGAAACAATCTGTAACGCAAACCCTCCTATAATCATCCCTGTTCCAACCCCACTGTTATCAAGGACCAACTGAAGTACAATTCCAGCAATTTGCGAACCGAATGAAACAATGTCACCAACAACAAATAAAAAAGATTGAAAGCCATGGCTCACTATGAATGGACTAGGTGATTGTAATCGCTTCATAAGACCACCAAAAGAGATATACACGGAAGCAGCGAAGAATATAGGAGCAATTATTACTTGAGCTGTTTGAACTCCATGACCACCACCAGAACTAAAGTAACCAGTAATCTCCAAAATGAGTCCAATTATCAGCCAAAGCATCATCCACGTCCTTTTGCAAATCATGAAGCCTACATGGCAAAATGCTAGTGTAATGAAGCATACTCCAAAAAATAAAGAACCACCTCTCGAACTAACAATTTGGTCCGACATCTACTAATATTCAAATCTAGAGGTGCATAAAGTAATTATACAACTCGTGAGGCGAAGTTATTTGAGGCTGCAAGTTATTTTTAGTCGTTTGCGGTTTGATGCACTCCTACGTAAGATTGACGAAAAAGTGTTCTATTTTTCCGAAATCGTTTTACGTCAACGGGTATTGTTCCGATCTTGAAACTGAAACCATAGCCGTTCGATTCGAAAAAATGAGCTAAGCCTCAAAGTTGAGATTTGGTATGCTTATGCTAACACCTAAATTCGCTCATTCGGTAGGATACTGCACTGAGGTCCAGTAAGATGTCAACTCAATCGTATAGATTGCACAAATCACAATGAATTTTTCGTTAGGTTGATTTTCTTCAGCCTTGCTAATTAATGAAAGTGAATTCTGCTCGACTTGACCACCTTCTCGACTTTGCGAAGAATTGATGCAGATCTCCGCTATCTTCGCCCGAAAGAAAAATTTATTCTTGAGTGTTGATGGGATTTCTGTAATGGTGATCGACGAACCGTCATGATTTGAGCCATAAAACCTCACCAATTTTGCTTGGTTTGGTAAAGCAGTTTTCAATTAGAATCTAGAGACCAGGGGTTGAACCTGATCGGGAAATTATTGGTATCTAAAACTCACGGAAGAGACTTCACGACCCTCCCAAGAGTGTTCATCTCCAAGAATTGCTTGGTAATGACAACGCCAGCATACATGTGAATGCAATCAAAACAGGGTTCCTTTTTGTTGGTAAAGTTTTTCAATTGAGGTCTGTTTCTTCGAACTGAACCATTGAGCAATTATCATTTGGTAAAAAGCAATTTATTCGGGTTTTTGTTTCTGAATCCCAATATTTGCTTCTTTAATTTCACTTGGTGAGGGTCGGGTCTCATTATAGCCATCCTAAAAATACTCTTGTAACTCCGTCGCAGATGCGAACCATGCCTGACGAAATTTGTTCAAATGGGCCAAGTATGTATCAACAACAGTGGCATATACCTGGTACTCTTTCAATAGTTTGATCGCTTTGACTGCAAAGGTAGTGGACACCTTCTTTATTCTTGGACTTGGTGAAGTCATGTTGTAAAGGCAAATGAAACAGCTCAAGAAAATGGAATAAATGAACTTGTAGAGAAACAAAGTTTCGCTTAATTCATATTCACTACAAAGCTTGATTATCTCTTGAGCCCAACGGAAGCAGCTTAAGGCGATCATTTGAGGATCAGAATTATGGCCGCCCTGGGTGTGATCTCCTATCACAGGCTCCTTCATTAAGGTCTTGTTAAACAATATGCTGGTAGTTAGGATGGAAACTTGCAATTGCATTGCATTGATTGATTTGTTGTTGATGAACCGTGCCTCTGAACTCATGTCTTTCTTCCACCTGTTAATTGATACCGATGCTTCTGAAACGGCTATCTTTTGCTGTAATGTCAATGTCTCGATAGGTTTGTCTACAATACCGAACGAATTAGCAGCCGAAAAACATCTCTCGGACAATGCAACCTCCAAATTGTGAAAGAGGAGTGATTCTTTAAAGGTTTCATACTCATTGAATCCAATAACATTTGCTGCAGCCTCAGGCAAAGATATTGAAATATCTGTGCAATTCATATACGGATGCATCCCCACTATAATGCATCTAATCCTATCAACCAAAAAGCAGGACCAAAAAACATTATCTCTCAACCTTGCTTCCTCGGGAGATAATTTACCTCTCGCAACAAGTTTTTCAGCTGTAACGTGTAGGCCCAAATGATATGACGCAGCCGTTGCTCTTGCAATGAATTGGGAGCTCTGAAATTCATTGCCATCGAGCATCGATATCTGGGACAATAATACTAATGTCTGGATCGTACTTAAATTGGGGTTGGTTTCCGCCAAGTTCTCCAACTGTCTCACAGCCAAGATTTTGAAGTCAGCAGCTTCTTGCTTTTTACCTTGGTAAAGAAAGTAGAACGTCATGATAGTGTTTATCAACGCCATTGGACTATACTCACCAAGCTCATCTCCATCTATTGCTTCATTTAGAGAACTCATGAATAAATGCTCATCAACTAGAGGCAAGCTATTATTGATGCACTTAAAGAACCAAGCGAAGACTTCTTGATGAAATTCATCAAAAAGTGGAACTGCAACGGTGACGGGAAAAGTCTTTACTTGTTGATTGTTGGAGATAGATACAAACCTTAAACTTGATGGTCCGCGACAGGAAACTTCTCCATCATCAGATATATTTAATTGCCATCTGGGAAGCCCCAACCCTATTTCATTTGCAGTCATGGAAGTCGATGGTGGAAAATTACCATTCGTTCGGCCTTTTGAATAATCGTCTTCATTTGCTTCGAAGAATTGGAGTATGGACAAATCGTGAGGAACAGAAGCGCTGATTTGATTCAAAGAATTGATCTGAGACTCAGCTTTCAATTCATCTGCAGTAGGATAGTTTGCTTCGAGGAGTTTGTGGTGCTTTAAGGAGGACTCTAAGACATTTATACGATCGAGTAAGGTGTCGATATATTTGCGAGTTGCTGGCCGTCTATGGTCTTTCTCAGGATAGTTGCATTGACGCTGCTTCGAAGCACATAAAGTACAAGTGGGAAGTTTGCGGTCGCACCTTCTTTTGTTCGATTTACAATGTATGCAAGCTATCTTGCTAAACATTCTATACGAATAGCAAATTCTTCGGTGCTTACATATCGGAGAGATACGAGACTCCCCGACATTACAATAGAGCTCGACCTGCATGTCACTTACAGCGATAAGAGATAAGAGTTTCACGTGGTTCGGCTATGTTTGATAGCTGTTCAATACTACAACTAGTACATTTTAAGTGTGTAGAAACAATACATAGTTAGTGAAAATCGAAACTAAATAGGTCACAACTCCACAGTTATGAAGTTGAAGTATGAACGCATTTTCTATTAGTGCCGCAGGCTGGCGACGTACCAAATGAACTGCTAAGACATCCGAACTGAAAATCGGGTTCATTTTTCCACCTGGGAAATCAAATTGTTAGCATGAACTAAACTGAAGTTTGGGAATTCTCAAATGAGTTTACCCGTACTATCCCTTTCAGTTTTTCATTCTCTTTGTATGCATGAGATTCGACACTCTTGTGGTCAATTGAATCGGCATTAACATCACCAAAGAGCTCTCCGATCTCTTCCAAGGTGAGGTTCTTGGTTTCCGGAACAAAAATCCAAAGTAGAAAGAAGTTGACAAAACTCATACAAATAAAAACCAAGTAAAACTTCCAACCAATGTTTTGCATTGCTGTAGTAACACCGGTAGTAAATGCCAATATGCCGATGAACAAGCCCGTGGTACAAAGTGCTGAACCTTTCGATCTGATGTGTGTGGGCCAAATTTCATTGACATAAACATACGTCGTAGCATCAGTTGTTCCTCCATAGAATAGAATATGCAAATACATGAAAAATACTGCTGCGGAGTTGCCGCCTTTGTTATTGGTGCCAGCGTATAGGGCACACATGATTGTCTCGAGAGTCATTGATAATACGCCCGCACCGAGGAAGCCTATCATCATCAAGGCTTTTCTACCGAGTACGTCAGCTAAGATGCCGGAAATAAAGTTCCAGAGGATACCACTTGTAATTTGCCCGGTTCCAATGTATAATTGCTGCAAATTATCAAATCCAAGATTTCCATAGATCGTGGGGCCGTAATTTGTAATTGCAACAGTTCCAGTTCCCTGTCCCCCAATCATAACAAGTAACCCAATTAATAGGCGCTTTCTATAGGATTTCATAGTAATCACCGACTTCCACGATGCGCTCTTGCTTTCGTTGGAAATTTGCGACACAAGTAGTTCAAATTCATCATCAGTAAGCAGAGGTTCAAGAACAGTAAACACAGACCTAGCCTTACCAATTAGATCGTGTTCTACCAACCACCTAGGAGACTCCGGTAAAAAGCACATGGAAATGGCCAAACACAATGGCCACAAAATTTGGAATGCAAAAGCAACTCTCCAGTTGCTTTTAATGCTTGCAAAGTACAATCCAATGTTGATCCATCCTGCTAATGAATACCCAAGCAATATCATGACTCCATGCATACTCACTAAAAGCCCTCGACCTTCAGCTGGAGCAACTTCTGTTTGGTAAAGAGGAATTAACATCACCAACATTCCCACAGATATTCCCATTACAATCCTGGCAACGTAAAGCATGCTCAATGCAACGGAAGCTGTCATTAATATCCCACCAAGCATCGCTATTCCGCAACCTGTGAATATGGCTGGCTTACGACCAAACTTTTCTGAGACAAAACCACCAAAAAGCACCCCGATGATCCCACTACCTGAAAATAAGCCGTTAAAAGCATCAGCTATATTAGTGCTTCTTCCATAATCAAAATACTTGAGAAAGTTTGGCTGAGCTACAATTGCGGCTGCAATTCCGGAAGCGTAGCCGTAAGTAATACTTCCAAATGATGCTGCCAAGATCACCTTAAGAGTATAACTAGATATTCTTGTCATGGAGTACAGACTATGACATGCTCTCAGTAATTTTCAGTTTTATAGCTACTGAATTCACATTCATTATCTTATCGGCTCGCTTGACTGCGTCAAGTAATGTCCGCTTTACCTAAACCAGCGACAGAGTGCAGGATGCGGGAGGTAATGTCCGCAACATCAATTATATGCTCTTCACTATGGGAATTTTACTCGGCATGCATTGTGCGCAAGGGATTCAATATCTTGAAGATCGGTTCCTTTTGGCTTAGTTTTTTAGTTGTTTCCTACTGCTATTTCTAAGTTTCCCTGAAAGACGCAAATTATTGCAAAATGTCGCCAAGAATTAAAGTAGCTCAAGTTGCTCAAACCTTCACCTTTGAAAACGCCGATCATGTATTGGAGGTAATCAAAATCTTCTTAAGAAATGCACTGGATTGTAATGTTGAACTAATATCGTTTCCAAAGTTGTTTTTGAGAAGCCAAAAATCACCAATCTTCGATGCGATATTCGCAGCCATTGGGAATATTGCCAAAAAATATAAAGTCAATTGTGTGTTTGGGTACTCAGAACAAGAAAACGGTGGCGATACGTTTAGTTGTCAGTGTATTATAAGTGCACATGGCGAAAAGTTCTTAAGGCGTAGAAAATTGTGCAATAGGCAAGACCTAGCTGAATTTAGGAGTACGTCAATTACCGCAGAAGATATCGAAAACATGGCCGTTAAGCTACCCTTTTCAGTGGGAATAGTTGAAGTCGGCTGCCTTTTAGGTTATGAATTCCTAAATCCACTTCTTGTACATTGTATTGCAGCCAAGAACGTTAAAATAGTCTTGAGTAGTTTTGATGATGGTACCAAGACTCCAGTGATTAATGACATTATGGCCGGAACTTCTCAACAAATTGGAAGCTATGTATTTATGAGCACATCGAAAGAGGATCATTTAAAGGCTTGGTCGCCTCACGGCACACCACTCTTTGCAGAATCGACAACGAATTATTTGTCAATTTACAACATCGATTTCGAAGCAATAGCTTTCCAGAAGAATTTGATCGACATAGTCGGCAGAGATTCCAGACCAAGCTTGCTATCTGTAAAGCTTGACTATTAAAAATTAGCTTAAGATTAATAGTATACCATGTGTAAGCATAGACAGTAATGGAAGCACCTGTATCCGGATTCTGAAAAGTTCGCAACCAATTCAAACATGCACGTAGTAGATAGTCGCTTAGTTGATTTTCTGACAAATCATAGAGTGTGATATTGCTAGCACATGCCATGAATGATTGGAATTCCTAAAATGCCAACAAATGTGCGGACTTTGCCTAGCGACCACTCAAATTTTCGTTTGCGGAAAGTAATGCCCGCATATTTTGTACACCCGATCGAGACCACGGAGCTGGCATTGTCGAATATATAAAGGGGAATAGAATGGCTTGAGAAGACAACAATTTTCAATCTCAACAAAGAATCTCCAAACAACCAGAATTTTTCAATGGGCGCAAAAGTGAAAGTTGCAGTTGTTCAAGCGGAACCAGTTTGGTTCAATTTGCAAGAAACCGTGAAGCGGGTTAACGAATTGATTGAACTGGCATACAATAAGGGAGCTGAATTGATCGCATTCCCTGAGGTGTTTGTACCAGGCTATCCGACGTGGATCTGGACCAATGCTGCTGATTTGGATAGAAATCTTATGTACACCAAGAACTCGTTGACATATGATTCACCAGAATTCATCTCAATTATTGAAACGGTCAAAAAGTACCCTATTCATGTTGTTTTGGGCTTCTCAGAGAAAGACCAGGGGTCACTTTACATTTCCCAGTGTATCATCGATAACACGGGAGAGATTGTGTTGAAAAGGAGAAAATTCAAGCCAACTCACGTCGAGCGTGTTATTTGGGGTGATACTGCTGACAGCAATATGAAGTCAGTTGTGACCTTGAATTTCAAAGAAGCTGGGCCAGTAGAAGTTGGTTGCTTGTCGTGCTGGGAGCACATGCAGCCCTTGTTATATTACAACAGCGCTGCGCAGCACGAAAAAATCCACATTGGGAGTTGGCCGGCTCTCAATGACAAAGACCTTGGGGTCTATTGTTTTACCAAAGCTGGCTTCCACGGTTTGGCTAGAGCCTATGCAAACCAGGTACAATCCTTCTATTTGTTCACATCGATATTAGGCCAGAGGATTCAAGAGGCATTGCCCGACGTTAAACTCAGTCCTTACTTCGAAAAGGGAGCCGGATGTGGAGCAGTTTTCGCGCCAGATGGTTCTCAAATCACAGAGGACCACCCTGATGATTTTGACGGAGTCATCATCAGCGAGCTTGACATGGATAAGATTCTTCTCCAGAAGAACTTGGTAGACATTGTGGGGCACTACGCGAGACCAGACATGGTATCGTTGTCGCACAATCGTCCTAACACGGAGTTTGTCAATAGAAAGTAGAGCGCTGCAATGGACGCGCCTGTAACAATTTGCCTTGGAATCTTGGAAGCAAATCATTCCAAATGGTATTCTTAGTTTAAAGGTAGCCGCAGCTATAGTTCAATTTGACATTCTAGGGAATCACATTGCTATTCGACACCAAGTGAGCAGTCCGAAATTGTTTCATAAGAACTATCGCTTTTACGGTAATATACCAAAACTTTTCTATCGAAAGAAAAATTATGTTGCAAAAATTGCGGAGAACCAAAATAAATGAGATAAGCGCAAAAAAGCGGAGACGTGGTGTCCGGGCGCACTAGATCGTGAAAGAAAATCAATACAAAAGCAAAAAAGAATGCTGGGAAGGACGTCAAAAACTCATAGGCTCAAATAACAAAGCATTAATTCAAACGGAACCTCTCTCAGTTCCATTTTTGCACTCGATTCGATCGCTTCTTTTGGCGCACCCGTACACCTGCGTTTTGCAGCCATGGCTGCAAAATTCATCGCTATTTAAGTCGCCACTTTCCCGCAATTTTTTGTTGCTCACCTGCTGTGTACTAGTAATTATGAGCTCGCCCAAACCCTTAGTTTCTTCCGTCTCCGTGTTGTCGGCTAGTAATGCTGCCAACAAACTAAAACCAAGATCTAAACCTAAACCTTTAGCTGGAGATCCACCAACTTCAACGACAGAAAAGGAAAATCAAGATCCCCAATCGAGCGAAGATTCCGAGAGAGGGCGTCCTTCAGCTTGTGTGTTTGTGGCTAGCCTTTGTTCTACCACCGCTGATGACGACTTGTGTGTTTCAGTAACAAACTTGTTTGAAAAATGGGGCAAGATCACCAGGGTTAAAGTGCTTCGCGACACAAGAAACCGCCCCTATGCTTTCGTTCAGTATACAAACGACAAGGATGCCGCCGCTGCCATCAAGGAAGCTCAGGGTGCCTTCCTTGACTCCAGAAAGATTCGTTGTGAACCAGCAAAGGTTAATCGTACCTTGTTTCTTCTGCTGCCTAGACCAATTGCAAACGACGATATCACCAAATCTCTCGGAGAATTTGGTCCTATCGAACGGCTTGTTTCTAGCATGTACTTCACCAACCCAGAAAAATCTCCATCCCCCTTCTCCAAAGGATGGTACTGTCAATTTGTTTACCGTGATGATGCCATCACCGCATTTGCATCGCTCAGTGAAAGCGATAAATATTCTATTGAATGGGCCCAAAATATCGACACCCTCAAGGCGGCCCAGTTAGGTGACTCAATCAAGCCCAAGTTCGATAGATGTGCGATCTTTATTGGCCAGTTGTCGTCCGACACCACGGAGAAAGAATTGCGTGAACGGTTTAAACCTCACGGCGAAATTGAATCTCTATCCATCATCAATAATCGTGATTTCAACACGTTTGCGTTCTTACGTTACACCACCGAAAGGAGTGCAGCCAAGGCAGTTGAGGCGGAAAACCATTCATTGTTCAAGAGAAGAACCATGCATGTTCAGTTCAGAGAGTTTGGTTCGACGAAAAAGTTCAACTATTCCGCGAATGGAGTAGCATTGGCACCGCCTCCGATTCGGTTTGGACGCAAACTTGCAACTGTTAGAGAAAGGACCCCTGCTAACCATCTGCAGAGGGACGGCGGTCGAAACTTTGAAAGAGGGCAAGGAGACGGTCGTGGCCCTGAAAGAGTTAACGAACATCGTCGTCTTGATAGAAGGAGTGATGGTGGGCATAGAGCTAATGAAAGCAGGTATGAGGGCAGGTATGAGGGAAGAAGTGAGGCTGATCGCAATCCTGGCAGAGGGCATGAAAATCAACGGTGGAATAGGGCTCCTAGAGAATACGGGTCTTATGCCCCCCCATATTCATCCGAGCCATATGCACAAGTTACGCCAAACAAGTACGGTCCATTATCGCCAGAAGCGCAACGGTTCAACAGGAGACTCAATGGCTCGTATCCCAACGACATGGATTCGCGCAACCCTGCTCCTACCACTCCGTTCTACTACTACGTTCCTGACACCCTGTACTACGGAGGATATCCATATTATCTGCCAGGAATGTATTCACAAGATGAGCAGAAAGGAAAAGAGGTCTAGAGCTTATATACTGGAGATCATCCTGATGCTAATGCATTGCGAGGCCAAAAGTGCAGTATTTTCACAATAAATTTGCTTACGTGCTACTCAGGAAGTTCCAATTTCGAGGATTTGGTGGAATTTTGTCGTTATCGATTACGGTACTCTTTGCGACTGCGTTCTACCATAGTGTGACGAAACCTCGATTTAAGTCGCTCAACATAATCGGTTTGTTACTCTACTCCAAAAGGGTGTTACCGATCTGAAAATCGAATACTTATGCTTGTACTTGGTGACCATGGTTCATTGTGAGCCTCGAGGTGTCGATCCATCTCCACGCTAATACTGAGGTCCCCACATTACATAAGCCAAATCAAGGTTTCAATTGCAACAATTTAACTAACGAACTTGGACCAATGCCAAGTGAAAGTATACGCGGTGATGGCTATTAAACAGACTGACACGGAAAAGGGTCGCACTACCAGGGCAAGAGTTCCCACTTCATGCTTTATGTGCAGAAAACGGAAAAGAAAATGTGATAAAATAAAGCCATTTTGCACCAACTGTATTACAAACGGTAATACTGATAAGTGCACCTATGAAAAGCAACCATGGATGGAAAATGGCACGGAGTCCCAAGTATCATACATCTCTGGTGATAAGGCGAGGTTATTGCAGGATACTGTGGAGATGTACCAGAAGTTAGATGTTTCTCCAATTGGCAGCACATCTTCCAATACTTCCAACAATTTTTCTAATACATCCTCCAACAGTTCCAACACAGATACCCAAGCTACAGAGGATGATGCCACAGTTGGATTAAGCAAGGCATTTGATGGTCTCACAGTCAAGGAATCTGTTCTCACATACTATGGGCCCAACTTCGTACATGTCTGTGTTTATGAACGATAGTTATTCCAGACGTATGTTCCACCAGTATACCCAATCACAACTTCAAGGGTACAGGGAACAATGGGAAATGCCATATAGTAAAACACCTTGTTCCGACAGCGCACCAACTCAAGATGAATCGAAGGTTGTATCCGATCTTCCTCCTTTGAGAATTGTCACATTTCTTGTGGAAACGTTCTTCGAGACATTATACCCGTTTGCACCGTTCATCAACAAGTCTCCCTTTATGGAAGAGATGAAATTAGCATTGGCACAGACGGGAAATAGGACGGTCGTAACGCCACAGGGTAAGCAATTGCACAGCACAATTGCATTGGTATTGATTATGATGAGATTTTCTTTTCTTACCCTTCCCTTTCAACAGTACTATTCCAACTCACTAAGCGGAAAAATTCAAATGATGATGAAAGAAATCGTTGAAAATCAGGTAGATATTCGTCCATCATATATCGGTCGAGCCAATATTCTTGTTTCCGCTGCTGGCTGCTTCAGTAATATCAGCCTCAGAGCAATACAGGCTGCTCTCTTATTAAGAACATATAAACTGTTCTGTCCCGAAGGAAATGACGGAGGAACCGAGTCCAGTATATTAATTGGCTCTCTCATTCAGATGGCCAGGTTTCACGGGCTTCATAGAAACCCGGATTTTTACAAGAGTACCATTGTTGATGTGGAAACTAAGCATTTGTGGAGAAAAATATGGGCGCAACTATTGTATTTGGACGCATCTCAATCATTTAACTTGGGAAGCCAATTGATGATTTATGAAGAAGAGAACTTCCCTTTCCTGGAAGTTCCGAATTTTGCAATTACTGATGAACCGCTCATCGTGAACAACTTTGCAGTGAAAGCACAAGTGGCTCAAATCTTACGAAACCTAATCAAACTAACTACAAAGGATGGCCATACCAAAAAGTCCATGCTACTCGAACTGGCAAACACGATTGAGTCCTTGATGTGCAACAAAATCAGAGTATTTGAACAGCTCTACATTGCTGAGTTCAACGATGTTAATGGAGCTATAAGTAGCGATGTCTGCGACAGAGCTCTTGAATTCTGTTTGCGCTTGGACTTGACTTACAAGCTCTACATCATTTACTTTCTACTCTACTCTTCTTCTGACGATCTCGCTTCGAAGGAGAATTATTTTAGTGCTGCGGTAGAGAGCGGTCTTATCATTCTCAGAATTGGCATAGCCTTCTGTGACACTCCACACTTATTTTTTGGAGCCCAGCTAGAAAAGGTGATTGCCCAGAACATTTTCCTAGCGGTGTATCGTACTGTGGTGTCTTTGACTTCGATAGTTCCACGGATCATAGATGGTACTTTTTCTTTGAATAATGCAGTGAAAAAGTTTACATCCCCCGACTCCGCTGGTCTCGTCACTTGGTTAAATGTTGACTTTGATAATGAACAAGCTGGACTCCACAGTTTGTTAACCAAGTTTCAGAGTCTCTACTTTTCGACTACGAACTTGGCGTCCACTTACTTCTTATGCTACCGAGTGTCTTGGGGTATGAAATATGTGTTGGACTATGTAGCAGAAAACTACCCCAGCGTCATAGAGGACAAAATGCGAGAAGAACAAATACTTTTCAGTGACGAATTCAGTGATATATACTCCACCCTCGGCGAGATGTGGAACAGCGAATCTGTGATCAACTTTGATTATATATTTGCCAGTTTAGGTGTTGAGAATTTAGGGACAGGCTTGGAGACATAATCAAATCAGTCCAAAAGAGTTGATTTTGCATAGCGAAATCATGAGCAGACAAGGATATGGTCAGGTATTTAAACCTTGATGAGCTCAAAAATAGGGCCAGGTATTACTCTACATGTTGTGATTCCTTACCTAGCTGAATCCAGTTGAATAGTGCAAACCAGCAGCAAGGAATAAACTGCTGATGGATACAAGCCGCACTATACTGTTCTTGGCGGAATTATCCCGCACATTATGTTGGTAGCCAATCGAAGTTGACAAGAAATATAAAAAGATGAAAGACTTCCATATCGCAACAGGAATATTTAACACAGAAAAAGAACAAGTCTATGTTCGAAGTCAGAAGAAAGAATAAGCTGAAATGCACACCCTGCAAGTCTCACTTAACGAAGTGGCTTGGACAGCCGATGAGGTTACATATATTGGAAAAGATTTTGACGAAAACTTGTTTAAAAGTCAATGCTACAAGAGACAGCGAGATTGGAAATTCTCATTTCCAAGTTAGCTGTGGAAGAAACATCAACATATAATCGGCATAAACTAGCTTTGTCCCTTTGGTTTGTACTTACCAAACCATTCCGCAATATGGCCCACGGTCCTGTCGACGACATCAGGCTGCTCATAATACTGAAAATGGTTTGTATCGTTTTCCCAAATGAGCTTTTTGTCCTTGGTGGGTATAGACTCATAGTGACGTTTGGCTGCAAATGGGTTCATACAAGTATCGGAGTGAACGACCAAAGCTGGCTTGTTGAGCTTAGAAACTCCCTCTACCGTTGAATAGGAAAAGTGATCCAAGTCGCTTAGAATTGCATACTTGTTTTCCCAGCCCTTGAGAGTCCATGGACCATACCACGACCACACCAAAGGTCCCGGTAATCCCGCGGAAGACCCTTCTTCAAATGTGCCCAACTTTGGATCGACCAAAGGCTGGTAAACTACTTCACCTGTGGTTTCGTACTTCTCCTTGGCTTCGCGAGCCCGCTGCAAACGAGCCTCTAAAAGCTTCTCAAGCTGTTCAGTTGAAGGTGCGGTTTCTTTATCGAAAGGATTTTCACATACTCCGGCGGCTATCATGAACAAATCTGTTTCGTGGTCCCTATAGTATCCTGTTACAGAAGCCACAGCAGTAACTCGATCATCATAGGAAGCAATATCCAACATCTCAGGACCACCTTGACAAATACCAACGAGATAGATTCCAGAAACCTCTTTTTTCTCGACCAAATAGTCAATTGCGGCCACTGCGTCCTCATTTTTCATCTTGGGATTCTCAAGACGACGAGGGCTACCACTGGACTCACCAACGGTCCGTGGGTCAAATACCACTGCATAGTAACCTTCGTCCGCAAGACGAGTTGCATACTGAGTGGGCGCTTGTTCCTTGGAAAAAGAGTATGGACCAAGTAGGACTGCTGCTGGGTGTGGGCCTTCTCCTCTTGGGATAAAAGCAACCCCAGCACATGTTTCGCCGTGGCTGGGGAAACTGAACTTTTCAACAGTGTAATTTCCGTGTGACATTTTGCAAAAAGTTGAGAAACAAAGGCTGTATTTATAGTTTTCGGAAGGAGAACATGTGCGGTGACGAAGAATTAGGAGTGCGCCGAAAGAGTCTAAAGAAGTAATTCCGATGACTACTTCAGTTTAGTTTGTTCATGTTTTCTGAAAAAGGTTGCATTGTGCGGCTTACGTCCATCGCGTGCGGCTTACATCCGCATCCACCAACTTCGCTGTACAGATTCAATTGAAATAGTGACGTAACGGCACCTTAGGATCCCCACACAATCGTATGGGCTCACATCCGGTCATGAGTTAGTTCTTCTCGTCCAAAATAGGGGCTGTTATTCAATCTGAGAAGAATGTCTATTGGTGAAAATTGGTTCGACCGAATGAGACTTTTGACTATATTTTCCTTTTGAGGAGTAAATACGAGCCCATGGCACTCGGTTGCATAGCTTCCAGTACCTGAAAGCAAGTTGCAGTTTTCCATTCCTTGATCGAGGACTAGTACTTCCATTGAATTTTGTGCACACAAGCTATATGGCCAGTCTTTATTGAAAATTGCTTCCAGGAAGAGCAGAACTTCATACCTGTTTCGGTCTCGACCACACTAGCTAGTATAGTACTAGCCACTAACCAAATTGAGCATATGACAGTCATGGAGATGTCGAAACAAGTTTTCGTATAGAACTTCAATTTCGCCGCTTTAGCTTCTCGCTCGCATGGTATCACTGTTACATCGTGCAGTAAGCGACACAAGATGGTTGAAAATCAAATAAAGCAAAGCTCAAGAAGAAAGCACAACCAACACAAGTAAAGGAACTCAGACGATATGGAATATTGAGGAAATTCAACAAAAAGACTGATTTGCAGCCAGTTTGTTAAATCAGGAATCAATGTTCAATGGTAAAGCTAAGGTTTAAACTAGGTACCATTTGATATTATGTTGACAGCTTGTGGTGTGTTGGAGCCCTCACGAGCAACTTGAGATCCAGAAGCAGAGAGATTCAGAAATGAAAGGCAGCAAGAAGAACCAATGGAAGCTAAGAACCAGGAAGAACTTGTTTCATAAATTACCCTTTGCACCTCTGGATGAAGTAAGTACTGGCTTGCTCGTTTGGAGTCTATGCTCAAATAGATTTGTATATAATCTGTGTCTACGTTTACTGCGATAAAATCAAGTGTGCGAATTAGTCGGTTGAATTAATCGGTGCGAATTTGGTGCGAATTTAAGTCAGAGCGTAATACTATAAAGTTTCTACCTCAGCTCCTCACTATTATGAGCATCTACGAAGCGCTAGCCTCCGTCTTTACCCGAGATCCCATTGAGACTACTCAGAACGACCAGAAAATCCCAATTGACTACGACTCGAAACCATGGAAAAACAATCCTCAATACTTCAAAAAGGTATATATATCGCCATTGGCCACCATAAAAATGGCAGTCCATGCCAACGCTGGAGGGTCTATAGAAGTGATGGGCATGATGACCGGGTCTATTGTACGAAATGGAATTATTGTCAACGATGTTTATCCGCTTCCTGTGGAAGGAACCGAAACTAGAGTGAATGCCCAGGCTGAAGGGTACGAGTATATGGTTCAGTATCTCGAGTGTCTGAAGCAGGTGGGACGTAAGGAGCATATAGTGGGCTGGTACCATTCACATCCGGGATATGGATGCTGGTTGAGTGGCATAGATGTAGCTACACAGAGTCTTAATCAGAACTTTCAAGATCCATATTTGGCAGTGGTGGTGGATCCGTTTAAGACTGTTAAGCAGGGAAAGGTGGAGATTGGTGCGTTCCGAACGTTTCCGGAAAACTACAAACATGAAGGAGAAGGGAAAGAATTGGGTGTTCATTCGGATCGGTATTATCCACTTGAAGTGGAAATTTCAAGGTCCCAAGTTGATACAAAAATCATCGACAATATCATCAACGAATCATGGCAGTCGTTTCTCTCACAGACAAACAGCCAAATTGCCATAGAACTGGAAAAACTCCATAAACGTATCGATGTGATAGTGGACCAGTTTCGTAAACTGGAAGTCCAGCATCCACGAGCGTTTGAAATTTCACGAAGATTCGATACCCAATTTGAAGAAATGATCAATGAAAAATTGCAAGAATCCCGCTCTCGTCAAAAGGAAGACTCGGACGAAAGTAGCAGTGATATGGAAGAAGATAGCGAGGCTGATTCTTCTAGTCGTCGCAGCTATAATTCAGATGAAACCCCCGACCAAATAGATGAACCTCGGCACCGCAAACGGGCCAATGTCGAAGAAAGGTCCCAGCAGAAGCGTCTTCTTTCCAGATTACAAAGGAAAGCAGGTATAGACGCCTATAAGAGTACTGGTAATGGAATGGGTGCATTGGTTCATATGGCCAGTGCGGTTGGAATGAGCCAGGTTCAACAATTGGCGACGATCGAGTTGCAGGAAAAAATCTTCCTGAGTATATAGCTGCTACTTGCTACATTTGCTAAATTTGCTATTTGGTACATTTTGCTAATTTGAGCTTTCTTTGCTACTTGCTACTTCTGCTTCTGCTTCTACCTTTGGCTCTTTTCTCGTCTCGCTGACATAAGCCGATGGAGTTCCATCTCGAAAAAATCAAAGTCTCATCGGACAGCTGCGAGAGAAGATTTAGTCAAAATTCTTTAGCAGACAGCTGAGAAAACGACACAAACCTAACTGTGGGATCCTGACACCCGTCTACATACGCCACGACTTTTTGCCCCGAATTTGTTCTGCTGGCGCCACTGAATACTTGTTCCAGTTTGGCCATCACATCCACACACCAGCTCGGTCTTTGTGTTCTTTGATAAAGACATCACTAGATTACGCCTACGCTCCTTAGGCCTCGCTACAGAAAACTTCCACTGTTCATCACGGATATGCTTCCTGGTAGCATGGCTCCGTTGATAGACCGGCTCATGTCGGTCCCATTGCAATTTGTCGGTGCTCGGCACGCCGAACAAGACACGGCTAAGAAGCCCGAAGGATGCGTCGTTTTGACGAGTTCCGGTAACCGAGGCAAGCGATCACGCGAGGATGACAATGCCGTTTTGCCAGAGACAAAGTCTGTGAAAAATGATGCTGTTTCGAGTCCCAAAAGACCCAAAACGATGGCCGAGGCCGTCGCCGCGTACACCGGCAAGAAGTTCCGGAGCCGTAAACCCGACTTGGTGGACTCTGAAGACGACGAGGATGTTGGTGAGGACTTGGGGGAGGCCGTGGGTGCTGAAACTGACGAGAAAAGTGCACTGGAATCGCCAGATGATGCGGACGCAGCTTCAGCGACCGATGAATCGGATGCCGATTTCACGTCCACCGACTCTCCCAGCTCTTCTACGGTGTCATCGAGCTCCACGCCGTCGACTCCAGAGAAGGAGCCAACCGAAGCCCAAGCTTCTACCAAAGTTTCTGAGGATTCTACTGATGCTACCAAAGTTCCTAAAGATTCTACCAAAGTTACTGAAGATTCTGAAGATTCTACCGATCCAGTTTCCTCCTCTCTCCCCCTGCATTACAAGTTCAACGAAGATCCCGCCGACCGCGGAGACAACGGGTCTCGCCGAATCTACAAGAGCTGGCGAGAAATTAAAGGCAAGCCTGCTGGGCTTATCAACCACGGGGTCACCTGCTACATGAATACTGCCATCCAGGCTCTCATCCACGTTCCAGCAGTCCAGCACTACCTCAACGACGTCGCTACCTCCAAAACTGCCAACATAAAACCAGGGCTGGTCACCAAGGTGTTGGCCGACTTGTCCAGAAAGATGTGGGGGTTCGATAAGGGAAAGAATTCGAAGCCGCCAAAGTATGTGGACCCGAAACAGATCATCCGTAGACTCGATGATATTAATTGCATGATGTCGGAATGGCAGCAGGAAGACTCCCACGAATACTACATGTCTCTCTTGTCCAGACTTCAGGAGGACCTGACACCCAAGGGCAAGAAACTCAACACCCTGATAATCTACGATATATTTGGTGGGCTTCTCAGACAGAAAGTTACTTGCAAGAAATGCAATCATGTGAGCGAAACCAAGCAGGAATTCTACGACTTGTCTTTGGGAATCAAGAAGCGAAGTGCAGAAAAGCAGAATTCTGGAACCAGCACAGAGAGCTCTAGCGACGACCAGACCCAAGATAGTGGCTCCAAAAAAGCTGCAAATTCGCAGAAAAGGCGATACTCGATAGACCTGTCGGTAGAGGAATTTTTTTCCAATGAAGTGATTAGAGCCGATAAGAAAGATGCTGGATACATGTGTGAAAAGTGCAAACAACTTACCAACGCCCACAAGATAAGCACCATAGAAACAGCACCTGAGACTCTTACTGTACACTTGAAGAGATTTAAATTCGATGGAAATTCTTCATCCAAAGTCAAGAAATCCATCTCTTACAACAAGTATCTTGACTTGACCGATTACACCACCAACCACACCAGCACCATGTACCAACTTATATCTGTGATTGTCCACGAAGGTCGATCGATTCTGTCGGGCCATTATATTGCACACTGTTTGCAGCCGGATGGATCTTGGGCCACTTATGACGACGAGTATATTAACAAGATCAACGAGAAGGAAGCCATGAGCGACGACTCTGCTTACGTGTTGGTGTACAACAAATTGACTACGCACAAACAAACCAAATAAAGTATGTATAGCATAAACCTAATCTAAACATCGACAAATACTTCGTCGTCTTCATCGACCGCCTTTTCTCGCAATCTTGCCGAGTACGACTTGAGCTTACAGTTGGAAGATCCAAACAGAAACTCGTGTGGGGAATGCAAATCGTCAATAGAAATTCCCCCAGACAGAGCCGACGATCGACGCCGATGACTGTTGCGACGAGCTTGTTCCCATAATGCGCGAGTGCCGGAATTGTTGGGTATCAGTTTGATGTACTCTTGCTCGATGACAAACTTGCCTTCTTTGTAGCTTTCGTGGTCATCGTATGCCTTATTGTACATCCAACCCAATGCAGTCATACATTGGTTGCACCGCACCTCTTTGATGAGATAAGTTCCCGTCCGCATCACCTTGTCGCGAGGAACCGGATCAGCCCAGTAGTTGATGAGCTGGTCTACAAAGTAGGCAGGACCGGTAGAGCCGCGGAACCCATCGGAAATCACCAAATGCGAGAGACAAAGGTGCGACGAGCATTGCTTGCAGATGATGATTTCGGTGTCCGACACCTCGTACTTGTCGTTGTCAAAGTAGTTTGCGTACTTGAGCCCCATGAGAAAGAAATAAACCTGAAATAACCTGAAATAACCTGAATTGAACCGTTGAACCGAGAAATAGAGTGCCTTGAACCTACGAGTGCGTGGGTCCTAGTACGGCGAAGCGTTGGGAATTGTTGGGAATTGTTGGGAATGAACTGACAGGGTGTCAGAAGTGTGAAAGTGAGCTGAGTCGGTGAAACAGTAGGTGAACAGTAAGTCGAACACTAAGTAGGTGAATCAGTAGGTGAATCAGTAAGTAGGTGAAACGTGGTTTCAAGAAACCAAAGTTATTGAAGCGTTAGTCTACGTTAACCTTCTTTCTTGTTACCTTTGATGGTCCTCCGTAACTTAATGAACTTCCTAACCTTAAAATACCTTTGGAACCTTCCAATACCTTTAAATACCTTTAATTTCCCTTAAATTTCCTTATATTCCTCTTTGAGTTTCTTCCTATTTCCTCCAATATATGATCTCGCGACAGGACTGTGGTCCTCGTGGAGATCCTAGATGTTGTCCTGCCGCTGTTGAGTGCGTGGCAGAAAGTTTTGTGCGTTTTAAAGTTGAGGTCAGGTCACAGAATTTACCGCAACGCTTATCACCCCCGGCTTTTATACTGACGTCCTGCAGTTGCCACACCTAGTACGAATGAGTAATGCGCGGTGCATGGTCTGGCCGAGCAAGGAAAGAGAGGGAAAATACGAACAAAAAGAACGGAAAAGAACGGAAAAAAAAAAGAGTGAATGTGGGAAAAATGAATGCTGCGAAAAAAGAATGTGGGAAAATTTATGAGAAACAGAATTCTATCATCTACTCATCTGTTCTCTATTGTAGTACTATTTACACCCAGACACCTATGTACATCGATCCAATGACTCCTCTACCACTTGTAGTGGCCACGCACCTTAAAGTTGAGCGGCTCATTGTTCAAGAACATCCGTGGTTTCGCCGCGCGCTGCGCCTGAGCCTGTTCCCATTGACGGCGCTTCGTGGTTTGGTCAGTCTTCAAAACCGCTTTGAGATGGATGTATGGATGTTCGATAATACCGGTGCGGCCTCGACCTTTGGCATCGAGTCGTTTTCTCCACTCGCCATCGGAGCCGGTCCACAATGCGTGGATATACAAGCCGTCCTCGTTGTAGCCGAGCTTGTGGGCTTGTTCCAAGCCGGTTTTAAGGAATTTTTCCAATTCGGTAGCCATCTTTTTTGGGTTAAAATGAAGCTGCGCAATGGCATGTTTAACCGTAAATCCTCTGACAAACCGATTGACCACGGTGGCCTTTTTCATCGACAGCTTGATACGGTACGACTGGAGGTAGATCGAAGGCTCCAAAATCTCGATTTCTTGTTCTGTTAATGATACCTTATAGGACTTGCTGGTGTCTGGGTCTGTCACCACGGTATTGTTTTTGAAGAAGCCATTTTGCGCCACGTTCAAGTCAAAGAGTCGGCGTTTCAATGGCGAAATATACTTGTCGCTCCGTATCTGTTGCTCGCGTGCTTGTTTCATGTAGTATTCCTGGAGCTGGGTGTCATCTTTTGGGGCCGGATTGGAGACAACCTCGTCGGAATTTTCCTCGGATTTGGGAAGTTCCGGGGTAGTTTTTTTGGTCAAATCACCAAACCATTCGTTTCTGGTGGCGGGGTTATGTGAGAAAAGTCGAAAGAAGGGCCGAAGTTGTGCTCGGACGGGCACTTTTGATGCACCTAAAAAGGTTCGAATCATACAGAGACAGAATAAATTTTCGCACTTATGGTTGGTCGTGTGCGGTTCATAAGGGAACCAGAGATATCAGTAGAGTATTCACTACAGTATTTACGACAGTATTTTCAAATTCGCCCTGAGGCTTAATCGCCTACTCGTACCTATAATTAGTTTGCAATGATTTTCTCAATCGGATCACAACTAATTGTGTTTGGAAGATTCTCAATTGCACCAACAAGACCATTACTCTCAGAATAGAATTAATTCTCCTCCAAGTTTCGCTTATACCAAATATGGTAGCATGAATCCTGGACTGATTTGCATGGAGTATTATCTTACCGTATACGTATAATCACAGGAATAAGGATAATTCTAACGAATCAATTTTTCACGAATTTATTTTTCACTCAGCGGAATAAAAGTTCGTATTATAGACTCTTGCAAGAAACTTCGAAGATACATTGAATCTTTCGAGGCTAATTCTGTTTTTCTTGCACTCTTTCTTTCTCACTTATTGAACTCTCTTTCTCCTCAATTGCACTTTCTTTCTCTCTAATTGAACCCTCTTTTTCACTTCTTGCACTCGCTTGTAAATCTTCGATCACACGATACATGTGCTCGATGGTTTGAACCAAAATAATGTATGTTCCCATAACAACGGCCATAGCTAGACCCTTCAAAATCCATATATCCTTATCGTCAATATAGTCATTTCGTGTAACGCAAATTTCCGCCGTCACATCAGATGAGTGTTTTGCCAATATGCCACTTGCTGCCCTCAATACGTTGATCTTAATGACCGCTTTCCAATCAGGATTTGGCCCGAACCATTTATCGACCCTAAATGGAGAAGTAAGTACATAGTACATGAACCATACATAGACCACGAAAACTACCAACTTGGTAATGTTCAAAGAGAGATTTTCAATAAAAGTGTCCATTGCTAGATTGGAGATTTGAAAAAGAGTGAGATACGGGCTATATATAGTACATGTTATGCATCCTGCAAGTGAGATTCGTAGTGAAACTTTTCGTAAAATTGCATTAAGCCACTTCTTGAAGTTCAATAAAATTCTACTTATATTTATAGAAGTTGATGTTAGTTTCACTTAATGGTTAATCGCCTGAACATTTTTTAGTGTGGTTCCTTTTCCCCCTTTACTTATCTGAAACAATAAGTCCGGTGTCTACATGACGTCTGCATCATGCACGCGAAGCCACTTTTGACATGTAGGATTGTATGCATGCACGCGATGTTCACAAGTACTGATTGACCCAAGTTTAGGCGGTGACATTGATCCGCAAACTTCTCGTCCTCTGTCTTACGGTCAGCCCATGATCAGTAGTCTATGCTGAAGTTAAGGCTTATCGACTATACTCAGTAGTAAGTTCGAAGCTCATCACTGACTTACTCATCTTTATCCATTTGTTGAATGGGCCTGGCGATTTATTCATGAAAAGCAATCTGAAAGAACAATGAAAAGGTAACGGCAGCCAGGAGAGCAAGCACGATTAGACTTATTACAACTTGAAAAAGAAGTTTTGCTCCTTTAATTTTCTCTTCTCGAGGTAAATTTTTCCATATTTCCCAATTTGTTTGGCCACGCCCGACTTCAGAAGAGTCGGCGAATGGGTTTTCATCTTTTTTAAGCTCTTCACTCATTATCGAGACACTAAGAATGTCTGTTTGAATCTCGAAGGGAATTGTCGCAGTTATGTACTCTTCTCTGGTCACGCTTACGTCAAGGTAACTCCGACGCGAAGTTGCCTTTTTGGATTATGCTCCTAAAAATACCAGCATAAGCAGAGAGGTGACATGACTTTTTTTTTCTAATGCATACGTCAAAAATGCGTGCCAAGAAATGATATGCATGAACCAATTAGAGCATCATTCGTATGCATGCATGAATTATATACCCGCATTTTATGATCAATGCTCTACGAACGGCACAATATACGAAACGATCGGGCTATCAATGGAAAAACTTGAATACACAGTTAGATTCGCTCAGTGATTGTAATTGTATCAGCAAGACTTAAGCTCAAACGCAACTCGTCCTTAAAATGTCTTAGTTACATGGGAAGCTTTGCAGCTCAATTTTGTAGCGAAATTTGGCAATTCTATTAAGTATATCATTTGAGAATTGAAATCTAAGTGACTTGCCCATAGCAGTCCACGAATACCAATTTAATCGTCTGAATGCTACAAAAACGATTAATTCCAAATTCTTAAACCTGGCCATTTGCTAGTATTTTTAGTTCAAATGTCTAGTTGCAACTACCAAATGTTTCATGATGGCAGTCAAACAAAACACTATAGCCAATAGTGAACGACTTGATTTTCACAAATCATCAACAAGTGCTCATATCCATGTTTTTCACCTTTTGTCAGAATATGCATAAAACCATTTCGTAAATCATACTTGGTCTTCACTCTTCCCAGTTCAAATGTAATCATACTCTCATCCTATCAACCAGTATTTGGAATGAACCTGATGCTTTATTTATTTAAGGCTAACTTGATGATCACTCCAATAATTACGGCAGTCAGGAAAGCACCTACAATGACAGCCAGAACAACTTTAAATAGAAGCTTTGATCCTATAATCTTCTCTTCTCGAGGTAAATTTTTCCAAATCTCCCAATTTGATTGACCATGCCCAACTTCAGAAGAATCGGCAAATGGGTCCTCAACTCTATCTTTTTGATGCTCCTCACTCATAATAAGTATGGAGAAACTAAAAATGTCTGCTTGGAAACTCCACAGTTAATATAATCTAACTATGGTCACGTCGAGATAACTCCGTTGTGAACTATTGCCTTTTTGTGTGCCCTAAAATACCGACACCGCCATAAGCAGAAAAATGACGTGACTAAATCTTGTTTTATTTTTTCACGCATGGTCCAAAATGCAAATGTCAATGCATATGTCAAGATTTCGTTCGTATGCATGCATGAGTTATGAGCCCGCGTTTCATGATCAACAATCTACGAACGGCATAATAGCCGAATACGATCATAGCTATTATCCGATTTGATTCTTGAGAAGGGTGTTACAGATTAATTGGAAACATGTTTCATACTGCAATCATTTCCAATTAAAATACGCCTAATGTCCGGAAGCATTAAGAATTCATTGCGAGAAATTTAATCAGAGGTGACGAAAATAAAGTCATCTAGTCGTTCAGCCGTCGCTGGACATCGAGTTGTAAGTCTCGGAGTAATTCCCTGATTGTGACACTTCTGATTTCCCAAGATTTATGACTTCACAGTTGCAAAGGCAGTTGACGATGGGTTTATGCAGGATCGAAGAATTGAGAAAATAGGCACACCAAAAAAAATCAAGCTAGATAATGTCGGGTTTATCTGTCAACTACACCGATACAATTATAGATGCTCAACCTATCAGGATTATCATTCATCAGTCCTTATAAGGATCTTTCTAATTGTAATTGATTATGTCAGAACCACTACAATTACAACAATAGAGCCGCACCAAACCATACTTCTTGGCTGCAAACCGGCGAGACAACCCGTGTAAACAATAACTCAGGTATACACCTAAACACCGAGACACGCCTTCGTATTTGGTGTTGTTTTCGTCAGACCATCAACATGAAGGTGGTTTTATGGTTTTCATTAATTGTGGGTTTAGTTAGCGCCTACAGCAGTGTTACAGATTTGCCGGATTACGATGGTCAACTTCAAGATTGTACCTCATCGGATATTCAAGCTGCGTGTGATGGAGATTTCCAGCAAAATCAAGCCCTGGCACAACTTCCGGCTGCAAACATTTGGGTAGAATCAGTAAAGTGGGCGTATGAAAATAATTATATTGTCACCATCAGGTACCAGCTGAGTGTTCCGACCAACCTAGGACTATTAACTCGGTTGCAAGTTGTTGGTTTGCTAACCCCAAACAGCTATTTGAACTATAAGGTACTATACGATAGTTCCTCTCCGCTGAGTCAACTTATAGACGATGCCTCAGATTGGGGTTTTACTTATATGACAAGTACGCAGCCAAATGGTGATCTTGTATGCCAAGAAAACTTTGAGATTGAATACACTTGGTGTCAAGCTGATCAGACAAATGCAGATGGTTGTGATTCTTGGAAGGAACAATATGGTGATCACCAGGTTTATCTAGGTGGTTGTCCACCAACGTTGGATTTTCCGCAGTATTGCTGGAAACAAAACTGTGAACCTGAGAGCTCTTCTTCATCAACGGCTTCTTCTTCCACGAGTTCAGTTGAGACTTCTGAGACCAGTGGTTCTACTGAAGCTTTTCCTTCAATATCGTGGACTTCTGATACTATTAGCTCCAGTGAAGCTGTTTCTTCTTCGATATCGACTTCAACGTCTTCTTCCTCGTTGACTTCAGCAGTTTCATCTCATGCTCATTTATCTACAATATCCTTGTCAACGTTGAGTTCAGTTTCATCTGATGCTTTATTTTCAATATTGTCATCATCGACTTCAGCGACTAGCGATTCCACTGAAGCATTTTCATCTATAATATCGACTTCGACATTCATGAGTTCAGTTTTATCTGGTGCTTATTCAACTTTATCCACTTCTGAGAGTGGTTCCACTGAAGCTATTTCACCTGTAATATTGTCTTCAATATCCATGAGTTCGGTTTCTTCTTCAATGCCCTTTCCTTCCAGTTCCAGTGTCTCATCTGAATCTCTTTCATCGACGATATCGTGGGCTGTTTCTTCTTCGAGTTCAGCAGTTTCATCTTCAATAACGACTTCAACGGCTTTCTCCACTTTGAGTTCAACAGTTTCATCTTCAATATCGAGTAGACCGTCCAATGCTTCGTCTGGATTATCATCTGCTTCGTCCGCTGCTTTGTCTTCAGGTTCTTCTGTTGGTTCCTCATTTGAATGGGGAGAAGTGACAACGAACTCTTCTGGAAAAGAAACAACGAACACTTCAGTCGTTTCTAGCTGTGAGTGCACAGAGTCTTCCACGATTCTGACGACCAACTCCAATGTGTCTGTATACTCCGAAACTGACAAACTAGTGTTGACCACTGTTTCATCGACTACAACAGACTCAGACACTGGAAACATAATTGTGACAAACAACGATGAAACCACAGTTACTGAGAAGACAACAGTACTTATCACCAGTTGCATCAGTAACCGATGCTCAAAGATCCCAGTGACGACCGAATTGACAATTACAAAAGCAAGCAATGTTCACACTTGCCCGTTGCCTACTGGCTCAAATCCACAATCAAATCCACATTCAGATTCACATTCAGATTCACATTCAGATTCACATTCAGGTTTAAGTATCAATGCCGGGCATATTAGTGGTCGCGTTGCTCCTCATGCTACGACTGGTTCAAACTCTGGAGCGGGCTCCGGCTTTGGGTCCCAAACTGTGGTTGATTCAATTGTCGCAGCAGTAGCAGCTCAGTCTACCTCTGTCGCTGAGGGTTCTATTTTGTCACCAATTTTTTCACTTTTCTTGATTGTTTTGAGCATGTTGTTTTAGTTGAGCAACTCTGATACGTTGTTTTCAATCGTGAAGCTTTCTGTCATCCCAATGGTTCTAGAGCACAGGAATGTCACATATTTCAGAGAGCCGCGAATTCGAACTGGACTAAAATTGTCACAGACGAACCATTCCTGGAATGCCTGGAGATATAGGCTAGTGCCAAAGCCTGTACACACCAAAGTAGTCGATTTGCATTAAGCATGAAAGATAATGCTGATTTCAACATCTTTGAAATGGACTGAGATCGCAAATTTGCAGCCAATTTTACAACTTCTGAATAAACTCAAACGACGTGACTACAGCCTTTACAGCACGAAACTAAGATTCAGCCTTGCCAAATACAAAACAAGTTGAAGCGAAATCATAGAAAGGTGCGCAGGTGCATAGTAAGCTGGCAAAGTTTAATTTTACATTCTGAGAAACTGGAGCCAAAATGAATTTAATATTCTAGTATTTCGACCGAGAACCGGACGAAACCACAGGTTTGAAGTACAAATTGATTACTTCCAGTGAGACCTACTGCGAAAGCTCAACTTCCACACGATTGGGATGCAAAACTCACATAGATTTCGAAAGACAATTCAATTGAACCATCCAAACTTTTGCTTTCTCGCTGTTTCCACTATCCAGCTCTACACGTTCTTAACTGTATATCATTAACCACTATTTCTTATGTCTTTTTCTTTCTACTCGTCATCAAAACCACTCAATTCCTTGTCTCTCGGTCTGGTGGGCAATGGGTAGGTGACGGGAATGGGTGTATGGTCCTCGTACAAAAACTTACGACGCAATGGAGTTGCAAGTAAAAGCAAAGGTGCGGTCAAACCCATGGCTACCGACCAGAAAAAGTGGGGTTTGGTGTGGGCATGGTAGCGCAACCACTGTGTTAGTAATGGAGAAGGTTTGGAGTCGAAAGTCTGAAGACTGAAGTCTGCGTCTGGGAGATCTAAAGTCTGAAGTTTGAGTTGAAATAGATTCACGTTTGCTCATAAAACTGTACAGAAGACCATAAAGGAACCTTAAGAACTTCTCGACTTCATTCCTTTCTAATTTCTCTTGTCTTCACTTTATTTCATTTGTCTCAAATTGCACCGCCTCATTTCGTTTTCCTTTCTTATTCACTTCAGTCTTCCTTCCACGTCTCTAGCGCTACGTACTCTAATTGGCTGCTTGTGGTACACGGGGTAGTCGCCCCAAACTTTGTCAGCACTCATTGATGATTTCTTGTTTAAATGAGATTTTATTGGCCAACGCTGGTGCTCGGGTGCGAAAGGCAGAGACAAACTAGAGGCTATAGTTCGACACCGTGCAAAATGCTAGGACAAAATGCTAGTAGATATAATTAATAATAGCCAGTAGTTCTAGCTACTATCAAAAGTGACTGAATATCTACGCAAGCAAAGGAGAAATTATTAATGTTCTAGACTGAGTCTTCGATTCTATTGCTTCTTGGATTTTCTCTTCTTCGCCTTATCGTTCTTGACAGCCGTGCTAACCTCTTCCGTTTCAACCTCGGGCTCAATCTGAGCCTTGGCGTCGCTCTGCAACGCAGCAAGTCGAGCTTCTTCGGCGAAAAAGGCCGCCTTGAGTTTTGCATCGTACCATTCAGCATAGTATAACCCGCCCTGCAACACCAAAACCCCCACCAAAATCACCACCATCATCACCTGCGACGCCGCCATCACATTGATGCCCGTGGGCATGTCCACCTCACCCCAATCGCCAACAAAACAAGAATTAATTCCAGTTCTTAAATTGGTCAAATAGATCACAGTGGCAAACACAATCAACCCCAACGTTCCATATTCAAAGTACTTGCTGTCCTCCTTGGGCTTGTACAACTTGATGAAACAGCCGATCATTCCCAAGCAAATTACTCCGTGGAGAACATGATGAACATATGGTGGAGTGTTGGCCCAAACCAAGTAGTGGGCAAGAGAACGGGAAAATGCTTGTCCAGATTCGTCGTGAACCCACAAAGTGTTGAGATCATAGGGAAGATTTCCATAGATGGTGCCGAGCGCAAAACATGTGGCACCAATAATAAGCGATGTTCCCACGGGAACTAGATCTGAATAAGCCATGAAGAGAAGTGGACGTGGATTATTTGCGGACTGGGTTGTGTGCAGAACGATAGTATCGTGTGCAGGTGGTGCCAATAGGTCGTGCGCCAACCGGGAAATAGACCATATTATTTTTAGACTGTGCCATTGCTATGGCATTTTGTATCACTAGATTGTCTATGCCACTGAATATTTCATTTAACTTATGAGAATTTTAACATTTTCAGTTTCTATAATTTTCAAAATTTTCAGTTTTCTCTTTTTAATCACCTCATTTTTCGCAGCATTTTATCTTTTTATTTTCTCATTTTCCTCCATTTTCGCATTTTCGCATTTCAATCTCACCATTTTGCTGGCTTATCTCCAAATCATCCCGTACTTGTTTCTACTCCTGCCTTTTCTCCGGCACAACACACTTCACCCCCTAGCAACCAAGCACCCCCAGTTTCATGAGAAGCATTAAATCCGTCGTGGTAGGCGACGGAGGCGTGGGAAAAACATGCCTTTTGATCTCGTACACCACCAACACTTTCCCCGATGACTACATTCCCACGGTTTTCGACAACTACCTGGCATCTGTGATGATCGACGGCGAGCCCATCAAGCTTGGGTTGTGGGATACCGCCGGCCAGGCCGAATATGACCGTCTAAGACCTCTCTCGTATCCGCAAACAGAGGTATTTTTGTGCTGTTTTTCGGTAATTTCTCCAGCTTCTTTTCAAAACATTAGAGCTAAATGGATCCCTGAGATTCGCCACCACTCGCCTAAGGACACCCTTGTGATCATCGTGGGCACCAAAGCGGATTTGCGTGACGATCCGCATGTGCTCGACGAATTGGCCGATAAAAACGAAAAACCCATCAGTTTAGAACAGGGTCACAAGCTCGCCAAAGAGGTGGGTGCCATCAGGTACCTCGAGTGCTCTGCTGCTACCCAGCAGGGAGTAAGAGAGGTGTTTGATTTTGCGATCCGAGCGGTTTTGGATCCGCCAAAGGCAGATGATGAAGTGGTGATCAAGAAGAACAATCCTGCTGCCGTTAGCCAGAACGGCCCCACCAAGAAAAAAGTGAAGCGGGCAAAGAAATGTACGATTTTATAGGCATAGAGGGAGTAATAATAGGATGCTGACGAGAGAGAGAGAGAGGTGCTGTTTTCTGAATAGCAGTGTAAGTCGTTATGTATTGCTCAATGTTAATGTAATATACTCGGTCTATCTGTGAGTCTCAGTCTTGATCCTTTAACTTGTATTGATTCTGTTTCTTCATTTCTGAGCTCTGAGACTCTAAGCGTAATCGTATTAGCTTTTAGACTTTTGTTAGTCTTCAGAATTCATTGATCGTGATAGTCAAGTGTTCGTTTGAAATAGTAATGCTTTGAGTCCTTCGGTCTTGATCCTTTTAGTCTTGACTCTTGATTCCAATATTCATTTCTTTGTCTCTCAAGTCTTTCCAAGAATTTGTCTTGATATTCCAGCACAATATTAGCCTCTTGGGAGTATAAACTCAAGTTTCTTCAAACCATCCATTCATACTAATATTGAGCATCATTAAAGATTTTCACTTCAAGCGTTAATTCTCTCTCTCTCTCACTTCATTAATGCTGCTCGTGACGGATGCACTCCCGCAGGCACCTCTTTCTTTCCCTTCTTCTGAATAAGTTCCTTTCGTTCTGTGCGTGCTTTTTCGTTCTTCTCCTTGAGTTTGGTGACTCGAGCCTCGGAATTGCCTCCTCCACCAACCGTCAACTCAACATTGATTTTTCTGTTCTTCATTGTGCTGTGGTGCAATGCAAGTGCTACGCCCATTTTATGCTGGATTTCTTTGGTATCGTTGTCAAACTCCATGAATGCAATGCCCTTATCTTGTCTAATGCGAATTCGGTCCGGTTTACAGCTTTTGAAGTGGGCTGAAAGCTGTTCCTGGGTAACGTCGTAGGGAAGATTTCCTACAAAAAGAATGAATCTTGGTCCTTTTCCGCCATTGACCCCCTTCCCTTTCTTACCACGCCTTGTTTTCCGCTTCTTAGGCTGTGGCTCGTCGGTTTCTGACGCAGAACGTTTTTTGGAACTTTCCTCGTTGTTGTTGGTTTCAGTTGAGGGTGTCGATTCCGGCTTCACAGTGTCGTTTTCGTCGTCAGAAAACTCCAGCGACTCCTTCTGTCTCACTGCTTCTGCATTCTTGTCTTTCTTCTCACCCTTGCGAAACCGCTGCGCTTTTTGCTGCTTTTTCGTGAGCGCCGCCATGGTCCAAAGAATTAATTTTCGCAGCTCATCGCATTTATCATTTCGCATTTATGATTTCGCATTGATCGAATTCGCATAAATTAATCAACAGCATCTAAACAAACACACCAAGCACCGCCAAAAAAAAGAGAGAAAGCCAAACTATGGTCAAAGATGTGGTGATATCACTTGACAGACCCTCCAGGTCTCGACTGCCGTCGCCAAACCCCCGCGAATACCATGAACGGTCTGACGAAGACAGGCGAAGGAACGAAGCGAGAAACAAGAAAGATAAAGAAAACAGAAGAGACGAGAGGGAACAAAACAGGATAAACGAATTGGGAGGAACCCAATCGAGAGGAATCGAAAACAACGAAAATTCGGACGAGCGAGGACGGTCGCGAGAAAGGATTCTGGTGGGTGTTGATGCCAACCCAGATATGATCAGTATCATGGGATTCGGCGGGTTTGGGTCGACCAAAGGCAAGCATGTTAGTGGGAGCAAGGGTGGAGCCGTTAAGAAGAAGGAGGTGACGGAGTATCGTCAGTATATGAACCGGAGTAAAGGATTCAACCGGCCATTGTCGCCGGGAAAATAGTGTATATTATGTATGATAAGGAATTGAGTTAGGGAGGAAGTGGTAGCGGTGGTTGTAAGTTAGGTAAAGTGAAGATTGGTAGTGAAATATTGGTAGTGAAATATTGGTAGTGGTAGTTGAGTGGTGGTTGGAGTTGAAGAGAGCGTAAGATGGTTCAGTCATAGTAAGGTAACGAAGTATCTCACAGAAGCGCTTCTGGAGCTACGCTTGAAGCTACGCTTCACTATGCAGACATCTCGCGCAACAATTGCTCGTGCTTTTGTCTCAAGTCGCCATATGCCTTGGTGAGCTTCGCAAGCTTTTCTGTTTCTGAATCCTGTTCTTTTTGTTTAGGTTTTTCTTCTTCCACCTCTCTGGCTTCTTCTGCCTTTTGCTGTAACCACAAATCAAAGTCAGGTTGTGGTTTTATTTCTTCAGAAAATTCCATCGAGACAAAATGCTTGGTGAGGTCTCCATCAACCAACACTCGTTTGAGCTGCGGAATTAGTCTGTGTTTCTTCTCAAAGCGCCCAAATTGAGAGCCAGCAACCACGGTATCCACCGCAAGATATATAACGGGAGAAGTTGCTGGAGAAAGTGCCTTGACCACTTGGGTGGTGACGGCATCGGCCACCATTACTCGGCCAGATTCGTCGCTGGAAATTATGGTGGTTCCATCCAATGACACTTTGACGCTTGTAACCCGGTGTGGCTGGTGATGTACAAACAGTTCTCTGAGTTCTGGGTCGGTGGCTAATGTCACTACTTTGCCGTTTCCTCCAACGGCTTCAAGAACTGATGTGTGCGGATTCACTTTATACTGAAGAACGGTTCGTATAGTTCCGTCCGAGAGTCCAGCGTAGCATGCTCGGCCCGCTGGGTCCACAGCAAGACACTCAACTGACAAAGGAAGCACAAAAGTGGTGATAAGTTTTCCGGAAGTGATATCGTAGTTTCTGACAGTGCCGTCTTTCGAAGACGAATATAAACGAATATCCGAGCGGATACCGGTAGTGAGCCAGATATCGGTCACTGCAAGCGTATGGTCCATGAAAGTGAGAGCAGAAGCAGTTTTTTGGGTTTCTGGGTCGTCAATCGTCACCAAATCCAATGTCTTCCATACCGAGCATCGAGCATCGGCTCCTCCACTAACAAGATATGTGCCACATTCCGAAAACTTGAGCACATTGATGGCCTGGTAGTGTGCTTCTTTGACACATACAAGATTCCCCGAGCTCAATTCCCAGATATAAAGTTTTCCGGATGCAGATCCTCCAGCAAGAAGCCAGGGAAGTTGAAAAGTCGGCACTTTGTGGTTGATTTTTTCATTAGAAGGATGCTTACACAAAGCCATGCAAGTTAGCGGTTCCGGAACAGGAATTCTTTGGTCGGGACTCTCTTTTCCCCATGAATAAACGGTTATTAACGGCTTGGAACCGGCAAGAAATAATCTGTCGCCGGCTTTTTGGCCGGAACAAACAGCCAGAAGAAACTTGGAGTCTGCATATCGAAATGCAGCGTTCTGCCGGGTCAGATGAAGCGAAGCAGCCAATGCCGAGCCTTCGGGGCCCGCTGGAACATATAATATAGATTCGTCCATGGTAGTGATGAGCAGCAGCGGTGAGATGAGATGGACTGTGCAGGAAAGGCAGATGAGGTGCACCGATGTGTTGATGAGGTCGGAAGTGGGGCCGCGACTGCGACTTTCCGACTATTTCGGTTCATCATTTCGGTGCATCGTTCCGGTCTCTTGCATTGACACATAACGGTTATGCCGCTCGACATTGCTGCATCGGCCTTTTTGGAAGGCCCACAAACCATTCCCGGTTGGGATTACATCCGCGCGTACGGTCCTACGGTGGCGACCTTGGCAGCTGCAAAATATTACTTTGGCGGTACCACAAGTGAATGGGAACGTGATATGCATGGAAAGGTGTTCATGGTGACAGGAGGAACCTCGGGTATGGGTGCGTATATGGTTGACTATTTGGCACGTAAAGGTGCTCAGATTGTGTTGTTGGTTCGAACCACAGAAGATCCATGGTTAACGGATTATGTGGAGAATCTCAGAGAGTCCACGGGAAATTTCATGATATATGCGGAAACCTGCAATTTGGCCGAGTTGTACTCGATCCGAAAATTTGCAACTCATTGGCTTGATAATCAGCCCCCACGTCGTCTCGATGGAATTATATGCTGTGCCAACGAATCTATGCCGGCAGGGAAACCTCGGGCTGTTTCTGTCGATGGTTTGGAGAGACAGGTAGCGGTCAATTATGTGGGTCATTTTCATCTTTTGACTTTACTAGCTCCATCTTTGCGGGTTCAACCTCCAGATAGAGACGTCCGTGTAGTGTTGGCAACATGTTCAACCATGGCTGCTGGAACAATTGATCAAAATGATCTTTTGTGGCAGTCTCGAAGATACCCATCTTGGCAGCCGTGGAAAGTCCATGGAAGCTCCAAATTGTTGCTGGGGATGTTCGCCAAGGAATTCCAGAGGCAATTGAATCGATATGAAAGGCCAGATAAAGCTCCTTGTAATGTTCGAATCAACTTGGTCAATCCTGGTGTTGTTCGTACTCCACTGACAAGACGTCAATTGTCGTTGGGAACAGTTTGGGGGTTATTGGCTTATGTTTTAATGTTTCCATTGTGGTTTATCTTTCTTAAAAGTGCTGCGCAAGGTTCTCAGCTGATAATATTTGCATTGTGTGCGCCAATTTTGGCACAACTGGATACTGCAAATTTAGTGCAAGAGTGTAAGATCCAGTCGAAATTGCGTAAGGAACTCATGGATCAAGAATTGCAGGAAAAGGTGTTCAAAGACACTGAAAAGTTGATCGAGAAACTCGAACGATCGAGTGCGGTGATTAGAAACAGAAACAAAAAAGATGACAAAAAAAAAGATGACAAAACGGGAAAGGAAACAAAAAAGAGAAAGAATAAGAATTATGTTGCTGAAAAACCGAAAACTGAAGCTGAACTCGACAACCGTATCTCGCAATTACGCCTGCTGTTGGGTATGGGAGGAACCAAAGATGCGTTGTTTCCTGGTGCCCCAACTACATAGCTAAATAGATATTTGCAGCAATTGGATGTGGTGGTGTGTGGATGTGTATGGTGGTGTGTCTATCGGTGGTCGGTATCGGCGTGCGGGATGACTCAGCGCTGACTCAGCGTTATCACCCTAATCAGTTTCGACGAGTAGGCGAACTCCAAACTTTATGAGTACCGACCGCCCAGTATCGTCGTTAACGCGATTATTGCACGAGTCGTTGCTGACCGGCGGTACGCCTGCGCAGACCCCCGGTGATACTCCGACCACTTCCAAAGTCGGATCTTTATCGGGGTCCCGAACGTCACTTTCAGATTTGAATTCCGACCATTTAACGGTACCCAATCCGAACCATGATAATAATAATTCCGAGGGTTTAAACGATGATAGTGCGGCCGAAAAGATTGATGGGTTTGAGTCACCGCGAGCCGCCACGTTTTCTCTTGGAAGCCACAGTAACCGGAATGCTGTCCGGAGCCCGAGAATGAATCGAAACAATTCGATGTCACACCTGTTTTTCACCGGAAATGAGTCATTATCGTCGTCGATTCCGTACTCTGCACCCGGGGGCAGACTGCATGCCCAATCGGTTGGTTCAACCACCGGATCTGTCCCAGGATCCACCGGATCCACAGGATCTGCCACCGGCCACACCATCGGATCTACCGCAAATTCCGGTGCCATCGCTGCACCCCACGATTCTCTCGGAACTAACATCAACCTATCATCTTCCGTCGACCATATCCCCAATCTTCCCAATGGCCAGCCCATATCCTCCATCTACATCCAGTCACCCCAGGTCCATTCGTCACTGATTGAACCTCGATTTGTTGTTTCAAAACAAAGAGTTGCACAGGCTCAAGCAGCATCTTTTGGTCTGTCACAACAACGGTCCGGTTCCCAATCTGGGCTTCTGTTCTTCTTTTCGCTGAAAAACAAGCTGGTTCCGAAACGAGACTCGTCCACAGACCTCGGATCTTTTTACAACAATTCTTATAACGAAAATGCCGTTGCAAGTTCCCCATCTTCTCTCTCGTCTACAGAATCTCAACAACAGCTGATGCCCACCAGACACAATTCCATGGCCAATTTGAAGCGGTTTTTCAAGAAAACCCCGACGCCAGCACGGGAGATTCCTGCCTCTTCGAATCTACTGGCTCTGCTTCGTGGAACCAATGGAAGCTACGGGACCAGTTATCCAAATAACAGCGGAAGTTTTGTCAATGGAAATGGAGGTGGTTGGAATGGAGGTTCATTTGCCGGCGGCGCTACCCCCGGATCTTTGACTGCAAGCTCTTCCAATGCTTCATATTCTCAAAGTCCCGGTGGTGGAATTTCGCGATCTTCATCCATCAACAATCTCTATCCTGAACGGCGCCCGCTGGTGCTGACTCTTCTTAGCCCTCAGCAGCCTTTCTCCAAACGGTATTCTAAAATGGGTGAAAGTTTGGGAGCGGGAGCTGGAGGATCTGTCAATTTGGTCACCAGATTGGCCGATAAAAAGACGTTTGCCGTGAAAGAGTTCCGGGCCAAATATTCCAATGAAACCAAGCGAGACTACGCCAAAAAGATCACCGGCGAGTACTGTATTGGTCTGACCCTCAAGCACCCCAATATCATCGAAACCGTGGAAATTTGCTACGAAAACGAGCGCATTTTACAGGTGATGGAATACTGCGACTTTGATCTTTTTGCAATTGTCATGTCCAACAAAATGTCTCGTGAAGAAATCAACTGTTGTTTCAAGCAAATCCTTTCCGGGATCAACTACATCCACAGCATGGGCTTGGCACATCGAGACCTCAAGTTGGACAATTGTGTCATTGACACTCGCGGCATAGTCAAGGTGATTGACTTTGGTTCGGCGGTGGTTTTTTCGTATCCATTTTCGAAAACCTTGATAGAGTCACTGGGAATTGTTGGTTCGGACCCATACTTGGCACCCGAGGTGTGTGTGTTCCACAAATACGATCCTCGTCCGGTAGACGTGTGGTCTGCGGCCATCATTTATTGCTGTATGATGTTGAAAAAATTTCCATGGAAAGTGCCCAAATTGACCGATAATAGTTTCAAGATGTTTGCATCTCGTCCAGACCCAATTCCTCTCAGCGAAATGCTCAAGAAAACCCCGGCAACTATGGCTGAAGGCAGTTATAACAGCGACTTGGCTGCTGCTGCTGCTGAAGCCGCCCAAAATTCTCCAAAACCTGTTTCCAAAGACTCCGCTTCGCCAGCTGGAAACCCCCATACTTCCACCGAAGCAGGACCTGGACGGCTTCTTCTTGCTTTGCCGGAAGACTGTCGGAATTTGATCGGTAGAATGGTGGAATTGGCACCGGCTTGTCGCATAACCATCGAAGAATGTTTTAAAGACGAATGGCTTGCTTCCGTTAACATGTGTACTGTGGAAGAGCAGTTTCATGCCGACGGAACCAATACTTTCGAGGTGGTCAAGGCAGATGATCATGACCACACCCAGGTGGACCAGGCCAAGGCACATATCAGTGCTTTCGAGAAGAAGAAAAGGTGAGAACCAAAAGAGAACAAAAGAGAAACAAAAGGTGAAAAAGTGAAGAGAAACAAAGAATTTATTCATAAGACGCTGAAATAGTTCAAATATACGATTTGGAACGATTGTTCATAGAGATTAGCTGGAAGCGTAGTTATATTTGACGTAATTGTTGAAGGCTATACTTTACTAACTCCGGCTTACAAGTTGCTACAGTACGACTTTGTTACAAGAAAAGCTACAAGACCATTGAGCTTTCAGATCTCTCAGTTTTAACTGTATGAAATTTCTCACCTCTCAGTTACTCAATGCTACGTCTAATTGGAAAATGGTTACTTTTATATTCCTAGTCTTCAAGGCGGTACTTTACTTTCTTTCTTTCTTCCTCTTAGCTCAATCTGACGTCTAACTCCATAAATGAATGGAAACATAATATCTTGATCTCTTTCTTTTTGGGTCTCGCTCAACATACCATTTTCTCAAGTAGATTATTTCCTTAAGTTTAACCAACAAAATTGTTGTGTACCTTGGCTCTATCATCTAATAGGAAATTGGCATTCTTGGCGAACTCTTTCAACGAAGAAACTCAAATATAGAAAATGAACCCCATCGTAAATCTACAGCATCTTTCTCAATTACAACTCATGTATAACTTATCCACTTTTCGTCTTCATTCACCTATAAAATACAGGGTAAATACTACACTTTTCTTCCTTCTTTTCTTCGCTATTATAGAAGCTTCCGCTCCGCTATGTACATTACTTCACCACCTTGATTCCTACCGCCTCTGCCGTCAGGATCACCGCTCCACAGATCGCCTTCAAGTCAACCTCCTTGTGTCTATCGTCGGTTTTTTTGATCTTGGCTATTTCGTATATATGCTTCAACGACACTTCTCCTACATGATTATGAGTTGGTTTATCTGCTCCTTTGGTTACGTTGGCGGCCTTGAACAAGAGCCAGGACGTGGGCGGCGACTTCATCTCAAACGTGAACGTACGGTCGGGTTTCACCGTCAAAAGACATGGAACTGGAGTGCCGGGTTGAAGATTGGCGGTTCTCGCATTGAACTCTTTGCAAAAATCTATGGCCTTGACACCCTTGGAACCCAACGCCGGACCCACTGGGGGGGCGGGCGCGGCCTGGCCAGCTCCCACGATCAATTTGACCATGACATTCTTGGCGGACATCGCAGAAAGTTGAGGTGAAAGTGAGGTGAAAGTGAGGTGAAAAGTTCGGTTGAGAATGAGAATTGAATCGACCTGCATAGCTAATTGATGCGATTTGCACCCACACATCGAAAGCCATTCTTCATCTCTACTACACTTAATAACTTTAATACTTTTCTACCTTATCTTTCTACATTTCTCATTTCTGACTTTCTTTCTTCATGCTTATGCTAGATGTCTTCCTTGAACCGCGAATTGGCGGTGGAATCATTATTGTCTTCGCCGAGATGGTAATCGGCCGGATTAAAGTGCGCAAAGTCTTCCGATGGACCTCGGGAATGGCCGGTGGGATACGGCGGTGCTTGGTTTGTTGGTGCTTCATTTTGACCTGCTCCAGAGCCAAGTCGCGGCTCAAACCCCGGATCTTGTTCTGGCTGCGAAAACTCAAATCCGTCCTGGTCCTCGTATGTGGTTCCCAAAGGTCTAGAAATCGAATTGAATCGAGATGCTGCTGCGGCGGTGTTGGTACCGCTGGAATTTGTGGCGGTGGGTCGGAAAACCGAGTCCAAATTGTTACTATTAGTGACTCCTCGGTAAGCAAAGTCTCCAGATTCTTCGCCCACAGTATTTTGTGCGGTGCTGTTTGCTCGCTGGTCCACCTGGCGTTCTATGTCGTCCATGCCAGCTAAAGCTCCGCCGCCCGAAGAGCGCTTTGACGACGAAAACGGCATTTTCAACCCGAATTTCTCGGAAAATGGGTTCAGGTCTCCGGAATTGTTTTCTGAAAAGTCCGGCGACGGGTTGATGTTTTTGCGGTTGCGGCGCCGGAGGTACACGAAGAGCACCGCCAAGGCACTGAGAACAATTATTCCGCCGACAGACCCCACAACTCCGCCGATAATTTTAGGTGAAGACGACAGTTTGCCGGAGTCTCCAGAGGACGACGCCGACGCCGTGGGCTCAGCAGTCACGAACGAGGTGATGGTCTTGTCGCCCAGGGTGTAAGTGGTGGAATGAGCGGAAAACGACGAGGTTATGGAGGCCGACGAACGGGAAGAAGTGGTTGAGGAAGTCAGTGAGGATGTGGTGGTTTCGTCCGAAGATTCGGCCATAGAAGTCAGCGATGCGTGTGAGCGGGACCTCAGAGACCGCAGGGCAGACGACGACAAAGTGGTGAAAGACGAAGAAGTCACCGACAGAGAAGATGACGATGACTTCGATGATGATGATGATGATGATGACGAAACCAGTGACGACAGAATTGACGAAGAAGTGAATGAGCTCGAGGTGGAGCTTCTGATGCTAGTACTGGAGCTGGTGCTGGAGCTGGTTTCGGAGCTGGTGGAGCTGGTGGTGGTGCTAAACGAAGACGAGCTAGTGGAAGATTTCACAGTCAGCGAAAACGTGCTCGATGACAGAAAAATGGATGCTGAATAGGCGGTGCTAGACGAAGGTTGCGGCCGCCTCAGCGAGCTAGCGACCAAAGACGATGTTGCCGATAACCCCAGACTGGTTTTGGAAGCGGCATCGGTGGCGGAAGACGAAGTGAACGAGGGAGTTCCTGTGGCCGAAAAATCCGAGGTGGTAGTCAGGGTTGGATAAAGTGCTGATTCCGTACTGGTAGGCGTCCCTGAGTCACCAGTTCCTCCAAACAGGTTGAAGTCCATAATATGGTTCAAGAAAAATGAAAAGAAATGACGTGGCGGAGGTTTTAAATGAATTAATTATTTAGAAGGGGTTCAGGTAAAATAGGTGATTGCATCCAACCACCACCGCACGCAGGGGGAGCGATGCCAGGCTTAGCGATGAACAGTAAAGGTGAAAAGGTTCAGCTTTTGGATTTGTGTTGGAGTGATTTGGTATGTTTGGTATGTTTGGTCTGTTTGGGTACGTGGTGGTTTTGTTTTGTGGACAGTGCCCAATTGCACAATGCCAATTCCTTGCCAGGTTTCAGCTCATCGACGCCAAGCGCAACGCCTGCACATTGCTTCTAATTATAGCAAGGCGGGTGCGGCTAACAAGGTACGAGGTTGTCTGTGCGATGTAGCTGAAGAGCCGATCAAAGCACGTGAGTGTGGGGATTTGGAAAGAAACTGGAAAAGAAACTGTGCAGAAGAATTGTGCAGCAGAATGTGAGCACTGTGCGGCTGAATTGGCTGCGAAATACGAGTGGCTGAAATGACTGATGACAATGATGATAATGAATCAATGATAATGAATCAATGACAATGAAGAAAATAATTGACATATTTGACAGCAATTGTTGCTTAACACTTGTATGTCAATACCTGCCAAATTTTCAAACTTGAATCGTCATTATCCGATCAGCACAGCCTGAAAACCCTTCCCACTCACCACCCCAAACCACTCTCCCAGGCTCCGCCAGCACACAGAATTGACCTCCAAGTCTTCCTCATACGAAAGCACAGGTGCGTCTGTAGCTGCCGTTTCCATGAGTTGGCCCTTGGGTGCTTGGAGGTTGCTACAGTCCCATATGAGCGCCTGGCAGTCGTCTCCGCCGGTAAGCAAGTAATTGGCTGTTGGGTGCCATGTCAAGCAATTGATAGCACCGCTATTTGTGGCTCCGAGAGAAGCGTCGAGGGTTGCTAGCGGCAATCCGGGCATTCGCATATCGATTATTATCACATTATTGGAATTCGCACCGATGGTTGCGAGATGGTGTTGGTCGATGTTGGAAGCAGAAAGCCTCAAAAGTGCATTTGATGAAGTTAGTGGCAGCTGCTGTGATGGGGTTGATCCTCGTGCCAACGGAGAACTGGAAGCAGGACCGGGGCCGGTATTGGTGAGCAGAGCCGGTCCAGGCTCATAAATGATGGTGGAGTGCTCGAGCGACCGGAGGTCGAAAACTCTCATGGAACCGTCGTTGCCCACCGACGCAAACACGTTGGTTGAGTTGTGGATGAACTTGACGTCAAACACCTCGGAGTCGTGGGCGATAAGCTGGGTCTTGACACTGGCTACATCGAGACCGGATTTGGAGTCGCCGTGGGCTCGATTGACATCCCATAAAGTGCAGGTGGTATCTACGGAAGAAGTGATGATGATGCTGGGGTCGGTGGAGTTCCAGTCGAACGAGGTGACGGGAGGAAGCGTATTGACGTTTTCCAGAGACGAATTTCCACTGGTATTGGGTGCTGGATTCGCAAGCGTATGGGTCTGTTCGAGCCTCGGTTCTCCGTCGTTATCGGTTATGGCAAACAACCGTAAAACTTCCAGCAGCGCTGCCAACCTAGCGGTGCTCTCGTGAGCTATTCTGGGGTCCCATTGAAGCTGGGTAACAGGGTACTCCACATTGACGTCTGCCGCAAGCATAAAGTCAAAACCGTCAAAAGTGGATCTGGTGGAGCTGTTGGAGCTGGTGTCAGCTCTAATTCTAGTGTCTCCACTGGATGTGGTTCTGGTGTCACTTCTGGTGTCTCCACTGGTGGTTCTAGTGTCATTCATTCTGTCCTTTTCGCCGTCTTCGCTTCTATATCCACTTCCATGGACTATCTGGATCTTGTTTGTGAATCCCTCCTTGTATGTGCTCAACGCTATACACTCATAATCGCCTCTTTGGGCCCATTGCAGACAATTGAGTGGCATTGGTGACATAAAGTAGGAAAAACGATCGCTTGGTAAAATTGGATTGGGATCATTTAGTAACACGGGCTGGTAATTGGAGTAGAACTGGGACCGCTGCTGCAGCCTGGGACTGGTGTAACCGTTGTAATTGGGGGAGTATGGCATGCCGGACATGGAGCCCCTTTTGGACTTCATGTTGAGCAATGGTGTTGGTGCAGGATTGAGAGTGAGAAAGAGACAAGGTGAGACAAGAGAGGTATATGAAAGAAATGCAAAATCACATAATTTGATATCAATGAATTGGGGTTCAATTCATCTCTTTTATTTCATTTTCAATTATTTTCAACTCATCTCTTATTTTATTTTTTTATTTTCATACCTTTAGTAATTTTTCACTTAACTTCTTACTTATAGCTTTCACTAAAAACTTCTTACTTAGAGCTTTTCACTTATGAATGTTACTTGGTTTCTACTTTTTCTTTTTAGTTATTACACTTACTGAAACTCAACTTCTTACGAATAGCTTTGTACTATTTTTGTATAGTTTCAGTAATTTTCACTTTCACCTTCTTGACTTTGACGAATAGTGAGAAGCAGAACATTTCTCTAGAGAAACTCATTCATTCTTCCAAATCTCACCTTCAGCATCTCTGTTCAGCTTCTGAAACTAGTAAACTCTGGTCTATTCAGCTCAATTTCAATTATTCACTTTTCAGGCATTATCATGTCTATTCCAGTTACTTCCAGATTAGTTCTGATCACTTTCTATTATTCTTATTATTCTTCTATTCTTCTTCTATTACTCTTGCTGCTCCACAACCTCCTCCACCGATGGACAAGTGCACATCAAGTTGATATCACCATAAGTATCGTCCACTCTGCTCACAGTTGGCCAGCATTTTGCAACCTTTAAATATGGCAATGGGTAAGCTGCTTGTTCTCTCGAATATCCTCTGGTTTCCCACTCTTGTTGAGGAGTAGAGATTATATCCTGCAACGAGTGAGGAGCATTCTTGAGTACACCGCCAATGGGTTCACCATTTTTGTACGCTTCGATTTCTTGTCTTATGGCCAAGAGAGCATTGACAAAACGGTCCAATTCTTCAAGATTTTCCGACTCGGTGGGCTCGATCATCAAGGTTCCAGCAATGGGGAACGACATGGTAGGCGCATGGAACCCGTAATCTTGTAAACGTTTAGCAACATCGATGGCTTCTACTCCAAAGGACTTGAATTCACGAAGATCAAGAATGAATTCATGAGCACAATGCTTTAAACCTTCAGAAGCAGAAGCGTGTGAGTCCACAAACATGATCTTATACTGGTCCTTAAGTCTGTTCAACATATAGTTGGCATTTAACATGGCGATGGTGGAAGTGTAAGGAAGCGATTGCGCTCCCAACATTTTGATGTACAGATAAGACACGGGGATCACAGCTGCCGATCCATAAGGAGCCGAGTTGACAGCTTCAATGGACTCATTGGTGGAGTGAGGAGTAGCCACAAAGTGGTGTTTGGGCAAAAATGGTGCCAAATGTTGCTTGACACATACCGGTGCCTGGCCGGGTCCTCCACCTCCATGCGACAAAGCAAAGGTTTTGTGAATATTGAGATGGCATACGTCGGCTCCCAAGTCTCCTGGCGAAGTTAACCCGACTTGGGCGTTCATATTGGCTCCGTCAAGGTACACCAAACCTCCATTCTGGTGGACGGTGTCGATAGCTTGTTTGATTCCGGGCTCGAAAAGACCATAGGTTGAAGGATAAGTGATCATAATGGCAGCAAGCTCATTGCGGTGTTTGTTAGCTTTGGCTGCGAGATCCTCGAGGTCAATGGAACCGTCACCGAGACATTTTACCGGCACAACTTTGAGTCCACACATGGCAGCAGAAGCTGGGTTTGTTCCATGAGCAGACACGGGAATAAGACAAATGTTTCTGTGGGATTCTTGGCGCAGAGCATGGTACTGGCGGATGAGCGACAACCCGGTATATTCTCCTTGGGCACCGGAATTGGGCATGGAAGTGGTAGCATCGAAACCGGTAATATCATTAAGATCTTTTTCAAATTCGTCAATGAGCTCTTTGTAGCCTTGGGCTTGGTCGATGGGTGCAAAAGGGTGGATCTGGCTAAATCCAGGCATGGAAAGAGTCATCATTTCAACAGTAGCGTTCAATTTCATGGTGCACAGACCCAAGGGGATCATCGAGTTGGCCAAAGAAAGGTCCTTGGATTGCAAAAGATGAAGATATCTCAACATGGCAGTTTCTGAATGGTGGGTGTTGAATACTGGATGGGTGAGAATCTCGTCTTGACGCAAAAGTTGTTGAGGAACAGAAGGAAGCGATGCTGGAAGTGTAACTTTTTTTCCGGTGAAAACCTCAATGAGATCCACCACATCCTGGGCAGTAGTGGTTTCGTCAAGAGTCAACGAAACATGGTTTTCGTCCACTTTAAAGAGATTGAAATTGTACTCGTTCAAGGCAACGTCCAATACTTTTGTAGAACTTTCTACCTTTATGGTCAAGGTATCGAACCATTTTTCGTTCACCACCTGAGGTCCCAATTCTTGTGCCAAAACCGAGGTAAAACCATATACTCTTCTGGCAATATTCTTGAGTCCCTCCGCACCATGGTAAACGGCATACATAGCAGCCATGTTAGCCAACAATGCCTGGGCAGTACAGATGTTGGAAGTGGCATTTTCACGCTTGATATGCTGTTCACGAGTCTGGAGAGCCAATCTCAAAGCTGGGTTACCGAGACGGTCTTTTGACACACCAACAATTCTACCTGAAATTTTCCGAGAGTACTTGTTGGTGGTAGCAAAGAACGCAGCATGGGGACCTCCGTAGCCAAAAGGCACACCGAAACGCTGGGATGTTCCCAAAGCAATATCGGCTCCAAATTCCGCTGGACTGCGAAGAAGAGTCAATGCAAGAAGATCAGTGGCCATGGCAAGTAAACCTTTGGAAGAATGGACGATTTCTGCTACGGCTGAAAAGTCTGTTATGGACCCATCGGTAGCTGGATATTGCACTATAGCACCGCAAGATTCTCCGGCAAGACTTTTGAGCTGGTCGAGACCTTGTGGAGTGTCCAATGGAAGAACCACGATTTCCACTCCAATATTACCTGCTCTCGATCTTACCACTCCGAGAGTCTGTGGGTGGATCTTGGCGTCCACAACATACTTTTTCTTCTTGCCTCGCAAGTTGTGGAAAGACATAGCCATGGCTTCTCCAGCTGCGGTTCCCTCGTCCAACAACGACGCATTGGCCATGGGTAAACCGGTCAATGAAGACACCATTGTCTGGTAATTGAGCAACGATTCGAGCCGTCCTTGGGAAATCTCCGGCTGGTACGGCGTGTACGAAGTATACCATTCAGGCAGCTCCAATAAATTGCGCTGAATCACGGGAGGTACCCTGGTTCCAGCATACCCTTTTCCGATATAAGATTTGACAATCCTGTTTTTTCCAGCAAGCTCAGCCAAGTGCTCGAGCATCTCCAGCTCGGTGTACCCGTGTTCTGGTGACACTTTAAGTTGTCTTTTGAAAAGAATATGAGGAGGAACTGCTTTTGACAAGAATTCATCCAAGTCATTGTACCCCAAACTTTGCAACATTTTCTGGGTTTCTTCTGGCGTGGGGCCCAAGTGGCGCCGTGCGAACGTGTCCAACCGTTCGTAGCCGTTATCCAGAACCGTAGGATCGAAAACTCGTTGATAATTTGCCGATGAGGTGTCAGCCTCGGTTGATGGCGATGAAGCTAACATTCTGACCGAGTACCTGAGAGGCGCCCAAACGCGACAGGGGGCCTTGTGGGTGGCCGTGGACACTGCCAAAGCAGCCTTGAAACCAGATCTCATGAATAACGTGGAAAAGGAGGAAACCACTGGCTTTTAACGGTGCCGCGGCCCGAGTCAGAAGGAGTCAGATGACTCGGGAGAAGGGAAAAAAATGCGAAGAGAAAATGAAAAATAAAGTAATGCGAAAGAAGAGGAAATGAGCGAAGAAAATATGGGGAACAAAGAAAATCTTCTGAAAACTTCTATCTTCCTTATCATTTGTTCTTTTCCTTCTTATCTCTTTTTTCTCTCCTTCTACATTTTCTTTTTTTGTCTACTTCAATTAGGCTAAAAACAACTAGCTTACTTCTTAGCAGCCTTTTGAGCAGCCTTGGTGACCTTACCGGCCTTGTCAGACTTCTCAACAGACTTGATGACACCGACGGCAACGGTTTGTCTCATGTCTCTGACGGCGAATCTTCCCAATGGTGGGTAGTCGGTGAAAGCCTCAACACACATTGGCTTGGATGGCACCATCTTGACGATAGAAGCGTCACCGGACTTGACAAACTTGGGGTTGTCCTCCATCTTCTTACCGGTTCTTCTGTCAATCTTCTCCAACAAGGTGTCGAATTTACAAGCAATGTGGGCGGTGTGACAGTCCAAAACTGGAGAGTAACCAGCAGAGATTTGACCAGGGTGGTTCAACACAATAACTTGAGCGGTGAAAGAGTCACAACCCTTTGGTGGGTCGTTCTTGGAGTCACCACAAACGTTACCTCTTTCTAATTTCCTTAACGGAAACGTTCTTAACGTTGAAACCAACATTGTCACCTGGAACACCTTCAACCAATTGTTCGTGGTGCATTTCCACGGACTTGACTTCAGTGGTGACACCAGCTGGGGCAAAGGTAACAACCATACCGGCCTTGATGATACCGGTTTCAACTCTACCGACTGGCACCGTTCCAATACCACCAATCTTGTAAACATCTTGCAATGGCAATCTCAATGGCTTGTCGGTTGGTCTTTGAGGTGGCTCAATGGCGTCAATGGCCTCCAACAAAGTCTTACCGGTGGACTTACCAGCCTTGGTCTCCTTCTCCCATCCCTTGTACCAAGGACAGTTGGTAGAAGCCTCAATCATGTTGTCACCATTCCATCCAGAGATAGGAACGAATGGCACAGTCTTAGGGTTGTAACCAACCTTCTTGACGAAGTTAGAGGTTTCCTTGATGATTTCCTCAAATCTGTTCTTGTCCCATTTGACGGAGTCCATCTTGTTGACAGCAACAATCAATTGTCTAACACCCAAGGTGTAAGCCAACAAAGCGTGCTCTCTGGTTTGACCATCCTTAGAGATACCAGCTTCGAATTCACCGGTACCACCAGCAATAATCAAAATAGCACAGTCAGCTTGAGAAGTACCAGTGATCATGTTCTTGATGAAATCTCTGTGACCTGGGGCATCAATGACAGTAACGTGGTACTTTGGAGTCTCGAACTTCCACAAAGCAATGTCAATGGTGATACCTCTTTCTCTTTCAGCCTTAAGTTTGTCCAAAACCCAAGCGTACTTGAAAGAACCCTTACCCAATTCAGCGGCTTCCTTCTCGAACTTTTCAATAGTTCTCTTGTCAATACCACCACACTTGTAGATCAAGTGACCGGTGGTGGTCGACTTACCGGAATCGACGTGTCCAATGACAACAACGTTGACGTGAGTCTTTTCTTTACCCATGATTAAATTAGTGAGGAAAAAAGATTTTAGGGGGGTTTAAATATAATTTTCCGATGCGAAAAATTTTCGGCATGACGTGAAATACGCGTGGCGTGCACGCATATACGCCGGGGGCGTGGTTGTTTCCTGCAGAGAACCGCGGGGCGCCTGCAGATGCTTTGTGGTTCGTGTGCAATTTTTGCAGCAACTGCAACCTTCGTCAAGTATATTGCTATTCCTACCTCTATTCTGGTTCATTCTTTACCAAACACTCCTTCCTGCTTTGTGTACGACTTGCGGAAAATCTCTCCTTGTGTAGTATCAATACTTGACCGTGTTGACGTAGAAGACCGTCTTCTTTGCCTTCTGGCAAGTCCAGGATCAATTTTCTTACCATATTTCGATTCGGCAAAAAGCCCAAGTATGTCCGTGAGTGTAACCACTCCTATGAGCTTTCCTGGGAGTCCCAGATCGCCAGCACCCGTGCCCAGTGCGGAATTGGTTCCGGAGACAGATCCGGATACCGACCCGGATCCTGTCGAAGGATTGGAAGCGGCGGCGGCGGCAGCAGCAGCAGCAGAATTATTGCTGGATGACTGCGGACTGAGGGCTGCTTCCACGGGTCCTGCACTGGACGCACCAGAAATGGAGCCGGAACGGGTTCCGGAGATGGAACCAAACCCACCAGAAGACGAAGCATGGTGCTTCACTTGACGGGATTCCACCACCCATAACCGATGCGATTGGGTGGCCACTAGTTTTGCAATGACTCGGCCGAGTGATGACTGGTTGGAAACATGGAATATAGGATACTGGTCTTGACCGGCCTCAATACCCTTTTGTGATAAGTTGTAGCTGATAAAGTTGAGAACCGACTTGAAGAGAAGATCCTGGTTCTTCGAGCTAGAGACATGCTTCACATCCACGATGGAAATGTTACCCATAAGACACCTAGAACGATCAATAACTGCCAATGATGACACCCGTTCAGTGAACATCTTTTGAAGAGCATCGATCAATGGCTGGTCACCATGTATAGTCAAGGGATTCAGCAGACCAATATTGAGGTCTTGGATTGTCGAGTTAATAAGAAAGTCAAGCGATGGGAATCGACGAGCGTTTTCCCACATGTACTTTATAAGACGACGCTGCGAAAGAATACCAGTAATTGGAGCATGAGGACTGGAATCCTTCGTAATGGCCACTCTATGAACACCGTTTCCCAATGCCTCCATGGCAGGATAAAGAGTTTCCTGCTCGGGGAATTTAATAAACGGGTTTTTGGGATGCAATCTGAGAATGAAATCAACCGGCACCTCACCTCCATGTTTGGCTTTGTTAACCATTTGTTGAGCATATTCCAATTTCGACATCGAGCCCTCCACGTTGATTTCGTCTACACTCAATGCATCCAATCTAGCCCTACCAAAGAGGAGCAAAAGATAGGTGTTAAGGTCGGAATAATCAAACGAGAGACAATTTTCCAAGTCAGAAGAATCGGTTTTGGAAAGCGATACCGGCACCGACGTCAAGTTATGGGTGACAAGTGTCTTGAATGCTTCCTGAACAGTGTAGCCCGAGTTGATAGAGATGAGTTTTTGTGGCTCGGTGAGTTCACTGAGCTTAATATCACTCCAGTCTACACCGCCAGATGTGGTCCCAGCGCTTACAGATCCACGGCTACGGTCACCCGTGGCACCAGTGGCCACGGAAGACATGCTTGTGTGCCGCGAGAGACTGAAGCTGTGTACATCGTCGTGGTCGGGGGATGGGAGTGGCGGTGGCAGCGAGAGAAGTTCGACCACCGACGGCTTTCTAGACGCCTGCAGAGGCGATTGAGGTGTCCTCAGGAAAGGATTAGGCATTATGACTAATACCAAGTAGATTCAAATGCAAGAAATGGCGGCGCCTGCGCAATAATGAAGTTCGTCGACGACTGTTGCGGTGGGTAGGAATGAGAAAAATGGCTAATAGAAGTCAATTCTACTAGGTTATCTCGTATACGGAAGGTACTTGAACACGTCCTAACCAGATAAAAACAATTCAATAAATGTTGCAAGTACAATCGAGGACGATACTTTGCCACAGTGTACAGGGAACGTTGTTGAAAATTGGGATCTGTGACCTGCGGGGAACACCAGTGCACCAATTTTTAGTCCGAAAAACTTATACATCACCCCATCACTGCTTATGTAACACGATAAGCATTCGATCGTTCCTGTATTTAGTAGGGCACCGAAAAAATTTAGGCAGCGTCCCCTATCTTATATACATGCAATTTAGCAGCCATGGTTGCCAAATTATGCATGAGGACCCTTCATAGCCCAAGTATAAAAACCGCAATATTTTTCGAGAACGTGAAATTGCTATGTTTTATAAATGATGATCTTGTGACAGGGCGGGCTTAGGCTTCCACATGTCCGAGCACAAGTGGTCCGAGGTCAGGAGCCGTTGATTAGCCCCCCGGCATGACCCTCGGGTTGCTTGCGCCATCGTATTGTTGGATCACGTGCGTCGCCCTCGGATTACCCAAAAGGGGCGGAATTGCTTTTGGGACCCGGATGCGGTCCCAACATTTTCGTTTGAGGCCTGCATAATGACAGATGAGATAAAAGCAGCGCAGGTGCCACACAATTGCCAATCATCATGTCGGAAAGTGTTGATTCTGTAGACATCACCAAATTGAACGCTTTGGCTGCTGGCACCAACCGCAAGACCCCGAGAATTGTGGCGGCAGGTGTGGGTGGTCGTTTGATGGGAACAAAGTCTCTTGTCAATGTTACTGCTGACCAAATCACGGAAGACTCAATGAAACAGATGACTTTGGCAGAGAAGGATGAGGCCGAACGTCAGAAATATACTCGGGAAACCCATATTTCCGATCAACCATGGACATTTAGTAACTGGTACCAACATATTAATTGGTTGAACTTGATGTTGGTTGTTGTATTTCCACTCTATGGAATGTGGGAAGCAACTAAACATCCTCTTCAATGGAAAACGGCCCTTCTTGGGTTTATATTGTATTTGGCGCTGGGACTTTCAATTACTGCTGGTTACCATCGTTTATTTTCTCACACAGCCTACCTGGCTTCAACTCCTGTGAGGTTATTTTATGCCATTGTTGGTGCTGGTGCCATTCAAGGCTCGATCAAATGGTGGGCTCACTCTCACAGAGTTCACCATCGTTATACAGACACTCCAAGAGACCCCTATGATGCTCGTCAAGGATTGTGGTACTCGCACATGGGATGGATGTTGGTTAAGGCCAATCCAAAGAACCGTGCACGTGCTGACATTTCCGATTTGACTTCTGACTGGGTAGTTAGATTTCAACATCGTCACTACCTTACTTTGATGCTTTTGATGTCACTTGTATTGCCCACTATCATTGCTGGTGTTTTCTGGGGTGACTGGTGGGGAGGGTTCATTTATGGAGGAATCTTCAAATCGTTTGTTATTCAACAAGCTACCTTCTGTGTCAACTCATTGGCCCATTGGATCGGCTCTCAACCATTCGATGACCGCAGAACCCCTCGTGACCACGTCATTACCGCTTTGGCTACTTTTGGTGAAGGTTACCACAATTTCCACCACGAGTTTCCCTCGGACTACAGAAACGCATTGAAATGGTACCAATACGACCCAACCAAGATGGTGATTTGGGGATTGTCTAAGATTGGTATGGCTTGGAACTTGAAGACTTTTAGTCAAAATGCCATCGAACAAGGTTTACTCCAGCAACAAGAAAAGAAGTTGGAGCAAATGCGCCAGAAATTGAGATGGGGTGAACAAGTGGATGCTCTCCCAGTGATGGAACGCGAAGAGTTTAATGAGAGATCCAAGAAAGACGGACTTATCTTGATTGCTGGTATTGTTCACGACTGTAAATCTTTTATCAAGGAACATCCTGGAGGTCAAGCCCTCATCAGAGCATCGTTGGGTAAGGATGCTACCAAGGCTTTCAACGGAGCTGTATATAGACACTCAAATGCTGCACACAACATGTTGGCAGGAATGAGAATTGCAGTGTTGCGTGATAGTGATGTCAGCTCCAACACATTCCAACTTCAACAGGAATACTTGGAAAAGGAAAAGGTTAACTAGTTATGAATGTATTTTGTATTATCAAACTGTAGCCGAGAAACTCGAAATTCAGGTGGTGATTTCAGCAAACTGTAGCGAAAACCCGAAACTCAACTGGTGTTTCAGCCGTATGCAACCGGGCTAACCTTAACGGGTTTTCCCGACCTGTGGTGTGATATTCGGTGGTGTCTGGGTGTCGGGACATTCCGAGACGGTCGAATATGTTGCAAAAACTGGAGAATTATTGGTCTTTTGAGAGCGAAATTGGGTCAACTACGATGTGTTGGTGTAGATGAATGATAGTCTGATTTTTCGTATCGATTTAGGAATTCTTTTTGCAAAACGGTTTCTGGCGTGACAAGCACATCCATACACCAATCACCAGATTTTCAATTCGAGTGGTGCGATTTTTCGCAGCCATGAGGCATAAAAGGCGTGGGAGCTAGCTTATTCAACATCAATTACATCAATGAGCGCAATTACTACATACTCCAAATTATACTCCCGTCGTATTCCTGCCTTGGCAGTGTGGGGAACTGGCCTAGCTGCCTTTTTGGGATGGCCCCATGTGTGGGCTGGAGCCCTGAACAAGATGCACAATGTGCCGAAAATCAACCGATCATACCTTTGAGCATCTAGAAGCATACTAGAAGATGCAGAAAAGAGCATTACTAGATATTCTGTGTATTTAATGAATTATTTATCAAAATAGAAAGTGTAGAATGAAAATGATTGACGGCACTTGTGAGTGAGATATGGTTGTTGCGACTAGTACCTGTATTCAGATCAATGTCAACTATATTAAGCTGAGTCTGGGACTGGCTGATAATTTAAATGTGAAATAAAGGCTCCTATTGTTGCGAATACAGCTTCGATCAGTAGGTGCGAGTAGATTATGGCGATCAGAAAATGATTCGATGAATAATTGATTCGAGTTGATATTGGCTTGAATGGATATATGAGTCGAATAGGTCTATTGGTTTCAATTAATTGCTTGAGTAGATACGTGGATTAATGAATGTCGATGAGTAAATGGCTGCGAAATTTCGCGAGGTTGCGAAATGGTTGAAATGGCTGCGAAATGGTGCGAATCTGCGAATCAGATAATGGCTGCGAAATATTGAAAAATGCCTACTGAAAAGAAGAAACCGAGTCATATATTAACCTTTTTAGCTTGACGAAAGTAGTAAGCTGTTACATATAAACCTTTACCTCTTTTTAGTGAATCTAGTATCGAATACTTGCCTTATCATTGTCCACCTTAACAACAGTGTTTCCATGTGCATCGGTGCCGACAACCTTTCCATTCTTAACAGTAACTGGTTTGCCGGCGCTGCCCAAAATCTTCACCTGGAATCCCTTTTTGAACTTTCCAGTAGCCTTGACTTCGATATCTTGACCAATTCTCTTTGCTTCGACACTGGCTGCAAATTCGCCGATTTTGACGGGATCTGGAATTTGCACCAAAGTGCCCTTTTCCAGAATATCAAACATATTGACAATAAAGTCTTCGTTCCATGCGTACTCGGGGGTGGTAGCTTTGTCGTTGGATACAAAAATCGAGTTGGAACGAGCCAAAATTGGCAACGAGTGGTAATCGTGAACTTCTGCTACCCACTTTCCAGAACCTCCATCGCGGGTTTTTCCGTCAAGTAAACCATACCATTTGCCCTCTGGCAAGTAGACATTGACGTTTCCTTCGGCATTGAACACTGGAGCCACAAGTAAATTGTCTCCCAACATAAATTGGGTATCGGCAGTTTGCGCGCACAAGTCGTTAGGATATTCCAACAACATGGCTCTCATGACTGGGACTCCGGTATTGTGGGCATTGACTGCAGCTCCATAAATGTGAGGCATCAAGCTGAGCTTGAGTTTGGTGAACTTGGACAACACGGAAGACGCCTCGTCGTCAAAATTCCATGGCACTCTATAGGACCCAGATCCATGAAGACGAGAGTGACTCGACAACAACCCAAAAGCACACCATCTCTTGTACACAGCAGGATCTGGAGACCCTTCGAAACCTCCAATATCATGCGACCAGAACCCGTAACCACAGAGAGTGAGACTCAAACCTCCTCTCAAAGTTTCGGCCATTGCTTCGAATGTGGATTCACAATCTCCACCCCAATGAACAGGGTACTGCTGGCCGCCGGCTGAAGTTGAGCGTGCAAAGAGACAAGCTTTGTGTTTTCCCAACTTCTTCTCCAAAACTTCGAACACACACTTGTTGTACAACAAAGTGTAGTAGTTGTGCATGGCGACCGGGTCGGCTCCAGAATGGTATTTGACATCCAAGCATGGAATTCTCTCGCCAAAATCGGTCTTGAACGAATCCACTCCAAGATCCACTAGCTTTTCCAACTTGGCTTGGAACCACTTGTAAGCATTGGGGTTGGTGAAATCAATAATTCCCATACCTGCCTGCCAGAGGTCGGTCTGGTACGAAGAGCCGTCCACATTTTTTATGAAATAGCCATTGGAATCGGCTTCAGCAAACAACGCCGACTCTTGACCAATGTAGGAGTTGATCCACACACAAACCTTGATACCAAAATCTTTTTTCAACTTGGAAAGCATGGCTTTGGCGTCGGGAAAGTAGTCCTTGTCAAATTCAAAATCACACCATTGGAAACCCTTCATCCAGAAACAGTCGAAATGGAACGTGCTGAGCGGAATGTCTCTGTCTTTCATTCCCTGGATAAACGACAGAACTGTCTTGATATCATAGTCGGTGGTGAAAGAAGTCGAGAGCCAAAGCCCAAAAGTCCAAGCTGGAGGAAGCGCTGGTTTTCCAGTAAGATTGGTGTAGCGCTCCAAGATGGTTTTGGGATCGGGTCCGTGGATGATATAGAGCCTAATTCCTTGTCCCATGGCGGCAATATTGACTCTGGTGGTTCTTTCCGACTGGAGTTCAAAAGTGACATTTGAGGAATTGTCCACAAAAACTCCATAACCTCTGGAACTGAGGTAGAATGGAACATTCTTGTAGGTCCACTCAGAAGAGGTGCCTCCATCTTCATTCCACATTTCAACTCTTTGTCCATTTTTCACAAATGGTCCAAATCTTTCTCCCAACCCATAAAGTTTTTCGCCCACCGACAAATGGAGTTGGGCCACCGTATAGCCTCGAGCCTTGCCATACAGCGACTTGGGATCTGGGTACCTCAGATCTTCAATAAATCCAAGCGATCTGAAACCAAGTTTCGTCAAACTTTTGGAATCCCCCACAAAATCAATGCCAAAGTCTTTCTTCGAAACCGAAGCTAAAACCGAACCTGCCTTCAAAGTTACGGTTTCTTCCTTGTCCGAGATATCTACCGAGGTAGGAGACAACGAATTGAGTTCGTAACGAGGTTCTCCGTTGCGGAGATATGCACTTTGGTGATGGTAAGCCTCCAAACCAATGACACCTTCCATGGGCAGGGACACCTTTGTCGTGATAGTGGGGTTGTTCAAGGTGGCTCCACGGTTCCAAATCTTTCTTGTTGCGGCCACAGAGTGAATTTCACTATCTTTCACTTGAGACTTGACAACTTCCACAGCCCAATTAGCGGAAATGCCATTTTTCAATTCCCACATTCCGCGGGAAAACCTGGTATCGGATTCAATATGACGATCAATAGAAACGTGCTCCATTCTCGATGCTTTCAAACTTGATCAGCAACTACCCCACAAAGCTGTATATATAATGCTAGCTCAAAAATGCTCGGGAAAAGCATACGCAATAAATCTCGGGTTGGGCACGAGATAGAATCTGGGGTACATGAAAAAGTGGGGGCGGAGGAGTGGGGCATCGCTTGTGCATAAAATGGGGTGGAAGCGGGACTGACATCGTGGAGATCCCCCGGTACTCCACTTCCGAGGGTTGGTGGGGTTGCCTTCCTATTTGGGTTAACCGCCAAATAATGGACGGCGAATTAAATGGAATCGTAAGGAATAGAAACCGTGTGGAGTATGTGGATGTGAACTCAGGCTTCTTTCGGTGTTTTTTTGGTGCTTTTCGGTGCTTTTGGTGGTTTTTCAGTGATGGGGGGTCGCAACAATGCGGTAGAAACCCTCGGAAGTGCGACCGTTAATACAAATTTAGGATCCGGGGTAATGCGCCGGTGCGGCGCCCAGATCTGATAGAAAGTTCCGAGGGCAAAGTTCACCATACGAGAACAACGAGTTCCGGTTGATTTTCCCGTAAACCCCACAGTTTAATCTTCCCCTGCTGCAACTTGCATAATCTATATAAAGAACGCATGCCGTCAATGCAAACAATACCATGTCACTTTCTTCTATGGTTGACGAAAAGGGCACTACAGCCCATCACGAGATGGCGCTGACGAACAACTCCATAAACGAATTGAGCCAGGCTGAAAGAGTTGCTTCTTTGATGGACAAGGCCAAGCAGGCCACCAATGCCGAGCACGATATGACGGTGAAAGAGGCATTGAAATACCACAAAAAGGCCATTTTCTGGTCAATGGTGATGTCGGCCACCATCATTATGGAGGGATACGACAATATTTTGATGTCTTCGTTTTTTGCGTATCCATCTTTTCAAAAAAAATACGGAGTTCCGGTCGGCGATGGGAAATACGAACTTCAAGGAAGATGGCAAGTTGCTTTGGGATGTGCTTCTTCTGTTGGTACGATTTTTGGAGTTTTTGCCAATGGGTACTTGATTGAAAAATTCGGCCATCGCCGAACAATTATGGGATCATTGGTGGTTATGTCTGCTTTCATTTTTGTGACTTTTTTTGCACCCTCGGTCGAGGTGTTGTTGGCGGGTCAAATCTTGTGTGGACTCCCATGGGGTATCTTTGCAACTATGGGTCCCACTTATTCTTCAGAAGTTTGTCCCTTGGCTTTGAGAGGCTATCTTACTGCTTATGTCAATATGTGCTGGGCAATTGGTCAATTTATTGCAGCCGGAGTTCTTCAAGGTTTGGTTTCAAATACCACCGAATGGTCGTACCGGATCCCTTTTGCGATCCAATGGGTTTGGCCGGTTCCTCTTTTCATCTTGACGTTTCTTGCTCCAAATTCTCCATGGTGGTTGGTGAGACATGGACGAATTGAAGATGCCGAAAAAGCAGTCAAAAGACTCAGTGCCAAGTCAATTGCTCACGAAGCCAAGCCCAGAGTGGCCCTTATGGTGCACACCAATGCTTTGGAAGTGGAGCAGGAAAGCCAAAAAGACGACGATTTCAAAGGATGGAAAAGTTACCTTATGGTTTTTAAGGGCACAAATCTTCGGAGAACAGAAATCGTCTGTATTGCATTTGCTGGTCAGGTGCTTTCGGGTTCCACTTTTGCATATTCTCCTTCCTACTTTTTCTCCCAGGCTGGTTTGGATTCAAATGATACTTACAAGTTGAATCTTGGTACCACCGGTATTGCGTTTTGTGGCTGTATTGGGTCGTGGTTTTTGCTTTCTCGGTTTGGAAGAAGAACCATTTATTGTTCCGGATACCTCGTATTGGTGGTGGTTCTTTTCCTCATTGGTATCTTGGCAATCCCAGCAGAACATAACTCCACAGTAAAGTGGGTCCAGGCTACGTTCACAGAAATTTGGGTTGCAACCTATGCCTTAACAATTGGGTCCTTTGGCTTTCACAATTGTCAGTGAAATGTCATCCACCCGTTTGAGAGCCCAGTCGATTGCCATGGCTAGAAATGCCTACAATTTGGCTTCTTTGGTTTCCAACGTTGTTGAGCCTTACCTTATTAATCCTCAAAATGCAAATCTTAAAGGAAAGACTGCATTTGTGTGGTTTGCAACCGCCTTTCCCACCTTGATTTGGAGTTTTTTCCGCCTTCCCGAGACCAGAGACAGAACTTACGAGGAATTGGACATTCTCTTTGAAAGACGAGTTCCGGCTCGTAAGTTTGCTTCGTACAAATTGGATTCCGAAGATCTTCAGGCAGTCACCTCCGATGTCCCTAAAAGTATAGTGCAGATAGTGTTTAGCAATTAATGTGGAGAAAAGAAAATGTAGCCTCCTTTGTTAGTTTATTGTTAGCATTGTCAATTTGCAGCCGTGAGTTATGCCGAGCCCCCACTTCTGTGCGAACCTGGGGTATGCATGCATACGCATTAATGCACGGGAATATCGACCGGATTTCGCGCTATGTATGGTGAGTTCCGAGGGTTTGTTCCGAGGGTTTGTTCCGAGGGTTTGTTCCATGGTTTTTCCACTTGTTGCAAATTCGGGCAAGCCAAGAAATTTCAGCCGTCCGAAGGAGGAGCTTTACGTCAATTACGAGGTATGAAGCTGGGGAAAGCCTTGGCGAAATGTCCCCCACGCAAAATCTCCACTATCATAGAGGTATACCCCACTATAATCAAGTATAAGAGTGCCCCACGGCTGCAAATTTGGCAATGGTTTCCGAAGAAATCGAGAAGAAAGCGTCTGTTTTTCACGTGGAAGATGCCAATTCCGTGGATTTGGTCGAAAACAAGGAATCTTTGCTAGAAAAAGCTCGTCAAGGTAGTGAAAATGAGCATGAACTCGGGTTCAGGAAGGCAGTGGTTCACCACAAAAAAGCGATTTTTTGGGCCATGGTGATGTCTGCTACCATTATTATGGAAGGATACGATACCAGCTTGATGTCTTCTTTTTATGCGTATCCTTCATTTAAGGAAAAGTATGGGGTTCGAACTGGAGACGGAACCTATGAACTTGAAGGAAGATGGCAGGTTGCTTTAGGATGTGCTTCTTCTGTGGGAACTTTTTTTGGAGTTTTGGCCAATGGGTACTTGACAGAAAGGTTTGGGCATCGCCGTGTTATCATGGGTTCTTTAATTGTAATGTCAGCGTTCATTTTTATTCCATTTTTCGCACCTTCGATTCTGGTGCTCTTGGTGGGACAAGTTATGTGTGGGCTACCATGGGGAGTATTTGCAACTATGGGGCCCTCCTATTCGTCTGAAGTGTGTCCTTTGTCCTTGAGAGGGTATCTTACTGCTTATGTGAACATGTGCTGGGCAATTGGACAATTCGTGGCCGCTGGAGTTCTCAAGGCATTGGTTGCAAATTCCACCCATTGGGGGTACCGGATTCCATTTGCAATTCAATGGGTATGGCCGATTCCACTTTTCGTGTTGACGTATCTTGCTCCAGATTCTCCATGGTGGTTGGTGAGGAAAGGAAGAATCGAAGATGCAGAAAAAGCGGTCAAAAGACTCAGTTCCAAAACGGTTGCGAACGAGGCCAAAGACAGAGTTGCACTCATGATCCACACCAATTCGTTGGAAGTTGAGCAGGAAAATGAAAACTCGGCCGACTTCAAGGGCTGGAAGAGCTACGTTCAGTGTTTCCAAGGCACAAATCTCAGACGAACCGAAATAGTGTGTTTGACATTTTCCGGCCAGATCTGGTCGGGGTCTTCCTTTGCCTACTCTCCAACCTACTTTTTCTCCCAAGCTGGCTTGAATCCTCAAGACACTTACAAATTGAATCTTGGAGTCACCGGAGTAGCATTTACAGGGTGCATTGTTTCGTGGTTTCTTCTTTCTCGGTTTGGTCGTCGCACCATCTATGTCACCGGCTACTCGATTTTGACCGCTACACTTTTGTTAATTGGAATCTTGTCGTTTCCAGCTCAGTCCCACAGTGGTGCAAAATGGGCCCAAGCAGGGCTTACTTTGGTGTGGGTAGCTACTTATTCGCTGACAATTGGACCGTTGGCTTTTACCATTGTCAGCGAAATGTCAGCTACTCGTTTGAGAGCACAAACTATAGCGTTGGCTCGCGACGCTTACAACTTGACTCTGATCATTTCTCGGGTGGTGGAACCGTATCTTATCAATCCGGGAGAGCTCAATTTGAAAGGAAAAACTGCGTTTGTTTGGTTGGGAACTGCTTTGGTGGTGCTCACATGGAGTTTTTTTCGGCTTCCAGAAACCAGAAACAGAACATATGAGGAGTTGGATCTTCTCTTTGCAAGACGGATCTCGGCGAGAAGGTTTGGAAAGTATGATTTGACCCTGGAAAGTGTCATTGGTATTGATGTGGAGACCCGAAAGGTGGATGAGTAAACCAACTGAATACTCAAATTAACTGAATACGCTAGAGGTGTGGTTCAAACCATTCCTAGAGCGATGCAATCCAACTGTATACACCAGATCTCTTTCGATAGTATTTTGAATTGTTGTCACAGCCGAGTTCTTCGAGTCAGAATGTAGTAGGGCTTATTCTAGAAACTTTTCAGTTTATACTTTTCAGTGTATCTCACTTGAAACAAGAGTTTAAGGAATCTTGTTGAGTACAGTCATCGTAAGTCGTGGTTTGAACAAACTGGCTGAACAGATTCAATAATGATTTCACATTTGGATGGTCGAGAATTCCGTGTTTTGACAGGTTCTGCCTTGTATGGAGGGTTAATACAACCCGAAAACCAAAAATTCCTCAAAACCTGAAAGTTTCTAATAGGTGTCTGGTCAGTTGTTCAAGTTCAGGAAAATACTCCGTTAGCTCAGTTCTCATCTGATCTCTTCAATATTTTGAAACTCTCTGGAATATGAAATAGGTTCTTTGATGGGTTTCTTGGCTTGATTTCATGCTGGATTTTTGGATTTAAACGAATGGAATTTGATTTTTAAACATCTTCAAGAGATAAAAATGAAAAGCACATGAGATTTGACGAGTGAGTCTTTCCAGTTTGCAACTGTTTAGATGTATTTGAATCATTTTCAGAAACGGCCTTGTGCTCTTACATTACCCAACTTGCCTAAACTCTCTTAAAATCGCATATATCATCAGAATACATTAACGGTCTGAAAGTTCTTGTTGCAGCCGTCGTGCGGCGTGGTTCCAACTCCGCAACCGTCTAATTCGATCACCTGTTTGTCAGCACGTGCCTTTTGTTCTAGATCGTTCCACCTCGTCGGACGTCATCTTACGTCAGCGCAGTCTCCACTATAAAAGCCCCTGGCGCCCACGCTGTCATTTTGCAGCACCAATTATGACCCAAGTATACTTTGACATTTCTGCTAACGGCTCCAAATTAGGAAGAGTCACCTTCCAATTGTACGATGATGTCGTTCCTAAGACCACTGAAAACTTCAGAGCTTTGTGTACTGGTGAAAAAGGTTTCGGTTACGCCCAATCTTCTTTCCACAGAGTAATCCCTCAATTCATGTTGCAAGGAGGTGATTTCACCAGAGGTAACGGTACTGGTGGTAAGTCGATCTACGGTGAGAAGTTTGCCGATGAGAACTTTTCCAAAAAGCACACCAAGCCAGGTTTGTTGTCGATGGCCAATGCTGGTCCTAACACCAACGGATCGCAATTTTTCATCACCACTGTTCCTTGCCCATGGTTGGACGGCAAACACGTTGTGTTTGGTGAGGTTGTTGACGGTTACGACGTTGTCAAGAAGGTTGAGTCTTACGGTTCTGACTCTGGTGCTACCAAGGCCAAGGTTGTGATTGACGCTTCTGGACAATTGTAAGTGAATAAAAGTGCCGGCAATTAGCCGCAGGCTAGTTGCCGATTAATTGCTATCCCAATTCGACTTGCTACTTCATTGCTATCCTCTCTGCTATCAGCTACCACTATCTGCTATTCTATTGCTATCTCTCTGCTACTCTTGCTTATCACTGCTTCTTGCTCTACAACTGCTACAACTTTGCTACTACCGCTTCCACCCCACTATACCTCACACTCCTGTCCACTTCCTTGCCCACATACTTCACCCGGCGGTCCTTGGAGAACGCAATTGCGTATCGAGCGGTTCTAATTCCCATTCCTCGTGCGGTTGCATCCACTGACAAATCGAATTTCTGGCTGAATTGAGCTCCACCATCGGATGCAAACACCAATTGGGGTTCTTTACCCGTTGGTTTGACGTCTCGAAGAAGCAATTTGGCCCAGGCATTGAGCACAAAGGCATCGTTGGTACTGACAATGATGATCAATGCAACGTTGTTTTTTTCTTTGAGTTTAACCAAGTTCTCCAAGTATGGGGGAATGTGGTTCTCAGTACATGTTGGCGTAAAAGCACCAGGAACAGCTACCAAAAGCACATTGGAGTCTTTATCCAATTTGGCAAGCTGCTTGTCAAGATCAAAAACCAAAGGCTGAGCACATGCAAGAGCGTCTTCTTGGTGCACTTGCTGCAAATCGATAGGAATGTAGTTGAACTTGACACCTTCGGGAATTTGATCTCCTACTTGAAGTTGTGGCATTTTGGATGGGAGTCTGTTGAAGATTAGGTCGGGATATACCGAGGACTGCTGATGTAAGCGGTCACCTTGTGCCAGTGCTGATACTTGAGTGAAAGAAGCATCCCTTTAAGATCTGTGAGCTTTCTGTGATCGAATCTGCCATTGGGCTGAATTCGAGAACCTACGTTGGTTTTGCGTTGGTTCTTATTGAGTGAGGTCGCGAAGGTAATTTGCAGCCAAGAGTAGACTCACACACCTTCAAGACCTATTACTTGCAGTGTGGAAAACACTAAACCGTCCGGGGTCGATTACGATACTGGAGCTTCGAGTTTCAGAGGTCTGCTTCCAAACTATTGAAAATTTCAATAGATCGAGTTGAAAGTGGAATGGTGAAAATCTGCAAAAATGCAAAATTATGAATGTTGAATTACCAATTTTGCTTTCATGAACCCCCATTCATCCACTCAACCACCCCCACTAACCCAACCAATCCCGACCAAGATTCCTGCTCAATCCAATTTTGGAAACTGCTACTCAGCTCGCTCTTCGTCTACAGTCCTGCACTTGAGCCTATAACTACCAGACGCAAAATCGCACCTATCTAATTCACCTCAAACCACAACCACCACCGGCTCGAGATGCCCATGGATGACCACGACCTCAGTACCAACCCATGGTCAGACGTTACTGGCGGCGATGAAAATGAGTTCAATGATTTCATGAAGCCCATGAGACTCGCAAAACGAACAGAGGAAAAACCCACAACGAACGAACAGTTTCAGTGTCGCCCGATCCGGTTGGGAAGCCGCCACAAACTCGATGACGATCTTCGTAGCTCGCGCTCAGAAGAAGAATCCATTCCAGCATCTCCAACTTCACAGAAAGTCGATACCAGCAACCCTACAACTCCCAGACGAAAGTCCATCCAGATACGAAATCTTCCCATTATCGAGTCACCCAAACGGTACGTCCACGATAAGGTAGACGATGCAATTTTTGCAGTGTGTTTGGTCGACTTTCACCATTCGCGGGGCCCAGAAGTGGAGTTCTGGAAGTCCAATTATCACCACAATTATTCCCCAAGTTTATTCAAAAACCTATCATTCCAGGCGTTGCCCGACGGATCACACCAACACGAAGAAACGTTTTCCAATTTCAGCTTGGTTTACGATTTTGTCACCGGGCTCTCCTACGACGACGGTGACGATTACGATAACTTTCAAGGTGATCCCAGGCACCTTAGAACGCTCTTTGGGTGCTCTTGCGTGCGCCAAGTGAAGACCAGCGATCTCTCCGACTTAGAAATGGCTCGAAACAAGGATATAACCCGATCAATTGTCCAAAAAGCCATCGTGGTAATAGCGTGCAACCAGCCCATATTCACCAAGATCAAAGAAAAGCTCTCCATCATCACCCACAGTTTCTTGATCCAGGAACGTCTAGACAACTACGAGCTCCTAGAGCACTTGTTCGAGAACCTCAACGACTCTTTCAAACCCAAAGTCGACAGGAGACTATCAATAGACCAAGAAGCTCTTAGGATCGAAAGAGAGGACGAATTCTTTGTCAATTTAAACTTGAAGGAAACAGTCACCAAATTCCGCCACAATTTCCTCACCCTATTCAAAGCAATGCTTCTCGAGAAGAAGATACTTATATTCTCTAATAACAACTTGGAATCTTTAACCATGTTCCAAAACAATCTCATTTCCCTCGTCCCTAATTTGATCCATAATCTTGCCGATTCCAGCTGTCCCTTGATCGACTACAGCGAGACGAACGGCCCACTAAAGAAGCCAGAATCTTTAAACACTTCAAGTCGGCAGTCCATGTTGAGATTTTTCGGTCTCCCATTGCAAATATTCAACACCAAAGGTGCGTTCTGGAACCCATATCTTCCTCTCCAGCAACTCAACGCACTCAGCAGTCCAGGAACCAAGAGTTTCATGGTTGGTTCCTCAAACTTACTCTTCGTGAATCAGCTGATGGCTTTGGAAGTAGACATACTCATAAACCTCGATACAAATGAAGTGAGCTATCCCGTTGGAAGAGGAGACGATTTGTTGCTTTCGCTGAAAGACAAGATTTTTATTAACAGTCTTCTCGAAAACATCCGAAAAATCGACGAACAAGACAACTACATTGGCAGTGACGATTACATTCGCTACAAGTTCGAGGACTACCTCTGCTCCTTATTGTCCACTACCAAGTACTCGCAGTACGTTGAGAAGTTCAAACAGCCACCCCCAGGGTTTTCCCATACTCCAGCATCCACTGATTTAGATGCCAACGATGATGTCAGCATTGATAACGGAAACATGGCAGCGTTCGGCCTGGCTTTTATAGAGAACTGGAGAAAAACCAAAAACTACTTGATCTGGGATGCTATGGCCGATGAGTTCATCTTCAATTTTTTAACGCCAAGACACATTGGATCTGACATTGCCGACCTGCGGTCGAGAATAGCAAGTGTATTCGACAACTTTCGCCAGCGTCTCAATGCCCCACCCAATTCCGAGCCGCCAAGCTCGCGAAATCTTTCAATATTCGAAAGCGTGAAAAACACCGATGAGGCGTCTAACGTCAATGAAGTACCTTTTGGAAAAAAGATTTCTAATTGGGCATGGAACTTTAAGCGAAAGTAGCGGAAGTTTTAACTTCTACTCATTCACTGCCTGCTTTGGTTCCCTTGACTTGCTGTAAACTACATATCCTCATTATAGATTTTCACGTGACTTCATCGTCATCGCATCTTGATTTTTTCAATCAAGAACCACCATGAAGCACCCGTTCCAGATCATAGTGGCCGATACCACGGGCCGGTATTTGTTCACAACTGTCAAGAATGTCTTGTTAGTGATAGACTTGACTTCAGGTAAGCTTGTGGGCCAATGGAAGGACGAATTGGACAACAGTGATTTTTTGAAGAAAAAGTACGAAGAGAAATTTGATAAGGAAAACGACTCGAAACGCCAAAAATCAGAGTCAGGGCAAGCCAAGGTTTCCAAGATTCCTACTCCTGGTCCAGGGGCACCTCCCATCTACAATTATATCAGAGCATTGAGACTCTCTTCAGATGAAAAGTACCTATTTGCAACCACGGACAGCGACAAAGCTGTAGTTATTTTCACCATAGACCACTCTAAGGACAACTGCCTTGAGCTCAAGAAACGCCAGCCTTTTTCAAAGCGTCCGTGTGCCTTGTCGGTCGATGAGGACCGGTTGGTGGTGGCCGACAAATTCGGAGACGTTTATTCGATTGCAATTGAAGACGATCAAGTTGTGAACGAAAAGGAGTTGACTCCGATATTGGGCCATGTATCCATGTTGAGCGATGTTGCAATTGTTAGCAATGACAAGAAAAAGTTTATCATCACTGGTGACAGAGATGAACACATTCGGATCTCAAATTACCCCAAATCTTTCGTGATCAAAAACTTTCTTTTTGGCCACCATGAGTTCGTTTCGTGCTTACACGTGCCTAACTTTGACCAAAGCTTGCTTATAAGTGGAGGTGGAGACGATTATCTTTGCTTATGGCGTTGGTATGAGGGCCAGCTTGTTGCCAAGATTGAACTTCGTGAGTTAATTGCACCCTTTTTGACCGACTCCCACTTACCACCAGAGAGATTTCTCACTGAAACTTCGCCAAAGGAGATCTCGGTTGCCAGAATCTTGACTTTCACTAATAAGAAAACCGGCCTCAACATCTTGGTAGTTTTATGTGAACAGACAAAAGCAGTTCTCCTTTTCGAAATCGACGCCAAGCTTTCGGTGCGCCATTTGCAGACCATTTCCTACGAAGATAATGTCCTCGACATGTGCTACATTGAAGCTACAAACACTCTTATCAGCGCTCATGATTCCGACAAAAACCAACTTTTCCAGCAACAGAAATTTGACGAGGAAACCAACAACTTTACACCTACAACAGAAACCATGGATGCTGTGGCAGAGCTCAACCCTATAGATGTCAACTCCAGAAATGACTTCTTACCATTGTACTATATTAACACACTTCGTAAGAGAAGTGAACATTAATCCATACACTTTTTTATACGTCTATCTAGTCATCATCCACGAATCCACCCTGCTTGCAGAGAGCGTAGAAAAGGGAGTCTTTGTTCTTTAGTAAGCTTTGAGGAGAATCAAACTCAGCAACCGCACCATTTTCAAGAACAATGATTTTATCGGAGTCCAAGATTGTGTTCAATCTATGCGCAATGGTCAAAATCGTTCTGTCTTTGAATTCAGTTCGAATAGTTTCTTGCAATACTTGGTCGGTTTCAACGTCCACAGCGGCCGTTGCTTCATCCAAAATGAGAACATGCGAAGGCACCAACAATGCTCTGGCAAGACACATCAATTGTCTTTGACCAACCGACAAGTTCGAGCCACCTTCGCTGACCTTGACATCAAGAGCATTCTCGGCTTCGTCGTCTTCATTGCGTTCTTCGTACATCTTCATAACATGATCCTTCAAATGGGACAACTCCAAAGCTCTCCACAATTGGTCTTCGGTGAATCTATTGTTGGGATCAAGGTTCGAACGAATGTTACCCTCGAATACCTGAGAATCTTGAGGAATGATGGAAAGCTTGTGTCTCAAGTCAGCAAGGCCAATGGCACTTGTATCGACTGCATCAATATTGATGTTACCTCCACTTGCCTCGATTATACGGAACAAAGCCAACGTCAAGGAAGACTTTCCAGCTCCAGTTCTTCCCACAATACCGACCTTTTCATGGGGCTTGACAGAAAGATTAATGTTTTTCAACACCAAATCAAGCTCAGGTCTGTAGCGAGTAGAGTAGTTCTTGAAGGTGATCTCACCTTGCAGTGGCCACAGAGTAGGTGGTCTGTGACTCTCAATGACTTCTGGTGCCTCGGGAGTCAATCTGGAGTACTCCAAGATTCTCTCTACTGAGACAATGTTCGTCTCAACCTCAACAGTCATTCTAACAATCCAGTTGAGCGACTGAGTAACTTGCAAAGCATACGAGACTGAAAGACCCACCAAACCTGCTGTCAAGTGTCCCGATCTCAACGTCAAAATGGCCAAACCAGCAGCACTCAAGATGATGAACGAACCCAAGAACTCCAATCTTACAGCGAGCCATCTATTGGCATTGACTGCTGGATGATAAGCGCTCATGTTTTTGTCAATTCTGGACTGGTTCAAGAACTTGAATCTCAGAACTTGGTCGAAAGCACGAATAGTAGTTACACCATTCAAGGATTCTTGGAAGTTGGCAAAGATAGGCGATCTTGACACCGAATCCAACCGTCTCAACTCACGAGAAGTTCTCAAGTAGTACTGTTGGTAGTACACATATAAGACTCCAAGTGGGGCCACGATGAAGATGAATTGCCATGTCAGGAAACAGATGACGATGATGGTGAAAATGACCTTGGTAGTGTTACTGAAAAACATGCCGAACACTCGTCCCAACACCTCGTCCACTTTATAGATATCGTTGGAAAATCTGTTCAAGATTCTTCCTATAGGAGTTGTCTCGAAAAATGACATAGGAGCCCGAAGGACACTAACTGCCATAGCGTTATGAAGTTTCTTTGACCCACTAATAGTACAGAAAATCCACATCACACAAGTTTGCACCAAGATCAACAAGGAAGAAGCCATTCCTAACAAAAAGTAAATTCCCAAATACTTGGTAATATTGGGGTTGAAACCATACTTTGTGTTAACTTCAGACCAATGCTTCAACCAAACATTCGAGCACACACTGACAACCATAGAAAGTACTGTGGTAACCAAGAAAAGAACAACACTGGAAGGATTACAAGCTTTGGCGTACTCTAAGTAGACATCCCACTTGACCTTGCCCTGCTCCAAGTGCTCTCTACGAGCTTTAGCATCGTCACTTTGCTCGGTTTCAGCTATAACTCTGGCCTCGTCAGCTGCAAAAGAAGCATCTGATGCTCTTCTGAGACTTGCTACGTCGATATCGCAGTCTGAATCCAAGTTTTCAACAACAGACTTGGTCTCTGCTTCTTTGTCGCTAGGAGGTGTCGATGAACCCTCACGTTTCTTACCAAAGTCGGTGATCAATTGGCGAAGTAAACCTTCTTCCTGCTTCATCACATCTTCGTAGGTACCTTGCTCAACCAAACGACCATCACTAATCATGTGCAAGTTGTCTGCTACACTCAAAACACCTATATTGTTAGTAGCCAAGATTCTGCACTTGGTTTTAAGCAAACCCAGTGGACCCAAAACGTGATCTATCAAGTGCTTTCCAACATGTTCGTCCACCGCACTCAATGGATCATCAAAAAGGTACACATCAGCACGGGCATAAACCGCTCTAGCGAGAGATAAACGAGCTTTCTGACCTCCAGAAAGCGAGATTCCTTTTTCTCCAACCTCGGTCTTGTCTCCTTTGGGAAGAATTTTCAAGTCAATGTTCAAAGCACAAGCTTTTATGACATGATCATAGAACTCAGCATCGTATTTGTGACCAAAGATAATGTTATCCTTGACTGTTCCGTTCATGATCCATGGAACTTGTGGGGCATAAGCCACCTTACCATGAACTCTCACTTCACCATCCAATTTATAGAGGTCTCCCAATATAGATTGCAAAAGAGAAGACTTACCAGATCCAACTTTCCCCACAATACAGTCCAAATCTCCCTTCTTACTTTCAATATTGATATTGGACAATGCAACCTTGTAGTTTTCCGTGCCCTTGGCCTTGGACCACAAGAAAGTTCCATTTTTGATTGCAACTGCAACTTCTCCCACCTTAGTGGCACGAGAACACTTGATTACCGCTTCACGCTGCAACTCGGGCGAGCTCAAGAACTTGGTCAATCTTGAAACGGCCACTTGGGCTTCCACAATGTTAGTGATCACGTTGGGAATCACCGCCAAAGGAAAAGAAAGCAAGTTGAAAAGCGACAAGGCAGGGAAAACGATATCAGTCAGAAGTGCTTCATCTGGGTGGGTGTAGACATATACCGCAAAAGTAGAGCACGAGACCATGAATGGGGCGAAAGTCCAGGTACAGATAGAAACAGCACTGAAGATACCCATCCGTTTCAAGTTTTTGAGTTCCTTTTCGTTTCTGACAAAATTGAGACGATCGAGATAGGGCTTTTCCCATCCGTACAACTTCAAAGATTTGATATTGTTCATGATTTCGCTTATCAATCTGGATCTTTCGTCCTTGTTCTTCATTTGAGTTCTTTGCAACTTCTTTTGGTATCTAGCAATGACTCCATTAAGTGGGATCATGATTAACATGATACACACTCCGGCCCACATCGAGTTTCCGAGAAGATTGTACAACGAGACCAAACACAAAATAATCTGGAAAGGTCCCGACCAAATGATTTGAATGTTTTGGGTCAAATCTTGCAATCTCTGGACATCGACAGACATGAGGTTGACGATATCACCGGTGGTAGAGGCTTGCTTTGTTTCATTCGACAACACCAATGATTTGTTGTAGATGACACTAGTCAAAGACGACTTGAACTTCATTCCCATATCGAAAGCACGCTCGAAATACTGGTGCAAACAAGTAGTTTGACCCACAGAAACAATGAACATCGAGCCAGCGATCATGAGACCTCTGGTGAGAGGAATTGGCTTGCCCGCTTTTAGGGACTCAGAGTACTCGTTGACAAACTTGATGAGCAATCTCAAGAGCTGAGGCTGGATGAAAGCAGCACAATCTTGAAGACCCTTGAACAAACCACCGAGGAGAAAGTCCGCTCCAAAAGACTTGGAAAGAGCGCTGACGAGAGACTTGTTTCCGCGCTGGTTTTCCCAGTTGTGGAGGAACAGCTGAGAGGTGGTGCTCGACTTTAAGAAGTTGGGCAATGGTGGAAGGTCGTATTCGGTCAAGTATTGAACGTAACCCTTTTTCATCAACGGAGCCATCCAGGTGAAAGTTATACGAGAGAACAAGTTGGCTCTTTCATGGGGAGAACGGCTTTTCTGCGATGGGTCGAGCGGTTCCATTGGAAACAGCATTTCGATCGCCAAAATCAAAAAGGCTGTTACCAAGAACAAGATTGAAAAAACAGCATAATTTGTGTCCAACTGGTGCCTCAAGTTGAGGTTGATGACCTTTCCAAGCCCGAAAATGACCTCGAGCAACCAGTATGAGAGAAGAACTCCGCTAGGAATGATAGACTTAAATTGCTCGATGTAATGAAGTCCAAGGGCCACAATTGTCGCCACAAAATTGACAATTACCGACGTCCGGATGATCCCAGACTCCGTATACGCCACCGCCTGGGCAGCAGCAAGCACTACCAGCACCGCCACGAGCACCAACTTGGTGTAAAACGGCCATCCCACTCGATTGGCAATTGACGATTTGGTGGTGCGAAGCGATTGGATTTGCCAGGCACCACAAACCACCATAAACAAAGCCGCGGCTCCCATCAAGGCACCCTGGAGAAAGCACGGAGTGATATCACTCAAAGTGGGCGAAACTGGACCCCAGCCATCGTTACAGGGGCAAGAAAGAAACAGGGAAGAAGCGGTGAAATTTGCGGCTAAATTGGGGTGAGTTGCCAGCAGGTTCCGAGTGGTTTCCGAACTCAAGAACATCACCGGGAGCTGACTGAACAAATTCCAGCCCCCATGTAGATGTGTCGGGTCGTGGGAAGGAAATTCTATCTGCTCCATTAATGGGTTTGGAGAGTGCGGCACCGGGTCTTATATACTTTTAGTGCTGAGTAATGGTGTATTGGAGGCGTCTATCTAAAAATTCGCAGCCCCAATGGGTGCAAAATATCCACTGCCTACTTGAAGAATTTTTTCAACTTGGACTTTTTCTTGTCTTTTTGCTCGGGTTCCTGTTGCCTGCTCAAGCGGGTTTGGTAATGCGAAGGAAGATTGGTGGAAGGTTGGTTGTTGGTGTTGGGAGAAGCATTGACGGACAAACCTGCCATATTGGACATCTGACTAGGGTTTACCTGCGGCACTACGGGAGCCTTGGGCACCTCGAAAAGATGTAAGGGTGCTTCTGAGGGCCGCTGCAACTTGTGGTAGAGCGGAATGTCCAAATCGGGAATTTTTTTGGCTTTGTCGACGGACTGAAGTCCGATGAGAAAATCACGAGGTTTCAAGATCACTTCAGATCCCACAAAAAAGTCTTTATTGGTAGCCTCCGTCAACTCGTACATCAGGCGCACTTCCGAGTACGTTATGCCGCCCGCAACATAACAGAAAATGCGTTGTTTGGGACGATTTTGCTGCCCCAGCTTGGCGGAGTGTTGCGCCCACGACGCTTTTATCCGAGGATTTCTCAACGAATTCGACCCTGGAGCCGCCGAAGATGAGCCGGTGGCATCGGCAGGCAAGTCCTCGTCCAATGGTTTGTCGCGGAAGTAAGGAAACCAGGTTTCGTCCAATTGGTATTTTGCAGCTTTTTGAAGAACCGCTTTCAAACCAGGTCCAAACCGCGATGTGTTGTAGGTGCCCTCGTTGTTGATGGTGTGGAAGTGCTCCTTCACCACCCGTTTTTGTTTGACGTCCAGTTTGACGATGGGAAACCCGAGTTTTTGCATGTTGGTGAAACATCGCTGCACAAGCGACACCATTTGCCGGTCCTTAACGCCAATAAATTTGGCTAGCTTGATAAAGTCGGACTCCACGAGCCCGCCGCGGTACAATGCGTAGATCAAAACCAACCTCATTTTGTCGTTGACGTGCAAATCGCTTCGGGCGAGAAGCACAACCAAATCTTCATGGAGAGTCTTATTCTTGACACCCTCGAAACTGGTGCCTCCGGCAGCACAAGTTTGTTCGAAATCTGCTGCAAATTCGGCGAGTTTTCGGTCGGAATTGCGGTCGAGACACTCGTCTATGAGTTTCTTGTGAAGAGTGATTTGACGTCTTTCTTTGTCGAATCCCTTCAAATGTGCAACCACCCACATCAAATCCAGCGACGTGGTGGCCTTCAGACGGTCCACCATCATGGGATTGTTCCGTATCAAGTCATTGATTTTGGTGATGATGAGTTCCGAGCTTTCAATGATATGCGTATGACGCAAACTGACCCAGTCCTCGTCTTCCTCATCGTCCAAGCGAGCCTCGAGATCTACCACGTCGCCGTTTTCGTTCTCGGTAGTATACTTGTAAACTCCTTCTCGTTCCAAGCTGGGAACGATATCCATGGCCATTGCCTGGTAGCTGAACTCGTGCAAAAGCGGAGCATAGAGGTCCATTGTTCTGTCTGTGATGAGCAAAATCGACCGCGGCTTGTCCTGGTTTTCTACAGGTGGATAGTCGTGGTGTTCCCTTGCATAGTCGTCGATTTGACGTTGAACCTCATCGGCGAGCAATTCGGGAAGCCGAGCAGCGACATGAGTAGCGTCCTGAGGACAGAAAAAACGGATAAGCGGGTACTCGCCGGTGATCACCAAGAGGTTCACAAGGGTACGGGCGGCAATTCTGATTTGTGGGAGCACTAATTCGGCACAATTGTCGTTGTAGTAGATGGCCATAGAATTTGGAGTTGAAGAATCTGCCAAAAAAACTCGAGATTCTACCGGATAGAGGGTGGCAGGCACGGTGTGCATGTTGTTCCCGCCGCCAAAGTAGTCATACACCTTTGGGTTCTGGATAAATTTGGACGAATTGTACACGTACAGTGCCTCGGTGTCGGTGGGCAGCAACGGCAAGAACATTCCATGGCCTCCCTTGTACCGTTTGACCTGGACGTCGGCTATCATACAGTTGATGTTGTAGGCGGAGAGTTCCACGAAATAAATGGCTTCGAGAAACGTTTGGGTCCTTCTTTTGTTGTCGATTTTGTCGACGCTCGTCACCACCCGCAAGAGTTTTTCTTTAGGAAGAATTCGATTTAAAAGCGATTCGGTGGTATCATCGAGAATAAGGATGTAGAGCAGTCCAGGGGTCTGGATCTCGCGAAGATACCGAAGAATAAACTCCTTTTGGAGCCCTATAAGAGACATGGAATCGCAGTTGATTTTCGCGAGCGTTGCTGAAAATGTATCTTGGTGCGACGGCATGGAGAGGGGCAGCAGGACAAGTTTGGAGGTGGTGGGAGAAAACGGCTAAAAGTTGGAATTGGCGCTAATACCGCTTGTCCGAGTGCATTGACAAAAAGTTGGCCGATTTTCTTGGCTTTTGGCCGTTTTGGATCTGCTTTATCTCCCCACATGAATATAGTCAATGCCTGGTTTTGGCAGGTGCAGGGCTCATAATAAAGGAAGAAATAAAAGTGAAAAAAAGTGAAAGAAAATAATATAGAGAAAGTCAAAAAAAAGTAATACCAATATACAATTGGTAGAATCATATGGTGTAAGGTTATTGTAATCACCAATTTCATGATAATCACAATTGACCATTCTGACTTCCTACTTCCAATATCTTTGATTTGCACCCAGACACCACATACCCGCGTCTCTGTCTATACGATTTCGTTCTAATGCCAAGGTAGTTCTCGTTCATTGACAATTCCTCGTTTTCCAACCTTTTTCCACATTATCCACACCCGCCACTCTAGGCAGTATAGCAGGATCAAACCAAAACATTACTAAAGTCCCCTTTATTCACAAATTAGTTCCCATTCACAATGAACCCGACTCAGGAAGCCGCCCTATATATAGGCGGATGGTACCTATTTTCGCTTTCTATATCGATCTACAACAAGTGGATGTTCGGGGCAGGTCTTAATTTTGAATATCCCATATTTATCACGGCATTCCATCAGTTTTGTCTTTTTCTACTCGCATCGTTGGTTCTCTATATCAAGCCCAAATTGCGACCCACGGTGGCTGCACTGGTGGCTCAAGAAACAGGGACCACCCCCGGTCCCAGCTCAGCTCAGGCAATGCCGTCAGCACTGCTAATCACACTTTTCAGCATCGGACCAGCTCTTTACGCTTCCCAAATTCTTCCCTGTTCACTCGCTCTGGCGGGAGATATTGGACTATCCAACGTCTCGTTCAAGTTTATCTCATTATCGCTCTACACTATGCTCAAGACATCGTCGCTAGTGTTTGTGCTTTTGTTTGGGCTTCTTTTCCGGCTTGAAAAATTCCATATCCGGCTCGTGCTCATCGTAGTAGTGATGTCGGGGTCGGTGATGATGATGGTGAAAAAACCACCCACTGCCTCAGATCAAAACTACAACCCGTTGGGAATCTTGATGGTTCTCGCAGCAGCAATGATGTCTGGATTGAGATGGGCATTTACCCAGCTTCTTCTCAAACATAACGAGTACACCAGAAATTCAATTTCGACGATTTTTTTTGTGTCGCCAGCTATGTGTGGTGCTCTTCTCGTGTTCGGGTTTCTAATTGAAGGCTGGTCCAACTTCACCCAGTCGCAAATATGGGACGATAAAGGCGTGGCTACCACTATAATGTTGATGATTTTTCCTGGCTTTCTTGCATTCATGATGACTCTCTGTGAATTCAAACTCCTCACAGTGGCCCAAGTTATAACCTTGTCCATCGCCGGCATCGGTAAAGAAGTGTTGACGATTGCACTCAGCTCAGTAATATTTGGTGATACTTTAAGTTTGATCAATTGCTTGGGACTTGTGCTTACATTTGTAACCATTCTTTGGTACAACTACTTCCGATACCATGAGAACCACAACGAGTACACCAAGCTAGAAACCGACGAGGTCGAGTTGCGTAAATTGTAATATAGGGCTATATGAGTATAAGCGTCATAATCACAACCCCTATGATTGTCATTATTATTTGGATTTCTGTCTTCATGCTCCGAATCGTAACAAAAGTGTACTTCGAACTGCCACCACTCTTCATTTTCGCCGTCAGTTCGTCAGCAGCACTGGCTATAGCACTGCTTCCTGTGAGTGGGGTCAAGAAGATTTGTCCCGACAGAATGACAGCGCCTGTAAATCGCTCGGGAATATCCTGGGCGCCGGTGTTGGCAGCACTATAAGTTAACGAGGTAGATGACTGGTTTTGGTGAGTAGCAAATGGAATTTTTCCACTTGAAATGCGGGAAATAGTCGATGCGGTGATGTTAGCCATGGTCTTGGTGGGAAAGTCGCTGACAGACTTGGATGTGGAGTAGTCGTCTTGCACGACATCGAGGCTATTAGCTTTGGCAATGGCTATACGGCCTCCGTCGTTATCGAGGGCCATATAAACATGGCGTAAAAATGTGATTCCAAGACTGGAATAGCCATGCTCTGAACTGGGCAACACCATCAAGTAGCAAGCTCGTTTCCCATTGGAAAAAGTCAAAAATGTATCTTGATAAGTTGCATTTGAAATCATTTCTTCCATAGGAATGTCTATTTCCAAATCGCCAAACGAGAACAACAACAGAGCGTTGGCTTCGTAGATCTTATCACATTCAACGATCCACTCGGCCACGTCATTGTTGTAGATGGCATCGAGCTGAATTGCCAAGTTAATAATAGAGTCCAAAGGAAGATAATTGTACAAAGTTCGAGACTCCATTAGCACCGGAACACTATCCAGCGCCGAGAAAAGCGAGATTTCCTCCTTGCTGTTCTCATTTCTTACTCTCAAATCCGAGAGGAGAATCGTGGGGAGTTTGAGGCCCTGCAAAAGCTGGTCTGTATAGTCGTTGCTCTTACCTCCAGCATAGGGTATTATATCGAACGAGTAAAAGTCCCCTTCATAATAGTGTTGGTCCACAGCACCTAAAAGGAGCTCACAGAGTCCACCAGGTTCCTGCACTCCATTAAACCAAAGCGAGTAAGCCGAGGATTTGATAATGCCTTGTTGAACGAGCGAGTCGAGAAATCCAGAACCTGTGGGATTCCCGGCCAACCCCAACCCCCCTACCCACATATTTGTGGAATCTACGTTGACGAAGGAGAAGTCAGGAAGAGTCAACTTCTGGTTGCTTCCTAAAACAAATGAAATGTTTTCGGTTTCGAATTCTCCTTCAGCGTCGATGATGCTCAAGTTTGGAATGGTGTAAGTTTGGCCATTGGACAACCCGGGGATGGTTGGCGTGGGAATATCCAGCGACGGGGTGGTGTAGACTCCTCCTTGTGCGCACGCTGTGGCTGTATATAAAGGGTTTTCAGTGGCCAGGTCAGGAATGTTGGAGCCGTAAGATTCGAATTCTACCTGATAATACGAAAATACTTGGTCACAAGAATAAAAATTCTCGTTCATCACCCATATTTCCGGCTGGGTCAAGTCTAATCGAAGTTGTAAGTTGTCGTCGCCAACGGTTACGTTGGTATTATAATAAACGTCATTGTATGGAATGGTAAAAATGAGTTTTGCAATGGATTTGTCTTCGTCAGTTTCTCTCAGAAACGACTGCAAGTCCACAGAAGGGAGGGTGGACACTGTAGTGGACGTGGAGGTTGTCAGGGACGAAATATCAGAGTCTTTTCTTGCTGCTATCGACACAACAAATGCCAAAAACGGAAGAATCCGGCGCATCTTGGAGCTGTTAAAAAGTAGAGAAACACACTCTTCTATACTGTAGCACCACCAGGGCAGCGCAAATCACAGACTATAACAGCAGAAAAAAGCCTTTCTTGTTAGCGAGGCTTTCAAAAAACTTTAAATGCGCCGCGTAAAGTTTTCAAGCCAATGATAAATTTAGCAGTCTTGGGTGCAGGAACACAAAAACCCGACCAAAAAAAGACCAACAATGACTTTTAAGCGAGGATGCATTGTTCTAGTTGCCGTTTTGGTGGGGGAGGGGTGGCCTCATTTTTGATAAGCACTGATGCTCAAAGGTACTGTTTGGCGCTATCTCCGTGTCGCATGGATCGGAGTGGCTGCGGAAATCGGCCCGCTGCCGCCGCGTGCGGCCCTCGCTAAACTGAGCCGCTCGGGAATTCAACTGCAGTGACTTTGCGACTTATTGCAACTATCATGATAATTCAATACTATCGTGATAATTCAATACTATCATGATAATTCAATGTAACTATATGGTTTTGAATTTTATTCTCTCTTCATAATTTTTCTTGTACCTTATTATTTACTATTTTTAACTGATTATTATTTGCTGATTATTTTGATAACTTGCTTTGACAACTTGTACCTCGCAACTTTGCTAAGATATTCTGATTTTTTTTTAGTTTTTGAGCTTTATCAATTCTTGGTTTCTAACTTTTTGCTTACACTCTACTAATAACTGTTTACGTATACTTCTCGTTGTAACTTTTACGTATACGATCAACTTGTAAGCAGAAGGTGATAAGAAACACTATTGATGGGGACTTTCCATGATCGTTATATGAACCACTACAATGGAATTGGTTTCAGAGAACCTGTAATCACTGGAAGCGGATTTCTACAAGAAACGATTGATATTACCTCATAACTCTGGCCATGTGAACCGTCTTTTAGCATCTAAATCATAAGGGTGGGACCTAGAGTTCACGTTTTGTTTCGAAGTCAGTATCACAACGGTGTACACTTTATCGAAATAAAGTGAAAAAATGGATGGATTCAGGGTCTCTTGGTAATGTTTTGTATTGGTCGTTACCATATGCCCATTGTCAATTGGGTTCAGATCGAAGAAATAGACCTCAATTGAAAACCCGTACCAACAAAAAGAGAATCCTGCTACAGACTCTTGGGAGAGTTGGGAGTTCTCTTGCAGCTATAGCAGTGATTCTAAGCACTTTTCAGAGTCGATCAGGAAGTACAAAGAGCCTGGTCTTTGAATTCAAATTGAAAAGTTTTACACCTTTTTGCGAAAAGTTTAATCAGGTTTTCGAATGGTCCAATTAGTGATAGCTCGTCCACAACATAAGTGAAATCCCACTAACAGTCATAGTAAGAAATCGATTCTTCCTATTTAATGGAGTGAGCGAATATGACATCGGTAGAGTAGGGAAGGTGTCTAACTCAAGCGGAATTCACCTTCCATTTTTTTTCCCAACCTTTTAGCAACTCGACCTAACGAAAGGATCTATCGTAATTGGTGCAACTACGATTGAGCTGACATCTTAGTTACTGCTGTATTAATATCGTACTGGAATGTCACATATATGCATCGGTCGTCGCTACCGATAATGAGCTGATTTAGACAGACGGGTGGCTTTGAACGAGAAAAATTTTAATCTCCTGGCAGGTCTGACAGATTTGTTCCTGTCTATAGCACGGAAAAATTAGTGCGAGACAGCCAACTTCAACTGTTTTAAATCAAATATAATGGCTTCCTTCTATAATAGTCAGCTGCTTACCATCCCAAAAAATGTAGGCACAGCCCGAGTACTCGGAGAATTGAAAATGATAGAAATGCGAGATTTCCCAACAACCACCCCGCATAACAAGTGCATAAAAGTGGGGTGAAATTGGAGTATGCAGCCAGCTCCGATTGGTGATTCAAACAATACGTCAAATTGAAAACTGCATATAATTATCGTTGATATTTGCGAGCCTTCAATCCTGCAGCTGTGGTAGAAACTCGCTTGAAGCGTAAATGACGTACGAGCTAGAGCAGCAAGATGAAAGCGTAAATGACGTATGAGCTATAAGAGCTAGAGCAGCAAGATCTTCTACAAAAAATATTAGAATACCCGCGTCAATCTGATAAAGTCAATCCCGAGATGAAGCGGTAACACTTACCTATTAATTTTTCGTACATGGTTATGAACCTTATTCTCCACGGAACAACCTCCGGAATTTGCCTGCGGGGTCGTATCTTGACAGTTTGAGAAAGAAACGGGCGAGCATTGTGCCGCTTTGAGTACATTTTTTTTTTTGATTTCTTGGCTTCGGTCTAATATCCAAGAGTAACCGGTTTGGCTTGCCTGAACAATAGAAACGGCATTCGTGAGATTAATAGAAAGTTTTCAGCACGGAGTCTATAAAAGGAGGATAAGTCATGGTTTCAATCAGCTCGAGCTTCCATTAACACTATGCTTTGGTTGGCTCTTTTAGCTTTGAATGTTTGCTTGTGTTCTGCCTTTGACAATGGCTTGGGAAAGAAGCCCCAAATGGGGTGGAATTCCTGGAACAAGTTTGGTTGCGACATCAACGAAACTGTGATTCTTTCGACAGCACAGAAAATGAAAGAACTCGGTCTATTGGAGTATGGGTATGAGTACATCGTCATGGACGATTGTTACGCTTTGAAGCAACGTGACCCCGTCACTCACAAAATTGTCGAGGATCCAGACAAATTCCCTAACGGTATCTTGGACCTCTCCAACAAGATCCATGATCTTGGATTCAAGTTTGGAATGTACTCTTCTGCCGGAAAGTACACTTGTGCTGGTTACCCTGGGTCCTTACACTATGAGGAAATTGATGCAGACACCTTTGCCAATGATTGGGAAATTGACTACTTGAAGTATGACAACTGCTTCAATGAAGGTAATAGTGGCACTGCAAAGATCAGTTACGAGAGATACAACAACATGTCCCAAGCTCTTTTGAATACTGGACGCCCAATCTTTTACTCCTTGTGCCAATGGGGTGAAGATCATGTTTGGGACTGGGGTTCTACCCTTGCGAATTCGTGGCGTATCAGCGGCGATATATATGACAACTTCGATCGTTATGACGACAGATGTCCCTGTGAAACGTACGAATGCCCAGGTCTTCAAGGTTATTCTTGCTCGATCAATAACATTTTGGAAAAGGCTGTTCCATTAGGTCAGAAAGCAAGCGAATTTCTGGGATGGAACGACTTGGACAGCTTGGAAGTCGGAAATGGTGGAATGACAACCAGCGAATATAAAGCCCACTTCACCTTGTGGGCCATTCTCAAGAGTCCTTTGGTCTTGGGTAATGACGTTACCGGAATGAGCGACGAAGACTTCGCTATAGTTACTAACAAAGCCATCATCGCCATCAACCAAGATGGATCTCGTCCAGCAAACCGTATGTGGAAAAGGAAAACCGAGGGTGGTTACCTTCACTTGTTTACAAACCTGTTGAACAATGGTACCACCGTGGTGACTTTATACAACAGTGGAGACGCCGTTAAAGATACTACTGTGGAATTTAGTGACATCTTCTTCGGAGACAAGAAGAGTGCTGCCAAGAGCTATACATTTAGCGAATTGTGGACCAATGACACATTTACTGCTGAGAAAAAATTCAAAACTGATATCGGCGAACACTCAGTCAAGATTTGGTGGTTAGACTGCCCAGAGGAGTACTGTGGGACCAGTGAAGATAACTCGAAGCGCTTTGATTTTGAGTACTAAAATGATACTTTAATCATAAGTACTTCAAACACAAGGGTATTATCAAAATAGAGATAGCAGCATAGTTATACGGCAAATGTACTTCTGCCCTATTCTTAAGTGTTGTCGAAATATACATCCCCAAAAGCCTATTGTCGCAATGCCCTTGGTATTAGTTCGGGAACCTTACCTATAATTCCATCATGTATCACTCTTGAAAGTAACATGACGTATGAGCTTGCGGCGTTGTTCACGCTGATAACTCAACTTGATTGTATATCAGTACCTCTACTACATCTCGATTTAATAACGTTTTCTTCGATAAATATTCACTTCCATAGCATACCACTCTATTGAAATTACTTATCGCTAATAATTTTTTACTTGCATCTATTAATTTATTTGTATTAACTTCCTTACCTTCATAATATTTCACTCTTTCAAATCTTCTCCTATTATCTGTAGTCATATCCAAACGTTATTATTATGGTTCATTGTCGAATGCCCAACGGCTATTAGTATTTACATCAATTCTTGACTTCAACGGACGATCTGCTGATCTTTTCTTCATTGGCGCCATCCACTGGAGTCACCGAAGAATCATTATCGGTTTCCAAGCGTTCTTCCTTGGATTCTTCCTTCAGTTCTTCTTTGGGTTCCGAGCTGGCAGCAGCGGCTCCCACACTTTGCTTGGGTAATCTATGGTTGGTAGCAAACAAAGATGAAATGAAACCCAACCCGGCAAAACCAAGAGCCATGTAAAATACTCTTTTGATGGCCCACATGACTTGGTCCTTCACAAATTTTTGAGCTTCAGGCGAAAGGGTCTTGATGAGTTCTGTGGAGTTGACAAGAGTGTCAATTGGTACCAGAGACAATTGACGTTGAATGTCTTGTGAAGCTATTTTCAAATGACTCAGAAGCGCATCTTTGAGTGCCGAAGAGTATACGGCAGTAGACAAAGCAGAAGCAAGGGCTCCTCCAGTAGCACGAGCAACATTGATATAAGTTGTAGCATAAATCATTCCTCCTGGGGTCTTTGGTGCCGCAACTTGCAGGGCAATCATCGAAGCTTGCATTTGCATACCGGTAGAAACACCGGGAACAATCAAAAGTCCAATTTTACTCGAGCTGCTAGAGTCGACTTCCAAAAGAGAAACCAATCCGTAGCCCAAAGGACCAAGAGCACCGGCAATAACGGTAAATGGCTTCACAAATCTCGATTTGGCAATGATGATTCCCAGCATAATGGAGCTGATAACCACGGCAATGATAAAGGGCAACAAATCCACACCCGAATGCCATGCGTTGGCGCCGTGGATCACTTGGAAGTAGATGGAAACGTAAATAATACCACTCATAAACGAACCAAATGCACAGAAAAGTGTAAGAGACGCTGCACTAACCTGAATGATTCTCACTACTTCCCATGGAAGAAGAGGGTTCTTGGAGAATCCAAAGTTATAGACGCACCAACCGATAAGAACGAGTGTACCCAAAATGAAGCAAACGATGACGGCTGCCGAGTCCCAGGCAAAATCATTGCCAGAACCGAAAGTGATGGCGAGGAGAAAAACCACCAAACCTGAAGTGAAGAGAAATGTACCCAAGTAGTCAATCATCTTGAGTTTTTCCCTGATGTTTCCTTTGGTTTTTGGTGGTTTAAACGAAAAAAAGAGCACAAATGCAGCAACAGCACCAATGGGCAAGTTGATGTAGAAACACCATCTCCATGTAACATTGTCAGTGAAAGCACCACCGATAAGTGGACCCAAGACACTAGCCACAGCAAAAGTGCACCCCATGACCGCCATAGAAAGAGGTCTTTTTTCAATGGGAACAACTTCAGAAATAATGATAAAAGCAAGCGATTGAATACCGCCTCCTCCCACACCTGCCAACACTCTACCTCCAATCAAGGTATTCATATTGTTAGAAAGAGCACACATCAACGAACCAGCCTCAAAGATCACAATCGCAGCATACATTGTAATTTTCCGTCCGAAAACCATTGCCACTTTTCCCCAAGAAGGAACCAACACGGCGGTCGATAACAAGAATCCTGACGATAACCATCCAATACGATCAAAACCGTCGAATTTGTTACCCACTGTGGTCAAAAGGGTGGCGACAATGGTCTGATCCAAGGCATACAAGAACAAGCACAAGAAAACAGAAAAAATACACATCATAAGTTGGGTTCCATGAAGATGATGGTCTTCTCTATGTGTTCCATCGCCGGCATCTGCCTCCACAAATACCTTTTTCTCTTTTTTTTCCAAGTCTTCCGAAGACATTTTGAAAGTTTAGTTGTTGTGAAGCATCTGTTCGGAATTTTAGTTTATTTAAATAGGCGCAGAACATCTTCGGAGCACCGATATTATCTCCGACGCGGTGCCGTTATCACCGACGAGGCGAATGCGTGAAGCGCACCTTCCAGGCACTTTTCAGGTACCAGAAAGCACTCAATCCCACAAAAAAAAAAGAATGCACCACAATTAGCTACTAGAAGGCACACACTGAAAACAGGACCAAAATATAAACTCCAAGGCCACCAAAATTCAATATAGGCGTCGGAGTGGCGCTACCTAATTTCCGCCGACGCGCGGCTGCAACGGAATTAGATTTTGACGTGCAGAAGATTCCACACGCCCGATTTTCTTTGCAAAACAACGAACGATCAACAAAAAAAGACGAAACTCAGCATATCCTCTGAGGTCAATTGGACGAAGCCCATGTAGCTTGCTTGGCTCAAAATCGTAAACCTGTCCTAATTTGCTCATACTACACATGTTCGGTCCATTACGGAGATCATGCAGGATTTTATGTTGCATGCACGATCTCTGTGTTGCATACACGGCCCGCAGTGCCGCATGCATTGACTTTGGGACAATTACAAATAGCCCAATCGGGTATCCGACAAATTCACGGTACCTCGCAAGCTGGTCATTTGTTTCTAAAGATAGATGGAACGAAAAGATTAATGATGAATCGAAGTTTGGGCATATTTTGCAGAAACGTTGAAACTGACTGCGAATTGGTCAAGCTTAAAAATGTAGATTCGAATCATTTTGATATGATTTTATTTGATCTGATTTCGATGTGTAAGACTCTTTCGGATGTGTAAAGGGAGTTCCATAAAAATTGAATGAGTTAAGTGAACCGTGATTTGAATTAGTTAATTCAAGCATGAATGTCTCTTCTGAGTTGGTGAGGTTAGCTCTCCTGGAAACAAGAATCTAATTTTCTTTTCTTCTCTAAGCAGAAATCGCCTGGTTGCTGAGAGTTTTATAAAAAAGTTATTCAACAAGGTGAATGAAAAATGGTAAGCAATAGAAGCTATAGGTGATGTCTTCTCATTCTCGAAGCCAGATTAGTGCTTGATATAAACCTAGGATGGTGACTTCTCTTTTCATGTGGTCTCTAAGTAATTATGAAGTTATTGGTTCATAATACTTTTCATTCACCTTGACCAATAACACTCATTAAACATTTGTTTTAGGTTCTGTAGCACCAAGTGGTATTATTCAAACTGGTTTAATTGGCTTAGCATAAAAGCAAATGAAGACCACAAGCGAGTAAAAAGGTATAAACCCGTAGCTGCAAAAAATCATTTCAAGTATGCACGAGACATCTACACCCAAGTGTATCATCAGAAGATGCAGGTTGTCTGCTTACAAAGGCTGTTGATGAAGACACCAAATTCATGAAGATCCGAACCTCGAACTTGATACCTTGAATAATATCAAAAAAAGTGTTGAAAATATCAAAAAGTCGAAACTCAAACTGATAGGTGGACGCAATACCTCACAAGCTACATCCTTGAAGCAGTTAACTAGGTTTGTTCATCACAACACGGACTAGGCAATACCATTTTTACGAATTGAATCGTAAGATATCTCCGTTTTTAAATGAACGGCTGCAATTTTCGCAGGTACATTCTCGGCCGAGGTGCGGGACCTCGGCCGAGATTCGGCAATGGTTCTTCAACAAAATCAAGCGGAACGAAGTATCACATCTGAAAGCAATTGACCAATATCTTTGAAAGCTTGGCAGGAATGTGATTTTCAGGTAGATTTCCTGCAGGGGGAAGTGCAGTATTAATGCAGCATTAATGCGGAGAAACATCAAAACATGCATGTTTGTGCAGCAAATGTGTCAACTTTGCATATCTCAAACATCGGTTGCAAATATCACCATTTCCAGTTTCCACGTACAGCCACCAACCCACAAATCGTGTTGCCACGTTTAGGGGTATTCCTGCATGAACCCAACCATAAGCCTCTGAGACACCTAGGAAATCTTTTTGTCAATGCCAACCATGCGTGGAATCTTGCAAGAAATTGGATTTTACAACTTGGTGAATTCACACAAGGATGTGTATGTTATCATTCTTCTTAGAATGCTCCGGCTCGTTGGATTCGGAGCAACTTCGCTTATCATTGCGTTGTATCTTCGCGAACTTTCGTTTGATGATGAATACATTGGACTCTTTATGACGCTCACATTCATTGGAGATTTGGTCAGCAGCTTTTTGTTGGCGTTAGTTGCCGACCAAATTGGACGACGCAACGTGCTTGTGATTAGTTCGGTTGCTATGGTTCTTACTGGAGTGGTTTTTTCAATTATTGAGAATCGGATCGTTTTAACTGTGGCCGCAGTGATAGGAATATTGACTCCTAGTGGTGGTGAAGTTGGACCATTTCGCTCAATTGAGCAAAGCAGCATTGCCTCGTTGGTTCCGGCCGAACATAGGTCTGATATTTATTCTTGGTATACTTTTTTGGGAGCTTTTTGTGCTGCTTTGGGTTCAGTTTTGTGTGGAAAACTTGTCGATTGGGCACAACTGTCTTTGGATTACAGTTTGCTTGATAGTTATAAGCTTGCTTTTGGAGGTTATACCGTTCTCGCGGTGATTCTGGTGATTCTTTCATGTACGATTTCAAGTGGAATCGAAGTTGGAATCGAAGTTCCAACTACTGGAGTTGCTACAGAAAGTGGTGAAGAATCTCCAGACGCAGCCGGAGAACTCGCAAGACTCTTACCGGAAAGTGCCCAGCCAAAAAAGAAAAGCTTCACAATTTCAAATCTCTTCCCCAAACTTCTGCGATCCATAGTGGATATTGTCGTCAAGTTGTCGCTTCTTTTTGCTCTAGACTCGTTTGCCTCTTCGTTGGTATCCATGTCTTGGCAATCGTATTATATCAAGCAAAAATTCCACATTTCTGCTTCAGTATTAGGATCGGTATTTTTCGCAACCGGTATAGTGAGTGCATTCACTTCACTACTTTCAACTTCTTTGACAAAGAGATTAGGACCCGTGGTTACCATGGTGGCCACACACCTTCCAGCATCCATTTTATTGGCATTGGTACCATTACCGTCATCTCTTTATGTTACTATGGCAATTTTGGTGATTCGAGCATCGACTCAATCCATGGATGTTGCACCAAAACATGTCTTTTTGGCAACTTTGGTGCCCGATTCTCAAAGAACAGCAGTGTTTGGATGGGTAAATGTGGTAAAGACGTTGGCTCAGGTTATTGGTCCGTCGGTGGTGGGAGTCCTTAGTCAACATGGAGTCCTCTGGGTGTCTTTTATAATTGCCGGAAGCTTGAAAGCTACCTATGATTTGGGGATTCTTGGCACGTTTTTGGCGTACAACAGGCACCATCAGCATTGAAGGGGAAGGATTCACAAAAAAGAAGATTTTTTTCAAAAATGGAAATTTTCATTAACTGCAACCAGAAAGCTGAAGAGCAAAGATAAGATTTCCAGTGGCTATCAAGTGTAATGAAGATATTGGACGATTCGCAAGTTTGTTAAATTGAAAAAGTCACCGTCTTGATGATTTGTGACAATTTTAACCAAGTTTCTTTTCAGTCAATTTGCTGACGGTGGAGTGCAATTGAGTACTTGAAGCAGATAAATCTGAAAATTAGACTAATGGTAGGTATCTGCCAGCATCACTACCTGTTCCTATCGATGGTAATACTTGGTATACGTCCATAGCACCGCTTCCATATTTCATGAGGTACTCTGTAACAAGAAAAGTTTTTTTGATCCATGGAAAGCTTCGACTTGAAGCGAAGAAAAAAGAATATAATCACGACCAAGACTTTTGTTCCAGCTGCTGCTAGAGTTGAAGAATAGGAGTCGAATACACGAATCGAGTTAAAGTCAAGCCAAAATCGGCTAAAGTCTGCTAAAAGTCACTTCAAAGTGCAATTTTCAGCCAAGACTCAAAACCGCTTTTGCTTCTCTAAAGTAGGTTTGTCTGGATTTTGAGGACTAGGAACCCAAACATAAGTTTTTGTTGACGAACTCGATGCAATTGACCAGTCAATTGGTCTTTCACGGAACTTACAGCTTCTGTAGTTCCACGGACAGCTGGCATTAACATCCAGTACACCGAAGCTTACCGTATTCCATGCGCTTACATAACGCAATGCAACAGAATTTCTCAGCCGTACGAATGAGCAAGAAACCCAAAATGAAGATGAGCAAATAAGCCAAGACTCAAAACTCCACTTGAGCAAATATGCGATAACCACAAGCTGACGACAACCAAAAATCGATGACTACAACTTCCACCAAAAAAATGAACACTCACCAAAACTCATTTCAAGTCATTTTTAGCCTCCCAACACAAACTTATTATAACTCAACACCCATTGTCATTTGTTCCGTCTTGTCATCATTATGACGCATTGGGTCCGGATCCGAAACATGCGACAAACTTATCGCCGCGCGTTGCTTCGTAACCGTGCGATTACAAATTTACCTTCGGGTATTCCTCATTGGGAAAGTGCGGGAGGGTTAAGTCCTAATGCCGTTCGAATATCTAAAAAAAACCCGCGAACCAAGCGTCGTACTGCAGACAAGCGTGCATATGTCATTAAATGGAAAATGCTTAACGAAAGCCACAGAGTTGATATGAAGAGCTAAGAAGAAGGTGACAGGCCCCTAAAGGTATAGCGAAGACACAGGTCTTTTCTCCTTTTTTTCTGGTTGAAATTGGGGAAATAACAGCCCCCTGGCTGGATCCTGTTTTCTCCGTCTCTGTGCAGCCGTGCTGAGTCCGGATCTCGCCAGCCGGGCTTACCGCATTGAGCGTTTTCACCACATTATCGCCGTAAACACCGCCACGAGCCCAGGTTTTTAGGTTTGGATTACTCAACACCGTGCAACAGTTTGGTGGCAACATACGGCTATATAAGGATGCGGCAGAACCTCATTTTATTCATTATTTTTTGAGCTTCGATGAGACATTTTGTCAGAGATAGTTTTTTCGGCCGCATGGTCTACCATGGATCCGGCCACAGGCTCTTCAACCACAAGGAGGAAAGACCCGATTACGTGGTTCCCGCCAAATATTTGGGCGAAAGTGAAGTTGCGGAATTCAATGAAAGTAAGAAATCTACCGAGGGTAATACCGAGGGTATTGCCGAGGGTTCAGCTGGTTCGAGCAGTTCGACTCTCAGTCAACCAGAGGCAAAGGATGAAAAGGATGCGGAAAATGCGGAAAAAGATGAGAATGACTACATAATGGTGGACTTTGATGGACCGGATGACCCGGAAAATCCTTACAACTGGCCTTTGTGGCAGAAAGTCATCTTTGCATTTCAAATCGCCTTCTTGACGGTTTCCGTCTATATGGGTTCAGCCATTTATACCCCCGGTGTTGATGTGCTCATGGCAGATCTCAACATTACTCGTGTCAAGGCAACACTTCCTTTGACTATGTTTGTCATTGGTTATGGTTTGGGACCAATGGTGTTCTCTCCAATGTCTGAAAATTCCATGTTTGGAAGAACCTCCATTTACATCGTCACCTTGTTCATCTTTTTCATTCTCCAGATTCCTCAGGGATTCGGTCTGGGAACTCACTCGATTGCATCTTTGACGGTACTCCGTTTTCTTTCTGGAATTTTTGCTTCTCCAGCCTTGGCTACCGGTGGTGCCAGTTTTGGAGATGTGGTGACTTTGCCATATATGCCCGTTGGTATCGCTGCCTGGAGTATGGGTGCGGTTTGTGGTCCATCTTTGGGTCCTTTGATTGGTGCTGCGTTGGTCAATGGTACACATGGAGAATGGGTTTGGACTTTCAGATTCATGATGATCATTTCCGGTACTTGTTTCCTTTTCCTTACATTCTTCCTTCCTGAAACCTATGGAAAAACCATTTTGCGTCGTAAGGCTCAAAGATTGAGAGCTTTGACTGGTAATGAAAAAATCATCAGTGAAGGAGAACTTGAAAACAAACACTTGACTCCAAGAGAAGTGGCCATTGATACTCTCTGGAGACCCATTGAAATCTCCATTTTCGAACCGGTGGTTCTTTCCATCAACCTTTACATTGCCTTGGTGTACTCCATCATGTACTTGTGGTTTGAGGCTTTCCCAATCGTTTTCATCGAAACTTATCACTTTACTTTGGTCGAATTGGGTGTCTCGTATACCAGTGTGATGATCGGTATCATTATTAGTGCCGCCCTCTATATTGTCATCATCTACAGACAGTTCACCAAGAAGTTTTTGACGGGCCAAGCTGAAACAATCACCCCAGAAGTGTTCATTCCTTCGTCCATCTTGGGTAGTGTCATGATGCCAATTGGTATATTTATTTTCGGATGGGCATCTAGTGCTAACCAACACTGGATGGGTGCTATGATCGGTGCTGCAACTTTTGCTTTTGGTGCATTCTTCATTTTCCAAACCCTCTTTAATTACATGGCCATGTCGTTCCCTCGTTACATGGCTTCTGTGTTTGCTGGAAATGATTTGTTCAGATCGGTGATTGCAGGATGTTTCCCCTTGTTTGGAAGTGCATTGTTTAACAACCTCAAAACCAGCAAGTTTCCCGTTGGTTGGGGCTCGACCATTTTGGGATTCATTTCCGTTGGAATGATTGCTATTCCTGTGGCATTCTACATGTTTGGCCCCAAAATCAGAGCTAGATCTAAATACGCTGGCTTTTAATTGTTCTTATGAGATATGCATATAGATTAATGATAACGCCTAATTGTTCTTTGCGCTCGATCTCGCATGCATTTGCAGCAAGCGAGATTTAACATGCATCATGCACGTTGCAATCAATTTGCAGCCAATAACACAAATTCGTTACAGTTTAATTACTCATTCTTTATCCAATTCCAGTATATAGCTCATGAGCAAATTGATTGTAAATTGCTCATCGATATGCGCCATTATTCTTTCCTATTCTAGCGATGCGGCTCGTTTTTACGAAGCCCGTCAACAATATATGAACAGTGGAGAATCGAGGTTTTTGCCCACCAACAATGAATAAGCATATGATGATGGACCTGGGTTCAGGCTCCAGTGGTGCCACTTACAAGGGATTGGACTGTGTGGCCGACGCCCAAACCGCACTTTATGCATCTTACCATAAGCAGCTGCAAGCAGAGGTTCCGTGGACTGAACAACCCAAGTACGCCAAATATACCGTGTACTTTGGAGTAGTGGTTGTGTTTATTGCTATGGTCAAAAATTTGTGGTACCGGGTGAAAGATCGTAGATATGGCGAAAATCACCATACTTATGGATCAATCTTTTCATCTTTCTGGGACGTTATTACGAGTTATTGCAGATTTTTCGGATACAAACAGTTGCCGCTGTCGCTATGCAAGATCTTTGGACTTCCACCATCGGTAGGCTCGTTTCTATTTATGGCTGCAAGTGCATTCTATTTATTTTGCTACTGCTTCATACCTCATTTTTGGTACCGAGGTTGTGGAGGTTTTGGTTCTCCTCCATTGGCAGTCCGAGCAGGAGTTATGGCTACAGCATTGACTCCGTTCGTGTACTTGTTGTCTGGAAAATGCAACATGATCTCGTTGCTTACTGGAATTTCCTATGAAAAATTGAATTCTATCCATCAATTTGTTGGATTAGCAGCTTTGGTGCTCTCTATAATTCACACCATCCCTTTCATCCACCAGGATCTTGTGGAAATTGGCACTTCTGGCTTGCGGAAAAACTTTTCCACTGACTTTTACTATAAAAGTGGTCTCCCACCTTTGATCCTTTTGGGTCTCTTGTGCACGCTATCCAACAAGTGGGTTCGTCGCCAGTGCTACGAGGTGTTTGTTTCGAGCCACTGGGCGTTTGGAATTGCATATTTTGGTACATTGGTGTGGCACATCAATAAGAGCTTGGATATGCAAAATTACATGTGGGGAGCTTTGGCTTTCTGGGCATCTCAAATCGGTTATCGGATTTTGGTGAAGACAGCGTTCAAACCCAATGCTCTTTTCCTTCGTCCTAGACTTGCAAAGTTGACCAGATCGGGTCCAAATGCCTTTTTGGTTTCCATTCCTGGCAATTCAGTTTCTTGTATGCCTGGTCAACACTGCTACCTTCGTTTTTACGGCTCGAGAATCTTGGATAACCATCCTTTCTCCGTGGCTACCATCCCAGACGAAGAGAATCCCGACATGAAGTTTGTGGTTGTTCCTAAAAAGGGCCTTACGAAAAAGTTGCAAATGGAACTCGAACAAAATATTTCCATGAACAAGAAAGTTTATGTCGACGGACCTTATGGGGGAAGCAGCCGAGACTCTAACTGTTTTGACAAGCTTATTCTCTTAGCCACAGGCAGCGGAGTAAGTGCCGTACTTCCATTTTTGATGAAACTGGCGAATTTCATTGCTGCAAATCGTCAAAATGAAAAAGTTGAAAATCGCCAAAAAGTCCACTTTGTGTGGATTGTACGCTACGAGCACGATATAGGTTGGTTCCAGGACGAAATCAGTCGCTGTATAGAGCGTGCTGGAGACGCCCTTGAAGTGAGCATTTATGTCTGTCAAAAAGGCTATGTTGAGAACGAAGCACCCAAAGCCAAAGAAGAAGAAATAGAAACCACCCGCAAAGATTTGGGTATAGATGTGGTTTACGGAAAGCCAGATATCACCCAGGTGCTCCGGACGGCCTCAGTGATTCTTGGAAGACGAAATATGATTGTTTCTTCAGGCTCAGATTCGATGAAGGCTGCGGTGAGCCAAGTTGCATCCAAGCTCCAGGCCCGGGTATTCAACTCAGATGCCAACCACCAGGGTGTGGAGGAGGTTTACTTGCATACAGAGTCGTTTGGGTGGTAATTGAAAGAATTTTGAAAATTGAAAGAATTTTTGAAAAAAATTCTTGAAATTTTAAGAGAACTTTATTGAAGGTAATTTTTGAAAAAAAATCCTGAAATTTAAAAAAACTTCTTTCAATGATGTACTTGTCGAGCATCTTCTGAGTACTTTGAAGAGAGCATAGCTAGAACTTTCTAAAGCGTCTTGACGAAAGCGTATATATCTTGCAAAGCAGCTCGCTACAATAAGTCAATAGACCTGCTTTTATTTATTACAAAAAATTTGAGTGAAGTCATATTTTAACTTTTTTTCATATTTAATCCTTTCATCTTAATCTTTCATACTCTTTTCTAATTTTTGGGACACTTTTGAATCCAGTCGTCGAGATTCATATTCTTTATAATGGTGGAAAATTTCTTTGCGTTTTTGTTGTTGCAGATTTCTTTCACCTTTGCAGCGCTAACATTCTTGTTGTTCAGAGTTTCTCCTTTTGGGTACTCAACGTGAAAAACTGCCTTGTTAGCCTTGATAAATGGCTGGTACAAGTCACATTCGTCATACTCGACACACTCTTCTTGCACACAAAAATCCACATCTCCCACTACATCGTCCACTATAGCACCGCCGTTCTTCAAGCTGACCGCAAGACCACGCTTGTGGGCTTCTTTTGCCAAAAATTTGACATAATTGATGGAATCTTTCTTTGTCAAACCAAGTCCATTTTTATTATCGTAGCCATCAATGTTATCGGGGTCAATTCCATCGCACTTTTTGTCCACTGCCATGTCCATTCTGGCCTTCATGATACTCCGAACATTGTCCGAGTTGAGATCAAGCCATTTTTCACCTTCCCAGCCATCCAATGGTTTCCCCAAATCCGACAGTTTAAACTCGTTCTTGTCGGGTCTCCAGTTCTCGTAGCTTCCCGCCGAAAAGTAACATACCACCTTGATTCCCTCGTCCTTAAACTTGGCAATTGACGTTTTGGAGTTGTCAAAAAGATCAATATCGTAAACTTCGATTCCTTTGACTGGAGTCTTTAAAGCTGACTTAAGATGGTAATCCCATGTAACTTCAGGTTTGGGAGCCCATCTGGCAGTAGCATTCACGATACTGAGTGCCCAGAGAAGAAAAGTAACTCCTTGCATTTTAGTTAAAATGACTTGTGAAGAATGAATTTTGAGCGTGCGCCAGTTATTTATAGGAAACAATCTTGCCGCACCAGAATATGCACGGAACGGCTGCGCCGACAAAAAAGATACGAATTACGAAAAAAGTTGAGACAGTAATTTGGTAAAAAGAGACTTTTTGCTCTTCTAATGTTACGTGATGGCAATAGAGGAGACTTGGAAATAGAGTATTTGATACTTGTCTTAGATACTCAAACTTGCCAAATCTGCAGTGTCTGCACAAAAAAATCGTGCATGCCAAGCCCCCAAAACGGATAACCAATACCGTATATGTGCGTCCAAAATAGTAACATTCCATAAGTATGACAGGAGACTACATAAATATTTCGCTGCAGATTGTGACATGATTCCTATTCCTTCGAATAGTTTTAGACCAAACCAATTTCGAGTGAAATAATTAAACTGGGATTTAATGTAATTCTATCTTATTCCTACTTTGATTCCTTGACTTGCCCAATCTTGATCAAGTGGTCCAAATCCTGTTCCACCGCATCCCAGAACTGGTTGAGAGTAGTATACTTGGGTTTCCATCCAATTTTATAGCCATTGTCACCACGAGACCTGGAATTAGTACCCCAGTAGTATGGTGCAAATACGTCTCCATCCTTGAGTTGAACAATTGGGTCTGGTTGAAGCTCTTGCACCTTGTCAGTTTTCACAAGTTTACGTTTGTAAAGTACCTCACCAACTTTTTCTGACAATTTTCTCCACAAATGCTCGACTTCAGTGGGTTCTTCAGTTGGAGTAGGCTCATTCTTGAGAGCCAAAGAACCAAAATAGTAGCCCTCTCTGCCCTGAGGAATGCTCTCGCCAGCCACGAGCTTGTCGAGAACAACCTTATAAAGCTCTCCCAAGTCGTGGATGTGAATATGACTCCAAATAGCTTCTCCAGAATACACCGAAAATGGACCATCGTTCTTGACACTAGCCTTGATCAATTCTGGAATCTGGACCGAATTGACCTTGTCGTAGCCATGGCTGATACCAAAAATAAGCGATGGACAAATAACAGCAGTTTTGACTTGCGGGTTCTTTTCCTGGATTTCCAAGATGAGCTTGTCGACGGGACGGTGAGGAGCATCATCACGAATCAGGTTAATTTCGTCAATATCCTTTTCGTCCGACCACACTTTCAAAGTGGGCTTCTTGTTAGCATCCAAGGGTTCTCCCAAAACTGAAGTTCCTGAGGTATGAATGAGAATAGTTGGTTCTTTTTTCGCAGTCAATGCCTTGCGGAGCACTTCCGCACTCGGAACATGGTCCACATTAGCAGTATTAATAATAATGTCACTTGCACGAACTTGCTCCTCGATCAATTCCAAATCGTCAAGTTGTCCAATTACCGTCTGGACTTTGTTTCCCGTAGCTTTTTTGAGTTTTTCGGCTTTTTCTTCCGATCTCACCAATGCAGTAATCTCATAATTCTTGGAGCAATTGAGAAGCTGGTACAACGCCTCTCCTCCTATGTATCCGGTGGCACCTGTAATAAACACTTTGCTCGTCATAGTCAAGAAATGGAAATTAGGGTCTAATAATTAAGGGTATATCCTGGCTTTATAGGTCTTCGTGTACTGCAACATTCTTGCTACTTCTCTCGCATGATGACAAAAATCACGTGAACCAGCTGAGCTATTGTAACTGATTTGTCAGAACAGGGTTCCGACAAAGCCACCGAAAATGCCACATTGACGTATTTTGCGGAATAATTGCTAAACAAAGCACCGGTTCCTGGCGCTTACTCATCACTGGTAGAAACATATAAATACTCTTACAATCTCATCTCGATTAAGTCATTAAGTCAATGTGAACGGCATTTGAAAAGCCTAAAGTAAGCCAAAATAAATGGCGTATGAACTCAGTCAATGTTGATTACAATGAAAGTTCGAATTATTTGCAGAATTATTATTTGAAACTGTGGAAACACCCATACACCACAACAAAGTGACCGATAAGTGCGAAGCAAGGTATAGCGTATTACAATTGTGTGAAGGTCAACTTTATGCACCCTCAAGTGAATCAAGTCTCCCTCCACATTCGTTTCGTATTTTCTTAAAATATTTTGTTGGATCTCGGATTTAATTTTTCTTGTCTTTAGCCGCCGCAGCATTGTTGGATTCATGCACAAGTGATCCGAGCTCGGCAGTAATCTGGCGTTTCTTAATATTTTGCATCTTAGAGTTGAAATCGTCCAGAATTAACAATTGGTATTGGGTGCAAAAATATTCCGAACCTTGACCTCATTTCTCCGAAACTAATAAGTCAAATTTAATTTTAATTTAATTGGATGATGAGTTCGAAAGCAAGTGAGCTCGACAAGTACAGGAGGATTTCTTATTAAAAGCCACAAAAGGGTCGACACGCTCCCCCCGCATATTCTTGCAGCAGATTGTTTCGGAAAATCGGCGTTGCACCCATGCACCAACTATATATATTCCTCGTAACGGAATAATTGCTGCATATTTTGCCCACATTTTTACTCGTACACGCCGCAATCGATAATGCGATGCAGGAAACCCAGCGTTTTTCTCGTCACTATCTGCACGATTACCTAACATTAAGGTTGTGAAACTGCGCAAACCAGCCGCTTTGCCCTTTCCGAATTCCACTGAGACGCGATATTATTCTCCGAAAAAAAAATTCTGGTGACGCACATGTTGAGATTGCTTTGAAGACTTAACCAAAGCTTTTGAAAACGTTAATGGCTTCTGGAGATGGTAGTGTTTACAATTAGCGTTTACTCGAGCCTCAGGGTTCAATTTTACGAACCTCTAAGCCTCCACTCAGGGAAATGCAACCCCATGATCCCCGCTATTGCAAATGCAACTTATGCATGTACCCCAATTTTCGTGAAAGTATTTGTGGGGCGTGTGGGGCCGCGTTAGGTTATGAACATGCCGAGGGGATTTGCCGAGTAAAAAATCATCATGCATGCTGAGATATACTGTGGGTTCTCGGTCTGCACTTCCCAACCAAGAAGTATTATTCCGCCGGAAGAACACTTGCATATAGTACGCCTTGGATTGTATCATCGCAGCATTTCGGGGATAAGCGACGGTAACTTAGGGTCTATTGAGCTATTTGGTACCAAATTACCATTATTCCGCAAAATCTGGAGATGTCATTGTGATCTAAATAAGACCAAAAACCCGTGCTCAATTAGCTCGATCGGTGTTGTGTCAGGAAGTGGTTTTTCCTGACGCATGCACCCCGCATGAGCGGGAAAAAAAATTATTTTTTAGCCGCATGACGCCTTACCTCCAAAGCTGCAAATTCATCCAACACGATCGTTGAACCAAGATTTGGTGACCTGCAGTGTCGGCTCGGCACACTATAAAAGGCTGTTAATTCGTCGAGGATTTTTCATACGAAAACTTATGGGATTAGAAGATAACGCACTCGTGCGTAAATATGTTAATGTCGGAGAGAAGAAGGCGGGATCCACTGGTATGGGGATCTTTGTCGGATTGTTTGCTGCGTTTGGAGGTATTTTGTTTGGTTACGACACCGGAACCATTGGTGGAATCTTGGGAATGAAGTACGTGACAGAAAGATTTCCTCAAGACTGGAAACACGATAAAGGTGTTCCACAACATACATTCTCATCATCGGAAAAATCTCTTATTGTGTCGATTTTATCGGTGGGTACTTTCTTTGGATCTTTGCTTGCTCCTTTACTTAACGATACCCTTGGACGTCGTTATACATTGATTATTTCTTCTTTACTTGTGTTCAATTTGGGAGTTATTTTACAAGCTGCTGCCACAGCCATTCCATTATTCTGTGCGGGTAGAGCCATTGCTGGATTTGGGGTGGGATTAATTTCTTCTTGTGTTCCACTTTACCAATCAGAATGTACTCCCAAGTGGATTAGAGGTGCGGTTGTGTCTCTTTATCAATGGGCAATTACCATTGGATTGTTGCTTGCAGCCTGTGTCAACCAAGGAACCAAAAACAGAAACGATTCTGGATCGTACAGAATTCCTATTTCCATTCAATTCTTGTGGTCGTTGATTTTGGGTATTGGTATGATTCTTTTGCCTGAATCTCCTCGGTTCTACATCCATGTTGGTAAAGATGACAAGGCCAAAGATTCGTTGAGAAGATTGAGAAAATTGCCCATTGATCACCCAGATTTAATTGAAGAGTACATGGACATCAAAGCCGCTTACGAGTTTGAATGTTCGTTTGGAAAGCCTTCTTTGGCTATGCTTTTCTCCAGAAACAACAAGCAGTTCAAAAGATTGATGACGGGTATTTGGCTTCAAGCTTTCCAACAATTGACCGGTGTGAATTTTATTTTCTACTACGGAACCACATTTTTCCAAAGTGCTGGTATCAAAAACGAGTTCTTGATTTCCTTGGCTACCAACATTGTTAACGTGGGAATGACAATTCCTGGTGTTATTGCAATTGAGCTTGTTGGACGTCGTAACTTGTTGTTGATTGGTGCCGCAGGTATGAGTATCTCGCAATTAATTGTGGCCATTGTGGGAGTAGCAGCAAGCTCCAAGGCAGCTAACCAAGTGTTGGTGGCCTTCTCGTGTATTTTTATTGCATTTTTCGCATCCACTTGGGGTCCTATTTGTTGGGTGGTTGTCGGTGAAATTTTCCCATTGAGAACAAGAGCCAAGTCTGTCGCCATGTCTACCGCTTCCAACTGGTTGTGGAACTGGGCAATTGCATACGCTACCCCATACATGGTGGACTCTGGAAAAGGAAATGCCAACTTGGGTTCCAAGGTTTTCTTCATTTGGGGTGGGTGCAACTTTTTGTGTTTCTTCTTCACTTACTTTATGGTCTACGAAACCAAGGGTATGACTTTGGAGCAAATCGATGCCATGTACGAGCATGTTGACCACGCTTGGAAATCTCCATCATATGTTCCACTCGAGCACGAGTTCAGAGGAGAAATGTCTCCTCATTCCAGCACCAAGGCCGAGGGTATTTCCGAGGTCGAAGATGCTTCTGTATAATTCAATTCACATTCTACTTTTCTTACTGTACTTACCTCTATTGTCTGTTTCTCTACTGTCTTTTTCTCTACTGTCTGTTTCTTATCTGAGCCACAACATCCTCCACGATTTTCTCCAACGGTGTAAACTCAAATCCCAACAAATGCCGGGTTTTTTCATTTCGTTTGCTAGCCAAAGTCTTAATATCGGCGGGACCAGAACCAGGCGTTCCTTTGGGCACTTTCCCCTTCAATTGTGGGAACTTTTCGTTGATAATATCCACCATCATTTGCGTGCTAAAATTACCGTTTGTCATGAAAAGTCGCTGATTTATAGCCGAATCGTTCTCAAACGCAAATATATGTGCCTTGGCAACATCCCGCACATCGACATAACCTCCTTTGTCGTTTTCAAAAGATCCCGAAGGCCCAACCTTAAGTAAAGTGTTGATCATTTCGTTGGAAGTGTTGAGTTTTTCACCAACTTCGCTGTCAAAAGCCTGCGGTCCAAACACATAAACTGGGTTGACGGCTGCCAACTTGAAGTTTGGCTTCTCTTCCTCCAAAAACTGCCATGCCAATTTTTCGGCAAACGTCTTGGCACCGTAGTAGGCAGAAATCGGGTCTTTGATCGCATCTTCATAGCTGATTCCGTTCCAACTAGACTCGTCAAACGAGTTCAGGGCGTCCTGCTCGCCCTCATAAGAGTACAAGGCAGCGTCAGAAGAGGTGATAACCACCCGTTCGATTTGAGGACCGTATTTCTTGACGGCCGCGAGAATGTTGCGAGTACCATTGATGGCAGGAATTACCAAATCTTTTTCTGGATCTGTAGTATCGTAAAAGAACGGCGACGCGGTATGCAAAAGTACAGTAACTTCGGGGTGCGCCTTGATTGCAGCGTCAAACGCACCATCAGCGGTAATATCTTTAACCAATTCGTATTGAAATTTTTCAGAATTCAAACATTTCTTCAACGTTTCACCTTTGGCTTCGGAACGCACCGAGCCAACAACATCGTAGCCCTTGGCAATCAATGCCTTCACTATATGCTGGGCAATGAAGCCAGATGCTCCAGAAACAAAAACTGAAGTCATGACAAACAAAAGACAATCGGCGGTTTTGGAGCTTCGGATCTCATGCCCGTTTAAGGAAAGCACATACAGGACCGACCCACCGGTCAAAAAAGTGCCAAGAACAAAGACATTAATAACGAAAATGCAACAAATGCTAGCTCAATTTGCAGCCATAGCTGTCAAGCTTCCCACATCATGCACGTTTGACATCTGCGTCTAAACACTGTGCATCATGCATAAAATCCCACGCATAGCTCCTGCAGGCGAGGCATCTCTAAAATACACCCCAACAGTAAATAAACCATCATGGAATCCAATGGGCCACCACAAAGCCAAGACCATGGCGGGGAAACCCTCAGCAGCAATCTACCGTCCGGGTATGATCCCGACGAGCCTGAAATTCCGGTATCAAGACAATTGACAATGCGCAGAGAAGACTCACTTGCAGAAGCTATACCGTCCGGATATGCAGAAGACGATACACAGCCTCCCGTTTTGCGCCAGCGTCTGGGACGAAATCTGTCGCTTCTGGCGTCGTTGCCTGACGGTTACTATGACGAAAGTGACAAAGCCAGTCCAATACAGATGCTTTTTCTCGTTGAGCCCGGTTTCAAGACTTGGTTAAATATACTTAATGGTTCCATTTGGGGTGTTTTGGCTCGTAGAGGCCTTGAAGCACTCACTACATACAACGGGAGCTACCTCAGTGGAGTTGTATGGGCAAATTTCGCCGCTTGCGTAGTAATGGGAATGCTTGTGGAATCTCACGAGCTATGGAAGATTACTGAAAGCGAACTTCAATCTGTGAAAGCATCGCTTCCATTGTACGTGGGAGCAGCCACAGGATTCTGTGGTACCCTCTCGTCATTTTCGTCGTTTATTCTTGAGATGTTCTACAAATCAACCAATACGGAACCAACCAATTTTTCTTACCCCAATAGGGCATATGGAATCATGGAATTTCTTGCCGTGGGTATAGTACAAGTTACTGTATCTCTCGGAGGATTCTATTTGGGTTCAGATATGCTTCGATTTTCCGACAGAAGGTTTCCTAGTATGTCTTTGAAAACTTATCAAGTACTTGAATGGGTTTCCATGGTGGTGGGAGTTGTAGCCTATATTGTCACTATTGTGCTCATAGCCGTCAAAAAATCCGGATCCTGGCGCTCGTGGATGTTCTCCGTCTTATTTGCTCCTTTTGGAGCATGGGGTCGATTCTACGTTTCTCGGTGGTTCAATACTCGCATCAAAGGATTTCCGCTAGGAACCTTTATTGTAAATTTTTCAGGAACATTGCTACTTTCAATTTTTGTCGTTCTTTCTCGAGGAAAGACCTCAACGCTGCAACTAGTCATATCAACCATTGCTTGTCAAATTCTTGAAGGCCTTAGTGATGGTTTTTGTGGAGGTCTTACTACAGTGAGCACATTTGCAGCCGAGTTAGCTGGTCTAATCAAAAGCTGGCACTTCTACCGCTACCTCATAATTTCGATAGTGGCGAGTTACGCCGTGACGATCCTTATCGCTGGATCCTACAATTGGACTCGTGGCTTCACCACCACCGTATGTTCTTGACTCGGGAACCCGCATCCACCTGCATAAACGGTGCGTGTCTCTCATGCACATTGGACCCAGATGCGCTCGCATTCACCTCCCAAATTGGGAATCGCAGAGATACCAATAAAACCTAGACTATTAGTCACTAATTTCATTTAATAGATTTTCATGTACATTCCTAAGAAATACGCCGAGACAGACTGGGAGAAGCAAGCAGATCTTATAGTCAATTATCCTTTGGGTACAGTTGTGACTTCTGGTGATCAAGGGCTCATCGCAAACCATATTCCCTTTTATCTCTACACTGATCTGGAAACTGGAAAGTCGTACCTCAGAGCACATGTGGCCAAAGTGAACCACCAGGTCCCCAGCTTGAAAGAAAATGATAATGTGATGGTAATTTTTCAATCTGCAGACTCCTATATTTCACCCAGCCATTATCCCGGAAAACAAGAAACCCATAAATATGTCCCAACGTGGGACTTTGCGGCTGTTCATGTATACGGAAAGTCCAGGATCATTGATGACGGCAAGTGGGTTCGTAGCCAGCTAGACAGCTTCACTGCTCAAAATGAGACCAAACGAGCAGTTCCATGGAAGGTGAGCGATGCTCCAGAAAGCTATACTTCTGTCCTCATCAAAGCGATTACTGGCTTGGAGATCGAGATTGACAGAACAGAGTGCAAGTTCAAATTTGAGCAGGAGAAGTCTCGGAAGGATATTGACGGAGTAATTGAAGGACTTGAGAAAGAGAACCCTGTCGTCTCAGAAATGGTCAGAGAAGCTAATAAGGTCAAGAGCTAGACCAGAATATCATAGAATGAATCCAAGAATAGAATCCAATCAACGAAGAATATGAATCTTGCTCATCACCTGGTCTAGTAAGGTGCAAACCTGCCTCCCCCACGAGGCCCTCTTCCTCGTCCTCTTCCTCCTCGTCCTCTCGCTCGGAATGCTCCTCGTCCTCTGAATCCCCCGCGTCCACCTCGGCTGTTGACTCCAGGAATGTTGGTTCTTTTCGCACTCACCTTGAGTTCTCGACCATGGAACGACGAGCCGTCTTGGGTAGCTACTGCTTTATTGACGCCATCCACATCAGCAAACTCCAAATACGCAAAACCCTTGGGCTGTCCAGTATGTTTGTTGGTCAAAATCGTCACTCTATTGACGACTCCACTACTGGAAAAATGTTGCTGAAGCTCCAATGGCGTGGCCCCGTAATCCACATTGCCAATATATATCGACCGGGAATCGATATCCCGTCTCTCCTCCTCGGTATCTCCTCCCTTGTCTTCGCTTAGCTGGGCATGAAGTTCTCTAAGCTTTGCAGCTTCTCGCTCCATTTCTTCCATTCGCTGCTTAATCATTTCTGCTTCCATTTGCTTCTCAGATGTCATTTCCTTGTCTACAGAAGTGCTGGAGTCGGCAATCTCAACCGCCACAGGCTGCTGCTGGACCTCCATCGATATTTCATCAGACATGTTGTGAAGTATTGGCAAACTAACTTTCAAACAGAACCTTGTTCGCACCGGTGCACCCATACTAAGCGTCCACCACCTAATAGTTACCAGGCAAGTTTCTCTCCCGGTTCAAATGCTTGGTTATATCCTGGGTTCGAATAGAAACCGGGGCAGTCGACCCCCCAGCTTTGTAGTCCCGGTGCTTGCTTTTCTTTTTATATGGTAACAAACTTTCAGTTTCGGATGCAATATCACAGTCCGTCTCGTAGCCTCGGTCCCATGGAATGCCCTCTTCTTCTGAGCTTCGTACTCCCATGAAATTGCTTTCCTGTTCTTCTTCGAACGTGTTTGTAGGACGACTCATAGGACCCTTTCTTGGTTTTTCAAGACACAAAACTAGCAAGAAAAATACAGCTCCAAATAGGATTAACCCTAAGATAATGCCAACTCCAACACTGACAAATCCTAGGTGAATGTGCAAGAAGTTATCGTGTTTGGAGTGGTTGAGCCAGTCCAAGTTCAACGGCTTGTTAATAAGGAAAACACAAGTTTGAGCCTTGCCACTTTGGTCGCCTAACGAACATCCATGCGAAACAACTTTGACTTCATGGTCCTTGTCGTAAGACAGAATTGGGAGGTTGTCTTTTTCGTGAAACTTCAAGTATGTGGTATCTGAATTTTGGCTGTGTCGGCACGATAGCATAACGTCACTATGGTTAGTGGACAAGAGCCCACTTTGAGCGGTTACCGTATGATCAGAAAATACACTTCCTCCATCCACACACGAGAGAAGTTTCGGAAGCTCTGAGTTGGGAATAAGGTGCATTTCCAAAAACTCCAAAAGTTCGGGAAACGAAACCGTAACGTTGAAATCTTTCAACGACAGCGGCGATGGTATCAAAAGAGAGTGGTTGGGATCGGGTCCAAGAACCATCGACGACAACTTGGGGAACTGTTCAAGGAAGTCGAGAATATAATGTGCCTTATGAGTGGCCTCGAAAGTAGCCTCGATGAGGTCTCTCGTAGAGATTTGAAGACTTTGAGGAAGAAGAACCTGATCAATAGCCTGTATCACTCCTTGGTTGAAAAGAATGTCTCCTGCCAAAGGAAGCTCCAATTGTGTATCATTCAATGTGATATCGTTGCTGTAGGCTTTCAAGTTCTTGTTTTGGATCTTCAAATCCTCACCTTGAAGAGTTTTGAATGTGGTATTTTCACCCTGGAAATCCGAGTATATCAAACCTTCAACAAAGAGATTTTTGACCACTTTTTTGAACTCTTTCTCATTATTGTTCAAATACCGCAAAACCAATCCAAGTCTATCCCAGTGAGTACGAGTACTGGTACCAGCCTTTGAATTCGATATTGGCAAAAAAACCGTATACCCTTGGGCATTTTCCGCGAGACTCAAGAGCTTGAATTCCTTGAGTATCTCAATTGTCTTGAAACAACTCAGAGCGTCCAAGTGCCAGAGATCGTCTTTGTTATCTGTTTTGGATATCATTTGTCCCAAAGTCTGTTTGAAGTTGATTGGCGCATCAATGTCATCGTCTGCAAAGTAGATGTAAGTATCGTTAACGCAGCGTATTGGCTCTCTTGTTAGATTAACATCGTCGTTTATGGTAGTTGAAACGTTGGATGATGCCACTTTGACCTTGTAGCAAGAACCCATCTTCTTCTTAGAGCAAAATTTGGAGTCTAGAAGCCGCCTCAGATATCCTTTGAATTCTTGAGCGCCTTCTAAAAACTGATACTGAAGCGATTGCTTAGCGCTAGTCGAATAGGATCCGTAGGTGGAGCTTTTGAGGTCGTCGGAAATGTCATCTCTCAGGTCGATGTCGATAAAAATGGTTTGGTTTGAAGATGAGCCATTAATCAAGGATTCTAGGTTATGTAGCTCCAATTCCTGAACGAAGTGAGAAAGATGTAACGCATAAAGTGCCTTTCGAGGGATCATAGGTGCAAGAGAAATACTAAGGGAGTCGAAGAATTTGTGCTTCTGGTCATCAAAGATATGGAGCACTTTATCGGAAGCCACAGCACTCGTGGACGCAATTACCTGGTCGTTCAATAGTAGCCTGCTACTATTAGTTGCCAAGCTGGTGTTATAAATAGTTCCTGATGGTGCCTTATAAGCTTTTCCGGTTCCATTTGCACCTAAAATGTATTCAGGAATTAGTAGGTTGTTGAGCAAAGAAGTGACATCTCGCTTCATTTCCTTGACTGCATCCTTGGTGGTGTCAAAATCAGGATTCATAAAGTCATGATAAAGAGCGAGGTAATAGCGTCGTTGTAACTTTGAAAGCGAGCTGTTCACATACGAGTCTGACGGTATGAACACTGTTTTGGTTTTGTTCAAAAACTCGCTACACGTCTCAGGTACGACTGGGTATTTGGGATGCTTCTTCTTCTTTTTCTTCTTCTTCTCTGCAACTTCCACATCTTCTTCACTGAATAAGATCTGAAAGAGTTGTTGAACAAAAGTAATAGCATGTCCATCCACCTGGTAATTGCCCATGAGTATTTCACAAGCTGAGGGTCGCTCGGGTAGAAGCCTGTCAATTCCTTGAATAAATGACTGTTGGTGTTTGGCGTAAACGTCAGGTTCTACAATTGCAGCAATCTTATCGACAACATATTCTTGCAGGTCAAAGTCGGGGGATATGCTGATAGTATAATTTCCTGAAGGTGTTTGGGAAAGTGTCTCAAATAGCATCTCTTTCTTCCCCATATATCCCACACGAACTCTTTGGTTGATGATGTAGCGCAAGAGTGAATTTGGGTCAAAATTGTTGGCTTCATCCTCGGCAAAAGCCAGGTTTATTGGAGCAAGAAGGGTCACGTTGCCCAAACCGTTTATGATAGGCACCATACCATTTCTCTGTAACATTCGAAGAAAATAGGAATATTCAATATCGGCCGAAAGAACATCAATGATCGTTGAAGGTGTAGGCAGTGGATCCAAACTAGTCGTTTCTGTAGGCCGAGAGTATCCCGGGGAAACAAGGAGCAACAAGGCAGCAAGAAGTGCCGTGAACGGTCCCCGCTTCCATATTTCGAAGACCCCAATCATAAAAGATCGTAGATAGCAGTAGTTGAAACGATAACAGAAAGTGTGCTGTGCAGGATTTCGCAGACGACCCCACGGTGTTACGGAAGCCATCAGAGATGGTAGAGACGATATAGCAAGATATAGCAAGGTAAGAAAGAACAAGCAAGGTTCTTAGCAAGTGAATTCTATAGCAATTAAATGAATTTTGGAGTTTCGGCCTTTCAAATGAATTTTTACACTTTAGCCTTTTCCTTTTATAGCCTTTTTCTTTCTGCCGGTTAGAAAACGAAGACGGCCCAGGTTCCCACAATCCCTGCAATTGAACACACAGCGATGGCTGTCCACACTGCAAACCTCTCTGAAGCTGATGTGGTGTCCCGGCAGAGTTTGAGGTAGAAAAGTCCAGGCAAAATAACGCAAACAAGGAAGCAAATTGATGCTCCAAGTATACCGATCACACGGTCGAATTCTGGAAAGAGTATAGCCAATCCGACAAATAAGGCGTTGACACCAATGCGGACGAGAAATCTGCCCATTAGTTTCAACGTTCCAAGAAATGCTGGCGTATCTTCAAGTGCATGCAATGATAAAAGCGAGTCTAAAGTGGATATTATAGGTTTTGCATTCAACGGGGTTTTCGCCAACGGTATGAGGCAGATCAAGCCACTGAGCACAGGATAGCACCATGAAGGATAACCTGCTGTGGTCAACAAGTTGTTCGTAATTTCGTTACTGCACTTACTACCAAACATCAAAAAGCCAATGATGCCCATACTAAGGTCTGTAATCAAGGTAATGCTGTAGGTTTTTTTGAGGGTTTCAGTAAACCGATAGGGGTGTCTCATGTCACTTTTCAAGTTTGGAAAGATTGCGTGGCCTCCAAAGGGAGCCATGAGAATACCAATTGCCAAAAGTAAATCGGGGATCGATTGCGGCCACATATTAGTCGGCATTATGGATACTAAGGATCCCGGTGCTGTTGGTTTCAAGAAGCCACAAGCAAGCACTAGAAGCGTAATGGAGATGGTAGCCATTATTCCAAAGAGTGAAAAAACAGACAACACCGAGAGTGGTAGAAATGTGAATGGAGTCAACACAAAGAAGCTGAGTAGCTTGAACCGGGTTGTGGTCCATCCAGTTTCATCATTTCCGACGAGGGCATAGATCGAGTCCGAGAGCAACACAATCAAAGCCACCCCAGCGCCTATCAAGTCGACGGAAAAAATGACAGAAATGAGCAACTTTGCCATAGATCCGTAGGATGCAAAGCCCAAATCAGCATAGGTCATGATGGTTGCATCGGTATCCATAGACTTGGAGAGGAGAGTTGCCAGCCAGTAAGTGAGAGTTCCGCAAAGAGCCAAAAGAGGCACTCCTATTACCCAGCCCGCCTTAAGAATGCCCACAGGAAGTGCCAAGAGACCCACGCCTATGAGCACGTTGATGGAGTTGAAGATCGTTTGCGGAGCGGTCGACTGTCCCGCAACCACTGTGACCACGTTTCCATCTCGATCTTCGATTTTCTTGAGATTGAAATGCGATGCCGTCGTAGCAATGGAAAACGAAGACCGCAAGCTGGCAAACGACTTTGCAGGCATGAGCTTTCGAACAGTGTCACTGGCGTCGCCGTGGATGGGGATTCCGCTGCTTGTGTATGACGAGGAATGGCGAGTTCTTGTCGTGTTAAGCGCTGAAAGAATTTCATCCTGGTAAAAAACATCATTATTTGGCAGCAAAGCCGACTCGTAAGCAGACATAAACAGCTGGTTTCGCAAGGGCAAGTCCTGGATCACCGTACTGAGGCGTTCACCTCGACGAGACGGCATCATGAGTTCCGCATCATAAGTTTCGTCGTCTAAATCGCCATGTTCTCCAGGCAGCGAAACAAAAAAAGATCTTTTTTTGTGGATATCATTGTCGATCTTGGAGGCTACGAAGTTCTGTGCTCTTGTGAACGAACTGGCAAAGTTGTGGAGCGAATTGGGACCCTTGAAAGACCCGATCGGAGTGTCCAAGAAGGTGTGAGATTGGCGACGTCCATTGAGTGGTTCGGACTCCATGACCAGCTCCGGATGTTGAATCGGGTTCTAGGTGCGTGAAAATGGGAAATCCACAAGAAGTTGTCACCAAAAAATCTGCAAAAATAAACAAATTCAACAAACAATCACACACGAGAATACTTGCGTTATCTCTATTTTTCGTGCCGGACCTCGCACCCGTGCACCGACGCACCGCGTTCCGCCGCCAACCACCATTGATAACGTCAAGAGTCACAAGAAAGGACGAGTCAGTGGGAGTTACTTGCACACTTTATAGAGCACCAGGGGTATTGCGGGCGTTTTTTTCGTTCCTTGAAGATCGTAGAATTATATTTAGGTGCCAAAAGGTACCATACAGGAACAAACCGTCCCTAGCTCGTTGATCCATAGTTTTGGCATATTTTTCACATTTTAATTTTCCAATTTTCCCCACCAATTTCGAAGTTGAAATCACAAAACTCACACACAGATATGAACCCGCTACAAAGATTATGGGGCTCGATTATTTCTCCGGAGAGAGATCTTTCTGCTGCACAAAAATGGGTGTTGGGACTTCTCAACCTCACATCGGTGGTGATATTTTGGGTGCTATCACTGTTTCTTGTCAGTGATCTTTTTGAGCTGAATATCTACCGAAAGCCGTTTTTGATCACCTTCATCAACACCAGCTGCTTTATCTTCTATCTTGTGCCGTATTTGAGGTCGGAAAAAATATCACTTTTTGAGTTGATATCACGAGTTAAATACCAGTCTGCGGGCCACCAGCAAGTGCTGAGCACCGTGCACGAAGACTACGGCAGCAACGAAAATTTGGCTGGAATGGTAGTTCCAGAAGCTGCAAAAACTGAACAAATCTCAGAATACGAGACCGTCAAGCTTTCTCTACAATTCATCTCCTTGTGGTTTGGTGCCAATCTCGTCACCAATGCGTCGTTGTCGTACACCTCTGTTGCTTCTCAGACCATCTTGTCGACGACATCGTCATTTTTCACGCTTATAATCGGCTTTTTGTACTCGATCGAACGCATCAACAGACTGAAAGTACTTGGTATAGTGCTAAGTTTTGTCGGCGTAACCATCGTCACAAAGTTGGATGCGCTGACATCAGACCTGGTTCCCAACACCCCCACCACCGGACTCTTGGTTCTTTGGGGAAACGCACTAGCGTTGTTGGGTGCCCTCATCTATGGAATCTACACCATTTTGTTGAAATTCAAAACCATGGCGCGGCTGTCGGGTCAGGAAAGAACTCTCGATACTCACCTCTTTTTTGGGTTCGTTGGACTTTTTTGTCTTGTTACACTCTGGCCATTCGTTATCTTCTTCCATTTCACCGGCATTGAAACTTTCGAACTTCCTCCTTCTAAACATGTTGTTGTTCTCCTCTTGGTCAATGCCTTCATAACTTTTGTCAGCGACTTCTGCTGGTGCCGGGCCGTGCTTTTAACGTCTCCACTTACCGTTACTGTTGGACTTTCAATGACTATTCCTCTCGCCATGATTGGAGATTGGCTCGTAAAGGGCTTCAATGTCGACTTGCTATACTTGCTCGGAGCCTTGACCGTAACACTGGGCTTTCTCATCATCAACCAAGACGAACGCCAAGATTTCGTCGACGAAACTACATAGACTATGACTCTCCATATTTCACATCCATACACCGCAGTATATGTCAAATCTCAAGTTTCAATTTCTCGTAGCCACAGAATCATGCTAGTGTTCCGAGCATTGGCGCTTTTCTGCGCCTCAATGGCGTTCGTGGGTGCTACCGTGGTACTGTCGCTACGCGAGAGTGCACTCAACTCGCCTAATTTTATCATAGAAGCGACTAACTCTGATCTTTCACTTTTCAGCGGTCCTAGGTCGTACTACACTTTACTCATATTAACGTCTACAGACCCCCGCCACGAGTGTGAATTGTGCTTGTTGCTTGAAAACATAGTCGCTAAGGTGTCTAGGTCGTATTTCCGGGACCATTTTGCCAGTGATCTGGTTTTCATAGCCAAAGTCGATATTGTGGATCGTACAAATATCGATATTTTCGACCTGCTTGGGTTGTCAGAGATCCCCCATATATGGCTTGTGCCACCTTCGCATCGTATAGGCAACTTGGAAGCCGATAATGAGTCGTGGGAAGACAAGTTGTACATCTTGAAGCAACCGCACTTGGAGTTTAAGCTTCCAATTGCCAACGAAAATACCCAAGTCATGGCCATGGCGCAATGGCTCGCAGAGACGATCCTGAAACCCATCCATGTGGAAGCGGCGGACGGGGGAATGTACTATTTTGTTCGCAATTTTGCAATCACATTTGCGCTCATTCTCATTGTGAAAAAACGGGGTCCACGAGCTTTCAAAAACGCTGGAAAAAAGCCGGTATACTCCATTTTGGCTATAGTTGCAGTGCTACTATTCACGTCTGGATATCACTATACAACGCTGCAAAAAGTGCCCTTTGTCGCTCAGAACGACGACCGACAATTCATATACATTTCGGGCGGCAGCCACTACCAATTTGGAATTGAAACTTTGATAGTAGCAGCAAACTACCTTGCACTAGCATCTGCTACGCTATTATTGATTTTTCTTGGCCGTTATAAGGTAAAATCTACACGATTTATTCACAGTGAAAATATGCGAGCGACGTTAATTTCAGTCACTGCTGTTGCAATTTTTCTACTTTTTAGCTGCTTGACGTCCATTGTCTTGAGAAAAGACCACGAGTACCCCTATGCATTTGCAAGACTATTTTAGTTCAATTGCTGCAAATTCTGTAGCACCTTTGGCTCATGTTGAACATCCGTACACCAGCTTATATTTCAACTTCGCGATTTACGCGTAAAAGGTCAAGATGACGACGTTGAAGCGGGCAGCAGTTCAGGGCGCAAGTGTTGTTTCCAAGAAACCCAAGACCATCACTGACTTCTTCCGGTCACTGGAAACGATAAGAACCGTTTCAACTTCATCCAAACTACCCCAAACCCAAAAATCACCACTTCCCAAGCCTTCTCAACAAACTCCAAATTCCACTCACGATGTTTCTGATGACCCAGACTACTCCAAGTTTTGCTCCCAGCATAACTTCAACAAAGAAGAATGGGTGGCACTGCTTTCGGAAGAACAAAAATCACTTCTTGCACTTGAAATAGCCAATCTCCATGTTTCATGGCTCGCTTTTCTTCACAAAACAATCACCCAGCCATACTTTCTCAACTTGAAACGGTTTCTTGCCAAGCAAGTGGGCAAAACCATTTTTCCGCCGTCGTCACAAGTTTATTCTTGGTCACATTACACTCCACTTCCTACCGTCAAATGTATAATAATGGGCCAGGATCCATACCATAATCACAACCAGGCCCATGGGCTAGCCTTTTCAGTCCTCGAACCCACGCGTCCTCCCCCGCTGCTTTTGAACATATACAAGGCACTCAAGTTAGATTTCCCCTCGTTTGAAGTTCCCGACTACAAAACGTTGGCTAGTGCCGGCAAGCCTGGAGGCGGCAACTTGACCAAATGGGCCAAGAACGGGGTGCTCATGCTCAATGCTGTGCTCACGGTGGAGAGCCACAAGGCCAACAGCCACGCTGGCCAGGGATGGGAGAAATTCACCGAGGAGGTTTTGCGGGTTGCAATCGAGTACTGTGCAAAAACACCAAATAATGGCATTGCAATAATGGCATGGGGCTCCCCGGCCCAGAAACGAGTGCTGATGTTCAACAAGCAATTGGCAGACTCCAACAAATATATCGTGATTAAGAGTGTACACCCTTCTCCGCTTTCGGCCAGCAGAGGATGGTTTGATCTGCATGTGTTCCGCCAATGCAATGAGTGGATGGGAGAGCACGGGTACACGAAGGTGGACTGGGGGGTGATGGAGGGCAATGTTGTGGAGTAGAGATACAGAAGAAGAAAAGGAGAACAAGAAGAAGAAAAAGATGTACCAGAAGAACAAAGCAGATGAGTACCAAAAGAGACCCAAACAATATTAGAATAATACATCCACCAATTCAGCACTGTCTTCGCCTTCTTCTGTTTACCTAACCAATTGGTTCTTGGCAACCTATACTTGCCTAAGACTCAAGAAAGTTCAGCTCGCAATGTCCACTCTGTTCCGTTCTTCTCTCTCTTGTTCACACCATGCTCGTGATACACAGCCTCTGATACATGTAGCATATAATATATAAGACATAGGTCATAACTGTGGTAGATATAGCAATGTGAAGAACGTGTTCTTCTATTTGGGTCCCGTTACACAATCTGCTACCGGATGTGCGCATAGGATGATAAAAATTTCGCCTGGTATTGAGTTCATAATTCATGCGCTCGATAACATGAGATCTCACGGAAGATTCAGACATGGATTACATCAGTCGTCCTAATTTTTCACCGCTACCCGAAAGCCAGTCAATTTGGTTTTTGGCAAATGTGCAAAGCTCTTCCATGTTTTGGTCTTTAAGATGAGGAAACTCAATTCTTTCTTCGCATAAAATTCTGTGAATCCGAGACCATTGGTCTAACTCAAAATCGACTTTCTTGTCGTCCTTTCCTTCCTTTTCCCCAGGTCTGATGTAACTTAATCCATTGAACAACCTATACCGAAGCTTTTTGGCATCCTTGTCATATAATTCGTCCCGACTCCAGAGATCCAAAGGGTCAAGCTTCGGAAAGTTGCAATGCAAAAACATCACCGACTCAACATCATGGGTGTCGAACTCTTTTCCCATGACGTCGTCAATATGCTTGGCTTGTTCCTTAAAAGATTTTGGTTTAGTAGGATATGGCACATCGATAAAGTTAGCCTTGTATTTCCTGTGATCAATTAATGGACTTTTCTGTCCCATTGCCACGCCACGAAATTCGCCATTTTTATCAAAGTAACCATATGTCCTTATTAGCGACTTTACCTGATAAAACGACTGGTTTGCTGCAACAGCAGCAGCTAAAAATGTATCTTTGTCACCCTCTCCAGGCTCACCCAAGGAGAACAATTTATAATACAAGTGAGGTCCAAAGACATTATAGTACAATGATAGCATCAATGTGTGGGCGTGCAGTTCCTTGTTGATGAACAACTGGCCAGATTCTGTAGAAGGGTTTGGTACCGTCCCTTCGAGATCATGATAAGGAACGGAGTTGACATCATCGACATTGGAAGTTCCAACAACATGAAGTGGCATTCGATTGTACCAGACACGGAGGTGCTCATTAACCTTGATTCCTGCGATATCGTAATAGTGTGGTGAAATTGTTCGTTTCCAATAATCCGGCCAGGTTATCATACCACATTCTTGATAAAGCTTGCTTTCAAATACGTCGTCTGGCTTTTGTATTGCCATATTATCAGAATCAAGCAAAAGAATATGCTGAAAGGACGATGCTATCATGGCCAACGATTTTAGTTGGTAGGATGCCAACTCAGAGGACCAATTCTTCATTACCGTGGGACCGAGAATTTCAGGAATTATCCGGCAACGGGCATTAATTTTGGGCAAGACCTTGACACAAAAGTCTGTTTCTTTCTCAAAATCTTCAAAAGAAGGAAGCATTATTTCTACGGGAATGTTCAGACCAGTTGCTCGAAGCTCTTGAATGGACAAGTAGGAGAGCCACGAAAAGCGTCCTCCTCCAACCATTACTATGCCCTTGGAACCTTTCCGGTAAGTCTTCCATAACGATTGTACAGGAAGATCCCGCAAAACCTGCTGATGCTTTGTTTGAAGTTCCTTGAGAGTATTGTCCGAAATCACCGCTCTCGACAATAAAGCTGCGCGGGTTTTTCCTTTCACCTGCTTCGATTTTTCCGTGTAACGAATAAGTTCACTGGACTCCAAATTGGGGATTTTTGGTCGGTTTTCGGAGAACAATTGGAATACGCTTGACCAATAGTCATTCTCTACATGTAAGTTGTTTGGCCACAATGAGTTTAAAGGTGAAGGGGCTTTTGGTATGGCGCTTCCTTCGCTTAAAAATTCATTTCCGAGAGAGAAGGCATTTTTAAGCGAATAGAACACAAGACCAACCACAACAAGAAGTACCAAAATGCGCACTTTTTGTCTTCCAACATATGAAAGAAATGACATTTGCCACAACTGTTGAGGGAATTTTCCCCTATTATAATGACAACACGGCTTCAGCCATTTGAAGAAGGGCACAAAACCCTCATGGAGATAACGCTTGGTACCTTTCGTAAATCTCCAAAAAAAAAATAATGAATGCTAGCACGTGAGCACTTTTTAATTGAGAACAAAGACAATGCTTTTGACACAGTTCTGTACATCTTTCGATATACGTCGCGTAGTAATGTGCCAGCAAGTTTTGGCAGTAACCAAGTAAGTTCAGAATGTAAGACCCAGTGGCAAATAGGCACATCAAAGACTTGTTTGCGTAATGAAAATGCATAGTGCTAATAATAGAATGCGGCTGAAGATCTGACGTGCTCCACTTTTTCGGGGTAAACAAACTACGTCTCGGTTAGAGCACATGACTGGTCCAGATGGCTCTCCAAGAGAGTCAGTGGAGGACCCGAGAATATCAGACTCCTCTAGCCCGGTCTCGAATGTCGAACATTGGGCTTACGGGAAAGTGTGTAAGCAGTTGCGCCACACTTCTGAGAAGCTGGAGAAGCTCATTCATCATTAATAAGAAAAGGGTTCCAGGGGTTCAACATCAATAGGAAAGGGTCCCAAAGAGGGGAATCTCCAGCTAAACATCTGCGACAAAAGCATGAAATCGGACATTTTAGCGCCACGCCGAAACAAAAGGCAAGCTAGCCGCGAGCTCAGGCAGAAAGTACGCGAGTTGTACACGACAAATCATTCATATAGGTTCTTTGAGGCTGTTATGAAGACGTAGTAAAGGCAAATATGAAGTGCCACAATTCGAGTATCACCGCAAAGTTAAGGGTCAAATACAGGTGACATTACTTGCCGCCTTTTCAGTAATGCGATGGACCATTGGCTCCTAAGAAAGCTCACTTGGACAAGGAGATTGCCTCTAGAGTCGGTTCAGCTTTTCCGTATCAGGTCAGCTAGTCCGTATTCTGTATTCAACATTTCATAAACGCTTCTCGTATAAAGGACCACTTCGTGCATAGATTTCGTTGCTAGACTGTTCAGCCTAAGTTGCAAGGAAAACCTCGAAGATTCAGAAACCGCAGAACCCTTTGCAATCTGTGGCAAAATTATTCAAATCTTTATTCTAGTGTTGTAAGACTCTTCAAATTAACAGTGCTCCGTTAAGCCGAAATCAAACTTCATTGTACAAACTGAGCCACAAGATAAAAAACGAACCCCATAAAAATGATCAAATTAATTTATATCAAAAGTAATTCCGAATCATAAACGCGACCCTTATAATTTATAGACCATAAGCAAACATTTTTTCCACCTGCTTTTCGCACCCACTGCGGCGCAGGACCCCCTATCGATTACTGCATCTGCCATCCCATCTCCGCGCGTATGGATCCATCGTCGCCGTTACCCGCGCCCATATACCTGAATTTCTTAGCAACATACAACTCCCAAACCTCACCTACACTCTACTATGCCCAAAGAGTCACGACAGCAACGCATCGACCGCTACATACTATCGGCTGACCCCAAGGTGGCCAAAGCCAACGATGTGGACGACAGCACCAAACGGTTCAAATATCTTTTAGGACTTACCGACCTTTTTCGCCACTTTATTGATATCAACGCCTCCAAAGATCCCAAATTCAAGAAACTCGTCAAGCAGATCGACTCGCAAATCGAGTTTGAACAGCCTAACAAAAAGAAGAAACAGCGGAGACGCAAAACTGAAAAAGAAGAAGACGCCGAATTGTTGGAAGATGAAGAACATATTGACGACGACGAGTCCCATCTGACCATCATCACGGAATCCCCGCTGTATATCAAGGACGGAACCTTGCGTGAGTACCAGATCCAGGGGTTGAACTGGCTCATCTCCTTGTACGAAAACCGACTCAGCGGCATACTCGCCGACGAAATGGGGTTGGGAAAAACTCTTCAAACGATTGCATTTCTCGGGTATCTTCGCTACATCAAAAATATCGACGGCCCCTTCATTATAATTGTGCCCAAGTCGACTTTGGACAACTGGAGACGAGAGTTCGCCCGGTGGACCCCAGAAGTCAAGGCGGTGGTTCTACAGGGAAACAAAGACGACCGGGCGGAATTCATCAAAAATTGCCTTTTGCAGGCGGATTTCGACGTTTTAATCACCTCGTTTGAAATGGTGATGCGTGAAAAGTCCCAGCTCAAGAAGTTCAGATGGCAGTATATTGTGGTGGACGAGGCTCATCGAATAAAGAACGAAGACAGTTCGTTGTCGCAAATCATCCGGTTGTTTTACTCGAAAAATAGGCTCCTCATAACCGGTACTCCCCTCCAAAATAATCTCCACGAACTCTGGGCTTTGCTCAATTTTCTCCTTCCTGATGTTTTCGGCGACTCCGAGGTGTTCGACGAATGGTTCGAAAGCCAGGGCTCGAAGGAAGAAGGTAACCAAGACAAAGTTGTCCAGCAGTTGCACAAAGTGTTGAGTCCATTTCTTCTTCGGCGTGTAAAATCGGACGTGGAAACTTCGTTGCTTCCCAAAATAGAAACCAACGTCTACTGTGGAATGACAGAAATGCAAATTCGATGGTACAAAAAACTCTTGGAAAAAGACATCGATGCAGTCAATGGCGTTGTAGGTAAAAGAGAAGGTAAAACAAGACTTCTCAATATAGTGATGCAGTTGAGAAAATGTTGCAACCATCCATATTTATTCGATGGAGCAGAACCTGGCCCACCATATACTACCGACGAACACTTGGCGTACAATTCTGGCAAAATGATAATATTAGACAAAATGTTGAAAAAGTTTCGTGAACAAGGCTCTCGTGTGTTAATTTTTTCTCAGATGTCACGTTTACTAGACATTCTCGAGGATTACTGCTACCTACGTGACTACGAATATTGTCGTATCGACGGCTCCACTGCACATGAAGACAGAATTGAAGCCATTGATCTGTACAATGCTCCCGACCTGGACAAGTTCATTTTTCTATTGACGACCAGAGCCGGTGGTCTTGGAATCAATTTAACAAGCGCGGACATTGTGATTCTTTACGACTCTGATTGGAATCCCCAAGCTGATTTGCAAGCCATGGACAGAGCCCACAGAATCGGTCAAAAGAAGCAGGTTCATGTGTATCGATTTGTGACAGAAAATGCAATCGAAGAAAAGGTTTTGGAGAGAGCCGCGCAAAAGCTAAGATTGGATCAATTGGTTATCCAACAAGGTCGACAAGTAACCAATGCTAATGCCATAGGGAACTCCAAGGATGATTTGCTCGGTATGATCCAGCATGGTGCCCAGAAAGTTTTCGAGTCTCAGAGCGGCTCTTCTTTGTTAGACGATGACATCGAAGCGGTCTTACGAAGGGGTGCTGAAAAGACGGCGAATTTGAATGCTAAATTTAACACTTTGGGCTTGGATGATTTGCAAAATTTCACTTCGGACTCATCTGCGTACACATGGAATGGCCAGAATTTTGCAAAGAAAGATCATTCTAATGGATTGGGACTAACCTGGATCAACCCATCCAAGCGAGAAAGAAAAGAACAGACGTATTCTATCGACAGTTACTACAAGGATATGTTGAAAACCACCCAGAAAGGTAATGGAAAATCTCTCACTAATACCAAAGTCAGAGCTCCAAAAGTCTATAATGTGCAAGATCACCAGTTCTTTCCTGAAGGTTTGAAGGAGTTGTTGGAAAGAGAGCAGCTTTCTTTCAAGAAGGAAATTGGCTACCGTTTCAGTCTAGACGAATTTGGCGATAGCGATGAAGAGTTTTTAGCAGATGAGTTCAAAAAGGATGGGTTGTCACGCGAAGAGAAGCGGAGAATGGAGCAGGAAAAGATTGACAATGTGGTACCACTAACTGAGGAAGAAGTCGAGTTGAAGAATAAATTGTTGGAGCAGAGCTTTCACAATTGGACCCGTCGTGATTTCACAAACTTTATACATGCTTCAGCGAAGTATGGAAGAACTTCATATGACAAGATCGCACAAACTTTGGGCAGCAAGACGCCCGAGGATGTCGAGAGATACCTGAAAAAGTTTTGGGAGTCGTATTCGTTAATTGACGGATACGAAAAGTATATTTCGCAGATTGAAAGCAGTGAAAAGAAGTTTGCAAAATTGCTGAACCAATGGAGATTGCTCAATCTCAAGCTTGACCCGTTGGATGATCCCTTGGAGGACCTCAAAATCCAATATCCCCCTAACAACTCCAAGCGAATTTACTCGAAACTTGAAGACCGGTTCATCTTGTACTGTGTTCATAAAATTGGTCTTTTCAGTGAAAACTTGGCGGATAGAATCAAGGAAGAAATAGCAAAGAGCGATTTGTTCAAATTTGATTGGTATATCAGATCCCGTACTCCGCAAGAGTTGGGAAGGAGAGTGAACACGCTTCTTCTTGCCATAACGAGGGAACTTGAAGGACCGGCAAATTTGAGAAAGAAAGGAAAGCTCAGCAACTCCAATAGTAGTTCGCGAGTCGGCTCGGTAGAACCTTCTGGGAATGGAACAGCCAATGGAAACAAACGTTCCAGGGAGGTAACTGCGGGTCCTGACAAGAGAAAAAAGGTTTAATTGTCAATGATAATGTATATATCTAGAGGTATTGTTTACAAACTTCCTTTTGTACAACCGAAATGTAGTATGGCACCTTGTTAGCAGTCCAGCTTACCGACATGTTATGTTCCATCTCGTGTTTTTCCACCTGAAGATAATCAAAGACTGTGTCGTCGAAGCTAGCCTTATATCGGGGACTAATGAAATTTCGGAGACTCACGATCTTTGACCCAGGACGCAATCCGTATAGTAATTTTCCCACTTTGTAATTGAGTTCTGCGTCAAACAAGTAATTGTTAACTATCAATATGTCACAATCAATGACTGTTCGGCGTACCTGTTCATTATCAGCAAAGCTTTGCAGAAGCGCCCATTCAAGATTTAGCTGTTTGAGCCCAAAAACACTCAAGTTTCGTTGCACCATATTGGATTGTTCAAGTGTAAGTTTGGATGCGTGGGCCATTAGTTCACAACCACCGCTTAAAGCGGCTCCAAATTCAAGTGCAGCTTGAAGAGTAGTATTACCGACTCCAGAACCCAAGTCGTAGAATTTGTGATGAGGTTTCATTCCAACTTTGGTGAGCACCTCGCTTGTAAAACACGGAAGCAACTCGCCGTAAACTTCAGCAGTGAAGGCTTTATAGTAGCGAAGTTTGTTTGAAGATATAGAAACAACTCGTGCGTAAACTCTGGAAAGTATTTGGTGCAATGCGTAACGAGATATCTTTTGGTTCGAAGCGAGTTGGCAAAAGAAATCTCGCTTGTATCTTGAAATGGAATCACCAGCCAATACACTGCCATTGGAGCCAGGAATGACAGTATGGTCGTTGTCGTTTGTTTCATTTGTTTGGTTTTTGTCTTGTTTATCGCCTTGGTGTTTTGCAACGAGCTTGGCTATCTCTGTATGGAAAATGTTGATTTTTAGATCGGATTCAGAAAACTTTTCCTCGATTTTTTTGGTGTACATTCTAATCTCGGGGTTGATGTCGGACCAGAAAGAAGGGTTGGGCGAGAGGTGAAGCACCAACTGGTTCCACTTGTCTATGATTGTCACAAATGAAGCCAAGTCATCGTCGTCGACTGCTTCCCGCAATTTCTGGCAATAGTTGGTGACAATTATATTCCTGATTTTTGTAGATCCTGAAAAGTACAAACCGTAGTTGACTTGGAAGAATTTGATGATTTCGTCGACGGGGTCAAGCTGGTTACTTTTGGGTTGTGCAAGAACATACTCTTCGCAGTGCATTGGATATAGCAAGAACCGAATACGGATTCTATTGTTCACATTGGCCACTTCTTGGCCATCGCTATTGGTTATGAAAAGTGTAGGGAACGAACTGGGCAAATTCTTGTAATGCTTGGTGTGCTGTGTGATCAAATTGCTTGCAGAGGTATCGACAGAAACACCTAATTTTGGTTCCACGTTTGTCACAAGAGGTGGAAGAGAAGGAGCGTCTATGTATATGGAATCTGCAAATGCATGTCTGCCGTGGAGTGGAAGAAAGGTATCTTCCAATATATTTTCAGGATCAAATGGATTATACTTGTCTCCCGAATCTTTCGACTCTGGAGTCTCGTCTTTCACAGTCGCTTTGGTTCGTCTTCTCTTGGTTCGTGGCTTTTCCTCTTCTATTTTTTCAGGCTCAGGAGAAACCTGTTTCGTCTTTCTTCGTGGCCGTAATCTCCTTCCGTCCGTAGGCGCTTCGTCTTCAATTTCGCCGTCTGGCTTTTTTCCTGCGTTGAACTCGCTAGACGTGTACCACTGTGAAATGTACAACAAACGATCAAGGTTATTCTTAAATTTTATACGACGAAGAAACGGATTGAACTCGGTGCTCAATCTGTCCACCGCAACGTCGTCTCTAAATGGATGTTCCTGGCGGATTTCCTTGAGAGTGTGGTTCGATGTGGCAAGCTTCTCGATGCTCTGGCGCTCTTCCACCGTTGTGGCTTCGGGATCATATTCTTCCAAAGTATTGAGTATGTTTTGGATTTTTTCACCATCAATAACGTCGATTTTTGTCCGTAAACTGGTCATAGAAAGATCCACTTGGACCAAATCCTTGAGAATCGACACCAAGTCTTCCTTGTTTTCGATCGATATCCCGCCATTTGGTTGTTTTTCTTCTGGTAAATCTTGCAGTGGAGTCACGATTGATTTTATAGACATCACCGAATTCGTGTCTGAAGGAGTTAGCGGTTCTGGAGTTTCCTTATGAATGGTGTGGTGCATATCGACATAAGTGTTGATTCCCACGCCGTTGGGAGGATTGGAAAACACCCCACACTCCACACCTTGGATCTGAGCCATGTATCAAGTGTTGATAATTCGCGCGTATTTCAGCGCTTCAGCCTGCCTCGCAGGAAGGAATGAATATATTCGCATTCTACCTAGTTGAAGTAGCTAAAAACTTACAACTTGCTCGCCCGCAAGCCATTGAGTCGAAACTTCAAGTCCTTCAATAATTTTGTTTCTGGTTTCCACAGCTCGAACAATTCATACAATTCATTGATTTCATCGTAGCCATTTTTCCCCACATCCCTTCCATTATCAACCAGTAGAAGCTTATTGTTATTTGGCCAGTTCTTCTCAATGTTGAAGAGAAGTCCCCTGAGGCACCACGGGAGTATAAATGGGTTGGTGCCCACCTTACTAACGTTGTACTCTTTGATGTAAACCTGGTTCGTAAACGGCAATTTGTGCACTTCGTCCGCACTTGCGGCTGCATCCAAAGAGTCATAGCCACCCACACCTTTCACCAATGAGCCCTCCGACAAGCCCTCGTGATTCGAATTGGCCAGTTCGGCTATCATATGAGAAGAAGACGTTGGAGGAATTACAATGTCATCGGTGTCGAGAGCAAATTTGATGCCCAAATCGTACACTTTTCCATCATTGTAGATCTTGGAATGACCGCCGCCCGTCAAGGGTCCCGCAAGAATCGGACTGAGCTCCTTGAGTACATTATTGTCAAAAAAACCAATGTTCAGAAGGTGACAACAAAGCGACACCAATTTCGAGATGAACGGAGGAGTCAGCGATGCATGGTCAATGTAACAAGCACGGTAGATGTTGGGGTGAAACACATGCGACGCAACAGCAGAGTACATGGGCACAAGCTGATCATTGATGGAGCCAATAAATGTCAACTTGACATTGGCATTGATGATAATTTGCATCGATTCTTTATACGCCAACGACTGCTCACTGGTGAACTTTGTCAATTCAAAGAGCTCCATGAGCGAGTCGTGCTCGATAGCCGAGTATGCTTTCATGAAGAAAGATTTGTCCACCCCATAAAACGGACCGTTGTTGATGCCTGCCATTCCCAAAAGACCAATGCGCTTTTTGATGGCATCTTTCAAGATTCCCAACTTGATGAGACGAGCAAGAAGGATGATCGAAACCACACAGCCTTGCGAGTGTGAGGCAACAAAGATGAAGTCGGCATCGTTGATTTCTCGCTGCCATTGGGTCAAAATGTCAGTGAAAAACTGGACTCGGTCGAATATCTTTCCCTCCTTTTCAAGGGCGATTTTTTGAATCGAAATGCTATTTGTTTCGTCATCCGAGATCATGTTGTTTTCCATACAGTAACGGATCATTGCCTTTTCGGCTTCATTTGCAAACTTGAGAGACGTTCCCTTGGGTGCACCAATAATTGGTCTGATCATTCTGGTGGGAAAAAAACCATGGATTCCTATTATAAGAATCTTCTTGATTTTGCGTAGCGGACCTGCTTTCTGGGTAACGATATTAGACTGAAATGTTCCGCTTTTTTGGTCGCTATTAGGCTTGTGGTTAATCAAGAGATTCCCCATAGGATCATTGCTGATGGTGACTCCCTGCTCTGGATTGTACAGGTAATTGTGCTGCTCCAGATCCTGGGTGTGGCCGTCGGCCGTGTAGTACTTGTTGTAGTTGGGAAGGCACGCTCTCTTTCTATTTGGCAATTTTGCAAGGCTGCGGCCGTAAAGTCTATAGGTTTTTTCATACAAGAGATTGACTTCTCGCTCAACCTGGTCGGATTCGCTGATTTCTGCGTGTGCACCTCCTTCGGCAGAGTCTTCACTTTCCACGCCATCTTCTCTGTCGGCACTTCCAACTACTCCCACGAGAGACTGAGAGCTGAAACCAAGTCTGTTCAGAAGCTGGTTCAATACTTGGCGCCAACTCCGAAGGTCTAGTTTTTGATTTTGTTGCTGGTTCTGGTTTGCAGTAGAAGCAGAACCGAAAAGTGACAGTGCAATCCCGGTGGTGGAACTCAGAGACGAATTTTGCAGCGGAAGACACAGATTCCAGTTTGGAACGATAAGGTTCTCGCGGAGGTTTTCGTTCTTGTGAGTGTTGATCTTGTTGAACTGCAGCGCCAGGTCATGAGGTTTATAGAGCACAGCGTCGTCCACTTCACCGTCCTGTTGTTTCTGGTCGTTCGCCAAAAGATCCTGCTTTGTAGGAAGCGAAGCCGTCGTAAGAAGAGTATTTGAAACATCACGCTTTTTGTCCTTCTCTTTATCGGTTTTCTCGTCCTTGTTTTCTCTTTCCCTGTTGTCCTTTTGGTCCTGGGAACTCTCGACTGTGTTCTGGTTGCTCCAGAAACTCCAGCCTCGTTTCTTCTTCACTGCTCTTTCATCAACCTCGTTACTGTAATCCTCCTCCTCTTCCTCTTCTTCATAGTCTCCTTCTTCGTCGTCCATATCCTCATTTTCGTAGTCTTGGACTTCGTCGTTGCCGTTTGATGTGTCGTCATGGTCGTCCTCGGTCTTCATTTTCAACCTTCCTCCCCATAACCAGCTACGAGATGGAATCTCCAAATTCTTTGCTTTTGGCGGTTGCATGGCACTCGAACCAGCGGAAAAGTGTCTTTTTCTATTGCCATTAGTGGATTTTTGTGGTGATAACAGAAGAGAACGAGGTGGTGTATTTTGGTTCAGTCGACTTTTTATTGGTTCTGGTTCTTGTAGAGTGGTTGTAGGAGGTTCTTGAGTAGAGTTCCACAAGGGAAGCCAGGTATTGGGTGCCATGGAGTGTGAAAGTGGTAGGGTGTAGTGTAACTGGAAAAGAAGAGTGCGGAGATTACATATGATTTTCGCGGAGAGATAGCAAGAGCAGTGCGAGAAAGCGAAGAAAAAGCGAATTCAGAATATAGGAGGAGATATGAAAAAAGAGTATAAGAGTAGGTTGATACTTGAAATTAACGGAAGTTGCTCATTCACCATTGGTTCTTGATCCTGTAATTCAATTCGATCACATATTTTTTTCGGCTGCAAATTGAATACATGCAACCTTGCTCTTATTTCACTTTATACTACAAACTCATAGATTTCATATTCTCTCACCCATGTCTACCGTACTTTCCCATACTTATCTTTGCATGAATTTAGATCTGCTCATCTCCTCATTCTCTATCATATTTTCACTTCCTACTACAACGAATATCTACTAGTCTTTTCTCACTTCTATCTTCAACTTTCTATACTCATAATTGTCTTTGCTCATATTCCTTTTCTCATATCTCTTCTCATTTTTCTTATCATCTCTTTTGTCTATCTCTTCTCATATCTGTCTAATCCATCCCGAGACCAACTATGCCTCCGCACACTACAACCACCACAATATCGTCCTTGGTCAAGTTTCCTAAATCTTTGAGAAACACCTTGCTGTCGAGCACAGCAGTCAATGCTGCTCCACAAGAAGCTTCTACCTTTTTCCCAAACAATTTGTGGTACTTTTCCGCAGCCGATTTGGCTTCCGAGTCGTCCACCATTTTAACCACAGTTTTTCCCTCTCTATAATTTTCAAGGGACTGTTGAGACAAGTATGGAGATGCCAACGACGTGGTTGTGGTCTTAATAGTGGGCAAATTCACCACTTTTCCTTCCTCAACTGCACTGGAAAATGTGGGGGTCTGGAACGTCTCAATTGCAAGAACAGAAGTTTCGTCCATTTTATTACGTTTCAAGCCTTCTACAACTCCATTGTAAAGACCACCACCGCCAACACTGCACACAACTCCTTTTATGGCTTTGGCATCATTGGGACGCAATTGACTTTTGATTTCGTCAACCAAAGTAGCATGGCCATCCCAGATCACAGGATTGTCAAATGGGTGTACATAGACGGTCTGGACATCGCTTGGTGCACTTTTCATGATTACATTCCGCAAATGGTCGTCAGCAATGCCCCAATGCTCTCCAAACATGATTACCGTGGCCCCCAATTTTTCAAGATTTCCAACAACAGCCAGCGACCACTTTGGAAGAACAACCGTGCACGGAACGCCGAGTTCTCTGCTGGCATACGCTGCTGCTAGCCCGGCGTTGCCTCCGGAAGACGAATAAACGTGAACTTTAGTTTTTCCGGGCTCTTTTTGGGCCAACTGTTTGCTGATAAGATGGCCGATTCCTCTCAATTTGAAGCTTCCCGAAGGCTGTTCAAGCTCGTTTTTAAAGAAGACTCGACATGGTGTGTCGTCCAATTGGTCGGTCACTTCCACGAGAGTTGTGGTAACAGATACTCGGGCCATGGTACACCAGGTTCAATAGAAAATCAATTTCAATTCATTTTTTCGCGATAATCAAATTTCAGTGCGAAACTACCCCACAAGATGGCTCGACGAGACGGTAAATCACAGCAGTTTCCCAAGGTTCGTGAAGATATCGAGGACGAAATCCTCGAAGCGTACGCTGAGCATACGGATGGAGACGACTTCCACCTCAAAACTCTCCCAAATTTTTTTCATGAGCTCAGCATTCCAAGTTGCTATTTCACCGATATTTCAGAATGCATTGAATACTACTATTCCCACATTGATGGTCGAGGAATCGACGTAGGGAACACCAACGAGTGGATCACGTACCAAATGCTCATTGCGTATACGTTGACCATATCCTCAAATCCAGACCAGCTACTCGATGTGGTAGACATCGATAAACTCATACGAAACACAAGCACTCTTATCAAGTTCCGTAACAACCATTCGCACATTCTAGCCAGCTGGAAACTATTTGTAGAAGTTGGAGCTCCTGGCTCAAATCCTGAAACTTTTCGGTTGACTCTTCCTCATCTTCAGGCTATCAAAGAACATATGAACTTGGACCTGGGGCTGCATGGACCTCTTGGAGACTCGTTCTTGATCAGTATGTTGAGCTGCTGCTCTACAAAAGAAGACGGGAGCCCCACAAGCTTTTACTTGGACAAACCCAAATCTGGCACCAGTATAACCATTCGAGACTTCGCCGAGATCCTCGGAAACTTGGGAGAGTTCGACTAGCAATAAACTCATGCATATGGATTGGACCGTATTTCCACCCTTTTTATCCATGGTTCCTCCTTCCAGTGTCCTTTAATCTTACCATTCTTTTTCAAGTTCTCACTGTCTAGTCCAGCGCTCGCTTCCACTTTGTCTAGTGCCTCAAGACTTCCCGTAATTTTTCCAATGGGTGTGTATTGGTTTCTGTCACCCAATACCTTTTCGTATTTGTCGGATAGAACTATAAAGAATTGTGAGCCCACAATATGCTCTTTATGGTTGATAGCCATGATCGTACCTCGTTCAATACTTATAGTTTGCGATTTCCAATTGCTCTTTTTGGGCCCAGTAAAAGCATTCTTAGGGTCAGCAGGCTCGGATACTCGGCCTGTATTTGTAGAATCTCCACATTGAAGAATAAATTGGGGAATGTACCGAACTATACAGTTTGCGTTATAGTTACCAGAACCACAATGACGAAGAAAGTTTTCGACATGGTTTGATTGCTGTGTATCCTCGAGTGAAAGAGCTATATCTAGGTCGCCCGTAGCAGTATAAAACTGGGTTAGTTATTGAGTTTGAGTTGTTTGCAGCTACTTACAGTCACGCTCATGATGCGAAAATAAATGAGATCAAAAAGAAAAATAGTGCACTAAAGACTAGAAGACTAAAAGACTAAAACACTAAAATAACTAAAGAACTAAAGACTAGAAGACCAAAAGTGAACTAAAAGTGGGATCATTTAAACAAAAGCCATACTTTGTCTAAATGCTTATAAGCTGAGTTCAATCCTGTAGAAAATACTATTCAATGCTCAAGGACCCAAATTGAAACCTTCCATCAACATTTAAACAACTTAGCTTTTTGTTTATTCTGCTAAGTCACGCGTTTATTGACTCACTTGGTTCCACGCATGCACTTGAGTCCCAACCAGCAATATGCCCACACGATAGAATCAACCTTGGGAGACTTTGGCGCTGCCATCGATGTTCTGGACCCCCAAACCATTGATTTTTTGCTTACGGAAACGGAGGAACTGCTCGTAGAAGAAATCGTGGTTCCCACTGAAAATGTTATTCGAGTACTTCTTACTCTCAGTTGCCGACTCCCAGCCATTTTCTCTCGTGCTGAGGGAAACGATATCACAAGAATGTTGCAAAATGCTTTACATCAACCCAGACAAATAATATCTCATCCAGTTGCAAGTTATAATCAGCGAGCCGAACTTATACTACGGAGATTGTGTGGAATTGTGTCGTCCACTTACACTGATAAACCCCAGATCTACCAAGCTGTGTATTCCACGCTAATGAATGTAATGGCAGACTTTACCTCAACAAAACGAACCATAAACCAATTTGAGTTTGTTAGTGACTCAGAAGAAGAGCTCTTACTTTCAGCAGTGGTCGATGAACATAAGAAGCGAAGCATTGTGGTTTCTCCAAGTAAGAAACCACGCAGTAGAAACTTCAAGAAAAAGAGTTACATTCCAGCAGATATGAGGATCTTTAATGAGCCTGTTATAACCACTGCTGTATGTCCTTCCAAGTCAAGTCCTTATAACTTGTGGAGCTTGATGGAGTGGACGTTTTATTGCTGCTCAAAGTCTTCGACTGTCCAAGAAAAATCCATAGAACTGTCTTGCTTCCATGACTTGTACCAGGGATACAGTAGGTTTTTGCTGGTTTTATGGCGGGTGGTGACGATTAACTTTGTCAATGTCATTGATCTGCTCATGAACGACGGAAGAGGTAACCACAACGAGCTTGTACATATGTTTTTCTACAGCAGTGAGTCGAAGCAGAACGAGATAATATCTGCTTTGGAAGACCCATCTTTGTTCATTTTGAGGGCACTAATGACCCAGGTTTCGGGAGATAAAGAAGAATGGTACAAGCGAATAACCTCGGTGGTTTTCTATGGAATAGAAGAGCAAAAAATACCCACGAGCCCGTACGCAAGTGATCGACATTTGATCAGGAAAAGTAATATTCCGTGCCCTAAACAAAGTGATAGGTGTGATTCCTCAAATGATATGGTTGAATCTATGAGTTTGAGGTTTGAGATCTTGTCGCTTGTATACTACAATGGGTTATTTTTTGATAAAGGCGATGCTTTCTTGGGTCTGAGTGAAGTGGATCCTCAAGACTACGATCTTGTTACCAGAATTCTAGTACAAGAAATGGCGAAACGGCTCTGTAAGTTCAGCTACAGGTACTTTAAGCTGTTCTTCGAGGCTTCATTGATTTCAAATGAAATGTCCATTTTTCAAGTTCCAGCCAATCACTGCAGTCGTATGATGATGGAACTTGCTCGCGAGCTTGTGGATACACTCACAGGTCGCTATGGTATCGATTTGGATGTCAGACCAGGCGCTTCGCAGTTTCCATGGGAAGTTCAATTTGCTCAAGAAATGGTGTCGATAATTGGCCAAAAAGCTTTGTATGAGATGATTGTTCAGGAGAGCGGCAGTAATGGTGGGTTAGAGGAAGCGTGGTGCAAGGCGACTTTTTTGCTTGGTTGGTTACTAGACATGGCATTTACCGAGTTGCAACTGAATTCTCAACATGGCGATTTTTTGCAGCATTTGTGTGAAGGTGTAGAGCAAGCTGACGCCGTAAGTGCAAAACTGTGGAGGCAGGCTTGCCAAAAGGACGAATTACCATTTGTAAAGTATGGAGATATTTTTCGTAGCAGGTTTCCTATTTAAATAATATGCTTGACCTTGAAGTAGTGTCTCAAGTACAGAATCTGCCATGTTCCGAAGCCTACGAGCGAGATGATCACCAAGATGGAAAAGTACTTGACTCTAGAATTGGTGGACTCGTTTGTGTCTCTCATAGTGGCCTCTCTGACCTTCAAGTACTGAAGTTGTGCGGCGATTTCCTTCGTCATTTCCTCGACTTTTTTCAACTCCACTTCTGCAGGCTTCAACTTCTCAGCGGCCTGGACGGCATTCCAGTCTCTGGCAGCAGCCCCCGATTCGATTTCCAACTCTATTTCCCTTGACAATTCCGTGTGACGCGACCATTTTCTCTCCTGGTGGTTGGTGAAACACACATCAAAAGCGGCACTGTAGGCGCTTGTGAACGCCACCTTGACGGTTCCCGCCAAGTCTTTCTTGGATCTGTGCTCGTTTCCCAAAGAATCCACGATTTTCATGTCCAAAACCTGTCCGTCTCCAACCCGTCCATTAGTTTTGATATTGACCACTACCAATTGGCCTTCTTGTACAAAGTCTCTAACACACACTGGCTGTGGTTTGGATTCTGCCTTGACGTCGAGATGCAATGCGGCAGCAAACGATACGAAAAGTGACACTAAATAGAACCAGTACATGTTTGGTGACGTTGATCTGAAAACTGCGTGTCAATTAGTCGCGACGCGCAGGTACAGGAAGGAAGAGTGAGGCAGATGAAAAATGAGAGATGTAGGGAATGAAAATTAAAAGAAAAAAAAAAAGAAAACAAGTGGAAACTAGCAAAAGGAATCTCCGTTTTCTTCTTTTCTGTGCTTCCTGCTTTCTGCTTTCTGTTTTTTTTCTTCTTCTTATCTCAATTTCATATCCGTTTCCATTACCCTTCCTCTCCCACCAGTGCACCAGCACTACTTTCCAATTCTCGAAAATATTCTCACCAACCATGGCCCGTGCAAAGACCACCCACACCATGGTCAAGCTTGTTTCGGCAGCTAAAACCGGCTACGAAAAGTGGTTTAATATCCCTCGTAGCACGCAGAAGCTTAATCTTATTTTATACGACCCGGTGGCTAAAAGACACTGTCTTTTCACCGAAGACAAAAAACGAAGGGTTCCCGAAGTGGTGCCTAAAGACTATAATAGAAAGCACAGGGTATGATTTGTGCGACTCGGCTCTCATAGAGGCGTCTGGATGTACATAGCGAATATAATGATGACGTACACTCTTTTGACATTAGTGCTTTGTTCTACTTTCTTAGTTCTAATGCTTAGTTCTACTTCTATTTTTCTTGTCTATTTTCCTCTCTATTTACATCCCCTTTCCCATCTCATTAACTTTCCAGGTGCTGTCAACCTGGAGAATGGCATTGTCGCCGATGATAGTTGCAACTTCTGCAGTATCGACGAGATACTTGTTAGTAACATCTATCAAGTCGCTGCTTGAAGTATCCAAAAAATTCTCTCTTCTTTCTTGTTTCATGTCGTCGGTGATTCCCTCGATAAAATTGGACGAGCCTTGCGAGGAAATATTGGAAGGAGCATCGACACTCTGGAAAATCGATAATTTGGCCTCTTGTAAATCGTCTACTGTCCATGCTCCAACACTGCCAAAATCAACTAGTTTCGTCAATGCAAATTTGCCAGAGTCCCGGAAGTTTGACACCGATTTCAAGCAGTTGGGATCACGATAAGAGTAATAATTCATTATTCCACTGAGCCCATCTGCCATTAAACCTCCTCCATATGCTCCGTTTGATTCCCGGATCACCGAGTGCAAATGCTTGAATGTCAAAAGCTGTGACAAAACTTGTAACGCTGCTCCATCTTTGCTGGTGTATTCTGCTCCAAGTTTGGCCAACGAGGAGTACCCCACTTGGAATGGCATGTTCACCAAAGTTGACAAATTTTTGCTTCTCACGCCGAGGTCAATGGTGGAAAGTTGGTTCTCAAGGCTCTTCTTCGATGCCGCCGAAACAATCTTGTCATCGAATTCCTTGACTAAACTATCGTTCTGGGCAACACCATTTTTGTCAGCAACCACACTGTAATTGAATCCAAAGTCTCCTCCTGCACTATGGCCGTTCAAGATATGGTCTTGAATGTCTCGAAGAATAGGAAGCAATTCTTCTACCAAGTATTGTTTGCCAGATTGGTCCAACTTGTGATTCAATTCCATGACAAACTTTGCCTGGGCTAATCCTCCAGTTTGCTCAGAAATGTACTTTGTTGGTGTAAGCTGAGAGCTGCTGTAACTTCCAGCAAACGAATGTCCTCTGTCTGCAATTGTGTTCATTTGAGACTGTCCAATACTTTTGACTAGAGTCGATAATTTATCCACAACTTCGTCGTCAGCATTGAATTTTGTGGACGTCAAAATCTCGTGCCAGAGATCGTATACATGTTTGGTATTGTCGGCAAGACTCATTCCTGAAAGCACGAACTTCAAATTGGTCTTCATAATATTGTAAGGATCTGTCTTGTTGCTGAAAGAGAACGAAATTCCGCCGGTGGTTTGCTGTATTCTGGTCTCCAAGTCGGTGATCGACGTTTTCGCCGTACCAGCCAAGTTGGTTAAACACGATGCAAAAATAGGCATGTACTTGTAGTACTTGGTGGGCAAATACGATAAGTCTTTAGCCGCCGTGACATATGTTAAACCGTTCGTATCGACAATTCGTTGCTGATACTTTTTCAGATTAATCTCGGAAAACCTCAAGGCATATTGTTCACCGTATCTGGGTATGTCTCTTAATGTAAGCGAAGGTAACACTGAGATATCCTGCTCTGCTTGCTGGCTCTCTGCCAACTTCAAGCCACGGTCAAAAATGGCTTGTTTGTCTTCTGGCGACATTTGAGAAACTTTTGAGTCAAGAAGCTGTTTCTCGTCCTTGGTCAACTTGTTGGAAAATTCAGCATCGGGAACCATCACAAATTTGAAAACAGGTGTTTCATCGTTAAGTATGGTTTTTTCGATCATGTCGGTGAACATCTTCAATCCGGATTCCTTGTACTCGTTTTTAAACCGGCTAAGAATCTCTTCCACTTTAATTGACGATATTGGATTGAAACCGTTGACCCAGTTGGGCACGATAGAATGGAGCAAACCCAACCCAAAATCAGGTTTATGCTTTTTGAACCCTAGCTCGATCTGATGCAATAATGCTTGCACTCTATTCTCGTAGGAAGATCTTCGTGAATCAAACTCAGGAAGTATATGATTCTTGGTAATTTCTACCACTTTTTGCGGCAATTCGTGAGCTTTTGCAACCGACAAGTTCGACACTCCGACGGTGAATGTGAGCAATGCAGTTGTAGCGTCCAAGCCACTATTGATGGTGAAATCGTCGCCATATTCCAGCTCGATCAATTGCTGGAAAAATGGAGCATTGTGACCGTCACACAACAACGAGCTCAAAACTTTCCATTTAAACATATCGTACTGGGAAGACTCGTTCAAAGGATTTCCCAAGTACCAGGAAATGGAGCTCTTGTATTGTTGGTCAACAGGTTTACTGGACATGGTATCGACAGGTCCTGGTACCTCGACATTGAATTCTTTCTTATGTGGAAGCTTTTCGAAAATAGGAAGCTTGACATCAGTATTACGTTGGCGTTTGCCAAAACTGACCAAAAACTCGTCAAGTTTACGCAAATGGTTCCGAAGAGGAAGAGAGCCATAAGTGAAGGTCCTGGCATTGGAAGGATGGTAGTTTTTCAGGTGGAAGTCAACCAAGTCCTCGTATTGGAGAGTGACGATTTTAGAAGGATCTCCGCCAGAATTGTTGAGCGAAGCATAAATAGCTTCCTGAAATTTGATCCAAAAGTAGTAGCCCGAGTTGGAGTACTGGCCCCTTCATTTCGTTGAACACCACACCCTTGAATATTATTGGTGATTTAGAGTCGGTGGTGACTTCATTCTCGAGTCTCCAACCTTCTTGCATGAAATCTTGAATTGCCAACTTGGGCTCCAACACCGAGGACAAGTAGACGTCCATCAAGTTGTCAAAATCTTTGCTATTTGTCGTAGCAAACGGGTAGTATGTGTAGTCATGGCCAGTCATAGCATTCATAAAGTTACTCAAAGAGCGGTTTAACATCTTGAAAAATGGATCCCGAACAGGGTACTTTTCCGATCCACACAAGGTGGTATGTTCCAAGATATGAGGTACACCTGTGTTGTCTGGAGGATTTGTCTTGAAAGCAATCAGGAAAACATTGTTATTGTCATGAGAAGCATCCAAATGGAGGTGTTCCAGACCAGTTTTGCCGTGTTTTAACTTGACGGCTACGAGTGAAAATTCCAGAATTGGCTCAACTTGTTCCACTTTGTAGCCCAGAATGTCCGCTCCAAGCACGTACTTGCTCTGTATGTCTTTGAGGGCGTTGGCATGAAGATTCCGCCGAGCATAATGTCTTAGTTGTGCCCGTAACATGGTGGCGGAGATGAGAAGGTGTGAACGAGACGATCCATATTCCGGCATATACTCATCTTGTTCATTTTCTTTCCTGCTTATATTATCGGCCCTGAACCGCACTCGAATTTTTCACTACCACTATGGCTCACGACTCGGCTCCGGTTTCGACCCTAGGAGGGTTCCTAGCCGGCGGTATTGCTGCTTGCGGCGCGGTTACGTTCACAAATCCCATTGAACTTGTGAAAACGAGAATGCAACTCCAGGGAGAACTAGCTGCAAATCAAGCCGTCAAGATGTACCGAAACCCGATTCAGGCATTTGCAGTTATTTATCGAAACGAAGGTATTCGCGGGCTTCAACAGGGGTTGGTTTGCGGGTACTTGAACCAGCTCTGTCTCAATGGGTGTCGGATAGGATTATATGAGCCGTGTAGGTACCAGCTCACCAAGGTGTTAAATCCGGATAGTATAGTGGAAGGACAAAAAGTGCCGCAGGCGGTTTCGATCAATATTGTTTCTGGTTTCCTCGCTGGATCTGCCGGAGCGGTGTTGGCTTCGCCGTTTTTTCTCATCAAAACTCGAATGCAATCGTATTCTTCGGCCGCAGCCACAGGAAAAATCCACACTTCCACCGGCCAACAGACCTACTACAAAAACACCGCCGATGGTCTTCGAAAAATATATGGTAGTGAAGGGTTCAAAGGACTTTTCCGAGGAGTCGACGCGGCGATTTTTCGAACCGGAGCAGGCTCGGCAGCTCAACTTCCTCTATACTACTTCACCAAGCAACAGTTTGAAAAACACACCAGCATTGATCCCTCAGCACCATCCACCCATTTTTTGCTGTCTCTCGTTGCCGGAGTCGGTGTGGCCATCGTGATGAACCCAGGTGACGTGGTTCTCACCAGAGTGTACAATCAAAAGGGAAATTTGTACCGGGGTCCCATAGACTGTCTTGTCAAGACGGTTACCACCGAAGGTGTAGCAGCCCTTTATAAAGGGTTTTGGGCACAACTTTTGCGGATTGGTCCACACACCATCCTCACCCTCATGTTCATGGAGCAAAGTATGAGGGCTATGGCAAAAATCGAGGGCGAGGGCCGCAAGTATTTATTTGGATAGAGATTAGATGAATGAAATAGAGAAAAAAAAAGTAAAGAAACTGGTTCAAAAGAGTGACAAATCAGTTTATATAGTAGCAAAGCAGCTCATGTAGTGAACAAATCAGTCCCGAAGGTGACCAGAAGAATGTCTTTCATAAAAGTAGTCTGCTCTCAATTCACTCTCTCAATTCACTCTCTCAATTCACTCTCTTCGCACCCTTATCACCAGCCGCACCCGTGCACCAGCGCGGGCGGCAATTGGGCGTCGGTGTGAGGAAGGCAAAAATCATCATCCACACCATTCTTCAACGATAAACTTGGGTGGGTCCTAGTCAAATTCCTGTCACCCCAAGACATCTCCCGCTATATATATTCCGTATCTGATCCCTGGACCCTTCTGAACCGGATATTCGTCCCGTTGCAATTATTACAAATTCTCCACAAACTCCGCTTCAAAATAAATCTCCATTAATTCGAGCTTTGCCTCCCGATTCCGTTCCGTTTACGTTCCTTATCCATAAACGACACTCTCACAACACACGGTCCCATGCGAGATTCAAACTACAAATCCATCGCAAACAACCGTGCGGCCGTCACCATCACCACATCACTTTACGATCGCCGAGCCCTCGATGTAACCAGCGACAAGCCTCTCGTGAATTCGTTGAACCACCTTACTTACCTCGTGTCTTCGCTGGCCAAAGTTCGCGAGACTTTGTCGGCGGATGGCGGCATTGAACGCCTCATTGAAATTCTCCATGAATGTCACAATCTGGTGTTTAATGTGGCCGATACCGTGTTCAACAGCGAGAAAAAGCTCCTCACCGCGTGGAAATGGACGTTGGCGTTCCAGTGCTTGGTTCTTATAGGCACTCGTGGAACAGAGGAGATCCGCCAAAAGGTGGTAAAAGCAGGTATTCTTCCCATCCTCGCCACCGTTCTCGATAACTACCTCACTTTACACGAACGAACGTTTGCCCACGCCAATAGCCGACCCGCTCCGCCTCTCGATGCGCGGTCTGACACCTCGAGAAACGGTGACGATGGTCCGCCTCCAACGGCTTCCGGTAGCATATCCATCGCAAATTTGGACGACACTTTCCTCAATACTCAAAACGAAAGAGACATCTTGCGCTCGCTAGGCACCTCGTACTTGTCAGCCCAGCCGATGTCGGCGGCTGATGCGGCCGCTGCTGCCGTGGCTGCAACCTCCATCTCTGGCCATGACGAATCGGCGCCTTTTCTTGCTCAGTCTAACTCGCTCACCAGCGACGATTACGATAATTTATCCACCGAACAGCTCCTTCAACTTGTTCGCGTGAACCACAAAGCCGCTGACTCCAAGGTGGCCACCACCGTCAACAACGACATCCGTAGACGCTATCTTATCGCCAACATCGTCAAAAAGTTGCGCGAGGACAAAGAAAGTGACTTGCTCGATGACCAGTTTGTCAATGCGGACGACTACGACATGGACAACGGCCTTCAATTCTTGTCTAACATCTACTTGCAGGACGAGCGGTCATGTGGCCAGAATCCTTCCACCGCCAGAACGGCTCCTCGTAACTTTACTGACACCGGTGTGATTATTCCTTGCGATGACGACATCGTGTGGTCGCTTCAGCTCTTGGCATACATCTCGAAATATCCATACCTCAAAGACGTCCTTCAAAAAACCCACCTTGTCATCGATATGAGTATACGTGACAAGCAACTCAAAATGTACTTGGAAAAGCAGATGCGACTCAAGGTAAAGAACCACATGGCAATATTGTCTCGCCCCACCATACGCCCCAAATCTCGAAAGGCTAAGTTATCTAGCGGTTTAGAACGGTTTCAGCTGTCAGCCTCAAACTCACCCCAAATGCTCAATGATCTCGACACCATCGATGACATACTCGATGAAGACAAGTTTGAGCTCGTGGGCAAGGCCGACACAACCGACTGTATCGCGGAAAAGGCCGAAGTTGACGACGACGACGATGAGGATGACGAGGAAGAAGAAGCCGAAAACCATTTGCTGACGGACGACGACGATAGGTATCTTTCGGAATTGACACAGGGCGGAGACGAAAATTCTGGCTCAAGCTCGTATTTGACGAAATTATACGACTCGATAGTCGATGCCGAGTCGATTGTCAATGACTTGGAAAGAGAAGTCACCCTTTTTCATATCAGCGATAAGATCAACCGCTGCATTGAAGTTGAATGCAAACGGTTGAGCAGTGCCATCGCCAACAAGCGACAAGAGCAAAAGAAATTTTTGACCCAGAAATGGGACTACGATACCTACGATGGTTTTGACATCGACGAAACCAGTTTGCACTACTGTGATTACGACGAGTCGCTCATTGAGTACAAAACAGTGAATCTCTTCCCAATTGTGGAAAAATTCACTTTTCTCTCCGGTACCGACATGTACTACTGGTCTGGAGTTATTATGCGTAACTCATGTCGGCGAAACGATTACCGGGGAGGAGTCAGGCAGTGTGGAAATTTGGAGTGCGGAAAATGGGAATCTTATCCTCGCGAGTTTCTGAAGTGTCGCCGTTGTAAGCGCACCAAGTATTGCTCCCGTGAGTGCCAAATGAGGGCGTGGCACTGCCATCGCAACTGGTGCATTCCCAGCACATCCAGCTCTTCAAGCACCACCGTCACCACCGCTACAGGAGCCCCTGCAGAAGATGTTGTGCCGAGACCGGCCAACTTGGACTCGTTGCAGTCTATGCCCTCTGAAACTTCTCAGGACGAAGCGTAAGTGGTGGGTGCAAATAGTGTTAACGAAATATACGAACTGTACGTCGGGAAAAATTCGGAATGTCCGATCACGTGCCGCGGCGCGGTAACCGAAACACACAAGCCGCCTTATTGATTGCCGGTTGTAAGCAAATACCAGCTGACCCAAAAAATGGTCACCGCCAAATTTGTATGGAAGCTCGTGACGGTGCCAGCGGTAATATTGCGTACAATTGTACAATACTTCACTACAGGAACCGTGTATTCCAGAACAAGCTCCGAGTTCACCGATTCCTTATTTAAGAATGTCCATATGTCTGTGATATATCATCTTTCCGGGGCCATAGCAAAGGAGAATTGTAGACAGTTTGTTTATACCAAGATGACCAAGTTTGTAGACAAGTATGCCGACAATGCTATGGTGAAGAATGTGCTTAAAGGTTACGGAGTTGCATACGGCAAGCACTCGCGATGGATAGTGAAAAATAATGGTCCCAATGTGGTTGTGTTTCTTCATGGAGGAGGATACATGCTCAATGTGTTCGAATCACAATATGTGCAATTGTTGGCATTGTACCATGCTTTGCCTCGTCATGTTCAAGACAACTTGTCGATTGTGATAATCGAGTATTCTTTGACGATACACGAGCACACCTACCCTACGCAAATCCATGAGACGTTGGAATTGTACTCGCAATTGGTATCTGATGGGTACAATGAAATCACGCTTATGGGAGGTTCTGCTGGAGGAAATTTGGCACTTGCAATCAGTCGGTTCATCGCTTATCCAGAAGAAGCCGCTGGTCATTTTCTGCAATTTAAGCAATTCGATTTCAATTTTGGACCTTTGCCTCAACCCAAGGCACTTCTCTTGCTGTCGCCTTGGGTGCAACCAGCAACTGCTAACCCAGTTCCTACCAAATACGGAATCGATGTCACTGGAGATTTGGGTTCCAGAGACACTTATATGGGAGACTGTTACCTTGGTGGTGTTTCCAAAGAGGCTACTATTCCGTGGGTAACCTTCACCGAGACGAATTTCCAGCAACACTGGGCAAAAGTAGAGCCTATAGTTACCAACGGTCGTACCTTGATAATCTGCGGAGAACGAGAAGTACTCCGAGCCGGCATTGAAAAATTCGTGGATATCGTCAACGACGGCGGAAACGTCGAGTATGTTTTGGAGAAGGGTGGGGTGCACGACTGCTTGGCCTACGTGGAGAGTTTGGACTACTTGGGCAAAAAGGGCAGTGAGAAGGCACTTCGAGGAGATTTCAATGACAAGTTTTGTTTCAACCAAATCACCAAGTATTTGGATCTTCTTGTATAGACATGGCCTTCTGAGGTCAATATATGTAGTATTCTAATTTATTGGTCAATCAGATCTAATTTTGTATTATTAGTTCATCTCATTTTTCGATCTCACTTTTCAATCTCACTTTCTCATTTTTCACTTCCCCACATTTGATGAGGCACCCCCTTCTTGTGCTCCCCCAAAACTACATTAAGGGTCCAAAATACCTCAACAAGAGCCTACTAGATCCCAAATACTATGATCTCGGCGCCCTAGCCTCGAACCCCTTTGCTTCAGCATTGGTGGAAACAAAGTTGGACGTCTCTTCAAGAACTCGATTTCCCAAAAATCAAACTATCAGGCTTGGTGTTGTTTCCACATCGCCCCCAGTCAGTCCTGATTACCCTTCCCAGAGCAGAACATACCAGCTAACTCCCTTACCAATGATAATCGAAAGAAAACATCGACCTATGCCTTCGTCCTACATGGTGAACAACAACAAATACATCAATTATGTGGTCAAATCTGGTAAATGGCGCCAGTATATCCCTCTGAAATTTCGCTTCAAGAATGATAATGCCATTGGTAATCGGCCACAGATATCTATGGAGTTGGGTAGTGAGGTCTATGAGGTTTTCGTTGAAAAGATTAAGCGAAAATTGCAAGAACAACCACCTTCAACTGAACCGGGCATGGTGGTCGTGGCTGGAGAACCTGGTATACGCTTTGAAGACGGGATGGTGGCACGCATACCACGAGTATGCTTTTCTGGGGAAAAAAGTGTGTTTGTGCCGTTTTCCAATGAACCGCTAGCAATGCTCATTTTACGGTTTATTCAATTTCAGAGCTAATCTATCAATCTATATCTAAAAACTACCAGACACTCTGCTGGCCTGGTAAAAGATCTCCAATAATGAACCATAATGAAGCAAATCGTTCATTTGTCCAGCTGAAGAACAGCCTCCTGAGGCTGCAATTGAACCATAATACTCGTCGTACAAGTGTCTCGCTTCCCGCACAAGTTCTGCCTTGATAGCGTTATAGGCTTGCACCTCATAGTTTCCCCTTGGACTTGTCTCCGTCACAAGGTCAGCAAACCCTGCAAATAACAAGTGTGAGTATTTGACATCGTCATGAACATAAGTGTCAGAATAAAAAATGCTATTGAGGTTACCAGCGCCAATAGCACGTACTGCTAGCTCCAAAGCTTTTGATTTCCAGTCTTTGGAATTGTCGAATTTGCTCAAAAATGAAAAGCCAGAAATTGCTGCTCCAACGGTATAGGATAATTGACCTCGGTTGACGTTGCCGTTGGTATCTACTCCATCGTAAAGAAAATGGTTTTGGCTATCCATGAGGTTATCGAACGTCCAAGTGAGACAATGGATAGCAAATTGCAAATAGGTGTTGTTGGGTTTAATCTCGTATGACTTTACCGCTGCCAAAGCTGCTTCAACGTTTGAAATCAGGGCAAGGTAGTTACCTTTAACACTCCATAAAATACCAGTGCCATTATATTCCTGGCTGCGAATATAGTCAAGCAAATCGTTACCCACTTCAAAAAAGCTGGTATTGCTTGTGGTCTGACTGGCTTTATAAAGTGCCCATACAACCTGGGCATCGTCGTCCGTATAAATATCACCGTCGCGAGCAGTGGTCGCAGAGTAGCCTGCTGCTTGTGTGCTCCGGTACTGAGAAAATGCGTTCATCGCTTTGTGGATGGTGGTATTGTCCATATCATTCGAAACGGCTTTCCCAACTACCGCAACTGGCCATAATACTGGAGTCGAAGAAGTATTGCACTGGTTTGTCCAAAGATCATTTTCGCTGTCCCAAAACCGATCCACAATATTTCGTCCAAGCGATTCGTACACTTCGGTTGCAGAGGCAACAGGGTCTTTTGTGGTGACAGAGACGATGTTGGTTGAGTACGAACCCAATTGGTCGATTCCATCGTCCGCAATTGCTGCTGCAAAAAAACTAGCAAGTGCGAGCACCACCAAAAATACCATTAATATTGGTTCTGAGACTTATCCATCGAAGAAATACTCATTGCCAAGCCTCCCCCTTCATCTTCCAGCTGGTGTTCTCGCCCATTCTGTTTGGGAGCCCGGTGCTTCTAACTCGTGACAATGTGGCTCATGCGAAAGAAGCATTGTCTAACGGCCGATTAGCCGACCGGAATTACCGATGAGTTGCTATGCTATTGTCTATTGTATATAATCAACTAATTGGGTACCGTATAATTATCCTAATTGGGTACTGTCAATTATACAAGTATTGTTCAAGTATACTAATTGGTACAATTAAAACCTATTGGCACTTCAACTATACTAATCGTACTATTGTCTTAATCGTACTGTTGTCTATACATTTCTATACGATTTGAGACAGTTGTCACTCCTATATCATCCACAACGCCAAGGCAAAAACAGCGTTCATTATTGAAAACCCATGTGAGCTTCCACTACCCTTCGACTTGGATGCCAGTGTCAGTGTTGCAGGAGTGTAGGAAACTGAAGATAACTGCTCCGTGGCTGCGGTGCCAGCTTTCAGGACCCAGTCAGATACATCGCTGTTGCTTATAGAAGAATCAAAAGTAGTGGAATTGCTGACGAAAACGGTAGCTTTTCCGTCGCTGTCAAATACTACACCTCCTACCATGGTACCTTCGGTGTCACGAGGAATATAGCCATTGGCCTGGATGCCCGACTCGATGTCGTCAGTTCCCTGGTAGTCATGGATCGTGGAAAACAATTTGTTGACGGTGGAATCGGTATTATTTTTCACCTCAAAGATATCGAATTCTCCGCACCCGGATCTCCAGCATGAACAATTGGCATTAGTAGAGTATTGTGAAGTTCTGGGAATGTGTGCATTCAAGAGCCAGATTGCAGGCATGTTGTAGTTGGAAACCTCGGATTTCAGCACTTTTGACTCGGTGGGCATGGTGAACTCGAAGAGGAACATTTTAGTGGAACCATAGAATCCATGGAAAGCTGGGATTCCAGAACGATACACTCCGCAATCTTTACCGACGCCTGAGTCTCCACATTTAACGGTAGAGAAGATGGAGTACTCATCTTGCGAGTTGATCAAGGTATCTTTACCCAACAATGTTGCAGAGCTAGCTTTGGACACTCCATCGGAATCGGCATAGGTTAACGCTTTTCCCAAGCAAGACGAGTTCAGTCCAGCAGTCGTCAAAAAAGTGACATTCGACGACAGCGATCCGTTATAGTATGCTTTTCTATCCCAATTGTCTCCATCTGCAACATAGTATCCAAACTTGGACAAAGTAAGAGGACCACGGAAATGAACACTGACCTCCTCGTCGATTGGAGCATTTGCGCCCAGAAATTTGGTAACCTCGGTGCTCAATTCACATGTACAACTATCGGAATCGACATTTTTGAGCTCTGACACCATATTGTAAGTTCCGGAATAACCAAAATTGTCAAACTCAATCACACTGACTTCTTGAGCCGAAGATGAAGACGCAGCCCAAGCTGCTGCCACAAATAAAACCTGACAAGCAAAAGACAACATTTGAACCTTCAGAACCAAAACTACAAGGGTTTATCTTGATTTAAGCTGTGCCGGGTTCCAAGGCTTAGACATTCTGGCATAGCCGGGCCATCCTGCCCCTGCAGGTAATTATGCCCGATTGGGATGTTTATGGTTATAACAGGGCAGTGACAGCTGTGCGGTGACGAAGGGTGATTTCAGCGCGCCAAATGAGCGACAATCTCAAAAGTGTCACTGGGTGTTTTGTAGGGCGTGTGCTTGTATTTGGAAAGTTTTTGACCATTTTCAAGGACAGAACAAGCAAATTTGCGGGCCTCCTCGTGGGCCCTGATCCGATTCGGGAATGCGTGCGGCGCGGCTCGGACTTGATGGCACAGTAAAACACGAAACAAAGTGCTTGTTTGTCACAAAGAATTTGATTGTGCCTCCTGTAATTATGCTCCTAGATCTGAGGCGAACGAAGCAATAATCTAAGCCTGCTGACATAACTACATATATGTCTGATGGTCTCAGAAAAGACCAGTCATGGTCCAGTATTGACCACAAAAGTTTGGGGATTATAGCAATGTTACTGATGTGATATTCGCCACGGTGTCAGGACTATTAAACAGTCTGTTGAGTCCGTTTTTTTTTGCTGGTTGAGCCGTTAAGCCGGTGGCCGGTGGGCATTAGGATAATAATCACATTGATATGACATGTCAACGTGTTCTCCAATCCACATAAACTGGCTGAACGGATGCGAGCTACCATGAAACAGCAGCTAAGAGAAACATTCTAAAAGCTTTTTGTGATTGAAAGAGAAACAGTAGCTCTTATATGGAACGAATCGCGAGAAACGCGGCTTCTGTTGCAGCCAAAAACCAGGAACCGATGGAGTGCGAAAATAGACCAATACACAAGAGCTAGTTAGGAAGTGTTCACGCTTTTTTGGTAGTATATGGTCATGGAGAAACTAGAATTTGGAAATAGAAAATGAAATTATAGTATGAAATTAAAATGAAAAAAAATATGAAAATTTGCAGTTATTTGCAATTTGCAGTCATACCCACATTTTATCTGTCATATTCTATCGCGATTTGCACTCTATTTTCAACCACAGCCAATTCTCATTCTCATCGGACTTCACACAACCCATTCCATATCAGCCTTCGTATTGAAACTTTCACACAAAATCTCGTCAAGCAGAGAAAATGCTAAAAATAGAAATTACAAATTTTCACCAAAACAACTTTTTCAAAACTCTTGCCTTTTCCCTATTCTTCACCCTTACTACTCCTACTCTAATATTCCTCTAATTCCCTTTCACTTGTCCTTCAAGTGTCCCCCACATGTCGTGTGAGCACCGCCGTATTTGTCTGAAAATTTTGGACTGCATTCGAGACCGTTACCAACCTACGGAACTGCCGGGCCAATAAGCCTTGGGAATTACTGAATCTAGGGCTTACAGACGAAATATCTTAGCCAGGTCACTCTCAAGGACAACTTCTTTTGGCATTTTCACCATGGTAAATGCTGCCCGTGGTAAGACATCGCACGTCCACGAACTTGCCATGGCTTCTTCTGGTGGCACTACGCTTCTTCCCCCATCATCTCTTAGAGATATCACAGCTATAGTGTTTATTCTACTATCGTTGCCGCAGCTGGTCTCTTGTATGGTGTTTTTGACCTATATATTATCGGGATCTTCAAAGTTGATCGGTGGAAGATTATTTGCAAAACATTTTCTTTTTCGAAAAACATACAAGCAAAAGCCGTTAACACTCGAGGATACTTCCTATAACATATACGCGTCGAAACTCTTTGCATCGTTGTTTCAGGCCTTTTCCATCAACTCCATCATCATATTATTTATGTATCATTTCTTCCCGCTTCAATGGCCCAAATACTTGTCAATATTGGCCAAATCCATTATTGCTTCGGAAATGATCGGTTCTGCATTCAAAAACACCACCACCGTCACTTCTGTGTCTGCTACTACCGCCACTAGCACAACAACAACTACAACCATCAAACGACCCGCAAGTTTCAATTTTACGAAACACAAACCGGCATCGACTTCTTCTGTCAAATATGCATTCATGAGCTTTGTTCTGGTTTTACTCATCAGATTATCGGTGCAAAAATGCTCGCTTGCGTTGGAGCATTCCGAGTTCTACTCGCCCATCGTTCAAACACTTCAGCATATTCAATGGTCATTTTTGAAAAATCATGATTTGCTAAAAAAATCAGACTGCCTTGGAACTTTTGCATCTTCTGTTAGTCATCTGTTCTACTGGCACTCGGGGGTATCCAATGGCTGGGTTTACCGTGTAGTAAGATTTGTCTGCACAAAATGGTTTCACTGTGACGAAAGAGCACTCAGTATGATCTCCAAGTGTTCCAGGTGTATCAACACTTTTCTCAACTACACCTACTTGGTTCTCTGTGTCCATGTAGTTACATTGACGATTTCTCCAGTGTTTCACAGAATCGTGTTGCTAAAAAACTATTCAAAGACCCTCGATGATTTGTCCAGTTTGACACCCAGCTCTGAAATTGACTTCAAACGCAATTTGCAACTTGCCAAAACAAAACGGCCAGCAGAATTGGACGGAGAGTCCGTTACTATCAATGTTGAGCAGCCTCAAAAATCGTCTATCCAGGCTATTCGTGTGCCTGAAACCATATCGTCGTCCTCTTGTCCAAGTCCAGGAATTTCGGCTTCTTTAGCAGCCAAAAATTTTGAAACTTTTTGTATGACACCATTCACAGTGACTCCACCCAGTTCCATGGTCACTCTCAAACCCCACAGAACCACCAGCATTACAAAAGTGCCTCCTCCAGTGCCCAACTCAACCACCATAGTCGATAAAGACTTGGTTAATGTCACCACAAATCAGCCATTTTGGACACTTTTGGCTGCGACAAAAGCTATCATTAAACGCCCCGATTTCTTTGCCGGAGAAGTTACCAAGAAGAAGAACAACGGAGGAGTATTTATATCCACTCTGGACCTATCTCAGAGACTTCCTGTGGCAGTGTGCTACATAGATAGCCAGTGTGTGGTGTTGGAAGTTCTTCAGCGCAAAGGCTTGCGACTTCCTGAGGCGTCTCGATTGAGAGCCAAGGTCAATGGCATCGCTTGGATGAGAACCAGTGCTTACTACGGCGTTGACGAGACCTATATTTGCATTTTTGGGCTCTCACCTTTGTCGCAGTACGAAATTGAAATCTTTGAAATTGAAGATAACCGTTTAGAAAAGTTGTGCCATGTTGTTTGCAGCACGGTATCGTCTGTTTCTCGCGCTGTGTTGAGTCAATCGCAAGAAACTTCGTCGTTTGAGACTTTGCAAAGCAGTTTGATAGCTGCCATCAACGGCCTCAACCAGTTGAAGTCCGACTATAAAAAAATGAAACGAGATGAAAACAAAAAAATTACTGATCTTAAGAAGGAAAGAGATTATGTTCAGAGCAGAATTTCAAAGTACAATCAAAACCTCCTCGATACAAAGTCTAGCGGGAAAATGAAAGGACTTCAGAATACGGTTGCGCAGTTTGAGAATGAGGTTCGTGAATTAAACGAGCGTTTGAGTTCCTCCAATACTACACAAGGAAAGACTGAAAACGAGTTCAAGGCTGAGGAGCGTGAGTACCAAGAGAGAATTGCAGAAACAAACCGTATTGTTGACAGCTATGAAGCTTCTTTGGTCAATCTTCGCAACACCTTGAAGGCAGTAACTTCGGAGGTGCAGCAACTCGAGTCCAAAAAACAAAAGTTGGCCAATAAGGAGTCAGCCCGGTTGGAAGAGGTGCAAAAAGTAGCCAACGACGTCAAGGTGATGAAGAAAAATGGGATTCTCGGGCGGTTGCAAAAAAGGCATAAGAAGGTGGATGAAAAGTTCGAAGGAATCATGGCTAAGATTGCCGAAGCTTCCACCGAGCTAGAATGGCAGCTTCAACGCATCCAGCAATGACTTATGACATTATTATTTACAGAATACACTATTCGTGGAGACACTTTCCCACCGAATGAAATGCTCGATTGTAGTAAAGAAGGCCACCAGTGGCCTGCGTGGATGGATTAGGATTCAAGATATCGTGGACTTCCACCGCCCAAATTTCGTGGGAGTCTACCTCAACCACCTGTCTTTTCTTACAGATAAACACTCGTTCCGCCTCTCGAAGAATTGGGATGTTAACCTTGCTATCTAATTGGTATTCGAACCAATCGTCTTTAGCAACATACTTGAATGGAGTGGTCATTTCATGGAAAACCTCGCAATCTTTTTGTTCTTTTTCATTCTTCTGAAACGAGATCTCGTCAGTTCCAGTCTTCTTCTTTACACCGCTAGCAAATATACGGCCCAACTTTACAGCGTTGGCAGTGGGAGGCATGAGGTGAATAGCCATGCTACTATCTCGTTCATGAAGAGACTTTGATGTGTACGAAGGCAAATGGAGATTAAATGACAAGAGGGGCGTCGGGCTGACTGAGAGCGAACACACAGAAGAGAGTGTCATGCCGTGAAGTGTTGGATTTTTTGAAGTTGATTGCGAATCATTTCGATATGGAGCTGTAAGAATCATAGCCTGAGAGCCTATTCGTGCCATCGCCGAGCAGAAATCTGGAAGGAGCGAGCCCGAAAGTGTGGAATTGTGCCTTGAGAAGTGCTTTCTGAGCCCTGAACATCGTAACATAGTGGGTTAATCGTAGCTGATGGTCTTGAGAGCGGCTTGGTGAAAAGACCCTACACCAGAAATTGTGAGGTGCCCTGTCTTTTGTGCAGTCTTTTGGTGCATTGTTACTTCGTGCAGTCCGTCTATTTACTTGTGTTTTGCATCTACACAAGCGTTTCATTGTACTTTTGAGCACTTTTGTGGTTTTACTATGCTTTTTGATGCAGCATGGAATAATGGTGTGGAACCAGAGACGCTTTTTGATAACTTCTTGAAGTCTAAAGTTTCACAAAGAACCATCAAAAAACCATTACAAGTTTCAGATCACATAAACCGGCCAATTTTTTCCCAAAAAGTACACAATACGGCTCTGCGAGTGGTCGATTCGTACTTTTCAAGCCGAGAAAAGACCCCTATTTCCCAAAAAAGGACAGTTTCCAAGGCATTGGCATGTTTACGTTCTTCAATAAACCGAAAAGATCACCAATTGTATCTATTGAAGAACAGCCAACGGTTTATAATCGACCTTATTGACATTTCCGAGATCTATTTCGCATTCAACGAGCTCAAGGAGCTTAAAAAAGCATTCTGTAATACCCTTGGAGTGGGTTTGAATGAGGACGGTTCGATTCCGTTCGTCGAAATCTCCACAGACTTGGAACCATCATTGTTGAACCTTGTGGTTTCATATCATTTTCTTTACTTGCAATGTCTCCTCTTGGGGTGCAGTAAGTACTCAAAGTCCATATTTCTGGAAACATGCTCGTTTATCACCATCGCTCATGTTTTCAGTGTGCCATCGTTCTTCCTCAAAAACTCGTCATTTGGAAGATGGCTTGCATCTTTACACAGCGTGAAGCCACAAAGTGAGCAGAAAACCTTGCAAAACATGTCCAAGCTCATTGCTGGATTCTGTAGGCTACCAGTGAACTGCAAAACGAGCATGCATGGCAACCAACTTCAACATACATTAAGTTGTCTTCAACTTAAAAGCATAGAGTTGAAGGTGAAGTTGAACAGCCCTGAAAATGACAAAATTCCTTCCTTGGACTCGTCCTTGGAACCTTATATCCTGGAATTGCGAAATGTGCTCGTAGAGCATAATAGAACCGACCTTTTGACTCAGATTGACAATGCTATACAAGTTTTGGGTCAAAAGGAGAAATCTTGTGCTCCAAGTCTCGAAGCTCTTTCTTTGATGTATGGTGAAGATATTGAATCTACAAATTTATCAGCGCCAATATCTCTCGAGAGACTCCAAAGGCTAATCAAAGACAGCGATCATTCTCTTATCGAGCTGTATGTTTTGGAGATAATACCTCACGTTACCGAGAAAGATCTTCCCGTAATGGACAGAGTTACGGTTTACTTGAAAGATAACATAGCAAACTCTTCATGCAACATTCAGTTCTTTGAAACATGCATCTCAAGAATGTTTTCAGTCTTCAAAAAGCAGAGACAGTGGAAAAGAATTCGAAACATCTCGAATTTACTCGTCAACCTTGGTAACAGAAAGGAAGCACTCTCTCTAAGCTACTGGAAAGAGTCTATTGCTCTCGAAGTTTTGATCTTGGAAGAACAAACAGACATTAATAGATACGAGGAACAGGTTTCTCTTCGATTAAAATGTGAAAGAATTATAGATAACTTGGTCAAGAGAGGTCAATATCAGCTCACTGTGCACTTCTTTGGTCAATTGTTTAACAATTTACATTTTAAGGGACTCGAAAACTTGCTCGAAGTATTTTCCATGCCTGAAGTGATGAGCTGTTTGGGCACAGTGCTTTCCAAAGACCTCTCAACATGCTATGAACTTTTTCGTGGCTTGAGTGAACAGCGAGCTGCGCTGGTAATTGTAAATTTGTTGCGCTATTCGGGCACAAGGTGGAATACCTCGACGCTATCTTCCATAATGCAACATTCAGCGGTTGAATCGACCTTTTTCAAGTTCCTTTGTGAATATGAGATTCTGAAATGCTTTCCAAAAGTCGCCATTGTTCAGCCTCATGGTTCGGTTGCAACCAATTTGGAAGCGTTACTCTTGTGTGGTATTGATGTACACCACGATCCTTTCAGAGCTGTAAGTCAATTCGAAAGCTACTTGAGCTCTTCAAAACCTCCTTTCGAAATTTGGCTCGAGCAAGATATTGTATGGAATTTGGTTGTAAATTTACAACTCTCGAACTTACACAAGCAAGCTGTTGACGTCATAACACTTTATCTTTCCGCTAGAGCCTTCATGAAAGACTCACAGGACATTAACAATATGAAATGGCTGCTCAGCTTGAACTTGAAACTTTGCTCTTCACATCTTGCCTGCAACAATCTCGCTTTGCTGCATCAAAGCTTATTCACATGTGCATCTTTGCTCAAACAAATCGCAGCTGTTGACTCTTCGCAAGTCAGATCTTATGATGTGCTAATTTGGAAGCTTTTACAACTTGAATTGGAACATAAAACCGATCTTGCTTCGGCCACGAAAAGGCATGCGGCGGTCAAATCATTCATACAATCCAAAAAGGAGTTTACACTCGACGATCCTCATTCTTCGTTTCCAAATAAATTGCTGAACTTGTTTGCTCTTGCTAAAGCACACTTGATATCTGGTGATTTGGAATTGTCTCTTGGAAGACATGGGGCAGCTTACGATGCTTTTCGACTCGCAGTGAAGTTGTTACTTTCCATCTCCAAGAGGTTGGACTCGCTTCAAAGCACGTCATATTCCAGCTTCTCTACTGAAGTCAGCGAACTACTTTGTCTGGCTCTAATTCGAGGTATCAAAGTACAGCGTACATTGGGGTTGTCAAGAGAAAGCGAGGCTTTTGTGGAAGAGCTTCAATCAGTTACAAGTATGATACATTCACGAGGAAGAATAATTCTTAACTTAAAAGAGATCGTGATCTTTAAAGCACTTCAGTGTGACCTGAAGGGATTCAAAGACGCTTTGCATTTCTTTTTGGAGCTGTTTGACGATACAAACTACAAGTCTTTCTTTAATGACATTTATTACGGATGCTTACATTTGGCAATGTCCACCAAGCAATTTGAGTTTGATTCATCTGAAGTTTCTCACCACAAACCGACCTTGGAGGTTGCATTTCTCTCCAATCTACTTGCGGACGTTGAAAGCAGCTGGAAATCCAACTCACAAGATCGTGAAAGCCTTTCGCTCTTGTTAAAGTCGAGACTTCGATTGTCTTCTGCCATTCGTTCACTTCAGATGATTCCGTTGTATTCCATGTTCCACAATACCGTGAGCAGTTTACCGTCGTTTAACAAGCTTGAGTTAGTCTTCAAGAACCAACTTAGCGGAATTCGTGGTCATGAAACAACTCGCGCCGAACTAGTTGACCAGTTAGTCCTTTTAAGTGATGAACTTTTCAATCAATCAGCTGTAATGGAGTCGCTTGCACCCTATGAGCTCCACTACTTACATTCTTTGTTGAGTGGTGCACTTCTTGCTTTGAACTCAGTTTCTCAAGTCCACGACAGCTCCAAGACCAAGTTGTCCCAAATTCTTCAACAACTTTTCTACTTACAGGATGTTCTGAGAGCAAAGACAATTATCGGCGAGAGGCTGTCTCATTTATTCAAGGCACAGAAAGGTGATAGCATCATACCATCGTCAATTGAGCTCCAGCAATTTTCTCAAGAACTTTTGCTGCAAAAAAGTGACTCTTTCTTCAATAGAGTCAAGACGAATTTACCTTCAGATTGGACCATTGTCACGATTGATAGGTGTCCCAATTCCGATTCCTTATTACTCACCAGATTGACCCACTTGGGTTCGCCGTTCGTTGTCAGATTGCCGTTGCTGAGAATGAAACAACGTGGAAAGAACACAGTTAGCATCGACCAGGTGTTTTCAAAGTTGCAAGCTATTGTGGAGGCGAGCAATAAGTCCACTCAAGTGACTACAACGTCGCAGATTAAGACAAAGGATGACCGTAAGAAATGGTGGAGCACCCGCTTTGGCTTAGATTTACAGTTTGAAAGTTTACTTGACTTGGTTCGCAAGACATGGATTGGAGGCTTTTCTGGGCTATTTGGTGCTGCCATAGATGTCAAAACGATCGAGCTCTTTCGGGAGGATTTCGTCAAGGCATGGCAAGAGATTTTGCCAAAAAGATTGGCACGGGTGTCCAATACTTTTTCCTTTTTAGATGATCAAGTGTTGAGGCTCTTCTTGACGATTTCTGACATTCATTCGCCTTTCTCTGACTATGAAATGCTGGATGATGCGAAGGAAAGCTTGAGCGACTTGATATATTTCACATTGGATTCTTTGAGTCTCGCGGGAGAAACCATATCTTATACTGAAATTAATATGGAAAAGAGCGTCCAAATTCTTGCAAGTGTGATTTCAAAATTTAAATCCATGCATAGTTGGAATCATGGACACACTGTTATCGTTCCCGCAAAAGAATTTGAGATGTTTCCGTGGGAATCGTTGCTGCCTTTGAAAGGTGTTTCAGTTTCCCGAGTTCTTTCAGTAGAAATGCTTCTTGAGCTTTTGGAGAAACGCAATGAGACCAGCACTCGGGTCAAGAAGGATTTGGAACTAGCATACCTCCTCAATCCAGGTGGAGATCTTGGACGAACTGAAGCAAACTTCTCTACGTTTTTTCAACGTTGTTCATCGTGGAATGGAATCACAGGAAGAAACCCAGGTACTGGCTTTTTCGAAGACAACGTTATTGGCAAAGATCTATATGTATATCTTGGCCATGGCGGTTGCGAGCAGTACATTAGCATGAACGATCTCATGAGAGCTTCTGCTTCGGGATTTGATATTCCTCCAAGTTTGTTGATAGGATGCTCGTCTGCTTCCTTGACTAGGATGGGATTCTTAGAGTCCTACGGGAACATATACAGTTGGCTTGCAGCTGGGTCGCCGATGGTTTTGGTGAACCTCTGGGATGTCACTGATAAAGACATCGACAAATTCAGCATGTCTGTTTTCGAGTATTGGGGACTTTCAGATGGAGAAAACAACCTCAATCTTTGTCAGGCTGTTTCCCGGAGTCGTGAAAAGTGCACTTTGCGTCATCTCAACGGCTCGTCGCCGGTAGTCTACGGACTACCACTCAGAGTGGATCAGCTTTGAATGTAGTATTATGCATGAATAATGATATTTAACGATAAAGTGGGCTCTAAAGCATGTACTGGGAGCTGGAATGGGTCGTCTCCCTTCTCTCTTTACCTTTGACATCTGTATGTCTTCCTTTCTTATCGATAAGCGTAACGTTCTTAGCTCTAGCAAGCGTGGAAACCACATCATTAGTATTCTGTTTCTTGTTTGATTTTTTGTTCGGCGATTCTCTTTGGCTGTGTTCCTTGGCTCTCTTTCTCTTGTTGGCTCTTCTCAACCGCTGCTTGTCATCACGAGAAAGCTCATCTTTGGCATACGACAAGCCAGATTTAAGAGTAACTTTTCCATCCTGTTTTTCACCTGGTTTGTAGATTTCTTGTGGTGCCAATGAAGTTCCCGAATCGACATAAGCGGGTTGTGCATCTTCCATTGAAATAGTTGGCGCAGTGACGTCGTCCACTCTGATTTCCAAGCTGCGTCCTTGGTGAGGTTTGGGCACATAGTGGGCCGAACAGAGAGAGTCAAGCTTGTGGTTGAGAGACGAAAATAATTGGTCGATCTCTTCATGCTGTTTTTTCGTCTCGTCAGAAACCTCTGTTTGTGGATCAGCTTGATGGTATTCATCCTCATACAACTCAGCTAACGATTTGGTGGATTTTTGTTCCGATACTTCAACTCTTTCTTTGTGAAATTTCGCAACATCTCCAACCACTCGCCTAGGAAGATCGTCAAACTCTTCTGCTTTTATTCTTCGTCTTATCATGTCCTCGACAGTCTCAGTGTGCTCTTGTGTTATTACTGGGATGGGTTTTGCGGTTCTGTCAAACTCAAGATCCATGGTTTCTGGGTCCTCTAAAAGAGAGTCTTCGGGCCGACTCTTGGCGGTGACTTCACCTTTCATTGTCCATTTCTTTTCTGCAATTAGTTCTGCTTCGAGCTTGGCAACCTCTTCCTGAATTTGTTTCTGGTGTGCTTCGAAAGATGACATCGCTGCTGTATTTTTTTGTGGCTTGTCTTCAAACATATCTAGCATGGCTGAGCCTAATGCGTTTTCATATTCGCCGTCTGAGAGGCCTTGTTCGTTGGGTTCTTCTTCATCTGAGCTGTAGGAGTTTTGACCAGACTCTTGGGTTTCTTGTTTGGCAGGCTTTGGGAAAAAGTCGTCAAAGTATGCTACTTCTTCGTCTTCGTCTTCTTCACTCATGCTGTCCATATAATCGATCTCATCGTCGTCCTCTGGCTTTTCCAAGTTTATGATCTGCTTGTTGAAGCTATCTATATCAAAGAACTCGTCATTCAAGCCAAAACTGTCTTTCTTGAACGTTTGTGGTTCATCTTCGTCTCCTTGTGAGGGCTCCTCGTCGATATCCTCATCCGACAATTCGCCCATTATTTCGCCTAAATTTTCGTCCTCAGACTCTCCCGAGTTTTGCTCTTCCTCTTCGTCTTCAGATTCACCGCTTAAACTTTTATTTTGTTCGTTATTTTCACCTTCGACATCACTTTCTTCAACATCTTCATCGTCTTCGTCAACCTCCTCGTCATTGTTATCCATACTTTTCGCTTTCAAAGCAGGGATAACTTCATGCATCAACTTGTCTCCAACCCCATCTAGAACCATTCTTGTCTGGCCATATATCTGGCTGGAATCAAGTCCATCTACGTATATCTCATCCAACACAGAATACTCTTTTGCTATGGGATCCAAAAACTGTTTTACAAGCAGGTCAAAATAATGCGTCCCGTCGTTCTTGGAGAGCTCAAACACCCTTTCGGGGTGCTCCGAAAGAAGGCTGAGCATATTGGCAGACATTATTTGTGTCTAGGTTGAGTGTATGAAAAAGTTGAGATGAGGGTTGTCTGCAGGAACGCGATGGGGTTAGGTTCAACTGGAAAATGGCAGTCGAGAGATAAGCAGATTCGTGCGATGAAAATTGAGTAGAAGGTGGAGCCAAGCACATTTGAACAAAGAAAATGCATATTCTCGGACAATTTTGTAATCGGGTCGGAAATGGGACGAGTTACGGCCGTGGGGTACATGCTGTCAAAATACATCTTTATACAAGTTATAGCGGCACATCAAAACATTGTCAATTGAATGTTCAAATTCGTTCCAAGTCGTCGGTCTCGTCGGAGAGATGGCTACGGCGTCAGAAAGACGATCCACATACAAAAGAGGCCAAAAAACAGCATTATCGGTCTCGAGCAGCCTACAAGTTGATAGAGTTGGACCACAAGTTTCTGCTTTTCAAACGTAATACTTTACGAATTGTCGATTTGGGGTTTGCTCCCGGGGCGTGGACGCAGGTGGCAATGCAAAGAATGGCTCAATTGGGTCAGAAACCCAAAATTTTGGGGGTGGATATCATTCCCAGTACACCTCCAGAGGGTGCACAATTTTTACATGGTGATATCTTTTCTCGCAAAACCCACCAGGAGATTCGAGACAACTTCCCTAACAACGAAGTAGACCTCGTTATGAGCGATATGATGGCCAATACGCTGGGTATCAAAGACAACGACCACCTTGCCAGTATGGAATTATGTGAAGGAGCACTCATGCTTGCGGCCAGTACATTGAAAACGAACGGGGCACTTGTGATGAAATTTTATACTGGACGAGAAGAACGGCAATTGGAAGAAAAATGTAGAAAAATGTTCAAAAAAGTGCATCGAATGAAGCCCAGTGCATGTCGACCGGAGCTGCGAGAAATGTACTTTGTGTGTCTTGGCAGAAGCAATTGAATAAATTGGATAAATCACAAGCAATTGGGTTCACAAGTTCCAAGAAACAATGAGGGGTGGTTGAGCAATTGAGAGCAAGTGGTTAGAGCAAAACAGCACATTAGCACTGGTGCCCCAAGGCAGTGTGTTCCTGCAGAGAGTGTATATCCCCAGGTCCAATCATTCACAATTAGGAGTTGCTGCGGTCAATGCATTGAGGGGTATGGATACGAGTGTTTGAGAAGGATCACTGAATGGTGGTTTGGAGATCAAGTGGAAAAAAGTGGAAAGTTTAGAGGTGCTGAATGTTGAGTGGTTAAATTACTGGAATATAACCAAAACAAAACCTTCCCAATATCGTCACCACAGCCCGTCGGATTCCACGGGTTCGTAATCAGGCCCTGCATGTTCCGAAAGCACAGCAAGAATGACATCACAGGAGGCTTCCATTATGGGTGCACGGGTGCGGTCTAAATTTAAAGTGTCAATTACGCACGTCATTACAACGCCATAATAGGAAGTGTAATGGCTTAGGAAGGGGGTAACGTACTTCCCACAGGAGTTCACCACAGTACTTCACTACAGTACTCCACAGGCATTTCACCACAAGTACTCGGATACCCAGTTACACACACCCACTCCAGACTATTCGATCTTTCTTTTTTCTGATCTTGGCTGTGGTCTCGGTTAGTTCCCCGGTGTCCGTCGATCTGCGTCGTTTATGTTCTAAAAATGGACAATTATCAACGTGCATGATGCACCTCCCCCCTTGATGCCTGACGGTGGCAATATAAATACGGGCCTAGCTCCCAATTGTTAACCCTATCCGGCAATTTTGACATGAAGATTCAATTTTACCTTTCGATTTTGTCTGTCGCTTATTCGGTCTCGGCCGCCTATGTTCCCTCGGCGCCATGGAGCACGCTTACGCCCACCGCAACGTTGGATTCTTCGGCCAGTGCCACTGCCAGTTTTGACGGTTCGTTCGCTTTGTCTGTTTCGACAATTTCCACCAACTCGGCTGCGGTTTCTGCTGCTTCAAAGGTGGGAGCTGAGAAGAGAGACGATTTGGTTGGTCAGATCACCGATGGTCAGATCCAGCACAACTCTAAGGGAGGACAGAAAAGTGCTCCTACCAAGTCTGTGGTGAACCAGATCACCGATGGACAAATCCAGCAACAAACCAAAACCACCGCTGCCGTGGTGAACCAGATTTCTGATGGTCAGATTCAGCAACAAAGTAAGACTACTGCTGCTGTAATCAACCAGATTTCTGATGGGCAAATTCAGCAACAAACCAAAACCACTGCTGACTTGGTGAACCAAATTTCAGATGGTCAAATCCAGCAACAAACCAAAACTACAGCTGCGGTTATTAACCAGATTTCTGATGGTCAGGTCCAACAGCAAACAAAAACTACTGCCTCTGTGGTGAACCAGATCTCGGATGGTCAAGTTCAACACCAGACCACTGCTCCAGCCCACAAGTCTGTCGCCGAGCAGCTCTCCGATGGACAGGTTCAACACCAGACCAAAGCTGGTCAGGCTACTCAAGTCAGCGATGGACAGGTCCAGGCTTCTGGTTCTAGTTCATCGGGTAACGACTCTTCTTCCGACAGCGGTTTTGAAGAGACTTGTGTTTCTTCCGACTCGTTGACTGTGACGCTCAAGAACGGAGTTTTGAAGGACAGTAAGGGCCGTATTGGCTCTATTGTTGCAAACCGTCAATTCCAATTCGATGGTCCTCCACCTCAAGCTGGTGCCATCTACGCTGCAGGCTGGTCTATCGTTCCTTTGGACTACAAGGAGGACAGCAAAACCAAGCAATTGGCCGATGATCAGAAGAAGGGCGAGAATGAAGAGAAGGACAAGAAGGAATCTAAAGACAAGAAGAAGGACGAGAAGAAGTCTAAAGACAAGAAGAAAGACAAGAAGAAGGACAAGAGAGATGATGTCAAGTGGGGCAAGTTGGCTCTTGGAAAGCAAACCACCTTCTACAAGTGTTTGTCTGGAGACTTTTACAACTTGTATGATGAAAGTATTGGAGGTCAATGTTCCGAAGTTGAGCTTGTTGTGTTGAAAGCAGTTGAGTGTTAACTTTCAAAATTGCATTACGTTCCTTAGCATTTGTTTTTCTTCATCGACGGATTTTTTCGAGCTACGCTATTCACCTAACAGCCTAGCAACCTAGCAATCTAGCATTGCTCATTTGGCAATATTCTGTCATTCTCGATACCATTCTACCTAGCACAATACCATGATCTACAAACTAGTGTAGACTATTATGTATAATGTACCATTTCTATTTACTGATCGTTAATCATCCTCCTCGCTCGTAATCGACTCGTCGCTGTCCTGTTCATAACTTCCGCTTTCTTCGTCTTCGTTGTCGTCTTCAGTAGGGTTCACTTCTGCCCATTCGATATAATTAGCACTAATAATTTCTTTGCTGTTTGGAAGCACTATGGGATCAAATGGAAAGTATGCTTCGAGATCTAAAAACTCCTGCTTCAGTTTGAAGTTGTAGACTGCAGAAGGTAAGTTATTCTTTCCTCTGGTCAGAAGCATTCTCTCTCTCTTATTGTGCTCAATGATGGAGTAGCAGTAGCACACGTTCATCTTTGTAGCTATTTTGGCAAAGATGAACACCACGGTTTCGTCACAGTACTTGAGTGGGTTGAACTTGGTGACGATAACCCGCTGGAAAAACTGGTCGATTTCACATTCCCATTCACCAGAAGAATTAAGTAGCATTTGATGTCTGAAACAGAAGACATAGATCAACACTTGGAAAGCTGCGTAGAAGAGTTTGAACCTCTCCATGCCTCCTACAGATTTGGAGCCGGTTTTGTTATCTTCGTAGTCGGAAATTTCACATTCTCGTTCTTGCACGTATCGGTTCAACCATTCCATGAGATAGCTTACGACAAAAACCACTTGATCCCGAGACAACGATTTGGCTCGTGCAATGTATGACGAGAGATATTGCATGGCTTTGATTCTTTTTTCCACCATTTCGTCGACTTTGAATGCAATGTCAATTAACATCACCAAAAATGCATCGGAAAGCTCAGCCTTACTCTGGGAAATGTGAAAAAGCAAAAACTGGGTCAGCTTTGTAAAATGAGTGGGGAGAATGTGGGTTTGGAACAACTTGCTCAAGCTATTGAAAATGGTCAATCCTTTGGTAGAAATTTCATTTTGTCTGAACTCGGAGTCTGAGGTAGTTAGAATTATCTCAATAATAGAGTCAAGTTTCTGCAGAAGTTTACGTATGTCACTGGTGGAGGAAACCGGATCTAGCAAATACTCTTCGTCATCCGAAGCTCCTTCGTCATTCTCTTCGTCTTCCTCTTTTTCTTCGTCTTCATCTTTTTCGTCCGATGCGATGCCAATGGTATCTCTTTCCTCCTCTTTTTCCTCCTCTCCGTTGATCAAATCCTCGATTTCTTCGTCGTCCAAGTCGTCCAACTCGTTCTGCAACTCTACATCGAGCTTGATGCTGGATTCGATGATCATCTGCCAAATATGAGAGCTCAACTCCGGACAATATTCGAGCATTTTGAGCAAATTTGCAACATAGTTGGTCAACTCGGCAGGAGACGATGCTAGGTGATGAGGGAAGCCCTTGGTCAATGCTGTGGGCAACGACCCCACACTTGTGGGGACATATTTGAGGATATCTTTGATGATTGTATGGTGCAAATTGCTAGTAGTGGTTGAAGTTTCACTTGTAACTGCCACCGAAGAAAACTCATTCACAAGCTTCCCAAGAACCTCGTTCAAGTAGCGAGGAAGAGATGCTACCAAAACAGAAAGAAAATGCAGATAAAGGTCAAGAAACGTAGTTTTCGATGCGGTGATAGGAGTCAGGATGACGTCAAGCCATCGGTAGGCTATGATGCACGAGACCAAATGCTGGCATGCCTTGTTATCGAGTCGAGTGATATTGCGAATGAGTACTCGAAGAACAATGCTGAAATCTGAAATGGAAATGGATTCTTCATGGTCGGCTGGTCGGTTAATCTTGGCAGCCAACCCGTCGATTTGGTTCGTTTCGTTCTGGATTAGTACACTTGAAGACTTTGTGGCACCTGTTGAGCTACTTACCTGCTCGATAGCATCCAAAGCGGCAGTTACATATTCTGAGTAAACTTTTTCAGAAAATTTCAAATGGTCATCGGAGTCATTTTTCTGCTTTTTGGAAGGTTCCGTGGGGTTGGAAAGCGTTCGCTTTCGTACTAGTGGGTTATGTAGAGACATTATCATGTTCAGAACTTTCCGATTTGAAAAATACGTGTATGACCTACAACCTCCAAAAGTGTGCCCCTCTTCTCATCAAAGATGCGTAGAAATTTGTGATGTGCAGGCACACCGATTTTTTTTGGTACTGCAGGCGGCGATAACAATTTCCAAAAGCCTCAGAAATTAAAATCGTTAGCATGAGTTCAGTGCAAATAAGTCCCACGCTTTTGTTCCATTTTCTGGAGCTTGTGACCCGCAATTTCAAAGAGCACAACTATGGCATTGTATTGGGACGTCTGGATGCAAGTGAAGGTGTCAAATATGCACAGACTGGATTTGAGATTCCAACTGTTTCAAATACAGCATCTAATAATTCCGGTGAAATTCGTATAGATATGGCATATTTCCAGAACAGGTTGCGCCAGATGCTCACTGTGTGGCCCCAGAAGGTGGTGGTTGGGTTGTATGTTCTCACATCTAATAGTGCAATGGAGGTGGGAACGATGAAAATATTACATCAACTTGAAGCTTTCCTAAAAAATCTTTATGGCGAGGAAACGTCTCCAGCCATTCTCTTGGTTGATCCAGAGCAGTTACTGCAGACCGGGGGTGGAATACTTGCGTTTAGTACGGAAAATGGTCTGGTGCAACCGGCTGGACTCACACTTTCCTCAGACGAAACCGAGATGATTGCGAGCACAACGATAGCCAGGAATGAAAAATACCTTGCAGGCAACGATTCAGCCAAATTTGACGATTCTGGGTACACATACGACCAATTAAAGGTGCTGTTGGACCGTCTGGTTGACATTTTAAAGACCCAAGTGAACAAAATATTAGCATTTTCCGACTCAAGCCCCACCTCTATGGAACACAATGAGCGCGTAAAACGACGTATTGTGCAATTGAGTCGAGTATTGGATACAAACAGTGAAACCAGCGACATTTCATTGCCATTATTGAGCACAGAATTGAGTCTATTAACAATGCAACTAGCGTCGCTCGATAAGTTGAAAGCGGTGTCCAGGAAGGCAATCATAGGATACAAGAGCTACGAATCATATAGGCCAGGAAGAAACTAATAAAAAAAAAGTGAATGGGTAGAAATCAAGAAAAAAAGAATATTGACTCCGACGCGATTCGAACGCGTGCATCTTTACGATAACAGAACTTGAGTCTGCCGCCTTAAACCACTCGGCCACAGAGCCACTTGTTGGAAGATATTTCTCGGCAGTGACGACCTGTTGGCGTTACAGATTTCAACTTCCTTCCAAATAATCTCAAAAATTGCAACCATTTTTCGGGTTGTAACTTTTGTATACAATAGATGTAAAAACATCAAAAAGAACCAATTTAAATCACAATTTTGTGAATGTCTGGCCACCAGTCATTAACTCTGAATATTACATCGAATGGGTTATTATGTTACATTGCTCAATAAGTGGCATAAATTATTACCATAGAAGTACGAAACCAGAAAATTTAGATCAGTGCGAAAATATTACTTTGAGCAAGATTGAAGGCAAAATCGTGGTATGTATCAAGCATACTGGAACTGACTGACTGGAAGAACCTGAAACACACATTAGCCCAATATAATCTTGGAACAAAATCTGAGTGTTAAAATTTGGATTCTCAGAGAATATGCAAAAATTGAAAATTTGAGATAAATCAAAGTCACAAAAAAAGCTCACCTATACAGCTTTAAAATTCGGCTAGCTAACCAATTAACACCAAATTCTAAGGCCAAAAAGAAAGAACAAACCTAGTTTTGTTTTGATCCAAAAAATAATGACTCCGACGCGATTCGAACGCGTGCATCTTTACGATAACAGAACTTGAGTCTGCCGCCTTAAACCACTCGGCCACAGAGCCACTTGATAGGAGTTGACCGTCCGCAACTTCTATGTTCCGTCACCCTGAAACCTGTCAATTGATTAATTGTTTTTAGTGCGGCCATTTCCGTATCCGTCCGGTCGCACCCGACCAGGTCATCTGCCACCAATATTTATCGCCATATGTGTTTGCCCAAAATCCACCATCCACCAGCCAAAAACTATATATTGCTGCACTCGAGCTTTCCATACTTTCCCCATTGTCTTTTTTGCAATCGTCCTTCACCAGCTGGCCGAGTCACCACTTTGAGTAGCGCGCTCCTGCAGATAACCCCGTCACAAATGTGCTCCCCGAATTCAAAATTTCCCCATACAGTGTACTAATCGAACGGGTCGATTGCTGGCCTAAACAAAACCAAATAGACCAGCGCGTTTGCGAACATTGTAAACACTCATTGTCCTAGACAAGCACCCAATAACTAGGGTTCCACAACTCAAAAACCTGGCCAATCCGCATCCCGAACCGACTCGGAGTTGCGTTGTTGAGGTCATAATTGGCATATTTGTAGCACAATCAACCGTTGTTCCATCACTTTTACAATCTACGAGGGGTTGTGTCTCCACTGGAGTTTCGTGTTGCGAATTTTCGAGTCAAAACCTACTATTTTTCCTGGCAATCTCATCCACCACTTCATAAGGATACACCAGTATAATCAGCATATTATCCGTCTTTAGCCCACTACCAAAGTCTACCAGCATATACTCGCGGCCGTGAAGCTTTAGTATCATTGGCTACAAACTCAAATTATCATGTCGTCAACCAAAAATCTAGGTGATGTCTTCATGGGGGGTGCCACCACCTCGCAGCACGTGGATGCCGAAGACGATCAGCACTTTGAAGATACTACGTTTCGGTTGAAGCGGACACGCTCGTTGGGCGTACTAGACGAATTTATCCCCGATAAGGACAAGGACGACGAACCAAAGGTTTCTGATTCTTTGAAAGACCGACAGAATCCTGAACAAACTGATGATAAAGACGACACTAGTGCACTAGACGATACCAACGATGAGCCTGGAACCATCACCAGTCCCGATATGTTGCCCTTTGATGATACGGATATAAGTCTGGAACCGTCTCGCCATGTGGATTATCTTTCGCATAAATGGGACATGTCGGACATTTCCAAATCCTGGCGGTACGTCATACGAAAGCGACCATACGTTCCCAACGCTGCTCGACTTGAGAATGCTAGCTGGAGAACGTGGGCTCAGCGCCGTGGAAACCTCAAGACTATTAGTCCTGAAGTGGTCAATTGGTCTAAGGATAGCGACGTTACGTGGTTATACGGACCAATTCTAAAAGATGAGGAAAACGACGCACCCAGTGACGAGGACAACCATCGAGCCGCGACAACAGCCACATCTGCCGTGGCTGGCGACATCTCGTTGCCCAGCAAATCGAAAAGTCCCAAGCCGATTTTGAAGCGTAGAACCGTCCAAGATATGATGATTAGTCACGCCAACCTTATGAAGCTCCAAAAAGCCACCAGTCGCATGCACGAGAGACAACTAGCGGGCCACCGGGCTGCGGCTGCGGCTGATGGTGCTGGTGCTTCGGAGACTCGAGGCAACGAAGTTCCAGAGTTTGATGACTACGACGCCATTTCCGCCAAATTGAACTCGCAATACTTCATGCCCACAGCTGCCACCTCCAGCTTTGTGAGCGTGGACAAGTACCTGGACCTTGCTCCGTCGTCGGCAGACCCCACTCCAGATCCCAAAGAGCGACGCATTCATTTCAATAATGAGGTCCAACAGTGCATTGCTGTCGACCACATATCTTCCGACGAGTACGACTCGGACGACTACGACTACAACGAGGAATTGGGCGAAGACTACGTCTACGAGGACCAGCAACACGAAGACGACGAAGAGGAGGAAGAATCGGACGAGGACGACGGGTTCGTTTTTTCTGTGCGGTCTCCTTCTTCTGGTGTTTCAATTCCAGGACTTCCAGTTCCTCCACTTTCGAGCTCAGAAATCGGAGGCTCGTCGTCGTCTGTCTCTGAGTCGGTGTCGACGTCGCAAAGCTACAGGACAATTCATCTACTTCCTTCCACCACCCTCAACTTGGGTTCTTCTGACGAAGAGAGCGACGACGAAAATCCTTATACTCTGAGCCAATCGCACAACAGCACCAGTCGTGGCTACGATTATTATTACGACTACAATTCCGTTTATACCGTGGATCCCAATCATGCTATCTATGGTAGAAAAACCCCAGATGTTATCGATGTTCCTGAAAATATTGCCATGGGTTCCAACGTTGACTACAAGACAATCGAGGACGATGGTGCGCTAGGGAAACCGGAAACTACTGCTGTGGCTGATAGCACTGTCAACGAGTCACTAAGTGCAAATGATAGTGAAAACAGTCGCATACCACTTACAACGGATAACTCAGTTAAAGAATCTCCATTTGCTGGTTCCGACTCCGAAGACGACTCAGACTCGGATTCGGATGACGGACTCTCGATTTCCACCAGAAGGTCAAGCCATTCTTTGGCCCAACAGGTGTTCAACCGTACCACTCCGCACTCAGAACGAGATCAGGAACAACACCTGTACCCCATTGCTGAACCTACTCCAGTACGTGCGATCAATCCGAGCCATTCGCTGACTTCGCTTTCGAAACAACCGCCCTCATCTGGCCTGCTCTCACTGCTGTTTTTTGGATCTGGAACGGCTGGCGTCGATAAGCTGTTGTCGTCGCTGTTTTTAGGAACAGACAAACAGAATACCCATTAGAGAAGACTAGCAGAAGGAGCCTGGTCGTAGAGCAAAAATTCTTTATGAGAAAGCTAAAGGCTAGTGAAGAGATTCTTATGAGAGGATAGATCCTGAGAAAAGAGACTCGTAAGGAGAGATTCTGAGATTCTGATTGTTACGCGATAAGAATCTGCAAGAGATGTAACTGGCACTGAAGCTTATTCCAAATCAGAAATGGATCAAATTACAGGTACACACTCCACCTGTCACCAAGCTTATTACAAACTGACACACATAGCTGGTTGTACATAAAACTGTGTATATACATAGATTAACCATCCACCTCTTTTTCCTGCACACGCGCAGCAACAGTTGATAAGATGCGAAGTGATTGAAACTGAGAAGAACAGCTACTTGTGGCAAATATTAGATTGTTGAGTAATTACTATACAGATTGTGTTTTTGCATATTCTTGTACTATCAGTCATCCAGAAGCCATTGCGATCCTATAAGGTTATTCAAATAAGGTTGTTTGCTTGCAATTTAGCCATTTCTTTGAATTAGCTACTTCCCCAGACAAATAACCAGCAATTTTAATCCAGCAAAAATTACAGTTTTTCACAAAACCAAGATGCTGGAAAGCGGCGGAGGCAAGTGTGAACTTGTGGGTACGTTTTCGCTAGTCACACAAGCAGTTTTGGGACTTTTATGTCTTTCATCGTTGCTAATAAAGAGGTTTTATGAGTATCCTATACGACGGACGTGGCCCGTATGGGCGTTTGATGTGTCCAAGCAACTTATTGGAGCACTAGGGGTCCATGTTTTCAATGTTTTGCTCTCCATCATCAAAACACTGCCGGGAATGTTCACCATCTTCATCAGAAAGAACCCACCAGAAGACGAAGATGATCCTTGTGACTGGTACTTTCTCAATATTGTGTTTGATTGCACCATAGGAGTTTACATTCTCTACCTTGTGTTCCAGGGAGTGAACAAAGTTGCCACAAAGTACCTTCACATAACCCATATTGAGTCGGGAGAATACGGACCAGATCCACGACGGCCGTCGTTCCGAGCCTACGCCAAGCAGCTTGGGATATACTTTCTCTCTCTCATGATCACAAAATTCATTTTATATGGAATTGTTGAGTGCTTTGAAACCCAGCTTCTATGGATCACCAGCCACGTTTTGCTAGTGTGGCTAGACGAATACCCGGATGAATTTGAAATTTTTGTGGTGATGTTCATCGTGCCGATCGTATTGAACTGTCTTCAGCTCATTCTCATCGACAACTTTATCCAGGACCAAGCTATTCACAGAACAAACGAACGAGAACCGCTCCATCCAAATAACAAGCCGTACGGAAGTACATAGAAATGGGTTAGCTACGAGGAAGCTAAATGAATGCTGAATGTGAAGACCGAATTATGGATATCACACCTATGTGTTCATATTTATCTTCTAAAGTATTCACATAATTCATTTCATGAGCAAGTATTCACATAATTCATTTCATGAGCAAGTATTCACATAATTCATTTCATGAGCAAGTATTCACATAATTCATTTCATCAACAAGTAGTACATTTATTCACATTTATTCACATTCATTTCTTCCTTTTCTCTATCAGATTCATTTTCATCTTTCTTCAGTTATCTATGACTATTTACAGCAAACCACTATTTACAATCTCCATCTATCTGGTTTCAAATCCGAAACCTTTCATACACTGTTTGTACTGAGCAATCAATTCATTGCATTTTCCCGACTCTTGGCCATTGAAAAGAAGACACTCGTCACGCTTCTTCTTCTCTTCCAAGCACACACAGCATGGTTTTGGTTTCTCTTGTTTGTCTGACATGGTGAAGAAAGAAATGAAGCTTACTCAGCTGGAAATTCTCAGCTAGAAATTGCTCGCTCGCACCTGCACAAAGCAGCACCGATTCCCAAATCCTACATTCGCGATCGATTCTCACGTGTAGAACCATGTCGGATGTGGCTTCAAATAGGCCGTCCATAGGGAGTTTGGACGCCAATGACGACCTAAACGACGACTTGGCGTCGGAGTCAGCATACCTGTCTTTTTCGTCTCAGCCAAAACAAACCAGAAGTGGCTCTTTTAGAAACAGCATCGACGCCGACAGTAGCTTTCTGTCGTCAGCATTTTTACACGCTTATAACCACGAAGATGTGGACGGGAACTCGCCATTGGGACCCAATTGCATCTATGACTTGACGTATGGGTCAGACCAAGCTCGAGCAAGCAGAAATAGAACTCCGAAGACGTCGGTCACCATCAACGGAGGCTCCACCACGGTGGTCAATTTGCGGACGCCAACGTCTCGCGACATCAAACAAATCCAATTGCTGAAGCTCAAAGCCAAACCAAAGGATTCCGAGCTCCAGGAGTACTTGAAGCTTGAAAAAGACTACAATACGTTTGAGCTGAGCTACAATTCTCTCACAGAAGATTCGTTACAATTGCTTGCGGGGATCTCCAACGACAAAGACTTGAAAAACACAACCGACCACATATCCAAAATCCCCCAGGTGTTCCGAGAGTCGGAATTTCAGCTCGACAACCCTCGGGTGTTCCGCCAGGTGATCGGCGATTCCGGCGTGGTGGACATTGAGGAGTCGTCCGGCTTCATCGATAACTCGGATCTCCAGAACAAGCTCTCTCATTACTTGGATATCGTCGAGATCAATCTCGTCAAGGAAATCTCGTCGGCTTCCAACTCGTTTTTCAGCACCATCGGCGATATTCAAGACATCCACACCCAGTTCAACACCAGTACGGCTCAGTTTCGAACCATTGTCGAGAAGCTCGAGCAGCTAGAATCCGAACAGGCACATTTGGGCGCTAGTATAGTCGACAAAATCATTCGGCGCCGCAACGTGGAGCGCTTGGAGCTGTTGGTTCTTCAGGTTCAACTAGTCACAAAAATTCTCAATGTGGCCCAAAACGACTACAGAATGGGCCAGCACGCCCAATGCTTGGAAAGAGTGGCTGAAATTGAAAAATTGATCACTGCAAGCTCTCAGCTGGAATACAGTGCCGTTTTCCCCCATCCTCTTGTGCCATTGACAGACCTAGCAGGACTAGGTTACGTTAATCACCAGCTCCACGAACTCAAAGCCGAGTGCTCGCGAGGATTTGTAGACCGTTTTGTGGAAATCTTAATGGTGGATCTTCGTGACCACTACTTGAAGGTACCACAAGATGATACCTACGAGCGGATTTCACTGTCCATCAGCTCGAAACGGACTCAGCGGCCAATAAACAGATCGTACCAAGTCTTGGACGAAACCACAAAACAGCAGTTGAAACAATATGTTCAAATTCTTTCGAAATCGGGCTACTTGGTCGATGCGTTCACGCAGTACCAGGCTAAAGTTGTGGTCGAAATCAAGGATATCATCAAGGAAAAGCTTCCCACTAAAAACGACAACACTCCAAGCGACTCAACCGCACCTTCAAGAGCATCGTCTGTGCCTCCAGAAAACAGCAACACATCGAGCAGTTTATCGTCGTATCTTCGCTCGATGTCAGAAGAAGAGTTCGAGCTGATGTTGCGTACAGTTTTTGCAAACTTGTCTGAGTGTCTTCGAAGGCTTTCTGCTCACCAGAAAGTACTCTTAGATCTAGCGTTGACGGCTATGCCTCCGGATACAACTTCGAGCTTTGACGTAACCACTTTCGACATCACTTCGACCATCAACAAGTCGATTGAACTCACGCAAATACGAATGGCCAAGGTGATCAACGTGCGTTCTGAACAACTTGCGGACCTCAGCCTGGAAAGATACTTTAGATTTTACGGCTTGACTTCGGCATATTTACAGGAATGCGAGCTTATCAACCCTGGATATGTTGCCAGTAATGCTGGAAGTTCTCTCAACGAATGGATAAAGAACCACACAACTTATTTTGTGCATCGGTTTCATCTGAACACTTTGAGAGCCTTGATAACCGAGTGCGACAAGGACCAATGGAAAGAAGTCACAGCCTCTGGAACTCTTAGTCAAACTCAAGACTTGGTCAATGAGTTGATTGAACATGCCAAATACGTCGAGCTGGACGGTGCAAATGGCTTTTCGGGTAAAACCTGGTTGCAAGCTCTTAGCGTTGTTCCAGAGCCGAGCGAAACAAGCCAAAAAATCCGGGAAGATATCACCAAGATAGAAATAGGAAAGGAGTCGTTTTTCGTCCCAGACTTGGCCTGTTCTTCCATCAAACACATCCGGGATTATCTCGCTATCCAAAAGGCATTTTCGAGCAGAAACAACACCGTTGAAAATAACCTTCTAAATTACTTCAAATTGATGAACTCCCGGGCTTCCCAGGCAGTGCTAAATGCGGGAGCCACCAGAACTGCTGGTCTCAAGCACATCAAAACCAAGCACCTTGCAGTATGCCTTCAATTCATCGAGTACAATATTGCATTATTGGAAGCTTGCGAGCCACTTTTCCAACGCAGCAGAGCGCTGTCACAACCTCCAAATACCGATGAACTCACTTACGAAAGGGTTCTTGGGAATTACAAAGACCACGAAAATGAACTATTTTCGAAACTCGTTTCTATCATGCACGACAGAACTCTCAACCATTGTGCTGCAATTGTCAAAATCAACTGGGCAGAGCCTCTAAAATCTCCTCAACAGTGCCATTCATACATGGAGACATTGGTTAAGGAAACCTTAATCGTTGCCAAAGCACTTTCCAAATACCTTCCGGAAATCAAATATTCCTTCGTCATGCTGCAAATTTTCGACAACTACAAAAAACTATTGGTTGACTGTTATTGCACCAAGTTGCCTCAGTTCAAAGACTTCAACGAAAAGCATTCTTTGCTCAAGGATATTGACTACTTTCGTGTGAAAATGAGTGAGTTGTCTGGGTATGGAAACTCTGGACAAGTAATATGGGAGAACGTCAACTCGTTACCAACTATCGAAGATACCCACATGGACGAGATAATGAAGCACAACATAGAGGGTGAACACCGACCACAATCGGCAGAACCAGTTGCTGAAAAGAAAGTATCCAATGAGGAATTGTTCGATGTATCTAAGGAATTGGAATATGAGTAAACCTATAGATTAGAGATGATAGTTTCCTCGTGGTCTTTTGTGTAAACCTATAGATTAGAGATGATAGTTTCCTCGTGGTCTTTTGTGTAAACCTATAGATTAGAGATGATAGTTTCCCTCCTTGTCTTTTGCGTAAACCTTCTCTTCGGTAACGATGCTGTCTATGAGTTCATGAGGAGTGACATCAAAAGCTGGATTCCACACTTGTATGCCTGGTGTTGCAACGCCTACAATCTGCTTTTCTCCAGCTACATCTTTTCGGAGAATAGGTCCCTTTAAAGTAGTGAGCTCGTTCGCAGGACGCTCTTCGATGATAATGTCATCTCCCGTAGTGGTTTTCAAGTCAATAGTGGTTCTTGGAGCGGCGACTATCATCTTTAAGGAATCCCTTGGACCCGTGTTTCTCCTGTTGAACGAATCAAAAATAGCGGCGAGCTGGAAAGTTCCAATCTTATTAGCAGTGTCTCCATTCTGGACGATTCTGTCAGCACCAACAATTGCAAATTTGACGGGAGCAACGATGTCTTTAACCTGTTTCTTATTATGAGTCCGTGATATTAAAGATGTCACCATGTTGTCACATATGAGTGTGAACGGGATTTTCTCGTACTTCAATTCAAAAGTGGTCAATTTGGCGCCTTGATTATAGGGCCTGGTTTCGCATGGATAAATCTGCTCAAGCCAGAACTTTTCCTTCGAGTTTTCTTTGCTTAAAGCCTTGTACGCCGACCTCACGATACCGAGAGCAGTTCCGTGTCCGGACGTGGCCAAAGAACCAGTATTGCAATAAGTTATAATGGAAAACGGACCCTCGAAATTTTGAGACCGCAAACTTTCAACAAGATAGTCGACACCATTCAGACCAATTTTGTGGTTGTTGCTCAAATCGTCGTCATACAATGCAACAGCAAAGTCGAACACACGTTTATAAACTTCGTCGAGTGATTCGGAATTCCCCAACAAAGCTCTGATTTCATTACAAGCATTTGAAAGGTTCACAGCCGTCGGCCTTGAGCTCTCCAAGTAGTCAATCTTGGCCGCCAATTCATCAATGGATGAAATATGGCGATTCTTAATCTCTACGACAATTGCAAACGAACCAACAATTGCGATAGCTGGAGCACCACGGACTTGCATCGACTTTATGGCATCATAAGCATCGTCGACTCCTTCAATATTCAAGTATTCCGTTGAGTATGGGATCAAGAGCTGATCCAAGATTTGCAAGGTAACGTTTGTGCGGTCAAACTTGATCGCTTCAAGGGTGGTCATTGTCAAGTAGTTGGATCAGTGATGTCTGGAAAATGTTTTGCGGCTTCCACGTGCGATAGTGTGGCTGCGAAATATGCCAACTACGGCATATATACCATAGTGACATAAAACGAATTACCGATAAATACTGTTCTTACACACGTTACCGCCAACTAAAATATCAACCTTCTGATCCCTTCAATTTCCCACTCTTCCTTGAGCGAGTTCCATCTGCACCCAAGAAGTTTGCGTCCTGTCACGGGACATCGTCCCCCTTTATCCAAGTTGGTAGCTATGGTTTTCGTCTCCAATTTTTCGTCTTCATTGTCTTCGTAGTCCTCAGCATCACTTTCTTCATAGTCATTGTCAGATCCCGCTTGAGTCAATTTCTGGGTGACAACTTTGTGCGAATTGGCAAGGTAGTTGTGAATGCAAGAATAACAAAATACATATCCGGTTTCAATGATGGCAGGATTGGTGATCTCTTCGTGACAGAGGGGGCATGTTCTTTCCGATTTGTATACTTTCTTGGGAGCGTCCGACTTCAGTTTGAGACTTCGCGACACTACTGTGGGTGGTGGAATAACCGAGTCAAGCACATTGCCCAGGCTCTTCGAAACCTTGTTACCAAAATCAGAGTTGTTGTACCATTCCAAAAACTTTAATGTGAAGATGGCAACGGGGAAGAAGGTACCAAGAAGCAATTTCGTCAACTTCCATGACGGACGCAAGAAATTTCGCGTAAGGAAGCGAAGAATTAATTCAGTTTCGTTTGGTGGCCTAACCTTGTTGTGTTTCTCGTTGAATTTAGGAAGCTTTGGTTTGTTTTTATCATAATCAAACTGGTTGAGTCTTGAGTAATTCATCTTGAATAGGTATGTGAGGATGGATGGTGATTTACTGTTCCCACTAAAGTAGAGAAGTGTGGTGATGAAATTTGCAGCCTTAAAGCCACTTTGAACAGTTGGATACCACTCGACAAACTTACGTTTGAGTTCTGTATGGAGGCGGTCCCTCTGAGAAGTTGGATCTTGTGGTATAAGCTGGTTAGTGATGTACTTTGGATAAAGTATCTCGTACCAGTAGTTGAATTTCTCCGAAAGATAGGAGACCCCAGTAATTTCAAAAACAGAGACGGCCGCTTGGAGCGTCGTGAGCATACGGCGTTCTTCTATCATCGATGGAACAATCTGGGTAATCTTACCGCTGTTGTATTTACCATTCGATAATGGAGTCTGACTGACACGCTTTAAACCGTAAAAATTTTCTGTGAATGTGCCTTGCCAGTACTTGAGAAAATACCATTCAATAAAGCTTCGCAAAACCAAATTGATTTCGTCAAACCTGTTCGTGATTCGTAACAACCAATACGGGTACCTGCTCGCATAGTAGACCAATATATACCGCAAAGAAGGAGACAAAAGCGCTTCGAGCTGGTTCGCAGAGATCACCTCAAAAAGCGTGGGTGTCTCTGAGTCCAACTGGGAAGCATCAAGCGACGAGTAGTACTCCATGGTTACCAGAAATGCTTCAAAGTTTTTAATGCCTGACGGTCTTGCGACTCCACATTTCAGCCTCGGTCGCGAGGTACGGCATATAAGATACACTGACCTTTTGGTTGCAAATGGTGAATACGAAATATGTGCGGTATATAGCTTGAAAAACGAGAATGAGGTTGTATATTGACCAGTTTTTACTTGCTGACAGATTTATATGTTGAAAAGCAAAACTTTCGGAGGGAAAAAGGCGCGGTTTTATAGTTTTTGGAGATGCGTAAATTGGCTGCCATGGTTGCAAATAATTGGTATATAAAGGGACGGAATTATGCATAACATTATGGGGAATTTTTCTGAGAAGGCTCTCAGTTCCAGTAGACTGAATTTGAAAAATAATGACTTTTTTGAAGGCGATGAACCAGAACCAAAGTCTATAGAACAACTTGTAGAAGGCACAAGAATTTCGTCAAAAGTTCTCGATCTGATGATTTTTCCACGTGGAGATTTCAACACTAAAGATTACAAAATTACCGAGGAGGAAAAACCAGGCCAAGGTTTTATGCCCAGCATATACGTTTCTCCTTCGATAATTTTGGAATTTGCTCCTGAGGTAAAACACGAAAACTACAACGCCTTGAACACCGATTCGTCTTTTGCACAATTACTGAGCGAGTACATGGCATCCGAACAAAGTATAATGTTATTTCATAGCGATGGCACCATGGAAACGGCAGAGCTTCAGAGCAGTCATAAATAGAATACGTATTATCAGAGACGAGTATTTACTTCAACATATACTTTGAGATGGGGCGGTCTGGGACTGGTTGAGGTCGAATCTGAACCCAAGCTTCACATGGATTTCCCAGAGGTTCAAGTCAAACACTCGGTAGTCACCAAACTCGACTCCATCGTTCTCGGCTGATTGGAGAAGTTTCATACGATTGAACCAGTGGTAATAGTGAGCAGGTTCATAATGCTTAGAGTCGAACGGAGATAATCTACCCGGAGTTGGAGTCTCGCTCCGACTGCCGCTGGGGGTGATTTTGAGCTCCGACAGGGAGGCATAAGGCTTCCATCCAAGCTGGTACAAGCATGACTCAGCAATGACGTTTTCTAGCGGAGTGATTCCGTAATAATAACCATAGAAGAGAACCATGGTCATCTCATTTACGACGGCAACACTTTCGCCCGGCGGGGATATGTTCTGGATTTGGCGAACATACTGCTCAAAGAGGTCTCCGGCTCTCAACTGGTTCCATGAAGACAGACACTTTAAGAGCTGGAGCGGCGGTCTTATGTGTTGGTCTGGAGAAAAATCGGGTTCGTGCTGATAGAATGAAGTTTGAATTATTTTTGGAAGGTATGGTTTTTGAATGGGGCACTTGAACTGGCTGTAGGAACTGGTGCTTCTGAGTAACTTGGCTTCCTCGCGAGAAGGGCTCACGGATACTTTACGAGTGGTTGTGAACGACAAAATCAAGTCTTGAATACCAGGCGGAAGTCTGATAAGATTAACATCTTGGAACAATGCCGATTCTTCCTTCGAAAGCGTCGAGTTGTTCAAAACAGGCACATACTTGGAAGCAAAAGCACTTTTCGGTAACGGCGATTGAATGGGGATGTTGACACCACCAGAATGAGCATTGGAATGTGGCGCTTGTTGCAAAGGCGGCACGGAATGCGGAGGGTTATTGGTAGACGCCGAGGGAGGAGTCGAAGATGCCAGAGAAGAGATTATTCTTGTGGGAAGTGGAGCCAGTGCTGGAGGCGATGGTGAGCTTTCTGAAGTGTCTTTAACATGGCCGTTGCCCTGGGCACCCAAGGGTCCAGCAGCAGCCGCAGCCCACTTGAGAGTGCCGAGTGGTTTCTGTGGGGTTGCTGCCGGCTTGAGTACCTTGATTATTCCGGGACTGGACACATCTGGAGTGGATATCTCGGTATGGTGCAGCTGCTTTGAGTTGGGTGTGGTGAGAACCTTCGCTGGAGGCGAAGCAGTAGACGCTGACGAGCTGGTTTTGTTATTTTCTGGCTCTCGTTTGTGGTCGTGCTTGGAGTTTGATTCCTTGGACTTGTGGTCAGATTCCGGCTCGGGACTCTGCTTGGGTGTCACAACGTTCAACTCGGCAAAACTGTCGTTGGCAGCACCGGTATTGGCTTGTTCTTGTTCGGCAAGCTCCGACGCCTGCGATGCTTCCTTGAACAATTCGTCATACAAATTTTCATCGTCTACGAAGTCCGGCTCCTGGTTCGACTCCAAGTAGAAGCTGATGTCGTCTTGGATTGCCATGACCGACTCAGGACTCACTTTTCTGCGCTTGAGTAAGTGCACAATATGCTCGAGTCGCTCGATGTGAAATGTGTTTTTGTTCATGAAAGACTCAAGCTCTTGTTTTCGTTCCTCAGTGGCAGTATTGGTTTTTCGGGTTTTCTTCTGCGAAAGCTTGTCGTACTCACCTTCTAATGCCTCGTTCTGTTCGTTCAATTCGTCAACGCTGGCCTCCAAAAACTCCACGGCTTCTGCCGCTTCTGGGGTCAACTGATACTCGCCCTGTTCGAGCGCCGCTAGCATTATGGACTGGTTGGAGTACGACTTCATTTTTGAGCTCTTTTCCACGTCTTTATAACACTCCATGGCTTCCTCCACCATTTTCCGGTGCTCCTGAAGTTTTTGCGGGGCAATCGCCGCTTCGATAGCATCGTTCAGCTGCCACGTTTTGATCTGATCTCGAAACTTCTGCAACTTTTTGATCTCCTTCTTGAGATCGCCTTCCAATTTTTCTCGCTGGGAGTCGTTGGTGGCTCCCTCATGTCGGGTATAGTAGTAGTTGAAGATTTCACAACCTTCGTTGATCTTTTTGAAGATCGCATCAACCTCCCTGATGTTAGCAAATCTGTCTTGTGGAACCAAAATAGAGTGTCGTAAAACACTCAATGATACATACTTTTGAAGTTTACGATGGGCCATTGTAAGTCCCCCGGTGACCTTGATGCTTGTTGGAAAATTTTAAGGTGCGAGTTTTGTACAGGTTTCTGTCTGTCGTCAGCGATACACCATAAGCATTGGTATAAATATACTAGCAAACTTCTAGATTGAACTATAGATACATTGTTTACAACTCGTCGTGGTCAAAGTCGTCATCACTGTCGGCGTCTCCAAATTGGGCACCATCGTCTGGGGCTCCGCCGTACAACTTGGCAGTGATGGGGTTTGCAACATCGATCAACTTTTGCTTCTGCTCTTCAAACTCCTCAGAAGTGGCAGTGTCGTAGTTGTCCTCTATGAATTCCAACGTCTCCTTCACGGCGTCGTCCAAGGTTTCCTTGTCCTCGTCGGAAAGTTTAGCTCCCAACCCGGTTTCGCTCTCATCCTTCAATTGACCCCGCAACAAGTGGGCGTAGTTTTCCAACGAGTTTCTAGACTCGATCTTGGCTTTCACCTCAGCATCTTGCTGGGCGTACTTCTCGGCCTCCTCAACCATTCTGTCGATATCCTCCTTGGACAATCTACCCTTGTCGTTGGTGATGGTGATCGACTCGGACTTTCCTGTTCCCTTGTCCATGGCCTCCACCTTCAAGATACCATTGGCATCCAACGAGAAAGTCACTTCGATTTGTGGTACACCTCTTGGAGCTGGTGGGATTCCGGTCAACTCAAACTTACCCAACTTGTTGTTGTCCTTAGCCATGGCACGTTCACCCTCGTAGACCTGGATCAACACAGTTGGTTGGTTGTCAGCCGCAGTTGAGAAGATTTGAGACTTTTTAGTTGGAATAGCGGTGTTTCTGTTGATCAAGGTGGTCATGACACCACCAGTGGTTTCAATACCCAAAGTCAATGGGTTGACATCCAACAACACAATGTCATCGACACCTTCTTCACCACTCAACACACCGGCTTGAACAGCAGCACCATATGCAACGGCTTCATCGGGATTGATACCCCTTAGAAGCCTTCTTTCCGTCAAAGAACTTCTCCAACAATTCTTGAACCTTTGGAATTCTGGTAGAACCACCAACCAAAACGATATCATCAATGTCAGACTTCTTGACGCCAGCATCCTTCAACACCTGCTCCACAGGTTTCAAAGTTCTCTTGAAAGAGTCGATGTTCAACTCTTCAAACTTAGCTCTAGAAATGGTCTCAGAGAAGTCGATACCCTCGGCAAACGAGTCGATTTCAACACGAGCGCTCATTTGAGACGACAAAGTTCTCTTAGCCTTTTCAGCCTCCCGCTTCAACTTCGACATAGCCTTAGGGTTGGTGAGCACGTCGATGTTGTGCTTCTTCTTGAATTGTTTGGCCAAGTAACGAACAATCTTAAAGTCAAAGTCCTCTCCTCCCAAGTGAGTGTCACCGGAGGTGGGCCAAAACTTCAAATACACCACCTTCGATCAGCAACAAGGAAACATCGAAAGTTCCTCCACCCAAGTCGTAAACAATGATTTGCTTTTCCTTGTCAGTCTTGTCCAATCCGTAAGCAATAGCAGCCGCGGTGGGTTCGTTGACAATTCTCAACACATTCAATCCGGCAAATGGTACCGGCATCCTTGGTAGCTTGACGCTGAGCATCGTTAAAGTAAGCTGGAACAGTGACAACTGCATGGGTAACCTTTTTACCCAAGTAGTCTTCAGCAATAGATTTCATCTTACCTAAGATCATTCCCGAAACTTCTTCAGGACTGAAGGTCTTCTGGTCACCTTGATAATCAACCTTCACTACCGGCTTTCCAGACTTCTTCTCAATTTTGTAAGGCAAGTGCTTGATTTCACGCTGGACAATCTTATCATCATACTTTAATCCAATCAATCTCTTGATATCAAACACGGTGTTTTCAACATTGGAAGAGGCTTGATTCTTTGCAGCATCTCCAATTAAACGTTCTTCATCAGTGAAAGCAACATAGGAAGGAGTGATTCTGTTACCTTGTTCGTTGGCAAGAATCTCAACCTTGCCTCCCTTCATAACTCCCACACACGAGTATGTGGTACCCAAATCAATGCCGATGACGGTGCCGTAATTTTCGGTATCATTTGAGTCATCAGCAAGCACTAAACCTCCATTCTTAGAGAACAAAGGCAACATGACCGCCAAAAACACATAGAAGAGCGTAAAGCCCGAAATCCACATCTTGGTAGATTTTCCCATGGTGACGTGTAGTGAGTGTTAAGACTTCCAGCGCGCAGGTAATTTATAACAGCCTCGACGCACGCCACCAGACACCAGGGTTTGGTGCTGACGTGGCAGTGGTGTATGGATGTAGAACTTTTCTGGAAGTTTCGGTGCCGTGGTTGCAAACGGCGAAGATTTTGCTGTGGGAAAGTCCTGGCTTTTATATGTGCGGAATGAGGAAATGATACATCACAAAATGACAGTTATACACAGAATCTGTAAAGTAACTGCAAACTTTCTGCAAGTTTTGCAACCATATGCGTGAATCATTCAACCATCCTAATATCCTGGACAACGACGCGACATTCTCATGCATTAACTCCATCAGCTATATTGCGCTTTGAACCCCGGGCCTTAAAGTCACGACTATATAAATGGACCCTTCCCCCCCAGTTTGAAAGAATGGCGATCCGGCACATAACCACCGAGATCCACCACCAGTTCCGCGACTGCATATAAGACAACAGTACACCAGATTGTCGTGCGGGGCCACCCTTCTCCCTACGAGCAACTCCCTTATTACCCACGATGTCGAACCAAAAGTTTGTGACAGACGAGTTGAATCAACTCCAGAAGGAAATCATTGCTAAGAATCCCCTTGACGTTTTACAGTTCTGTGCCAATTACTTTAATACTAAGCTTGAGCTCCAAAGATCGCAATTGTGGCCCCAACAATCTAAGGCTAAAGCAGCAGGAATTAACCTTTTCGCCAACATTGACAACGTAGACGTGCACGTACACGGATCTAGTGGAAATATGACAACGAACGGTCGCCAGCCCAGTTTCAAGTCGCCGTTCGGTGACAATGACCCTCATCTGCTCCAACATTCCCACGCCGATGAAAGACAAGAAAAGAAACCTTCCTTGTTCAAAGGCGGTTTTGAAGTGGGCAGTGACGGACCCGCACCTTCTACGGGCACCAATGACCCTCTAGCAGCTGCACCAGCACCAACACATTCCGGTGCAAATGAGCCAGCATCCTCTAAAGCCCCCACCAAGATCCCGGTGGCTTTCAATGCCAACCGTAGAGTATCGGTGTCTGCCGAGGCGCTCAATCCCGGAAAGTTCAAGAGCGATTCGTGGAGACCACCAATTAATAACTTGAGCGCATCTCAGAAAGAGGATTTGGCCAAGACATTGTCCAGTAACTTCTTGTTCCAGCAACTCGATAGCTCTTCTAAGAAGACGGTGATCGAGGCATTGACAAAAAAGACATTTGTGAAGAATGATGAGATCATTCGCCAAGGCGACGAAGGAGACTTTTTCTATATCGTGGAACTGGGAACCGTTGATTTTTTCGTGAATGGTTCCAAGGTCAATTCAAGCAGCGAAGGTGCTTCGTTTGGAGAACTCGCTCTCATGTACAACTCGCCAAGAGCCGCCACTGTAATTGCTGCATCTGACAATGTCACTTGCTGGGCATTGGATCGTTTGACTTTCCGTCGTATTCTCTTGGAGGGCACATTTAATCGTCGTTTGATGTATGAAGACTTCTTGAAAGACGTCAAGGTTCTCAAATCACTCACCAATCAAGAACGCCTGAAATTGGCAGACGCACTCAGCACCGAAATATACCATAAAGGCGACAAGATCGTCACCCAAGGAGATGTGGGAGAGAATTTCTACTTTATCGAACGCGGTGAATGTGACGTGATAAAAGAAGGTGAGGGAGTGGTTTCCAAATTGGGCAAGGGTGATTATTTTGGGGAGGTGGCATTATTGAACGACTTACCCCGTCAAGCCACTGTCCAAGCTGTTGATACGGTTGTGGTTGCCACTTTAGGCAAGCTGGGTTTTACCAGATTATTGGGTCCTGCTGTACAAGTATTGAAGAGTCAGGACCCCACAAAGTAGTTTTATGGGTCTACGATATTGTCATTCTTAATACATAACGTGTATATTACCTATTTTATGCAGCCAGATCAAGCTTCATTCGTTTGGAGTTATGATCTGTAATAGTAGTGATGTCCTTGGAAAAGTCCACTGCACCGTCGGAGCCAACATCATAAAATAATCGATAGAAATGCTCGAGATCTCCGGCGATTGTACTTTTCCATTGATCGTTATTTTCTCGGTCGTACACCTCGCTTATGCACAGTGGCCATTCGATACATGAAAGAATGCTGCGGAGGCTGTATCCTGATGCTTCAATCGGAGTTACTTCCCTCGTATTTCCTTCTGTAGTCATACGTGTCCAGCGGTTGTCACCAAAAAACGCAGCCGCATCAACGGGGTGCATTGCATTTGTAAATGGTGCAGGGTACTCTTTTCCGGCCAATTGCTTATTCTTTTTGACCTGGGGAACCGGTGCTGTATCGTTCTCTTGAGTGTAGAAATTCCTCAAAAGCTGAATTGCTTCTGTACGTAAAATACCTCCAAAACTGGGATAATTTTGCGGCGGAATGTCGTCTCTATTAATAGCAAGAACTGAACCATTACCTCCAAACCGGTCGTTGCCGCAACCGTAAAATGACACGTCCTATTTCCGACCTGCTTAAGTGCCGACGCACACATGATGCAAGGTTCAACGGTTACGTATAAAGTAACGTCTGCAAAAAAAAGTATGCAAGTAGTCACTATTGGTTTTTTTGTCTTGCGGGGATATGATGACTCATTATATGATCAAGTGCCATGAATTCGGCATGCCGTGTGCCGTTAAGAGACCGGTTTGTATCGTTGTAACCGAGGGCTAGTACCTTTCCGGTCGAGGTTTGTGTGAAAATGCAGGCTACGGGTGTTTCGTTGAAAACCATTGCTTTATATGCAATGAACAATGCAATTGCCATGTATTCGAAATGCACTGTGAGGTCGGGATCCGAATGCATAATTAGTCTATGAGCAGTAATTTTATATGTGATGCGATGCGATGCGGTGCGGTGCGGAGTGCGGGGGATGGGGCACGATCCGCACCAAAAATACATCTTTCTGTGCATATTTCTTGATGTCAAATTTACGCAAACTGATTGCGTCTCGTTCAAAGAACAATTTGGAAGCGGTTTATGAAGATGGCTCACAGGAGTTGGTAGAGGAAACTACGTCTCTCTCTGTCAACGATGAATCGGATGATAAACTTATGGAGCATTTTAAACACATCAAGCTGGACACTTTTCCAATAATAGAACAGTATGAACTTCATGAAGCAACATTACAAACATACTACAGACCTCCATCCAAAGAACCTGGAGCTATACTCGTGTGCCACCATGGAGCTGGGTCGTCTGCGTTGACTTTTTGCCAACTTACTCGCTATTTAATGGAAGAGAAAAGCAACCAGAACCCTTCGATTGGAGTTTTTGCATTCGATGCTCGAGGCCATGGGAACTCAATTGCAACTGACAATTACTCTCTTGAAAAAATGACTCTGGATTTTGGTGATATTCTCGACCAATTTGTGAAAAAGAACAAAATATCGTCTACTTTATATTTGGTGGGCCATTCTCTCGGAGGCTCAGTTCTCACCAACTACCTTCAAAAAAACCAAACGAACCCCCATAATATCAAAGGCTTGGTGATGCTTGATATTGTAGAAGAAACTGCCAATTCTGCTCTTTCAGCAATGCCAATGTTTATTGCCAAAAGACCAGCCCATTTTGCAACCTATACGGATGCCATCAATTGGCATGTAAAAACCAACAGGTTGCTTCATAATGTCGAGTCGGCTAAAATCAGTGTTCCTGCGCTCTTGACAAAGTCCAATGACAAACTAGTATGGATAACGGACTTGCAATTAACTGCTCCATACTGGGGTGGATGGTTTACCAACTTGTCTTCCAATTTTATCGAATGTGGAAAATCACAAAAATCACAGAAAGTTGCCAAGTTATTGATCTTGGCGGGCCACGAGACACTCGACACCAACCTTATAATTGGTCAAATGCAAGGAAAATATCAATTGATCGTTTTCAATAATAGTGAAAAAACTGGCCATTTTGTCCATGAAGATATACCCATGCAAGTGGGTCTCAGTCTTATCGACTTCATAAGACGCAACGACTCGCCCAGCGACTATATGAAGAACGAACTTGGGTTTGTACCGAAGTGGGGGGCCTTCAACAAGGGCTAACTCGTTTAGTCAATGAGAAAGAGAATTCAGAAATCAAAATTAACTGGAAACCAAAATTAGTAGGAAACCAAAATTTAGCGTCCACTTTATCAAGTCAATTTCTGTTAGTCATTGTCTGTCGAGTATTGTCTGTTGATCTGGCCTCCTAGTCACTTCCTCAGTCAACAGTCAAGTCCTCCTGGAGCGACTTTGTGTCGATTTCATGGCGCTTCATCTCCGCCACGATCTCGTCAATCTGCTTCGATGCCCATGGGAACCGGGGATTGATCAAAAATGGACGCAAGTCGAACCGGTTATCATCTGGAGAATACTGTTCGGCGTGGTACGCTGGTGTCATGGTGGTCATTTTGTGTCTGTTTATAGCGTAAAAGAACCAGAACTTTTTCACTTTCTCGGCCACCTGGTCGGCGGTCAACGACCGTGGAGGCTGAGACCATTCGTGGTAAAGTTTCACAAACATGGCCACCGGACCACACTTGTCGACTTTTCTCAACCGTCCAAACCTCGACAACTCATCGTAAGTCATACCCATATCGATCTCGTCGCTCTGGACATAGTCGGCAGTTATGGGTTCCAATTCAGCAGTGGGAGTAGCGTCCAAAAACTGCTTCAAGATGGGCATGTCGAACTCTTTTTCTGCCCACAGAATGAACCTCTTGAGATCTGTCTTTGACACTCCGCCAATGGGGTTAATATCGGCACTGGAGCAGTCGTATTTCGTCAAGTACCCACGCAAACATTCGTCGACATTGGCGCTTCCCAACACAAGAAGGCCACCTGTTTTCAGCCGAGTCCATGGCAAAAGCTGCGCAAACATATAGCTGAGCACCATTCGAAGCCGAGCCTGGATATTTTGAAGGGCAAGATTTTCCGTTTGCGAGCCACCAAAAACCTTGAAAATGGGCTTTCTGCCGGTAGCCACTTCAAACACAGAGATCACGGCGCTGACCGCAGTGTCCATATTCAAGTCGACGTGAAAAGATCCAATTTTTGCAGCCAATTCTTTGGCACGACTTCTGGTGTCGCCCGAGGAATTTTCTGTTCCCAAGAACGCCGTGTGGAACAACTTGTCAGCGAGTTCCTGGGGGGTTTTAGGCACAAACGAGTCATCGTGAACAAGCGATTTAACGTCGGAAATCACCTGGTGGTCGTGATTTTCCACGGCCGCGACCACCAACCGGCACATCAGATGCACAATAACGGCAGTTGCACACGAGTCGATTCCACCGCTCAAAGGTAGAAAGAACCCAGCGGCTCTGCACCGCCGCAAGTAGTCCCAGAGCCAGCACGCGGGCCCCAAGGCAATTTCTTCGGCGGCAGAATGGATGCGAACGGGAATCGGGGAAGTGGGTGCAATGCCGTTCCACACGTTAGCCGACGGCGAGAGCTCAATGGTGGTGTCTATGTGGTGGTACAGGGTGGACGCAACCGCCTGCATCGCCGCCAGTTTTTGGTTTCGGAAAGAACGAACGTCGTCAAGGTCGATGGTGGCCGTGACTACCTCAACGTCACTAAGCGAAAATTGCAGCGCTTGAGCCACCATTTCGCCATTAACAACAATGCACGCGCATCCGTCGTAGTAGAGCCTGTCGCCGTCACACCCCTTTTGGTTGGCGTACAAGTATACTCCGCCGCATTTCTTGGTGGCCTCGGTGATAAGCTGGAGCCGAGTATCCAACTTTCGAAGCTCGTGGTGCAGTCCCAGCGAGTTTGTATAGATTTCCACGCCGTCGAGTGCCATGGAAATATGGGGCGATTGCGGCGTGAACAATTCCTCGCACGTTTCAGCGGCAACTGTCGTCTCCAATGTGTCCACCACACAATCGCCAAATAAAACCGACGACTGACCTGTCACTTTCCTGGCATTTTTCGGCAATTTGAAGTCCTCGTAGTACTGAGGACGGTTCCAGGGAGTGAAGTATCTCATTTCCCGGTAATTGCCGTCGTTGGCAAGGTATAACTTGGGTCTTATCAAAAGTATCTTTCCGTCGTGCGACAAAAGACGGCAGTTATACTTGATGGAACGATGCATCACCGGCATGCCGATGTCCAAGAGCAAGCCGTGGGTGTCGGGATTACCCAAAATTTGCAAATACATGTCCCAGCAATGATCATAAAGGTCATTTTCGAGAAAATGGTCGAGACATCCGTAGCCACAAATCTCGAGTTCCGGGCCCACCCGAAGACTGGCGCCGTTTTTTTTTGCTTCTTTGATGGACTGCAAGATGCGGTCGCGGTTTCCTTCGAAATCAAGTGCCCATTGGTTGAGGTTGCATGTGGCGAGAGTGACGTAGTGGCCCATGAGTGAAAGGTGAGAAGAGAATTGAAGGCTGCGAAAAGATAAGTTGAAGAGGCCGTATGCAGGAAAGGACTAAGAGAACTGAAGAGTGTAGAGTCAAGAGTTAATGAGAGTTGAGTAGAATGGAATGTAAAAGGTGAAAGGTTGAGTTGTAGAGTTTCGAGATTTTGTCAGAATTGATCAAGTCGAAAAAAATTACAATATTGTAGCTTTCCATTCCCATATTAATCAATATATATAACAACTTCCTCCCTTATGCTGCCACAGGATCCTTCCCACTGGCAATGTTGCACTGGTGCATCAACCGGCGCTCGTCCTTGCCGTTGTTCATTCCCTTGAACTCTCCGGTGACACTGTGCAAGACTCCACGGTTGAAAAAAATAACCAAGTCGCCCTGACTCCAGGCATGTGCCAAGACCCTTGAAGGAGCAATTGCCGGTCTCATCAACTTGTGCACAGCCTCGCGAGCTTCTTTCAACTCGAGTGTTTTGGTGGAACCATCATCTTGTTTTGTGTGCACTTTATACAAGCAGCATCCATGCACTTGCAAGTGAGGTTTTCCCGTAACTGGGTTCTTCCAAACCATAGGCAACGTCTTGATCTTTTCCTTTTCCCACGGAGGCAACTTGTCCAACGCCATTTCCTTGCCTTCCAGAACCATAGTTAAACCGTCAGAAGTGGCTCCGGCTGGTGAAATGAAGATGTATGGATGAGGAGCATACTCCACAGAACTGGCAAGTGCAAACTTCTTTTCCTCGTCAGAAAGCCTCAGAAACGCCTGCTCGCCACTCACAAAACACGTGGCTCCCTGGCTAACTTCCAACTCATCATTGGACCCATCGTCGTAGGTAACGATTTGAGTGTGGGTTGAAGGTGGAACTTTTATACCCAAAAGTGTCGTCACCAAAGGAGGAGCCAAGTCATATAACGCTGAGTCAATGTGCCATCTGTAGAACCTAGTACGGTGTTCTTCCTGGATTTGTTTGGGTGTTAATGGTGTATGGTGAAATGTGGTGTGCAGAGGATGAGTGAGACTGATATCGCTGCCATTTTCGTTACCCGGCTCGTGCGCGCCAAAAGTTCCCTGCCCCAAAATTTGAACCTGGGGTTGCGATTTCACCGTGGTTCCATCTTTCCGAAGAACCGATTGCTCGTGGCGAAACTCCTTCCCGTGGCCATATCCTGCAAACCCACTGTCTTCCTTGGGTTCGGGAATCGTAGGATCAAATCTCTTTGTAAGCAAATATTGCGATTTGGGTGCCAACTCAGCCTGATCGGGAATCACAACTACCAAATGCAGAAGAACAGCATCATGCAATTTCTTAAAATCGTCATCATCCAACTGACTTGGGTCTCCTTTGCAGTACGCAGGCAACGTGACCTTGCATCCAAAAGGCTTATTTGGGAGAATTTCAATGGTTAAAGTGTCAGAGTGCATTAATGAAATTGGGAGTGTGGGGGTCTTATATCTTGCTTATCGCTTATCGGTGAGCCGCGGAGCTCCGCGGGTCGCCGACCCACCGGCATGCCGGTCCTACACACCCACGGACTTTTCGACGACCGGCATGCCGGTCCTATACATCGTTGCACCCACTACGTACCACGTACCGGCACGCCGGTTACACATACCACTCCTTCTGCATCCACATCCACACCAAACTCACAGAGCTCACCACCAATGGCCCGGCGAGGCCCTTGCCGAGCTTGCACGTACGAAACACGAGCCATTCGCTAACAAAATGAAATCCGGCCACCGCAAATGTCCACATGCACATGTCGTAAACCGGTTTATTCCCAACTAGGTGATATGCTGCATAGAATCTAACAATTGAGGTAATAAGTGTCCATGTTCCGAAGGTTCTTGCGCTTAAATTTGTAACTTGATTCCGGGGTGCATTTTCATATACTCTTCTGGTCAATGTGAGATCCGGGGTCTGATAAGTTTGCAATGAGTTGAAAATGGAAACTACACTGATGAAGAGTAGCCATGATGGAAGGTAGCCACCTTTGGAATATGGAAGAATTGATCTGAATTGGGGAATCATTGTGAATGAAGATTTTGATGCGAATTCAGTGAGGTGTGCGATGTATGCAGGTTAATAGAGCTGACTAGTTGAGCTAACACCAAGTGTTCATTCTTGTAAGGAAGGAAGCATGATCCAAACCTAGATTGGCTAATTCGACTAATTCGACTAGATTGAAGATTCAATGTTGACAATTTTTCGATTTTTCATGTTGAAAATTGGCTGCAAATTGCATGGAAAAACCCATCTATAAAGCATCAGAGTCCTCGTTATTCCTTCAAGAACACAAGAAAACCAAGAAAAGAATAAAATACCGAACAAAAAGTTACAATCTAAAAAATTGAGTCTTTTTCTACTTTTTATTCTTTTTACTACCTCTAATTGGTGAGTAAATCCATAATGTCAGTCCATACGACCATTCCTTTAGCTCGTATGTGCCTTTCTTGGCAACGAACAACTCAGAAACACACCTTTCTGGAATAGCATACACCAAAGCTCAAAATGGAAGCTCGCTTTAAAAGCCGAAGTCAGACGTCAATTTCGCATAAATGCCCGAAATTTACGGTGTGCCTTTTTTCGAGAACAAACTTGATTACTCTACAGTCAAATACAATTGAACACAATTAGCCTACAATCGACACAATAGACTATGCTTATCTTCTTGACGACTTTCTTGTCAGACAAAGAAAATCTAAGATCTCAGATCCATCGTAACCACACCGGTATACTCCATAATTTCTTGGCAAGATATATCAAGGTTGACATTTCCCTCCATTTACGATTTTGCCAAGACATATTAACCACTGAGGTCTTAAAGTGGTATAGTGATTGCGAAAACCTGCGTTCGAGACGATGAGCTGCAAACCTATAAAAGGTCGACTTCCCGGCCTCTTGCAACCAAATTGCAATGAAGTTTTCCGGTCTTCTTTTCTCAGTAGCCATTGCTGCTGCTGCTCCTGCGTTCGTGCTCGAAGAGAACTTAAACTCATCCACCACCGAGATTTCTTTCTCGTGGGACGCTACTTGGAACCAGGATTTTGAGATCCATAAATCTTGCAATCTGACCCAAAGGAACCAATTGGTGCAGGCATTCACTGAGACCAAGTTATTGGCTCAGCATGCCAAGGAGCATACGCTTCGGTTTGGAAACCTGTCCAAATTCTACCGCAAGTACTTTGGAGATGCACCTTCTGGAGAAGTGGTTGGGCTTTACGAAAACGTGATTTCTGCCAACAAAACTGGAGTCTTGTTCAGATGCGACAATATCGATGGAAATTGTGATCTCGATGGTTATGCTGGACACTGGAGAGGTTCTAATGGAACCGATGAGACGGTTATTTGTGATCTTTCTTACACTTCCAGACTCTTTTTGTCCCAAGTTTGCTCGAGAGGATACACTGTAGCAGGATCCAAGAACACCGTTTTCTGGGCTGGTGATTTGCTTCATAGAATATGGCACACCGACAAAATTGGTCAGGGCGTTGTAGGACACTATGCCGACACCTATAACGAGTGCTTGGACCTCGCAAAAAACAATGCAACTTATGCCATTAGAAATTCCGCCAGTTTGAGATACTATGCCATGGACGTATACGCTTATGATATTGCTGTTCCGGGCAAGGGATGCACGGGAAAGGCACCAAAAGACACTACTTCGACCAGCCAAGCTTCAGCTGCTTCAGAAACTGCTTCAGAAACTGCCACTAAAAGCAAGGAAACTGGCTCGGACCATGGATCTGAATGTCACACTCATGCCAACGGAGAAACCCACTGTGTTTGAGTTGAGCTTGATACCTTTTTCTCGTTTCGTTTTTTGTTTCGTCTTTTTATAAAAGTTTTGAATGTACAAGCCACTAGCTTCTTTTCAAATGGCTGCAAATTTTGAAAGCGCTTCTTTAAACTTTCATTCAAAGAGGTTTTGTCTCATGTTTTTCTTCTTTTGACTCTACATGGCCCAATACTCGCTGAAAGAAGGCTACCGTTGAGTCAAGAGATAAGTGAGCAGTGCTAGCTGTTAAATTTCTCAACTTTGGTTCAATTCCACAAACTTTACCAAGATGATTTTCCATCGTTTTGATTTCAACTCATCTTTCGAAAAGATTATAAAGTTCGCTCTCCCACGAGTTCCTTAAAGTGGTCTTCGTAAGTGCTCGACTTGAGCTCGTCTTGAGGGTTTGTCTTGAGTTCTGCTCATAGTTTTCAACAGTCTGTTAGTAAATTCATTACAACTGAGGCGTCAACTTCCGATATGTCTTAGTTAACGCAAGGTTGTCAATTCTTCACTTATTGACTTTGAGTGTAAATTGCTGTGGTCGTTCTCTTTCCAGTTGGATACCGATTTACTGCTAAGTTAGCACTCGAAGACTCTTTCTAGAGCCAAAATAAGTCTGGTGACTCCTTGCTGTCCCAGAGTGCTCCAATTGAGTGTTTTGGTATGTGGAAATTGGACTTAAGTGTTGTTGCAAAATACTCCAGTGATATTCAGCTTTCATAATTCAAGATAAGCATAAAATAAACATAAAATAAACACCAAGATGAACATCTTCTACTTTCCAGAGTCTCTTCCTTTAGTCTCCGACTTATTCTGAGTGATGTAATTTTCCCATTGTCCTTGATCTCTCACGATTTGAATCAGTCGCATTTACCTCATTTCTCTCATCCTGCATCTACCTCAGTTCGCAGCTAAAATCACCATCTACTGTTCACCACCCTAGCTCTTTCTCTCCATCATTCTCGGCGAATATGGATTCTGACGAGGAATACGTGGCGGCCGTAGACCGCGACTCGTCCCCAGAGGTGTTTACTGACGACGAGGATTTGGGAGGTCGTCGTTCCCGTGGAAAAAAATCGGGAAGTAGTGGGCCAGCGGCAGCAGATGGCGGGTATTCGTGGGAAGATCGGTACAAAAGACCTTGGGATATCGTCAAGGATGAAGACGAGGCAGGCCAGTCGTTGGAGAATGTCATCCAGACGATGATAGAGAACAGAAAAAAGAAAATCATGAAGAATCCCACCACTCCATTTCAGAGAGGAATCATTCGAACCTTGATTGTAATTATAGATGGGTCGCTGACGATGCTGGAAAAGGATTTAAGACCCAACAGGTTTGCCATGACTTTACAGCTCCTACAGGAGTTCATAGTGGAGTTTTTCGACCAGAATCCCATCTCTCAATTGGGTATCGTGATGATGCGAAACGGTGTTTCGAATCTCGTTTCTGAGGTCAATGGCCTGCCCCAGTACCATATAGACAAATTGCGGCTGCTTCGGTCGCGACAGCATAATCGTTTCGAGCCTAAAGGAGACCCGCTGCTTCAAAACTCGTTGGAAATGGCAAGAGCAATGCTCAAATACAACTTTGGTACCAATATGGACGACAACAAAAACTCGAAAGAAGTGCTCATTTTGTTCGGGGCGCTCTTTACAAGCGACCCTGGGGATATTCACAAAACTATAGACAACCTCATAAAGGACGAAATCAAGGTTAAGATTATCGGACTTTCCGCCCAGGTGTCAATCTGCCAACAGATCGCCAACAAAACGAATAACCTAGGCTCGCGAACAACTGGTGCCAATTCTTCTTCCGGCTCCAATTACTCTGTCATCATGAACGAAACTCATTATCGTGAACTCCTCATGGATTGTGTGGTTCCCTTACCGGTCGCTGCCACAGAAAAAAGGTCCACTGTTGGAGTCCCACTCATCAAAATGGGATTTCCCCTGAAAGTTCTGCCTCCCATTTCCGCCTCCAACAATACAGTCAATCTTGACCTTCCCGTTCTTTGTGCGTGTCACCCGACCAATGGATCTCTCGAATCGAAAGATGCTGTAACAATTGGCGCAGAGTCTTCTACCAGCATCATAGGATACCAGTGTCCTCAGTGTCGCAGTAGGGTGTGCCATCTTCCAACCATCTGCCCAACATGTGGATTGATGCTAATTTTGTCCACTCATTTGGCGAGATCTTACCATCATCTAGTACCGCTTCGAGAGTATAAAGAGGTTCCAGCAGCAGACCATTACGAAGGTACTCACTGTTATGGCTGCTTGCTCAAGTTTCCTGAAGCAGGCGGGCCAGATGGACCACTTCGAGCAAGTTCAAGATACAGATGTCCCACATGTGCTCGTGATTTTTGCATTGATTGCGATGTGTTTGTTCACGAAACCCTCCACAATTGTCCAGGGTGTGAAAGCAGATCAGGAAAATAACCATTAACTATAAACGTCAACTAATTAGTCGTCACTTTTGCATATTTTACATCACTTGTTGCCCCACGTAGACCCCGAGCCCCATGTGCTTTTGTCACCTCCACGGTTGCCCCAAGTAGAATTACTGCCACTTCCCCACGCAGACCCTGCTCCTGCTCCGGCTCCGGCACCAGCTCCAGCACCAGCTCCAGCTCCCCATGTGGACCCTGCGCCATTATCTCCCCAAGTAGAATTGCCAGCATTTCCATTGGAGCCCCACGTTGAAACACCACCATTGGCATTTCCCCAAGTAGAAGCACCGGCATTTGCTCCAGAACCCCAGGTCGAAGCTGCTCCATTTCCACCTCCCCACGTAGAGGCTCCTGAGTTGGCATTTCCTCCCCAGGTAGAAGCACCACCGGGAGTTTTGCCCCAAGCTGTGGCACCTCCTCCCCAAGATGTACCGCCTCCAGCACCACCACCGCCTACCATTGGCGTAGCACCGCCATTTCCCCAGGCAGATTTTCCGCCCGACGAAAATGCTGGTCCAAATCTGTTCTGGTTGTTCATGGAAGAACCACTGTTTTGAGGTCCGTTGTTGGCACCGATAAACCGCAAGTACGGAATAGACTCACCACGTATTATAACACTCAAGTTGTTCTTGTTAACCTTGATTTTTTTGGATTTGGTATGCAACTCAATACGAGCAAACACATCGTCGGTATCGGTCACCTTTCCCATAAGCCCCTTATGATTTCCACCAGTAACAATAACGTCCTTGTAGATCAATTTGTCACGCCCACCGCGACGAGCAGTAACAGCTGGTGACGGACCGGCCACCTTGTTTGGATTCATTTTGGTAAGATCTGGTCCCTTAGGTCCGTCTCGTGTCACCGCTAATACATTCATACAGTTGGTGACGAAAAACCCAAGGTTTTCAGAGACATCATGCAGCTGTATGAACAACGAGTTTTTGAATATATGCACAACAACACCTTCGCGCTTCTTGTCGGTGGCTAATTCTCTTACTGTGTCTCCAACCTGAACAGTATTTCCATTTTTATCAGTGGCTATCTGTTCACGACGGGTCATCCGAAGCTTGGAAGCTATACCTGAAGGCTTGACGGTGGTAAGACGACCATCAGACGTAAGAAGCTCGTACAAGTCCTTGTCTGCCTTCACTATAACACCCACAGTAGACGCATTGAGCTGTACCAAGTCCTTGATATCGTACATGCCACCAGTTTCCGTAGATGTCAGTGCGTCAGTAGCTTTCACCAAGTAATTGGCGAAGACTCTCACGTCTGCCTTGGTCTGGTCACTCAAAAGAACCACGGAATCTCCTTCAAGCTTGATAACCAAGCCTGTTTCGTCGGCGTGCTTACCAGCGACAACTCGAACATGGTCTCCTGGAGCGAAAACTTTACGAAGATCTGCCGCAACCACTGTCAATTCTTGGTTCACGAAACGAGGATCTCCACTATCGGTCACCATTATAGTGACTTCGTTGAGAGACAGCGCTGTGACTTTACCCACAGTACGAGCCTGTTCACCACGACGAACTTCTACTTTATCGCCGGGTTGAAATGCTGAGGTTTGTTCCTTTTTCATCAGGGCCACGGCTGACACATCGATACCATCGTCGCCCACGTTGAAACGCTCCAACTCAGCGAGAGTAGGATTCACATCTTTGGTGTTGATGAACTGAAGCTTGAAATCCTTATACAAGAACCCATCGACATAATCGTCACCGCGGTAAATGTAGGTTCTAGGACCCCTTCCGGGCGATAAGAATTCGCTATCGTAGGCTCTGGCTTCTTGTTCCGAGAATAAACGGGCGGGAGGGCGCACCTTCAGCTTAATTCTGCGGCCGTCTCTGTCAAAAGTGTCGTTTTTACCATAGTCCAATCTGGGGACAAGTTTACATCGAACATCCAACCCGTTCTCAGAAAGATTATCCACTATAGCAAGGTCTCCCTTATACTTTCCTCTGGTCATACGAACATAGAGTCCAGGCACGATCTCCACGTCGGAACTTTTGACCTGTTTCAAAAGATCGGGATATTCTCTGACTGGAACCAAAAGCCGATTCTTGGGGTACACGTTCACCATACCTGCCAACGCTCGGTCAATGGCTTCGGCACGCTTGGCTTCGATATAGATATAGCCCTTGAACGAGTCTCTTTGGAACACCGTCAAGATATCGAGAGGCCGTCCGGTTCGGGCGAGGGTTCTCTTTTTGTCGAAGAGCTTGCGAACAAGTTCTTTTTCACGACCAGGTGAACAACGAATGGCGTAAATGGAAGGGTCGTTGATAGATGGCATGAGCAACTTTTGAGATACTGTACCAGAAGTGGCGCTATCTCCACGGTAAACAGAATGGGTTTTACGGTAACGTTGCTTCAATGTTTCTGCCAACGCTTCGGCATCCTGGTCCTCGGTTTCCTGTCTTCTACGGTCGAATTCCCGGTGCAATCTGTCGTCCTGGCGCTCCGTCTCGGGCGCCTCCTTGTCGTCAGCTAAAAACTGTTCTCTCAACAATTCGGCCTCTTCGTCGTCTTCGTCGATTTCCTCATCTTCTTCATCGTCGACTTCGGCTTCGATATCCACAAACTGGTTTGCCCTCCGCCGTTTCCGCGACCGCAAATCGTCGTCCTCGTCGTCATCATTTTCGTCTTCGTTTTCGTTTTCGTCTTCATTGTCGTCTTCGTTTTCATTCTCATCTTCATTTTCGTCTTCGTTTTCGTTTTCCTCTTCGTCTCTTGGCTCTTCCTTCACCTGTTCTTCTTCTTGCTTGAGAGCGGCCGCTTCCTCCAGGCCCATCTCATCGAACAGTCTTTTACGATTTACAGGCTCTGTCTCTCCATCGTCCGCGACATCAACCTCGGCAGCTTCCACATCGAAGTCGTCGACGTCGTAGCCATCTTCGCCGTCGGGATGCTTGTGTTCGACAAAATCAGACATGATGGTGAACGAGGAGATTTTTCGTGATATTTTGGCGCGCGGTACTGCAGACAAGAACAAGATGCTATACGGCTGCAAATGAAATGAAAAAGGTAATGCTACAATCGATCAGCTACAATCAAGTTTTCAGCAAATGGGAGTTTTATTGCTTTTGTGGTTTTTGGCTACACTGGTTTATTGATTTGTATTCTATACCTGCATGCTTTCTACACTAAGCAAGCACCTTCCAGAAGTTTTTCCAGGTCCAGTTCAGCTCAGGAATATCTTCAGGGTTTTCTTCGATATCAGTGAAGATTGACTTCAAATCCACCTCCTCCGGACGCAAGTAGCGTGTTTTCTTGAAAAGTTTCCAGAATGTAAACAAACCAATGGACAACGGAATGATAAAGTAGCTGGTGAAGAAAGACTCGATTTTGAACTGGCCGGGAATAAAGTTGGTGAATCCTCCTGTGATCAAAAAGACAAATGACATGATTCCGGAGAACCACGCTGCGAAGGGTCCGAATCTTGTGGAGTACGGTAAATCCTTTCTGGTGTAACCTTGTGCCCTTAATGCTCTGTCCATATGAATGTGGTTCGCGGAAATCAAGATCCACCTCAAAAGCAAATTAGAAGAGGTCAAGCCCTGGAACCAGCTGAAAATGGTCGATGAAGTGGCAGAAACCGACATGTATGCCAAGGGCAAAAATATAGCCACAAACGCAACTCCATAGTATGGAACTCCTCTTTTGGTGGTTTTCAAGAAAATCTTTGGAGCCTGGTTTTTTGCAGCCAACGAGAACAAGTTCCGAGAACCCTCCACCATACTCAAGTTTCCAGCGGACCAAGCCGAGGTCAAGACGATAGCATTGATAATATGCGGTAAAACGTGGATTTTGGCATTGTTGATTGCAATGACAAAAGGACTTGATTGGGCGGTTCCGGTTCCGGATGCAATGCGAGGGTCGTTGTAAGGAACTATCATGGTCAAGAAAAAGACTGTGATAAGGTACAAGGTGATAATACGCACAAAGATGTTCTTTGCACCGTGAAATATCGCATGTCTACTATTCTTGGTTTCGCCAGCCAAAATTGCAATATTTTGCACCCCGCCATAAGAGTATACAATTGACGAGATGGCAGACCAAATTCCAGTCATTCTTCCTCTTGCACCAGTATAAATGTATTCTGCAATTGGTCCGGGGTCTCTCCAGTACTGGAACCCAATTGCGTGGTGATTGGGACCACCTCCGCACACTATCACCAAGCTGGTGATGATGATTATCACAATCAAGATAATTTTCAACCACCCAAAAAAGTACTCAATCTCGCCATAAAACCGAACCGAGTAGAGATTGGTAAGAATGAACAACACTCCAAACACTGTTATAAACACTGCTGGGCTTACATCTGTCCAGTATGTCATTACAACTGCTGTGGCAGAAAGCTCCGCCGGCATTATAGCAGCATAAACCGAAATCCACCCAAAGGCAAAACCCACGGCTTCGTCGATAAACTGCTCGGAATGACGAACCGTGGCAGCTGTTGCAGGCAAAAAAGAAGCCACCTCGGCAATTGCAACCTGGTTGCAACCAACCACTATTCCCACCAACACATACCCTATAAGCATTCCAACGGGACCAGTTTTTTTCAAAGTACCACCAGAAGACAAGAATAAACCGGTTCCAAACACTCCCACCAACGTCAACATCTGGATATGTCTTTGACGAAGACCCTGTCTTAAAAGAGTTCTATCATATTCAAGAACTCCTCTTTCTTCTCCGCTAGTACTGGAGTTCCAAGACTCGATTTCCACCAAGTCGACATTTTTTGCAGTCGCCGATTTGCTATCTGAAGACGCTGACATACTTGAATAACAATTTTGGGTTGGGATCAGTCCCTTTTAACGTCGGAGTTGTGTGAGCTCCACAGTGATAAGAGCCAAGGCTGCATACTGCTGACAAAGGGAGACTTTTAATTTGTCACATTTTGCCATTTTTCTGTTAGTCATAAGCAGCTAAACCGAGACAGATCATAAGAGACAGTCATGGCAGACATTGCACACAAACCATAGCATTCAGCTATCCCACCATAAACCCCAAGTACCAAAATCAAGTGCCGCGCAAAGTTCGCAACCATTGTGCGACGAGCTCCATTGTGGCGCAAAATGCCAGTTCCAAAAATGCCACAACCAGTTTCTCCGGGAAGCTAAAACCGAGACGTTACATGCTGGAATCAAGGCACCAAAAGATAGCAGAACAGCTGAAGCGCAATTGCAATAGCGCCGTCACCGATGCGGCGCAGTCGCTTATCAGTTTGACAGGGTTGACAGATAAGAAAAGGAAGATAACCGGAATGGTATCGAGATATAGTCTGGTGGTATAAGCCATTGCAGCCGTAGGGAAATGTAATTGTACCAAAAGTGCAATAAAGTTGCAATTTAGTGGTTGCAATTTAAAGGTTGCAAAATGTACCTTCAGACTTCTTGGCACTTATTGTAGCTAGTCGTCACCCTATCCTCAACTATCCTCAGCTATTCTCAGCTTATCCTTCAGCATATCTCATATCCTCAGCTTATTCTTATCCTCGGCTATTCTTTGTCTTACTTCTTTTCTGTATGCTGTACCTCAGTATGCTATAATCTGTATGCTAATCTGTCTGACATGCTACCATAAAAACCAAAAAAATTCTCTCGTATCCATGACTTTTCACATTCTAATAGTACTATTGAGCTTTCTCGTCGCCGTTTTTGGCTTCGAGGCTACTCCTCGCAAAAGTATCGATTCTATCAGAACCAAACCCACCAACTGCACTTCTCTTCGTGCCATTGATTTTGATCCAAAAACAATCTTTTTGTGCACGGAGACCAATTCAACACTTCTCCACCACAGTCTACTTGATACAGCTTCCAGAGTGGGTGGAAATCTTGTTCCTTCGAATCACGACGTTCAGCTCCAAGAGCTCGGAATTAGTGCCGATTCCAATACTTGGCTCGAAGCTTCCAATGGATACTACTATGGTAATTTGGAGCCCATGGTTCCGTTGAGCGGGTGTCTTGATAGTAGTCATGGCGCTGGAGGCTCATTGGCTGGAGAATTTTCAATCAATTTGGGTACAACTTCTTCATTGGATTTACCGTTTCTTTGGGCATCGGGTTTCCAGCCGTCGCTCGTTGGAGGAGTTACAAACGACATAGATACCTCGTTTACCATCGCCAGGCAGTTTCTGTGTTTAGTCCCAGCCAATTCTACAGGCCAGATCTTCTACAGGCCGTTCCGGATCGAAGTTGCAAAACCGCGGATTCGTCCATGGACCGTTATTAAGGGACTTCGGTCTAAAATCCTCCAAGGAAACTGGTTGCAACTACAAAAGGCATCCTTCTACTCGGCAGCCACTCCCCCACAGTTTTTGTGTGTTACAGACCCCAAAGAACTCAAGTGCTAAAGAAAGCTGAGCTGAGCTGAGCTGAATGAGTTGAGTGTGGCTCGCATCAATACACCCGAACATCTCACTGTAGGGCATCTCACTGTAGGGCATCTTCTTTTGTTTCACCATGTCAATTGAAAGCTACGCCGCCGAGCTCAAGTCGGCTCTTCGTCAGTTCCCCAACTTTCCCTCGGAGGGTATTCTTTTTGAGGACTTTTTGCCGATTTTTGCCAAACCGGAATTGTTCAAAAATCTCGTAGAGGCATTCAAGTTGCACGTGGGAGACACCAAAGTCGATTATGTTGTGGGATTGGAAAGTAGAGGGTTTCTCTTTGGCCCTACGCTTGCGTTGGCTCTTGGAGCTGGGTTTATTCCCGTAAGAAAGCCAGGAAAATTGCCAGGACCAACTTTAGAAGCCACCTTCCAAAAGGAATACGGAACCGACAAATTCCAGATCCAAGAAGGTGTGATCCCTAAGGATGCCCGTGTCTTGGTCGTGGACGATATATTGGCTACTGGAGGTAGTGCAAGTGCTGCTGGCCTGTTGGTGGAGAAAAGTGGTGCAAAAGTGGTGGAGTATCTTTTTGTGATGGAGCTTGATTTTTTGAAGGGACGTGACAAGTTGAACAGCCCTGTTTTCACGTTGTTGAGTGGCCAGGAGGCGAAAGTTGGAGAAGTAGAGAAGTAGAGAATAATAGAAAGCTGGAATTCAATATATTATCTATCCGCTTTTGAATACAAGAAACGCCAACTCGCCGATGTAAAAATAACAGAAAAATCCATGCTCGTGAGTAACATAAGAACCAAAGCTCTTTCCCACTATAACATGCCATGTAGGACCATACAAATGGTCCATTTCTTTTTTCAAAAAAGTAGAATAATCCTTTTCAACACTATACGTGGAGAGCGCCTGGGCTGCCAACTCGAACAATCGAGTCTGGGTTTCTTCCGGCAAATCAGATGCCTTTAAGACCGCTGGGTTAGTTAAAAATTTCAACGAGCGAGCGAAAGTAAACTTACGGGCTTCGGATTCCATACGCAATACTAACGGAATCAAACATTTGTCTTGGTGAAACATCCGTACACCACCACATTCCACGAGCTACCAATAGTTCTAAGTTGTACTGGTTAGTACCTGAATTCCGGCATGGATGTCATTGGCACAAACAACAGCATTCCTAGGATGGCCAGGCCCAGAAAGTAAGCGCAATAGCAATACTGACTAATGTCAGATGTAATTTAAAAGGCATCTGTGCACCAGGTTCCGGTTACCCCACACTAAGTATAAAAGCCAACTTTGTTGCTTTCAGCAAATAGACAACATGTATGGATTTTCCAAGATTGAAAGAGAAGTTCTGAAGGCAATTCCAAATCCTGAAAGCCCCAAACCTCAAGGTGTGGCTCCAGTGCCCTCCAGTGAATTGGCCCGTTTCGTCTACGATTATGCCAAGAAAGAGCTTCCTCCAAAAACCTTCAACCACTCACTTCGAGTGTATCTGTATGGAGTAGCTATTATGAACGACCACTTTCCCAAATGGTCGTTGGATCCAGAAGTTATCTTTGTAACTTCAATGCTTCATGATATTGGAACCACCGACAAGAATATGGCTGCAACAAAGATGTCGTTTGAGTTTTGGGGCGGCATTCTTTCACGGGATCTCATCTTAGAACATACCAAGGGAAACCAGGAGTATGCCGATGCTGTAGCTGAGGCTATCATTCGTCATCAGGATCTTGGAGAAACTGGTTATATCACCACTTTGGGGCTCATTACTCAGATTGGAACCATTCTTGATAATGTGGGACTTTACACCCATCTCATTCATGAAGACACTTTGGATGCTATAAACAGACAGCATCTGCGTGACGGGTGGCTCTCGTGCTTTGCTGGAGCCATTGAGAATGAAAACCGCAAAAAGCCTTGGGGACATACGTCCAAGCTTGGAGTGGAGCAGTTTCCCAAGGATGTGATGAACAACAAGGTTCGGTACCAAAAGATGTGAAAAGAAGAAAAAAACTGAAGCAGAACTAAAGCATGAACAGACTGACAAAGTTGAACAGACTGAACTCAAGACTGGACTTAAGAACTGAGACTGACTGAGCTGATTGAGACTAACTGAGCTGACTAAGAAAGAATTCCTCAATACGTTGACCTGATATTTATAGTACTTCATTACAATCGCTAGAAGCAACAGAACTTGTAGCATTGGTCCGATATCTTTCTCTTCACCTTTTTCTCCTAATCTTTTTCTCTCCCTCACTTTCTCTTCGCATTTCGCAGCCGCAGCTTTCTCGCAGCCGTCGCGAAATCATCACCTCTCCAATCTCCACCACCATTCCCATGCTACGACCTAGCAACATTTCAACAAACTACTACAAGATAGCTCATCTCCATGATATCTCGTATCGCATCTACACGGCTGTGGACTCGGCAAATGAACAAATGCTCTTGGAATTGGAGGTGCAAATCCGTCACGACCATCCATCTATCCTCATCAATTACTACAATAGATCGCTATTTGTGTTCCAGTTTTCCCATGTGGCCTCGTCTATCGACCTCCAGGAACTCTATCCTCAACTCAAATTGCTGCTGTCTCATACTTCCTCGCCAAAAGATCTCACCACCTCTCGAACGGTGCGCCCGGCTGCTGACGATCCGGTACCATATGCTGGGCTTTGCTTTTTGAAGGCGGTCAAGAAGCTTGTGTTGTTCAATCTCTCGCGTGCTGGCGCCGTGAAGCTTTTCGGAAACTATGCCGTGGCCGCCGATGATGAAAAAACCTACTCCATGATCTACCTCGATCCCATCTTACTTCCCTCTGGCGATGTGTTGGTATCGATGTCTCGCCGGACAAAACCTCGTCTCTTGGCCACATCCGTGCTTGAAACATCTTCCTCGGCTTACTATGCAATTTACTTGATTCCTTCTGGAATTCGATGCCATTTATTCGGAGCCAATCTCGAAGCATGTCTCACTTCGGTGCCTCCAAGTAACCACAAACCGCTCATATCACTCCTAGAACGAGCCATCGGCGTATCCATCAGTCTGGACATCCTCTGGGTGAAACTCGTGCCCAATTTGCAGCATTTAAACAACCAGACGTCTCCCATTTCGCAATTCGTCCATTCAGTAGATAACAAAAAGTATATCATGTGGCCATGGAACCTCTGTCTAGTTCAATACGGCCACACGGAGCATCTGGAGGAGCCGTTGAAGAACTCGCCGTTCGACCCTGTTGGCATGATTTCTGAGTTTCTTGATTTTTCCATTAATGTGCATCTGCAAATGGCACCGCTGCCCCACGATTCTCAACTAGCACCTCCGTTCAGTGTTCCCAGTATAATGTCTACCGATGCCAGCGGCGAGGTAGTAGAGGTAAGAGACTCGGTGGAAGATGAGGTGTTCCCGTCGCCGCTGGTCGGCCTTCCAAAGGAGAATGAAAGAAGCGAAAAACTGGACGACGAGCTCGATGATCTTTTTGGGGATAACAGCGAGCCGGAAAATGACGACAAGCAACAAATCAAAGACATTTCAGTTAAAGACACTACGACTGAAAATGGCGATGTCGAAATGCATCTGCCATCACCAAAAACCGAACATATTAGCAGTCCTTTAGTAGCTGCTACATCCATACAAAACCTGCAAATCCTGCAAAATAAACTGCCAAACCAGCTGAGTCAATCCCAGCAATCCCACCAAACATTTGTGGATATTCCCAAAGACCAAATGCTCACCAAAGAACAAATGCTTGCTTCCTTCAGAGCCACCCCTCAGTCCTATGACGATCCTGGTGCTCCACCAGCCATCATGCCCACCCCTGTGGTACCCCAGCACTACCAGTCAACTCCGGGAGATACCATTCCGTCCAAATCGGTGTTCTCACCAATCTTGTTCAATCCTCTCATAAAGAACAATATAGACACAAAATACGGCAAAGGAGGAAAATTTTATGTTGAAAAAGATTCTTCTGTTGGCGTGGAAGATGCCAAGAGTAAAACAAGAGCAACCAGTGTCCTGGCTCCTACAAATAAAGACGGAGTAACAGGATTGGGAATTAGTCGACACCGCCAACTGAAAGATTATGAAGAAGTGTTCGCAGACGATGAATCCATGGACTCAGAGAAAAGCGCTAGTAGCGATGAAAGTGACGAAGATGAAGCCGACGACAACGCAATAATGGAGAGTGTAACTCTGCCGTTGCGCCTTAATGTGGCAGATATGTCTGCCGATAATGTGAAGAGTGCACCGAATAATCCTTCCAACGGTGAAAACTTCAATGGAACTCATGGTCCCGATGGACAGTCGTCGTCTCTACCCACTTCTTCGGTGCCTATTTCTCTGTCGGTAGCTGGAGCAGGTCTTGCTTTCAATACAGGCTTGGCCAACGTCGACAGTTTCTACCTGCCTTTTATGAAAAATACAAAGAAAGACTGGCCCGAGTCTGTGCAACTGGAGGAAGTGCTGAACCCACTGGATGCATCGGAGCCAGCATCCACGAATGCTTCAGAACCTGCTCTGCGTAATCTGGAACCAGAAAGCGACCATACCGAAGAAAAAAAGCAAGATAGCCAGCCGCCTTCTTCTTCCTCAACCAATTGTCTTCCATTGATATTGCGAGGCATCAATACCAGTACCATTCCCGATATGTTTTTGACTAATAATATCGAAAACAATATAAAGAACGAGCTCATTATGGATGTCGAAGCCGATACAGAAACTTCTGATCTTGGATGTGGAATGGAATTGAAAGCCAAGTCTGAGGGCTTGAACGATTTATTGGAGACTTTGGTCCCATCCCTAATTTTTGACCATGGATTGACAAACATAGATTCAAAATTGGTCCAGTATTTTGTCAATGACGAGGAAGAAGCGTTGGTTCACCTGGATCGAATCCCGCTCCACCTTTCTACCGCATTCCTGTCTCTCTTTCCTCATAGCTACAATGTTTCATTGTTTGAGTTTCTCACCCCAATCTACGGCCAAGATGAGAAAACATCCTTTTTGGATGAACTAACCGTCACGGGAATGCTACAATTTGAAGGTGAAAAGCTCAATAATTTGCAGTGGGACGCTATATATCCTGATGCTGGAAACCAGGAATCAAGCGACATCGAGACATATCTCCAATTGGTTTCTCAGATAGAAGAGTCTCCGGAACGGGAAGATTCAGGTATAATTGCCTTAAAAGAACCAATGATTACTGTTAAAAAAGACGATGCCATTATCAACTTGTCATCTACGTCGCTTTCATTTTGGAACTTTTTGAACTTTAGTCCAGTAAATGGACCGAAAGACTTTCAAACTGTACTAGTGTGTGATTCGGATCCTAACAACACAGGGTCTCAATTCTTGGACTCTTTAGCATATTGTTATCACGAATGCTCGTTTGGAACTATGGCCAAGTTGAACTTGAATTCTCTGCTGAGTTTGGATTTACAACGAATCAATGGAACCATCAATATCGTCTACGACGAGACACTGGAAAACGGTGGTGCCGTGAGGGTTGTGGAGCGAGAATTGATGAAGCTCGCGGAACTCATCAAGCTAGATTTGATGGAAAAATCCAACAGCTTTGATTTCAAGAGTCCGTTTCTTCTACTTTTTGCACTCTCCGATACTCGTTTCAATGCCCACCTTCTGGTTGCAAAGTTACTAAGAAATTTCAGGCAAGTTTTGCGCCAGAACCAATTACCTATAGTCGAGGTATTTTGCCATATTATACCTTCATCGGTACTTTTTAAGGGTCCGCCGTCTTCCAGAAGTCTCCGCTACCTCTCCAGCTCGAAACTTTGTCGTATTGCTATGAGTCTTTACAATCAGTGCCCAACATTGAAACACAACTCTGCAACGAGACCACTCAATAAAACCGCCTTTGCAACCTTGGCGAAAGACCCTCCTGAAAAGCTCCGTCTAAACCTTCCAGGTGCCACGAAAGACTCCAAAGACGCATACAGTGACGATATATTTCTTCATTTGGCGTACGAAAGAAGCATAGATAAAAGCTGGATTGTGGGTGTTTGGTCTGATCCTCGAGGACTACTTACTCATACTAAAGCGTGGTACTGTTCGCCTTCTCGTCGTACAACTAAAGTTGCTAATAGTATTGAGGAGGTGTGCGACGACCTTTGGGCTCTTTCCATGGAATTTTTCAAGAACCTAATCGAGCAAGCCAGCAAGAATGTTTCAGGAAGAAAGTTTTTGGTGCTCACGAGGGTGAACAATGTCATCCCCGATGACGAGCTAGTTCACTGGAAAAGGCTTAGTGTCAAGCACAAGGAAATCTCTTTGATTGTGCTATCGGTGAACAAATCTCCAAAGACAGTTTTCTCGAGTAGCTCCAATGGAGAAGACGAAACCATGGAAAAAACCGAAAATGTTCCTACCACCATGCCTCCAGACATACCTCTGGTTGACTCAGATGTGTTTCGCCTTGGCTACGGAAACTCAAACAGCACTTCACCTGCTGCTATGATGGGCAGCTCTCCTAACAATATCAACTTTCTGTCTCCTCGTCAAATACTCAATGCTCTGGGTAATTTTTTGTCTCCGCAAGATCTAATTTCTACAGTGGGTTCTTTGGGAGGTCACAACGGAGTCAATGGTGGAGCCAGTCCGTCAAAAGTTGCAGAAGTTGTTGATACCGAAAGAATCCTTGAAGATCCCAGCCAAGATATTTGTGCTGTGGTTCCAATCACCACCTTACCAACCGTCAATTCTCCCACTAGATTGGCTATGAAAAGTGGATACCTTTTAGGCTCTTTTGGACCCCAAATGTTGCAGTATGAAGTCAGTTTGCTTTCTTGTTCAAGCTATTGGAGTCCCGATGCAATTATGAAGATATTGCTTCGTCATTACAAAAAGATGATAGTACTAGGAGATATCTTGTGTATCAAAGGCAAGTTTCAACCTCCTCAATTAAGCAAATCACGCTTCACTGATGAACAGGCGGCTTCAGCAATTGTTCCATGGCACATTACTGCCGTGACAAAAGCCTTGGATTACTTGGTCCATGTGGAAGTGAACTAAATTGAGGAAGTGGAGAGAGGATCCAAAATTGGTGTGAGGTATTGTTTCTATTAAAGTTCCATGAGATTTTCATGAACTTAAATTGTTGTCTATAAGGTTGTATGGCAGAATTATAGGGTCTAGCCTTCTAATTTTGTTCTAAGTTTCATGTCATTTCAAAGTCTGTGAACTTGGACACCGACCTCACCTTGGGCCCGTTCCAATAAAACACAAGTGGGATCAAGATCATTGCCGTGGCTATGAATCCCAAAACACTGGATCCCCATCCAACAGGAAAATTGTTGGTGGCTAGATTGGTGTACAATGGTTGAGCATAAAGCGGTGCAACGCTAGCGGCCACCGACCTCCATAACCCATTGCTTGCAATAACGGAGGCATAGTAGTCAGGAAACGACATTCCCAAATAGTTGATCAAAGTTTCGAAAATGATAAAGTTTGCAAACCCAGCTATACAAGCTCCTATTAATGGTCCGCACCAATGAGCTTTTGGGGTAGCCGACCAGGCAAAAATGAAGATTCCCGCCGGTAAGAGAAACCCTCCCATCACCGCCATGGGTAGGAAAACTTCAGGATAAACCATCTCACTTTTGGTGTATCTTTTGGTGAATTTGAAGTAGATGAAAATTGTGTATACGACGGACCCAAGAATGACTCCCACAAGCATGCTGGTAGCACTGACACCCTCGAGTAGCGGTGTGAACCCATACATATCCTCAAATACCATAGGAAACGTTTCATACCACAAGTACAAAATACTGTAAATCAAAGCCGAGTAGATGTTGATGAAAAGAACCACTGGTTCCGAAACAGTTATCTCAACAGATCTCAAGAGATATTCCTTGACAAAACCCCTATCCACTGCCAAGTGCCTCAACTCTTCATTAGTTCGTATGTCGGAGTTTCCCGTAAGTTCTCGCAAGTGTCTTGCTCTTTTGAACTTTAAAGTAGGAGGGTAAGTTTCTGGCAAAAAAAGTGCAAACAGTAAAAGAGACGAGCCTGTTATAATCAACAAAAACCAGAAGCACCATCTCCAGCCTTTCCTGGAGTTTATTGCTGCTCCTAATACCGGACCCAAACTGGGTCCACAGAGAGAACAAACGGCCCAACCTCCGATCACAGTGGGGATATATGGTGTCTTTATAACATCAGAAACTGACGCTGCGCCCATGGCTAGCACTGGAGAAGCAAATACACCGTTGAAAAAGCGTAAAATGCAAATTGAAGTGATCGTTTGTGACATGGCAGTGGGAATCTGAAGAACTGCAAAAAGAAAAAGTGTTGTAATGTAAACGGGGCTTCGTCCAATCTTGTAGTATTCACTTATTGGAGCGAAGAATAGCGGTCCGACTCCGTATCCTAGCACGAACAAAACCATGGGTAATAAAGCAACTTCTCTTCCCACACCAAATTCTTGCTGAAGGTCTTTCATTCCCGCAGTATAAATGGACAGTCCAATGTACACAGAAAGACAGAGGAACCCTATTTCGAAGCAGAAGAATGCTTTGAGATAAACTGGCCAGTTTTTCGGGTTATCGTAGTTGGTTTCCTTGTCCCAATCGTCATCAATCATGTCTGCATAGGAGTCGTATTTCTCATTGTACTTATGCAAGTCGTTCAGCAAGTCTGTAGTTTTAACAAACCAATGGTTGGTGAGCGAGTCGAAAAGACATTGTTTCAAGAAATGGACAAGAAACATAAATTCTTTGAGGGCTCCGTGCCAGATATACTTATCAATTAGCAACCAAAATCTCGGACCAACTCCGCGCCGCACGCCGGTACCTGCAGCCCGAGATGAGCCAATGCCAACAAGCCAAATGCCAAAATGTCAAGTCCACGAAAAGCCAAATCCACCAAAAACGAGGCGCAAATATGAAATTAGCAGTGACACATTCAAAGTAGTTTGGGTTTGTGTCAAACTCTATTCGGATTTTCTTGTGTCAAACTCTAACGGTTTTTCGCATCTCGGTCCAAATGCGGAACTCCACCGCACAAGTGCCCGGAATTTGAGATGCAAGGCTGATGGTGTCACTTTTCGTGTATATTAGGCCAAAAGTGGCTCGATCAGTCTAGATTCGTCTAAGATGAGATAAAAGAAATTGAAACTTGCTCTCAATCTGTGCTACGCTTTGGGCATTGGTGTATTTGGTTGCTCAATGGAGTGGAATGGTAAAAGAAACTTGCACCAGCATTTAACCTTTGAGTTGACTAAAAACGGTTTTGGATGTTTCGTTTGGGATCGTGTTTTATTGGAATTTGACTTTATCGTTCATTCATTAGCAATTACGCTATCTCTTATCGTTAGTTTTTCATATCATACTCATCTTTTCTCTCCTATCTCTCATATTATGCTCATATTGCTTTCATCTCTTTTTCATATTATTCTCATATTTTTCGTCTTTTTCTCTTATTATTCTCAAGTTCTTCTCACACTTTTCTCATATAATTCTCATATAATTCTCATATAATTCTCATACTTTTCTCATATTATTCTCATGTTTCCCTCATGTTTTTCTCGTGTTTTTCTCGTGTTTTTCTCATGTTTTCCTCACCTTTGGTTCACGTTCTTCTCGTGTGGTACTCATATCTTTGTCATATCATCATCACATCTTTCTCATATTCTTCTCTTGGTCTTCTCATATCTGTCATATCATCATCACATCTTTCTCATATTATTTTCATCTTTTCTCAGGTTTCATATCCTTTTTCTCATTCACTCCATCACGTAAACTCACTCAAGTACGGTCTGATCCAGTCCCTCTTACCCAATGGAACACCTTCCTTTCTCAAAATGGCATATGCCATTCCAACATGGAAGTACAAATTGGGCATATGCCTAATAGTTATAACATGTTTTACCGGCGCCTCCTGACGTCCCTGAGGGGTATCGGTCATAATGAGGGTTTCTCCAATTTCATTAGCTTTTTCTTTATCAACTTTTTTTAACTGCTCGAGAGTACGGGCAATTCGAGAATGCATTTCTTCATAATTTCCAATCTCACTGCTTTGAGGTTCGTACTCTTGACCACTTAAAAGTGCCGCTACCGACTCCGCCAGTAACGTAGCATAATAAACTTGGAAACTTAGGGGATTCATATCTTCAACAAGACGAGCCGAAATAAAGGTTTCTGAATTTGGTTTCTCTTCAGCAATGGTGAGGATTCTATCGAGGGAACCTAGGGCACCATTGGCCATTTTTATCGATGCATCGTAGAGAGAATATGCCATTTTAGTATTGGTGCGAATGTGAGTTTTCAAATTGAATCGAACGTATGCGAGCGCAAAAATGAATATCGCGCATAAGTCTGAAGCTCTGTATGGAGGTTAAAGTAAGATTAAAATGGCTCAAGTCGAGTTAGTATGGAGATATTGGACTTTAACTAGCATAGAGATATTAGATTGTTAAAGAATTTCATCACTCTCTCAACTAAAATTGAAGAGCTTCTTTGTTAAATTTGCAACCATTAATGGAGAGAGGTTGCAAATTGAGAAAATGGCAAAAAATGCAGAATGTATTTTTTCAAGAAAATCCAAATCACAAACCATAGTAGCCACCTGATTTGAATCATCTACTTACTTTCCCTTCCCCCTTTAATAGTCTTTTCTCATCTTTTCTTTCCCATCTTTTCCTTCCTCTCTTTCTCGGTCACGTGCCACCTCCCCATTATCACCAACCGCGTTTGCAAACACAACATGGAGTCCACACAAGAGCTCATAGATACCTACCACCAGGGGTCCCTGAGACCCGAGACTTTACCTATGGAGCGAAAAATGAGCCCTGAGAAGACTGGGACCCCTTTTAGGTCCTCATATAGGCGTGGAAGCAGCGTTTCTCCACTGAAAAAAACGCGCAACGACTATCAAGATCATATTTTTCGCATGAGAGGCAAAGAACGAGGCTCTGTGAGTGTCTCTGGGAGTCCTTTAAGACCACTCAACCGCGACTCACGCGCGGATCTTACAGTATACGACGCATTTGACGAACCCAGTCCATTTCGAGATTCTGGAGCTGATGTGTTTTCGAAAATAAGCCGGGATGGAAGCAGTGTTGATCGAGAAATCGACGATTTCATAGCACGAGAAGCGCAGTTTCTGGATCAGCAAACCGAGTATGTGTTAAGGGATACTCATAAAGTGATCCATAGTATTCCAGACAGCATCGTGGCTAGTGCAGAAGGTGAAAAGTATTATACTATGTTGACGGCGTCTATAAACAAACTTACGCGTGAAATGGACAACTTGCGACACGAAAACAACCTCTTGCGAGATCGTGACTACACCAGTGACTACAGAATACGAGAATTGGAGGCAAGAGTGAGCCATCTCCAGATGGAAAATGGAAGGTTAGCTAGCCAACGGGTGACAGGAGTGGCCGATTCTGCGGCCAAAAGAGCCAATGAGCTATTGAGGGCCAAGCTACTCAAGTACAAGCGGCTCAATGACGAGTGTAGAAAGTGGCATGGCGACAAGAGCTATCGACTTGAGGGCTTGATTGAGCAGCTCGAAGAAGCGATGAAGAATAGTGAAAAGCAAGACAATCAACAAGACAAGACCAACCAAAAGAGCCACGACGGTAAGGGCCAACAGAAATCCCAAGATAAGCAGGATGGTCAAGTTCATCTCGAGTCGGTCCAGATACCGTCTCCGCAACTGGAACCCGATAGTAGTTTGTATGAAAAATTCGAGTCCGCTGCCAAAAATGCGCTGGCACCTTCACTGGCTGGATCCAATGACATGCTAGCCGCTCTCAACATGAACAATCGGCTTTACGAACGATTATTGGCGTTCCTCGACCAACAGGTGTCAGCCGCACCTCACCACGAGTGCAACGAAAACGTTCCTCCATCGCAATGCAGCGCCTGTACCAACCCTCCAGCAACAACCAACCCCGGCCACGATACTATGCAGCTCATGGGGGAGTATAAATGGACTTTGGGATAGAGGATATGGGGTGGTTATGACCGTGGTTTGCACCCATAACCGTGATCCATCGGGACTGTATACAGGAATCGAGACTTGAGTAACAATAAAAAGTATACAGTATAAAGTGTACAATTATCTATCTATAGTATATTTGGTCTATAGCAGTGTATTATAGACATAGTTAGCAACACACAACAAACTCAAGAACTCAAAAGAGGTCTTGCCAGACCTCTTTTTGTTCGTCTGGGATTTCCTGCATGGGCGCACCGTGTTTACATTCCGCATTTGGCCCCAAATTCACGTACGCGAATTTGAAGGAAAACACTTTTGTTGCTGATTTACACCTTCATTTTGTGGTTGTTTTACACTACTTGTATACCTCTGCTAAACACCCCTGCCCTCTGGAGTACCGCTACTGTGCACTTCAACCCCACAAAGCCATCATCCACTATAAAAACTTTGTGAATACTTGCGGGTTTTCTTGAAATCACAGAACAAAATTCTCAACGAAATGCGGTCCACAGTCTCCAATGAGAACGAATACCGGCTAGCACGCTCACGAAAGTTGGAGCTGAGCAGCTCGGACCGTGAAGCAAAAGCTTTGGCCGATGTGTCGAACCAATATGGAGCTGGAGCTGGAACGGCCGTCAAAAATGAAAAGCGAAAGCCCCTTGGAGGAGATATAGCTCCGCTACCACAGACCAATTCCAAGCCCAATGTGTTCTCGCTGGAGCTTGTGCCGTCCAGAATGCCCCAGAAGCGCCAGGCAACGGAACTGTCCACGAATCTCATCGGTAAATTGCATTCCGAATCCAGTGCATCCCACAAACGGTCGCGCAAGATTGACTACGAATGGCAGGATTTGGATGAGGAGGATGCCGATGACCCATTGATGGTGAGCGAGTACGTGGGAGAGATTTTTGCGTATTTGGGCGAGCTTGAATACAAGACGCTTCCTCAGCAATATCTTCATAAGCAAACACATATCAAACCGAAAATGCGGCTGATTCTCGTGGATTGGCTCGTGGAAATGCATATGCGATTCCGATTGCTTCCGGAAACGTTGTTTCTCGCCATCAATGTCATGGACCGGTTCATGCTGATGGAGGTGGTGCAGATCGATAAGCTTCAGCTTTTGGCTACTGGATCGTTATTCATCGCTGCAAAATACGAAGAGGTATTCTCGCCTCTGGTTAAAAACTACGCATACTTCACCGACGGCTCGTACACAGAAGAAGAGATCCTCCAGGCCGAAAAATACATCCTCACAGTCCTCGATTTCGAACTCAATTACCCCAATCCCATGAACTTTTTACGAAGAATTTCCAAAGCCGACGACTACGACGTGCAACTGAGAACCCTAGGAAAATACCTTTTGGAAATCACCATCATCGACTACAAATTCATTGGCATGTTGCCGTCTCTCTGTTCGGCTGCTGCCATGTATATTGCCCGTCTTATTCTCCAGAAACTGCCGGTGTGGACTGGCAATCTTATCCACTATTCCGGCTACCGTGCCGCGGAAATGCGACAATGTGTTGACCTCATTGTCCAGTACCTTGTGGCACCCGTCGAACACGACGAATTCTTCAAGAAGTATGCCACAAGAAAGTTCATGAAAGCATCGGTGGTGTGTCGTAGTTGGGCCAAGAAAGCCGTGCAAGAAGGCCGTGATCTTTTCGCCAGCGAGTTGCAGACGACACGCCCGCAATGATTATAGAACTTTTAAGACATGGCCGGGGGCCGTTATGAGTTAATGAGAGCACATAAGTTCAATAGCATATAATTTTCTGTCGTTAGCAGTCCATCGTCCTGCACCCACACTCTCCGCGATTCTCACCAACTACATCTGTGATCTCAAACTACGCGTCTTTCATGTTTGAAGACTACACCGTTTTGGTGCTCCAGGAAACCCCTGGTGCCACAGATATCGCCGAGACACTACAAAAGAACGGGGCAACCATTAAACAGCTCTCAAATCCTACAATAAACCAAATTACTCATGAAAAAATCAACCACATCATTTCACCAACTTCCGATTTTCCTGCCTATATTGCCTGCAGACGAGCCCTAATTCCTGTCACGACTCCAGAATGGATCTGGGAGTCACTCAGGTCCTCCAAACCGTGCACACCGAACAGATTTACCCCAGATCCTCACCTATTCATGAAGGATGTGTTTGTCTGTGTCGCCGATAATCTTCCTCGCGGCGATAAAGAGGCCATTTACGGCGGCGTAGCGGCTTTCGGGGGCCACTACCTTGACGATTTAACGAAATATACCACCCATTTGGTGGCAACGGACATGCGGAACGTAAAAAGCATCATTGCAGCTAACGTAATTGATACTCCAGACGAAGAAGGACACATCATTGACATCAAAATCGTCACTCCGCGATGGATAGACGCTTGCTTATCGCTGGGAAGTTTCGTAGACGAGCTGGACTACTTGTTAAATGGTCTTTCTGAAACTGAGAGCCAACTTGAAGTTCCCATTTCGCACTCTGGCCCCATTGCAAATCGAACCGTTTACTGTGCCTACACTTCGCCACTTCTTGTTGACCTCCTAAAACATCACGGTGCTGTTGTAAAAACTGAGTACGACCCTACCGTGGATATATACCTTGGACCCCATAAGTCTGGCTCTGCTTACGAAGCTGCAGTGCAGTCCATTCATACCGTCATAGGCACTTTGTCGTGGATATACTCCGTTCTTGCATCAAGCACATGGCACTTGCCTTCTAACCTTCTCCATTCGCCCATTCCGCTACTTCCTCCACCTGATTTTGCCGGTCTCAAAATATCAATCACTAATTACAGCGGCGAAGCAAGAACATATTTGGCTAAGCTCATCGTGGGATTGGGCGGAGAGTTCACAAAGACATTAACCCGCTCCAATGACTACTTAATAGCTGGATCTCCGCACGGCAAGAAATATGTCACCGCTACAGAACGATGGTTGGACACAAACGGCGTTCCTACCATAAAGGTTGTAAACCATGTTTGGCTTGAAAAATGCTATGCTTCGTGGTCTCTAGTGGACGACAACGATCCAAAGTACCTACCTGGAACCTCAACACCCTTGGGCTTTGTCCAAGAAGATGAAGATATTATAACTCAAAGCAGTCAAACTCCTCAAGCATCACCCCAAACCCCAATAACCTCCCCTGGAGACACGAAAGAAAAGCAACACGGACAAAATAATAGTCTGATCACACCTAATAGCAAAAATGAAGCGGTGGACATTTTAGCTAACAATACTCCACAAAGTGAGACAAAGAGTGCTCGTAAGAGTAGGTCTGCAGCACAAAAGGCAGCTCAGAAACTTCACGCCGACATGAACGACCTCAACGATTATCAGAAGATGGCCAGGAGTACCCGGATGATGAAAACTTATATGGAGACACTAGATGCTCAGACACCAGTGAAACGTCAAGTAGAAGTGGAGAGGGCCACAGAGAGTCCTCCACCCAAAAAGAAGAAAGCGGTAACTAATGTCAATGCCATAATAACTGGAAGTGAAGATGAAATAACCTTGAGTCGTCTGGATTTAGCAAAACTATCGCAGGTGGGCATCAAGGTCAATAAAGAACTCACCAAAGCTCATCGGGTCGAAGTCATTATTGCGCCACGCATTCTTCGTACTGAAAAGTTTTTGACCTCGTTGAGTCAAGCAGACAAGATAATTCATCCTCAGTACCTCATTGACCTCCTAAAGGTAGTGAATGAGTCGTCCACATGGGAGCTGATAAACAAGCAGTTCAAAATGGACGATTATTCTCTCGACAAAGTAATTACCACGAAGGAAGTTAACAAAGATTTGGGAGTCAGTGGAAACGTAAATGGACTTTCTCATTGTCTTACCAGTCCCAACAAAGGAACACTCTTCAAGAATATGCAATTAAACTTATCAACTAATCTAAACGGAGGTGTTAGCGTCGTGGAGGCTATTCTTGGCAGTCATGGTTTGAAGCATCATACGGCAATTAAAACTTTAACACGCAAGACACAACTTATAGGCGACCATCCCGTGCTTGTGGCTCACGCAACCAAAGACCAAAAGCTTGTTTCCAACTTTAAGCGAATCTGCCCCGATGGAACAGTGGTAACATGGGACTGGTGCGTTCGCAGTATATTCGCGATGGAGCTTGTTGACTATGAAGCGTACAAATTGTAAAAGTTCTTTTAAATAAACATCTATAATACAACCCTAAATGTCTATCAAGCTTGGACCATCACCGTTACTCTTTGGTGCATTTCCAAACCCATAGCCGGTATGGGATGGGTTTATTTGCAGGATACCAGTATTCAAGAATGGGTTTCCTGTAGCATTTGAGCTGACCCTGAAGTCATTGTCTTGTCCATAGCCTGTGCCCGTTGAGTTGATGAAGTTTTGCGTCTTTGTATGTTGATGAGGGATTCTAGTAGCACCGGTATTACCAAAGGTATCTACACCGGTACCCTGAGCAAGAAGGTTGTTGAGCTCGTGAGTACTGTCGTAGCGCAGAGAAGTCTGCTGGGCTTGCTGGGCTTGTTGTGGACGAGACTGAGACTGAGCTTGCGCTTGTGCCTGAGCCTGAGCCTGAGCTTGCGCTTGTGCCTGAGCCTGAGCTTGAGCTTGAGCTTGAGCTTGCTGCTCCTGTTGCTGCTTTAAGAAGTCTAACGATTGTTGCTGAGTATTTTGTTGTTGAGGTTGTTGTCCCAATGCAAATGGGTTGTTAGAGCCGGTCTTTAAAGGCTGCAACTCTTCAGGCTGACCGTAATTGAATCCTGTAAATTGCGGCTGAGTTTGTTGTGGAGCCTGCGGTTGTGCAAACATATACAGAGGCTGCTGCTGGGGCTGGAAACCGGTATACATCTGATTTTGAATGGGGTTCCCAAACATATCCAATTGTTGGTATTGCGGCTGTTGGAACCGGGGCTGGTAACCTGTAGCCATGTAATACTGGGGCTGTTGTACCTGCAGAGGACCATCCAAGTCCAACAAGTTTGCATTCAGTCTCTGCTGCTTGCGCATTTCCTCTTCTTCGAGCGACAACTTGAGCGCCGCCTCGAGGTCCGGGTCGTTTTCGGACTCTGGGTGTCTGTTCAGTTCCTGTTCCGCCGTCATTCTCAGCATTTCGAGCGCACGTTGCAAGTCGTCGTCATAAGGGTCGTTATTGTTGCGGGTGGTGTTTCTGCGTCTGCGATTTTCCCGGCGGGAAGAATCGTCGTCAGAATCTCCGTCTCCACGGAACCCACGACGATTGGATTTGGCAGCCAAACTACGTTCGTGGCGAAGACGTTCGTCATCCCGCAAAAGCAGCACAAGCTCCTTAGCCTTGACTCGGATTATCGCACCTTGGTCGTTGTTCATTTCATCAAAATGTACAAATTCTCGCAACGTTTTGATGATATAGAGGTTGTCCCGCGCCCACATGACACATTTTTCCGGGCCAAAACGAACCAAATAGTCCAAAACCGTCAACGATTTGGCAACATGGCGCCAGTTCTTACCCTTATCGTTCAATCTCCGATCCAACATGTCCATTACTTCCAAGAACTCCGTCTGGGACCGATCACAGCAAGCGGTGACTTCTTCCATATCGAAGGTTGTAGGGCCGGTTGGATCGTTCGAGGTTGCATTTCTGACCGTCTTCTGCGCCGACGAATACCCGTTCGTGACGTTTTTGATGCTGCGTACCAAAGACTTTGACATTATCCTCCTGAAATGACGACTTGACTGCGGAGGGAGAGAAGGTGTGAGGCCTGCAGGAAAGGGGTGCGGGTAGTGGCTGGGACTGGTGTTTGGGTGGTGTATGGGTTGACTTGGTGAAATCAACGGCAAAACATAGAACCATTCCTGGTTACTAATTGTGGGTCCAACACCTTTCCCGTGCAACAGACCCCCCGAACGTGCCTAGACGCCACCAGAAACTTCACCCACCCACTTGCACATACCCCATCACACTTCGCGCAATATGGATATCAGACGGTGTCGCCGATGCAAAAGAAGACGGCTTGATGATGAGCCCCCCGAGGTCAGACAGTACAAAACTTGTGCCAAATGTCGAATTATCGAGAGACAGAAAAAAAAATCGCGAAAGCCGTTGGAGGAGGAAACGATGATATATGGCATGCGTCAGTTTCGCGAGGAAGGCGCTGAATTTCCCACCGACAGTATACTTATGGAGGATGACGATTTCTTCCGTGGGCCTCGTGACTCCAACGCTCGCGCCGACCCGCTGAGACAGCAGCTTCGGTTCCAGTACCAGTACGAGCTGCTGCCGCAGCCCCAGAATAGTGCGGTTCCGCGGCTGCTGACGGTGCTGCTGATGGACGCTGCCAACGCCGTGGCGGTAGCTAGTATGGCGGTGGCTTCCGCTGCGCGCACTCCGCCAGGGCCCGGTGCGGTCGCGGGGCCTCCCTACGGAATGACGCCTCTCCAGCGCCAGCAGCAGCAGCAGCAGTTGCAGCAACTGGGCGCGGTGCCAGGAACTTTAGCGGGCCAGGCCGTGAATGCGGCTCCGGTACCGTGTGAAATTTGTGGACGTATTCTCGATGCTAACGACGAGCTTCTGATGAACTACAGACTCTGTAGTGACTGTTTTGCTGACCCGTACCGTGGGAACGTTTATGGGCTGTACAACGAATACTTACTTGCCGTGTCCAAGTCGCAGCACAAGGATGTGAAAAATTTGGTATTTGTCAAAGAACTCGGAAACTTTTCCGATAACCTCGTGAGCCGGCCCATGAACGAACGCCAGTTCCGTGAGTTCATCATCGAAAAAATTAAAGTGATCTACTTGGATCCCGTCATCGCCTCCATCGGCTACAAGTTCAACTTGGTGCTGGCTAACACCGCCGACACCCACGCCAAAAAACCCATTCGCGCCGTCTACAAATGCTACAAAGAACAAGACCAAAGTTTTGTGTCCAGTGTCCATGTCACCTACGATTTGGTCACCAGCATTCTCGTGGTCAAGTTCTCCCACAGGGTATACAATGCTTCCAAATACCCACCCGCTGTTGTGTCGGCGGTTCACTCTGCTGTGGACCGGTTGCGGTCGGTTCGCGGACCTAACGTCGCCTACGACTCGGAAACTGCCTTGCTTGTGTACGACGAGCTTGTGCAATCTGAGGGCGAAGTACGTGATTGGTTGGTGTCCCATGGCCGTACCGACTTTGCTTCTGGGTTCTCGAAGTTTGCAACCGTGGGAACGGCTGCAGAAACCACACCCGCCAAGGTGAACGGAGAAAAGCCACAGGAGGAAGAAGATGCCGAAGAAGAGGAGGACGCCGAAGAAGAAGAGGAAGAAGAGGAAGAAGAGGAAGAGGAAGAAGAACCAGAAGACGCCGATGTGGCCGAAGACGATTCAGATCAAGCTGATGCGGAGGATGCCACGCCCGAAGCGACCCGCAAACCGGCCCCGCGGCAGCCGCACTCGGTGGATCCAGTATTTGCCGACTAATAGAGAAGTTGTACGAATATATGTATTTCAGACAATTAAGTCTAATCTAAGAATTGACTGTTCCTGTAGATAAGCGTCCACGAGTATAATTATAGAATTCGCATCCCTGCAGATCAACCTTAAATCACGTATCAACGTTGAAAAACAAATACCAACCACTCCTCGAATTCCCGACGGTGCTTACTACTACCAAGGTCCCTAACAACTGGGTACATTTCCGTGGCAAATTTAGAATTTAGGGCCATTTTCGTTGCAACTCAAAAAAAAATGAAGTTTTTGTCTTGTGGTTCATCTTGCGGGTTTTTGGTCGTTTCTGCGTTGATTTGGGTCGTTTCCGCCCTCGACTTGCAAACAGACGATTTTGATAGCATCAAACAAGACACTGCTCTCATTGCAAAAGGTCTTCTTGACTATTATGATGGTTACAAAAAAGGAGGTGTTATAGGTATGTTTACCTGGCCCTACTACTGGTGGGAAGCTGGTGGAGCATGGGGTTCGCTCATTGAGTATTCGTACTACATGGATAATGATACTTTGGTTCCTCTCATCAAAGAAGCTTTAGGGTACCAGGTTGGAGAAAACTACAATTATGTTCCCCTTAACCAGTCCACTACTGAAGGTAACGATGATCAGGGTTTTTGGGGAATTGCTGTAATGGCTGCGGCCGAGAAGAACATGAGCAATCCCAAGGATGAGCGTAAGGCGTATCTTGCTTTGGCTCAGGCAGTTTTCAATACTATGCAAGCACGGTGGGATCATAACGATTGTCATGGAGGACTTCGGTGGCAGATTTTCCAGTGGAATTCTGGTTACGATTACAAGAACTCGGTTTCCAATGGATGTCTTTTCAATATTGCTGCAAGACTCGCTCGCTACACTGGTAATGACAGTTACGCTGATTGGGCCGAGAAAGTGTGGGAATGGATGGTGGGGACCCATCTCATTAACGAGACTCAACCAGGGTACTATTTTGTGTATGACGGTGTCACTGTGAACGACAATTGCTCCGAAGTAGTCAAGTTGCAATGGTCATATAACCAGGGACTTTTCCTTCTGGGTGCCGCCGTTCTCTACAACTACACCCAAGACGAAGTGTGGCACGAGCGGACGAAGAAGTTGCTCGCAGGGTCTGTTGTTTTCTTCAATCTGACCAACGACATCATGTACGAAGCAGCATGTCAGAATGGTAAAGGAGGACAAGGAGCAGGATCTTGTAACCAAGACCAGCGTTCATTCAAGGCTTACTTCTCTAGGTTCCTTGGTCTCACGGCAATCATGGCACCGGAAACCAGTGATACAATTATGAACTGGCTCGAGAAATCGGCAATTGCCGCGGCTCAAAGTTGTAGTGGAGGTACAGACGGTCACACTTGTGGTATCAACTGGTTCTTGGGCCACTGGGATGGCGTGTATGGTTTAGGAGAGCAAATGTGTGCTTTGGAGGTAATTACTGCTCTTCGGGTCCACGATAGACCACCACCATATACCGCCAATAACGGTGGATCTTCTAAGGGAAATCCTGGCGGCGGTTACGGTGCTACCAATATCAATGCTACGCCTCTCAATCTTGGTTCGGGCGACAAAGCCGGTGCTGGAATCATAACCGCTATAATTGGTATGTCGATAGTGGGTGCAACAGTGTGGTTGCTATTGTAAGCACAAGAATTCACCCGAGAAGCCACAAGAATATCACAAGAATTTCACACGAGATTTCATTGAATACTCATTCGTATTCATTGTACATTTTTTTCTGTATTCTAGTTCATAAACAGTATCAGTATCAGTATCAGTCAGTAGCCGTAATATGTTCGTCCTGCAGGGACTGGGCCGCACTAATCTTATCTCACGAGTTTGCTTACGGCAATGACTTCGGAATCTCAGTTCACCTCCGTCCAATGGGATAGAGACGACCAGGATCCCATGACGAGTGCCTTTCCAGATCCAATTGCAGAAGAAACCAACAATATAGAACAAAATATTCCTGGAGACGAATTAGAAGAATCCGCTTCCAGCAGCCACTTTCACGAACAAACTCCAGCACCTCCTGAACCAACCAATGACGCCAAGGAAGATCCAAAATCATTTACAACAACTACAGAAGTCACCTCGCCAACAAGAGATACCGACGCTGCCCAGAAACCATTCGTGACCTACCTTGTAACTACTGTGACCAACGACCCCAGCATCATTCGTTTGTGTCTGACACTCAAAAAAGTGTCAGAAGATAACGATATGCAATCTGTGGCGGTTAGACGCCGATATGGTGACTTCAAGTTTCTTCACGAGTGCTTAACCGCAGACTATCCTCAGCACCTTGTGCCTCCACTTCCTTCCAAGCTGAACTTCAAGTACCTTACCGGCGACACATTTCACGAAGAGTTCATCACCAAGCGGTTGCAGTCGCTCAATCGCTTCATCCACTACACAAACCAGCATCAGTACTTGTCGCAGCTGTCGATCTTCAAGCTTTTTGTGTCTGACTCAGCCGACTGGCTCACGTTCCAAAAGAACCTTAGCATAAACAACTCTGACGAAGGCACTTCTGTGGTCAGCAGGGTGGTCAATGAAGACATGTTGACGGAAACGGTCATGAACTACTTCACATCTTCGAAACACAAAAAGGAAACCAATAAAGAGATCATTGAAATCAGCGACAAGTTGAAGAAACTCTATGAAAACCTACTAAAGTTGGATCGTCTTTTTGCCAAACTCAACAAGCGCCACTCGGAATTGGCTACGGACTATGGTCAATATGCCACCCAGGTTTCCCGTCTTGGGTCAACCGACCAGTCAGACATATCCAACAATTTTGCAGACTTTTCACGTTCGCTATCCTGCTTTCTGACTAGCTGGCATGGACTCCACAAGTATATTGACGAGTCGTTTCTCACCTCTCTCAAGGACTGCTCCAAGTACATTTTAGGGCTTACAAACCTCATTGAGTTGCAACATAACAAGCACATTGATTTACAAGTACTACAAGAATACTTGGACAAGACAAGACAGGAGCTTGCAAACATGGGAGGCACCTCCAGCCGACCTCCTCCTGCCCCTGTGGCCAGTCATAATGGTGGAATTGTAAATAATACTGCTCAATTAATCAAGGATACCCTTTCTACGTCGGCGACTCCTACCATAGGTTCTACAACGACGGAAGGAAAAGTCAAAAAGTTGCAGCAGAGAGTGTCGCAGTTGGAAGAGGAGATCGAGGCACAAACCGCAATTGCAAATGATCTTACAAACAAGGTAATATCTGAGGAGTATCCCAATTGGGACCGGTTCAATAAAAATGAGCTAAAGGCATCGATGTTAGCACTATGCGATAAGGAGATTGATTTTTACAAAGGTTTGGTAGACAACTGGAAAGGGGTGGAGGACAGCTTGACGCAGAGATTACAGCAATTGGAAAGTGGACACACCGAACCGTGATTCCCTTTTTCTTTTTCCATGCCACCTTTTGCTAACTTGGAACGAATCATTGTGCACTTCAACGCCATAGAAATTTGCGTCAGTCAAGGTTTCTAGTTTCCACTTTAGTTCCTGGCATATATAGCCACTTATATCGTCACAGTTGCCCAAGAAGTTTATGTCGAACCCATCAATTTTATCACGATTCACAAGTACTTTTTTAACGTTCTGAGCATTTCGAACTATACTTGCGACTGGTTCCACTTTTAGCGAAGTGCCTGCGACAAGTAGTAAGTCACACTCCTCCACATCTTTTCCAATCATGGTTTCGAAGCGAGAACTCAAATCTTCACCAAAAAATGTGATATCCGGTTTAATTAAACCTTTCATAGGAACCGAACCTAGATCTGTAACACATAACGAGCAATAAGGAACCTGGCGCATTTTTATTGCTGCGAATGTAGCGGCTCCAGAAAACGTAGCACGGCAAGTTAAGCACGTAGAGGTGCTTAGAGTTCCGTGGCAGTGGACTATTCTTGAAGGATCAATTCCAGCAGCCAATTCAAGATTATCGATGTTCTGGGTGTACACTCTTAATAATTTGTTCTTTTGTTCTAAAAGACGCAAGAATCGGTGAAAGTCCGATACTTTGTCTCCCTGTGGAAGTATTTTATGAGCAACCAGGTAAAACAAAGTTGGATCTTTACAAAACCTGTCAATGTGAAACACCTGCTGGGCATTCTCCAATCCTGACCGACTCAATTGTGAGTATATTCCCTGGAAAGATCTGAAATCTGGGATACCTAGTGATGTGGAAATGCCCGCTCCGGTCACAACAAGGATTTTTTTTGCCTTTTCAAGCACCAGTAACGAGTCGGTAAGATTTAAAAATTTGGGGGGAGGAGAGGAATTACGAGTGGTCTGTAACATCTTCAAACAGTGAAGAAATCGACCAGCGACTTCATGGGTGGATCCATCATGAGCCCTAGGGAGATTTAGCTGCTCCAAGATATTCTGGAGAACGTTTTTTGTGAATCTGGCAGGAACATACCGTTTGAGAAAATCGTGTAAGTCCAGTTGAAGTACGTTAAGTCTTTCATTTTTTTGAAATATTGTTAGATTCTGTGGATCTGAGTCTCTTTCTGTTATACGTTTCCTATGCCGTTTCTTCCTGGGAGCCAGTTTTCGTAGCGGCATCGATTTCTGACTAGATCAGTATTAATAAAATTTCGATGAGAAAATCGGCTGCGAAACAGAAGAGACGAGGGAAGTGCCAGGAATGCACAGGTAAGCAGCGAGAGAAATATGGGATAGTAGTATAAATAGTACTGTACTAGAAAGACGTACTCTGACATTTTTTTATAGTGATCATAGTGAAAACCAAACTAAAGTTTTTAGGTCTGAAATGAGAGTTACACTGGTGAATGAAGACTTCTAGCTTTGCAAAGGCAATTGTAACATAACATACAAGTATGTTTAGGTCTAAGTTTAGAGTAATAATTTTGACAAAGAATTACTATCAAAACCACATGTCTTCTTTGACACTTTAGCCCCCAAACTTACCAAAAGTTGAAATACTTCAGCACATGACAACGATCTATATCCACTACTCCAAATTTAATAGTTTTGCAAATTCCTTTGTGTTTACGGTTTACTGTCTCTATTCATTCCAAATGCCAAGGCCGCGTCTAGCATGCCGAACACCATGTTTACATCCGTGCACCCATACTTACCACCAATCCCGATTACCGCTTCTTGATTCTGGCATCACCATGCTACGATCTTTTTACATTGTAGCGTTGTTTTCGCTTTTTTCTGCCGTATGGGCAAACAAGGCTATGTTCGACAATGGATACAACTCACAGGTGTGCTCGGGAATGTATTCCAAGCACGACTGGGGAGGATCTATACGTCCCCATATTGACATCAAGTTGAATTATTTTCGGAAAAATATGAAGATGGGACATGACAAGGTTGATGAAAACGATATTCATATCAGCTATGTCATTTTCGAGTACAAAGATATTGGAAATTTGGGGTATCATCTTGATGATGGAAGAGTAAAATACATCTGTGACGACTATGCTATAGGCAGATTGAAGGCTTGTAATGAGAGTCAGAAAGGCAAGTTTATCATCAACAATAAGGTGACCAACTCTACTATCATGACCAACGTTTTGACTCATAAAGGTCAAGCCCATATTAACTACACAATTGAACGTACTGGTTACTATTGCGTGAGCACCATTGCAGCGGAGAAGTTTGAGTATAGCGGAGTGGTCAATTTTCAAAACGCTTTCGGCCAGTTGAGTGCTAGTGAAATCCCCAAGCTTCCTGCCTACGGAATCTTGACTGTGTGTTATATGATTGCTGTGGCATTATACGCTTTCCAGTTTTTCAAAAAGAGAAAGGACAATCAAATCTTGCCGCTTCAAAAGTACTTGTTAGCGATGTTGGGTCTTCTCACATTCGACACCTTGGTTGTGTGGTCGTACTATGATCTCGTCAACAGATCCAAGAACCCGCTGTCTGGTTTTGTCACCTTCTACATGATCTTCCTTTCCTTGTTAAACTCCGCCAAAATCACCTTCAGTTTCTTCCTTTTGCTTTGTATTGGTTTGGGGTACGGAGTGGTGGTTCTCAAGTTGGACAAGAAAATCATGTTCCGTTGCAAGTTGCTCGCAGGAGCACACTTTGTAGCTACCTTGGTGTACTTGATTCCAACTTACTACTCCGGTTCGTACGATACTGTCAACACTTCTGGTGCAGGCGAAGACACAGATATCGGTGGAATTCTTGGATTGCTTCCTATGATCCCCGTTACCATCACCTTGACCACATACTATTTTGCCATATTGGTATCGATTAGAACCACCACGGCAAATTTACACCAACAGCGTCAAATTATCAAATTGAAACTTTACGAACATTTATTCCGCATTATCTTCTTTTCCGTCGTATTGACGTTTGGTGGGTTGATCTTGTCTACCATGGTGTACTTGAGCATGTCCAGTACTGAAATGATCGAGCAACATTGGAAGTCGGCATTCTTTTTATTTGAGTTCTGGCCCAGTGTCGTTTTCTTTGCGGTTTTCATGGGAATTTCCTGGCTTTGGAGACCCACCGAGACCAGTTATATGTTGGCCATTTCTCAACAAATCTCTTCATACGAAACGGAAAATGACGACGGACAACCAGGTTATCACCACCATGAGTTCGAGCTCGATGATATGTCATTGATGAGCCACAGCGATGAAGAGGGTGTTCGTAATGAAGATTTTGATACAAATCAGCGTAAAAATTCAGAAGAATTACCTACGGAAGTGGAACGGCGAACCAGCAATACGCTTTTCGAGTTGGGATCGGATGAGGAGCACGAAGATGATCGCTTGGATAATAGCAAGAATCGTGATAAAGATGCAGAAGAGTAGTTGGCGAGCATGTACAAAAGATAAACTTATATATGGATATAAAGAATAAAAATTTGCGTACGTTGTTTCTAACCTAACTATATCCCTGCCCAGATAGAGCCTCCGTCAGCACGAACCTTTTCTCCCAACTTCTCCACCTGATTGTCCCAGCGTGTCAATTGGTCAAAGAGAACCTTGACTTGATCGAGGTTAAGTATACGGGGCTGCAACCAAGTAACGATCAAGATTTGATTTGTTTCTTCAATGTATCCTTGAATGAGATTTAAGGAGAAGCACTTAATGATCAATTGCTCGATCTCTTCAATGGGTGTGCCGGTAAAGTCTGAAATTTCTTTGAATGTAAGGGTCTTATTGGCGGACGATTTGCGAGACACCAACTCCAAAAGGGCCATGATCACTATTTTCTGGTGAAGGAAAGCTTCGGAGTTTGCCAAGAATGGCGACTTTTGGAAGGCGGTGGGAAGAAGTTGGCTGAATTGACCCAACTCACCAGCATTCAAACTGTGCACCAACTGATAGAGCCAGTCATATTCAGATCCCTTGATGACGTTGAGGATGTCGTGAAGAATGAGTTCACCAAAATTGTAGATCTTGGTTCCAAGCAAGGCAGCCACACACAAATTGTGGCAAAGGCTCACTTGCTCGTCGTGAGGAATACTACCCTCCAGCGAAGACAAATACAAAAGAGCATTGGCGTAGAACTTGTTATAGTTTTCGTTGAGTTTATCAAGCTGGCACTTGGCCAAGTAGAACGCAGCTGTGATTTTGGCATTAAAGTCGGTTTCGTAGGACGACTCAAACTTGGGTTCCAACCGTTCAAGGACCTCATCTGCCTTGTCCAACTTGTTCAAGTAGATGTAGAATCGAGCCTTCTGGAGGTCTGTGTACACGATGGCTTCGTTGTTGTCTACTAATTTGTTGGTGTCGTCGGAACCACGAGCAGATTTCTTGATTTCCAGCTTGATTTGATTTTGAAACTCCTCTAATTTCTCCAAACATTCGGTCTTGTTGTCCTGGAAACTCGACAACAAGAAGTCTGTAACCCGAATAGCATTAAGTTTCAGCAGAAAGTGCCCGATAAATTGAGTATATATTTTCTTTTGAAGACCATGGTGGCGAGAGTCGGGAATTGAATACAATTCCTCCAACGCAGTTGTGAGCTGATGCCACAATTTTCGTTCGTAGAAGTCTTCTAGCTGATAAAGTGCGTTGATGATATCGGCATTTTCCGTTTCTTGGCGAAGGGTGGCCAAAACCGTGGATATATCTTCCATTACTAGTTGGTGAGAATTGGTCGAATCGAACTAAGATACGGGTATATGCAGGAAAACAATAGTCAAGATCTACTTGGTGAATAAATTTAATAGAGCACTAACTAAGGCTTATGCCGTCACTAGCAGCCGGAACTCCTGCCAGTTCTGTATGTTCTCCCGGAACATTTGCTGGCCGCCCTGAAGAAATCCGATCATAATTCTTAGCCACTTCTCTTCCACCATCAAGCTAAATGCTTGCAAGTTTGCAGTGACATGGTCCGTCAACGTACGGAGATCACGCGTGGTCAATTCTATGAGCTGGTTGTACTGTTTCCACTTCTTTTTCGAGCTGCGCAATGCGAGTCTTGTATGCATTGACACCAAAAGTTGGCACTGTTCGTTTTCTCGAAATTGTCGTCTGTGGTTGCAATATTTTCAGTCGAATTGTTCACGACAGTGGTATTTGAAGCGGTGGCTTCGTCCACGATGGTACTATTCTGCGGTGTCGCATTATCATGGGTTTCCGTCTCGCTATTTTGTTCAGGAAAGACTTCAACAGGATCTCCAGAATTCGAATTAAAACCGTTCTTTCTTCCTCCAAAAAGTCCATACCAGCTCTTCTTTCCTCTTAATCGCTTCTGCTTGAGCTCTATTCTTCTTATCGCTTGGTTAATGCTTGGACTGTCAATGTCCACACTGCGCAAGTCTCGCAACTTTAAATGCGAATGGTAGTTGCTCGTAAGACCATCAAGATCGTGCATTCTTGCAGCTCGTGCTCTGTGCACAAGACGGTACTGAACCACTTTGTACTTGTAAAATTTGATTGTGTGGAGTGCAGACTGATAGTATTGGACAAGTTGATGCATGGGTTCTTGCCATTGGGGTATCAATGTGGAGACAAGAAACGCTTCAAAGTTGAGGAAAGACGAGTCAATGGCAGAACCAAATTTCTCCACTAACATTCCGAGTTCATTGGCGTTGTCACTGATGCCGTGAATTTGTAATGAAAAATTGTTCAAGTTTCCGCCTAGTTCAATAAGGTTGTTAACCACAGCCTTGACGTTGCGTACGGTCCTGGTATTGAGTTTAGTGAGGTCTTCAAGGACCTTTATGCTCTGGTGGAACGTGGTTTCCATGGTTGCTAGTTGCTGGAACCCAGGACTGGTAAAGTAGAGAAATGGTATCGTCCGGGCCACTATTCTCGAAATCGCCTCCCAATTTGCGTGCTGATAATGGTTGTGCTTTTAGCCAAGTCGTCACCCACTTTCTTCAAGTTACTCAAGTGATCTGGCCCCGTATAGTCGTAACCGTTGACGATTGGAAGGAGAGAATAGAGGCCATTTTGATCGGTAGGATTCATTGGATTGGCCCGCAAAAGGTTATTCGGGACCATCAGGATCGGGGGTTCTGCCATGGCGTCTTGCCAGCACATTTCGTAGTTTGGGTCCAAAAACTTGTGCACCAAAGGGCATTGTCTTAGACGAGGATGGGTGCAAATATCGGAGAGAAACCGGGAAAAATACCGTTTTCTGGTCTCGATGATCAGAAGTTCTTTCGAGTTGTTGATGGAATTGATGAGATAGGTAAGAAAAGAGTGTTTTCCTGGAATTGGTGGAATCACTTCCGTCGGGTACAACCTTGTTATGCCATCACGAAGTGACCTAAACTCGGAATAACGTCGTTTTACAACCAGATTTGTATCACCAGCAGAGAGCTCAATAGCATACACAATCACCAGCAGCGACATGAGCAGTTCCGATCCCACTATTTCAACATGAACTTTGGGGTGGTTTATCAATTGCACGATTTTGTTGGATAGTCCTATCGTCGAGTTCACCAAGTCCGGATGCACTTCTGTGGTGGTTTTCTTGTTCTTGTTATGGCCGTAGGGGTCCGCCAACATCGACCGACTTCCGTAGAAGGACGGATTATTGTCCTGTTCGATATCTAGTGGCATGGGGAAAGATGGTGTTTGGCGGAGAATGAGTGAGAGTGGTTTGGGTGTGCAGGAATTTGCACCTAGAAACTAAGGAACTAATGAGCAAGTACAATGATAAATCTATGATCACCAATGAATTCACTAGCAGTTTTTTCCATTAACATGACTCACTTACAGAGTAAACATCAAGAGAGTAATCAATACAAAGTTATTCAACTAGTTTGTAAGTTGTTCTATTCAATTACTCGTTTCTTCACTTATCACCCAATCACCATTAAACTAAACTGAAGCTGACTACAGACCAATTAAAGAAACAGATGCTAACAAGTTCTAGAATCAAAAAAGATTAGCGTTTGAATTAAACACTCTTTATGGATGTTCTCTTCTAGAGTTCTATTACCGTTCCTTACATTCCTATATGTAACATAGTTCTCACAGTGTACAATACACCGTACACAGTGTAATCACTAATCGAAATACTCAATTACAGTTGATTGTCGTGTTGCCGGCAATCAATATTTGACTCGTGCTTATCTTACTCCCAACAGAGCCACACCTGGTTTACAGTTGGGTGTCTGCAGGACCTCGCTTATTTTGCTTGTTTTTGTGCTCGTTTTTGTGCTTGTTTTTTACCGTAACCTTGGAACCGCGTCGGTAACTCTGGTGTTGATGCGCACTGGTTGTGGCCCCGTACCAGCAACCGTTTCGCGCACAACAACACTCTTTCTTTTTTCAGCGCCGCGGCATCTCTGCAGGGAGACACCAACCACGTTGATAAGAATAGATCGTCTCTTGGCAACTTTTTTACCGTTTTTCACTCGCTTCGACAACGCCGACGATCTATAGGTGCGACTCACCACAAGGCCCCGAGATCACCGATAACTTATAATCGGAGCCTTGCCACTATTTTGGTTCAATCTTCGCAATAACTACCAATCACAACTCCGTCCCTCCGTCCCTTGTCCACTTCGATCTTCGCTTTTCAAGTTCAACCTTTTCAAGTTTCAACTTAACTTCAATCAACTTAGCCACTTACACCTGTTATGAAGTCCCGAAGGCAGCTCTTGGTGTGTGCCTTGGTTCTCGTGACTTTCACCACCATCTACAGTCTTCAATATGTGCGCTCGCTTTCTATCAGAGCGAACCAAGTCACCTACCATAAAACGTCTCAGTTGGAGGTATTACAGTCTCAGGGAACCCTGTCGTACGACGAACTCGTACGCAAGTTGTTAAAGGCTCTGCGTGGTGCCACAGCATCTTCTGCGAAAAAGGCTGCTGTGCACTATGTTGCTGCTTACGACTATAAACAATTGGAAATTGACCAGCAAGAACAGGCGGCTATGATCAAGGAAATGCCCGCTTCCAAGGTATTAGAGGCCACCACCAAGTTTAACTCGGCACTCACTCATTTTCTTGGGTCTCTTTTGCTGCTCATTCTGGAAACGGCTCCCATAGTCAAGGGCATTAATGACGACCTGCACTATGCTGCCGCAAGGGACCAAAACAAGTTCCCTAACAGAGAAGGCCGTATCATGCTCTACGGAGGTCACTTGCGGGAAAATTACCAGAGTGAACCGGTTCGAACCACTGAAATGTTGAGTAATTATTTGCGTCTTCTGACAGAAGAAGTCGATGCCCTTCGGAGCTCCCACGATTCTTTCATCAACAAAATGCCGCTCACGGTTCCCAGAGATGTCCTTGAACACTCAAAGGTGACAGGATACATGCAGGGTGACGGTATTGTGTTTCTTGCTGGTGGCCGTTTCAACCAGTTGGCTCTCGTTTCCATCAAAATGCTTCGTGATTTGGGCTCAAAACTTCCCATAGAGGTGGTCATAAAGGACTGGAACGCACTCGATGCTCGCTTTTGTGAAGATGTTCTTCCCTCCCTTGGTGCTAGTTGCAAAGTACTTGACCATTTTCTCGGCCTGGACGTGGCTGGAAGAGTCAAAAGTTATCAGCTCAAGAACCTTGCTTTGCTCATTCTGTCGTTTCAAAGAGTACTATATTTGGACGCCGATAACATCGTCATCAAGAATCCTGACCTGTTGTTTGTCAACGAGCCATTCATTTCCACAGGCTTTGTCCTGTGGCCCGATTTGTGGAGGCGTTCCACGTCGCCAAGCTTCTACGATATCGCTGAGATTTCCGTTAATGCCAAAAAAAGAGTCAGAAATAGTTACTTCAAGGATGATCCCAAAGGCACTCAAGACCCTCCTTCATTGCACGATTGCGAAGGTGCAATTCCTGAAGCATCCAGTGAAACTGGACAGATCTTAATCGATAAGAAAAAGCATTTTTCAGCCTTAGTGCTTGCAATGTATTATAATTACCATGGTTTCGACTACTACTATCCCCTTCTAAGCCAGGGCGCTGCTGGAGAAGGAGATAAGGAAACTTTCGTTGCTGCTGCTCACAAGCTTGAACTTCCCTATTACCAAGTACAAGAATTCAACCGTGAGTTTGGTCCTATGACGGAGCTGAAGCAACACCATCCGTTTGGAATGGGTCAGTACGACCCAATTTTGGACTTTATCCAATCGCAAAATGGCGAAGGTCGATATTTGGGCGACTCGCTTTTTGCCCTGAGAGACACCCCTACGTGTGGCACATCAGATACGGATTCAGAGACTAACAATTATCACTTTCATTTGTATGAAGCTTCTAGTCTCATGTTTTTGCATGCCAATTGGCCCAAGTTATATTTCGCAGAGCTACTTCTACAGAATGGTATTGGCCGTGGACCCATGGAGAATGGGGTCAGAAGAAGGTTGTACGGGCCAGAATTGAAAGCTGAAGCTGGTTACGATTTGGAATTGGCAATCTCACAAGCCATGAATTGGTGTTACTGTGTGATGAATGTTGATCTTCACGACGTTCCATCTGTGGGCCTGGATGATCGTAAGGCAGGCTGTAAGCTGTTGAGGCAGCATTTGAAGTTTTTGAAGGAGAATTAGTTCTGGTTGTGTTTATAGATACCAGGGCTTTCTCCGCAAGCTAATTTGGGATTAACATTTTGTCAAACCTGTTCGATTGGATAGGATATCACGTTATTCTCGTCAAATTTAATCTAGGATTTTATCCTTCGCGATCGTTATCAAATATAAGAAAGGATATTAACCCTTGTGAACTATTACTATACAAAGCACATACAATAAAATAGGAATATATAGGAACTGCCTTTCGGCTCAAAGGCAATTGGTCAAATTCCTCTTATCGGCTGCTGTGTTTTAGGCTCTTATATACAGCCTCGCTCCTCCTGATTTGTTCGCGAAAGTCTGTCCCACATTTCTTTCTTCCATGCACTCCATGTTTGTTTGTTGCGAAACTTTGTTTACACTTCAATGAAACCTTTGGTTATTAGCAGGGCTACTGTGGCATCTAGTAGATGTGATCCTGCTCAATGGTCATCCAATCTGCAACTAGCAATCAACAGTGGTTCTCAAATTACACTATTGGATCCCCAAGTGCCTTTAATACACCAGAGTGTGTACGCCATTCCAGACCAAGAAACCCAAAATAAATCGCTTGATCCCAAAGGATTGTTCCATATAAGTACCCCCATCCACCCCGATATACTACAAGAATGGCCAATTTATAGGCCAAATCTGTTTTTACTCGATGATGGAACTGAACCTTTCGCAATTGGAGGAATTGGTGAACCAATAATAACTGGTCACATGTGGTCGCCTATAAGGTCAGAAACGAGAGATTGCATGCTAGGAATCCTTATAAATACTGGTGAGCTTTTTGTCTTGGAACGAGCTACCACAACTAAGGAAAGCTATTGCATTAAACATTGTTTTTTTGATGTGCTATGTTGGCAAAATGGTATAGCTTCCAATACTTCTGCCGACGATACTAAGATCCCAGTGCAGCTTTACCAGGCACTTCGTGTGCGCAGTTTTGCATTTGGAACTTTCTTATCATTCAATTCTTCAGACTCAATTCTTGGTGCTATACTAGAAGATAATACCCTCGCAGTGCATACCCTCCAGGACCAATTACCACGAATAGCACTCTTTCAATTTCCGTCCAATGAAACAATAATCAAGCATGTTTGGGCAGATATTACTGAAATTTCATCGACGCTGGCAGTGGCTGCTGTTCTATCTTCCACCAACTCGATCTACTTATGCCATATTAACGAAAATGGTACCATCGCCGAAGCTCCACAACGCATAAAGGAACCTAGCCGGTTCACGGTGTCGAAACTTGAATGGCATAAAAATATGCTTGTGGTAGTCACCACCAACGAATTGCTAGTATACCATGTTGATTTCAGTTCTGGCCATGTTACCTCGACTTTCACTAACACACATTATCCAGTCATAGCTGCCGGAGTTGTCGTTGGCGGTGATCTTCAGACTACTCATATCACGATTGCCTATGAAACAGGCAAGGTTTTATCATTTTGTTTGAGTGGTGGATCTCTACAAAACGAGGATCCACCATCACAGCTTTCCGACTTTGTTACGAAGAGTCTCTACAAATTCCAGTTAGCCAATTCTAGGCCAGCTGCCATAGAAGACAACAAAAATGAAGATCTCGAAGCAACGAAACCATTCTTGAACGACACTGTGGAAGGGAATTTTTATTTGTACGGTTTGTCAACCAACGCCAATGGCATTATCAGCTTGGTTTATCGAATAGCTCCGAAGAATGTTTTGAATTATACCATCTTGTCAAAGTATGAATTCAACATTGCATTCTTCTCTCTCGATACTTTGTACGAGGGATCGATATTAGATGCTCCACTTACTGGTACGTCTTTGAGTAAGATTAACTCGTTGTGGATGAAAAAGTATGCTGAACTACCTACTTTTCCAAAACTAATAGGTGAAAACAAGAATTCAGAAGTAGACGAATTTGTTCGTCAGCTTGTGGAATTTAGGGGGAAGTATTTTGTGGACATCCTTACAGCTCAATTGGGAGTTACGACTCCTGCCGACTCATTCAAGGATTATTTGAGGTTGCATGTCTCTGAAAACGGGGGCCTCCAAAGCTTGCAAGTCTTGTTCATCTTCAATATCATTTGCAGCAAGTCGATAGAGTTGTTAGTCTCGAAGGTCCCAGATCACAGCGAGCTCCTTGCTTTCGCCGAAAGAATCACAACAGAACAAGCCAGCATCAAGAAAGTTATAGCAGACCATGTTATGAACTCGGTCCTCACATATATCCAAGAGAAAAATCTTAAACTAAGTTCTGAGCTCGATAAGTATTTGGCTATCACATTTTACCACTTATCACTGAGTGCACAATTTGGATCCAACAAGCACATACCTACAGAAGCCACAGTTACTATAGCCACCGAATTCGTCACAGAGTCTTTTAGTGTGAGTTCTGTGACTGCGACTGAGGCAGATGAAGGAGAGCTAGCTTTGTCTACCACTGGACACAAGTGGTCTCGTTGCTGCTTGACTCGGCTTCCTTTACTTGAACTCGAGTCTAAGGCAGACGAACTTCGGTATTTCAATTACATTATACGCAAGGATGAGTGGAAGAATACCTTAATCCTCGGCGACCTACTTGAAAGTATCCAGCATTGTATTTTTACCGGGAACAAAATATATAGAAGGGACTGAATTGTCCATTATTGGGATGCAAAGGTGTCTTTTTCTTCGGAGTCAATATTGCCAAACAAAAATGATCCTGGAACGGGTATAAACCCTTCGTCAGTATCGGTGAACACACCATTGAGAACCTGTTGAAGACTTCCATCGCTCCATACAAGTTGTGAGGCGGTCCAATTTATCAAGAGGTTTGGATTATTTGGAGGTGGATCCGAGATCTTGGTGATCAAATATGCAACGCTAGCCTCGCCAATGCCATATGCGAACAAGCTGAGCCATGGTAGCTGTACAATGAGCTGATAGAACACAATTCCAAACCCAAGGAGGACTCCTTCTCTGGCGCTCATCCATGCTTTCTTATCCCCATTGGAGAACCGAGTGCGAGTAAAGTACGGTAAAAGAAGATCATGAATCAAGTTTCTCGAGCCCCAGTACGTGGTAATTAGCCAGATACTGTAAGATCGGGACACCGAATTGAGTACAGCAAAGCACGCAAGCGCAGGCACCGTTCCTAGTTGATCGTTCAAGTTCTTCAACGACATCAATCTTACTGCAAAAGCACCAATAGTCCACTTTCTCGAGATGAACTTGACAACCATGTTCACTAGCGAAGCACGTACATTCCGCTTCACGTAGCTAGCGAATTCCGAGGAATTATTGTACTTATACTTGACGAGTTCAAATATTGACTGTGGATTGTACGTCGTTTTAGGATTTTTCGGGGCCACAATTTCCAAGTTTTTTTTGTATTCTCTCGGCACTTTGGCTTTCCGGTTATGAACAGAGTCCACAAACTCCAAAGAAGTCAAGAAGAGCTCGTCCAATTCGGGTTTGAAGAACCGCAAAGACAGGATGAGAAGACCACCAATTTGAAGTACATTGTGCTGGGTATAGTACAAGTATTTGAGCACAAGTTTCAATGCTGGCGAGTCGCTGAACGATAGTATGAGTAGCAACAATCTCGTTGCAACGAAAAAAGGCGCCCAAAGTGTCAATTGAAATGCCAACGACCAAAATATGACATTTATAGATCGCCTCGTAAACCGGCTGGAATACAACTGAGGATTTTGAAGAGCCCGAAACGCACCCAAAAAGGCCAATTGAACCCCACGGACGACAGAAAGCAAGGAGACGTTCGGCAGTGGTCTGGATACGAACTTGGGTGACGCCATGGATATGGAATGGCTAGGAAATCTGGAGAAGCCTGCACGCAAATCGATCTGCGAAGAGCAGCTGATTATGGTCGCGCCGCAGATGCAGGAGCCAGAGGTTTGGAGTTCACAGTTTACCATGCAGTACCGCTCATCGCTGTGGCACGGCAAAGCGGAGGTCAAGCCGGGAGTGTATGTCCGCACCGAGTCTACCGGTTACACGAGTCAGCACATAAATTGACAAGTTTTATATGGAACGGTAGCGGAATAAATCAATTTTGGGGCAGATGTATAGTGAGCTGCTTGGAAATATGAAGTGAGTGGAATTACAGACCATATAATTAGCGGAAAATCGCGGCGCGAGTCAAATGTGTCACGAGCGCGAGTCATGGTTTCCTTGCAGATTCAGAGTCAGTGCCGGGCAAGGCAACTGCAACGCCGTTTACCCTAAAGGATACGTGCCGTTATCTTGTAGTATATAAAATGTAATCGTCTTCCGCGCCTTTGTGTGTCGCAAAAATCATGTCTTTGGAACCACAAAATTTTTCCAGTCTGCAACCACTTTCGCAGCCATTTGTTAAAAGTTCACTAGTTGAGGTTACCGATACATTAGCCGTAAAACCCCCCTGTCGAATTTTTTTCAAGAATGAATACGAGCAGCCCTCAGGCTCGTTCAAGTTACGAGGAATTGGAAACTTGGTGAGCAAATCGTACAAAGAAGCAAAAACCAAATTTCCACATAAAGAGATCCATGTCTATGCTTCCAGTGGTGGGAATGCTGGCTTAGCAGCAGCCTATGCCGCGCGGTACTACAAGGTCAATTGCACTGTAGTTCTCCCTGTGGTTTCGAAACCTGAGGTTATTGAGAAACTCAAGACTTACGGAGCCAAAACGGTGATCCATGGTGCCAACATTTATGAGGCAGACCAATATTTACAAGGCATATTGAGAAATGTCAATGTCTCAAAGTACCATCCTATCTACTGTCATCCATTTGAAAACCCGCTCATCTGGGACGGCCATTCTACCCTTGTTGACGAGATTTTTCAATCCCAACTTCCAGAACAAGACAAGCCAAAAGTCAAAGGTTTTGTATGTTCAGTTGGAGGAGGAGGATTATACAACGGGATCCACAAGGGCATAATTCGCAACAAAAGCTCATCGGATGTGTTTCTCGTGGAAACGAATCAAGCACCCACCCTTCACGAAACCATCAAAGCCGGCAAAGTTATCACATTGAAATCAGTAAACTCGCTAGCCACCTCACTTGCATGTTCATCTTTGTCAATTCAAAGTTTGGCTAATTATAACGACCAGTCCAAGGTAAAGACCCATATTGCATCCATAGACGACTTGGAGGCTGTCAAAGGGTCTGTCAACTTTTATAGAAACTATGGCATTGCAGTCGAACCAGCATGTGGTGCTTCTTTATCAGTGTTGTACAACCAGCTACCATTTCTCACACTGAAGTTTCCCAATTTGGGGTCTGACGATATAATTGTTGTTGTTGTGTGTGGAGGATCGTGCACTAATGTTGAAGGCATAAAGAAGTTTGAAACCTTGGTTGAAAGACAGGCCCATAAATTGTGAGATTCTGATCCGAGCTACGATAATATTGAAGATAGCTACTTACGATATATTCTATTTACGATGAGACGTACTTGCGATATTCTCTGTTAGCGGCGAGAGTACTCCAGATCTAAAGGTAGACTGTTCTTGAACAAATTCAACAATTGTAGCAATAGCTTATGTACTTTGTCTCATTACTGATCTCTTTTATCTGATCGCGCGAATCTTAATATTACTGATGAACCATGAACCGCGATGACCCACGACTAACCTACAACCATCCGTACAAGCCCTATGACATCCAGGTGCAGTTGATGGACGCCATATATGACACCATCCAGAACAAATACAAAGTGGGGCTTTTTGAGAGTCCTACGGGCACAGGAAAGACCCTCTCCATCATCTGCTCGTCAATGACATGGCTTCGAAACTACAAGAAAACTCAAGATCACAGCACAATGGGCTCAAATTCCTCAAACGACAACGACCCAAATCAAACTTCTGACTCGGACGAAGAACCAGATTGGGTAAAAGAAGCACACATTAAAAACATACGGCTGCGAACTAGCGGACTAGCTATTGACTACGAAAGGCATCTTGAAGAACTTCTGCAAACACCCCACGCTGGACACACGGTGGAATTGGGCCAAAGGACTCATAAGCGTAAAAAAAGAGCCACAAACGATGATGATTTTCTTCCTGATGACTATAATAGTGATACAGATCTGAACTCAGTGGAAACAAAAAATGCTAAACTACAGCAAGAAATCAACCAGATCATGAAACGGGTTGACGGATCTGACGGAAAGACTCCTGGATTTGTCAACACGTGCCCCGTCACCATATTTTTCTCTTCAAGAACCCATTCTCAATTAAGTCAATTTGCTCACCAACTCAGCATAACTCTGTTTGAGTCCTCTCTTGGAGAAATCGCTGAAAGGATCAAGTTTATGCCCCTTTCATCCAGGAAACAGTTATGTATCCACCCAAAAGTTTCTTCGCTCTCCAGCGTTTCGGCCGTAAATGATGCTTGTGTGGAGCTTCAGCAGAAATCTGACAAGCGATGTGAATTCATGCCTCGGGTAAACAACCCTGAATCCGACCAGCTTGTGCAAAGGTTTGCTGACTATTCATTCGCGGTCATCAAGGATATAGAGGAATTGCACGAGTTGGGTGCAGATCTCAAGGTGTGTCCCTATTATGCCTCGAGAAGAAATATCGAGAATTCCGAGATCATAGCGCTTCCTTACCAAATGCTCCTACAGCAAGCAACAAGAAAGTCTCTAGGCTTGAGTATAAAGGATAGTATTGTCATCATTGATGAAGCCCATAACTTGTTGGACGTAATATCTTCGATCAATTCAGTCTCCATTACTCGCAAAGAATTGAGCTCCGTTATAGCTTCACTCAAATTGTACTACAACAAATTCACCAAGAGGCTCAATAGCGGAAATCGCATCCACTTGATGAAACTTATAAAGTTATGTCTGCTTGTTGAAACTTACATTAAGAACTGTGAAATACAAAACAAGTGTGTTCCAGGAAGCGACGTCTTGATCGACGAACTCTTCCAGGGATCTACTGGAGATCTACTCAACATACACCGAATTGAAAAGTATTTGGATAAATCGAAAATTGCCTACAAAATACAGACATATATTGAGCAGTCCAGAGAGGAATCTGATGAAAAGCAAGCCTCAAGTCCACTCCTCTTCAAGGTTACTGCATTTCTCAAATCGTTGGTCAACCCTTCAAAGGAGGGCCGTTTCTTTTGGGATAAGATTAACGACGATACAGAGATCAAGTATCTTCTTTTGGACCCCAGCGAGATGTTCAGAGATGTAGTGGAGAGTGCAAGATGTGTGCTACTTTGTGGTGGAACTATGGAGCCTGTGGAAGACTACTACAGGTATCTTTTTCCATATGTACCAGGAGAAAAGATAAAAAAATTCACTTGTGGACATATTGTTCCTCAGGAAAATATTGAAGTGCTCACGGTCTCCCTGCGGAAAACGACCGTGTTTGATTTTCTGTATCACAAAAGAAACGATCCCTCCATGTTACGAGAGTTGGCATTATCGTTACAGGATATTTGCGAGAGGGTTCCAAATGGGATTATTGTATTTGCTCCCAGCTATAAATATTTGAATCAGTTGATTCTGACTTGGAGAAAAGACGGTAATTTGGCCAAAATCAGTACTTTGAAGCAGGTCTTCTTAGAGCTGTCTGATTCAACCAGCATTGAAAGCATATTGAGAGACTACGGTGCAGCTGCTCGAGGAAGCGGTGCCATACTATTTTCGGTAGTTGGAGGTAAAATGTCCGAAGGAGTCAACTTTTCCGATGAACTTGCTCGGGCGGTAATAATGCTTGGTCTTCCCTACCCCAATGCATTTTCTGGAGAGTTGATCGCCAAACGAAAGTTTATCGAGGAAACCACCTTGCTGAAGGGGGGAACCCAGGCGATGGCCAAGAAAAACTCTAGAGAGTATTATGAAAACATTTGCATGAGAGCTGTCAATCAAAGTGTGGGAAGAAGTATACGGCACGCCAACGATTACTCGGTTATCGTATTGTTCGATACCAGATACAACTCCAGCCACATTCAGCTGAAGTTGAGTGGTTGGATGAGACTGAGCATACGGCCAGAACGAGAGTCGTTCGATATGACGCTTGAGCGTATTGCAGACTTTTTCGCAGCCAAGACACTCACCAAAAGATAGACCAAACTAAAACACAACATCACTTCTGAGAACCCATTTCTCCCCCAGCTTTACTATCTCTGCTTCGTGCATCAAGCAGTCGTCTCCGTGTTTGTGCAATAGAGCCATACCTTTACTGGGGTGTATGTTCAAGGGCTTCGCACCTCTAATTTCTGGGTAAAATATGGTTCCTCCACCAGAAAACTCTTCACCGCCTGTTAAGTATATAAGTAGGGTCCATCTTGTAGATCCCTGGCGTCCTCTGGGCTTGTCTTCTAATTTACAAACCACAGATTCGTCATAATGCTTTCCGAAATGATGGCCCTTACGGTACCTATATATCCTCAATTGCAGATTGAGACCCTTAGCACTTTTGAAGGTGGACTTGATACCTTTTAGTTCTTCGTCTCCGTAATCCTCCTGTTGAAGTACTTGCAGCATGTAGTTCCAAAGGCTTTCAGCAGTTTCAAAGTCGTTCATGGAAATGCGATCATTGAACCTAGCAGCATAGTCCTTGCTCTTGATAAGTGGAGTGGTTTCGAGGTTCAATTTGGCGAACGATTTGATCAAGGAATTGCAGAAATCCTCGGAAAAGAATTTGGGAATGACTATTATTTGGTTGTCTACAATCGATTCTGGAGTCGGTTTGAAATACAGACGAATAAAATTTTTTCCCAACAGATGAATCTCATTAGGAAACTGGTAACCAGACTTCATATCTATGCTTGCAATTACGGAAACAATTCTAATTCTGGTGCAGTTGAGTTCTGGTAGGTAACTAGACTTGATCTGATTTGAGAAAATGCGAATTTTGAGACAGTAAAAATATAAGCTGTACAAATATGTGAGTACAAGGTTAGTCGTAGATTTACGTACATTTTTTCAGGGGAGTTTCACTCACGACAACAGTGACTCCAAATTGATCAAAAGACTATAAGTTTCTCCCGGCATTTTGTACTGAATCATTCCAGCAAATACCATACAGTTTCTCGCCATGTTCTTGAGGTTACTCAACTCCTCCATTTCGTTGCCTAACGTCTGGTACTTCTTGGTCAAGATCGCATAGTTAAGCTGGGAAATGCTAGTCATTACCATAACCAATAGTGACGGAATCACCTTTATCAAATTGTTGTCTTGATTCTGATGCACATTTTCGGCCATCTTTCTAACTTGTACCAAATTCAAAGTTGGGTCTATTGGCACCAATTCAAGTGCCTTCATTGCCTCGAGCACCTTATACCACTCTTTGTTCACGAAATAGTCTCTGATGGAGATGATGGAGATTAATATGTTGCACGTTTCTTTCACGCCAGGTCGAATATGCGAATTGATGATGCTGTTCTTGTTGAACACATTCATGATGTGTTGCGATAACAATATGATATTATTGTCAATGGTATCGGCAGCTTGGGACTCACCATTGATGTTTTCGTAATTTCCGTAACCAATCAATGGCTTGTCGAGGTCGACTGTCGAAAGTATTTCTCCCATGAGCTTACTTATGAGACTCACCACGGTATCAAATTCCAGACACAACTGGTACAACAACAAGGCATCGAATGTTCTGCCTTCTTCTTCACATCGGCGAGCAGCCACATCAATGATTTTACGTTCGAATTGCTCGCGGCTCGCTAATTGTATCAACGATCTTTGGCGCTCCAAAAGTCCGGGAACTTTCTGACCAGTGGTTTGATCTAATTCGCCTAGCAACATATTGAACTCACGCGATATGAGTATGAGTTCACGTAAAGCTTCATGACACTTACTGAGTTCTTCATGAGAGTTACCACCGTCACCCATGCCTATCAAGATGAGATATTGGCAAGCAACCTTGGGATCACTTATCTTGAACGACCTGGTGTAAGAACCCAATAAACGACTAAAGTTGATTTCGGGAAGTCCATTGCTGCCAAGAATGAACAAACTGTCGTGAGGAGGATTTTTCCTTGCAACTTTAAGTAGACCATAGTAGCACAAGCCAATAGCTAGGTGTACCGCATCGCACTCATTGATATTCTCGTACGTATACTGCACAGCAGACTCGAAAAGACCACTCATGAGTAAGGTCTTCAAGAACAGAGGATTCTTGGACGACGAGTTGAATCTCTTTGCACCCAACTGGAGAATTTTAGCTTGGAAATCTTCCAAAGAATAATTCTCAAATACAAGTTTCGATTGGTTATGATTTGAGCCAGTTTCATTGATGATGGAAAAGTGAAACCATGTCCAGTCTTCGATGCTCAAGTTTAAAACATGAGGTAAAGCCTTCTTCGACAACCCACACTTGCCGATTATTTTGTATAAAGTATATTTGTAAGGGTCGAAACCTTCGTTTGAGTCTTCTTTGACAAACGCAAATTGTTTGCTGAATTCTGACTGTATTCTGTCGGACAAGTCTGACGGTAAGCTTAAGCATCCACTTTCAACGTAGTTCTTCAAGTATATGGGGAAGTTTTTGTCAAGTTTGGTGAAAAGTTCTTTGTTAATATTGGTGACCTCAACAGCATCCTGGTACAAACCACTGCGAAGAAGGTAGTAGATAAGTACCCAAAGAGGAGTTCCGTTGACGTTGAGTGTCCTGTCAATAACGCCGGCATTATTTCTTGTGACCACTTTGTTGATAAAGTAGCTTACCTTGTTGATGTTTGTTGCCGGGACAAACCCATCTTTTTTGTCATCTTTCATATAAATTTCATCCAAGTACGCATAGAACTGCTTCTCCAAGTAGCCCTTTCCTGACCTTATAATTTTGTCTGTCAATGTATGCGAACGAGATGGAAGTGTCAGATATTCAGTATGAAACATTTGCTCTTGAGATACTTTACTTTTCTTCTCGTCAGTCAAATCTATCAAAACTCGCCAAGCGTCGGCCACTTGGCGAGACTTGGTATCGTGATATTGCTTGTTGGCATCTTCGAATCTTGAGGCTAGAGGGAACAAAGAGTTGGACATTCGAGCTTCATTGAGGTGATAAACCACCTGGGCGTGGCTTTCAAACTTCTCTCTCGACATTTGGCGAGGTGGAGGAGCGTTTGTGTCTTTAGCAAGAGGAGCCAAAATGTGGTAGTTTCCAGGAAGCGACCTGTTCCACAGGAAAGCACGGCGCTTGGTGTCTGGAGCATCCAAGTCTTCAGATGCTTTAATAATGCCAAATGATTTTCTCAACTCATCACGACGCACTTTCCAGTCGATAGAAACACTCTGGTTGATAAACTTGTCAAAATCCTTTGAAGCGTTAGAAAGACTCTGCTCGATGGCAGACAAGATGTTTTCGTCTTTTTTCGTGGTGATATAGTTGTCTATGTTGCTGGCGGCTTCACGAGAAGTTGGAGGAGCTGCCACGGTGGACGACTGAACTCGTGCCAAAGAATTCATATCTATGGTCTTGAGTTCATCTTCGATGTCATCTGCATTCACACCACTCGAAGCAAGCAAATAATGTGCTCTTTTGAACGATTGTGTGTCTTCTGTATTCTTTCTCATCCGATCCGAGCGCTTTTGAAGCTCTGATAAAGTGAGGTGAAGTGATCCCAAACCAGCATTGCTCGGACGGGGGAGGTTGTTGGCAGACTCAAGAAGATCCTTGACGAGTTTGGAGGGATTTGAGCTGGCAATTGGTCCAGAAACCGAAGATTGAGTTTGCAACGATGGTGCTGGAGGATTATTAGTGCTCACTGTTGAAGTTGGAGCGGATCCGTTGCTAGATTGTTGTTGGCCAAGGGCACCAAAGCCACCCTGGTTGGTTTGTGGCGCAGAATTAGCCCCGAAAAGTGACATTTGCGTGGAAGTATTCAACAGATGTGCTTCCAAAACCATCGCCGGTTTGTTGATGGTAGCGCGTGGTGCGCGCACGACCTGCACATATAAGGCGAAAATTTCGCGGCATCTCTTCACTTTGTCCAAAAGTCATCCACAACATTAGACAGTGCACCATGACGGGGAATCAGTGGTGGACGATGAGGGCCAGTTTTTGGCTCGCACCGTCCGACTGCCACATGATCCATTTATCGTCTAAAGTGCGATAGCTTGTGGAGAGAAAAATATGTATCTTTTAAGAACCTGTCTGGAAAATCATGATAGAGAGGTGTCAGTAGATGCAGATATTTGTAAAGATGTGTAGACGTAATTTATTAACAACTCAAGACCCGTTGAGGGTAGAAGAAATGAACTAACTTTTGAGCATCCGTTGAAGGTGCTTAGTGTCTTCGAGTGCTTTTCAAAGCATCTCGACTGAACGGTTCTAAGGCGTTGTTTCAACGCAATAAATTAAAGGTCGTGTAGACAGACATCAGGAAACTCTTCCTCTTCACCGCTGATCCCTCCGGCGAACTTGTGCTTGCAGCCCCAAGATTTCACTGGGAACCACCAGTAAGCCAACGCCCAGATGAGATAGATGGCAACCACCACCGAAACATAGTTCATGGTTCCAGGAGTTACTGGCATAAATGATGGGAACGAGAAGAAGACCAACGCAAAGATAGCCCACGCGCAGGTCATGATATTGGCAAAAAGACCAATGTGACCCATCCAGAATGGACCACGACGGATATTGTTACGGCCTCGGTACAACAAACATGCGGTAGGGACCAAGTAACTCAATAATAAAAAGGTGATACAGCCGGTAACCATGGAATTGAAAGCAGCATCAGACACCAAATAAAGGCATCCCAACACTGCAACCCAGAACGAAGAGAATAAGTGAGCATTTAATGGAACTCCAAGCTTTGGGTCGACTCTCGACAAGTACTTGGAAAAGGGCAAACCGTGGTCTCTGGCGAAAGACCAGCATAACCGTGCTTGCCAAGTATGACTTGAGATGGTACAACCGCAGGCTGTCAAAAGAATAAGAAAACCAAGACAAAGCGCACCAGCTTTGTTACCCAAGGCCTGGTAGTAGATGTCCAAAATGGGCATTCCCGTACCGTTATTAATAATATCACTCAAGTTGTGGATCGAGAAGAACATGGCGATGGAGTAGGTGAACGAGGTCACGAAACCAATGGTTACCGTACCCAAGATAGCAATGGGGATATCAGTGGCAGGGGTGTTGGTCTCTTCGGCCAAATGGGTGGCCGAGTCCAAGCAGGAAAAACTCCAATTGGGGTTGATTAAACCGACAATAAATGCAATTCCAGCGGTAGACCAACCGGTAGCATTTTCGAATTTGACAAATACAAAGTCAGCATTCTGGTAGTGTCCACGAGAGCACACCAACACGGTAATGGTGATGACTACGTACGAGAAAAGCGAAGTGTACAAGGCACAATTGGCGATGGTTGGAAGTGCTTTTCCGTAGCAATTGAACATGACCAAAAACAAATTGATGAGCTGGTAAATGACAAAAAGCTGCCATTTTTGAGTGACATGGTCTGGGTGTTTGAGGACCCAAAATGCCATGATTTCATTGGCAATACTGAGTGCCAAAGAAGCCGACGTGAAAAGCGAACCAGCCCAAGCAAGAGACCCACAAAGATACGCCAAAAAACTTGAGTGCTTGCGAGGGGATAATACTCGTGTCCACACGTACTGTCCTCCAGCCAGGGGAATGGCAGAACTCATTTCAGACAAGGTAATACCAATACAGTAAGAAATAAAGGCAATGATGATGATACCATAGATGATGAGCATGGGTCCACCGGACTGGATACCAGTAATTAAAGAAGCAGAGATACCAAACCACGAGTTGGTGAGTCCGAAACCGATTCCTAGAATCGACCACACGGAAAAAGTCCGCTTGAGCTCACCTTGCCGACTCGAGGGAATGACAGATACGCCTTCCTCGAGGCCCTTGTTCAATTTAGCTTCAAAAGACATGAGTAGAAAGAGTGCTGAAAAGGGGTCTTTGTAAAGGTTTGGGAAAGGGTTTGGGGTATTAGGGTATCTGTAAAGGTTGATCTAGTTAATTGCACGCGATAAATTTTAATTTAAATTTTTTTCGCTGAAATCAGTGGTATCTGTGTGCACTCCCGAACTCAGCAACCGGTGCCCCGCAGACGGCTCATCCTCGCGGTGTCTTCATCTTTACACAAGTTTTTTCTGGCGCCATGCAATACGTGGGCAAAGTTGGAGGCTATGTCTACAACCAATGGAGCTCGCTCAACCCGGCAACTCTTCTGGGAGCCATAGACATCATTGTGGTAGAAACTCCTGATGGTTCTTTGCACTGCTCACCGTGGCATGTTCGGTTCGGCAAGTTTCAAATCATCAAACCGCTGCAAAAAAAGATTGATTTGTATGTCAATGACATGAAAACAGACCTCCCCATGAAGTTGGGAGAGGGTGGAGAGGCATTTTTTGTGTTTGAGAGCGAAAACAATGACCTTATTCTGTCCTCGGCATTGACGTCGCCGGTGATTTCCGCTGCATCTTCACCGGAAGCTTCGCCTTCCAACTCGCCTCCAGGGCTGCCGCGCCCGACAACACGAGAAAGTTTTCTGCTTGACAACGAAAAATTGGACCTCAATGCCGGACCTCAGCTTCGTCCGGCTAGTCCTACTCGTGCAACAAGTCCATCTCGTGCAACAAGCCCTTCACGTTCCAGCGTCAGTGCCGACATCGAGTCCAAAATAGAGCTCTCGCCTTCTCCCGCACATACTCCCCGTGTGTCTCCGTCGCCATCAATGCAGCTGAAAATTGCATTTGAGCGTGCCAAGCGTCTCACCAAGCAACTTAATATTCCGTCCAAAGTGGATGTAAACGGAGACATGGTTCTAGATATGGACGGGTACAAGCCCAACGCACAGCGGAACATCGACAACAGCGATGAGCTCTTTCAAACCATATTTATGCGTGAGATCAACGATCTTACCGGAAACACCTCTTCCACCACCTCGGACAAAAACCAACATGATCCTGATGCCGAGGGAGAGTACCGGCTTCTTGACCAGATAATTGTCAAGGACAAGGACGGAAATATCCGCATTGTCAACCACGGCGACACCGGCGACTTGGGCGAAGATATGCATGAAGAGGACATCTCTCTGGAAGGCTTGATGTACCCGCAAGAACTCCCATCCAGCAGCGTTGAACGCGGAGACGACAGAACATACTTCAAGACGTTGCGGCTCACGTCCGAGCAACTCCAAGGTATGAAACTCAACTACGGAGAAAACAAGCTCACCTTCAAGCTCAACCAGGGCAACTCCATGATCGAATCTTCATTATTTTTGTGGAAGTCAACCACGCCTATCGTTATTTCCGATATAGATGGCACCATCACCAAGTCCGACGCTTTGGGCCATGTTCTCAATCTCTTCGGCCGTGACTGGACCCATCCTGGTGTAGCCAACCTTTTTCTGGACATCAACAAAAACGGTTATAATATCATGTACTTGACCGCTCGTTCTGTTGGACAGTCGGATTCAACTCGCCAGTACTTGAGAGGAATCGTCCAGGACGGCACAAAGCTACCACCGGGACCGGTCATTTTGAGTCCTGATAGAACTATGGCAGCGTTACGAAGAGAAGTGATTTTGAAAAAACCAGAGGTTTTCAAAATGGCGTGCTTGAATGATATCCGTGGTCTCTACTATAACGTTGAAAGCGAGAAGGACGATCGAACTCCATTCTATGCTGGCTTTGGTAACAGAATAACAGATGCCATCAGTTACAGATCTGTTCATATACCCTCTCACCGAGTATTCACCATCAACCCCAACGGTGAAGTTCATATGGAGTTGCTTGAATTGGCAGGTTACAAGTCCCTGTATCTTCATATTGGAGAGCTAGTGGATCACTTTTTTCCACCTATCAAGAGAGTAAGCACAACTACTGCTTACAATGATAACCAGTTCAACCAATACATTCATAACAAGCAGGACGCCTCACCACCGGGCTCTCCTCGCAGTATAGGAAGTTTTGAGGAGATTGCCGATATCAAAACCGACGAAAAATTCAATGATGTTAATTACTGGCGAGACCCATTATACAGTTTGAGTGATCTCAGCGACGAAGTCGAAGATGAAGATATGGAGGAGGAACCTATGGATCATACACCGTCGTCCCCAGGACTGGAAATTGACGGAGAAAGCTCCAAAAAATCTCGACCACTTTCGGGGACATTTTCGTCACCATTAAAGAGTTTCATGAAATTTGGAAACAGCAGTGAGAGAACCACAAAGAAAAAAGTTGCCGAGTATGGAGCACATGTGGACACTCCTAGTCGATACAGTGATAGAGAGTCTCAAAAATTCCGTGAAAAGTGGGCTGATGGTAACTCTGACGACGACGAAGAAGATGACGATGACTACGTGGATGATGAAGATGAGGATCTAGACGACGACTATACTGATGATGATTACGACGAAGATGCCGAAGACGACTATGAGGACGACTACGATGAAACAGGAGAAATCGAGCAACCTGAACTTGAAGAAATTGACGAACTTGACTTTGATGATGGAATTCCACCAGAAGAAAAGGAAAGAGCCCAAAAAGCCAAAGGTTACTCTCCTGATGCACAAGAGTCTGAAAAGTTGTCGGAGAATTTGCGCAAGGAAATGGAGAAGTTGAAGGTTGTTGAAGAGATTGCTGGAACTAAAATTGCATAGATCAATCCCACTGGGGCACTTCTGAGTCTTGGTAAATGCTTATATTCTGACTATCTGGTAATTTCAACTAAACACCATAATACCAGAATACTCAATCCTGTTTCAAATAATAAGCTACTACTTCAGATCAATATTTTCTATAATATTTTCAAGAAATATTCATAATACCTACATAAAAAATACTGAAAAAATATGGATAACAGAATAAGGCACAGTTTGATAAGTCTTAAAATATGTATGGACACCCTCTAAGCAGTTTCGGATGCAGTTAATGGTCTAAAGGTTTGCAAATTAATCAAGACATTTCAACACTTATTTAGCCTTAATGTGACTCTCATAATCATGTTATCAGCCACACATCAAACCTGAAACTGAAGGTGATCATATGGAAAATATTGTTAATTGTGGCATTACCTCGGTTCAAAAATGAAGCACGGCTGCTTTAATTGTTTTGTCATCATCAGTAGAATTGTGTAGCTTCGAATGAGTTTGAGATATTTAATGAAAAACTGAAAGTGGTACCTGTGTGATGGCAGTTCTCTCTGCTTTGGGATTATTCGTGTTTCGTTTCTCTCATTTTATGGTCCAAGCCATCCAGTAAAAATATTTCATTGATACAATAATTTGCAAGCGATCGGCACCAGTAATAACATGTCAACGCTTACAAACCTCACATATGAAGGGTTTTCATCTCAATAATTAAAGACTGAGCATGTACGTCTTAGTGCTCATCCCAATCTGATATGCAAAAAATGAACCGTTTCCGCTTTGTACTGAACAATTGTTATACACGAGTAGGAGGCTGATGGAATTGACCCACTTCAGTATCATGCATCTCAACAACAAAAAGAAAAGAGTGATGGCCACAATTCTGCTCGCTGAAATTTGCTGCTGCAATTCGTGCATTGTCAATTCATGCGATTTCCCTTTTTGGAATTTTGCAGCCTACTTCATACCAGCGATTTACTGAAACACGGAGACATGCTCAAGTATAACTCGTAAGCTTAGAAAGGCTTTTACAACGAGTTGTCTGGAACCAACATAACAGACTCTGAAGGTCTGGCAATGGGTCTGGCAATGCAATGAGGTGAACGTTCCATAAAGCAGCTTGCCAAGAACATAAGAACAAATTTAAAGGACACTTTGATAACAATCCGAGTTGGAGAGTTCATCTATTGAATCCTTGGACAAAGTCAAGACTTATTAATAGGGTTGAAGCAAATTGAAGTTGGTCCTTGCAGCAGCGTTGAAATCAAATTCTCAGTATTTTCATCCAGGTCGCTTGCAAAATCTTCATCCGGGGCGCTCTCGTCTTCATCCAGGTCACCATCACGACCATCATCAAACAAACGGGGACCAAAGGATTGGGTTATTGTGTTATTTGGCTGCAATTTAACTTTGAGAATCGCAGCTCTGTTTCTCAACGATTTAACAAAGTCTTCAGTGAAACCAGCGGCGGACATCACTATGTCATAGAGATCTTGGTGATAAGTAGAAATGTATAGTATCATGGGCCCAGTATTAATGACTGTTGAATTTGGAAGAGTTATTACCATATTGCTGATATGAACATCAGCCTCGGTATTCACCACTGTGCCGTAGTGGGGAGTTGAGCCATTCGCCAGGGTAATAACCACGTCAATATTGCTCATATCAATATCAACATCATGCCACATGTAACTCTCAGAAAAGGGATAGCTCGCGGCAACGGTCATCCACAATACAATGCTTAAAAGGAACATTCAAACTGACTTTAGTATTTATATCATCAGTGTGGAAATTTGAAGAAACACCGTCACTTATTTAGACTGTAATTCAATGAAGTAACAAATGTATTTGGATTGAAAGCAGTAAGCCATCGGCTGATTATATGGTTATCCTTTACCTTGGGTGTAGTGATGAATGGAACCACTTCTATTAATAGTCTTGCGATATTTCAACAAGCTTTCTATACTCTCAATTTGAGCTATTCTAGGCTCAATAAAGTGATCTTTTGATTGTATTAATTCACTTTACTAATTGGCTGATGTCTTGCCTCTGTTCTCTTAAGTTAGCTGAGGTCGGCAAAGCTGAACTTCGTTTCAGTGAAGCAATTCAGGAGAATTTGTGCCACATAAGTGAGGCTTTTCTCCGCGTTATCGCTATTCCTGCATCTAATCACAGTCTGAAATCTCCCAGTTTAAATTTCGATATTGTTCACGACAGTGCCATCGTTCTGGCACTACCATATTCGTTACAAGGCCACATTCTTTGTTCCTTCAAAGCTCTCGATTACAGACTTTATCTTCAAGTTTTGTCAGCTTCAACTACGCTAGTAAATTAAAGTTTCACGACGCCGGTCACGTTCAAATGCCGCAACCAAAGGAATAGGTTGGACTTAGACACCAGTGGCTTAAAACGCACAGAATCGCCAATAGTGGCTTCCTGTATGTCATCAAAATTTGCTTCACGGGAACCATAGCATATTTAAGAGGGTTGACAATTTATCGATTCATATAAATAGTTCAGATGCTCATCTTATATGCTATATTTTGGTTCACCGTGGCCTCGAGTCATCCTTTTTCATCGAGTATCCTGTGGTACGATGCCGAAATTGATATGAGTAACATCGACGTAGTTATTACCTTGACGAATGGATCGACCCCCTACTATGGGATAGTGGTGAATACCGAGGCTGATGTCCATATCAGCAATATGGCTATAACTCTTCCAAACTCAACAGTGATCAATACTGGCCCAATGATACTGTACATTTCTACTTATCATCAAGATATCTATGATATAATTATGCCCGCGGCAGGTTTTACTGAAGACTTTATCAAATCGTTGGGAAACAACGACGGTCAGATTATCAAAGTCAAGTTGCAGTCAAATAACACAATAACCCAATCCTTGGGTCCGCTATTGGCACCAACTGATGATGATGATGATTATGAGAGCGATCCGGAAAGGGATTTTGCAAGCGACCTGGATGAGATCATTGAGAGCAATATGAATTCGACGCCCATTCCAATTTACTACAACCCCAGTTATAAGTCTTGACAATCATACAAGTGTGTCATTTGACGGTCAGATATAATTACTGGAAGTAAATGTGACATGAAAACTCTCCACCTTGGAACTGATGCAGATATTCTCTAATTTTGTTCTGACTACGAGCGACTTTATTAAGATGTGAGCCAGGCTCAATCGAGATTTACGAAGTACATGAAGATGGTGAGAGATGGCACAAACGTGAATTTGTACAGATTCCCAGCACTTTCAATTCGGCACTGAAGTCGTCGTTATCGCCTAAACATCCAAATTAGCTCACAATTACTCCGCAACCATTTCTTGATAATTGGCCCACCTAAGACTTCTAATCCACTTAAAGATCAATTACTTGACCTTCGTCTGTTTCAGAATACTTAAAGCCCATACAAATTATCACACGGAATATCTCACTATGAGATCTCTTGGCCTGTGACGATATAAAATCAGGATTACATACGAAGAAATTCAGCTATCAATCTTGACTTTTGAAGTCTGTTGGTAGTCAAATTGACCAAAAAGAATCAGTTTCGCGCTGGATCTCAAATTCGTATACTTGATCGATCGATCTATTTCTAGATTGAAAAAAATGACAAGTTGTGCCATTGACTGATATGCTTAGATCATTACTAGCTGTAATTCAATTGAAGAGCATTTTGGCACTAAGACAGAAATACCGAAACTACAACTACAAATCTAATCACAAAACATAAATCTCATCTTGATTTATGCCGCGAACGTCTGATTTTTGTTCCTTTTAAGCCACCCTACATCGCAACGCCAAAAATACCGCACCGCGGAACCCTTACTGGTTTTGGGCGACCACGGGCATAACCAGCACGTGAGCCGGGTTAATTCTTTTCGTGTAGCTCCAACTGTTAGAGATAGTAACTGAATAATGAAGACGAGAATCTAGAAACATAGCCGCTAGCGGTAGCACTCACTATTATATTCCATTCCCATCTCGGCTTATTTTGGTCTTTTTTGGCTTTCGCCTTATTTTTTGGCTTATTTTTAGCGTCGTGAAAAATCCAAATTATTAATTAAGGTCCTGCGCCTCTCCGGATTCGTGGATCTCTGTGTGCATTCAAAAAATAATTGCACACGATGGATAATGCACGTTTGTCAGGCGCTCGTAATTGCGACACGTTCTACTTCTTTATAGTTGTGACGTACCTTCTTGCTAATCGCTAACAACTTTCGTACCGTTCCTTTCAAGCCGCACAATTGCAACCTGGTACACCAGTAGTCCATATCCATGCTACAACTCAATCGAAGATTAGTGTTGCTCGTGGCAATCTTGGGGCTTCTGGGATTGTTGATTGTCATCAGTCTGACAAAACCAGATTCATCTTACAGTTTTCACGACATAGTTCAGCATGCCCAAGACCACTTACGTCCGGCTCCAAACCTGGCTACCGACTCCAAAGTGGTGGATAGCAACAGTGTGATTTTCCCCACCCTGTTCGACAAAACGCCCGATCTTCAACAGTTTTATTTTTCACATTTTCCAGCGGCAGCAGCCAAGAACAAAAATGCAAAGTTTGTCGCCGGCGCACCATCCAACTCCATATTTCCCAAGGTGCCTGAGCTCGAGATGAAGCCCCATGTGGTGAATGTCTTCTTGGCTGGCGATGGCCAGAAAGAATTGGCAGACGACAAAAGACCAGCCAAGTGCGAGTCGTTCAGAAAAGAATTGGCGGTGGAAGTTTCAAAACCCATTTCCAAGAACATTCCTATCGAAGCGCTTATCAAGCGCCTTCTCAAAGAACCCACTTCATACATGAAGGAGTTTCTTCCCTTTTTCGCAGAAGACATCAAAAAGCAGTTTGCTGAAAAAACCATCAAAGACCACTGGTACAGGCTCGCAGGCTCATCTGTGTGGCTCGAAAGCCACCGAGTTCATTTCATGATCTCAAGGTTGGTGTACTCCAAAAGAGGCGCTCGAAATGCTCCAAATTTCAGCATGGTGCTCGCCCAAGTGTTCGATGAAAATTGGAACGAAATCAATGGAGCCGAGCTCGTGGTGCCCACCAACAACCCAGACGTTGGAAATGAACAGGAATCACCCAACGAGCAGAAATACCGGGTTATGAAGTTTCCGTCTTTGTTGCCCATTCCTGCCTATCTCAATGTCAACCACCAAGACAACCGCTACTACGGACCTGAAGACTCCAGGATACTCTTGGTCCGCAATCCCGCCGGCTACGACGAGCCACTCATAGTATTCAATGCTTACCACCGCAAGATCATTGAGTCCAAGTCGGAAAAAGAAGACGAAATCAACTTGAAATACGGGTTCTATAGGTCCATGTTTGTCGCTTGGCCATGGCAACAGCAACGAGGAAAGCAGAATATGGAGGACCTCGCAGACAAGGAATTCGACAAAAATTTGTACACTCGAGCCGTTGAATTGAGACGAGAGAACATGCCTCGTATTGCAACCCAGAAGAACTGGACACCATTTGTGAGCTCCAATGACCGGACCAAATACGGATACGACAAGTATGCATACTTCATCTATCGGTGGTCTAACATGGAGGTTTTGCGATGCGATTTGACAGAAGTCACTGCCAAGTATTCCAACTGTAAGTTTGTTTATCGTATGGACGACAAGCTTCCCGACTCCGCAAGTGTCGGACCCATGAGAGGCGGAACCAACCTTTACAATATCAACGAGCTTCTTCAAAGCCATTCGAAAAATTCTGAGGTTGTCTCACTTTTATCGCAAATTCCTCGAGAGAGAGAAATATGGATGGGATTTGCCAGAGCACATATCAAGAACTGCGGGTGTGGCAAGGACATGTACCGTCCCAATTTTGTGGTCATGACCAGAGACGGAGGAGACAAGTACCAAATTAGCCATATCAGTTCGTTCACTTCTTTGAATGTTCCTGTTGCTGGATGGGACATCAATAATCCTGGAAAAGCATGTCAAGACGGTCAGCCGTCGGCGTTCATACCCAACGGAATCTCGTCGTGGACCATCAGCAAGGACCATAACCAAGTTGGATTTAGTGACGATCTTACCATGGCTTTTTCCATATCCGATGTGTCGGTGGAAATCGTTCATATCCGCAATATTCTCTCATCTTTCGTCCTGCTCGACAGCAAAAATAGCAACTTGGTGGGGCCTGTCTTTGGCATGTCTTCGCTTCCTCCATCAGGTTTCGACAACTTTAATATTGAGTGTGCACTTGAGGGCTCGAAGAAGATGTGCGCCGAGTTTGGCAAGGAGCACGAAAACGATTAATGGACTAGCCGGGGAAATAGTATAAAATACCACGGCTCACGACAATGACTTGTATAAACTGTAGATGAGAAGAATGTGTGTAGTCGTCGATGGTTTCCGCCGGCAGCCGCAGCGAACCGCAGCACCGCAGTTTTGCAATCATTGCACTATCAATTCGCGGTGCGCACACGAGATAACCGCCGAACTCTCAGTAATTACCGCGAACCTCACTACTGCGAACGCTCAGTACCGCGAACTCTCACCGAGAACCCTCAGTATTACCCTCGCGCGACAGCACTGCACCACAGCTCTCGATCTCACTTCACTTACCGCGACTTCTATGCAACCATAAGAATGCCAGCAGAGAAAAATGAAGGTGTGGTGGCATCGCCGCCATCTCTCAGGTCATTTCTACGAAGCCCCTGGGCTGCGTTATGTCTGGTAATGTTTTTATTTGTCATTTACAAGTCCATTTCGTCTTATGAACAGCATCAGTTGATCCGTGATTTCCAAGGGGCGTACCACCAGGGCTCGAATTCCTGGCTCTGGGACTCCAAGATGGACTCCAAAGACAAAATATTGTTCCCACAAACTTTTCCCAACGATGATTTGGCACAGTATATCCAGAAACACAAGTTATATCCAATGGACCGATTACAGTCTACAACGTTAATCAAGTACTCGCCGGTAGGAAGTACCGCTGAAAGGCTCAGTAAGCCGTTAAAAGCATCACATTTTGAGCCCTATGATATCGATTTATTTCACAGTTCCTCCAATATTAAGCTCGATCTTCAAAAATGTGAAACCAAACTTCGTGAAAAAATCCTGGTTGCCGTCGACAAACCAAAGGGAATCAACGTCTCACTCCGGACAATTCTCACACAACTTTTGAAGGATTTGGAGCATAATTCATATTTTCAGGAATTATCGCCTTTCTTCATTGAAGAGTTGGCGCTTCAGATCAAATATAATGTCGTTGAACACTACTGGTATCGATTAGCGGGGTCTTCTGTGTACTTGGAGGACTATGGGGTACACTTCATGATTTCCAGAGTGCTCTACAGTCCCAAAGGTGCCCGTAACCAACCCATTATTTCCCTAACCTATGCCCAGCTTTTCGACGAAAACTGGAACGAACTCACAAATACCAAATTAGTCGTACCCACCAACGAGAACGACTTCACCGTGATGAAGTTTCCATCGTTTTTGCCCATTCCTTTCTGGTTTGACGTCGACAACACGGAGGGCAAGTTTTATGGTCCCGAAGATCCACGTATTTTACTCGTGAGAAACCCCAAAGGCTACGAAGAACCATTGGTCATTTTTAACGCTTACCATAGAAAAATGACCCATTTCGATGACGACGCCGATGACCATTTGGTATTGAAACCTAGCTATTACCGTTCCATGTTCATGTGCTGGCCATGGCAGACACAAGTGGGAAAAGAGAACACCGATGGTTTGGCCGCCGAAGAGTTTAAAAACAGTGTCTACAGCAGAGTTGTTGAGCTACAAATCAAGAACGTTGAACGTCGTAGCAAGCAGAAAAATTGGACTCCTTTCGTTAGCAACGCTGATCGTGCGGTCCATGGCCATGATACCCATGTCAATTTCATTTATCGCTGGGCCAATCTTGAAGTGCTCAAGTGTGATATGTCGACAGGCGAATGTGGATTTACTTACAGATTGAACAATCGCTTGTCAACTTCTGCAAGAGTAGGACCTTTGAGAGGAGGAACCCAGTTGATAAATATCAATGGACTCATTGAAACCCACACTCACGCTGAAACCAAGTCGATAATACCCCCTAATAGAGAAATCTGGTTGGGGTTTGCGCGTGCTCATTTGGACAAGTGTGGTTGTGGTAATGTCATGTACAGACCAAACTTGGTGATACTCGTGAAAGATGTGGTTGGTGATAAGCAAATGTTCCGCTTGAGTCATGTCAGCTCTTCAATCTCGTTTGATATACCCATGATTGGTTGGAACTTGAACAATCCGAAGGACTTGTGCCATGGTACGAACGTATTAATCCCCAATGGAATCTCAAGTTGGGTAATGTCTCTGGTAGGTGAAGAAAATGGACAATTTACAGCAGACGATGATCTCACCCTATCCTTATCCATTTCTGATTTTACTGTGCACAAGATCAACGTAAAGGGCTTATTAAACCTGATCTTTGCTATGGATCATGACAGTTTGTTCTTCAAACCAGGTGAAGCAGATAAGTCTAGTCCGGACTTGAAAAGGTTGCTTCTCCCAAATCAAAAAATCGTCAACGATCCACATAAAGTCAACTCTCAATGGCTTGTTGGTTTCAACAATGATAATGTAGCATGTGCTATGTTTGGATCCTCAGAATACTGTGCTGCTTACGGATTGGAACAAGAGAGATTGTACTACTCCACCTTTGGACATGAGTACGAATTTGAAGACGACGAGTTCCTCGAGCAGCAAGATGCTTCTTCGGTAGACAAGTATGAGCACGAATTGGGTATGCATCATGACGATAGAATCAACCAGGTTGAAACCGGACCTCCATTGCGTCAAGGTATTCCTGCCAATGACGCCAGTGGAAGCCATGGTTCCAGTCACGTTCCTAATCGGGTAAATCCTGGTTTAATCAATGAGTACGGAAAGGTTGATCCTGAAAAAATGGGAAGCATGTTCAACGGCACTATTTTCGGCGAAGACGATAAAAAGTTCGACGATTTGGCAGAAGCTGATGCTAGCTCACACCGCAATTCTTCCAAGTCCTATGGTCATACAAAGAAACTTCTGAAGCCGAAAACGGGAATAGAGAAGAAGCCTGGCACCAAGAAGGTTGCGGATGAAAAAAAGTCCGCACCCAAAGTTGAGAATACAAAGGATCAAAAGATGAAGGGTAGCCTTCCAGAAGAAAACACTTCAGAGTCTGGACCAACAGTGAAGGGTAAACCGATCAAAGGCACCAATTCTGAACTGCAAAAGAAAGCAGCTCCAAAAATAGCGCCGAAGAAAGTTAACGAAGAAACGAAAAAGAAAGTGCTGAAAGAAAATTCAAAGGAAATAAAGGAAGATAAAGAAACAAAGGAGAGCACGAAAAAGAGCACAAAAGGTAGTTTAAAAGCTGGAGCGAAGGCTTCGAACCAACGGGCCAAGAAACCCAAAGTTAAGGAAGAAATGGAAGCTTAGAAGCTGAAGATGAAAAGCTTCATCAAAAAGGAACCTGATTGAGCAAAGTGTATTTGTGTTTCTCTTATTTGTGTTTCGCTTATTTGTATTTCGCTTATTTGTGTTTCGCTTATTTGTGTTTCGCTTATTTGTGTTTCGCTTATTTGTGTTTGTGCCTTGGCTATAAATACTGAACTTCGCAACCACTAACACAAACTCTTTGCTATGCCAGTCGAACTCGTCCTTTACCCTATAATGCGCCCATTGGTGACGGCTAAGGCCGTGCTCTTCCATCCTCATAGAAGAGCTTCAAGGTATGTTCCCAACATTATAGAAATGCCTGAAAACGTTTCAGAGTACGCTGTGTTGAAACGGTTTGGTTCTGGATCAAAAACCTTTGATGTGTACGATACGGAAGGTGGTTTATATCCAGTGGGGCCATCTGACCCATCCAAGTCACTTTTTTGGTTCACCAGATCTCGGGCAGTGAAAGGTGCCTACAGAATGTTTTCCTCAGATATTCGAGGAACGGGGGAAAATGGCGAGGACGAACCAGTTGCTACGGTTAGAGCAGGCTTACGGTCGAATGTTCTTTTGATCCGGGCGCCAACTGCACCAGCTGCCGAGTTGGGGTGGCATGTCATTAGTCTTCGAGTTGACGCTAATGACTCGTACAGAATGTTTACCATGGCAAATGGAGTTACCTATCAATGGACCATGAGAGGAAAATGGCTCGAGAAGGTACTAAACGTTGGCAACAAGGAATCAGAGGTTCGTATAAGAATAGGAAGAGTTGTACCCAACGGAGATCGTGGGTTCACCCTTCAAATCGACGAGTCGGAAATGCCTCGAGAATTGGCACTTGGAAGTGCTCTTTGTTCCTATATCGACCAGTGGAATACGAACATTGAAATCGGAGGTATTTACTATGCTAGACAAGCCGGTGGAGTTCGGTGGAAGCGTGATTAATACACAAAAAAAGTTTACTGATAAAGAGCTCTATACTTTTTCTCCTTTCTGTGTTTAAAATTGGTGGCTCATGGAGTCTCTCGTCTCGATCAGGGCGCTCTGCTCTTCTCTCGTTCGATATGCACCTCTAAATCTGAAATTACCTATTTGGGACTTGGTAATGCAGCACCAACGCAGCTGTTTCGAAATTTGCAACCAAATTGTCACAGCTCAAAATACGTTTACGAATTGTTTCTTGTAAGGCATAACAAAAACTACACTACCAAAGGGCTAGAATCGACCCTGCCACGAGGTGGGTGTATTTTTCGGTACTTCTATTAATATTTTTTTTTTTCACTAGCCGAACACTTTATGCATCTTCGATTCCAGAAAGTGTTCCAAAACAGATACGAAACAGATAAATGTGGCACTTGATCGGTTATATATTCTGTCCCTATTCGGTTCTTTCAGGTTTACGCTAAATCATGAAATTCGGTTTGCTATTGTTGGTTTTTGTTAAATTAGCTGTGGCAGTAGATGATGATGATTGTGTGGACTTGACTAGTTCTGCGATAGAAAACGACGATGACTGCGAAACACTGTCCTTTACGGGTACTTCCAGTATAACCGCACCCCCAGTAAGCTCGGTGAGTGATGGAGAGGACTGTGAAACTAGTGTTGAGCCCAGCGACGAAGATTGCGAAACTGAAACCGTTTCTAGTTCGAGTGAAGAGCCTGAATGCGACGAGCTGTCGCTGGTACCAGTGAGCTCGACATCTGACGAGGATGACTGCCTGGAAGTTTCATCTTCAACTGTGGGCTCTTCCGTGGTTTCATCCTCGTCGGTGGTTTTTACGTCTAGCGAGGTGTCTAGCGAGATATCTAGCGAGATTACTTCTAGCGCGCTTACGTCTAGCGAGGTTTCTAGTGAGATTACGTCTAGTGAGGCTTCCAGCTACATATCGTCTGAAAGTTCAGCTTCGTCTTCAAGCTCGTTACCACAATCATCTACGAGTTCACTGGAATCATCTTTGAGCTCTGAAAGTGTTTCTTCAAGCTCAATTCCGTCAAGTCTGTCCACGTTGTCTAGTCTTTCTCTGTCAACCACAGAGTCGAGCATTACATCTTCAAGTGAAGTTCCCCTGGCAACAATTTCTCTGTTGTCTTCAGAAACATTTTCCAGTTCAGTTTCCTCATCTTCCTTGGTGTTTTCTTCAAGTATTTTGGAGTCGTCAATTTTCCCGTCAAGTTCTGCCCCTTCATGTACCGGAGACGAGTGTACATCACTGTTAACGTCCTCCATTTTGAGTTCAGAGGTAACTTCTGAATCGTTGCTGAGCTCTGCAACATCTTCTGCGATTTCGTCGCTGACTTCAATTGAATCTTCCGTTTCAGTCGAAAGTTCGCTGACTTCTTCATTCGAGACTTTACAGAGTTCTTCAATCGAGACTTCACTGACTTCTTCAATTGAATCTTCCCAAAGTTCTTCAATTGAATCTTCACAGACCTCTTCAATTGAATCTTCACAGACTTCTTTGAGTTCACTGAGTTCACTCGCTTCCTCCTCTGTTCCAATTTCGTCGTCCACCCCGGTAACTTCATCGCAAACTCCCACAACAGAATGTGACTGTGAAGACGACGAAGATTGCCTGTCTACTCTGTCTGTGATTTCTTCAACCTCAGAAGAGTGTGAATGTGAAGAAACTGGTGGATGTGAAACTCTGTCTTTTATATCGTCAACTACAGAGTGTGAATGTGAGGAAACTGGATGTCTGGAGTCTAGTATCACAAGTACTACTGAAACGAGCTCAACAAGTTCAACTGAAAAATGGTCAACCGCTAGTTCAACCACTAGTTCAGCTTCTAGTTCAACTGCTAGTTCAAGTGCTAGTTCAAGTGTGGACACTTTATGTTCATCTTCAAGTTCAGACACTATAAGATCTTCAAGCTCATTAACTTCATCAGACACTTCAAGTTCGGTTACTTCAATCCCAGTTACTTCATCTTCGGAGTCGAGTTCGGAGACTTTTACCAAAAAGACAAGTTCAAGTTCGACTTTGACTACTTCAACTTCAGAAACTTCGTCTTCTTCTTCAACTTATACTTCATCTTCGGGTACCTCTCGGGACACTTCTTCGGTTTCTACAACTTCGGTTACCTCTGGATCTACCAGCTCTAGCAAGGTATCAACAAGTGAGTCTTCAAGTTTCATCAAAACCTCAGTTTCAAATACCATACCAGAAACAGAGACGACAAAAATCACTACGCGGAAACTGCTGCTGGTTCTTGAATCTTCAATTACATCCACAACGATATCGGACGGGTGTTCAGGTGAAACCTGTACAAACTGTACACCAACAGGACCAGTAGAAACTCCGGGAACTACCCTGGAAACTACTCTGGAAGCTACCCCAGAAACTACCCCAGAAAATACTCCAGCTGAAACCACTCCAGTTGAAACTACCCCCGAGGAAACTACACCAGTTGACACTACTCCAGTTGACACTACTCCAGTTGAATCAGAAACCACTCCAGTCGAAACTCACGAAACTACCCCAGTAGAAACTCCAGAAACTCCAGTTGAAACTACTCCAGAGGAAACTATTCCAGTTGAGACTACTCCGGAGGAAACTACTCCAGTTGAGACTTCTGAAACTCCAGAAACTCCAGAACCTACTCCGGAAACTACACCAGTTGGAACAGAAACTGCTCCCATTGAAACTTCAGAATCACCAGAACCTTCTGAATCCGTTCCCGAAACTACCTTATCCACATCCTACGAATACCCCGAAACCACCGTCTTCCATGAAACAACAATCACCCAAATTTGTTCCAAAACAATTTGCAGCCATTCGACTGTAGTGCTGCAAGTCACATGCCAGGTTAGTGTCAGTACCATTGTGGAAAACGGATCTACGTCATTGTCCACCTCGTACAGCACTGTTAACCAAACATTGACCCATGAAGCCAACCCAACTTCCGCATCTCCATACCCCATCGAACCACTGCCAGAAACGCTGGAAGTCGATGAGCACACCCAGACACCAGCGAGTCTGACACCAGCAATTCCCACCTCTTCTCCCAGTTCTGTATACAGCGGAAGTGGTTCATCCTTGTCAATTCCTCTGCTTCTCTCCATAGTTATAGCCTTTATTCTTTAGGTAATACACTTATGCCTTGAACAGCCAGTGGTTCCCACCTCTTCGCACGTGCACACAAATTCCTGCACGCAGCCGCGTCGCACTCCTTTTTGCCTCTTCGCGGTAAAACTCTTCATAAACATCATGAGTGAGCCAAGCAAGGTTTTTGTTAGACCCTTAGGGTTCGAAGGTAGGTATAACAACTGAGACAATAACCTGAATAACACTAACATAGTTGAAAGTGAACAAGTTGAGTCACATTTTGGATCGATTGGTCCTGTGACCGAGGTTCAATTGATGAGAGGTTACGCTTTTGTCACGTTTGAAAATTCCGAAGACACTGCCAAGGCGGTTGAAACCATGAACGGTACCGAGTTCGATGGCCAGACTCTCCAGGTCGAGTTTGCCAAGGAAAGAAAGGAAGATACTCGTGGTCAATTCAGAGTCAAGGTCACCAACCTTCCAGATGGTACCGCATGGCAAGACTTTAAGGATTTTGTTCGTGACAAAACCGAGCTGACTCCTACATTCGCCAAGGTCTTCCGTGACTACGAGAGTGGTGAGGTCATTGGAGCTTTGGAGTTTGGTTCCAGAGAGGAATTAGACAAGGCAGTACCCTTGTTGGACAAGGCTGAATTCCAAGACGTCGTTTTGGTGGCCGAAGAAGACATTTCTCCATTTGTGCCGCCTCCTAGAAGAGGAGGCTTCCGTGGTGGCCGTGGAGGAGGCTTCAGAGGAGACTTTAGAGGTGGCCGTGGCCGTGGAGGATTCAGAGGTGACTCCAGAGGTGGTTTCCGTGGAGGCCGCGGTGGTTACAGAGACGACTTTAGAGGTGGATTCCGTGGTGGCCGTGGAGGCTATAGAGACGATTTCAGAGGCGGTTCCCGTGGAGGCCGCGGTGGATTCAGAGGAGGCCGTGGTGGAGAATACGACTCTTACCCCCCTCGTGATGGTGGAGATGGTGGATATCCCGCTCAAGAGAGCTATGGCAGAGAGGGCCGCGACGACGGCTACGATTCGTACACCCGTGACAGATCTCCTACCAGATATTGATTCGAAAAGAACGTGGTGAATATTGTTATGTTTGATTTTATTTGATTGTATTAGAATGAAGGGACTCTCCGTCCTAAAAATATCGTATTGGCGGTCAGCTGGCTGGCCTTATTTCTTCGTGTGTGTTTTGTGCCAGAATCGTTTTCCGTCATGTCCACAGGGTTCCATTTCAAGTCCATTTCAGTCCATCTCATCGCATCACAGCGTTCCTGTATACAGCAATAGCGAGCCTTAGTGGTTGCATGCTCGATTTCTTGCCAGCCTCATTACATGAGTTCCAGCAAATTACTCAAATATGGTTCCGACGACCTCCAGACAATCCGCGTATATAGACATGATTCTGGCAATCATCTATCCATAATCTTTATCCATGGGGGTGCCTGGCGCGATCCCCGCAACACATTTAATGACTTTGAAGAACTTGTAGGAAAACTTCCATCCACTATAAATACGTTTGGAATCAACTATAGATTGTCACCGGCAGTCAAACATCCAGCGCATCTTGAAGATGTTGTATCAGCCATTGAATATTTAGCGAAAAACTACAAAGTTGAGAATGTGGGGTTGGTTGGTCACTCTGTGGGTGCCACGTTAGCGCTACAAATACTCAACTATAAGACTATTTTACCGGGATTGGAGCGTCCTTTGGGAATAAAAATGAAGTTTTTGGTGTTTCTAGATGGCATTTATGATGTCCCCAAACTCGTGGAAGAGTATCCTACCTATAGTTCTTTTGTAAATGAAGCGTTCAAAACCAAACAGGACTACATGCGAGCCACGCCAGTTTCTTCTGAGATGCCGCAGTTTGATATACTGGTTGAAAAATGTGTGATTCTTTTGGTGCAATCCACTGAAGACGAACTTCTTTCTGTGCAGCAAACGGAATTGATGGCTGATTTTTTGCAAGCGAAATCAATTCCCTTTGAGAAGCACCTTGGCGCTTTTGGGGCCCATGAACAGGTGTACAGGCACCATAAAGTGGCCAAGTTGATCACCGATGCCATTGGCGCCAATCTAGACGGTTTGGTGCGCGCACGCCCACAAAATTGAAAAGAAAATTTCCTTCAAAGGTGAACACCACGATAATGGCCACGTCTGTAATCAAGTCATGGGCGGATGCCGAGGACGAAATACCGGCTGCTGAGGTGATAAACAACCCTGATGGCACCAAGACAGTGATCAACTACCGTATGAATGCTAACGGTCAAAAAATAAGACACATACAAAAAATCAGAGAGGTGAAAGTGAAAGAAAAAGTGCACCCTCTTATTGCCATGCGCAAGAACTGGAGCAAATATGGTAAGGAGAAGGACATGCCTGCTGGACCGGACGCCAGAACCACGCAGCTAGGCGAAGTCGTCGAGTTGAAGCTCGGAACATCATGGAAGGAGATCGAGAAAGAAGAGGAAGAACAAAAGGCCGAACAGACACAACAGATTGTATCCAACCAGAGAATCAAATGTAGAACTTGTGGAGGCAACCATTTCACATCCAAGTGTCCTTTCAAAGACACTCTTATCAGCGATTCGGCCAATACTTCTGCGGCTGCTACTCCAGAGCCCGATACCGATGCTTCTGGCAAATATGTGCCACCTTCGTTAAGAAAGGGTGCTGGTGCCGTGAGGGACATGAGTGGAAGAGACAGGGACGATTCTACCACATTGAAGATTTCTCAGTTGAACACATTTGTGGACGAAGACATGTTGAGAAACGAGTTGCTCAAGAGATTCCATCCATTGCAAAGAGTCACTATTGTGCGCAACAGAGAAACCGGCGAGTCGAGAGGATTTGCGTACGTTTCGTTCGTCACCGAGCGCCAGGCCGAGGAAGCTTTGAACACATTGAACGGAAAGGGTTACCATTCATTGATCTTGCACTTGGAATGGCCCAAGAAGAGAAAGGCTAACTAGACTGGGGAGTCACTCTGAGAAGGGATTGTAGTGGTACATTGTGATGTCGTACTACTGCAATACCGTACCATTCTTGTAACCGCAAACTTGCTATTTTTGTGGTACTTCGTGCGAAATGGCACTATATTTGTGGTACTATTTTTGTGGCTTCTGTGCGACTCGATCTCCGATCTCAGCGATTCTTCTCAACGATCTCAAGATTCAACGGTTCAAAAATTCATGACGAACACCTGACCATGATCCCCACCCCATATAGCCATGTAGAATAGCATTGACCTGTATCGGAACTCGTAGCAGTCTATCGCCGACGCACTTTTGCGGGCTTCTACGGAACCTGGTGTCCGCACCTCCATGCATCGAAGCTGCCTTGCGCTGCTTTGCGCTGCGCGGCTTCCCCGCCACCACAAGTTTTAAGTTTTCTTACCATTTCTACTTATTTATCTTCTTAGTACTAGGGTTTTTTTTCCACATTTTTGGCGACATAACCATAAATACCACAGTACAGGGTCCTAGCTATCCGTACCTGTACCAATGGCGTTTCTGGAGGTGAATAGTGGTATGGAATCCAGCCATTCTTCGCCGTCTCCTCCGAAGGTTCCTTTTATGAAACGAGTGTTTGGCAAAAAGAGCTCCAATGGGAGCATGACACTGTCCACCACTGGCCAGGGACTGTACCAGAAATCGGCTTTCCAGCAAAAATCCGGAACAACGAGTGCCGGAACTCGGTCCCAAAGTCCTCCCGATGGCCGGCCAACGACTCAACGTACGCCGTCTACCGGCACCGCCAATTCATTTGTGGACGTCGACGGAAGCAGTATCTTTGACGACGCGGAATTTGAAAGCTCCACCGTCATGAATGATACCACAGATGAGTCGTCGGTGCTGTCGCACGAGTCCAGGTCAGCGGCTTCCATTCCGAAAGACCATAGTTTTCACGACCGGGTCGAGATTCCCCACGCTGAAGTTTCCGGTGCTGATGACCCGACGGCATTTTTCCGGTCGCTAGCTTGGGAAGGACTCACGTATGAATCGTTCTTGTTCCCCTCGTATATGCGCTTGAGCAGTCGCAAGAGACACATTCCGCCCAAGCTCAACAAACTCTTTTTGGCCCAGGAGCTCAACGCCGTTCCGGACAAACACACCGATTCCGACGCCGAAAGCCCGCAAAAGTTGGCCGACGGCGCCGCTTCCAAGGCTTCGGATACCGATCTGGTATCGGTCAAGGACGATGAAAACACCCATGCCATAGCGTCCCAGCGCGAGATCCTCGTCATGGAATGGAGCAGGGACGGGCGCTACCTCGCCACAGCAGGCAGAGACCAAATCATCAAGATCTGGAAGGTGGTGTCTTCGCCGCTCGCCAAGTTAGAAAACGAGCGCAAGGTATCTGAAAGTGTTACTCATCGAACCAAAAGCAAGGAAAAGATGTTTGAGAATGCTCCTGTGTTTCACCAGAACCCGGTAATGGAGTTTCGGGGCCACTCAAACACCATCTTGTCTCTCGATTGGAGCAAAAATAACTTTCTCATTTCTGGAGGCATGGACAGAACCGCTCGTCTCTGGCATGTGGACCGTTCAGAGTGTCTCCAGACGTTCAAACACAGCGACTTTGTAACCACCGTCAACTTTCATCCCAACGACGACCGGTTTTTCCTTTCTGGCTCGCTAGACAATCGTGTTCGACTTTGGTCCATTCTCGAAAACAGTGTAGCGTACAACAATGATTTGGGTAACGACATTCTCATCACAGCTACGTGCTTCACCCCAGATGGCGAGCATTGCATGGTGGGCAGTTTCAGTGGCATGTTGTCGGTGCTCGAAACAAAGGGCCTTCATCTTGTCACAAAGTTCCATGTCAAGAAACGGTCGATATCGAGTGCTTTTCAAAACTCAAACGACAATAAAGTTACTGGCATAAAGGTTTTCGAAAACAGAGATTACCAGCCTCTGGTTCAAAATGATTCCCCATTCGCTCGTTGGAATGTCTTGATTACCACCAACGACTCGAAAATCCGTCTCGTTGATTCTCACCTGAAAAAGCTCGTTACTCGCTTCAAGGGCTTGACGAACCACAGCTCTTCGATAGTGGCGTCTATTACTGAGGACCAAAATTATATCATCGCTGGTTCCGAAGACCATTGGTGTTACATTTGGGAAAATAATAACTCCACCATCAATAACAAGCTCCGCTCGGCAATGCGAGAGATTCTTCACGATGGTGTTTCCCAGGTGCACGAATGGGAACAAAAACACAAGAAGTATACGCATTTGTTGCACGATAACAGACTCGTACGGAAACTAAACATGCATAAAGATCCGGACGAAGAGCCCAGCCATGATTATCTCTCTAACGAAAACAACAGCTATATATCTTTCCATGCTCACCACTCAAACGTCAATGTTGCAAAATTTGCGCCTGAAAGTTCCAAGGTGCTTCTTGACATGTCCGATGATGTTATCTACGACTTGGTGAAACGTGGAAACCGCTGTGGAATATCGAATGAGCTGGCAAAATCGAAACACAGAGATTACTCACCGGAAGCAGTACCACTGACTACGCCCGACTTGGGCCACATAATTGTCACAACAGATCAATGTGGTCTTATTCGTGTATTTCGCCAGGACAGCGCTTATGCGGTAAGAAAAGAACTCACTAATCGGTACCGCCGAGCTGTTGCGCGAGGTACTTGTGAGGTCAATGATAAGCAAGTTTGCGGCCATAGATCAAGAAAAGATCAGTCTCTTCGATTAAAAAAGAAACTACTGAAGAATCGTGCGCTCAGTCCTGCTCGTGATGTGCCCTCGATCAAGGACATTCTTGGTCGTGGCCACAGAGGAAGCGCCGGTGGAGATTTGTCGCCTCGTACTTCATCTTATTCGATGATGCGTCCTCAGCGTCCATCTCTGCCAGTCTCATCTGATCTCAAGGTTCCCGTCTCACGAAGAAATCACCTGAGTTCTGTGTCGGAACATCCTGCTTTTAACTTTGACGGAGTCGATATTCCGCTAATCCACGATGCAGAGTCAGTCGATGATACTCCCAGAAATTCAATCAATGAGCTCAAAGAACAGAAAACGATCTTGAGCAGTGATAAACAGAGGTCGAAGGTTTGAGCCTTCTGCCCTCCTCAAATTGTGGGAATGAGCAATATGCTCTGTTACTAATAACGCTATTTATGAACCTCGAGCCTTGTATGAAATATATGAATGCCATTTATTTTTCTTTAGACGAACTGCTTTGATCCTCAGGTTTGTCGCCGGAAATCTTTTTGAACTTGTTGCTTATCGTAGAATTGAAAGCTCCACCCAATGCCGACGCATTGGCCCCAATCCTTTCGATCACATCCGGAGTAAGAAGTGCAACCAGTTGGAGCGCTAAAAGTCTCATGGTGTAAACGCATAAATCCTTTTCACATTGCCATATCTGTTCTTCCCTGCGGCGAGCATTGTTTTGCTCTTCCAAATTGATGCGGACCTCTTTTCGTATCTCAGCATCTTCCTCTTCCTCATCATCGTCGTCCAGTTCCATTAAACTTTGCTCCACAGCTTGCGGTGTCACCATAATTGCAGCCACTTCTTCGATTGAAGCACTTTCAGATTCGGACTTTTTAATCTCTGTACCCTTTAATTGTGCCAATTTGCTTTCATGAACCAAAAATGGGAAAAGCAATCCTTGCTCGGTAAGTATATCGATATTCGTAGTTGCATACTTTCCAAGCTGGTCATATGCGAACAAATCATCGAAGCCTGTGAATTTCATATCCTTGCATTTGAGGTAAAAGAAACGAATGGGAATAAGGAGATCAATCAACTTGGAGCCTAGAAGGGTACTAAGCTGATTCAAAGACTCAAGACATTCTTGGCGGTCCGGGATTGAATTTTGCAAGTTTTGTTCCAGATTGCCAACAAGGAATATGCAATCCCTGACCTGCTCCTGGAGGTTTACTATAGTTGCCAACGATGGCGATAAATACTCGAAAACTGTCAGAAGATCGGTGTCCAAGAGTTCCACATTGTGTAGCGATGCTGCAATTATGGATTCAAGTTGAATTGATGTCACATTCGAAAGGAAGCTCAAACTGGCAAATGCTATTGATGACAAGTCCTGTAAATATCTTTTTGTGTTTTGAGTGTTTTCTATAATCTCTTTCAGGATCGAAATGTCTTTCATGACAACATTCGGTATGGAAAGACAAATAGATTGTGTTTTGATTTTACCATCAATTATAGAGACAATGTCAATGTGTTCACTCAACATGAATAATTTGAGAATACAGGTGGAAATCTCCATTACCTGAGAAAGAGGAGGATTTGCGGTAGTTTCGCATGTTTTGATTAGCTCTTGGACGCCGGTTGCTAGTGACAACGTGACATTCTGTACAACAATTCGAACTTCTGGCGTTGATATTTGAGAATCCTCAACATCTTCGTCTCCAGTTTTCGTATCATATGCCAGAAGAATCACGACAAAGAACACTTTAAATGAATCCAAAACATGGTTTTGAAGTAACTGCTTGGGTTCATACTCGTCGAAAAACATGAGCAAGTCCTTGTTCACGTCGTTGTAAACATGTAGTTGGCCAATCAGTTTGAAACCATTGTACAACGAGCCAAATACCGGAGATGGCCGTAACAACAATGTCCATAATCTAACAAGAATTCCACATTGATCACTGGATTTCACTAATTGCTTGGCAAGCTGGGGTACAAGCTCAACGAGCTTCAATTGAGTTTCTTCCACTGGCTCGGTCAACGCATCAGCATTTTTTTCAAGCTTACGCAACAGAGTAACCTGATAAAGCCACAGTATGCTTCCTAATATATAGAGAGCCACAAATAGTTGGTCTGTTGGCTCACTAATATCAATTAAGCTCCTAAGATATTCAAGCTCAGTATCATCATCTAGCTGAAGAGATGAAGTGTCCATGAGGTAATACTGGATCACAAAGTCCCATGAAACAGCATTAGGCACTTGAGATAGAAACATGAACAAAGTGGGCAAGACTTCATGTATGTCAACCCCATCAACGCTGGCTATATCACGAAGGTAATTGATGATGCACTTCACCTTGATGGCATTCGTGATTGAGAAATTATTCTGGGCCCCAGAATCGGCGTAAGAGTCAATAATTTCTGTAAACTTTTCACATTCTGTATCGGCCATCGCTTTAGTCACGAGGTCCATGAATCGGACCATTTTCTCCTTAGTTCTGGCATCAGTAGTAGAGCCTGGGGTTGCGGCAAAGTATCTCAAGATACTAGTTCCCATAGTCTTTGTTTCCTGGTCATTGAGGAAGCCAATTTTGAGTAGCAGGCAACAAATGGAAGTGGATCTGAGCCGTACCTGGGCGTCGTCATCTCGAGTAGCCATCAGCATCAACTGGCTTTTAAACCGTTCGGTAAATTGGCGGAATCCCGTGTCCAACGTTTTATTACGAGCGGTAGCGTGTTCGTACAATGAAACAAGAATCCTAACCACTTCTGCCCGCACCAGACTCACCGGATCTGATAAGAGCCATCCCAAGTACCTCAAGTAAGACGCTTGAAAGAAATAGTCGGGATACGTGTCTATAGCGTAACCCAAGCTTTTGACACACTCTTGTCTTATCAGGGAATCAAGGTCGCGATATCTATGGATGAAAACAGCCTCTGTATTAATCAAGAATAAACTCTCAATGGTGTTCTTCTGAGCTGTGAACGTGTTAACAGTGAATTGAAGGGACTCCAATGCATTTTTGGCGGTTCTTTTACTGCGTCCTTTTGAAGCATTTGCAAGTTGTCGCAGGGCCTTTTCGAGGGCAGGGAAAATCAGAGTCATCACGTCGCATAGGCTGGATTGCATGGTGAGGACAGTAATCGTAAAAATATGACGAAGTGGTCTGATATTACAAGTTGTAAATGGAGTGCACCATGCAAGTAGATGGGACATAAACTTATCATCATCAAGCATTCCCTTATCGTGAGCAATTTCCACAAGTCTTTCCATGAACTCAATAACATTGTCTCGGAAGAACTTGCGGTCTGGTTGTTTGGATCCAAACGGGTATTCGTGGTAACCCTGTTCTGAAAAAGCTGCAACGATTTCTGCCACAGTTGACGTCTGAGATTCTGTTTCTGTGTCGTGTTCCTGGATCTGAGTTACGCAACCACAGCTCCGGAGCAACAAATTGATAAAATTGGCAATTGCAGCCGCAGGGGTGTCTTCATACTGTTCGAGCCACTGACGAGACTCTTCTTCTACGTTTGATTGTGGGTCCGAAAGCGCTGAAAAAATTGTATTTTCCACATATCCCGGTCCAGCCTCGGCCGCAGTGGTAGGGACCTTTCTTTGAGGTTGTTTTGTGCGCTTAACGGGTTGTTTTTGATGGCTTGTAGCGCGTCGTTTTGCCAGATGTGTTTTTATTTCGTCCTCTGAATCCAGTTCCTGGTAGTTGACGCGTTTGTGTACACGTGTAGCGCGGGGCATTCTGATAAGAAAGCGTACTAGAAACGTGTGCTTGAGCAATTAATGTGGACTGAATAACTATCAAGTAGTTGATCTCAGCATCGCGACACGTCCCGCGTTCATGCCGGCATATAAGCGCGCGGGTGACTTTGCACGTGAGGTGCGAACCCGGCGAAAATTCGAAATAGGTTTTCCAGTTACAACACATCCAATGTCTGCACCAGAAACGGCCACCGCCACGCCAGATGTAGGCGCTAGCGACCACACAGTGAAGCCAGAAGACGGATCTGATTCCGAAAATCCCACAGTAGATATGGAAAGAATAATGTCGTCGTTCCAGGAAAAGGCAAAATCGTACCTCATAGAACAGGCTTCTCACGTTGTTATTCCATCGTTTGCCAAGTGGTTCAACATGAACGAGGTCCACAGCATCGAGAAAAAGCTGTTTCCTGACTTTTTCCCTCAGGAAACTCAGCGCAAGAGTGTTTACAAAACGCCTCAAACATACAGAAACATGCGTGATTTTATGATAAACGCTTACAGAATCAACCCGTTGGAGTACTTGACGATCACAGCTATCCGCCGGAATGTTGCTGGAGACGTGTCCAGTCTCATTCGGATCCACCAATTTTTGGAAAAATGGGGTTTGATCAACTACCAAATCGACCCTCGTACCAAACCAACCATCGTGGGTCCTCAGTACACTGGCCATTTCCAGATCACTCTCGACACACCCAGGGGTCTAGTTCCGTTGCTTCCGGAGAATAGTGATGTCAAACTGGCGGAAAGTTTGCCTACTCCCAAACCAGACGACGCAGAAGAACAAGAAGAAACTCTAGACCATAAGGCCATCCCCTTAAATCTCGAGGTGCGCCGCAACATATACGCTTCTGGGGGTAACTTTGACCCCAAGAATGCCCCGAAAAACATCATTCAGTATTTTTGTAACATATGTGGAAACGAGAGCAGCGAGATTCGCTACCACAACTTGAAGTCCAAGTCCTACGCCAACAACCCCAATGTTACCATGAACAGCGCCAGCGTTTTGTGCCAAACTTGTTACGAGCAGGGTCTTTTCCCCTCCAATTTCCAGGCGGCCGACTTTCTCAAGCTCACCAAGGCAGACGAGGCTAAGCCAGGAATCTGGACCGAACAGGAAACTTTGCTCTTGTTGGAAGCCATAGAGATGTTTGGCAGTTACGATCCTGCCAACAACTCCAATCCTCACATGCTGCTCAATTCCAACGCCAACGGACAATGGGATAAGATTGCCGAGTATGTAGGCACCAAGAGCCGAGAGCAGTGTCTTCTCAAATTTATTCGTCTTCCCATCGAAGACCAGTACTTACCGCAAGTTGTCAAAAGAGAGGAAAAGGTCAAGGGTATCGACCGCAAGGAGTTGATCCAGGATGTGGTTTCTCATATTGTTTCTTCCCAACAAGGAGTGGACACTGTGCGGGAGAACGCTCGTAAAAACAAAGAAGAAATGATCTCAGACCAAACCAATATCATCAACCAAATCATCGAGCTTACCGTCGAGAAAGTCCAGGTGAAGTTAGAGAGAGTGCACGAGTTGGAAAAAACTCTTGTTGAAACCGAGAAACTTTTGAACAACGAGAGAAAGCAGGTACTCTATGAGCGGTGGACCCATTTGGAAAAAATTAACCAGTTCAAGAAAAACCATCAAGATTCAATTACTCCAGAGTTGAACGAACTTCTTTCATCCTTGAGTATTCAGTCCGACATTGTTGAGGTGGAAAAAGCGTTCAGCAATGGACTCAAAAAGCCTCTTGACGGCTCTACCATGGATATCGAGTCTGCCGACAACAACTCAGACGATAGATTACCAGTTAGCGTCGCCGAACCCAAGATGTACCAATTCTGGTCCGCTTGACTAATTGTATCATTTATATAACGAATAAAGTTTCAATAAAATTAATTGTATGAATAAAGTTTTTGTAATGATCATGTATTAGTACCCGCTAAATAATGAACAATTGGCTCGGCTCTATAAACAAGTGTTGGCTCCATGGCATGAACTTTGTGTGTGTGTGTGTTTTAGTTCACGTCATGGTTCGCCAGATTAATCACTGTGACTTCTCCTCAAGGTTCCCCACCTTCTCCACCACCTTTTCCTCAGAAGAAACCGACCGGTTCTCTTCCGACCGGTTTTCCTCTCCAACTCTTTGGTTTCTCACCTTGGCAAACAACTCATCTTTCTCTTGCTGAGAAAGTTCATGTTTCTTCTTATTCTTGATGTGGTACATTGGGTTCAATTGGCGCAACGTCAAGTTTTTGCAGAAAGGCAAGTGACCCTTCTTTTCTTCAAAGAGCATCAATGCCAATGCGACGACAATGGCAATCCAATATACGTTGTAGGAAATAACTGAGCCATAGGTGGCCGAGTTCTGCCATCCCAAAAGTGAATTGAACACATCCCAACCGTTGTCTGTCTCTGGATTGCAACAATTGACATGCCAAACTGACTTGGAAATATCGTAAGTACCAGGACCAGAACCGTTTTCAGAAGCATCTCCACCGGTTTTCTGGTTGTATACGTAGGTCTCGAAGAACCAAATACCTCTGGAGAACAATCCTGCGGCAATCAAGTACAAGATACAAGTGGATATGACCAAGAAAACTTGCAACGAAACGGTGGAACCAGAGTAGTAAAGGGCCATTCCCACCAAGATACCAGCAATTAAACCGACGATAACTGGAATTGGGAACGAGCTGGCTGGACTGTTCAAACCAACACCTCCAACAAACACTACTGCTTCCAAACCTTCTCTCAAACAGGTGATGAAAGGCAAGATAAACATGGCATATTTTTTGGTCCAACGACCAAGGTTGAATTTCTGCTTGGTAGTGTCTTTAACCAATGCTTGAGCCAACTTGACTCTCCATTTTTCCTTCATCTTGTTGACTCTCAACATGGCAATTCCCATAAGCGAGATCAATACCGTTGCAATGATACAAAAAATACCTTCCCAAAGATCCTCTGATTTCGCCCAAATATCATTCTTCAAAGAATAAAAAGCACCAATAAAAGCACATCCAATAATAAGACAAACCACTACCCCTAGCACAGACCCTAGCCAAACCTGTCGCACAAGTTTTTTGTAGACTACTGGGTCTTCACTACTGCCTCCCAAACCTTGTTTAAGAAAAGCAAGTAGCACCGAAACAACCACCACGGCTTCTAACGATTCTCTAAACACCACAAAGAAGATTTGCACATTGAAAACGTTTACCATTGTTGCCTAGAGTCCGTGGGAGAAGACTCTAAATTCGACAACTGCTACAGTGGAAAAAAATTTTCAGTTTTTTCAGCAATTGAAAAGTTGATGGGTTTTTATGTCACCTCGTGCAGATTGTCACTGCATGCCAAGACTTGAGCCTTGCACCTGCAGCAGGCTACACGCCCATGCACCTATACTAAAACTTTCCCAATGGGGCTGGATTCCGGCATGTAGGGCAAAATCCCGCAGGGTAAGCTGTCTGATGAAAATGATAAAATTTTGCAAATTCTTGGCACGGTTCTGCCTGCATTATCTGATCAATTATACTCAAAGATCAGTGAATATTTTGTGGCATGTTAAAGCTACGAGTTGCGCTTTTTGCCACCAGGACCCCAGATCTAATCTCGATCCTAAGCCACCGGGTTCTGGGGCTCAGATTTACGACCAATGATCATAATGATGATGAATAAACTTCCTGCAGGCAGCACCGTGCAGCTCGTATGCCAAATGGTTGCCTGAGGCAGCTGTTTGGCCGGGTAGCAGCCGCACGTCTATGTGCCAAAACCCGCTTCGGCCACGGCCTTTGGCGATTGGCGAGAACTAAAGATTTAAGTGTACGCTCATTATTTGCGAGTTCGGTTTTATGGTGCGGTATTTATGGTCCTTGATGTTTCTAGTGTCTTCTACGGTATTTTTTGGTCCTTCAGTGGTATTTTGATAGTCTATCAATGGCTTTTTGGTTTTTCAATGATTTTTGATGTTCTTCAAGGCTTTTTGGTCGTCTAGACCCTTGGGCTTACTGATGCGGTTCGATTCCTGTATCGTGCGATCCTGTATCGTGCTCGCTGGTTCAAAACCTGCATCCAGTTCACAAGTCTTCCTGTACTTCAAGTATTTCACCAACGAGCACCAAGACACCCTCATGTCATTGAACTACATCAACAACGCTCGCAAGATTCTCTGTATTGGGCGCAACTACGCAGCCCATATTAAGGAGCTCCTGAATGCAACTCCACAACAACCTTTTTTTTTTCTTAAACCTTCGTCTTCGGTGTTGAAGCCGAACTCGGGTCCGTTCCTTGTTCCTCGAGGAGTCGTCGTTCATCACGAGGTGGAAGTGGGTATAGTATTGAACAGGACTCTTCGTGATCTTCCTGACTCGTTCTCGAATGAAGAAGCCCTTGAGTGCATAGAATCGTATGCTTTGACTATCGATATGACAGCCAGAAATGTCCAAGATGAGGCCAAAAAGAAAGGTTTACCTTGGTCCATTGGTAAGGGTTTCGACACTTTTTTGCCAGTATCGCACTCAATTGCAAAGAAGGATATCCCTGATCCATATAAGGTGGAGTTGTCGCTTTCTATTAATGACAAGGTTAAGCAACAAGACACAACCGATCTCATGTTGTTTCCCATCCATCGTATCTTGTCCCACATGTCACGTATCATGACATTAGAAAAGGGTGATTTGATCTTGACCGGTACGCCAAAGGGTGTTGGTCCAGTTGAAGCTGGAGACCATGTCAAGGCGACTTTATCGGTGGATGGAAAAGTGTTGGAAACCATTGAGTTTGATGCTGAACAAAAACCAGGTCCTTATGAGTATAAGGAGATATAGGAAGTGAGCCAAACAAAATTGAAAGTATGGCGTAGCTAAGCCAAAAGTCAGAATAAATATGCAACCAAAATTCTGAATGTAAAGCTAGCGTTAAGTCAATTGATACAATTGGCTTCACTGCTTCGCTGCTTCCCTAAATGAAGACACCCTCCACTGGCGGCAGAAACTGACGTAGAATAATATTCGCTTGGCTCATCACTCGGTGAGAGCTCTCATCCATTGAGTAGCTCTGGGCATACACCACTTCTTTTATTCCGCTCTGGACGATTTTGATGGAGCACGTCAAGCATGGACATGTGTTACAGTATAACACACCTCGCTCATCGGGATGTGATCTGGATATTCGATCTCTGCCAGCTTCCAAAAGTGCGTTTTCTTCGGCATGCAAACAAAGACAAGTAGAAAGTTCCGCACCACTTCCATGGCCCATATTGCATCGCGGACACCCTCCTTCGTTGCAATTGGGCAAGTTACGTGGAGTACCATTATACCCAGTTGCAATGACTCGATTACCTCGAACCACCACACATCCTACTCTCCGTTTCATGCAATTGGAACGAAGAGCTGCCAAGTCCGCGAGTCTCATGAAGTATGAGTCCCATGAGGGCCTCAACCTGGATTTGTCCAATAGTTTGAGTTCCGAGAGTTGCACATATAAATCCTTGACTGACAACGAAGAGTTGATGATTTTGATTTGAGCTTGGTTCATTATTTGTGCGAGCGGGTGTGGTTTCGAGTACAATTGAAGATCACACATCTCTATAAAGCTCGTCAACGGAATTTCCGTCTTGTTTTTAGTCTTCAATCGCAGATGTCTTCTTTGAACTGGAGCATCAATGGACACATGAAGAAAAAAAGGTCTTTTTTGTAACGCTTCCAACACATCCAAGCGCTCCACGTCACAAAGAACATAGTTATCTCGATAGTTTTCTGTCACAAAGTCCACAAGTTGTCCAATGTTGCTGAAAACATTTTTTGGTTGAAGAGACTCATCACCATCGTCGTTTCCAACATCATAATTACCATTTAAATTACCTTTTTCTTCCAAACTTGGCTCCAATAATGCTATGCGCTCAAACCCCTGGAATGTCAAGTACCGAGCCACCTCGGTTTTTCCCGCACAAACGGTGCCAGATATACCTATCAACATCTCTGTACGCGTTCGCACCGATTTCGCTAGTCAGATGTCCCTCAGTATGGGTGTGTGGGTGTCCTCGCGAGCCCCCCCACACAGTTAAATCGCAGCAGAACCTTATTCCTCTACTTGCCACCAATTAAAGCAAGCCGGTACCTTATGCTCTTGAGACTACTTATACTTGTTCTTGTGGCATGTGGGGTCTTTGGAGACAAGCTGCACACTCCGGGGACTTGTGCCATGTACGATAACTGTGGAAAAAAGTCAATTTTTGGTGCTCAGTTGCCGTGTCCCGGACCACTTGAGGCCCAAAAACCATCTTCAGAAGCTAGAGAGCTCTTGGAATCGGTTTGTGGAGCCGAATTCTCTTCTCGGTTGGTCTGCTGTACACTTGACCAATTGAAAAATCTTGAGTCTAACCTCAAAAAAGTCGATCCTATCATCAGTTCATGTCCTGCTTGCCGCAAGAATTTCTACGATTTCTTCTGTAACTTTACGTGCTCTCCAGACCAGTCTACGTTCGTCAATGTCACCAGAATAGGCGTGGCTCAGGATACAAAGAAGGAGATTGTGACGGAATTGAGTCAGTTTGTCGACCCTGGTTTTGCAGAGCAATTCTACGACTCGTGCAAAGAGGTCAAATTCTCAGCGACCAACGGCTATGCTATGGACTTGATTGGAGGAGGAGCCAAGAACTATAGTCAATTTCTCAAGTTTTTGGGCGATGAAAAGCCATTGCTTGGTGGCTCTCCGTTCCAGATAAATTTCAAGTACGAAGTAAATGACGAGGAAAAAGCACTGGGACTCCAATTGAGAACCGGCGACATGAAGAGTTGCAATGACAAGGAGTACCGTTGTGCCTGTTCGGACTGCTCTTTGTCTTGTCCAGAATTACCTGCTTTTGCTGGCTACGATAAGAAATGCTCAGTGGGTCCAATTCCGTGCTTTTCGTTTGCGGTGCTTATGATATGGCTAGCGCTCTTCTTGGCGCTTGCGGGTTACCACGTATACTTGGTTCGAACTAAGGAAGCTCGGTGGCTGCAAATGAACGACATACTTGAAGATGCCGTCAATGCCTACGATGCGACCGACGATACTATCACCACCAAATCCATCCTGCTTCAGAACTCGATTTCGGCTCTACAAGAAGAGCTCTTTATTGCTATCCAGCTGTTTTTCGAGGACCTTGGTTCGTTTTGTGCGAGATTTCCGCTCTTTACCATCGGCGTGAGTTTGGTAGTCACGGTCTTTTTCTCTCTAGGACTTTCCTACCTCGAGTTTGAACAAAACCCTATCAACTTATGGGTGAGTCCTTCTGAACCAGCGCTTCAAAATTTGCAGTTTTTCGAGCAAAACTTTGGGGAGTGGTTCAGAGTTGAACAGATGATTATCTCCACCAAAAATAGCACACCTATTCTCAACTGGGAAAATGTGCGCTGGTGGTTCGAAAAGGAGCAGGAGCTCCAGAACCTTGATGGTGTGCCTCTTGAAGATTTGTGCTTCAAACCATTGGGCGATACTTGTGCAATTGAATCTTTTACGCAATATTTCGGAGGAAACATCGATTATCTCAATGAAAGAAACTGGAAATCAAAACTTCAAGGATGTACGGATTCTCCCGTTACTTGCTTACCCTCGTTTCAGCAGCCTTTGAACAAGAACCTTTTGTTTGATAGAGACGATGTGCTATATTCTGAAGCTTTTGTTGTAACTCTCTTGGTGTCAAGTAATCTGAAAGACTTCAAGTATACTGAAAAAGCAGTGAAATACGAGCATGGTTTACAATCGTGGATATTCAACTTGCAGCAAGAGCGTCCTGATCTTAAGATCGATTTCAGCACTGAGATATCTCTCAAGGAAGAGCTCAATAAATCATCCAACACCGATGTTAAAATTGTGGTTATTTCATATTTGGTGATGTTTGTGTATGCCTCGCTTGCTCTTGGAGGAAAGATCCCGTTGGCTTTTAAAATGAGGTCGTTTGTTGAAACTAGGTTTTTATTGGGACTCAGTGGTATTTTGATCATCATTGTTTCTGTCACTTCTTCAATTGGTTTACTATCGTTTATTGGGCTCAAATCGACACTAATAATTGCAGAAGTTATTCCGTTCCTCATCTTGGCCATTGGAATCGACAATATCTTCCTTCTTGTCCACGAACTCAAGCAGGTAACCAAAAGCAATCCGCTGTCGTCTGTTGAAGAAAATGTATCCAAGACCCTAGCATCGGTGGGTCCTTCGTGCTTAATAAGTGCAGTGCTTCAATTGACGATGTTTCTCCTTGCTACCGTTGTCGATATGCCTGCGGTCAAGAACTTTGCGTTCTATTCAGCCGGTGCTATATTTGTGAACTTTGTGTTGCAAATGACGGCTTTCGTCTCGTTGATGACACTTGACCAAAAGAGAAGCGATCTGGGTCGTTTCGATGTATTTCCATTTGTTCAGTTACCAGTGCACTTGCCAGGAGAGCCAGAAGAGGAAGATATTCACACCTGGTCGTACGATTTTTCCGGTTTCTTTGAAAAATGGTACGCACCAAGAATCTTGTCAAAAACCAGTAAGCCGAAAATCTTGTCGTTTTTTGTGTTGTGGCTCGGAATCTCATTGTATGCTCTTCCCCAGATTGAGCTTGGCTTGGACCAGCGGCTAGCATTGCCTTCAGACTCGTATTTGATTTCCTACTTTGACTCGGTGTATCAGTACTTGAATGTTGGTCCACCGGTATTTTTCGTGTTGAAAAATTTGGACCTTAGAAAAAGGAACAACCAGCAAAAAGTATGTGGAAAGTTCTCAACATGTGCAGAGTTCTCCATATCCAATATTCTTCAGAAAGAGCTGGAAAGAAGTGACCTTTCGACGATAAACGACCCTCCTTCGGTATGGCTAGACGACTTCTTTGGGTGGCTCAACCCCAATTTGGACCAGTGTTGTCGAGTGAACAAAACTAATGTGGATCAGTTCTGTCGACCTGGAGACCCAGAACGTCTTTGTCAAGCTTGCTATGCCAACCATAAGCCACCATACAACATAGATATGTCAGGATTGCCCACTGGAAAAGATTTCATGAAATACTTCAAAGTATGGATTGAAGAGCCCAGCGATCCTTGTCCACTTGGTGGAAAAGCACCATATTCCGCTAGCATTTCCTTGAACGACGACAAGAACGAAATCTTTGCTAGTTACTTCCGCACCTCACATCGTCCACTACGTTCGCAACAGGACTTCATCGATGCCTATTCCAATGCTTTGAGAGTGGTTGACGAGATTCAAATGTATAACAACGTCGATATGTTTGCCTACTCGCCGTTCTACATTTTCTTCGTGCAGTACCAGAACATCGTAATGTTGACGTTTGTTTTACTTTTAGCTGCTGGAATCATCATTTTCGTTGTCAGCAGTCTTCTTCTTGGATCGCTCAGAATCGCAGCGGTGCTCATCACCACCATAGCATTCATAATCGTCAATATTGGCGGAGTTCTCGCCTGGTGGTCCATATCGCTCAATGCTGTGACGTTGGTCAATCTCATCATATGTACGGGGTTGGCGGTGGAGTTCACTATCCATATCACAAGAGGGTTTATGATGGCTGCGAAATCCAACGGAAGTGGAAATTTGTCTCCCGCCGTTTCGCCTGCACATGCCACATTGGCTACCACGGGAGGCACCGTCCTCAGCGGAATCACAATCACAAAGTTGATTGGAATCCTGGTATTGGCATTTACAAAATCCAAGATTTTTGAAGTATACTACTTTCGAATGTGGCTCGCATTGGTGGTAATTGCTGCTGTTCATTCACTTTGTTTGCTCCCAGTTCTTCTCAGCTACACCCAAACAGACACACCAGTGCAGGACGAGAGTCTGGATGCAAACACCGAAGCGGTGGCTCGATACGGCAACGATGACTGAAGCTGGCTCTTCTCATTTTTTGACGATAGTTTGCCGAGCCGCGCGTGCGCCGCGCGGCGCCGCGTAACCAGCCGCATCTCGAGGTACTGCTGGTTATTGTCCTGCACCCGATTTGTTGGTGAGTGACCAAACTTGGAAAAACCGTCAAGAGTTAAGACAACTAAAAATTTGGTTCTTGAATTTTTGAACTATCTACAACTATGTCTTACGTACACACATTCAAATGGTAAGTATTCAACTGTTTAGGCATGCAATCAAAATAGTAGATTATTTTGCCTTATAATCCTTTTTTTTGAAAGGCGGAGAACCAATTTTAGGGAGTAAACTTTTGATTTTTTGGCACATTTTTGGGCTGATAAGTTGCGTGGAAGAGTTGTTTGTGCTTTAAGAGGGCTTACTATTATAAGGATTGCTTTATTGATGGAAAGAAATAGCTCAATATGTGGAAATTCATGGTTTGAGATTGAGATGGGTTCGCTCTTTTCGCCACACTTTTGACACTGTCTTGTTCCTTCAAAGTTAGCAACCTCATTATGCTGTTGCAAGACCTTTTCAGTCTTCTAGAGATCAGGACTGGACTCAATTGAGTGCCGGTCCTCCTCTTCACATGAACCCGGCGCTTATCCCTAAACTGTCTCCCCACTTTTCGGTCTTTACTAACCACAGGCCAAAAGGACCCGAAGAGGTCATTCTTACTGGTACATTCGACAACTGGTCCAAGTCGTTGTTTTTGGTAAAACAAGCCAATGGCAGCTTTGAATTGACTGTGCCATTGCCATCGTCCAGTGGTAAACTCCTCTACAAATACGTTGTGGATGGTGAATGGAAGTTGTCGCCAGACGACAGAATTGAGAAGGATGAGAGTGGTATCGAGAACAACGTTTTGGAAGAATCTGATTTTACTACTGCCTCGAAGGGTTCCGCTATTCCTGAGGCTGGTGGACTTGCGTACACCCCCGCTGCTCAAGGTGAGGCTAAGGCTACTGTTATGCCCACTTCTGAGCCCAAGCAGCACAGTGTTGCTGGAGAACCTGGTATTCATGTTCCCACCGACCCTGAAGCTTTGGCTGCGTTTTCTACTGTTCGTGATGTTGATGCCAAGGCATTGAACGAACGTGAGCTTACGCCTGAAGAAAAGAAGAAGCAGAAGAAGAAGGTGAAGAGAAGCCAGTACAAGGCCAAGAAGAAGAATAAGGCTGCTGCTGCTGGTGCGGTGAACAACGGCGAGGGAACTACCGAGGACACTTCCGAGTTCAATTCCACCCCAGAGCCAGATGCTGCTACCAAGGCGGTTGAAGAAGAAACTGCCAAGGACAAGAAAGCTGAAGAAGTTCTCGGTGCTGCCGCAGTTGGCACTCTCACAGCTGGTGCCGCTACTACTTTGGTTTCGCAGGTTCCTGTAGACGACGAAGCCACCAAGAGGGCATACACTGAGGACCCAGAAGCTGCACCAGTGTCTGAGTCTGTTGGCACTCAAACTGCCGCTGAGTCTGCTCCAGTGACTTCTGAATCAAAAGCTTCAGCTTCTGAGCCAATTGCTCCCGTTACTGCCAAGTCGGATGTAACTGGCTCGGAAGCTCCAGTTACCTCTGAAACTTCAGCTACTCCTATCGACGAGCCAGTCACTACAAAAGAAGAGCACAAGCCTTCTCACACCGGCGCTGCCTTGGGTGCTGGTGCACTTGGCGCTGGAGCTGGTGCGGCAGGAGTTACTGCTGCTTCTGAATCGTCAGCACCCGAAGTGTCTAAAGCACCAGAGGTATCTAAAGATGTTTCAGCACCAATTTCTGGCCACAAGGATACCCCAGCGTCTGCTGCTGCTACCAAGGATACTTCTGTGACCGAGCCGGTTGCTGCTGCTGTCATCCCTGTGGAAGACAACTCCAAAGATCTTGCTGGCGGAAGCGCACTTTCACCAGTGAGCCCTCCTCAGGAAGTTCACACATTAGATCCAAAGGCCCAGGCCACTGACGCATCTCACCCAGCAGAGAAGGAGGTGGCAGCTTCACCCGTTGACAATTCCGATCTTCCAGCTGCTACCCCTGTCGCTGCCGCTGGTGCTCCTGAGCACATTGTCAAGGCTGAGCACATTGTCAAAGAAGTTACACCTGGTGAACCTAGCAAAGTCATTGAAGACGAAGAGATAGTGATTGCTCAAGGCAACGGCAGCAAGAAGGAGATCGAAGCTGCTTTGGCGGGACAAAATGGAGATGTGACTCTCGAAGAAATCCAGCCTACCAAGTCTGAGGCTGAAAGATTGAAGGAGGAAGCTCACATATCCGAGACCACTTCTTCCAAGAGCAAGACTAAGCCTGCCACCACCGATGCAGCTGCTAGTTCCGGGTCTCCAGCCAAGAAGACTCCTGCCAAGACAACTCCAGCCGCCAAGACAAGTAGTAAGCCAACCAAGGAAGAAAAGAAGAAGAAGGGGGGCTTTTTGGCCAAGTTGAAGAAGATCTTCAACTAGACGTGCGGGGCCGTTCATGCCGTAATTGATACCCTGGTAATGAGTGGCGTATGTACTATTTAGGTAACTTGTGTTATAACAGTATTATGAAGTAAAAGCGGATCCAACCGATAAAGAAGGTGGATTCATGTATTCACATGTTGCAAGCCACTGCTTGACTGAATCATATAATGTCATATCAATATATTTAGTATCATATTCATATCATATCAATATGATTTAGAACATATTACTCCGTTTAGTATTTTTTAGTATCATATTAGTCCGTGTAGTATAATTTAGTATCATTAGTACTTATTAGTCTCTATTCTCACATTTTCTCATTTACAATATTTTGAAATTTCGCTCTTTTCTATAATTCCAGATTTCGTTTTCTCCTACAACTTCAAATCACTTTCGTCTATTATACATTACATCTACCTGGCCTCAAACTGCACCATACGTCTTGTCCGGGACTTGTATATCACCCTATGACCGCATTCTTTACACCGTATAGCATCGCTCTTTCCCAAAGAAAACGAAGTAGCACATTGAGCACAGTTGTATTTGACCCCCAAGGACTTGTTGGTGACCTGACCGTGTGCAGCGTGTGAGATGGACGCAGGGGCGGTGAAACCCTCTCTTTGTGGCGAAGACATCTGAACAGTTAATGAACAAGAAATTCAGTGATGAGAAATTGGTAAAAATTCGGGCTGTCTGCAGGAACGAGTATACGGTCTTGAGATTTACCGATGCCAACGGCGTGAATTTACTCGATTTGTGGGGCCGGAATGGGAGATGAATAACATCAAGGATGCGATAAGCAGAGTGAGCCGGTCCATGCGCATGGTGGAATACATGCGGGAGGATAAAGTGGGCTCGAAGTGGACCAAAAATGGGTCTACTGGAGCTGTAGAAAGCAAAGAAAATCGAATAATACGACCGCCTCAAACCAATTTGTCGAAGAAAGAGCTCCAAAAGAGGAAAAAGCACCTTAATGGGTACCAGCGTAAGGTGTTTCAGGATTTTTTGAAACCGGTAAACATTCCCAACCTCAAGATATTCGAGCCTGAACCTCGTCCTTTTGATGCTGATTTGGCAAAATCAAATTGGAAGGCTAAAACAAGCCAAAATAATGTTATGAGATATAACTCGTTCTTGGAAAACCGGATGGCTTTTACAAAGATGTTGGATTTGCTTGTGGAGCTCACACCGGCTCATCTATTGGAATCAGCCAACGACCAGGATTTGAGTCGAAACACTAAAAGTGAAAACCACCCAAAATCGCCTCGGTACTGGTTTACAGAATTACCACCAATGCCAGAACCGTTGACACTGGAAAGTTTTAAGGACTACATTTACTTTTTGACACATACTAAAGTGCTCTACAAGAATTCACTGTCGTTGATGAGTGGCCTAATTCCAGATATACTATTGTACACACACAAACCGACCAACACAAAGTACAAGCTGGTGCGTTCGACAGATACATACAACTACTTGATCAAGTACTTTGGGTTTGACAAAAATCAGAGCTCGTTTGCGCGAGAATTACTTTTGGTGATGAAACATGATGGCCATCAAATCAACATCGACACCATTAACAACTTGCTAAAGCTCTGCCTGATCCACGCCAACATCAGAACCACAACTAATACCCACCACATTGTCATTAAGTACCTCAGGTTGAGCAAAGAACTAGGAATTGAAATCAACTTGAAAACATGGACTCGAGTCTACGATCTGATCAAAAACATATTTTTCAAGGAGATGTTTATTAGCAAGCTAGGCACCATTAATCTCCCCATACTACCGTCGCTTGGGCTTCGAATTTTAGAGGATTTCGGCGAAACCACCAAGAATACCGAAGATGTGATCACCTTCATCGAAAGCGATTTGCGCCTAAAAGACTGGCAATCTCATGCCAGATTCAGCAACAAGGTTCTATTCCACAGAGCAAAGCATGTTGCTGAAGACCAACTTGATGACTTTTTCAACAAATTTTGCACGAATCACACCCAAGGCTGGGACGACCATTCTCCTCGTTATGTCTTGCAAGGTTTGCAACAGAACGCTAATATCGAAGAAAAGTTTTTGGTCATGCTTGGAGTGTACTGTCGGCTTGTCACGAGTGCGTCTGAAGAAGCACCAGAAGTATTTCAAAAAATTCTTCTGGTTCTCTTGTCCAACAAAGAACAATATGACTACGAACAATTGAGCCACATTTTACGCGGAGTGATCCACGATGCCACTACCAAGCTAGTACTACCCAGTGAAGTGGGGGATGGAAGCGGCAAGCCAGAATCGTACAAAATTTTGCGCCGGATGGTTGGGCTGCAAATGAACCAGTTTGAAGGTATTTTACAAGAAAGTGCCAGCAACCCTATTCCAATCCACGAGCCATTGAGTGGACCAGAAATAGACATGTGGCATGAATTAAGGAAGAAAATATGTCAAATTAGGATTTCTAGAGGCGAAATCGAAAAATTACTACAATTGGTCAAGAAGCCGCAACTTGCAGATGGGAAAAAATATCAGCATGTTCAACGGGGCAAGATCAACGATGCCCGGGCCAGACAGCGAGTGTCACGGCTCGAGATGGGATTGGAAGAGTATGTGGAGCAAGAAATGAAAGTTCGGAACTTGTGACCGTTTTGACCAATCGGTCGGTTGGGTGCCTGGTTCTAGCGGGACCCTGCAGGAGAAGCCTCGGGCACCTTCCGAAACCGGTGCGGTAATTGAAATAAGCAGCAACTACCGATTAGCGGCGTGCGCGGCGTGCAGGAAGAGGGCAGCATGGCGCATAGAAACCCCGATATGGGATGGGCTTTGGGGCATCATCAAGATACAAATGGATACGAGAGATCGGAGCTTTTGAGATTTTTCTTCGGTGGTGATTTTCCAGTAAAAGTTTTGCAATTGTTGGTTGCGCAACAACTCGGATTTTTCGGTCCGCATTGCTCGGTTCAACTAGCCCATATTTCCAACAAGGCATCAAGATAGCCCAATTCGGCAAGTGGTGTTTAAACTATTGTAGTTGTGGAAGCACGAGGTTGTTATCTGAGACAACCGATTTAGTTGTATATAACCGCCCCATATCGAAAACATCATTTCTTTTCAACTTTGTAATTGGGGGCTGTTGGGTATTTTGCGGTGTGCATGGATCCCGGTTTTAACTTTGGTATTCATATTCTTGGCTTTTGAGTGCGTTTTTTTCCATTACATCAGTGCTCATTTTGTTGCTCGATTCTCAATTCGCTATTCAAGGCTAAAGAACATTTCACAAAACTACCCTATAAAGCCAAAAAGTGACCACTACAACGTTATCACAACGTTACCACATCGTCACCATACCATACAACTTCATACCACCAATAATTTTTCATTTTCTGGCATCGCACTGCTATTTATAAATCACCCCTGGCGACATCTCCTCCCCTAGTGGATAGCCGATTCCTTTCTGGCACGATGAACCCGACGATATTGATGCTCCAGGTGTTGTTTCTCGTCGTGGGGGTTGTGGGAGATGGACTTACCCTTGCAAAGTGCTCTTCATCGAACGTTGCTGGAGGCTCTGGAACCTACTATCAATTCAATTCCAATGGAAAATGCCACGATACTTGTGAAGGTTTTGGGTATACGGTGGCAATTGTCCAGGGATTCTACTGCTGGTGTGCCAACGAGGCGCCGGGCTCGACGGTTTCGTCGTCAAAATGTGACACATCATGTCCTGGATACCCTGCGGAGATGTGTGCGGGAAGCGGCTACTATGGATATATTTATATTGACGGAGAACCGAGCGAGACACAGCAAGAGACAGAGACACAGAAACAAACTCAGCAACTGACCCAAACGCAGAAAACTCAACAACTGACACAGCAACTGACACAAGATCACCAGACAGAAACCGAGTCGCCATGGCCCGACGATGCATTTGAATCGGCGCTGAAATCACCAAGCACAACCAGTACTTCCACCACTTCAACCTCGCCAACTTCCACTTCCACTTCAAGTACTACAAAACCTTCAACCCCCACCAGTTCCACTACTTCAACCCCCACCAGTTCCACTACTTCCTCCCCCACAAGTTCCTCCACGGAACGCCCACTCCGAGCAACAACAGTCTACTCCATCAAAACCGTCAAAGGCGAACAAACAACCACCGTTTATACCCAATGGGCCACCGAGAGTGCTAATGAAACCAGCGGTTCGGCAAGTGGTTCGTCCAGTGGTTCAGCAACTGGCTCGGCCAGCGGCTCGAGTGGCCCCGCCAGTCTCTCAAACCGCCCGGCTAGCTCAACCGGCGCCGATAGCAGCTCTTCGGCTCCCAGCCAGAACAAGAGTTTTTTCGATTCCAAAGGAAAAGTTGCTGGAACTTTCACCGCCGTGGGCGTGGTGGTGGTGGGGCTTCTTGCGGGGCTTCTCTACTGCTGCTGCTGCCTTTCTCGCCGAAACGACGACGAGTCGTTTGACGAAGAAAACCAGTGGTCCAGCGACGACAATTCGTCCGCCAACGAGAAAGGGGTAGCATTCGCTCCTGCCACAGCCACGTCCAAGCATCTGTCGATGACCTCGACTCTGCCGCTCAAACGAGATAATTCCACTCACTCGATTCGGCTGCTTCTCAACCTGCCTCAAACCGCACTCTTGGCACGCAAACTGACGAAAAAGAAACTGGCGCCGAGAAGCAGACTGGACCTGACTGCCAGCAATCCCGGCACCCAGCTTCTGGGCGGCCTCATGTTCCCCATCACCGAGTTTGACTCGAGGCTAGACTCGCGAGCCATGTTCATGGCCCAGAACGAGTCGAAACAGACGTTAGGCGACGAGAACGACTACTCACGCCGGATCCTCACGGTTACCAATCCAGAGTGACCACTATCGTTAATTACGTCGCTATATAGTTTTATTGAGGTACTTTGGACTGGTTTTTGTAGTGGGGCTGGTGCTCGTAAGCATTGGGTTTTGAATCCTCGGTGTCAGAGCCATCGCTCGACGAGTCACTTGAAGAACAAGATTCACACGACGACCCGTCGTCAAACTGGCGCTGCGGATGGAAAATACAGCAAATTTTGGTCTTTTTCTTGTTCATATGCTCATTATCTACAGTGTCTTCTGTCCATCTGACCAGAGGTTTTTTCTTCAGTTTGCGCTTAGATGGTCTGAGATGAAGTATGGGAGACGCGCTGGTTTCTGTGGTGGTCTGGGTGACGCTGGAAGTGCCTTGTGGACGCATTTGTGATGAACCTTGTTGCGCCATAAATTAAGATTGAACCACTTGATTTGCCGCAACAAATGTCAGCGCGCGCACGGACACTACTTTGAGTCCTCCACCACAGCCAACCCAATCACAAATCCCTCTCGGTGGCCAAGCTGGCTAAGGCGCGAGACTGTAACTTCTAAGTAATCTTGAGATCGGGTGTTCGACTCACCCCCGGGAGATTTGTTCTGCCTTTATGGCCAAGTTGGTAAGGCACCTCACTAGTAATGAGGAGATCGTCAGTTCGAATCTGGCTGAAGGCAATTTTTTTGGGATGCTGTGCTTCACCACAGCTGACACAAAGCTACCTATCTTTTTAGCGAACATACACTACACTACTCCATCTATCTAACTCCCTACTCACCATTAACCATGCCACCCTCTTCTTAACCTCATTACCTCATCACCACACATGTCTGACATAGCCCTCCTGCATGTCGGCTCTGGCATACAGCACCTTGGCACAATGTCTTGGCATCCGCAATAAAAGACTCCCGCTTTGCTCATCATTCGAAACGGCATTTTTTTAAACTTGGACGCTGCTATTACATTTTTTTAACCTGCTACCACTCCCAAATATTGATATCCACTCCTATAACTTCCAGGATACCGTAAAACTGTTTTATTAGTCCATTTCACTTTTCGCAGCAAACTGGCAATGAACTACAATCTCCACCCAGTTTCGTATCTCAACGGAGATCGCATGGCAGAAGAAGCCGACGTGGACGGCATGTCACCCTCCGCTTCTTCGCAAGGTAATGACTCTCCACAGTCGTCTTTCACGTCGCAATCGTCGGCAAACTCACCCATCCATCAAGGCAAAAATCACTCCACAAATATGACTTTTGAGCCACTTGATTTCTATCCCCACGACGCCAGTGGTGCTCAGCGTGGACACGGCGACACGTGGAAGCCATATCCGGCTGTAGAATTGCCAAACACCTCCCAAATTAACGGTTCTAGACCCGCTCCAAGCACTGCTCACGAACCGGCCACCGCCACCGAAAATGCCAACGAACACAACGAAAACGCCAAATCAAAGAAAACATACAGAAAAGTGCGCAGCGAGGACCTCCAAGGTCCATTCCAGTGCCGCTGGGAGGGCTGTAACGAAGTTTCCGAGACACCAGAATTGCTCTATGACCACCTCTGTGATGTCCATGTGGGCCGCAAGTCGTCCAATAATCTCAGTCTTACTTGCCACTGGGAAAACTGCGGAATTTCCACCGTCAAAAGAGACCACATAACTTCACATCTTCGTGTCCATGTTCCACTTAAACCTTACCATTGTGATGTGTGTCCCAAGAGTTTCAAGCGTCCTCAAGATCTCAAAAAGCACCTGAAAATCCACTCCGAAGACCACTCGCGTAACAAAAAGAGAGGCTCTCGTGACGACTCACCCATCCATTCTGCTGGCTCTTCGGTTCCTCCAATGTCCCAATACCCTGTTGCAAATTATAGCCACGGAAACATCCCACCATACGGTCCTATTCAAGGCTCCTACCCACAACCCACATCTGCATCTTACCTTGGGAACGACCCATCTCGCAAGAGAAGGGTGGACCAGAGTCAGATGGCAGGCTACATTTTGAACGACTTTTTCGGCAGTCAGCCCGACCAAAAGAAGATGCGCTATGGCGGTGAACCTCAGTATAATCTCGAGATGTTTGGTCGCCTCAATCTGCTTGAAGATCAGCTCGAGTTGAACCCAAGGACACCAGCAATTTGGGGCTCCAGCACCTGGTCCTTCATTCAACAATGCTGCAAATCTTCAGGAAGCCGAACGGTTTTTCGGCTCCTTGTCCAACTCGATCGACTTACAGTATCAATCCATGCACGATGCACACCATCACCATCCCTCACACCAAACCTCGGCGGTTCCACAACAATTGTACCCAAGCTTACCACAACCTAAAATGGACCCATACGCTAACCAATACGGATCGTACAACTATGGATTTCCACAGGTCAACAGACAGGTGGGTCAAAGCTACGGCGATGGTATGGTTTCCATGGAGTTTGGCGGAGTCAGCGCCCACCAAAAGTCAGGAAAGAAAAACGACGGTACCGAAGAGGCTGTGGCATCGTTGGGCAAGCTTTCGCTCTCCGACTCAAAGTCTGAAACCAAATCCTCTGACTCGAAGAAACCAGCCGAGTTTGATATCGAGGACGTTCTCAAACATAAGGCGCTCGTTGACATGGTTGTAAGTTACTTGAGAGACTTGCGTGATGCTGAAGAAAAGAGCAATTCGGAAAACCAGCCAAAGGCATCCGAAAACAAGCTCTATCCCACCATCACTGCATTCTAATTTATGTGTTCATGTTCCATTTCTTTTGTTCTCATGTGTATTCTAAATATATTTACAAGGTTAATCAAACGCTCGCTTGATCACTCCAGATCCCAAGACCTGGCTATCTTTGTACAAGACCAAGTTTTGGCCGGGTGCCATGGCTCTGGCTTTCTCTTCTAGCTCTATTTCAAGGCTGTCAGCTTTTGGCACAATCGCCTTGACTTTTAGGGGAAATTGAAGCGACCGATACTGAATGTGGTAAGGCATATCGGCAGCTTTTGCAACATTTTTTTCGTCGATCCAAGTCCAGTTTTCCGCCAAGACTTTGCTATTGAAAAGAGAAGGGTGGTTTCCGCCTTTAACAATCACCAACTCATTCGTAGCCTGTCTTTTTTCGCTCACAAACCAAACCCCTTTGTAATCGGGATTTCCCTGCGGCATCGATATTCCCAGTTTTTGGCCAATGGTAGCATGCCAAAGTCCCTGGTGCTGGCCCCAGATCTTGCCATCCTCGGTCACGATATTCCCTGGATTGGGCTCTATATATTCATCGAGAAACTTGCGGAAACTGTTCTCTTCTTGCGACACAAAACAGAGACCTTGGGAGTCTGGTTTGGAAGCAACAAGAAGATTCAAGTCTTTGGCGATCTGGCGAACTTCTGGCTTGGTCATATGGCCTATAGGCATGAGAACATTCGACAAAATCGAATATGGAACCATCGAGAGGTAATAAGACTGGTCCTTGTTGGGATATAGTCCACGCAATAGACTGAATCTTTGAGTATTTTCGTTTTTCATAATCCTGGCATAGTGACCCGTGACGAGCCACCATTTTCTGTCTTTCCCCAACATGGCTCCAAGATGCTCGACCATCTTGCCAAACTTGACATATTTGTTGCAGCCAACATCCGGATTGGGTGTCAAGCCTTCTTGATAAGCGGAGATCATTGGCTGGAAAACGTCGCTCCAATATTCTCTCTCGAAGTTGACACGCTCACAAGGGATTTGAATCTGCTCACAAATTCGTTGAACATCTTTCCAATCGGCTTCGGTGCATTTTGCAGTCTGGGACCAATTCGCCATATAAATTCCTCTAACATTTTTGTATTTTTTTGCATAGATTGCGGCCGCAACAGACGAATCTACCCCTGAACTCATCGCCACCACGATTTCATCGTCTGAATCGGGTTCTTGTTGTTTGAAATGGGATGGAAGAATATTGTAGTCTTCATAAGTAAGCAAACTTTTCCATCTTTTGAGCCCCAAAGGCACCAAATATTGCTTGTAAGGAGATAGGAATGATGGTTGTCGTATCATATAGTTATAAATTTGCAGGTATTTGTGTAGTGACCATTGTAGGTGGAAAAGAAAGTGATGAGATTTTGAAGATGTAATCGCATTTTCTCACCGCGCTCAAAGTTACTCCCATGCAACTCACAATACGTAAATGGTCCCTTGGCCCAGTTGGTTAAGGCGTGGTGCTAATAACGCCAAGATCGGCGGTTCGATCCCGCCAGGGACCATTCTTTCTTTTTTCGCATTCTTTTTGGCGGTTGTGGTGCTGGCCTGTGACGCTCATACCGTCGCGGGGAGTTTTTCCTCAAATAAGGGCGTGTGGCGTAGTTGGTAGCGCGTTCGCTTAGCATGCGAAAGGTCTCCGGTTCGACTCCGGACTCGTCCATTTATTTTTTTTCAGTATTTAGGCTGATTTTTTCGTTCAATCGTCATTGCGGTGCTGATCTGCTTCATTTGGCGCTCCACGTCGGTCCAGAACTCGTTTTGTTCAATCGCTAGCGCGGTATACCGTTCCAACACACACATATTTTTCACGACGAGCCAATGGAAGTCGCTTGTGAGCTGCTTGATTTGCTTTTCTCGCCTCAATAGCTTGTTGCGGTCACTGCCAAGGTTGCGTGTCTTGTCCAGCAACGACGAAATATTGTTAATTAGCCGTGAAATGTCCATATTACTGAGCTCAATGAGATTATTATAGGCGGTTTTTACTTGGGGATATTTTAGTAGAAGAACCTTTTTCTTCTCTTCAGCAGTCAATTGGCCACTTTGGGTGTCTACAGGTGCCCTGGGTTCGTTCAGAAGGTTCAATTGTTCTGTCAAAGTTGTCAATTTCTTGATTTCTGGTCGCGTTTCATACAATTTATGAAGGTCTCTTTGTAAATATTTGACCTGATTTTTGAGATCAGCACTATCTTCGTCATCACTAGAGGCCCCAACTCGGAGCTCGAGGTCGTCTAGTCGACGCAAAAGCGCATTCGCTGTAGTGGGGTCCATCAAAGGTAAGGAGCAGTTGATTTTGTTCTGTCGCATTTTGACAGCTTCCATGCAGTAGCGGTTGCATATTGCAGCCATTATTTATTCATATATACTCGTGGAAACGATGGCAATTTGCGTCTTGGGCTTATCCGCCTTGTCAGTTTTTGCATTCTCAATGGCTTGAACAACTTCCTTGCCTTCTACAACTCGTCCGAAAACAGTATGCTTATTATCAAGATGCGGAGCCGAAACAGTGGTGATGAAAAATTGGGATCTGTTCGTGTTTGGGCCAGCATTGGCCATGCTAACCATGTATGGTTGTGAGTGGCTGAGGTCCGGGTGGAATTCATCGTTAAAATCGCCTCTAAATGAAGAATCTCCTCCGGTTCCGTCACCTTTAGGATCGCCGGTTTGGATCATAAATCCTTTAATTACTCGGTGGAAAATGATCTGGTTGTAGTATCTGGTCTTACACAACAGAAGAAAGTTTTCTACCGTCCTGGGAGCCTTGTCTTGAAAAAGAACCAACTTTATATCGCCTTTGGTGGTATGGAGAGTAACCAGAGGATTCGGTTTTTTTGGTGATTTTTGTTCGGTCAGCTTTGAACCTGTTTGTCCAAAGACATAGAGCCTAGATGTGTTTATCGCAGATGCCACAACCACCGGGTTCTTTTCTAGTTTTTGGTTAAGCAAGGTATTATTTGAAGTCAACATTTCCGCACTCAATCCACTCATGTCTGATGCCCAACACCATACAAATTTGTCGAACACTATATTTTGTAGCCGTTGGTCCTGCTCTCCCAAAGTCTTCAAAACGGCACCGTTTTCAATGTCTAGAAATTCAATTCCTCTGGAACCGGTGTATGCTAAAATTGGAGTATTTGTACCAAAGACAATTGTCGGACTGTACGAGTCAAATTTCAACATGGGAGAAACCCAGTTTTTTTCTTGTATAACCTTGCAAGACTTCATGGAAAAGATTCTGAGCTTACTATCAGGAAGACTTATAGTTGCAAAGTAATTCTCGCTAGGAGAGACGGCAAGGTGAGAAACCACAGATTTTACTTTTTTCAAAGCAAATAAATCTGTTTGGGATTTATACTGAAACCCAACCAGACTGGGTATATTGCCGTTCTCGTTCCAAACTTCAATAATTCCGTTCTCATCCAGAGATATAAAGCACTGAAATTTGGTATTGAAGACCAAGTAATTTATGCGACTTTTATGCATCGATTTGACTTCTACTTGAACGTCATCTTCGGGATCAACAGATACAACTCTCGAAACCTCATTGGATAGCGTGGTCACCATAAGCTTTCGTTTTGTAGTGTCTCCATACCAGCAAATATTTTTGGGCACGAATCCTAAATTCACAGATTGGATCATGTCCATAGTCACGAGATCATATATCTTTGCAACCATGTCGCCCTCTGCAATCGAAACTGCACGAGTTCCATCAGAAGACAAATTGAGCCCATGAACAGCCTTTCCAGGGTGGGCAACATACGATTTTATCAAGTCTAGCTGGTTCTTGTTCTTGTGCCAAAATCTCACGGTGCCATTTTTGAATGCTCCAACTACTAAAGAGTTGCCTCTGTAGTTTTCCAAGACCCTTAAAGGCGAATCTTGATCCTCTGAATGTGTGATTCGATCCAGCAGAGGTATTATGTTCTCGAAGGTGTCGAAACGACGCTTTTTTTGCAGCCTTTTCAAGTCTGAATTTACAGGGTCGTTCTTTTTTTCGTCGTTCTCGTGAAATTTCTCTCCTTCGTGCTTTTCCAAAGATGGTCCAATGTATTCATCGTCGCTATCTGAATCTTCCAAATCTCTCTTCATGCTGCAGCATGCAATGCGTGTATCAATATGCACAGAACTCCAGTGACCAGCAGATGGGTTGGTTTGATGCACATCACTGCAGGTGCATCAGTGCGAATGCAGGTGAGACGCATTGGGATGAGTTGCAACCTTAAAAAATGCACATTTATTCAGGCCCACTGGACCCTCCTACACCATTATGTACCCATTCCCGCATACTCATGGGTCGCGATTGCGATCTACTGGTTCGCCGCTGATCTACAGCTGGCTTTTTTTCGTCTATAATTACCGGAGTGGTGGTGATCAGCGCCGGAAAATCGTCGGCGTCGCTCTCCTCGCTCTGCGGCAGCCCCATAACTTGAGCTAGTTCATCTTCAAGCGCCTTGAAATCGTCATCGACATCGTCATCGACATTGCCATTTTTTTGGTTGATTTCCAGAGAATTTTCGTCTTCGAAATCGATCACAGGAAATCCGTCCTCGGGGTCGGAATTGAGACTATCAAAGTCAGCCTCATCTATAATAACATCTTGCAGGTCTTCTGACTTTGGAGGATTTTGGACCAGTTTGTGGACCGTTTTTTGCACCAGTTTTTGTGGTGGTTTTTTGCTTGCTCGTTTGCTAGCTGTTGTCGGCCTATTTTGAGGTACATGGTTCTCTGGTGGCAGATCCTTCTTCGCAGACATCCACAGCTGCAACTTGTTTTCGGTTTTACCAGCATTTCGGGTTTTGCTGACTTTAAGTGTTCGTCCAAGTCGATTTAACTGTACTGGTTTCCCCTCGGAATATGATAAAAAATATGTTTGAGCACCCACATTATGTGCCTCAGGATGGGTCTTGAGAACAGTGCCCTCAAAAAGGATGGACTTTTGTATATCTGTCAGAGGAACTTCCAAAATGCATTCCCTGCCAAGCTCGTATGCCTTGACGGGCTGATTTCGATCCACCGTTGGGGGTACAAACTGGTATCTTAGACCCACAGAGGAGACGTCTGCCACATCCTGTGTCAAGATGGACAAATCCAAATCGTATTCTCCGTCAGGAATTGACATTGATTTATAAAGAAAAATGGCCCCAGAATGTTGAGAGGTCGCCCCGCAGGATGCACCGTTTTGCCTGCACTATAGTCGGAATTTGGACTCGAAAGCCTGCATGCGCCTGCATACACATGCATTTTCAAAGTACAATAGCACACATTTTATGCAGTAGAATCGTTACGGTTTCGATCACAACACCTCTTCGAATATGGGTGATTCGGTATCGGTGTTGCATCCGAAAGTACTCTTGGTTTCTGCCGGCTTCACCACCTCCCTTTTTGTTGGCTTTAATTTGTACAGAAGGTACTGCAGACGCATCAGAACCTACCTCGACTTGACTCCATCGATCTTGGACAATCAACGTCAACTTTATGGAAAGGTTACGAGAGTGGGCGACGGTGACAATTTTCGGTTCTATCACACACCAGGAGGCATTTTTCTAGGTTGGGGCTGGTTGCGCAAAGTTCCTGAAACTCGAAGCGCACTCAAAGATGAGACTTTAATGATCCGCCTATGCGGAGTCGATGCACCAGAAAGGTCCCATTGGGGTAAACCTGCGCAGCCATTTTCCGAGGAGGCGCTTCAATGGCTTCGAAACTATGTCATGGGACGCTATGTGACCATCACTCCGTATTCAATTGACCAGTATAAACGAGTAGTGGCTCGGGCCCAGGTATGGAAGTGGACTGGGCGCAAAGATGTTAGTGCAGAAATGATCCGAACAGGCATAGGGGTAGTATACGAGAGCAAGGTGGGTGCGGAGTTTGGCGATAACGAGTCGTGGTACCGAAGTCTTCAAAATCGAGCCAAACTTTTGAGGAGAGGAGTTTGGTCTCTTGGTAAGAAAATGACTACGCCGGGACAATTTAAAAAAACTTACTACAGAGGAGAGTAATTACTCCACCAAAGCTCCAATGCGCTTGGAGAGCTCCTCGGCACCTTCGTGGGTGCTGGCTTCTGCATAAACTCTCACAGCATCTTCGGTTCCAGAGGCTCGAACGAACGAGCGACCCGAAGCATATTCTGCTACTATCTCGTCAATTTTTTGTTGCATGCCCTGAGGTTCCACCAAACGACGCTCAGCATCAGTGGTCTTGAATACAGACCGGTCCGGAACCACCACCTTTGTTAAGCGGTTGGGAAGGTCTTCGTAGCATTTATCCCAGTCTTGAGGTGTGAGTGAGAGCGAACTTAAAATAGCCAAAATGCATAATAAGTCGGAGATGGCATCTCCTACGGCTTGGTTGACGAGCTTTGTAAACTGCTGCAACGAATCGATGGCACGGGCTTCTTTTTCGTTGGCTGGAGAATATGCAAATATTTGTTCTTCGGCCCTCGAGTCAAAGACTACAGTTCCATGTCCATTGGCTTCAAAGTAGATTCCCACGTCATAGTTCTGGGCTTCGTGATGAAGGTGCTTGACTCCAGTAGATGTGCAGCTCAAGGGGAGCTTAAGAACTTGCTCGACATACTTTGTAGATGAGCCGTTCGCATAGGCGGTTTGCACAACTCCCACATTTAACTTGAGTTTGGCGCTGTCAATGTCTTTGAAAAGCGTCTGGAAGTACAACGCAATCAAGGTGGCCATCTTGTCTCCGTCTAAAAGGCGAAATGTCCCGGTTTCGGTTTGATAATAGCAGATCAACCGGTCGGCATCTCCATCAAAAGATGCATAAAGTTTATTTGGCTGAGGATTTTCCACATTTTTGGGAAGTCCTTGGGTGGTCTTGACAAAGTCAGCACCGCAGTCGTAGTTCAATTGGTCTGGAGAATTATAGTCGCCATTTACCAACTGGAACTGAACATTTTTCAAGTATTTTTCAAAGAGTTCCGTCACTTTGGGTGCTCCCACTCCATTAGCAGCATCTATAGTTATGCTCAAGTCATTCTTGACAATTTCCTGAAAGGCAGAAGCCATTTTCTTGTAGTATCCTTCTTCTGAAGCTTCTCCGTAGCTTGGGTCGTTTTTGGTCCGAGTCAAGTAGTGCAATTGTGGAGTGGTGAGTAAACCAAAATCTTCGTACTCGGTATTGTCAATTCCTTGAAAACCGTCAATTGTAGCAGCAGATAAACGAGGACTCGACTCTCTCGAATCACGGGCAATTAAAATTTTGGAAGGAGTTTTCAAATCAATCGAAAGTTTGTCGCATAATTCTTGTACAACCTTTTGCAATTGTCCAGGTTCAGTATTGGCCAATTCGGTTGCATAGACTTCCCAAGAAGATTCGAGCATGCTTCCCAAAGGATCAACAACCTTCACACCATTATCAGCAGGTGGGTTATGAGAGGCAGTAACCATTACTCCCACGGTCTTTCCTCCAAGAAACTTGGATCTCAACGATGCCAAAATTCCAACGGTGAAGTTGACATAGTCCAACTTGTCAGCCTTCATGCGGAAACCCGCAGTTCCATAGGTGAATTTTCCTGCTGGTCTTGGGTGCTTCGAAATGTAGGATGCAAGGTTTTCAAGAGGCATTGTGTCAAACGTGCAGATCAAACGTGTACATTTTTGTGCGCACGCATAGAAAATATCAACACCGCATTACAGTACGCATCGCATAAATTCGGTGCATAACCCCACATTATGAGCAAGTTTGACAATTCACGTTTCCATCGTGAAGGACGGGAAAAGCCTCAGCCGAAAACTAAACCTCGTCCCAAGGATTCAGAGTTCATCCTGGAGTTGGTTCAGACCGGAAAGGCAAATTGGAAAAAGGCTCCTACGGCAGTGAGGAATAGATACTACGGTATATATATGATCCTCTTTTCCATTCCTATCCTACTTCTTCCCTCGTATGAGATATGGCGTCGGTTGGAAGGCAAGTCGACGAAACAGGTGCAAAAAGGTGAGATTCTCGAGGGACAACAGGTGCGGCCATTTGATGAAAGAGAAAAATGGGAGAAAGAGAAAAACAGTTTCATGTATAAGATCTTTGGTCGAGATTTCTTTCTTGATGGTTTCACCAGTAAGACCATGAAAAAGGACGACCAGAACGGAAACGACAAGAAATACGAGAAAAACGACAAATAGTGTACATATAATACATAGTTATTTCCACCGGGGTTTTGGAGTTTGAACCGGCTGGTGCCAAATAACCTCATCTGCCCTAGAATCTGTGGATTTCAAGTTTCTAGGCGAAGAGTAGCTTGGCGACAGATAGGAAAGGTTTGGAGTACTTTTGAGGGTAAGTCTTGCTTTTGGTAAAATTTTTGTAGACTCGAGTTCCGACCGCAATGGAGTTGGCGATGGGAATGCAATTGTGGAACGAGATGATTGTCTAAAGTGTCCTAATTGTGGTCTGGAGATCATGGTATCTCTTTCTGGAGAGTGAAGAAAAACCTGGTGATTTGGACTAATGCTTGGAATCTTGGTGGGTCCTGATTTCTTGGCGATTTCTTTAACGTTCAAAAGATGATAATTAGGACGTATTATTGGAATACGAGACGGCGTCAGCGACCTTTCTTCCAAGAGAGGACGTCCGTATTGCATGACAAAGGGGCTTCCAAGGTCCATTAAGCCAGTGAAAGATGGTTTTGAATTCAATTGTGGAGTAGAATCTTTTAGGACAGATTGGGGTGTTTTCGAATTGACCAACGTTTCTTCGTCGTCGGGATCGGTGTATTCAGGACTGTCGACAGAAAGTTGGCGAAATTCTTCAAGTATGTTCTTAGAACCTCTGGCTGGAATATGATCGTCGTCTTTCAAAAAGTCCCGAATTCTATCGTTCTTTTGGATGCTGAACGGAACGTTGGACGACTTGACATCGATTCCAAGATCCAAGCCTAAACCAGCGGTTTTGGTGTGAGTTTCAGCTGAAACTTTTCTAGTGTGAAACTTTCTCAATCCAGAGTATTCTTGGACATCTTGCAGCGGATTATTCTGGGGTAAACTTATAGTCGAGTTGAACTCATTCCACTCTCGAGCAGCTTCCAGAAACTTGAGTCGCTGAGAGCTTCCTAAAAGAGCATTCTTTGCAGCTCTGTGAAGTAAAGCCATGAAATTTGAACATAATTTGTACTTCAGACCAAACTCGTTGCTAGCAGGAACCTGACTTTTATGAAGAGAACAAAGCTCTCTGGTTTCATACAGAACAACTTCCAACACTCGAGCAAAAATTGCATGCCATTGCTTTTCTACTAGACGGTGTTTCTCGCAATTGATGGATTCTTGAAGCAAATTATACTGTCTTTGAAGCCGCTGCAAACTGCGACGGATATCTTCCACTTCCTCCTCAGCTTTAATGACATAACCCAGGCATATTCGTTCAAATTCCTCCATTTTGTATGGTAAAAAATCGATAGATGCATGCAATGGTTCTGCCTTGCTTTCAAGGCTGCGAAAATCGTGGTAAATGCTGGCGTGGTCTAAATGCAAAAGGAGCTCAGAGGGCCTGGTCAAATCCATGAGCTTTAGTTTCTCGGCTAGTTCTGATATTGAAAGTTTTACCATAAAATTGTCGCTGATTTTGGTATGAGAGAGTCGCTGGACTATACGAGCACACTGGTCAATTTCGTCGACGATTCCACCAATAATCTCTACCAGCATTTCTCGATATGCCACCGCCAAATCGGTGTATTTTTTGTACTTTAAAAGTTGCTGCTTAGCATCTAGTAACTTATCATTAGTAGCTTCAATCTTGGATATGAAGCCGCTGGTTTGGGTGCTGTTCGAATTTTCGATCAAGCTGAGATTCGTCGCCATAATTGAGTCGAAACGGACGAGATCTCCAAGCATCTCATTGACTCGATCTCGACCATCAAAATACCACAGTAAATTTTTGGATCTGTCATGTAGTTGTACTTCTTTAAGCATTAATATGGCCTTATCGAGATGCTCTGCAATGTCACTTATGATGCCACTGGCCCTCACAAGGTCGTGGGTCAGCGTTGTTGATACACCTGTCGATTCGTGGTCATCAAAGAAAAACCGTGGTATTCCCACTAGGAATTGTGCAAAAGTTGCAACCATTTTATGCCCTTGCAGCGAGGTGCAGCCAATTTCGAGGGCACTTTATATGCAACTAGCTGCAGTGTGTGTGTTGTCTGGCCCGCAGTATGTATGGAATGCGTCAGGCGTGCGTCTTATCTTTATTTTGGTTTCGGTTTTGTGTCACAATGCAAAACATTTTGGTGCGATGAGATGCACAGAACAAAGTTGCATAAACGTTTGCACCATGGCCAAATCAGCTCGGAAAAAGTTCTCTTCGGCTCCAGATCCCACCGGCACAAAGGTCTCGGCTGAGAAACACTTGAACTCGGTTTTCAAGTTCAACACCAACTTGGGCCAGCATATATTGAAAAATCCATTGGTAGCTCAAGGCATCGTTGATAAAGCTCAAATTAAACCTTCAGATATAGTATTGGAAGTTGGTCCTGGTACGGGAAATTTGACAGTGAGGATCTTGGAGCAGGCCCGGAAAGTTATAGCGTCGGAAATGGATCCTAGAATGGCAGCAGAATTGACAAAGAGAGTTCATGGTACCCCACAGCAGAAAAAATTGGAAATTTTGTTGGGAGATTTTATCAAGACAGACCTTCCATACTTCGACGTATGCATTTCTAATACCCCATACCAAATCTCGTCGCCCTTGGTGTTCAAATTACTCAACCAACCTCGACCACCTAGAGTATCCATTCTTATGTTCCAAAGAGAATTTGCATTAAGATTACTTGCAAGACCCGGCGACTCTCTTTATTGCCGGTTGTCAGCCAATGTACAGATGTGGGCGAATGTAACCCATATAATGAAGGTTGGAAAAAATAACTTTAGACCTCCTCCGCAAGTGGAATCTTCAGTGGTGCGAATCGAGATTAAAAATCCCAGACCAAATATCGATTTTGACGAGTGGGATGGCTTGTTGCGGATCTGTTTCGTCAGAAAGAACAAGACCATTGCAGCCGGTTTCAAATCGCAAAATGTTTTGGAAATTTTGGAAAAAAATTATAAAACTTATCTCGCTACTCACGAGGATGCCATGATGATCGACCATAAAGACACCACCAATACTGTAAAGGAGCTCATTGATAGAGTGCTTCAGGAGACAGGATTTGCTGAAAAAAGATCTGCCAAAATGGACCAAACCGATTTTCTTAAATTACTCTATGCCTTTCACCAAGTGGGCATTCATTTTGCATAACCACTAATCTACATGATCTACACGATCCACATGATCCATGAATCTACATAAATCTACATGAATCTACGTTCTTATGAACTTAATCACAATGTCTTTCACCATTATTTTCTATCTTCTCTTTCCCTTGCTCTCCTTGACCACAACCTCTCCAACTCCGCCCATGCTCTCCAAGTTGTCTTCTGCTACGCTCACCTGTTCTCTGCGCTCCCAGAACCTATCTTCACACATGTCGAAGGCTGCCTTTTTCAAGTACTTTCCTCGGGCATCTCTGTTGCTGGAAATCGACCACTCGAGAAATTGGGCTCCAGTGCGGACGTAGAAGTCACGAAGACTCTCGAACGGCTTGGGATGAGGAAGCCATGGCCGAGCATCGGGAAATTCCTCCTCTACTTCTTCGGCTTCTTCCTCTTCCTCTTCCTCGTAGTCTTCGTTATCGTCGTTTTCGGCTTTTTCGCTTTCTGACTCGGACTCATACTCGTCCTCTTCATCATCTTCGTCGTCTTCCGAGTCCTCATCTTTCTGCTCCAACTCCTTCAAGTCTTCCCACAACACCTTCACGCCATCTAGTTTACCCAAGTCGATCGAGTAGAACGAGTCAAGGTTGAATTCTTTGTCGTTGCGCTCAAAAATTCCTCCAAAGATGTATAGGGTGTCGTCAGCAACACATACCGTTGCGTTGAATCGAGGATGAGGAAGCTGGTTCATGGTGGGTATAGCAGCCGTTGCGGCGGCTTCCTCCTCCTCTTCTTGAAGCTTTAATCGGTCAATATCGCTGACTTCTTTTGCAGTTTCCTCATCTTCATCGTCGTCGTTCAACTTGGCTTTGGCCAATATAGAATTCAAGATCTCTTCCAAGTCCTCGTCTCTTGTCTTCTCCTTCACCTGAACTTGCTTCTTTCTCTGTGGCTTCAACGACAAGTTGTACCACCTGTTGTTCTCTATATGGTACGAATACAAGTTGTTGTAGAACTCCGAGTCGATATCTTCTTCGTTTTCTTCGAAATCATAGACTCCGCCAAACATTATACCTCTGTTCTTGTGGTAGACCAACGAACAGCCAACCCGAGGAGATGGTACAAATCCTTGTTTTCGGCGTCGTTCAAATCGAATTGCTTTAGGATCCAGCTTCATTTTAAGAACCCAACTGTCGCTCAACACTTTACCCTTTTGAAGCGTTTTCTTGAATGGAACTTTACAATACCCTCCGTACAAAACTGCTCCTTCAGCACAGGGCAACAACGAGTGGCCAGAACGAGCATCGGGGATAGGGTGGTTTGGAGGGAATTCCACTTGGGACCATTTATAATTGGTGATATCAAACAACCACAAATCGTTCAAGTAGGTGGTTCTAGCACCCAAATCTCTAAATCCTCCATGCATTATAATGTAGTTTTTCCAGCATGCGAGCCGATGACCAGAACGAGCCGACGGACCGTTTCTCTGTTCGATTTTAGTCCATTCCTTGTCTTCTCCGTCAAGAATCCAGGTATCACCATAGTGGTAAAAAGTCGATTGTTTCGGCGAAGAAAACTCACCTCCAAACAAAAGAACCACTCCAGAAGGATGTGCACACATAGCATGCGACGATCTGGGCAAAGGAGCGTTTTTGGAAGAAACTTTCCTCCAGATTCGATTGTCAATTGAGTAGGTGAACAAGTCGTTGTAGAATTTGGAATTGGACCCTTCCACGGTTTCGCCACCAAACAACAAAAGTTCTCGCTTGGAGGGGTTGGTGACCAACGTGGGGTTCATTCTCTTGGACGGTCTGTTGCAAACCTCGATTGTTACAGCCTGAAAAGCTTCTTGTTCCTTAGCATACTGTTCAAGAATAGCATCTATATCCTGATCATCTTCGTCCTCGCCGAGCTTTTTTGCCTGTTTCTTGTTCTTGACCTCAGCCTTGGACAAGTTTTTCTTTTGTTTTTCGGCGGTTCTGGCCTTCTTGGCCTCCTTCGATTTCTTGTCTTTCTTCGCCATGAAGATGAATTTTTCGCGCGAATTTGCAGCCGAAAACAGAGGCAAGAAAATAAAGAGAGAAGAAGATAAATAGAAAATAAAGAGAGAAGAAAATGAATAGAACAGAAATTGTGAGTTGACAAAATCAGAAAACATCGACATTCTACCTAACAGAACATAAACAGCCAAACGAAGAAACAAGAAAACAATCCTCAAAACTAGACAATAAGCGCAAGTGCAACACTGACACCAATCATCTTCCACGAAGCAGTGTAGCCATTGGCCTCACCAAAATGGACCAGATGGGTCGTAGAGTTACTGCGAGTGCTCGACGAGCTCACCGCCTTGTTCACGGGAGTGCTCAACGTGGGAGCAGTGGTAACACCAGCTGGAGTCGATGGAACAGACTTGGTCGAAACCACAGCCGAGGTTACTGGAGGAATCGAAGTCAAAGTTTGTGGCACGGAAGAAATCTTGGTGGAGGACTCGCAGTCGTCAGAGACGGACGAGGAAGGCACCGAGGAAACTGAAGAACGAATCGAAGAAATCACCGAAGAAAACGAAGAAACCGACGAAGTCACTGAAGAAATCACAGAAGAAGTCTTGCTCGCTGGGACAGAAGAAGTCGCTGAAGAAGCCGAAGTCTTGGTCGAAGACTCACAGTCGTCAGTGGTCGAGGTGTGGTGGTGCTCGTGGTCTCTCTTGACAATGGTGGTCTCGTCACAAGGCTCAGTCTTGGAAACTACAGTGCTAGTAGTTTCACAGTCGTCAGTCTTGGTAGTGGAGATTTCAGTGGTACAGGGCTCAGTCTTGGTAGAGGTGGTCACCTCATCGTCACAGGGCTCAGTCTTCTGACTCTTCTTCTTACCACCCTTCTTCTTCATGATCTTGTTCTTGTACTGAAGAATATTTCTCTTGTCCTTGTCGTCACAGTCGTCATCTTCCTTCGACGACTTTCCACCATGCTTCTTGTTCATCTTGGATTTCACCTTTTCCTTGATCACTTGCTTCTTCGAAGGTTCATCGTCCTTGTCGTCACAGTCCTCGTCGTCCTGCTTACCACCTTTCTTGGCTTCAATCTTGGACTTCACTTTTTCCTTGATCACTTGCTTCTTCGAAGGTTCCTCGTCCTTGCCGTCACAATCGTCGTCCTTCTCGTCACCGCCATGTTTGGCCCCCCACTTGGACTTGAACTTTTCCTTGAACACTTGCTTCTTTGAAGGCTCTTCATCCTTGTCGTCGCAGTCTTCGTCCTTGCCAGAATCATCACCTTTGTTCATGAAAGGAAGCCCTCTCTTTTCATTGTCGTCACAGTCATCGTCATCCTTCTTACCACCCTTCGACTTTCCACCGTGCTTCTTGTTCATCTTGGACTTCACCTTTGTCATCACCTTTTCCTTTTTCGAAGGTTCCTCGTCCTTGCCGTCACAATCGTCGTCGTCCTGCTTACCACCTTTCTTGGCTTCTATCTTGGACTTCAACTTTTCCTTGATCACTTGCTTCTTTGAAGGTTCCTCATCCTTGTCGTCACAGTCATCATCGTCCTTAGAGTCACCTTTGTTCATGAAAGGAAGACCTCTCTTCTCATTGTCGTCACAGTCATCGTCATCCTTCTTACCACCCTTCGACTTTCCACCGTGCTTCTTGTTCATCTTGGACTTCACCTTTGCCATCACCTTTTCCTTTTTCGAAGGCTCTTTGTCCTTACCATCACAATCGTCGTCATCCTTGGAGTCATGTTTCTTCATGAAAGGAAATCCTCTTTTATCCAAAGGCGCGCCAGTAACACTAGCCAAAGGCTCACCAGTAGCACTCAAGGTAACAGTCTGGTCAATGGTCTTGGTAGAGGTAGTAACCGTGGTAAGAGTGACATTGTTATGGTCACAGTCAGGAACAAAGTAGGCTTGGGCTTGAAGAGCTAAGGCGATGTAAAGTGCAGTTGAACGGAACAACATTGAACTCTGGCAATCGCTGGCTTGTCACTGCTCTTAAATACATTCATGGTGATAAACACCCGGTGAAAAATTTCATTCCAATTGCTTGATCTATGCAAGTTGCAACCTAAAACTATTAGAAGGTTGTTGCTCGATTTCGCAACCAAAAACGTTCGCGTGCGTCGACTTGCAGCAGGTTGCGAAAAAAATCTATATTTAGGAAATCACAACGGCTACCGAGAAACTTTAGTTGCAAAAGTACAGCAGACTTCAGAGTGCTTTTGCATAGCAATACTTGCAGTACCGTGGTGGTTAGCCCGTATTCCGACTTTGGCGACCAATGCACTTTTTTGGGTATCGACCAGGTTGCATGGAGCCGCATCAGACCGAGATGGTTTTCCAGACGTTCAACCCGTCTCCTCCAGTGGAAACCAAGCATCCTGGAATCTGCTTGTGCCATCTAACATCCTTGACATCTCGTTGCCAGTGCACAAAGAGCAATTGTGGAGGAATATCATGGAGTTCTTTGAAGTCGTTTCGCTGGTTTTTGATCTCTTCATCGTCGGCTTCCACTGCCAAGTCCCATAACGTCACTGTGTTGTCCTCGGAAGAAACTGCAAGAATAGACTCGTCGAGCGGGTTGAAGGAAATCGACGTAATAGGCGATTTATGGAAATCGTAGTTAGCCACGGGTGATGGTTGCTCCTTACCGTTGAAGAGTTTACGCAAGTCCCAGATACTCCACGACCCATCATCGTGGCCCGAGGCAAGAAGATAGTTGATTTTTTCACACCAAGAAATGACATTTACGTCTGTGGTGGAAGCCGCAACGCTGATTGCGGGTTTGTGTTTCTTGGATCGAGTGTCCCAAATACGAACATAGCCGTCTGTTCCTCCCGTGGCGAACACCGTAGACTCGCCGGTAGACCACTGGATATCTTCTATAGATGCCTGAGAAGCGGTAAATGGGGTCTTGTCGGTGGTCCAACTACTGGTGGTTCTGGACGTCAAGTGCACTCTTCCAGAGCAGTCTCCCGTGAGAAGAGCACCTGTATTTATCAAGGGAGACCAGTCGAGCCCGTAGCCCTCGACATTTCCATGGGCTCGAATTGTGTGAATTGGACGTTTTGCCTGCTTGGGAATCATATACCCAGGAGTATCGAACGCCTTCATTTGGGGTGCCAAGTCGTATATCAACACTTCACCACTCTCAGACATGGTCGCCGTCAAGTACTCGCCTGTTTCAAGAGAATGGGGAGAAACTCGGATTCTATTGGTGGTATGCTTGAGAGGAATTTGCTCGCTGTCCATGATGGGGTCTACGTCATAGTCGTCGTCGTCATCGTCGTCATCTTCGTCGTCTTCATCTTCGTCTTTGACTAGAGTCTTGGCAAGCGAAGACAATTTCATGCTGATAAGTTCGTTGTCTTTGGATCTGGATGCCTGGGTAGCAGTTGCAACATAGAGACTGGCGGGAAAAGACCGTCTTTCCGAACCGAGATTGTCGGGCAAAATATCCACCGTCAAACACGGCCATGGAAGATTGATATTGTGGAGCATATTGTAGACTGAAGGATCAGCTTCAAGCACTTCATCGGGTCCCAAAGGTTTGGACTTGTGGGGTAAATATATTTCCGGTTCCTGAGCTTTCTGTGTATCTTTTTGCATCTCCACGTCACCACTCTTATCTTCCTCGTCCATTTCTTCGCCAACTCCATCGGAATCTACCTCGATGATCTCTTCGTCGCTCTCAAAATCGTCTCCGTAAGGGTCCTCGAACTCGCCCATTTCCGCATCTTCGGCACCATTGGAAGCCTCACGTATGGAGGTTGGCACCGAGTCTTCGTTGATCTTGGCGGCACGGCGCCCGGAGTCCTCGAGATCGTTGGTGGCTGACCGTTTCGACATGACGCTAGAAATTTTATTTGCAATTTTTCGGCCTCATCGAATTTCGCGCGCACTGGCGATGAGATGCGAACCTGGTTAGACGCTTGTTAGTGGCATGAGTAGGCCCGCTTTCTTGGATCAGGAGGCTCCCAAGGGCTATGTGGCTGGTATAGGCCGTGGAGCTACCGGATTTACCACCAGTGCAGACACAGGAGCCGTGAGGATCGAAGACGACATAGAGGACGACGGACCCAAAATCGACGATGATTCTGGTTTGTTAGCACGCCGAGGAAAAGGCGATGCGGCCGAGGAAGAAGCCGATAAGATCTACGAGGACATCGAGCGACGGCTTCTTGAAAAAAAGCGTAAAAAAAACGAACAATTGGTGGAAAGACCACCTTCTGACGACCCGGTGTCGCAGTTTGTGGATCTAAAACGAGATCTTTCTCAAGTCACACGGGACCAATGGGCAGCATTGCCTGAGGTGGGTGATCTCACGAGACGTAATAAGCGTATGCGTTTGCTTGAGAAGCAACAACAGAGATTTTATGCCGTTCCTGACAGTGTTTTAACTGGCTTGGGATCGTCACAGACAACCAACTTTGCTTCCATTTCACAGGGAAAGGACAAAATCTTAAGCCAGCGGCTAGACGAGCTCCTACCGCAAGCCCAGGGCACCACAGATATCGTTGAGGAACAGGATTCCGACATGGACTCACAAATCGCTGATGCCAATCGCACTCGCTTGGTGTTGAATTCGCTTCGAAGAACGGCTCCAAACAAAGCCAGCTCGTGGATAGCCTCTATTAGAGTCGAGGAGCAAGCAAAGAACTTTTCCGCTGCAAAAAGGCTCGCGGTACAAGCGTGCCAGAAGGTGCCTCAGAGTGAAGAAGTCTGGCTCGAGAGTATTAGAATTCACCAGAAATCTTTGCAATCTAGCTACGAGTGCAAAAGCATTGCCAACAGTGGTCTCAAGTTCAATCCCAAATCCGTCAGTCTCTGGTTGAAATTGTACGACTTGGAATCTAATTCGGATACCTTCACAAAACGCAAGGTACTAATGAGAGCCATTGAGAACCTCCCTCGTGTTCCAGAACTATGGAAAAAACTCGTGCAAGAAGAAGAGAATGGTGAAGAGAAGCGCAAATTGGTTCTTAAAGCCGTGGAATTATGCCCGCTGGATTGGGATCTCCGTCGTATTTTGGTCTCTCTTTCCGACTACAAGGAGAGCAAAAATATCCTCAACGATGCCCGAAAGGTTATGGGTGGTAATCCGCAATTGTGGGTCACAGCCGTAGAGTTGGAAGAAAAACACAACCCAGAAGTTCTGGAAACAAAATTAGTGTCGATGATGAAAAAAGGTATGAGCGAAGTACTGAAAGTCGAAGAATCAGATCATGCCAATGTAGATTGGATAAAGTACGCGATGGCTGCCGAAGATGAGAACTACCTCAAGACATGCCATGCTTTGACAACGGCAGCTTTTCATACTCAATCTGAAGAACTTTTGGACCTTCCTGGCTGGATACAGAAGGCACAAGATTCTTCAAAATCTCATAAGAACACTGCTAAATTCATTTACCAGGCAATAGTGGAAAAGTTCCCGAATGACATTGATATCTGGTTACTTCTCTTTGAGTCTCTGAAGGGAGAAATGCCAACATTGGTGCAACACTACAAGCATGCGATCGAATTGAATCCTGGTGAAGAATTGTTCCGTTTGATGTACGCCAAGGATCTTTGGAAACTAGCAGGCGATGTAGGTGGGGCAAGAAGTGTTTTACTGTCTGCTAACAAAGTACTACCTCAAAGTGAAGAAATTTGGCTTGCTATGGCCAAACTCGAAATCATGAACCAACAGTGTAAAGATGCTGGAGTCATCTTTGAACGGGCATTGAAAGAGAAAGCTAAGGACTCTCCTCGTATCTGGTACAAATACATTCATTACCAGCGATACATGTACTACAAGAAGGAATTATCGTCAGACAAACTAATTGAGATTGTGGAAGAGGCATTGAATAATTTTCCCCAAAACAGTAAATTGCACCTACAGAAGAGCCAGATATTTTCGCTGGACGTTAACGATCACCAAAAAGCAAGACTGGCACTATCCCAAGCGGTTAAAATTTGTCCTCAGTCTGTACCACTCTGGATTTCACTTTCTCAGTTGGAAGAAATGCAGTTCAAAAATTTGCTAAAAGCGAGATCCACTTTGGATTTGGCTCTCTTGAAGAACCCAGATAGTGATCTCTTGTGGGTCCATAAAGTGCAGCTAGAAAGAAGAGCAGGAGATACCGTTGCTGCTTCGCAAATGTGCTCGAGAGCCTTACAAAAATTTCCCAATTCCCCTCTACTTTGGGTAGAGCAATTGTCATTGATCACCAAGCTGTCACAGAAAAAGAACAGTTTTTTGGATGCCCTTCAAAAAACGAAGAATTCCTCGGAGGTTTTAGTCGCGATCGGAAGGTCGTTTTACATGGAAGGAAAATACTCCAAAGCCGAACAATGGTTTCAAAGAAGTGTCGATGCTGAAAGTGAGAACGGAGATGCCTGGAGCTGGCTCTACAAGGTATTGGGAAGTTTGGGAAAAAGTGATCGTAGACTGGAAATCTCGAAGAAAGTTGATTCGCTCTATGATTCTATAAGCAAAGGTTTCATTTGGATCAAATGTAAAAAGGACCCAAAGAACCTTACTTGCTCTGGAACGGAGATCTTGGAGGCCACTGCAAAGGCTATTTAATCAAAATCTTAAATGAAAAAGGTTTTATTAGCTTCTAATATTACATTTATAGTACACTATGCTTAGGCATTCCTGTTTTGCATGCTCAATGTCAACGCACTCAAGAAACACGGAATCTCATCTTGTTCTGTTACCCATTGAGTCACTAAGGTTTCACACTTTGATTTGAACTCGTAGCTTCCATAAGCTTTCAAAGATTTCGTTCCCGTGTCCAACAATAAATAGTCGTTTTTGGGTTCGTCGGAAGGTTTGTATCTTGATACAAGCTTCATCCTCGATAACATATCATTGGGGTTAATGGGGTTTGCAATAAATTCGATGTTGTAGCCAAAGTACTTTGAGATTACCGAAAGAACATCGCGGCTCTTTTGCGAGTAGATTGACTTGAGTCGATTATTACGCTTTGACAAAGACTCGATTTCGGTTTTCAACTGCTGCTTGTCGCATTCTTGTCTCTCAAATACCGCTCGTGGGATACTTTTCACCTCTTCATTTTCCACATATTTTTTCATAAGGTTCTCATTCTCATGCCTAAGTGCATCAAGCATTGCCTGCTTGACTATCTGGTCTTGAGAAGCAGGATTGAGACGCAACTGTAGGGTGTGCAACAGCTCTCTCTTGTCCTTTAGTTGCTGGTATTCCTTGAGTCTGGCCTGAACGCTTTCTACTTCTTCTTCTAGAGTTTTAACTTTCGCTCGCAAGCGGACATTTTCTCCTTCCAAAGAGGTTATGCTCGTTCTGAGGGGAGACTCATACGCTGGACGTTTGTTTCCGGCTTCAAAATTTGGAGTGGGTTGCTTTGCTCTAGCTTGCAAGTTGTTTATCTCGGCCCGGCAATCATCAAGAAGCTTTTGAAGGTTCTGCACATGCGACCCATTGACATCTGCTGGAGCATCGGCAGTTTTCTTTTGAGCTATAAGCGTATCTTGTTGCTTGAGCAGGTCTCTCAAAAAATTGATCTCTTTCACGTTAAGTAGTTTTTGACGTTCCAACTTCTCTATCAATTGCTGGCGCGAGTCGACCACCTCCTGAAGCGTCCGAATCTTCTGCTGCAATTCTCCATTGGTAGCCATATGTTCAGCAAGCTGTGATTGTGTGTCGGTTAGGTGTATCTGGCACTCATCAAATTTGGACTGAAGAACCAAGTTGGTGTTTTGGAGATTCTTGTAGTTGTCCATGAAGCTGTATATGCGATCTTCAGTTGATGTGCCGTTGCCTTTGATTGTATGGGAGTCGATAATATCGAAATAAGCGTCGAATCTGGCTTTCAACTCCAAGTGGTCCACTTCAAGCTGGCAGTACTTCTCCTCATATGGCTCCAACATGGCTACTTTTTTGGTCAAGGAAATGTTCTTTTCGCGGAGCAAGTCTGCGGACTCTTTTTGCTTGAGAAGCTCATTAATTTTCTGCTGCTGGTCGGTGGTGGTCCGCTGCAATTGGAATAGTTTCTGCTGGAGAATTTCCGAAGCGGTTCCAGAAGACATTTGGCTGCCTATCAAGTTGAGTTTATCCATCAAATGGTCATTTGTCTTGCGGAGGCTCTTGTTTCCCTCCTCCAAGTCGTCTATTTTGTCTTGTAGCTGCTCGGCTACCTCTTCATGGTACTTGGAATCAGCCCGCAATTGCTCGTAAAGCCTACGAATGTTGTTGTATTTGCTTTCTAGCGCCGAATTGCGCTCCACCAAGTCGTTTCGCTCGATTTTGGCGTCTTTTAGTTGTGTTTTTAATTCGTCAAAATGGGTCTGTTGGATGGACTGAGCATTGTCGTACTTGGACTGGAGTTGTTCTCGCTGCTTATACAAAAAGTCAAAGTCGCTCTGCAACGTGCTGAGTTCCAGGTTCTTCTGGGTGATGAGCTCCTCACACTTGGACACGAGCAGTTCCTTTTCTTGGTGATAGAGCTTCTTTTCAGTGCGAAGCGAAGTGAGCTGGAATTCCAATTGCGACACTTTTTGGCGCAAGCTGTGGTCCGATGTGGTATCTAGCAGTAGTCGGGGGTGTTCCACGAACGGCGAGGACCCCGAAGAGGACATGGTGAAAAAGTGAGGTTGAGGTGAGGTTGAATGAGATTGAGATGCGGTTCTGAGATTGAGATTGAGCTGAATTTGAATGTTCGCGCAGGGCGAGCGGAGTGCACGCGAGAAAACCGCGGAGGTGTGGAGCGATTTGGTGCGAAATCACAGCTTGATAGTGACACTGACCAATCCTAACACACCACGATATGAGCAAAATGTAAGTAAATCAAGGTTCTTACACCAGAATACTCACTAACACCAGACCCAGAAACTTCAAGTTGTTGGAGGAGTTGGAAAAAGGAGAAAAAGGTTTGGGTGCCGAATCCATCTCCTATGGTCTTTCCAACCAAGATGATATCACCATGACCAACTGGAACGGAACCATTTTGGGGCCCCCACACTCCACCCACGAAAACCGGATCTACTCTTTGACAATTATATGTGACGAAAGTTATCCTGACAAACCACCAAGTGTTAAATTTATTTCCAAAATCAACCTTCCATGTGTGGGTCCTCTGGGCCAGGTTTTGGTGGACCAGTTTGATACTTTGAAAAACTGGAAACGGTCGTACACGATGGAGACGGTGCTCCTCGAGCTCCGGAAGTGCATGGCAGCACCTGCCAATAAGAAATTGCCGCAGCCCGCCGAGGGCTCTACTTACTGAGAAGAAGTGAGAAGGTAAGGATGGAGGAATGGATTGGGTCAGAGCTGAAGAATGGAGATCGAGGTGAAGTTGAAGAAACGGTGTGTGAGGTCAAGGATTGGAGGGTGTTGGAAATGAGAGTGGTATATGGAGACCATGATTGTGGAAGACAGTTCCATGATTTTGGTTTACGGAGAACCATGATTATAAGGTAGGTGTGATGAGGAAGGTGTCTGGTGAAGATTATTGTGGCTATGGACCAAGGCTATTATATAGATGGAAGCTGATGCAACACACTGCTGCTTGTGAATACTCTGCATTAATGTCAATACACCTATCGACAAACACTTCTTGCTTTTCTTTTGTGCTAGCTTTCGTTTGTTCTTTCCTCTCGCTCTAGATTCTCCATGTAACGTTGTAACTCTTTTTCCGCTTCCATAAACTCCTCGATGTCTTTTCCGTATCGGCTCTGTTCGAGCAAATCTCGATTTGTGGTCTCGTCGGTGACCTCTATGTTTGTCCATTTGTTGTAGCGCACTTTCTTGCCGTCAACTGTCTCTACTACGGGCATCAAACACCTTTGAAAAAGTCGTTTAAATGGCAAACAAATGATCTTTGCTGGTGTCGAATTGTTAGGAGAAACCTTGAAAGTGCACTCATATTGAGTCAAGGATCGAAGCAGGCATTTGTGGTCCAAAGGGTCCTCGAGACATGTGGCATATTGGTGTCGTATTTCCTTACCACTATACACGGGAGTTGGGGGCGCCATGAGTATGTAGGATTGGTGAATTAATTTCACCAATTACCCACCCGTACACCAGTGTGGGGTCAAGCACCAACTAAAAGATGGTTGCAATTTTTTTGGTGCAGCTCTCTCAGCACCTCACATTGATCCCCTTTCTCTTTTCTGACTCGCGGAGCTCAAACATCACCTGCGAGCCTACGAAAAGTGCACTCAGCGACAACACAAAAAATTCAAATCCAGAAACCGTGCTGAACATTTCTCGCAAAAGCGCTATAACTCCGTCTTTTCCAAGACAAAACCCAAACAAATTGGCCAACATCATCATCCAGATATTGAAAACTGCTCCAAGGCCACACGCGTAGCGAAACCACCACTCGTTCTGGTAGGGTTTGAAGTACATTGTAGCACCTATTTCCGGCAACAAGAAGAGAACCACCATCCAGCCCCACATCAAGAGCTTTAGCTGAATATCGTGCCAAACAGCGACGAAGCTGAACACACACAAATTGGCAATAATACGGTATTTCCCTGAACCTCCCAAAGGAACGTAAATGTAGCGAACAACCCAACGGTTGTAAGACCGGTGCCAAGCTCTCCAGAAAGCCACCGCCGAGTAGTTGTTGTCCATACACCGAATCATGTTTTCTGGCGGATCGATACCGTCGAGCAAACTCCAGAACCGGAACAATCTCCAAGGAATCAATAGCTTCAACCAGATGATGTTCAAGTTGAACAACCCCAACATCGAGATTTGGAACGGAGTATCGCCATCCCACGCCTTTGTTTTCGAGACCGCCACAACGTACATAAAGTGCAAGAGGAATTCCATGACAAGAATGCAAAAAACCAATCTTGCAAAGTAGATGAGTGTGCGCTTATAGTCCTTAACGCTGGGAAGCTGGTAGTAGTTGGATTGGTAGATGTAGTCGTTGAAGGTGATGATGGGTCCAGCAATGAAGAGAGGGGTGTATGTGAGGTACGCAAAGTAGTTGATGAGGTTGTAATCTGCCAAAGGAATGGGGGCAGTTAGGCGCAGTCGGTCGTCTAAAAACGACAAGATATTGGACGAAGCTTCTTCTTTCGAGTCGTCCTCCTTCTTGGGGCTTGCTGGCGGCGAGTACAATTTCTCCAAGTAGTCCAAATTGTAGGAGATCATTCTCAAGAGAGTGAAGTTGAAGAAGACGTCCCACCTGGAAATTATGCCTTTGAACCCGTCGTTCAAAAGAGAAGATCCGAGCGACAAATTGCGGTATCTGTCATTGATGAACAATGTCAGGATCCCGTAGATCCACGTAACGGCTACAGCAGCTTTTTTCGAGGGAATGTACCGGCCAATGGCATAATTGGTGAGAACATGGGCCACGATTCTCAAGCTGTTAAAACCGTGAGCAGCAAATAAAAACAAGATTCCAAACCCGAAATCAAACCACGTACGTTTCAGGATCCTCAAGAGGGGAGTGGCGAGTCTACGGACCAGACAATGCAATACAATCAAGCCACTCAAGAGGAAAAAATTGTCTCTGAAAAATCGGTACTGTTGATCGGAATTGTCTACTTTTCGCCCAAAGAGCCACCCCTGGCTCAAAAGATGCGCAAACCGTGGATAATTGGGGTTGGTCTCATTCGACGCGTCCATAGCCGTTTTATACATAAGTGGAACCACCACCACAAAAACCAAAATGTAAAATTTAAATTCAAAAGTCGACCATCTCGATTTATGATTTACAGAGTTTATCACGGCCTGGCGCTTGGCAGCATTTGCTGGGGGAAAAAGCCGGGTGTCGAGGGTTTCCAAGGAGAAAAACTCGAGTACGTGGTTGAGTAACCCCATAGTGGATGGGGAACGCGGCGCGAACAAGAAGTAGGGAGGTGTCTGGGTGGGAGGGGAGAGGAGCAAGGAAGAAATCTTGTGCGCAGGAATAAGCTCTGTCTGTTTCCTGCATGTGCGCGAACGGCTGGTAGCAACATGTGAAAATTCAGGCACCGAATATTTTGTAGAGTAAGATGGAGAAGATGGAGTAAGAGGCTGGTGAGCGGGCAATCAGATTACCGGATTGGTGCAGTTGCTGCAGTTGGTGCAATTTCAGAATGCATGTACTAATCTACCCGATTCAGCTTCTTGGAATCTAATGTGTCGCTTTTAGTTACCAGTACATGATTCTATTTTGTCCTCTCATTTCAGCTCATTTCACATAAATTTCATGCTCTTTAAGTGGCCGTTTGCTTTTAATGCATGATAATGCGGCCCTCCAATAACTCGTGCTTATGCGTTAGTCGCGCGTGCATGACAGTGCAGCAAGGCGTGCAGCATTGTTGCAAGTAGACCCATAATTTTTGGCCCCACTCCAACGTCACCACCAGTCGCCATACGACGGGGTCTGCTGTGTAGCCTCATCGCATGCGCCTCGTGCATATCTCGAGATGACACATGCGAGTGTTCATGTGCCTTGCAGCCGTGAGCCGCCCAGCGGCGCACACGAGAAGGCAGATTTACGCATTGGTCGGGGCACGAAGCGAGAAGAACAACATTAGCCAGCAGGTTCAAATATCATTATAAAAGAGAATCGACTGTGTTATCGGTTTACGCATCACGCAGACGCATCGCATCACGCAGACGCAAACGCCCCTCACCCCATTGTAGACGCACAGTCAAGCGCACCAAACCGGTAAAAATCCGCGACAAAAAGCGACATTTTTATCACAACGGATATATCTTTATTGTTTGGTGGTTTTTTTTTCTAATGACCCTTGAAGACAAGTTGACACCTCCCAGTACGCCGCCGTCGGTAGATTCCACCGCGGCTAAGTCGCGTATAACGCCTCAGGTATCGGAGGCTTCTGGAAGTTACGAAAATGGCGATATTGACCTGATGGATATCGCCAAAAAAATGTACCACGATCAGTTTGTGTCGATTCAACCAGAAGAATATACCCAGTTTCTCGCGGCAGCCGACGCGGAGTCGGAGAAGATCCGGGATTACTATATGGACCTTTTTACGTGGCATTCCAACCTTCTTACATCTACACGAATGTTGTGTGCCAAGCTTCATTTGAAAGGAGAATCGCAAGAAATCGACCGGATCTTGAGTTCATTCACCAAGTCGTACATCCGGCAACACCCATGCAACGTTTTTGCCACACAAAATTTCGAAAAAATCTACATTGTGTTGTACCTGATCATCCTCCTCAATACCGCGCTCCACAACCACGAGCTCGCCAACAAGTCGAAAATCTCCCAGACCGAGTATGTTCGCAACACGTTCCTGACGTTTGTTCAGCAGGACGCCCGCAACTCAAAGTCTTTGTCCATAAAACAAAGAATCGTGATTGAACGAGAGCTCTGTGAATTCTACGACGATTTGGTGCGCCATGAACTCCACCTCAAAGACTTGGACCCGTCCCAGAACCTCTCTACCTCCCAGTTCCAGCCGCTCTCGCGCCAGCTCTCCGGGCTGTCCATTTGGCTGACAGATACCGGCCGGCGGTCGTCGTATGCTGCAAAACGAATCTCCACCACCCCGCTGCTGGTTTCACATTACCCTTCGTCAACGTCGCTGCCGTCCAAATCTCGCGTAGGGTTCACCAGGGCTCTCGCTAGCGATCTGAAGGTGTATAGCCACCTGAACGGCTCCAGAGTGTCGGCAACCAGCGTTCGAAACAGAAACTCACTCGACCATTTGCGAACCAATAATTTGAATAATTTGTCCAATACCACTCCTCTTTCCATGAAGAGGTCTTCACGAGCCTCCATAATGTCCCGCGAGTCCACTGCTACCCTGCACGACGACACACTGGTGTTACTGATGGAATCTCACCTCAATCAGCTCGACCTCGACTCCGACGCTCCGGTGCAAAATGTCGACGAGTTCAACGTGGACGACTACCAGGACAGCTACGACTTGACGTTGGAGTTGCAGGGGTCGCCGTACCTCAAAGAAGGGTTGTTGCGTTTGAAAATCATCAATAATGACCAGGTGGATTCCACTTCTTCAGACGTCGAATCTTCCGCTGCCTCCACCATGTCTACCAGCGGCGCCTCCAGGTTCTTCTCCTTCTTCCGCAGCTCGCCGGCTGCTCCTCCGCCTGCGCAAACCGGAACACATTCGCTAATCAGCAAGTTTGTAGAGGACTTTGTGGTGGTGTCGAAAGGCGAACTTTCGTTGTACTCGTTTGACCCCAAGGTGATCAAGAAGCAGCAGCAGAAAGTGAAAAAGTTTCAGAAACGGTCGCTCATGGCTGGGCTTGAAAACACTCCGGAAAACGACGAGGTGGGAGATGGTAACTGGTTGAAAAATGCTGCTTGTGTGGGCCAATATAATCTCTGTGATACCCATGCCCAATTGGAAAAATCGCTCTCCACTGGAAAAGTGATCTGGTCGTTGACTTTCCCCAAAATTTCGAAAAAACCCGCCAAAAAATTCATCTTTGAAGCGGGAACCAAGGAAGTGGCTCTTGAGTTTATCAACTCGTGCAACTTTTGGGCCGCCAAGATCACCGCCGTGCCCACGCTGGAAGAAAGTGTGTCGCTGATCGAGTACGGTTGGACCAACTTGGACCATTTAATTGCCAAAAAGGACCAGTTCAAACGGAGCAAAGATATCCACAAGTGGGAACCACTTCCCAAGGGCGTCTATTTGAGTTCGTATGTGGTGGACTCCAACGACAGCGCCAGCCATACCGGGATGATGAAGCAGTTTGTCAAGACTTTGGCGTACCACAATAGTCTCAAGCGATTGTACGCTGAGTTCAATCTGCAGAAAATCAAGTTTATGAAGAACATTAACTCTACCGGAACAAACTATAACCGAGTGGTGGGCAACTTCGAAGCCAAGATTGCCGACTACAAGTTTGAAATGAAAAAATACAAGAGTTATCTCATCATCTTGGCATTTGGGTTGCAGCTTCGGTTTGATCTCGAAGACCAGGACCATGAAGAAGACGAACTTTTCAACGATTCCGATGTCAATTTAGAAGGGGAAACTGTGGCCCGGGACCTGGAAGTGGTAGAGCTGGAACTCACCAAGCTTGTCAAGTTTGAGATTCGTCGTTTGTTCATGAACATGAAAGGAATCAGCCGCATTATTCCCACCTACCAGTCGCTGAGATCGATCACCGAGATGGCCGAGCTTGCAGGCAAGGACGGCAGCCGGTCTTTTCCGCTCGTCAAGTCGCCAAAAACCTTTACTCTTGCTAATTACAACGACACTGAAAGTCCGGTGAATCAGCTACTAAATACCACTGGAAATTCAACCACGAATACCAACGAAAAGGACTTTGTACACAGCTACAGCACGAACACCATCAAGGAGGAGGAAGAGGAGACGGAAGACGACCACAAGCTGTCGATTGAAATGGTTAAAACGGCGGTTGTGGGCAAGCCGCAACTTGTAGAATTAGGTGTATAGAAGAAGAAGAGAAGAAATAGAAAAAGAGAAGAAGAAGTAGAAGTAGAGAAGAAGAAGCGGAAGCGGAAAAGTTAGAATTGAAAAAATAATTCGCCTTGACTGTATCAGTGAGTCGCTCTCGCTTCTCACTTTAATTTCCTGCATATATATCCAGTGAGCACACTTCTCACTCTTCTCATTTTTCTTTACTTGTTCTGTTCTCATTTTCCTTACCTAATTCTCCTGCACCAACAGTGAGTCGCTCGCGCTCCTCACTCTTCTTGCCACCAACATGTCGGATCCCTTCTCCATCAATGGAGGTGCTGCAGTAGCCATGGTGGGCAAAGACTGCATTGCCATAGCGTGTGACACCAGACTAGGAAGCCAGTCGCTTGGCTTGGCAAATAATTTCGAAAAAGTGTTCCAAATGGGAAAAACTACTTTTCTTGGTCTCACAGGTTTAGCTACAGATGTGATTACATTGCGTGAAGATTTCCGCCTCAAGAACAATTTGTACAAGTTGAGGGAAGAACGAGAAATGGAACCCAAAACATTGGCCAATCTTGTCAGCACATCACTTTATGAACGTCGGTTTGGTCCATATTTCGTGTCGCCAATTGTGGCCGGTTTGGGTAAGGGAGGCCAGCCTTTTATATGTGGATTTGACCTGATTGGATGCATTGACTTTGCTAAGGATTTTATTGTTAGTGGTACTGCTTCGGACCAGTTGTATGGTACGTGTGAATCATTGTATGAACCCAACTTGGAGCCGGAAGATTTGTTTGAGACAATCAGTCAGGCTTTGTTGAACGCAGTGGATCGTGATGCGTTGTCGGGATGGGGAGCTGTAGTGTATGTGGTGACCAAGGAAAAGGTGGTTCGCCGGGTGTTGAGAACAAGACAGGATTAGAACAGAGTGACCGCCAGAGGTGGTCACTCTGGAGGGCCATAGAGCTCGGAAAGATTTGGGTGTAAGCGGGTGGGTGACGGTACTCGGAAGCTGTCTGAACACGATATCCAACTCAAACAAATAGAGATGTCACTACCTTCTGTGTGTATATTTACGATTGCGTGGCACCTTCATACTATGTACATTTCTCTTCATTCAACTCCATTCAACTGCCGGTCTTTTTCGCAGCTTCTTGTTCAATCATCTTCTTCAAATAATTGTTTTTTCCATACATCTCCTCTTCCCGCTCACGACGACGCTTCTCGTACTCCTTCTGGCGCTCTCTACTTCTTTTGATCCGTTCGTTGGCATCGTTGAGCCTCGTATGATGAATACATTTGGCAAGCTCATCTTTTTCAAAGTTGCACAGTCCCAAAGCCTGTTTGAGAAACTCTTGCCGATGGCACTCCTCGAGTGCATCCATAAGCGACTCACAGGTGTCAAATCTAACCCGATCGAGCTGGGGGTGCATGATGATGCAGCGAAATCCGGTTGCCTCCAACTGTGTGCGCAGACTGCAACCGGAAATCATCTGGTGCACGGGTGTCTGGTGTCTGGGTGTGCCTTCCCGCCAGTCGGTTCTCTGCGCGGCCCAATGCGGAACCTGCCGAACCCAATTTGGTCGGCGCAACCACCATCTTTTTCCTGCACATCACTTAATGTGCAGGGCGATAAGCCGAACGGCAAGACATAAATTGGCTCGTCATTCTTTTATCTCCCTTAACCATGAAATTATCGATTGTCGGTTTATTGGCCGCGATTTCGGTATCAGAGGCTGTTCATGTTCCCTTCTTTGACTCGGCAGCTGCGGCAGCTCGTCAACAAGTTAAATTGGGTTTTGACTTCGATCGGGTCACTGAAGGGTATCAGAACTTGATTGATAAAATCGACTCCAGTACTTCTTCAGTTGTGGAAACCATTGCCAAATACATGGAAGAGCCCGTGTCTGGCGTCACCAGCGATACCAAGAAATTGTGGTCGGAAATGATGTTGCAATTTCCAGAGGCAGTTGCAAAGTTGAACTTCAAGTCGCTTCCCAAGAAGTCCACTCCTCAGCAATTCGACTTCCATGTCACGGATGCCAAGGTGCCCAACCACCGTTTGAGAGTGAAGTCGACTCCGGAAGATTTGGGCGTTGATACCGTGAAACAATACACTGGTTACTTGGACGTGGACGATGAAGATAAGCACTTTTTCTACTGGTTTTTCGAGTCACGCAATGACCCCAAAAACGACCCGGTTATCTTGTGGTTGAACGGTGGTCCAGGTTGCTCTTCTCTTACTGGATTGTTCTTCGAGTTGGGTTCTTCGTCTGTGGGTCCTGGCTTGAAACCAATCTACAACCCTCACTCTTGGAACAGCAATGCTTCGGTCATCTTCCTTGACCAGCCCGTCAATGTCGGCTACTCGTACTCGTCAGCTCTGGTCTCCGACACCATTGCTGCCGGTAAGGATGTGTACGCATTCTTGGAATTGTTCTACAAACAATTCCCCGACTATTTGAACCTTCCCTTCCACATTGCTGGTGAGTCTTACGCCGGCCACTATATCCCTGCGTTTGCATCCGAGATCTTGTCGCACGAAGACCGTAGCTTCAACTTGACTTCGGTCTTGATTGGAAACGGCTTGACCGATCCTTTGACCCAATACGAATACTACGAGCCAATGGCTTGTGGACAGGGTGGCGAGCCTTCCGTGTTGGAACCAGAAGAGTGCGAGGCCATGTCCAATGCGGTGCCTAGATGTCAGAGCTTGATCCAATCATGTTACGACTCTAGTTCCGTGTGGCTGTGTGTTCCCGCTACCATCTACTGTAACAACGCCGAAATGGGACCTTACCAACGTTCCGGTCGTAACGTGTACGATATCCGGACCATGTGCGAGGGCGGCAACTTGTGCTACCCAGCTTTGGAGGATATTGAAAAGTACTTGAATTTGGATGAGGTGAAAAAAGCCGTGGGTGCCGAGGTCGACACCTATCAATCGTGCAACTTTGATGTCAACAGAAACTTCCAATTTGCTGGCGACTGGATGAAGCCACACTACAAGGCTGTGGTTGACCTTTTGGAGGCAGACTTGCCGGTGTTGATCTACGCTGGTGACAAGGACTTTATTTGCAACTGGTTGGGTAACGAGGCATGGACTAAAAGATTAGAATGGTCCGGAAAGGACAAGTTCTCCTCTGCTCCAATGGAACCTTGGACTGTAGGAAAAAAGCAAGTTGGTGAGGTGAGAAACCACAAACACTTTACCTTCTTGCGTGTCTACGGAGGAGGTCACATGGTTCCATATGACCAGCCAGAGAGCTCGTTGGCCATGGTCAACGAATGGATCGGAGGAAACTACAAGTTCTAGTATGGTATATCGTTTTATTGGATTTGATTAAAAGTAGTCGTAGCATCCGAACACCGGTTCCGGAACAGGCCCGATTAGGAAATTCGTCAACACCCGGTTGTTTCATTCTTCTTCCTTGAAATCAGCAACTATACCATCTAGCACACATCAAAGCCTTTTACCGTCTATGCAACTCGCGTTGGAGTTGGCGGTTTCCGTCTTTTCCATAGCTACAGGCTGTCTTTCGGCAGTCTGCATGGCGCACCAAGTTACCGTGGGAACGTCCTTGACACTAGTTTCCAGTTTTATAATGGCATTGATCCAGGTTTTTCGAGCCCTAAGCACTAGCCGAGTATCTGCCGTGGTGTCTTTGATTGGGGGGATGTTTTATCTTGCATCTGGACTAGTATTTATACTCCTAGATTTGGTTGCAAACAAGTTTCAAACGACGCTAACATTCCCACTTGTTGTGGTATTTGCCGTCAACATAGTCACCTGGGGCATCTCTGTGCCTATTTGTGACAAGCTGCATCGTTCATTATCCCAAGATAGTGAAAAAATAATAGAATCAAACACCTCTGAGCCGGACTCAGACCACAACCTTCAAGTTGATGTGCCAGATATCAGCAAAAAAATCTCCGAGAAGACACTCGTGCACGGTCCTGGCTACTCTAATAACTCCAGTGAGTCGACATTTTCCCAGTTTCTGGCACATTATGTGAAAAGCGAACAGTTGGCGGAATTCGAAAAAAAAGTCAAGCGATCAAAGTCCACCCCAGCATTGTCAAAGTCTACTCCAGAATTAGGATACACCCCAGCATTACTCTCCAAACCCTCCAGACGAAGCAAGAAATCGATAGAAAACGAGAAGGTTTTTCTTCGATGCGTTTCCCAGTCGCTTCTTCCGTCGGTACTCAAACAAGGTGAGAGCCCAATCTTGATGGTTAAACGCCAGCAGATGAAACCAGACATTGATTCAGGTACCCATTCCGACCAAGCCTCAATAAACCTTCCTTATATTGACGAATTTGAGGAAGATCATGTTCATTTTCCAGGTTTCGACCAAGCCGAGCTCACTTCTGAACAGGCTGAAAAATACATGAACGGATTGGCAATTCCTCAATCTAGATCACAGCCCGTATTGTGGAACCTGGAGACACGAAACGTCTCTGGTGGACAAGTCAATCATATCAGCCATGAGTCTTGGAATCCACAAGCATTCTTGGAACATCGCAGTCGATCTGGTGGAAATTTAACTATTGGTGGTTCTCGTTACGTTGGGTCCAAGTTGCGAAATAATAGTAGTGCTACGCTTGCACTTGACGATACCGACGCTACGTTCTTGCTACCCAGTCATATCAGTATTATCGACAGTTTAAGTGATTTGTCGAGCGCCAGACCTACGCTGTACAGGTCCATGAGTGCTCCCTCTTTACACACCTTTCGCAATGTCAGTAACGGCAGTGAAGTTCCCTCAATCCCAGAAAACCCTACTGTTGCCAAGTTTGACTTTGGAACCGTAGATCTTGCAAGGGTATGTACACCCACAACTCCACAGGAAGCCACCTCAGAATCACCACTTCGTCGTTTTATCAAAGATAGTCCCAAACGAATCACCAGCGTTTTCAAGAAAAAGTCCATGGATTTAGGCACTTTGCCTTCCCACAAACATAGCACGTCGGTAATATCGCAACAGTATTCAATGGCTTCCAGTAAGTCGTCTCCCCGAAAGTCCATTAAGTCGTTATTCAGTGGAAATGCAGCAGGTATGCAAACCCACCGAACCCAAGGTTCCGTGCCCGTTTTCTCGCTCCCAGTACTGGTGGCTAGAAGTGCTGAGCCCATTGACTTCTGGGACGTGAGTACTGCTCCCAGTAGTGGAGGACCTTCTCGTGTGAGCTCTGTTCCCAGCGATGTCATTGGTGCTTACGACCGGGAAAAATGGAGAACGCTCAAGCTTCGAAACGACGATACAGGGATGCTGTATGGTATTGGAGTGGACAACTTTTAGCATAGTATGTATATAAAATATGTGTGATACCCAATGAGCGTAATACCCAAATGAGCATTATTTGCAGCCGTGCGACTTGTTTCGAAAAGTGTGGGAGTCTATTTTTCTTTTCAATAATGGAGGTTAGGTGGCATTAGTGACCTGAAGTACAGTTTGTATATTCATGAGGATTTTCCATTTTACTGGAACTCTCAATATTTTATTGGAAGCTGTGTTTGTGAATTTTCAGCCATTAAATTTCTTGTTCGCATTCGCAAATTTCTTAAGACGATATAAACCAGCTGAATTTCAAGAACTACTAGCTACTCTCCATAAAATTAGAAAAAGTTTCCTCTAAATTTGCTATCGACTAATTGTGGTAATTTGCAGCCATCGACCATATGAAGCACAAGCCAAAAATACACACTTCTATAATATTCTCGATCTTTTCCGATTTGCTGATTTATTGGATCTTTTACTGCCTGCTACTGTTCAATTGGCGATTACTCCCCTAAAAGCTAAGTATTTGTGTCTTACTCTTCTTTTCAATTTGCAGCCGACTTCCTGCACATCTACCCATATAATCTCATCGCGCGAAAACATCTTTCACGATGGACCAAGACGATTTATTCGGCGTCTTCGACGAGGCACCCATAGAGATTAACGAGCCTCCAGTTCCCAAGAAGCGTCATATTGCCGAAAAGGATGCTCAGAGCAAAAAGTTGAAGCTGGAAACCAACAAAAAACCACAAATCGAGAAAAGTTCCGATGCGGACAAAAACGAAACCGAAAATGAAAATGGCGGTTTGACAAAGAAAGTCCAGCCTGTGTTGTCTGATGCTTTGGAAATAGAAGCCTCGCGAGAGGTTGTAGCTTCCAGTGGGCTTTTGGGACAACAGCAAGAAGCCCCCGGCCATTTGAAGCTCCATCATCAAGTTCGTCATCAGGTTGCAATTCCTCCCGATTACCCATACGTACCCATTGGAGACCACAAGAGAGCCAACGAGGCCCGCACATACCCCTTCACTTTGGATCCGTTCCAGGATACCGCTATTTCGTGCATCGACAGAAATGAGCTGGTTCTTGTGTCTGCGCATACGTCGGCCGGAAAGACCGTGGTGGCAGAATACGCCATTGCTCAGTCTCTCAGAGAACACCAACGTGTCATCTACACTTCTCCCATCAAGGCCTTGAGTAACCAGAAATATAGAGAACTTTTGGCCGAGTTTGGTGACGTTGGTTTGATGACTGGTGATGTGACCATCAATCCAGACGCTGGTTGTTTGGTGATGACCACCGAGATTCTTCGGAGTATGTTGTACAGAGGCTCGGAGGTGATGCGAGAAGTTGCTTGGGTGGTTTTCGACGAAGTGCATTACATGAGAGACAAAAGTAGAGGGGTGGTTTGGGAAGAAACCATCATTCTTTTGCCCGATAAAGTTCACTATGTTTTCCTTTCCGCCACTATCCCCAATGCCATGCAGTTTGCAGAGTGGATTGTCGATATACATGCCCAGCCCTGTCATGTGGTGTACACAGATTTCCGTCCAACACCCCTCCAGCATTATCTTTTCCCAGCTTCGGGAGATGGTATTCATTTGGTGGTTGACGAAAAGGGAACTTTCCGTGAGGAAAACTTCCAGAAAGCCATGGCATCGATCAGCGACAATTCTGGAGACGACCCCGCCAGCGATACTTCTCGAGGAAAGAAGGGACAGACCTATAAAGGTGGACAAAAAGATGGAAAACTGGATATCTACAAAATCGTCAAGATGATATACATGAAGCGGTACAACCCTGTGATTGTTTTCTCGTTTTCCAAGCGTGACTGTGAATCGCTTGCACTCAAGATGTCCAAGCTTGACTTCAACAATGATGAAGAACGTGATGCCTTGACCCAGATCTTCAACAATGCAATCAGCTTGTTGCCTGAATCTGACAAGGAACTTCCCCAGATCAAAAATATCCTACCCTTATTGAAGAGAGGTATCGGTATTCATCATTCGGGCCTCTTGCCTATCCTTAAGGAAATCATTGAGATCTTGTTTCAAGAGGGTCTTATCAAGGTTCTCTTTGCTACCGAAACGTTTTCCATTGGACTTAATATGCCTGCAAAGACCGTAGTGTTCACCTCTGTCCGCAAGTGGGATGGAAAGGGTTTCCGGTGGGTCTCGGGAGGAGAGTATATTCAAATGTCTGGTCGTGCTGGTCGTAGAGGATTGGACGATCGTGGTATTGTCATTATGATGATCGATGAGAAAATGGAGCCGCAAGTGGCTAAGGGAATGGTGAAAGGTCAGGCAGACCGTTTGGACTCTGCATTTCATTTGGGGTACAATATGATCTTGAACTTGATGAGAGTGGAAGGCATATCTCCCGAGTTCATGTTGGCACATTCATTTTTCCAGTTTCAAAATGCTTCTTCTGTACCAGTTATGGAAACTCAACTTAGGAAACTCACCGATGAGATTGAGGCTATACACATTGATGACGAAAGTACCATCAAAGAATACTTTGAAATCAACAAGCAGCTCCAACAATACAAGGAGGACATGAGACAAGTCATTACCCATCCAGGTCACATTTTGCCTTTCCTTCAACCAGGAAGAGTTGTCAAGATTAAAGTAGGCTCCGACGACTACGGTTGGGGTATGGTGACGAGCTACCAGAAACGGAACAACAAGCGTAATCCATCCGATACCTACAAAGACCACGAGCTGTACATTGTCACAGTTTTTGTGTGCACGATGTTTGTGGATTCCCCAGTCAACTTGATTAAGCCTTTCAATCCCGTATTCCCTGAAGGTATTCGTCCTTCTAAACCGGGAGAAAAGTCAAGAGCAGAGTATATTCCTATTACTCTTGACTCTATACAAGCCATTAGCAGTGTGAGGTTGAAGGTTCCCACTGAGTTCAAGCTGTCTAGTGCTAAGCGAAACCTCGTTAAGACGATGAAGGATCTTCCCAAGAGGCTAGCCGATGGAATACCAGAATTGGATCCGGTGGAGACGATGAAGATTGACGACGGAGATTTCAAAAACTTGCTTCGCAAAATTGAAGTGTTGGAATCGAGACTCTTCAGCAACCCTCTTCATGATTCTGAGCGTCTCAAGGAACTTTACGACCAGTATGACGCCAAGATCAAGAAGGAAAACGAAGCCAACGAACTTCGTGAAAAGATTTTGGAAACCAAAGCCGTGATTCAATTGGACGATCTCAGGCATCGCAAGCGAGTTTTGAGAAGATTGGCGTTCACTACACCTGAGGATATCATCGAACTCAAGGGAAGAGTTGCGTGTGAAATCAGTACTGGAGATGAGTTGCTTTTGACCGAATTAATCTTCAGCGGAACTTTCAACGAATTGTCGCCAGAACAGTGTGCTGCTCTTCTTTCGTGCTTTGTGTTCCAAGAGCGTGCCAAGGAGACTCCCAGACTCAAACCAGAGCTCGCTGAACCGCTCAAAACTATGCAAGATATGGCTACGAAAATTGCAAAAGTGTTCCGCGAGTGCAAAATTGAAATTGTTGAAAAAGAATACGTTGAGCAATTTCGTCCTGAATTGATGGAGGTGACCCATGCTTGGTGCAAGGGAGCTTCTTTCACGCAAATCTGTAAGATGACTGACGTTTATGAGGGTTCACTTATTCGGATGTTCAAGAGACTTGAGGAAATGCTTCGGCAATTGGTGACGGCTGCAAAAACGATTGGAAACCAGGCGTTGCAAGAAAAAATGGAGAAGGCCACGGAAATGGTACACAGGGACATTGTTTCGGCGGGGCTGTTGTATTTGTAGATAGAGAACACCTTAATATTGAACATTTACTAATGCATTTGTAAGACAGTGAAAAGAACTAAAGAGAAATGAAGCAGTGTTCTTTGGAAATACTCTTCTCAGGTATTTTTTGAAGCTGACTGGGTAGTACTATTACTGCTGTTCTTGTTCCAAAAGGCCTAAGAAATTGATAATGGCTGCAAATCTGATTTATTTGAATTAATGTTATACGATAACAGTATTAATTAAACTTTTTCATTTGCAGCCATTTTTAACTTGTGCAAAGATGGCACATTTAAGGAACAAATTGATAAAATATACATAATGACCACAATCTGTATCACCTTCTGTTTGTCTTATTGGGTCTTCTAGTGATCTAGTGTACAAGGCGGTAGATATTGATATGCGTAATTCCAGTGAAGAGAATCGAATCAGAATGATCGCAAAAAACGCCACATAGAGTCAATTTTGGACAAAAAGTGCCAACAACAACTGAGTAAAGAAATCCAGATTCACGAAGTTCCACTGTGGGCAAACCGTTCATGATTTCTCATCAACATCTCACGAAACTTTACATTTCCGCTCAGACAAAGAAATGAAACATATAATTTTAGTCTAATGATTTCCGTATGCGCTCCAGTGTCTCTAACAGCACGTTGAATAGCTCCTCACATAGCACTCAGTCTCAAACAGCGACGGGCAGTTTAATATCTTCAAAGAACGAGGCCATTGATATTTCAAACGAGTCTTCCTTTGAAATTTTTATCTCGATTCTCTTGCACCTTTTTCTTGAGTATCTACCGTTTCTATTGTTCTGAGAGATTTCAGATCATATACTCTGGTGTACAGATTATATGGCAAACGATACTATGTGTTTGGGTCATAAATGGTTAGCTTTTGTCATGAATGGCGTTACTCTCAAAACTAAAAACTCCTAATCGAATTGACCTCATCATATAAAACTCGACCTAAGTTTGAGGAAAATGTTCTTGAAATTAAAACATGCTCAAGCCACGGTTCTATTTCTGGAGTCATGAAAACCCTCTGTTTCTATGAGCGACTTCAATTTTATAGACCAGCTATACTATTATATACGGCACTTGTAAGGATTCTGGGAGCAGTATTTTGGTGCAATAGGGCTAGGGCGCTTTCCTTCTGCCACTAATTGCTCTCTGAACTGGTGTAAACGAATTCCAAAGTCTTCCAATCTCAACTCGCCGTTTTCATCTTTGTTCCCACTCCAAGCTAGTTCGCCAAGAGCAGCAGTTCGAGGCCAGATCTTTTGTGTCAACACAAGACTATCCACTTGTTCTGACCACAATGGAGCTTCGTAACCTAGAACATGCTGCTGTTGCGACTTTGTGAAGTTGGAAAGAATGTCCATAGAATAAATTCTTTGCCATGTTTTGTACGGACCACACCATGAGTCCTTTCCCAAGTAATTCCATTCATAATTGACTTCATTATCAACGAACCGCTTGTCGTTAATGAGATACGAAGGTCCAATTCCACAATCCAAGTATAGGAAGGAAGAAGAGGAAATAATCACATCGTAGCCTTTGGAGGTGAGAACATTGACATTCTCATGTTCATTCCATGACTGGAGAATGATGTCTTTTGGAAGATCACTAGCATTCATGGACGACAATACAATATCTTCCCACATTATTAGTCTTCTCTCCTTCTTGTCTCGGAAAAGAGGAAGAGTCCGAGATAACCAATGATCCACCAACTGATTATACTTTCCAGGATGCTCTTGCAACCACATTTTTATAGATTCAGAATGGTTGTAACAGCCGATATTTAGCTCGTCGCTCCCTAGATGAAACATATTGTCAGAAAAAGCCTGCGTGAGCTCTTCATAGATATCTTTTACAGTTTCGTATGTGCTTTCAACAGTAACATCCAATTGACCTGGGGGAGGTTGCACAGCGGTATCGTCTTCGTACCAGCCTGTATCTCCACAAACAACCATGTTTGGATCTACCCTTTTCCATCCAGTTAAAGCATGTCCAGGCATGTCCAACTCGGGGATGACTCGGACTCCACGCTGGCGGGCATACCAAACCACATACAGCAAGTCCGACTTCATGTATACCTCTGCTTCGGAATACGCATCCTCAATCATTTCAGGGTGGCTGTCCAACTTCAAGGACCATGATTGCGTGTCAACAAGATGCCAATGGAGTACATTCATCTTACAACTGGCCATAATATCGATCTGTTCCAAGATCGAATCAACGGTCAAAAAGTTTCGGCCACTGTCAATCATGATTCCCCTGTGAGGATACGCTGGTGTATCTTTTATAGAGACAACGTCTAGCGTGAAAGACGAAGAGATTAATTGCTGGAGTGTAGTGAACGCATGAAGACCACCCCACACTGTTTTAGCAGAGATATAAACCGAAGAAGACCCGGGAACAACTTCTAAGCTGTAGGATTCATCCACTCCAAACTGAAGTTCCGTAAACGGGTCTTCAATACGGAGTTGTACTTCTGAGATATGCGGCTTCTCAAAATCAAAAACAACCATTTTGTCACTGGAAATAGAGCTCATCATTCTGTTGAATGCACTTGTAATTATGAAATTCTCAACGTCAGATATCAATTGACATGTTCGAGAGAACTTTACGCTGGCACCATGATAAATTATCGAGCTTGGATAAGGAAGAAGTGCAGTCACACTAGCGATACAAAAAATCTGGCAAATGCAAAATAGGAAATGCATTATCAAATTCAGAGAAACTAGTGATGTTGAGTATGTCCTATAATATATTTTTCTTGCATGAATAAGCCCAACTGGAAATCGTTGCTTTGATAAACTTTCTAGAGTAGCTGGATCAAGCAAGAAAAGCTGGGCGATTTCTGATTGTCAGTCCTTGCCGACTTTTGAATACGAACCTCAGGGTGCCTATCTTACTGTTGCTTATATAAGCGTGCATATGTCAAGTATCTCCCGCTGCAACCTGAGATTGTTGCAATCTTGTAGTCATGCAGGAACGCATATACCATTCGGAAACTATTCTTAAATTTTTAATCAAACTTTTTTTCGTTTGCTTAATCTTACACAAGCAAAATGCGCTCACTTTGGTGTGACGAATAGTTTACTCAAATTTATGGACTATGAAAAGTGAAATCATCAGTAGAACATGGTTGTGTAACGAGACCAGGACTGTATCTTCGCCTGTTAAATAGTTATCTATAAAATCTATAGTTAGGCTGGCAAAACTTTATCGTGAAAACAGTACAGGTTCGATTATATCTTCTATAGAACTATATTTCACTTGCTTGACCCAGGAGAACAGGCAACGCAAAATTGGATTTGGGCCACTATTCGCTTGAATTGCGAAATAAACTGGAACTTGTATTGTGTGTCGGCAAAACTCTATTTATATAGAGACAAATTAGCAGCTCAACAAGAATTCTAGTGATCCATGAAAGATCAAAGTCTTAATCTTAGGTTCCATTTGGAGCATGCTAACGCACTACCAACTAAGAACATGTCAAACAAGACCAACAAAGCTGCGTTAGCTAAATTTGCAGGCATATACTTGGTCAATAAGTGCTCTGCCATGTTCCAAATGGATGTTCCAGCTCCATTGTTGAACTTCAAAAGAAGAAAAGTGATCTCACCAATAAAGTATACTTCCAAAGATTGACGGCCCACTGCTGCTAGAGAGTTAGCAACTATTGCAGGTGCGTAAGCTAGGCATTTTTTGAGAAGCATGCCCTTGAAGATTGATATACTATTGGTGATTAGCACGAACGAGGGGGTCCATAATGGTTTTGACAATGGCATAAAACGAGGAAAAACCAGCGACAAGAATTTACCAGTTGCATATTGCAATAGCCCTGACAAGATCAATGCCTTGTCGGAAAATTTGCTGTTGCCGATATAGTATCCACTCCAGAGCGTTACTGAAGTCATAAGACTTCCCAAAAGTCCTTCTGGATCAAAATTGGGCTCGTAAGTTCTGCTTCCGAATAGTTTTGAGTCAATTTTTTGTTGTGCGGTCGGTCGAACCTGGCTCGTCAAAAGGATCTTTCTTATTGTCAGCGTAGAAGATGGAGATTGCGAACCATAATGAGAACATCAATAAGGGATAATACAACGAATTCCTAAGTCTTGCAGGTACCAAATTGTGGAAGATTATCGAACTCAAGCCATGTCTTTGTAACACACCGAGAAGTCGTAACTTTCCATTATCCATGATAACCAGAGGAGCATTATACATAATGCCGAAACAGATCAACTTGATTCCTCTCATAATTGGGGCAATTCGACCTCTTTTACTGGTTAAACCAGCGATAAAGGAAAAGCATGGGAATATTGTGTCTCCGTAGTTGACCTTTTTCTCCGTGAATTTAGCGTGGCCGAGGACATTCCCCAACACCTCCGTTCCCTCCATTTCTAAAACTGTCAATCCCCTAAATGCATCTAAGAAGACATCCCGCGGCATTTTCTCTAGTCGATAATCTTATGTTTGAATTGCGAAATTGTTTATATTCACTGTTCCGTGATCGTATGCTGAAGTTATTTTTCGCAACAAGAATGAACGTGATCGAAAAGTCAGATTGCAACATTGCAGTCCTGAAGTCAAGCCTCGGAGTGCAGTGCAACATGCTTCTATCCATAGATTAATCCTTCAGATGAACTGAGCTTGCATGGAGACCGCCGCATTTGGCAACCACTAAGCCCTCATGCACGATAACGGCTATTTTGGCAACATCGGGAACACGAATTATTGTCCGAGGGCTGCGTGATTATGCATGATCGCATGCAGCATGCGTCTGGAACAGCCATGCGGCTTGAATAGCCATCTCAACTGATAGTTATACGAACGCAATCTTTGACCTTCCGAAATAAGTGGAACGTTACATCTGAAGAGATCATTGACGATCTTGATAAGGGATTGAAAATTGACAATATTTGAGGGTCTTAAATAGTATGGGTCTTCGGTCAGTTCTCTCACTAGATAACATTGTTCAAGATGGATTCAAGAGCAAGCACCAGTGTTAATGGTAAAAAGAATTATGAAGTAACTGTAGAAGTGGAGGTCAATGAAGCGGAGGAACAAATTCTCAATGCTCTTCAGGAGACAGAGAAAGTTGTTGAGAATGACAAGAACCTCAAGGTAATGGAAGCCATAAAGCTCTATCCTAAGGAGATTTTTTGGTCTTGTGTCTTTTGTATTGGCGTGGTGATGTGTGGCTATGATGCAGCGATTATTACTTCTTTTTATGCTCTCCCAGCATTCCAAAAGGCTTTTGGTGAACAGGATGCTAACGGGAAGTACTTCATTCTGGCTCCATGGCAGACTGCGCTCGGAATGGGTTCGCCTATTGGTCAAGTTATCGGTACTTTGGGCATCACCTATCCCTTGGAGTTGTTTGGTAGGAAATGGACATACATGGTTATTTGTTTGGCTAGCGTGGGGCTAGTGTTCATGCAATTTTTTGCGCCATCATTAGCTGTTTTAACAGCCGGTGAGATCTTGGCCGGAATTCTTTGGGGTTCTATGGTTTTGATAGGACCTACTTACGCTTCGGAGGTGTCTCATATACGACTTCGGGGAATCTTAACCGCAATGAATAATATGGCATTCGTGATAGGTCAATTTATTGCCAGCGGTATGTCTCAAGCTTTTGCAACCAATAGCACTAAATGGGCTTACAAAATTCAGTTTGCTGTGCAGTGGGTCTGGCCGTTGTTAATTATAGCCATGCTTCCGTTTGCTCCAGAATCGCCATATTGGCTTGTTCGGAAATCGAGATTTGAGGATGCAAGAAGATCATTGAAAAGTCTCTCGTCCGCAAATACTTCACCAATTGAAATAGAAGATCGGCTAAATGTGATAGCTCAGACCGATAGCCTCGAGCGACAATTGGAAAAAACTACTTCCTATTTTGATCTCTTCAGAGGAACCAATTTTATAAGGACAGAAATCTGTTGCATGGTGTATTCCATTCAAGTATTCTGTGGGGTTCCTTTCGCAACTGGCTATTCTACCTATTTTTTTGAATTAGCGGGAATTTCAACAAGCGTTGCATTCGACTTGACGTTGGGCTCGTCAGCTATAGGCTTCGTTGGTACTTGCTGTTGTTGGGTTCTCTTATCATATTGTGGAAGAAGACGGTTTTATAATTTTGGCTTGGCCATTACGACCGGTTTGTTGTTCGTGATTGGCTTATTAGACTTACCCTCAAATTATACTGCCAAGCCTGGTTTAGCATGGACACAAGCTACAATGATGTTGATTTGGTCATTTATTTACCAAGTCTCCACGGGGCCGTTGTGCTTTGTCTACATCGGAGAAATTCCATCTACAATTTTAAAGAGTAAAACAATTGCATTCTCAACAGCAATGCAAGCGTGTTGGTACATTGTGGCTACTATAGCTTTGCCCTATATGTTGATTCCAAATGAAGGTAACATGAGAGGAAAAACTTCATTTGTATTTGGGGGCATGTCTTTGCTTTGTATGGTATGGTCTTATTTTAGGCTTCCCGAGACTGAAGGCAGAAGCTTTGAAGAGTTGGATATTTTGTTTCACAAAAAGGTCTCCCCTAGAAAATTCAAAAAGACCCTTTTGTTCGAAAGCGAGAAAGTTGAGGAAGACGATACTCAAGTGTAACTAGCACGAGAAAGTTACCTCTGCTTTCAGGGCAGACAGATTTACCTGAGTTTCATCTATTAACACCAGCTGTGCTAAAAAGCGCTATTTTGTTTTTTTGTGTTTTTTTAATTCGAATCTGAGAAGAATTTTGCAGCCATTTTTAACTTTGAAAGATGGCACAGTTCAGGAAAAAAGTGATCAAATACTCACTATATAGTAAACCACATTCGATAGTTACTTGCGTCTGTTTATTGAGTCTTCTGATTATACTACTTTTCAGGGCAATGAATTGCATTGCGGCGAGACTCAATTCAAGAAATTTTGAGCTTTATCAGGCTGAGGTAGTTTTCTCTAAGTAGGCTCATGAAACACCTTGTACGTTTTCATTGACGGATATAGTACGAAGAGCAAAATAAAACCCAGAGCTGATGGAATTGTTGAGGTACTTCTGCTAGTCCGTCTATCAACAATCAATAAAAAGTTGGGTAGCAAGGAGATAAAAAGTAATAAGCTATTCATGTGGCAATACTAACTAGAGACAGTCACTTAATTGAATGAAATTCATCTATTGAGCAACAATTGATGATACACCTCAATCGAAACTAACTTTGAATAAGCCAAGAAATTGCAGAAATATGAAAAAATTCAAACCTTGAGAATAAAATTGTAAAATTTAATTAAGTCATTTAGGTACGAAAACTTACAAATAGTCAACTCGATACTATTCTTTCTCGAAACTTTTTACATAAAAGACGACAACTGATACTCGTAGGTCAAGCATTCTAGTTTCTGACCTTCGAAGCCGCTTAATAAGACGAGGCTCCGTCTTACATAAGCGAATGACAAGTTTCCGGAGCGGCGACGAGCCGCTCGACTAAATGTGCTACGATGTCCCTCTATTTCAGCCGAACTCTACCGCCCATACAGCTTCCAAACTGATTGCTTTAAAATTCACCAAGAAGTAACTGAAGAAGTAAGTGAACTTCTCCTCATTAGAGAAACCTTCTTCACCACCTTTCAAACCTAAATTAATTGTACTCTCTACAACTGATAAAGAGGTGCGAAAGAAGCTTCAAGTCAAAAGCCAATACTTCAGTGGCATATGATATTCAAGGAGGCCGCTGGAGTTCAAGAGCACTAAGAACTCAGAGAAGGTACCAAAGGTGGCACAACTGCCATCAACTTCGAGTAGAGTACTCGCAAAATTGGCTGCAAAATTCTGATATTGCCGGTAACTAAAACGTAGTTAGCCATAATTACTTGAAATTACAAGAAGCGCCGTGATAGAGGCGCTTCATGGTCATGAATCAAGCCGTAAATCCAAGTCTTTCAAAACATAGAGCCCACAAATAAATTGAGAATGTTAACTTCTTGATAGAGTAGAAAGTAGCCTTATTTTAGGTCTTTGATTTCAATAAAAACAAAGGAACACATCATAATTATCCAACTTTCAAGAGCTAAACTAAACACCTAACAAGTTTGAGTCCTGCGAGAGGTCTAAAAAGGTGGAAAAAGGGCATGAATAAAAGTTGGAATGTTTCTAGCTTAAGAGCCATATCTTAAAGGTCGTCCCATCCTCAATCTGAGGGGTCGTCTCATCCTCAATATTTATATGTTTATGAATAAGTCACCGGAGAGTCAAAGTATGAAGAATTGGAGAAGGCCATTTGAGTAGCAATTTTTGCCTTTAAAACGCACTGACTCGTTCCAGCTCATAGGAGTTATAGATTGGCTAGCAATAGAAAAAGGTCGTCCCCATCCTCAATTTCAAAAGTCGAATTAGCACTTTTGAGACATACCAAACCTCTGGCGCGTGGGACAGTTCCAATCTCGGGTGACGTAGCTCGGTTTTTCTTACCACAACTTCGCGAAAAGTGGGACAGATAAACAGCAAATCTGTCCCACTTTTCTAGATGCAAGCGCGCGAAATTTTGCAGCCGCGCGCTATAATTAAAATTTCCTCCCACTTTTCTCATAGTCATGCTAGCAGCTATTTACACTACAATTACCATTGATTGGGTGACTATTCTTACTAGAGACTAACCTTTGGTTCATGTCTTTTGCAATATTTCGAAAAATTGAAAGGTTTTCGGAGAATATGAAACATGGCTCTAACCTTCCACTGGATCGATTGTTAAAAGCATGTTTACGAGATCTTGAGCTAAGTAAAAGCTACCTAAAGTAAAAGATCGTAAAAAAGGGGAAGTGCAATGGGATAAAATTGGAAAAGGTTGAATGGACTGGCCGTGAAAAAACCTCTGTAGCCTAAAAGTAATGAACCTCACATATGCACGTATCTCATTCGAAATCCCTAATAACTAACTTATATAATAAACGCATCGATTACGTTGGTCCCAGTCTTCCACCGGACCGTGGTTGAGAGTGTTAGATATTGCCTCGCACTATAGTACGAACTTACCGTAATAGATCTAGTTTCGGACCTTGATCTCTGACTAAGACGAGGGTCAAGCTTACATAATCGACCCCGATTTTGACTAAATGTCAACTTTCCAGAGCGGCAAATCATCGTACAACAGAACGGGCCATATTGTCCATCTAGGTCAGCCGAACTCTATCGCCCGCTACAATCTTGGCGTTCTCCGATCAAAATTGAGTGTTTTGATCGAGCCGTCGTCGCGGCTAAATGTCAAGTTTCCGGAGCCGCAAATCATCGTAGAACAAATTTGGACACAATGCCCATCTAGTTCAACCGAGATCTCTAGCCCGCTACAATCTTGGAGCGCTCCGATCAATATTGAAAAAATTTGTGTCAAAAGGCCCGTTTTTGGACCTTATGCAGCTTATGTAATCGGCTAAATGTCGACTTTCTGAACCCGTCAAACGTCGGGCGGGGAATCGGTTCAGTGCGCTTTGATGCCCCACATTTCTATTTTAAGGCCGACCCAAAATTGGCGATTTTTTGATTTTTGGCCCGAATTGCACTAGTTTGAACCAAGTAATTGTTATGTAATACTAAGTCACGATTACCTAAGCATCTCGATATTCTTATGTTGAGGACTTAATGTCAATGTTTTGCAATTGCAGAGGTCGTTTTCGTCTAATCTTCGTGATTTTCTTGCTGTGTTGTATATCTGCTATTCCTATGCCTTTATTTTGTGTTTGAATTAGAACACTAAAATCAATTCTACAAAATTTTTCAAAATTGTAAATTGCTATGTATTTCGCTAAGTAAATCAAGTTTCAGCTAGCACGAGAACATTTAGAAGAATCGGCCTAGAGCTCAATGCTAAATTACAGCTCTGAGGATTCTCGTTAGGTCTTGAGGCTTTAAATTGTGTAAAGTGATTTGTACAATTTTTTTGTCATGGAGAGTATAATTTAAGTTTACGCACAACCTTTTCCGTGGCGCGCCCATATAACTTAACTAACAAATTTTCGTGACGAAACCGGTGCGCAACACAGGCCGGAGACTCGTATACTAATGTCTTGATAAGTATTCGTGTCGGGGTGTCTGGGTTTTTTTGGGTTGCAAGTATTTAGCAAAGTTATAGAGGTTAGTTGCAGCAATTACCACCTAAATCTAACTCTGCTAACTCCTGTCTCCAGAATTGGCCACTGCCTGTTTCGAGAAGTCGATTTGTTTGTGAAAAGTATTTAAAGTGAGTGGCATTACATAATTGGTATATGTCAAGATTTGCAGAATAAACAACAATAATCGAATTATGGCGATATTGCCACTAGTGGCATATATTACGAGACGTCTACTTTCACCTTCAGTAATTTCAGCCAACTTTAATTTTGTCAAGTTCTCCAGTGGCTGCGAATTTTATGCGAATCTCAAAATTCAAATCGAAATTCTAGTCGCAATTCACGTTTCAATTCAAGTCCACTCTTCCAAACATCTCCAAAGGACATCCAGCACTCAATATAAAAGCTTATTGGTACTATAGTTTTGCTCCTGATACCTTACTTTTGATCCAATTTCATTTCCATGTCGTGTGAACACGAACATCATCACCACCATGTGGCCCCAGTTCCCACGAACCCTGGCCAGTCACTTCTCAGCCATATAGATATTCCCCATATTAGAGCACTCAATGTCGACCATCATAGCCATGTTGGCAAGATTTTCCGCAAACCAGAAGAAAAGTATCAATTGACTCCAGCAGTGGTTTCTGACTGCGACTCGCAACTCATCATTCATATACCCTTCACTTCGGGAACCGTCAAATTGCACTCGATCATTTTACGTACTAACGGAGACGTCCACTGTCCCAAGAAGATCAAGGTGTGGAAAAACGACGACCACATTGACTTTGACAATGCTGGTGCAAAGAAACCTACTCATACAATTGACCATCCCAGAGTGGGAGTCTTATACAACGATGTCGAAGATCTTCCCACGGAAATCGTCAGTGATGGCGATTTTGTCGAGCACCATGTCCCTCGCCATGTATTTAGTGGGGTAAGTCTGTTGACATTGTTTGTAGAGACTGTTTTTGGAGAAGACGACGAAGATGACGAGGACGAAGAACCATGCATTTTTCACTATATTGAGCTCCGCGGTGAATTCACAGCACTTTCCAAAGATCCAGTGGTGACCTTGTACGAGCTGGCTGCTAATCCGGCAGACCACAAGGTGGACGAGGTGGGCACGGCCACGGGAATGAGTGGGTATTAGGAGGGAGAAGAGGAAGATAAAGAGGAAGAAAAAGTAGAGGAAAGAGAAAGAAGTGGAGAAGGAAACAGAATAATTGAACAGTGAAGTAATTATGCTCACTTGGCAAGCTCTCACTTTTCGCTGAAATAGAGGAAATGAAGGAAAAGTAGAGAGGAAGAGATTGCACAATTCCCTCTTTTTGAGATTCGATAAATGCTGTTCAATGAAGGGAAGCTTCAGCTTATTCTCACTGGATACTTCTGCATCATTCATCCTTCTTTTTAGTTGTCCACCTTTATGCCTACTTGATGTGAAAATCACTAAAGGCGAGTACACAAAAGATCTATTTTTTCATTATTTTTCGATTGTGGTTTTCCCATTAAAACTTATCAACACTAAGCAAAGACGTGCCATCTCAATTGACGCATGTTACTACAAAACAACTTACAATTCGACTGCTGTCCCGTATAGACTCTGACACGAGAGGTGGTCAATCATTGGTATTCTGTCAAATTCTTGAATATTTCTTCGTCAATTATACTATCTCTGGTGTTTAGCTGCTTCGAGTCAGTATTATGTCTGCATAAAGGGCTCTCAGTGATTCAATTAGTAACAATTCAATGATCTTATAGTTGCAGCCACTCTATAAAGGTCGTCCCATCCTCAATTTCAATTCCAGATATTGAGAAATTGAGGATGGGACGACATTTACAAAGTCGAGTTTATAAGTCATCCTAGAAGCCAAAGTAGGAAGACTTGAGGAGTCCATCAAGAGCATTAACCTTAGCTCTATTATGTGTAACGCGCTAAAGCTTGTGACAGCTCACATGGTGCCACAATTTGCAGCCAAGTTTTCAAGGTCGTCCCATCCTCAATTTCAAAAGTCGAATTGACACTTCAGACACACGGAGCCTCTGGCAAGTGGGACAGACCCACTTTTGGTGTACGAGACTCAAATTTACGCACCAAAAATTCGCGAAAAGTGGGACGGATTTGTGTCCCACTTTTCTTCATGCAAGTATGTAAAAGTTTGCAGCCGCGCGCACAAATTGTAATTTCGTCCCACTTTGCCTAAATTTACTCATACTTTGTGGCTAAGCTCAAAGAGAAGCAATGCTACAGCTACTACAAATACGTCAGATACAATGAACTCGTTGGTAACGTTTCTTGGAAATTTGGTAATTATTGGGTAGAAAAAATCGTGTCCCAAACCTAATAGCCCATCAAACTCAATCAACCCAAAGCAAACAAAATCAAAAAAACCCATGAATTCTAATCCAATGTTGTCCTGAACCCAATTCCGCACCACAATCACACCACTCCGTCACATGGTTCCACCACTTAGCCACCATTTGCAGCCGGAGTCCGTACACCCGAGTGCATCCACACACCCACACACCCGGCGGTCCGTATATAAGCCGTGCGGCCGCGCCCCGATCGCCAAAATGCCAAAATTGATTTTGATTAGACACGGCCAATCCGAGTGGAACGAGAAAAACTTGTTCACAGGATGGGTAGACTGTAAGTTGTCCGACGTGGGCAGAAAGGAGGCTGCTAGAGCAGGAGAATTGATCAAAGAAAAGGGCTTGGTGGCTGATGTTTTGTACACTTCCAAGTTGTCCAGAGCCATCCAAACTGCCAACATTGCTTTGGAAGCTGCCGACCAATTGTACATTCCCGTCAAGAGATCGTGGAGATTGAACGAGAGACATTATGGTGCTTTGCAGGGCAAGGATAAGGCCGCCACTTTGGAACAATACGGAAAGGAAAAGTTCCAGACATGGAGAAGATCGTTTGACATTCCTCCTCCAACCATTGAGGACTCTTCTGAGTTTTCCCAGGCCGGGGATATCCGTTACAAAGAAATTGACCCCGCTGCTTTGCCAAAAACCGAGTCGTTGAAGTTGGTTATTGACAGATTGTTGCCCTACTGGCAAGACGAACTCTCGCGTGATTTGTTGGACGACAAGGTGGTTTTGGTGGTGGCCCACGGTAACTCGTTGCGTGCTTTGGTCAAGCACTTGGACAAGATTTCTGACGAAGAAATTGCCGGTTTGAATATCCCTACCGGTATTCCTTTGGTTTACGAGTTGGACGCCGAGTTGAAGCCAACCAAGCCAGCTTACTACTTGGACCCCGAAGCTGCTGAGGCCGGTGCTGCCGCTGTTGCTGCCCAGGGACAAAAGAAGTGAATACAAGATGATGGCGAATGAGCCAATGGAGACTTTCAATGCGTAGAACTGTAGTATTTAATCGCTTGGCTTTCTGTCAATGATCTCAACATCTCAATGATCAATGATCTCAATGCTCTCAGCTCTCAATGCTCAATGAAACTCACCCAATATCTAATCTCAATGGCAATGACTTAACAGCCATTCTCACTGAAGAGTACCATATAGCAGCTTCATCTGGCAGTTCGCGCACCGCCCTGTGCAGTCCACATCACCGAATTTCTTCAAAAATATCCACAACTCTTCTCATCATGTCTGCATTTGGAGGCAACAATGGCACCAATCTGGGCACAGGAGGAGCGTCTCCGTTTCAGTTTACGCTGCTGAACCAGAATCTGAAACCTGCTTTTGCTTTTGGGTCGTCAGCAACTTCCAATAATCAATCCAACAACACAAACAACTCAAACACCAACAATAATACGACTACAAATACTTCTGGTGGTCTCTTCGGCGGTTCTGGTTTCGGATCGAACCAGGGGGGGGTTCGGATCTGGGAGCACGGGCGGTGGAAATGCGTTTGGATCCACTAATGCTTCGACTACTCCATCATCGGGGTTATTTGGAAACAACAATTCACAAGCTACGAATGTAGGAGGCTCTACGGCGCAACCAGCTGGGACTAGCAGTGCACTGGGAGGAATTTTTGGGTCTGGATCTGGCAATTCTGGAACTTCTGGAACTTCTGGTGCTGGTGGTACTGGATCTGGCTTCTCGTTCGGCGCCCCTCTGTCGCAGAATAAAGGCTCACTTTTTGGTCTGAACAACGCAGCAGCACCAGGCACGTCGAATCCTGGAGGTTCAGGAACTGGATCATCAGGAACCGGAGGTTTAGGAACCTTTGGTTCAAATACTGGTTTCGGTTCGAATGCTGGATCCGGGACCGCCAGCAAACCTTTCTCCTTTGGAGCCAACAAGGACGCATCTGCTACGTCCTCAGCACCTTTTGGATCTTCAGGTCAATCCAGCTTGTTTGCCAAGCCCGATGACAAGACAAGCACAAATTCAACTCAGCCAGGATTGTCGTTCGGCAATACAGACAAGAAGGAGAGCCCCAAACCAAACTTCTCTTTCTCAAAGCCCGAAGAGAACAAGAGCTCACCTGCTTCTGGACTCTCTTTTGGCCAACAAAACGAAAAGAAAGATACACCTGCTGTTTCTTTTGGAAGTACCACTGACAAAAAAGATGCTACTCCTGGTTCCTCCTTCAGCAAACCAGAAGAAAAGAAGGAGAGCACTGCCAGCTCGGGATTTTCGTTCCAAAAACCAGAAGAGAAGAAGGAAGCATCAGGATTTACATTTGGGAAAACCGACGAAAAGAAAGACACCGCATCAAGTTCGGCCTTTTCCTTTGGTAAGCCAGCGGAAAAGAAAGACGCTTCACCTGGATTCTCATTCGGCAAGCCAGAAGAAAAGAAAGACACCACAACTTCCTCTGGATTGTCGTTTGGAAAACCAGCGGAAAAGAAGGAAGGCTCATCTGGATTTTCTTTGGGTACAACAGAGAAGAAGGATACTCCTCTGACAGGATTTTCCTTGAGTAAACCAGCGGAAAAGAAGGAAGGCTCATCTGGATTTTCTTTTGGTACTACAGAGAAGAAGGATACTCCCCTGACAGGATTTTCCTTGAGTAAACCAGAAGAGAAAAAAGATACGCTGTCGGGCTTCTCCTTTGGAAAGCCAGCAGAAAAGAAGGAGGGAGCCACCTCTACAGGGGGCTTTTCTTTTGGCAAACCTGAAGAGAAGAAAGAGCCATCGGCAGGATTATCGTTCGGTAAACCCGCTGAGAGCAAACCACCATCGTCAGGGCTTTCTTTTGGTAAGCCAGAAGAGAAAAAGGAGACCTCCGGTGGCTTTTCTTTCGGCAAACCAGCGGAGAAGAAAGACACCCCATCCACAGGCATATCATTTGGCAAGCCAGCGGAGAACAAAGACGGCTCCAAACCCGAGGAAAAGAAAGAAGATCAAAAGACCAAAGATGCTACAGCCACCACCACAAGCAGTGTCACCCTCAAGCCAACCCAAGTACAACCTATTGCCGAGTCCATTGACAACAAAACGATGGACGACCTTTTGGCAAAATGGTCCAAGCAGTTAACGTCCACCACCAAAATGTTCGATACATACACCACCAAAGTCAAGGAGTGGGACCAGCAGTTGGTGAGCAGCGGCGACGAAATTTTGTCGCTTTATAACGACACTATCGAGGCTGAAGGGTTGCAATCTCGCATAGACCAGAATCTTGTGTATGTGGAGAGCCAGCAAGACGAGCTTGAAAAGTTGCTTGACAACTACGAAGCCCAAGCCGATATTCTTCTTAACAACATTGAATTGAGTGGAGAGGGAAGAATGGGCGGACCAGCTGGTGAATTAACTGCTACTGACAAGCTTCGAGAAAAAGCATACCACAATGCCGAATTGTTGGATGAAAAATTGGACAGTTTGGGCCTGAATCTTGGAGCGCTAGTCAACGAAATCAACGGAGTCAGCGATGTGTTCAACAAGAACTCACTCAATGAATTGGGAGCGGTTACCAAGGGAAGAACGAGCAACGACACCATTGAAGGCATCGTGCAACTTCTCAATCTTCATCTTGAAAACTTGAAATACGTTGAAAAGTCCGAGGAGATGTTGCGAGAAAAGTTGGGAAAGACCCAGGGCTAGAGCAGAAATAGGAGAGCAGAGCTAGAAGAGGTATGGATAGGAATGACGAACCAGGTAGAAGCACAGAAGTAGAGCAAATTGCAAAAAGTGCAAATTCAAAGTAAATGACAAATTTCAGATTGGACGTAACATGAAGAGCAAAGTTCAGAAGTAATCGACAAGCTACTAATATATCAAGTCAGAAGTAACAACAACTACCAGTGAAATATTTGTGCATTCTGCAGTATTGGTGGGGATGCCGCGGTTCGCAGCACATGCATTTCGCGCCCAAAAAGGTGGAGACCTAAAACGTTTATATCTGGTGGTTCCGTCTCAATCCCACAATTTATACACCATGAAAACGCCCGGAATACTAGACATCATAAAGCTTCTTTTCAATCCCAATGTGTCCAAAATGATGATTTTGCAGATCGCTTATGGACAACTTAAAATCATTGGGTTGGCCAAGATTTTGTCTGCGGTTTTGGGTCTGCTTATTGTTGGTGTGTCTTCGGTAATTAAGGTGCCCCAAATCAAGAAGATCGTGAAGCCGGAATTGTTACTGAACCGGATCCAGGTGGCTCAGGGATTGAGTCTCGAAGGTATTAGTTTGGAGACACTTAGCAACTGGATCCATGTTGCTTACAACAGCCAAAATAACAACCCGTTCCGCAATTACGGCGAGTCTCTCTTTGTGGGGGTCCAGAACATTGCAATTATCCTTCTTATCGACTATTACAATGCTCGGAGTCGTCTTGGAGCGGCTGGTCCCGGCGAAGACGACATCAAGATTCGCCAAGCTTTGCAAGAGCTAGTGCGCCCAGCGGCTGTAATTGCAGGCTCAATTGTGTTCTTGACCAAATTGGCACCCGAACGGTTGATTTCCACTTTGCAAATAGCCAGTATTCCGATTTCCATCGTGTCGAAATTGCCGCAAATCCGCCAAAACCACCGTCTCCAGCGTGCCTCACACTTGTCGGAGATCACAGTCGGCGCCAACTTGATCGGCTCGTTGATCAGGGTGTTCACCACCGTCCAGGACTTTGACAAGCTTGGCCGTGACAAGGTTTTGTTGGCAGGATACGGGCTGTCTTTGGTTTTGAACCTGGTGTTGGCGGGCCAGGTGTGGTACTATGGCAAGCAGGAGCAACAGGAGAAACAGGAGAAGAAGGACTAGGTAGTGTTTCTGTTGTAAATGAATAATTCTTGTAGTAGATAGGATCGATCCTGCATCCAGCTCGTACCCCAGCTTTGAAATCTCAACGATTCGTCGCTATCATATGGTGCACCAAGCAGAGTTTCTAGCGCCCACCGGCACCAACATCTCGTCGGTTCTCCAAGGCGGTTACAACCACCCGCTCTCTCGAGAGTGGCAGAGTGAGCGGCAGTTGACGAAAAACATGTTCATATTCCCACTTTTCATTCTGGACGACGAAAATGAAGAACTGGATATCGCCAGTCTTCCCAATATAAAACGCAGAGGCCTCAACAAGTTGGTTCCGTATGTGGACAGCTTGGTCCAGAAGGGCCTTAGGGCCGTGATACTCTTCGGAGTGCCTTTGAAAGAGGGAGTTAAGGACGAGTTGGGCACCGCTGCCGACGACCCAGAGGGCCCAGTCATCGCAGGAATCAAGTTGTTACGTCAAAACTTCCCAGACTTGTTCATCATGTGTGATGTGTGCTTATGCGAGTACACTGATCACGGTCACTGTGGAGTTTTGAACGAAGACGGAAGCTTGAATCGTGAAAAATCGTCGCTTCGTCTTGGAGCCGTCGCTGTTAATTATGCCAAAGCCGGTGCCAACTCGGTGGCTCCTTCAGACATGGTAGACGGACGAGTCCGTGACATCAAGCTAGGCTTAATTGAGGCTGGACTTGCTCACAAATGCTTGCTTATGGCATATTCCGCCAAGTTCAGTGGTGGATTATACGGTCCTTTCAGAGACGCTGCTGGCTCTGCACCCAGCCATGGCGACAGAAAATGCTACCAGCTTCCTCCAACCGGGTCTGGGTTGGCTAGAAGAGCATTGACAAGAGACATTCTGGAAGGAGCAGATGCCGTCATTGTTAAACCTTCGACTTTTTACCTTGATATTCTCAGCGATGCAGCCAGATTGTGCAAAGATTACCCCATTTGCGCCTACCATGTGTCCGGAGAGTACGCCATGTTGCATGCCGCGGCAGAGAAGGGGGTGGTGGACCTCAAGCAAATTGCGTTTGAAAGCCACAACGGTTTGCTCCGTGCTGGTGCCCGGCTCATCATCAGTTACTTCACTCCAGAGTTCTTGGAGTGGTTGGAGGTTTGATAGCATTTGTAAATAGCAATGAATAAATAGTATGCGGAATTAGGAGAGTCTAGCTTCAGTAGAGTGTCCATGCGGCAAGTGCAGTGTTTTCTTCTTTGTCTTCCTTAGCTTCCGTTTCTTGCACCGGCTGCGTGGGGGCATCTGGAAGCTTGGGATGCTCTTTGATTTCGTCGCTTGGAACCTCGGGCAATTTAGGTGCTTCTTGTTCCTTTTGTGCCTCTTGTGGCTTCTCCTTGGCAATACCGGCCTCGGCTTCCAATCTACGCAATTCTTCGTCAACCTCATTCTCCTCTCCATTCGAAAGCGAAAGTCCCGTCATTCCCAACATGTCCAGGATCTCCGCCGCCTTCATGTTTTCCTCATCTACGGTGTCCAAAAGCTTATCGATCCGCTCCACACTCATTTCCGAATTCAATCGCTTCAACACATCACTGCCAATCGTCAACCCCTGCACCACATCTTTCTCTATAAGCTTGAACTCTATGGTCCCGATAAGATGCTCAAGGTTCCCAAGCTGTTCATAAGTCTTGGCAATGGTGGACTCTTGCTGTTTCTTGGATCGTAAGTAAACTTTGGCTCGTTCAGGCTGGTTGCGCTTAAGTGCCTCTCGTGCTAGTTCGGTCTGGCGAGCAATGACATGGTCCAATTTTCGCTGGTACTGTTTGAGCTTGTCGCGCTGCTGTTTGAGCTGGTATATGGCGCGATCCTGAGCCGTGATCTTTGGCGTCGACGGCGATTGTCCCATTGTAGAGCAAGTGCCGGCAGGAGTGAGATATGGATCGCTTACGTAAGCGATAACGACAATCAAGAAACCAATGTCAGAAGTAAGGATCTGAAGACCAAGACAGTTAAGACAGTCAAGACATTGTAAGGCGAAGACATTGCTAGTCACTCCATCTTCAAAGATTGTATCACGAAACCAGGTCGAAGCAGTTTGAAACAGTCGAAGCAGTTACCACTATATGCATTCGCATCGCTCGCTTGATTGTTCCATCTGTGTTACCGCATTGGGACAAACATAAACATTGCCAATTAACGACGACGTTACAAATCAAAGGTCTCATTTACGGTTCAGAGCGCAACGGTTATAGAATGTCTCTGCCGACAAAAGAGACTCGGACTATGATGTCGGTACCTGCCGCTGGAGTTATGTGTCCTCCACTGTCATCTTCGGGAGATTTTGCGGCTAATGAAGCTGGAAATCGAGCATATCTTCAAACCATGAGTCCCAATGTGGCTCATAAACGGGCTCCCAGTTCCAAGGAAAGCACAAAAACGCTGCCCAAGCGACGCACATTCAGTCGTCCAGCATTGCCCCCGTTGCAGTCGGTTTCCGGGCCGCTGCGAGCACATCTGACGTTGGGGATCCGAACCACATCGCCTCGCAAGATGCTCCGCCGGTCGAATTCGCTGATGAGCCAGGGCAGTGGTGAGAGCTCCGACCGGTTCATCCCGTCTCGCCACACCACCAGCGGCAAAATCACCACCACAGACACCATGCCGCATCCCAATGCTTCGCCGCAAACCCATATTCGGGCCCAGTCGTCCAAGATTTACCAGCAGCATATTGCCGAGGCGTGTGGATTAGAAGTGAATGCTCGTATTCTCCAGTTCCAGCCGGTGCCGCCAGAACGCAAAAAACCCGCCGATTTATTCGCCGGGATCAACGTCAACCGAACCCGCACCCATCTCGCACCAGGTGCAGCGTCTGCCCGAGCCAAAAACATTCCTTCGGCACCAGAACGAGTATTGGACGCTCCCGGGTTGGTGGACGATTTCTACCTCAATCTCTTAGCATGGTCGCTGACCAATTTGTTGGCCATTGGCCTCGAAGACGCCGTCTATGTGTGGAACGCTTCCACCGGCCTGGTGGGGCTCTTGTGCGAGTCTCGGGCCATGGTGACATCGTTGCGGTGGGCGCAAGACGGGTCCTATGTTTCTGTGGGCCGCGACAACGGCACGGTGGAAATCTGGGACATTTCGTCCAACCAGAAACTCCGAACCATCGACAACGGCCACGGAACCCGGGTGGCAGCCCAGGCTTGGAGCGCCCATATTCTCACCGCCGGGTCGCGGACTGGGTCCATATACCACTCCGATGTCCGTATGGCACGCCACGCCGTTTCCACATTGGCTACCCATACCGCCGAGGTTTGCGGCATCGAATACCGAGGCGACGGCGGCCAGTTTTCCTCCGGCGGAAACGACAACTTGGTGTGTATTTGGGACGCCCGCAAGACATACTCAAGCAGCCAAACCACCCCGATATTCTCCAAATCCAACCATCGCGCAGCCGTCAAAGCACTTTCATGGTGCCCGTACCAACAGTCGTTGCTTGCAACCGGCGGCGGGTCATCGGATAAAACCATCCATTTTTGGAACACCTCCACCGGAGCCCGGATAAATACCATCGAAACCGAGTCACAGATTTCGTCCCTCAATTGGGGTTATGCTGCTGGTACCGGCATGGAAATCGTGGCTACTCACGGGTTCCCCACCAACAACATCTCGCTCTTTAATTACCCAACTCTCCAGAAAACCGGAGAAATAGTGTCTGCCCATGACACCCGCATCTTGAGCGGCTGCATTAGTCCCGACTACCTGACATTAGCAACCGTGAGCGGCGACGAGAATCTCAAATTTTGGTCGCTTTTCGACGCCAACAAAAAACGAGACTCAGTGCCACATGACGAGACCTCCGACACGAAACGGATGAAAAAGTTGATGAACATTAGATAGAGAATTGCATTTGATGAACCACACCGTTTGTAGAGAAGGGTCCCCTCCAGTATGGGTGTGCGGATGTACTGCGGTAGCGGTTTTTCAAAACTCGACAAGGGAGACGGTCAGCAATAGTAGACAAAAACAAAATCCCGGGCGGATAAAATACACCACTCGTTTTTATTTGAAGCAGGAAGAGAGTTTTCCGACTTTAAAAAGTGGTAGCATAGTGACAGGTCATATACCCTCGTCTTTTACAACATGTCAGACGGCGAATTTACCAGAACCCAAATCTTTGGCACGGTTTTCGAAATCACAAACCGGTATACCGACCTCAATCCTGTGGGTATGGGGGCGTTTGGACTTGTGTGTTCGGCCGTAGACAAGCTCACCGGTCAAAACGTGGCGGTGAAAAAGATCATGAAGCCGTTTTCCACCTCTGTTCTCGCAAAGAGAACCTATCGTGAGCTTAAATTGCTCAAGCATTTGCGCCACGAAAACCTCATCACTTTGGATGACATTTTCCTCTCTCCGTTGGAGGATATATACTTTGTGACCGAGCTCCAAGGTACAGATTTACACCGGCTCTTAACGTCGCGTCCGTTGGAGAAACAATTTATCCAATATTTCACATACCAGATGTTGCGTGGATTGAAGTACGTCCACTCAGCCGGCGTGATTCATCGTGACTTGAAGCCGTCCAACATTTTGATCAACGAGAATTGTGATTTGAAGATCTGTGACTTTGGCTTGGCCCGAATCCAGGATCCTCAAATGACAGGCTACGTTTCCACCAGGTACTACCGTGCTCCTGAAATCATGTTGACATGGCAAAAATACGACACCGAGGTGGACTTGTGGTCGGTGGGATGTATCTTGGCAGAAATGATCGAGGGCAAGCCACTCTTCCCCGGAAAGGATCACGTTCATCAATTTTCCATCATCACCGAGCTCTTGGGTTCTCCTCCAGCCGATGTCATCGACACAATTTGCTCTGAAAACACGTTGCGTTTCGTGCAATCGTTGCCTCATCGCGACCCTATTCCATTCTCCGAACGGTTTGCCCAGTGCACCCATGTGGAGCCAGAAGCCATCGATATGCTTGCAAGAATGTTGATTTTCGACCCCAAGAAGCGTATCAGTGCAGCTGACGCTCTTACACATCCATATATGGAGCCATATCATGAACCATCTGATGAGCCAGTATGTGAGGTCAAGTTTGACTGGAGTTTTAACGATGCCGATTTGCCGGTCGATACATGGAGAGTGATGATGTACAGTGAAATTTTGGATTTCCACCAGATCACCGCAATTGGTGACAATGTGCCACAGGAGGAGCAGCTTGCCCAGATCCAACAGGAGGGAATTCAGGCACCCATCAAGTAGACCATAGAGTGTAGACAATATACTGGATATTTATATTGCCAGTAAATTTCGCAGCTGCGCGATTGAAAACTAAATGTTGCACAGGCTGGCGGTATATCGACAATACGTGCCGCCTCAGTATTACAAGCACGTATCCAAGGAGCTTTGCATATCCTCTTCTGTACTCAAGGAGCTGGAGGAAACCACAGAGTGTCTTATTAGCTTCCACAATACTCTGAAAAATGAAATTACCATCAACCAACAAACCCAAAATGACACATCTCAAGTAGACGCAACAACCGAACAGATGCTCAATGGCAGCGCCAAAGAACCTTTGAACTTGCTTCTCGGGTACATCCAATTGGCCGGCTATGTGACGTTGAATTATCAATTCGATGCCGACGCTGCTTCGAATCCAATGGATGCATTTTCCAAACATTCATCGTGGTGGCATAATAAGGACTACTCACATCATTATCTGGACAACGGCAAGGGCCCAGACGAGGACCTGGATCCACATGAACAGATCGCCAAGGTGCCGTTTGTTCGCCAACCGAAATTGGTCATAGGAGGACGGATCGCAGGTATCAACGATCTTCCCCTGGACGGTTCCAAAACGATCAATCGCAGTAACAGACATCTTCTCCAGGATCTCATTTGCACTTTCAATTCCTTTCCTACCCCTGATGGCACTCAAGACGACGAAAACTTCATTCCAGGCTCGGAATTGGTGGATGCCATAGTTCCCTTTTATACCACATCTCAGTCGATACTTTTCACAAACTTGGTGATGAAGCCAAGCGAGACAAAAACTTTCCATATAGCTTTCCCCAGCCCCAAAGGTCCACCTTCGTACAATTTCATGCTGACAGGTCCAGCATGCGACCAAGGATGGGTCAGTATACGATACACCATGATCGTTGGGTTTCAAACTGGACCTTCTCACGAACAAGAAAAGGCCGTTTATTTTCCACTCCACATCAAAGTTCCTAGAAAACCTGGTGACGAACGATGGTACCAGCCCAATTTTCTCAAGCAGACGGAAGTGAACAAAGACTGGGCCATTGAGTTAATAAATGAAGACGTCTCGAAGACACGAGGCAAGACTCCGGAACCTTCTGGGGAAACCAAGGAGGCATTTTTGGAAGATCTCCATCGACTTATCGACTCTGATTTGTACAATATGCCTCGAATGTCGACTGGCGAACGCAAGAAGAGCTTCCATGACCCGTCGAATGGCGACAAAAACATTATACCTCAAATTCCCGTGCATCATAAAACGAGCTATCAGATACGGGTCAATGCACAAGCGCTTTGTACCGTCCATTTCAGCAAGCCATACTACCAAGTGGGCGACAGCTTGGGGTTTATATTGGAATTGGAGCCGGTTTCCACCACCAGAATCGCCGGTTTCGTGGCGCATCTTGAAGCTCACGAAGTGTTCCACACTGGAGAAAAAGACGTTACCAACGTGTATCGTGTATCTCCACCAGTAAAAGGTAATACCCTCGCTGCCGCGTTTCAAAATGGGTCCTCAGAAGTGAGTGGTCAGATATACATTCCAACTCACTTGTGCCAGCAATTTCAGAGCTCCAATTTTATGGACTTGAAATATTTCGTCGTTTTCAAATTCAACATATTTGAGCTTGACGTGGAAGTCAAGGATAGTGAAGGTTACGATGTGTACAAGTATGGAGCCGAAGGTAACGAAACCACGTTTCGACTCCCGATAGTAGTAGTGGCCGGTATATAGCGAAATGAAAAGAGAAGAAGGACACAAAAAAAAGAGTGAAGAAGGGGGAAGCGGTCCTTTTATAGGCATTCTGGCAACTTCCGCTCTTGCAGAAAGAGAGATCCGGTTTGGTGGTGGTGATTTCGGGTTTGCAGCCGCGCATGCAGGTGCGGCTGTTCCTGCACCATCTACACATCTCATTACGGAGTTGCTTAAACCGACCATCAAAATGGACGCCAATTACGACCTGGCCGACGAAGAGCCTCGGAATTTCAATTCGGCCCATTATTCGCCGACAGAAGACCGGTTCATAAAGGACCACGATCTCAAGGTTCGCACGTTCGAGGCGCTTCATGGCCAGGAACATCCGTCGCCAGTTCGGCGCCGTCAAAGTGTCATCGATTTTCCCCACCGAACATTCGACCTAGAAGCTGCCCTCGGAGGTGAAAGTGGCGGTGGTAGTGTCGGTGGTAGTGCCGGTGGCAGCTCTGGTAGTAATATCGAGGGTAATACCGGGGATATTGAGACGCACCCAACTCCGTCGGCAGCGTCTCATGTGCATGGTTCCGGTCTGGTGGCTGCCGCATCTGCCAATGCATTCCCGGAAGAGTACGCCTCGGATGAGTTGATTGAGCTTTTTCAGAACGTGAAGAGCTGCTTGGACACGCGCCACCGGTACATGCAGATTTCGGTGCAAGACGATGCGTTAAACCCAAAAAATCAGGATGGTTGGACTATTTATCCGCCGCCGCCTGCGCCAACCTACAAATCCAAAAACCGATTTAATCAAGTTCAACATAAAAACCCCGAGGAGGAAAAGTTTGATTTTTCCATGTGTAAAATCCCCCAAATTGACGACGGAATTACCACCAAGGTTAGCGACGAAGGAGTATTCAAAGTATACCTCAAAGACTCGGATTCGGCTATTGTAGACCCGCCAACTCTCCGCGATTACTATTTGGATCTCGACAAAATCAACCGGATTTCATCGGACGGACCATCAAAATCGTTCGCTTTTAAGCGTCTCGAGTACTTGGAAACCAAATGGAACTTGTACTACCTTCTCAACGAATTTGAAGAGAACAAAAAATCAAAACGGAATCCTCATCGAGATTTCTACAATGTGCGGAAGGTGGACACTCATATCCACCATTCGGCCTGTATGAACCAGAAACATCTCTTGCGCTACATCAAGTACAAACTCAAGACGTGTCCCGACGAGCAGGTGATTTTCCGGGACGGCAAAATCTTGACATTGAAAGAGGTTTTCGAGTCGCTCAATTTGACCGGCTACGACCTCTCCATCGACACTTTGGACATGCATGCCCACACCGATACGTTCCACCGGTTTGACAAGTTCAACTTGAAGTACAACCCCATCGGCGAGTCGCGTCTAAGGGAAATTTTCCTCAAAACCGACAACTTTATCAACGGGCTGTACCTTGCTGAGCTCACCCAGCAGGTATTCGAAGACCTTGAAAGTTCCAAATACCAGATGAACGAGCTCCGAATCTCGGTGTATGGCCGGTCGATTTCGGAATGGGACAAACTAGCGGCGTGGATTGTCGATAACAAGCTTTTTAGCCATAATGTCCGGTGGCTCATCCAGGTTCCTCGGCTCTACGATGTGTACAAAAAGAGCCACACCATTGGAACCTTCTACGATATTATGAGAAACTTGTTTGAACCGCTCTTCGAGGTGCTGATCAACCCGCAATCTCACCCAAAACTCCATGTCTTTCTCCAAAGAGTGGTGGGTTTCGACTCCGTTGACGACGAGCTGAAACAAGACCGCCCGTTTCCCCTGCGCAAGTTTCCTCCTTGCACCCATTGGGACCTCCCTACGAACCCGCCATACTCCTACTATCTCTACTATCTTTATGCCAACTTGGTATCTCTTAACCAGCTTCGGTTGCGCCGGGGCTTCAACACGTTGGTTCTTCGGCCCCATTGTGGAGAAGCAGGAGACCCCCATCATTTGCTGAGTGCTTTTTTGACGGCCCATTCGATTTCCCACGGCATTCTTTTGCGGAAAGTTCCATTTCTCCAGTACCTCTACTTTCTTGACCAAATCGGTTTGGCCATGCTGCCGCTTTCCAATAATGCGCTCTTCTTGACCTACGACAAGAATCCATTTTACTCGTTTTTCAAACGAGGAATGAACGTCTCGTTGTCCACCGACGACCCGTTGCAGTTCTCATACACCAAGGAACCGCTCATTGAAGAATACTCGGTGGCCGCTCAGATCTACAAACTCTCCAGTGTCGATATGTGTGAACTTGCCCGGAACTCGGTGCTCCAATCCGGATGGGAAGATTCGGTCAAGAAACACTGGATCGGCAAAAACTACAAAAAAAGAGGCGTCGAGGGCAACGATTTGGAAAAGACGAACGTGCCCGATATCAGAGTGGAGTACAGAGAACACACCCTCCAGAGCGAACTCCACTTGATGAACCACTACACTGGGCTCAAAAAATCCTCGTAAGCGCATACGGTCACGTGACACACCACCCCATCTTTTATATAACTAAACCATAAATTCACTGCACTTCATTGCTCAATTGGATGTCTGACACGGTCAAGCTTCGTCCGGTAGGCGCCGCTGCCCATACACAGCTTCCAGTGGTGCTCGTAGTGGCCGGAAGTGACAGTTCTGGTGGGGCCGGAATTGAGGCCGATCTCAAGACCCTTTCTGCCCACAAAGTGTATGGAGCTACTTGTATCGCTGCAATTACTGTTCAGAACACCCAGGGGGTGCGATCGATCGTGGAGACTTCCGGGGCCACAATCCGGGGCATTTTGGATGCGGTAATGGACGATTTCGGCCGCAAGGACGTGGCTGCGAAAAGTCCGCTTCGGGCAATCAAGACCGGAATGCTCACTCCAGCAGCACTCGAGGAACTTGCCAATATTCGGGACGAGGTGGACTCGCTTGGGATCAAGTTGGTGGTGGATCCCGTCATGGTGAGCACTAGTGGTGCGCGGTTGATGAGCGAAGACTCAATGGCTAGTTATCTTCGACTTATTCTGGGTTCTTTTTTGGTGACTCCCAACTACCTTGAAGCGCTTGAGTTGGCCAAAGCGGTCAATTTGAAGACGGACGGCTCCATAAACAGCATAGAGGAGGGTAAAAGATTTGTGCTAGAGCTCCGAAATGCCCTCAAATGCGATAATCTTTTGGTAAAAGGCGGCCATATTCCTGGGTTCTCTGGTGAAAGTGAACGTCGAATCTATGATTTTCTCAACCAAAACGGAAAATTAACCGTCTTCGAGTCTCATTACATCGACACCAAAGATAACCATGGCTCGGGGTGCACTTTGGCTTCGGCGCTTTCTGCCCATATAGCGTTGAACCGGCCCGTCGAAGAAGCAGTTCCGCTCGCTCTTGACTACATTCACCATGCTATGAGTAACTTTGAAAAGCTCGGACGAGGTAACGGACCACTTAACCACACGGTGGTTCCTTGTGAGTCTATAGATCGAGTTTTGACCAGCTCAAAAGTTCCTGTGGCTGAAATTTTGGGAGACAAGACATTGTTCGAGTACTTGAAACTGCACCCCAAAGTTCGTGATGGGTGGAAACGGTACACTGAACACCCATTTTTGAAGTTATTGGCAACCAACCAGCTCGAATTTTCCCGGTTTCTTTACTACTTGAAGCAAGATTACTACTATCTTGCCAACTATGCTCAAATGCACGGGCTCGCAGCCGGCGTAGCACCGTCGTACAAACAGACCAAAGCCCAAGCTGATATCATTGGTTCTGTGGTTGAGGAGATAGAACGGCACAAGCAGAAGCTCTGTGACAAATACCATATCGATTACGAACGTGATAGTGATCTTGACATCGAACTTCATCCTGGTCCTGCTTGCTTAGCCTACTGCGACTACCTTATAAAAGTTTCCCGCCACGAGGATTTCTTGGGGATCAAAGTAGCGCTTGCTCCGTGCCTTCATGGGTACTATGAGGCTGGAATATACGGAAATCAGGTGCGTGAAAACCACGACGGAAGTTTGGGAGTTTTGAGCTCGACAGCTGAAAGTGAAATTTACGATAATTGGCTCTCGGATTACAACTCAGAATGGTATTTTCTGGCCCACAAGGAAGGAATGGATGCGATAGACGCATTGGTGAAGAACCAGACCATAAGTGTCACGAGAATGGACGAATTGGTAAAGATGTTTCTGGACGTGGTTGAGCTTGAAATCGGATTTTGGGATGAAGTTATAAAAGAAAATAAATAGATAAGCATAAAAAAGTATAGAATCAGTCTACAAAGAGGATCAACTGAAGACAAATTTCCAAATAAAATTCAGTAAACTTCAGAAAACTTCAGAAGGAAACTCCACTAATAAAGTAGTTGCAAATGTGAGCCGTCCTGCACACATGCACCTGTGCCGAATCTCAACTTGTTCACTCCCCCCACCGTCATGTACAATCCATACCAGCAACCCAGCTACGGCGCCCCGCAGCAGCCACAGCAGACCGGATATGGGTTCAATGCAACTGGCGGAAACGCGATGCCGCAACTGCAATTCCAATCGACTGGATATTACCAGCAGCAGCCCACGTACCAGCAACCGGGGTTTCAACCTCAACAAACCGGCTTTCAACCGCAGGCAACCGGGTATCTGGTGCCGCAAACCTCATACCAGACAGGGTTTCAAGTGCAGCAAACCGGTTTCCAGCCCCAACAAACCGGATTTCAGCAACAATCGGCGGAAACGAATACCGAATTGAAGATCCCCAATATACGACTTTCATTCATCACCGCTTCCGACCAGTCGAAATTCGAGCACTTATTCCGGACCGCCGTACGGAAAGGTGAAACGGCGATTTCTGGCGATGCAGCTAGGGACATTCTACTTCGATCCGGTTTACCACCGGTAACATTGGCGGAAATTTGGTCACTTTCCGATACCAATAAATCCGGTTCACTTTTATTCCCGGAATTCGCCCTTAGTTTGCATTTATGCAACTTGGCATTGAAATCCGAACCACTTCCCTCGGTATTACCGGAAAAATGGTCCAATGAGGTGCAAAGTTTCGTTGATGCCATCAGTTTTTCGGTGCCCGAGGATCCTTCCAAGATCTTGGCCAACACCCCATTTGCCAGCTTGGGAACCGAGGAAAAGACGTCGTGGATGGACGCTCCAGCTGCACCTTCGACTTCATTCCAGCCGCAGCTCACCGGATTTCAACCACCGCAGATGCCTGCGCAAAGAACCGGTGGTCAGATTACAGCTCAGAGAACCGGTGGTGGGTCGCTCATTCCACTTCAGCCGCAGCAGACTGCCGGATTAGTTCCGGCCGGACTTCAGCGGCAAAATACGGGGTATCAGCCGCCGCAACCTCTCCAGCTGCAAAACACCGGGTTTCAGTCGTCAGTTGGCCGCCAAAATACCGGATATCAGCCACCGCTCCAACAGCAAGGAACCGGATATCAGCCACTCAAACAGCAAAATACCGGATATCAACCCCCATTGCAGCAGCAAGGAACCGGGTATCAACCTCCATTGCAGCAGCAAGGAACCGGATATCAACCTCCATTGCAGCAACAAGGGACCGGATATCAGCCACTACAGCTGCAAGGAACAGGGTTTCAGCTGCAAGGAACGATTCAGCCGCAAGGAACCGGGTTTCAACCACAATCAACTGGGTTTCAGCCGCAACCAACCGGCCTTCTGCTGCAGCCTACAGGCAAACCCGGACAATGGGGGTTTGTTTCCACGCCTACAGGCGGCATTCCGGGGCTTTCTGCAATGGAACAACATTTTCTTCCGAACACTCAATTATCGTCCAATAACCTTCAAAATGCTATGGGAGGTTCGCTCAAAACTAACGTAACGTGGGCCATAACCAAACAGGAGAAACTGATCTACGATGGCATTTTCCAGGCGTGGGATAAACTGCGCCAAGGGTTTATTGACGGAGAAACAGCCATAGGCATTTTTGGCAAGTCCGGCTTGGCTCGTCCGGACCTTGAAACTATCTGGAATTTGGCAGATGGAGACAATAAGGGAAAGCTAAACAAGGACGAGTTCTCGGTGGCCATGCATCTTGTTTACAGACGGTTAAATGGCTTTGATCTTCCATTACGGTTACCCCCAGAACTCATTCCTCCGTCGAAAAAACACATCCAAGAATCCATGGATTCACTTAAAAATTCTTTAAGAGGTGGAAACAATAAGCCCAAGCGCACACAGACGTCCAGCTCGTTGTACAAGCACGACGACGACGACGTGGGGTATGTTTCGACGGCCAGACACAGAAAAAAGTCGGACTCTTCTTCGGGGTCAGGTTCTGGAACCATGTCAATTGAACAGCTTAAGAAAGAGATCCGGGAGAAAAAGATTCTTTTGGACGCTATGGACTCCGAGGACAGAGACTCGTCTGTTTTGAGCCAGCGGGACCGGGAATGGAACGAACGAGAGATCGAGTCTCTTAAGTTTCGCATTTTGCAGGCCCACAATAAACTTGAATCCAGTGGAATTTCGGGGCTGCACGAGGAAAAGGTTCAGCTTCTTGACCGGTTGCGCCATTTGACCCAAGACAAGATGCCGAAATTGATTTCCAACATCCATGTCGTCAATAACGAAATTTGCAGTCGCCAAATGAAAGTTGCAAAATTGCGGTTGCAAAAAGAACACCCTGATTGGGCTCCAGAAGCGTCTGACGCAGACATAGTTGGAACCGGACCCAACGGCGAGGTCACCGACTACGATAGAAAAAAGTTCAAGTCGAAACAGCTTTTGAAACGAAGAATGGCGGCACTTTCTGGTGCAAAAACCGGTTCTACCGATACAGCTGTGGACGACCAGCTCGCCAAGGCAACAGAAGATGCAAAGAACCTCGGCGACCAGCAAAGAAAGATGATTGAGGAAATCAGTGGCAGCATCAAGGATCTCGAAGATGGGTGTATTTCTGCGTTACAGTCCACCACTCGCGAAGACAGCTATGAGAAGTGGGAGAAGGGACAGGGAGTTAGCAGCGATGTAGCTGCTTTTATCAGGAGCTTGCCAAAGAGTGAGGGAAGCAAGAATGGAAGAAATGAAAAAACTCAGTCTCCGTATACTCAGCCAACAAAGTCTCAGTCTCAATCTGCTCAGTCCACTCAGTCTCAGTCCCAGTCTACTCAATCTGTTCAGACTCAGCCTGCTCAGCCAGCTACTTATTCGTCATACCTGAGTCCAGAAGACAGGGCCGCTTACATCAAGGCTCAAGCAGAAAAACGGATGAATGAGAGGCTTGCAAAGTTGGGTATCACTCGTAGAAAAGAGACAGGTTCCAAGGCACCTGAAGTACCCAAAGAGCCAGTGGAGGCACCTAAGCCCCAAGAGATTGAAACCCCCAAAGAAACCGAGACTCAAAGAGAAACTAACACAAAGAGTACGTCTCAAACTTCAAAGGCAGAACCACAAAAAGTTTCTGTTCCTCCAGCCATTCCTTCTTCTTCTCAAGCTCCAGCCATTCCTTCTCCAGCTATTCCTCCAGCGCCTGAGGACGACCTGGAGGATGAAGAGTACGCCGCCTTGATGAAGCAGAAGCAAGAAATGGAGGAAAGAAGGCTCCGCAAGAAAAAAGAAAAAGAAGAGAGATTGGCTCGGTTGAAGAGAGAAATGGAAGAAATGAACAAGGAAGAAGACAGCGACGAAGAGCCTGTCACTAGTGTTCCGACTTATACGAATGGAAGTGTGAAATCGTCGACTCAGCCAATTTCACAATCTGAAGAAGTTCCCAAAACTGAAGAAGAAAAATCTGGGGAATCTGAACAAACTGCTTCCAAACCTGAAGCTACTCCAACTGAACAAGCTCCAAAACCGGATTTAGTTCTGACTTCCGCTCAAAGCAAGGCAAACCCATTTTCCAAGAACAATAATCCATTCTTCAAGCCCACCCAAACACCCACTATTGATCCTAAGAAGGCAGCTGCTCAGCGGGACTCTCAGAGAGGACTTGGATCTGACGACTGGAGCGATTCCGACGACAATTCGAGTGACGACGACGGTCCAAATCGAGCTGGTGCTGCTAGGCTCGCAAGCATGTTGTTTGGGGGAATGGCTCCTCCACCAAGAGCCCCCACGATTGAAAAGGAGGAAACCGGGTCTAAAGAAACCGCGGAGGTTCCCCCACCTACGGAGGTTGCCCCACCCCCGGTTCCAGCCGCTCCACCCGCAAGTGTTCCTCCACCTATTTCAGCAGCCTCCTCTAAAGAAACCGATTCCGATGATGAGTGGGGGACTCCACTGGCTGAAGCTGCCAATGACCATGATGACTTTGACTTTGGAAATAACTTTGAACCATCAATGGCTCCTCTGCCTCCTCCAGTGCCTACTCAACACATTCCGGAACCTGTGACAGATGTTCCTCCAATTCCACAGTCGATTCCTCCACCTCCTCAGTCTTTCGCTGCTACGGTGGAGGATGCTCCTCCTCCACCCCCAATTCCTCTGCAAGTTCCTCCTCCACCACCTCCTCCACCTTCGTTATTCCCCACGGAATCATCGAATGCCCCTCCCGCACCGCCACCACCACCACCTCCTTCTGCCCCACTGGCGGTTCCTCCTCCACCGCCAATGGCCCCCGCCGCTCCTCCACTGGCTCCCGCTCCATCGCCTGGCGGTCCTCCAGGAGGTGCGCCAAACATCGGTGCTCTTTTAGGGCAGATTACTGGAGGAAAGTCGTTAAAAAAGGTTGATGATAGCCAAAAACGTATTGCTGATGGCGCAACCGTTGGTCGAGTAGTAGATTAGTTAAAAGTTATACATTTCGTTAATCGTCAACTATTTACAAGATATGTAGATGATGAATCAATCTTTCATTTTGCTTCTGTGTGGTTGGGAACAACAACTAGCTCGCTATTCTCTGCCTTCACCTCCACTTCTTCTCCTTCGCGAACTTGACCCTGAATCAACATTTTAGCCAATGGGTTCAAAAGCTTCTTTTGCAACACTCTGTTTAAAGGTCTTGCACCGTAAACCCTATCATATCCCAAATCACATAACAACATCTTTGCATCTTCCGTCAACCGAAGCTTGATACGGCGGTCACTTAACCTATCGCCTATCTCCAAAAGACGGATATCAAGAATGTTGCGCAACGACTTCTTGGACAACCGGTTGAACAACAAGACGTCATCGAGACGATTCAAGAATTCTGGTGGGTAGTACTGCTTCAACAATTCAGTAATTGCGGTTCTTGTCTCTGGTCCAATCTTGCCGTCATCTCCTCCTTCTTTGTCAGCAAGGAGAAGTTCTTGTCCGATATTGGAGGTCATGACGATGATAGTGTTGCGGAAATCAATGTGTTTTCCGTGGCTGTCCGTCAAAGATCCTTCGTCCAAGACCTGCAACAAAAGCTTGGAAACATCAGGGTGTGCTTTTTCAAACTCGTCAAACAAGACAACAGCATATGGTTTCCTCCGTACAGCTTCTGTCAATTCTCCGCTTTCTTCGTATCCAACATATCCAGGGGGTGATCCAATCAAACGAGAAACGGTATGCTTCTCCTGAAACTCAGACATGTCAAACCGAACCACCGACGACTTATCGTTGAACAAAAACTCCGCAAGGCTCTTTGTGAGCTCAGTCTTACCAGTACCAGTTGGACCAAGGAAGATAAAAGAAGCTATAGGACGTTTGTCGCTGGTCAATCCAGCACGCTGCAAACGCACAGCATCTGCGACAGCATGGATGGCTTCGTCTTGACCCACAACTTTCTGTTTCAAAAGTATTTCCATGTCGAGTAACTTGTCCTTTTCTCCCTTCATCAAGTTTGTGACGGGAATGCCAGTCATTTTAGAAATCACATTGGCAATATCGTCGGAAGTGACAGAGTCATGTAACAATGTTGAGCTCTTGGCGGCTGTTTCTGACTCGGTGAGCTCCTTAAGACGTTGCTCTAAGTGTGGAATTGTCAGATATTGTAACTCACTTGCACGACCGTAGTCACCAGAACGTTGACTATGGTCCAAGTCGAAACGGGCCTGTTCCAATTCCATTTTGGCGTTCTTGACCTCGTCAATACTCTGCTTTTCCAGCTCCCACTGTTTTGTGAACTCTTCGAGTTCGGCTTGTTTGGCCTTCAATTCCTCTTCGAGTTTGTTCTTGCGATCCACGGAAAGTTGGTCCTCCTCTTTGCGCAACGACTCCAACTCGATCTGAATCGTCATTATTTGTCTGTCCAACTGCGTGATGGCATCAGGCCGAGATTCGTGTTGCAAACGAAGAGTAGAGCAAGCCTCGTCAACCAAGTCGATAGCCTTGTCGGGCAAAAATCTGTCGGTGATATACCTGTGCGAGTAAAGCGCTGCCGTCACCAATGCACTATCGGTGATACGAACACCATGGTGTACTTCGTAACGTTCCTTTAAACCTCTGAGAATGGAAATTGTGTCTTCGGGAGTGGGTTCATTCACAGTGACAGCCGAAAAACGACGAGCCAAAGCAGCATCTTTCTCGACGTACTTACGGTACTCCTCAATTGTTGTGGCACCACAAAGTGACAATTTTCCACGGGCTAAGGCTGGTTTGAGCAAATTGGAAGCGTCTATGGATCCTTCTGCTTTACCCAACCCCATCAAAAGGTGGAGTTCGTCCACGAAAAGAATGACCTTTCCTTGCTGTTCCTCCACTTCTTTCAATATCTGTTTGAGCTTGGCCTCGAAATCACCCCGGAACTTTGCTCCCGAGATGATTCCTGCCAAATCAAGCGTAATGATCTTCTTGTTCTTCATGCTCTCGGGAACCTCTCCCTTCAATATCCGCTGTGCCAAGCCCTCCATAACTGCTGTTTTACCCGTACCAGCGTTACCTATCAAAACTGGGTTGTTTTTGGTTCGCCGGGAGAGAATTTGAATGGTTCTTCTGATTTCCTCATCTCTTCCAATCACGGGATCGAGCTTTCCATCCTGTGCTAGCTTCGTGAGATCGGTTCCATACTTTTCCAATGCCGGTCTGTCATCCTGCTCTTCTTTATTCATGGACATTTGCATTCTAGAACTTGGGGAAGAGTGAAAGAAGCGAATTGAAGGAGCTTGAAAAGGCGCCAATTTTGAAGTTTGAACTTGGTTCTTCAATAGACGAGTAGCAATTATTGCAGCCAGACCCATCCTGACGGGAGTGGCTGCTCTCCTTAACGCCAATTGTCCAGCAAGTTTATTAGCACGTAACATTAGCCTTGCGACCTTTCCGATAAAGATGCCATTTTTATCACCATTCGCGATCATGACCCGCGCTTATCTGCAGTACGGAGGAATTTTCGAGAACCATCTAGGACTTTTCGTGCCAGTAGTCTTCCGTGGAGTAACCAGGGTGGGGGACAAAAGGTGGGGGTTGTGTGGAGGCATTATTGCTGGAGGATGAAGATGCCATGCTTACATTGTAGCTGATTGTCGAGCCGGAATTGACAGAAACAGCGTCGGCTGTATGCAGGTCTGGAACCGGGACCCGATCCTGATTTAGTGGGTGCAAATTTGAATCTTCATTGGAGGCTGTAGGTGGATCAATTTGGTGGATTTCGATGGGCTGGTCTTCTGAGCTTGGAGTCACCAGCCATTTCGTGGCGTTTGGCCAAGTCAGCTTTCTTTTTTTCCACCACGCCGTTGGGGGCAGGGTTCCCAGGTTGCTGGCTACATCATCGGAACTCATACGTCGGCCGAGAACTCCGATAAGTTCTTGCTTCTTTTCGAGCTGGGCGATGTTGTAGATCCATTCCCAAGCTATGGTGAGAAGGGCAACATCCAAAAGTGAGGGTAATTGGTCGAGCCATAATCGCACCCACCATTGGTGACGAAATGTTGTCACTGAAAGCAAGTAGACCACGAATATGATAAGGATGAGGGCCCATGTGAACAAGCCCAAGCCCAAAGTGGGCAAGGCGTAGCTGATTTTACGAGGATTTTTGTCCAAAAATGTGAATTTGAACAACGCAGCCATGAACCAGAATTGGAGCACCAGATGAACAGACACGATAGAAGCACGCCAGGCATAAGAAGAAACAAGTTCCGAGTTGTCTGGACCGTCTACGACAGCATCAGCGTCGTCATACTTGATTTCAAACACGCCGTGCAACACGGTGAACACTACGATGAGCACGCTGCCCCCCACCGTCATAGCATATTTGAACCACAGCCGTGTAATCCGCATGACAATTTGTAAGTGAGAAAGATGGACAAGAAGCACCGCAATCACATTGCAAACTCGGTAAGCTTGTGTCCGAAACATGACTTCTCGAAAAACAAAGATATCTAGAGTGTCGTTATAATACTCGTCCCGAGCCAGCTCGGTCACCTGAGTAAGCAATACCGTACAAACCACAGACGAGAACACGGTGGTAAGCTGGGTAAGAAGGGGTTTTCGTTTATGGCGAGGCAGCAAGTATAATAAAAGTGTGAGCATCCATAGCGAAACACAGACTCCAGATAGCGTGAAAAGAAGTGCCACAAATGCGTCGCCGTTGTCTCTTTGGCTAAAGGGGGGACTCAAACCGTTCGTCCATTGCTCCCACGACTCCTGGTTGTTGAAATATTCATCTAGAACTGCTGATAATTTGTCCACAGAGCAATTGGTAGTATAGTAAGCCGGAAGAAATTCGGTGGTATAATTCTTCAGCCACGTTCCATTGTAGTAGTCTTGAAACCTGATCGATCCGCCAGCAAGTGAGTACACAGAACAGTTCCCTACAAGCGGATCCAAGTCTTTTATGTCCAAATCTCGGAGCCCCATTTGAATGGAAAAGGCGGAAAAAGCTCCAAAAGTTGAAACTAAGCTGCAAAAATCAACTTGTGGGTACTTTGGAGTCCACTGATTTCAAAGATATCGTTTAAAGCACCTAAAAACGCCTAGAAAATAATTTATATGCTACTTCAAATTGCAGTGCCTGACCTTGAACCTGAGATAAGATGGTGTCTGGATCGGGATCCGTACCGGTTTTGGTGTTCGGGCGTGCATCACTTCGATTTGTATTCACCACAACAGATCCGATGGACCCCCACCAATTGGCCGGCCAGCTTGGCCAGGTGTCGCTCGACGGAAAGTCACGGAAGAAGCGGTCTGCACGTGCGTTTCATACCGACTTCAGCACCGGTCCCGAACTGGCATTTCCGACCCCACCAACCGTCAACAATTCACCCTCGGTTCTTCATCAACAAACACCCTCGGTTTCTTCACCATCGACTTCTTCATTTGCTGCGCCCTACGGCGATAATGCATCTCCTATGCATGCATCGCACCCTGTACCTGCAGCGGTTGCAAATCCATCTCAGAACGATCTCTCGATCCAGACAAACAGGTACAATCATCAGAAGGAGTATATGACATCAGTGGATCTGGAACCGTACAAGTCGTTCTACACGTTTCATAATGTGGTTCCTCCAACTGCCGGCACTCAAATTCATACGGTTGACCAAGGAACCGCATCTGGAAAATTTATTCGTTCCACCATGTATAATGTTCCAGAATCCGAACAGCTTCGAGCTGCCACCAAGCTTCCTATGGCTGTCACAATTCGTCCTTTTGCACCGTTATTGGAAACAGAAGAGCCAATTCCGGTGGTGGATATGACGCAACTTGGTGATGTTCCAGGTGCAGATGCTCTAGATATAGGTCCCGTTAGGTGTCGAAGATGTCGTACCTACATGAACCCGGCCATGCAGCATACTCCCAATTACCGGTTCGTGTGTAATATCTGCCAGTTTCCGAATAATACTGTTCCTTCGGACTATTCGTCGATGATAAACCCACAAACCGGTACTCGAGTAGATGTTGCAATTCGACCAGAACTCCACAAAGGAGTGTACGATATCTTGGTTCCCAAGAGCTACAATGTGGGAGGCCCGGAAGTTATACCTCAAGTTCTTCACCATGTATTTCTTATCGATGTAAGCGAACAGAGCATTCGTCAAAACTTGCCGACACTTTTCGCCGATGCCATTCGTCTTGCACTTTACGGTGAAGCAGAAACGTTCAACTCCCGTGTTTGTATCATCACGTTTGACCGTCGACTCCAGTTCTACAATCTTTCGCCGTCACTTTCCACCACACAAATCAGCATTTCGTCGGACCTCGAAGACCCTTTCGTGCCGCTCAGCGACGGGCTTTTTGCCGACCCCGAGGAAAGCAGACATGTTATAGAGAACATGCTTGAAAACTTGGAGCTGTTACTGATGGAAAACAACGTTTATGCTGACCCCGAGCCATGTTTTGCAGCCGCCTGTCGCACCGCCATGCTTTGTCTTCAAAGTGTTGGAGGAGGAAAAATCACCTCGCTTCTTTCGACGCTTCCATCCTGGGGCCCTGGCAGTCTCCGGTTCAAAGACAATCGGGCCGTGGGCAAGCTTCTTTCTCCAGAGTTGGAAAAAGTGGTGTTCACTCCAGACAACGACTACTACAAACTTCTCGCCAAAGACTTTATTCTGCTGAATGTAGGACTCGACACAATTGTGGTTACACCTTCGTCGGTGGATCTCTCCAACATAGGGTGGCTCTGCTCCATTTCTGGTGGGTCTGTGTACCGGTTTCCCGACTTCAATTTTGAGCGAGACAGCAAAGTGGTTTCAGCCCAGTTTGTGAGCTGCGTGAACAAGTGCCGCGGATACCAAGGTCAGTTGAAGCTCCGGTGCTCCAATGGACTCCAGGTTTCACAGTACTACGGCACCTCGTCGGACGCTACTGCTTCTGGCTTTATGGGAACCCAGGATCCAGTGTTGCCTATTCTTCACGAAGACCAGTCGTTTACAGTTCTTATGACTTACGACGGGAAGCTCGATACCAAGTACGACTGTCATTTCCAGGCGGCTTTGCTTTACACCGATCCATTTGGTGTACGAAAAGTTAGAGTCGTAAACTTAGTTTTGGCCGTGAGCGAGAGACTTGAAGATGTTTTCAACTTTGTGGAAGAAGACTCGGTTGTTTCCACCATAGTGCGAGAAACCGTATCGCATGTTGGTGTACAAAGATTGCTTGAGCTTCGAGAGTCGGTCAATACAAAACTAGTCGACGTTTTCACCCAGTACCGTGCCATGTGTGAAGTCAACCGACACCAGCTGGGAGCCCCAAACCAATTGCTCTTCCCAGACTCATTGAAACATCTTCCCATCTACATGTTGTCGCTCATCAGAACCACCGCTATTCGAAACTCCAACACTTTATCTGCCGATGCCCGGCTCGCTTCCATCTACCAGTTGCTCAGAATGCCGGTAGAAAGATTGGTTTACACCTTGTACCCAGCATTGGTAGAGTTGCACTCTCTTCAAGACGACGAGTGTATGGTTCCAGACACCTCATCTAACCCAAACCACTTCATCTCGCTTCCAGAGTACAAACCGGCAACCTCCAAGATTTTGCAGCCCGGTGTATACATCTTGTGCAATGGTTCCCAGGTGTTTGTGTGGGTTCATCCTGATGCCAATGAGCTCTTGATCAAGGATTTATTTGGCGACCATATAAATTCCGTAAAAGATATCGATCCATTGATGGACGAGTTGCCAGACCTACCTTCTCATATTTCGCAGCAAGCCAGAAATTTGGTTCGTTTTTTCCAGAAAGAAATCGTGGGTCTTCCTTCGCTAGACTGTGCTGGTGTTAGAATAGTTCGCCATGGAATTGACCCTGGCGTCAATGCTTTCAGAGAAAGCTTAATTGAAGATTCCATTGGTTCGCTTGGAAATCTGTTACCACTGTTGCCAGATTATCTTAGCAATCTCCACAAGGCTATCAAGGTGAAGCTCGAGAACGACAAGTCTTCTGGAAAGGTAAAGAACTCTGTCAAGGCGGCGGAAGACCACTCGACGTTGGCACAAAAGTTGATTCAGTTTTAGAAAAATAAACTCTCACTTCACTTGAACCTCACCACCTTGACAACATCCAAAACCACCTCTCGTATATCTTTGCTTGTAGACCGCATTGCAACAGCAACTGCTTGTTTCAATTCTTTATCACTTTTTATCTTGTTCAACTCTTCGGTGCCTAGCTCTTCAGCAGCATACGAGACACCAAGCAAGATGAAAAGCACACGATGAACCAAATCGAGGCATTCTTCTTGGTCTCTTAGTATGCCTATAATGTTCGCTCGGAGCTGTCGCCATATGTCTGGAGTCTGTAAGATGATTTGGGACACCATTTGGAACTCAGACGCTGCATTGGCCATCAAACCAGCAACTGCGGTTTGCAACTTTTCATCACTGGAATTGAGCATTTTCACCATAAGGTCGAGTCTCTGCAAATTGGCAGGTTTTTCAACATTGAAAAAGTATACGAGAATCGTGGGCTCAGACACCAAATTGGACAAAAGTTCCCAAGTGGCTCGTTGAACATTTGGTGCATCAGAGTCGATTATGAAGTTATCTAGATAACCAATAAAAGTTTTGGATCCAATGAGTTTTTTAATATTGGCATCTTCCACAGACAGAACATTGGTGAGAGCTATAAGAGCCTCGTACTTGTCTTTCTGTGTCATATCCTCGAGGTAGTCCAGTTCCCGACTGGCTTTTATGCCATTATACTCCGAGATGTTGGGTCCAAGAAGCTCAATGAGAAACGGAACGCTGGTGGAGATATCGTACTTCTTAAACGCAAGCGCTGGGTTGACAGAAACAAGTATTTTTGCCAAAGTTCGCAAAGCTGAAAGTCTGGTTTCAATCAGAATAGTGTCGGGATTCGATGGAAGCGTGGTGGGACCAACCTTGCTGAAAGTTATCAAGTAGTTTAAAACTATGGTTAGGGCTCCTTGCTGCACAAGTTCTTGTCTGATTTTCTTCTCGTTGTTGCAAGAAATGGAAAAAATAATGCAAAGGACTTGGTTGATCGAGCTGGAAGATTCCTGGACGCTTCCGGCCATCACCTTCAATTTGGAGAATACTTCTACTATTTTGTAGTCTTCTAAAAGTGCTTTTGAGAAGGTGAGTACTTTCTCTTGATCGTCTTCCTCCTTCGAGGATGTGGGATCACTGTAAGATTTGAGGAAGCTAGCCGTTTTCTTTCTGTTGTTCGCTGTATCGGTCTTTACCTTGGCGAGGTTGGCTATAGTGGTGAGAATTCCATATACTAAAGTCGAATGAGGCTCCGCTTTTTTGAGTATATCGATTAAAATCGAAATGCTGTCAGCGTCTGAACGCAAAGATTCCTTGAAAGAACGATCAAGTGAGATGTAAGCTAGTGTCTCGACAATATGCTCTCGATACTTGCTGTTTTCTCGGAGCGCAGTGGTGATATTTGACAGGAGATGCTGGATAGTAACTTCTTTCTTGATGTCGGAATTTTTGGGAAAGCTATTCCACAACTTGACGATACATAGAGTGGACAACAAATGCAACCCCTCGAACGGTTTCTGGGAGAGTTTTGTTCCACTAATCAAGAATTGGATATAATTCTTGACGTTGAAATTTCGCAGTTCTTCGTCAATGCAAGATGTGCTAACTAGCCTTAAAACTTCACACACAGTTCTGTAGTTTTGTTCATCTTCCAACACAGAAGCTGAGAGACTGGAAACATGGTGGAGAAGCATCTGTTTGCATTTTTCACTCATGTACATTGTAGATATGGGCACTGGCATAAGTGGATACAAGCTCTCCAACACTCGAACCAAATTCAAAAAAGTAGCTCTTTGGACACGAACCGGGTCTTCGTCGAGAATAAACTCCACGAAGACAGTTACAGTGTCTGTAGTGGGTTTCGGGGCCAATTTAAGACTCTTTATGGTGATAAGAAGAATTATTGGCGTCAAATTCAGTTGTTCAGAACCATTTTCTGGGCCTATGAAACTCAAAAGAACATCCAAATGGTCTGGCACCGTGACCTCAAACCTTTCTACCACCAGATAGTAGGCTGAAAGATACCATTGAGCAGACGAAGACACTTTGACCAACGAGATGAGACAACGAAGAACAGTTTTGGCGGTATCTCGAGTTCGTTCTGTGCCTGTTTCGGATATTACCGTACACAAGAACAAACCTCTGTTATCCTGTAGTACTCTGAGACCCTCTATGAATGTTGTAGGGTTATTTTTTAGTCTTTGAATCAAGTCCAGCGCAGCGTCTTTGGCTCGAATTGACCTTGAAAGTACGTTTAAGTCTCCCTTCTTTGGCTCATATGTTTCTGGGTGATCAAAGACCTCGAGGATCTGTTTATATGGCTCCTCGTCCACCGTGAGACCTTTTAGGTCCGGTGTCACAGACTCCACTTGATCCATCAATAGTTGATTTTCGCGACAGAAATGAGAATTGATAATCAAGTGAGAACAACATATCAAGGACCAGTCACGAAATAACCACCTTATACTCCATTTTAGTCCACCAAAATCACCACAACAACACTATCGTACTCGCTGATCACAAATATGGACACTACAACCGTCTTGGACAAGTATACACAGGACCTTTCCAACCTCCCGTTGGAAGTGAGGCACCTTATGGAAGAGATAAAAACTAAAGATACGCAACTTATGGACGCCCGAAGGCGGTACCAGTCCAAAGACAGTCAAATACACAAGTTTATAAAAGCAAATGGTACTCTTGTGAAACACCCGAAAGAACAACAACTATACCAGAAAATTGAAGAAGAAATGGAAACAATCAAAAAGATACAAAAGGAGAAAATCTTGCTTGCGAACACAGCATTGTTCTTGGTTTCCCGCCACTTGTTCAACTTTGAGACAGACGTGACAAAATTGGAAAGAGATGATCTTCTTCCACAGGTGGACCCGGAAGACGAGTCCGAGCTCAATGCTCTTGTAAGCGACTCGGGGGTTTCCACGCCTCGTGGAACCCTTTCGGTGACTCCCGCGTACGATGCTAGAGATGGCAGAGAAGGACTCCGTAAAGCTCAGCGTAGAAAGATGAATATCAAAAATATGCGGATGCGCCGTGGACGGTCTGAAGAATATGACGAAATGGACGATTCTCGCCGGTCGTCTGTGGACGGCAGACACAACGAGGACGCGGACAATAACCTCTACTGTTTCTGCCAGCGGGTTTCTTTTGGCGAAATGATTGGATGTGATAATGACGACTGCAAATACGAGTGGTTCCACTGGAGTTGTGTGGGCATCACATCTCCGCCAAAAGACGACGAGATATGGTACTGCCCCGACTGCTCGCCGCGCATGGAGAAGCGAAGAAAGAAGCGGAAACTCTGAAGCTTTAAACTTTATGGCTCTAGTAACTAAGGTTGTGGTTTCGTTTCACACCCAAACACCACGAACACTTCTCGAATTCTCACCACTCATCTGAATCCATAATGCTCTCCATACGAGCTCTGCGTTCCATATTGTTGCGACCTTTGGCGTTGCGAGCATTCATACCCCCCACTCGGCTAGCTGTGCCCACAGTTTTTGCATCGGTTAGATGTGTTAGTTTTGCTCGTAACCCCAATGAGCTTCGAGCACAAATCGAAAAAAACATCATAAATTCGCTGGAAAAAGTGTCTAAAGACATTGTAATTGACGCGGTTCGAGCATGCAAGAGCTCGTCACAGATGCAAGAACCCTTGGCGTTAATCCAGAAGATTTTGGAAAGCGACAAAGTTGTCTTTGACGAAACTTTGCTCCGTGAACTTTTCCTTTTACGGCTTCCCACCTCGGCAAACATAGCCTTGATTCGTCAGTTCTACGTCCGCAATCCCGGGAGCGAAATCACTAAGTCTACGGCTTTGATACCCTTTCGGTACTGTCTTTTTGAGGGCGACTTGAAAGATGCATTAGTTGTCACCGACCTCACCACGGGCCATCCTAATTATATCAAGAAGAGAAGCGCGGAATTACGATCTGGGATCATCAAGGTGGCTTCAACCGCTATCGGAATCACTCTTTTCTCCAAGTTGGGCGTGCAGGCTCTCATAGACGAAGGCATACTTGCCGACAGCTGGCGGCATCTCAGTTCCATAAACGCCATGATAATTACATATCTTCTCAACTCTTCGTTTTTCGTCACCATCGTTCGGTTCGGACGTCAAATGGCGTCGGCGGGAGGTGACTACTTGACCTGGCAAAAGGGAACTTTCTACACCCATTGGTACAAGCATGCAGACGAAATGATGATGTGCGCTAGAATTATGGAAGCTGACATTGCCATAAATGGTGGTGGTCCTTCTGGCGGTGCTGCGTCTCCAGAACTCGTAGAGGAATTGTGCCGTACAGCCGAACAGGTGGAGACTCACACCTTGCAACCAGGATACACTCGAGATGGAAAAAAAATCAGGCTTCTTGAACCCAGAGACAACCTTGAGGATCTCAAGATGCAGGCGTACTGGATGAGCGGTGGAGATGGTTTCGAGTGGGTAGAACCCGATCAAGACCCTGCCACGATAATGTGGAAACAGCATTTGCGCGGAGGTCAAGTGGAAGGTGATTCTCGACAGAGTTTGAAGTGGGCTGACGAAGTGACGGGGCATGTAAATAGCGGGAAGGAATAGCACATACAATTACATTTTTATTCTATGACTACTTATGCTATGGTACCTCTTCATTTGTCTCTTCGTTTTTCCATTTCCACCTGGGCACCAACCGAATATCGTAGTCGGTTTCTTGTTTTAATTCCTCCCATGGTTCAAAGTTCATCCAAACCATTTCGAAATCGTCGTCGGTTTCCATTTGGTGGTTTCCGAGTTGAAGATGTGGTTTGGTGTAGTCTTCATTATAATGGACTGGTCCTTTTCCCTCCAAAATGAGATCAATTCTGGAGCCCTTGTTGATTTCAGACACATCTTTCAAGTCGTTCTCGAGGAGATTTCTGTATTTTTCACGATTTGTGGTTCTTATTTTCGCATGAATTTCACTGTAGCGGCCCTTTTCGGCGAGTTTACGAAGAACGGCAGAATGGCCCAAAGACGACTTTTCGCCATTTTTTGCTGCTGCGTCGACAGTATTGATGTAGTTATTGGCGTTCATTAGCCACAGTTCGGTTTTTTTCGTCCACTCGGTATAAGGCATTGGAGAAAAGTAGCGATATGCTCCAAACCACCAGCTGGGTTTGTCGCCATTTTTGACGGCTAGACGTCGGTATAACCTGGCTTCTTCTGCCCATGGATCGTAAGGAAGCAAGAGTCTTGTAATCTCGAGTCCAGCAGTAAAAATCATGTAACTTCCACCAAGAACACATGACCATTTTGCGGTCCGACGACTAAAAGTGTTTGGAATTCCCATCGCTACCAAGTTTGAGCGTCGAAGAACCCTCGCCTTATGGAATCCAAGTATCCCTATAGCCACCTGGAGCGTGGTTAGCATCGAGAGTGCCATTTTGTTGTCTGAAGCTGGCACCAATGGGCCCCAATGTTTGAGCCCAACACTAGGATTGCGAGGAATGAGTGAGGCAGGATCAGGAATGGTTATTGTAGATGACGAGCTGGAGGAGCCAGTCGGCGTGGAAGACAGCGAGCCCGAAGACCCTGCTGGAGGAATATAACCGCCCATGAGAAAAGTTGGGAGTTATGAATGAAAAGTGAAAGTTTTGAACAAGAAGTGAGCGAACAACTAGTGCTTTATATCAGCAATTGAAAGGTATTAGACGACTCTGGGTTGTTCCGGGTGTTCCAAAGACCACGGGTAATGTTCTGAAATGGGGGTTTCTGCAATAATTTGCTCAAAATGGTGTTTAAACGTGTACAAAAAATCAGTTGATATTTTTGAGCAAGCCGTGAATCGTAACTGTTTAATCCAGATTTCAGCCTGAACGTTCAAACAATGCTATAAATAAACTGGACCACTTTCTGCGCTACCACAATGTCTATAAAGTGGCTAGGTCAAAGGTTCAAGATGTGGCCTAAAGTTTAAAAGGAAGACGAATTCGCAATCGAATTTCCAGAATTTACAAATGGGTGCGAATTCGCGGCATTATGTATTAACCTCTACCGTTTATAGTTTATGCCTCGTTGGCGTACAAATCCTCTTTCAAGTCAATGCCCAACTCTTGTCTGATGTCCTTCAACTCTTCCAAGTAAGCGGCATATTGCTCTTTGTTTTCAACCTTGTGCTTCAATGCCTCAAAGGTTCTGACGGCAGTAGGGTAATCGTTTACTCTTCTACAAGCCTGCAATGCTTTTTCAATGACTGCTGGGGCAGGCACCAAGTCGTAGGAGAAACAGTTGTTCAAGATTCTCTGGACCTCGAAAAGATCGTATGCGTCTTCGAACTCTTGTTCGTACCTGAGTTAGTATTGGAGACAATTAATGGAGTGAGATAATGGGCTGGGAAAGTTAAGGTGAAGTAAAGGTCAGGAATATGCACTTTGTGGTAAAATTCTTTCTGTTTTCTGTTTTCTGTTTTCTGCTTTCTTTCCACATGCTTGCAGTTCGAAACAATATTTTAATGCTGAAAAATTCACCACTCGGAACACACGGAGACTAGAATATGACTTTTCGCTTCATTACTCTTCATTATTCGTCATGTTTCTTCAAAATTATCATCTCTTATTCTTCATTTTTTTTCTTCTTCACTTTTTTCATTGCGTTGTTCTCAACTTGTTCTTCGAGTTGTTCACCAAATTCCAACCTTTTTTCACAATTTCCGCCTATATCGACCCCCCCCTCTTTCATCTAAACACATCTATACTTACCTAGCAGTGAACTCTTCAAAAGTTTCTTCATGGTGTTGCCCAGAATATTGTCTAACCGACATCCGAGAAGCCAAAGTGGGCAAAGGTCTGGCCACAGAAACCATTCTGGAAATGGCACCCGCCTGAGCACCAGCTCTAGCTCTCAATGCAGCACGGATAGAAGAAGCAATCATTTCACAATCAATCGACGCAGTGATAATTCATCGAGTCCGTTATTGGATCGTACGAGGGGCGTGCGCGCACCGACGGACACATCGGTGCACCAGCGGTATCCGAAGGATTCACGGGCCGAGAGGCGATGAGTTGCAACTAACAAAAGTTGCTAAAGGCTAATTGAGCTGAACTGTTTACTGAGAAAGATTCGTGGTGATTCCACCACCTTGTGCCATCACCGCCGTTTCCACCAATCACAGACCTTGTAGATGTGGTGTATGGCTGTGGCGTGTGCGCACCAAAAATTCAAAAAAAACTCAACTCTCACCCCTTTGTCAGCTCTGATAAATCGCGTAAACAGCATCCCACTGGTGGTGTTTATTTTGTCATCGTTTACATAAGGCACAGCAACTTTTGCAACCATCACCACCATGAACGCCAACTTTGAAGGCTGGCCCAAAGAGGAAACCACAGCAGAACCAGGAGAAGAGCAAATAGATCCTACGTTTGCTCGACACCAAGATGCCGATTTTACTACTGTAGATGCAGTTACTGCAGCAGCTGTTGCTAATGCCCAGCATCAGGGCACCGGTCCACGTGACGGTCCCCAACACCCAGATCATCATCATGTTCGGGGCGGACAAAATGTCGACAAACAACAGCAGAGAGATGCCATCCAGCAGGCTGTTCGGGCCGCGCACGACCAGGACGTTGAGAAGGCCGCTGTGAACCGCGGCAACCGTCCTGTATCTAACACGAAACGGGCTGCGCAGAACCGGTCTGCACAGAAGGCGTTCCGTCAGAGGAAGGAGAAGTATATCAAGGATTTGGAGGCCCAGGCTGCTGAGGTCAACCAATTGAAACAGACTATCGAGGAATTGAGAGCAGACAACCTTCAATTGAGAGATTACACTTTGGCACTTCAAAGTAAAGTGATTGAATTGTCGCCTGCTAGTGGAGGTCAGCATCCATTGGGCCCAGGGGCCGCGTCGTCTGGCCACGATCTGGCGTCTGTATCGGTGCCCACGCCTCCGGCGGCTGTGTATAACCATAGCGGTGGCCGGGTGTTCAGCGGTGACAAGTAAAAAATGAGAAAAAAAAAAGGAGAAAAGAAAGAGAATAAAGGAATTGAGAGATCGAGGAGATTAAGAGATCAAAGAGATTGAGCGAAGGTGTAGTAATAATTATGAAGATATAAGTGGAGTGTAGAGTGTAACATTTAGTATAAGGAGAATAAAGCACAGACGAGTGACATTAGAGGACTAGGTGTCTAAGGCTTAGAAGGGAGTTTAGACACAATTCTCTTTCAGAAGACACAATAAAATATCATCCACCAGACTCAGAAGACTGACAAAGCTTTGAACAATTCGTAGCTTGCGCTTCAGATCAATTTCTATTGGCTAGAATTTCATCAATTTTCGCAGCCATTGGTGCAGCAGTTATGCATGTTTGACAGCCTCGTTGCTGCACGTTGACGCATCAATTTGCAACCATTTCATCAAGCAACTAACGATCCTAACTATGTTTTGTTACGCTTCTCTTTTTATTTCTCTCTTCTTATTTCATTCTCCGTCTTCTTTTCGCCAAGAATTGTCGTTCCTGCACCAGCACCATTTCAAAAATTTTCAGCAACAATCCCATACCATGTCTGAATTATCCCACCCCTCAATCAAAGACGGCTGGTTCGCCGAAGTCTCCGACACCATGTGGCCCGGCCAGGCCATGTCGTTGAAAGTGGAAAAGGTGTTGCACGTTGAAAAATCAAAGTACCAGGATGTTTTGGTTTTCAAGTCCACCAACTACGGCAATGTGTTGGTTTTGGACAATTGTATCCAGGTGACCGAAAGAGACGAGTTTTCGTACCAGGAGATGATTACTCACTTGGCGCTCAACTCCCACCCAAACCCAAAGAAGGCGTTGGTTATCGGTGGTGGAGATGGAGGTGTGTTGCGGGAGATCTTGAAGCACTCTTCAATTGAAGAAGCTTGGCTTTGTGACATTGACGAGACAGTTATTGAGGTTTCGAAAAAGTACTTGCCGGAAATGTCCAAGTCGTACCAGGACCCAAGAACCAAGGTCCATATTGGTGACGGATTCAAGTTTTTGGAAGAATACAAAAACCAGTTTGATGTCATCATTACCGATTCGTCGGACCCAGAAGGACCAGCCGAGTCTTTGTTCCAGAAACCCTACTTTGAGTTGTTGAACGGTGCTTTAACCGAAAAAGGTGTTATCACCACCCAAGCTGAGAACATCTGGCTCCACATGGACATCATTTCCAAGTTGAAGAAAGACTGTAAGGACATCTTTCCAGTGGCTGAATACGGCTACACCATGATCCCAACCTACCCCTCGGGCTCAATTGGCTTCATGGTGTGTTCTAAGGACAAAAATGCCGTCGTGACCAAGCCAGCAAGGTTCGAATGGTCCGATGACTTCGTCAAGAAAAACTTGAAGTATTATAACAAAAAGATCCACGAAGCTGCTTTCGTGCTACCAACTTGGGCTGACAATGTATTGAACCAGGACTGACGTTGCTAATTTGATTAGTTACGACGATACGAATATAGACAGTTCAAGAAATTGTAGGAAGTGAATAAGCAGCTGAGAATTCGTTGAAATTCAGTTGAGATTCAGTTGAGATTCAAGTTGATCTCTCTATTATTTCTCAATTATTTCCCTATTATTTCTCTATTTCTCTCTATCATCCTATTAATTTCCAGAATACTTTGATCTGGCTCTAATCTTGGGCCCGAGTAATGCAAATGTCACAGGAATTGCAACCATTCCAAGTGATATGAAACCAAGCACTGAAGAGCCCCAGGCAACAGGAAACTTTTTGATTGCAAGGTTATTGAACAATGCCGAACCAAAAAGTGGAAAACAGCCAGCAATTACTGATCTGAAAAGATCGTTACCAGCAAACACAGAAGCCATGTATCTTGGGAAAGACATAGCCATGTAGTTGAACAATGTCTGGAACACTAAAAATGCTCCAGTACAGAATACGGCTGCTCCCATAATAGGTCCCATCCAGTGGTGTTGAGAATTAGCACTCCAGCCAAAGATGAAGATTCCAATGGGCATCAACAAACTACCAACAATAGCAACTGGAAGGAACACTTCTGGAGTGATGGTGTCGCCTTTTCCATTGAAAAACTTTTTGGTGAATACTTGGTAAATTACCGAGATGTAGAATACGGCTCCCACCAAAACTCCAATCATTACACTGACATAGGACACTCCCAACTCCACCAAGGTGAACCCATAGGTCTCCACAAACACAATTGGGAATGCTTCGAACCACAAGTACATAATTGAGTACACCAAGGAAATGTAGAGGTCGATCAGAAGCACCACTGGCTCGGTGAGCGCAATTTCAAATGGTCTCCAAAGAGTATCAATTGCAAGCTCACGAACAGTCATGTTCTTGTTTTCAATTTCTCCCTCGCTCATGATATTCTCGTTACCTGTTAACGCCCGCAATCTTTGAGCTTTCCGACGTAAAAGTGTCTTTCCATATGACTCAGGAAGAAGAAATCCAAGAACCAAAAAACAGGCTCCAGAAATAATCATCATGAATCTAAATGGCCATACCCAGTCGCCGTGGCTTCCATTGACCAATACTGCTCCAATCAAAGGACCCATTGAGGGACCACATACGGCAGAAATACTCCACGAGGCAATGCCCACGGGCATATATGGTAGAGTCACCACATCTCCAAAACTAGCTACGCCAGTAGCCAAGGCAGGTGAAGCGAAAATTCCGCTCAAAAACCGGAGAACACTCAAAGATGCAATTGAGTGGGTTCCAACTCCAAAACTTTGTGGGATTTGAAGAATGAAGAAAAAGAATAATGTGATGATGTAGATGGAGGTTCTTCCAAAAATGGCATTTTCTGACATGGGAGACAACACCATAGGACCCAAACCGTACCCAATAACAAACATAGTCAATGGAAGCGTAGCTTTGACTTTCGTTATTCCAAGATCCTCCATAAGATAATCAATACCTGGAGTATATATTGCCGAACCCATGTACACCGATAATGTCAAAAATGCAATTTCTCCCGCAAAAATCACTTTTTGTAGAAGCGGCCAGTTGTAAGGGTTTTCGGGATCATCAGGACCATCCCAATCCACCACAATGAGCGAATCATCAGCTTTTACTTCATCAATTGCAGCAATTGTGGACGAACTGGAACTCGATGAAATCGACAGTTCAGACAGTTCTTGTGATTCTTGTGTCACTGTAAACTCATTCTTCTCACTTCCGCTCAAATATTTAGTTGGTATTTCATAATCTGGTTGTTCTTCTCTATGATTGAAATATTTGTGCCCAGACAAGTGGTATACTATGCGGCCCCAAAAACTATCTCTGATGAATTGGCTGTTCATTATGTGAATTAGGGAGTTTGTAGATGGGATAGCTGCTAGAGCAATTCCTTTTTATACCATGATACCTTTGTAATGTAATTTTCGAGATTACAAATGGAAAAAAAGAATATTCTTCGGGCTTGCCCAATGGGGAAAATCGCTGCGACCCTTTGCTGTCAAACACTAAATTTGGCACAAGCTATGGGAGCAAAAATCAGCCAAATTATTGGTTTCGAAGCCTAGAAGAGAGTCACCTACACTCCTGATTCTTAAAAACTACCTACATCTTTAAGAATAAGAAAGCAAAAGCTGAAGCCTGGAAAATGGTGTTTTCGTTATTACTCATCAGGCCAAGCATTTTCGCAAGGGCGCTTCGGCTTTGCCCAATGCGGTAAGTCCTTACAGGTTCTTCAGCCGTCTCCTGCAAGGCTTACATTCCTCGGATAGATTCCTCGTGGGACACAGATCACGTAATTGCCAATGAAGATATATCAGGAGATAAGTTAATGTCATGAGATCAAGAAATAGGAGGTGAGTTGCATTAACTTGACTTGAAATTTAAATTTGCAACATAGTGAAGAAGTGAAAGACTTTTTAGATAATGGTGATAAGGAAACCAGGTGATCAGCAGATATAATCCCATTGGGTATGGTGTAATGCTGAGATTTTCTCAAGTTTTCTCTTGCTCTCAATCTCTCTTCTTTTTGTGTATGTCACACAGCCACACCACAGGAGCAACGAGAAGCTGGTATCTCCGCCAATAATTAGTAATCTCATTGGTAGATATTGGTGGTTATATCTAAGCTTATTATGGGTTGCTAACAATCGGGTCTTTGTGTAGCTATGAAACATTATCTGTTCTGGCGCAGGAAGAGATGGAGTGATCTTTCACTTTTTTGGTAGAATAAATAGGACCCAGTTGTCGATATGGTTGTGACATTTGCAGCCACAGATGGCTTGAAAATGCACTGAAACCGAAGATCATTTCAAGAAAGCAGACCAGAAGTATGATATTTCATTCATTGCAATTGCTAGTCGCCAAGCCAAAATGTTATCGAATCGCCCAATTGATCTCTTAGTTGAATTGAACAAAGAAAAGCTGGAACGCGCCTTTGACATTCTTATTCTTGTTTCCGCTTAATCCTTCGATTTAATGTTGCCCAAAACTCATAATTTTTCTCCTATAAGATTTACCATTTTTTGGCCTTTCCACCTCGAGAATCTGGTTGAATGTCCAAGCGCTTGGAATGGTTCCTTAAAAGTACCACAGACTGTGGTTATTGTTCTCTGTGTAGTGGACCTTATTGCAAAAGGGACTTACTTTGCAGCCATCTTTCAGAATCCTTTTTGGAAAGTTTTAGTACTCAAATGAGTAATGGGCTTTTTACACGTTTACTTTGTGTCATTTAGTGTTTCCTTTGATTTCTCTGGGTACTTCTTTCATCTTGATATCATATTGCTGTGGCAGCGGTATTTCGCAACTGGCAGATGGCTCAAGAATTATACCCAAATGGGGATATTATATAAAGTTTTAAGTTGTAGCCCACAAATTGAAAACTAGGTCGAGGAGATTCCTAATCTGAAAGAACAATACAAGATACCTGAATATTGGTCGAACGGTGAGAGAAGCCACAGCGTCGATAGTCTTGAATATCCTATTCCAGCGCGCGCCGCACCGTGCGCCGCACCGTGCAACCATCCAATATGGTGTGGGTGAGTAGTACAATCCGGAGGTAGCAGGTGATATAAAGTACATGGACGTTGTTAATTCTACATCTAATTCATTTGTATTTCATTAAAAGTCTTCAATTGGTTTCTAAAAAAATAATTCTAATTTCTCTCTCAATTAGTGGGCGAAATGAAAGTCAAGTCGCTTGTTTCCCGAGTCTTTTGTAGTACGCATGTAGTGATCTCTCTCCTCCAACGACATTGAAGACCACTTTTGGCTTTTTTGTCTGTTGCGCACGATATAGTATGCCTTTGTGAAAAGAAGCACCGGAATAATTGCAATTGCAATAATGAACAATTTTTTGTTTCCCTGTCTAAAAAAAGGAGCATCCTCTTGGCGGTAGATGTTGGTACTGAGAATTCCTCCTATTTGCACCATCATATTGTAAACAGCAGATCCGACAGTACGGCTGCGAATACTATTGGCATTTCTGGATACCCATGCCACACATATGGCATGAATATAAGGTCCACCAAGAAGAAGTGTAGTCACTAGCCAGGTTCCCCAGGCATTGGTCATGGAATTTTTCCAAAAAGCCAAGATGCCAATTAAGGGTATTGTCCATAATGGAACCACAAATGCCAATAGAGCCTTTTGACCAATTCTTTCAGATAGTTTTGTAACCCACAAAAGTAACACAGTATGGAGTATTTGATGAGGAATGGCTAGCAAGTTTGTACTGAAGGTGGAAAAACCCATGTTTCTCAACGTTACAGCTAGGTACTTGTCTACCGCACCGGTGGGAATAAACGCTATGAGACCAATGGTGTAAATTGGCCAAAGATCAAAGTCAAGCAAAGATTTCACAATGGAACCCAAAGTTAGGGATTCTCTATTGTTCATATCGCCCTTGGAAGGATCATCTCGAAGCACCCTATTAACGACGATTTTTTCTTCTTTTTCTGTAAACCAGCCGTGCGGGCTGAATGCCGTTCTGGTGTGCACCGCCAGCGGTACCATGAGATTGTATGAGACGGTTCCAATTGCAAGAGTTATCAGTCCCTCGACTGCAAAGAGCCATCTCCAGCCCTCTATTCCAAAACAGCCTCGCAAACGAAGTACAAAATATGCCATTAGGTGGGTTGCAATTTGAACTAGTGAAAGGGTGGACCAGAACCAAGATAGGCGAATGGGTAACTCTGTACTTTTGTAAAAATACGAAAGCCAAAGTACCAATTCCGCAACAAAGCATCCCTCCAATGCTCCAATTAAACCTCTTGTAAAGTAAAATGTCCATTTTCCTGTTATTGCGCTCTGGCAAATAGCCACTATACTCCATGCGACCATTTGTGTTGGAACGAAAATATCGGGACCAAACTTTTTCGATAAAAGCTGGGAAGGAAGCTCTGCCAAGATGAAACAAACCAAGAAAATAGTATTGCCTGAATTGTAGTTTTCAATACTAAGACCCAAATCGTCCAAAAAATTGTCCGAGATGGCCTGGCCAAGGTTCCCACGATCTATCTGGAGTCCAGCAAACATTATACAAGCCATCAATGCTACCCGAAAGTCCAATATTTTGATAACTTCCTGCTCCTCGCTTCTACTCCATTCATATAGCGGATCAAATACATGCCGGCATTCATACTTGGTGCTTTCGTATAACTCGCGATAGTAGTCTGCTACTTTGAGATCAGCAAATGGATTAGAATCTTCATATTCAGATTCAAAAGATGTGATGGATGTAGAAATTCTGTCTTTTTTGTCAGAGGTGGAGCCATAAAAAGTGGCCATGTCAGTAGATCAAGAAGATCAACCCCTGATTTGATCCGGCCAATTGTGGAACTGTGGCTCTATCGCACGTTGCGAATAATGCGAATAAAGAATGCGAATAATGGAGATGAATGCGAATGTGAATAAGAAAGATGTAGCTCGAATTTTCCTGAAACACATTATGTGGTCCTTTCATACCCACAGATACCTACAATCTCCTCTACAGCTTCCACCCTCACTTTTTTCCGTCTCAATTAATGGCTGCAAATTTCTCTATTCTCATACATCTAGTGAGAGAATCTAAAATCAAGTCTCTTATTTCCCTCATCTTTTGTATTTTTGAGGTACTCTTCCTTCTCTTCAGCAGTAAAAGAGTTCCATTTGGCCTGTCTCTGTTTGTTGCGGAAAACATAGTACGCTTTAGCAAAAAGTAACACCGGAACCAACGCTATCGCAATGCCAAATAGAGTCCTATTTCCACGGCGATAGATGGGAGCATCATCTTTGCGGTAGATGTTGGCACTGATGATGCCTCCAACCTGTACCATCATGTTGTAAACGGCAGAACCCACCGATCGGGTTCGAATACTATTGGAATTTCTGGATACCCATGCCACACAAATAGCATGAATATACGGCCCACCAATCAAAAGGGTAGCTACCGTCCAAGTTCCCCAAGGGTTTTTCATGGAATCTTTCCAGAACGCTAACACCCCGATCAAGGGTATGGTCCACAATGGTACTATCAATGCCAATAGAGCCTTTTGGTTAATTCTTTCTGAGACCCACGTAGGGATCAAGAGCATGATAATATGAATTACCGCTGCGGGTATCGTCAACAAATTTGTGTTTAAAGTGGAAAATCCCAAGTGTCTCAACGACAACGTCAAGTATGTGTTGACTGTACCGGTGGGAACATAGGCAATTATACCAATGGCATAAATTGGCCAGAGATCATAGTCGCTCAACGATTTGTAGATCCCCCTCAAAGAAAGCGCCTGTCTATTGTGCATGTCTCCCTTGGATGGGTCGTCCCGAAGAACTCGATTAACCACGATTTTCTCTTCCCTCTCGGTAAACCAGCCTTTGGGATGGAGCTTGTTTCTGGTCTGCACAGCCAGCGGAACCATCAAGTAGAACGAAGCAATTCCAATCAAAAGCGTAAAGAGACCTTCAAGGATAAAAAGCCATCTCCACCCTGCCATTCCATGGACACCACGCATGCGAAGAATTGCAAATGCCAAAAGCGCAGTAACGATCTGAACAAGCGAGAGGGTTGTCCAGAACCACGACAACCTAATTGGAAGTTCTTTGGACTTGTAGAAGTAAGTAAGCCAAAGAACCAAATCGGCAATAAATCCTCCTTCCAATCCACCAATTAAACCACGAGTAATATAGAAAGACCATTTTCCACTGAGAGCACCTTGTGTCATGGCAACAATACTCCAAGACACAATCTGGGCTGGCACGAAAATATCTGGACCCAATCTTTTCGATATGAGCTGCGAAGGAATTTCCGCCAAGAGAAAGCACACCAAAAAAATGGTATTTCCCACGTTATAGTTGTTGGTTGTAAGCCCCAAGTCGGTCAAAAAGTTGTCGGAAACAGCCTGCGACAAGTTTCCTCGGTCAACTTGCAAACTCACAAACATAATACAGGCAGTAAGAGCCACTCTATAATCGAGCTTGCGTACCAATTTTTTCTCTTCTTCCGGAGTCCAGTCAAATTCCGGATCAAAAGCGGCCCGGCACTCATATTTCGAAGCCTCGTACAACCCTCGATAGTACTCTGCAACCTTGGGGTCAAGAAAAGGGTTGTCATAAAAAGTTTCCTCAGAGTCCAAAGACTTGACTGAGGTGGAAACCTCGAGTTTCTGTGGTGGTACTGGATCTTGGCTCATTAGTAAGTACAGTTCTGGGCAGTGGTCGTGTGGTTTTATAGTGGGCTCAATATACGAGTTGGAACAGATTGGCCCGTCTTGAGGCGGTTCGATGTGGTAGATTGCAACACTGTGGCAGTTTTTCGCAACCATTAGTTGCCAAGAGTCAATCGGCAATTAAGGCTAAAAGAACTGGGGAAAAAGGGTTTAGTTGTTCAATTGGCTCTTTCAGGGCTTTAGTAAAGTGAGCGACTTTGGTAGTGGCCGTGGTAGTGGTGGTTGTGGTAGATTTTTGGCATCCTTTGGGCCTGTTAATCGCAGTTCAGATAACGATGGTCAGCACGTGACCTGTCAAATTGTGGAACCCAGTTGCACTCTCTGTGGCTTTCTTGGCAAGAAGCAGGGCGGTACAAACCTAAAAGTTGAAATTGATTGCAATTGGTTCTGACGTGAACAGGCATGCAATGGCCTAATATGAGCCTCATTTGACTTGATGTTGATTGCCAATTGATTTGCAGCCATTACTGAAGATGTCTCCTGCATGCCAGATCTCGGTGAGAGCCTATCAAAGATCACAAGAAATAATCACTGATGAAGTTACAATGTAATATGGCAAACTGAGTCGTCACTTTGCTAATTAACATTCAACTTTTCTTGAGTTTTCATCTTATTTTCAATTTTCACGATTCATCCTATTTTTCAATTTTCAGTCTTCAGCTTATTTTTCGTCTTCCATTTTCTCGATCTTTGTGATCTGAAAGGCCAGATCCATTAGTCACGCTTACGTAAATTGCGTTTTCCACAACACATCTTAATCCAATCGCAGTGTTGCACCCGTTATCTACCCCACTTGGTGCCGCTCTCCATGCGCGGCGCACCCCACGATTTGCAAAACGAACTAAAACAGAGAGTTCATAAAGCGAACCCATTCATTCCTCTTTCAGTTTCCGTTTCCGTTTCCGTCTCTTCCTCTCGGTCTATTCCGTCTCTCCGTCGCTTTCCGTTTCCAACTATTGTGCGGCACCTACGCCGCTTTCGGCCTGTGGTGCGGTTTCGCACGGCATGAACGCCGTGGTCCTGCAGACAGCTATGCGCCCTATGTCTATATTGTGACTCAAGTTCTCCAAACTTCTTCAAATAATACCGTAGTTCTGGAAACTACCCCTCCTCCAAAGATGGACCATGTCTCCAAATCAGTAGAACTGTACCATCAGTTTCTCAACGAGATGGAATCCGGAGATTATACCTCAGATGTGATCTCTTTTAGCCAAGAACCTGACCTTCTGCTGGGTGATAATGAGAGTATCGTGCGAATTGAACTCGTGCCCGACCTCGAAACGTGCCGAAAAGACCTGCTGGACGGAAAACGAACACCGTCTCCAGACAGCAATACCTATTCGAATTCACTCAGAAAACGACAATCACGATATCACCGCCCACCAAATACTTCATCAACACCCCACAAAAACTATCCACAGTCACCCCAACCACACTCTATTCACTTCTCACCTCACACGGAATCTACCTCCGGGTCCTGCATCTACGACCCATACCTCGAATCCGATTTGGATGAGGAAATCACCGACGACGACGACGACACAAAAAAGGGTGCAGCTTGGTTCAATCCTGTTGTCCCTGGGCTTTTCCCCTCGATGGATATACGTGACACGAACCAATTTGCGTCGCCAGAGATTCTTCCTTTGGTGCCCTCATATTCGGTGGACGACCCTGCTGCGTATATATGACATATATGACACGCGTTATGGACTTATGGCTGGCTTATATAGTCTAATGAATGCATTTTATTCTCTGTCGGTTGGTTATCGTAGCGCTGGGGTAAAAGTTAAATATAGTGGGTGTTTGGGCCCACGCACACCTGAAAAATTATTTCGTGAACAAGAAGTTGAAAACGACATGCATCGTCACATGAGGTTTTTATCAACCACTGCGGTGCGATCGGTGTGGTCTGACTTCACCAAGCGACCCGCGTCACTCAAAGTAGCAAACGACGCTGTTAGAAAATGTTTGATATCGGGTATAGACCCCGATGTGGGACCGGCTTCCATCACTGAACCGGCACAAAAAACTGCCTACCATTCACCTTTACACATTGACGAGGTGTTCCAGGCTTCGTACAAGTTGCTTGAGGAGCAGAGCGAGAAGTATTATTCCAAAATTGACGAACTTGAGGCGAAAAAGGCAACCGTTGAAGATGAGGACCTGAAAATAAAACTCCAAAAAAGAATCGATCAGTTGCGTTTAAAGGCTGAAGACAAGAACCCCGAAGTGTTGTACAACGCCAGGTTTGCTCCTGGGACTATGGACCCTACACAGCCCGTGTATCGCAAGTACATGAAGGAAGCATGGAAGGACTACGACTTGATGATCACCATGCAACGGGTAGAACAGCTCAAAATGATCCCAGACACTCTTCCTACTTTTGAGCCCACCACTGATGTCAAGGTGAAGTTTCCTCATAACACAGAAGCCGAATTTGTGGGTGCCATAACTCCCGGAACCATTCTCCCAACCTTTGCTGTTTCCAGACCTCCACAAATTTCAGTGACAAACTTCGATAGCATTCAGGATAAAGCATTGTACACAGTGCTTCTCGTGAACCCGGATACGCCCGATTTGGAGGCCAATTCGTTCTCAACTACTCTTCATTATGGCCTTCACAATGTTGCCTTGGACAACGTCAATTGCACCATTGATCCCAAGCTCGACAGTGACCCTCATGTATTTAAAAGCTACGAGCCCTTGGTACCCGAAAAAAACGCTCAGCTTCAAAGAGCGTGTCTTTGGGTGTTGAAACAATCGCAGCCATTGCACAATGTGACTGTTGAAAAAACCTCCAAATTTGATATTCGTGCTTTCGTTGAAAAACACGCTCTTGTACCTGTTGGAGCCCACATATGGAGACAGCAATTTGACCGCAGTGTCAATGCCATACGTGCCGAATATGGCCTTCCTGCTGGCCGAGTCTTTGCTCGGGTCCGCAGACCTCATCCCATGCCTTGATGTACATAGTTAAGCAAAATAAGAGAGAACAATGTAGAGACGAGGGTGAAGAAGCCGGTGGCGAGATTGGAAGCTCAGAAATATACTGGTTGTAATGTTAAGGCACCGTTTCTGATCTCTTGCTTCATCTTGAAGTGGTATATTGCACCCAAACACCCATACCTCTAGTAACATTTGAAGCACAAAGCGAACTTCTTGAATTAACTTAAACCATTTACTTGAATACCATTTTCCTCAATTGGCTAGCTTTTGTTCACATAAATCAATTCCCCAATCACATCAATAGGAGCACTAGTACCAGGAAGACCTTCCTTTAATGATAAATGTCATCTCAGCAACTACCATCTCCACAACGAAGAGAAGAATTGGCAAAGCAAAATGCCGCAGCATGGGATGATTTGGACCCACCAGTCACCACTGGGTATGACTCCTCCTTCAAGAAGAACACAGCATTCATTAAAAAGGTGAAAGCTTCAATCAACGAAGCTCAGTATAAACTGCTAGTGCGAGATATTGCAACCTTGTCGTTGGAAAAGTACTTGCCGGAAATCATACCTGCTGTTTTTGAAGGTCTCTGCAAGATATCGAAGCCGGAAGACGTGGCTGCTGCTCTGGAAGTGACAACTGCTTTGCATACCCGGTTCAAACTGGAATTCTCATCGGGTCTTTTGGGCCTTTTTTTTCAAGGAATAGATCCCACTACGACTACGTCGATTCGCCAAAGAAACTTGCTAAGGCTCATGATGGAATTTCACCTAATTGGTTTGTTCCGTACTGTGGGCGGCACCACAAAAGATGCATTGCCAGATCGACTTGCAAAACGGTTTGCTGAAATAAAGGATGAAGATGCGGTGGTTATTGCAGTTAAGGAGGTCTTAGCATATGACGTGACACTGGAAGGTGCCCTATCTGTTGCCACGGGGTTTCTTAGGCGATATGGAGAACAATTGACCCCCAAACTCAAAACTCTCTTTGTTGCGTACGCACAAGAGTCGTTCAAAGTACTCCAGTCAGTCGCTGCAGATACTGCAAAGTTGACCAAAGCCAATAGGAAAAAAGCTTTGAAAGTAGGGCGGATTTTGGAGGAAGAAAATGTCAAACTTGAGGAACAAGAACAGCTCTACGAAAAGTTTCAAAGGGCATGCGAATACCTTGCTGAAATATTAGACTTACAAATGCCTACTTTGGCAACACCAGCAGCCGATATGACGACGGAGTCCAGTGTGGAGCTCGTAAGAAATACAGAAGATGTGGATATGGTTTGGGAAAGTGCTGCTGAGCGTGATTTCTACACAAAGATTCCTACGCTAGAAAATTTACCTGCTTCTGAAACCCAGCTGGAAGAAGACGCTGCTTCCCGAATGACAGCTTTGTTGGCCAAATTGTCGGTTGCTGGTGACGAAGACGTTTCTCTGCTTGTTTCTGAGTTCAATCTGGGTCTCAACAATAAAGCTTCTCGCCAGAGAATTCGCCGACTTTGCACCGAATCGACCAACTTTTCCAATTTCAAGATTGTTGCAAAATTCCTCAAGATGAACGAGCAGTCTTTGGGTCCCACCATCAACGAAATCATCGTTGCCTTGGACGATAAGCTTCGGGGCCAGATCTACCACGATAAACTAAATTTCCGAAGCGTCTATTTTTTCGTCGAATTGGTAAAATTCAAGTTGATCCCCACCCATGTTGTATTCCACAAAATCCACAAGCTTATACTCAACATCAAGAACATTCACAATACCGATATTCTCGCGGTTTTCTTCGAGCAATGTGGCCGATTTTTACTCCACGACACAGATTATCGACCATTCATGGTGGAAATGTTGGACCTTCTTCAAAGTGAGCAGAAAAACAAAAACTTGACCATCCACGATAAACTGTCGATCCGTACGTTGTTGATGATGATCGACCCTCCCGAAGTGAAAGTTGAAAGAAAACGCAAAATTCTTCCTCCTGAAGAACAATTTTTGTTGCACGTATTTCACACAGAATTAACCAGTGCTCCGCGGACGGCTACATCGGTGGGGACTATTATAACCCAGTGTAACTGGTCTGCCAATCAAGTCGCATATTCTACGTTGGAAAGAATCTTCTCACGGCCGCAAGACGTCAATTTCGATGTGATCCACAACCTCGCTGTGGTTTTACAAAGGTACGTGAAACATGATAGACAGCTATTGGTTCGAGTGGTCGATACAACGGTGGAGAACATAATCCGAGGATTAGAAATTGACGACTACAAGATCAAAAGAGACAGACTATGCGATGTTCTGTACTTGGGAGAGCTATGGAATTGTGGTCTCGTCACCTCCAAGTTGGTGGTAACAATATTGTTCACCATTATAACGTTTGGACATCCAAACAACCAGCCACTTCCAAGTATAACCTCGGGCTTTGACGATTCTCTGAACTACTTTCGCTTGCACCTATGTGTGGCATTGATGAAGCGCATAGCAAGTACTTTTGTCTTTCCGAAGAAATACTTTGCACTTCTTGAGTACTATTGTCACTGCAAAGACCGCCCGTTACCTCTTGAATTGGAACAAAATCTTGAACAATTGTATACGGCGCAAAACATAAACAGGTGCAACTCTCTTGCTGAGTCTATGGCTCAATTGAAGCTTGTCATTGAGGAGGAAAGAAAACCTCAAAGCAACAATACGAGCACTGAATCCAACTCTGAAACTTTGAAAGAAAGCAGAGAAACCATTCTCGAGGAAGATGAAGACCTGGAACTTCTGGCTGGTATACTCTCTGAAGATGAGGATACGGATGACGACGAAGAAGAGGATGAAGTTGAAGATGATGATGATGAAGAAGAAGAAGACGAAGACGAAGACCTCGAGGCTGAACTTGAATCTAACGGTGAAGAAGACGAAGACAACGAGGTTGAAGAACTGAGTGAAGACGAGCTCACCGATTCTTCTGAAGAAAGCCACAGTGAATCTTCGTCAGACGACGATAACTTCGAGAACGATTTGGTGGCCGCTGAGCTCGATAAAGAGTATCTGCGTATTGTGGTCGATGCGTATAACAAGACTAAGGCCAATAGCAATCGGTCAATCAAGCTCAATGTTCCCATACCAAGAACTAATGTACCCCCTGGTGGGCCCTCACGAGCGGTTGGCTTAATCACAAGAAGAGGAAAGAATGTTGATGTTCGTGCTATCAACATTACTGATAATCGGGGAGTTGACCTATCGAAGAAAGAAGACGAGGCAAAACGACACCGCGAGAAAATCATGAATTTGGTCCTGAATATGGAATAAAATGCTACGGCACTCATCTAATTTTTTATTCCTCGCTATCCCATATCCTCTCACGTATTCATGATACTCGTGCTACAACAACTGTGATGTCATCTTCCTTACCTCCAAGGTACTTTTGGCCGGTTAATCGGGACAATTCTTGAGCAAAAGCACTAGGAAAGTTAGCATCCTTTGACACTTTCACAACCTCCTCAACGAATCTCGTTGTAGCCTTCCCTATTTGCTCTGGCGTCAGATCAGGTGCAACGTAGTCTTGTAAATATGTTTCAATATCCTGTGGTACCACATTATCTGTAACTCCGTCCGTTGCAAACATCACTATATCCCCCTTTTGTAGTTGCCAAGAATACTCATCAGCCATATCTGGCGTGTCTATGATATAGCGTCGTCCTTCCAATTCCGCTTTGCGGACGATTTGGCGAGGAATTTTCGCAAGCTGAAAAGGTGTGTTGAAATTGTGTGTTTGAAACGTCGTTTCGTGGACGATTTTCTGATCGCGGAACACTCCACACCATGAATCTCCCAAATTAGCAACCTTAAGTTGACGGTCTGGCGATAGAATTCCAAGGCATGCCGTGGTTCCTCCTATTTCAACTTTGGGCGATGATGTAACCTGCTCAAAAGCAGCTTTGAGAAGTTCCCTTGGCGTCAAATTCACCAAATCAGAAGCTGTGGCCAGTTCAAAGTCCTGACGAATGAACAGACAGAGTTCTCTGGAAATAGCAGACGAATCGTATCCAGCTTCGGCCCAACCGCCAACACCATCGGCCACTCCTAACGCAACGTATCCGCCCTCACGTTCCCTACTCACAAACAAGTTGTCTTCTCCGCTTGGCAGCTGGCTTGCTGGGATGGATTTGCGTTGTTTTCGTGCAAATTTGTTTGTATCTTCTCTCGTTTTGGGCTGAAATGCCACCGCAATATCATAGTGAGAATAGTGGCTCACCGCATTATCATAGTTGTGACATGCTGTGGCAGTGCTGTGGCCTGATAATGGTCCCAGCGGTGGAACTGGACCTTTCAGAGCCTTCGATGATCCAGACGAAGATGACGAGAATGAAAAAGAGCGTCTAGGTACAGTACGCCCCAGTCGGAAAGCCGAATTTAAGTGGCTCCCGCGAGGCCACGCTCCTCGTTTTGCTAAAAGAGAAACAGACATGGCTATTAAAGTAATGAATGCACACAACCAAAAGCGCTTGTAGTGCATGGCATCACACTGGTCGGCGCGAGTACCGATGGGGCAGACTGGTGCATTGGATGTTTTTTGTGTGTTGCCGGTGTACTGGCTGTGGTGCAGGATGCCGTTTCGCACCGTTCGGCCAATGGGACGAAAAATTCATCGAGAACACTACAACCATGTCGACATTCAATGTTTTGAGATACTCCTTATTGGGCGCCGGTCTTGTGTACGGTGCTGTGCACAGATACAGCTTGGAGTCCGAGGTCAAGGAACAACAGCGAATCAGCCAGTGGAACAAGGAGCTCAAATTGATCAAACAAGCCAAGGAAGAGTATGCCAGGACTCATGCTGTTGCTGAGAAACCCCAAGCATCGGCCGGCTCCATCAACTGGGAAGACCCCAACTTGGACATTGGAAAAGCATTGGAATCTTTGGTGCAGAAATTGGATTAGAGGCGTATTTATAGTGTTTGCAGCCACGGAGGTAAGAAATGGAACTGCAGCGGGCCGCACGAGCTGGAGAATATACATGCGGGAGAAGCGCATATCTAAGTACTGAATAAATGTACGTTTGGATTAAAGTAGGTTGTATGGGAGCTGAAATGGCAGCCACAAATGCACGCGCGCAAGTGTAGCTGCAGCGTCAAAAACGGCATTGGCTGCCATTTTTTTGCGTTGGTTTCTATTCTCTCGGCTATTTAAGAGCGCTTGGTTTTCTGCTCCTCGACTTCTCATTTTTTCCCCATTTTTCATCCCACAAACTCACTTTTCATCCAATATCATCATTTATTCTTTACTATCTCCTGCATATTGTCACATCAAATCCTGCACTTGGTATCTCATATGCTACGTCTATTTTGCAGTCTGAACTGGAGAGAATTGAAACGACTCAAGAATGTCCCAATCACAGGATTCATCGGACACGGGTCTCACAGCCGAAAACAGCAAGACCGACAAAGATTCTGAGCCGCCGCAATCGTCCCAAAGTGTCGAATTATCGAATCAAAAACCGAAAAGAACATCATCCGCAACGCTTCAGTGCCCCATATGTAACGAGGCAATGATAAGCATCCATCAACTCAACCGCCATATCGATGACACCCACGTAGAATCTGCTGACACTCAAAAGGGCAGGGAAGATCCATCGTCTAAACTCACCACAAACGAAATTGTTGGCAACGATATCAAGTCGTGGATCAAGAAGAAATTACCGGCAGAACCAACTTCGCTATTTTCGCCCGGAAAGAGGAAAACCATAAACCTTGACCTTTTGGACGGTAATCGTGGTTTTGGCCTCAGTGATAGTCTCAATGATGCCTCGAAGAGCCCAAGATCAAAGGAGCAACTGCCCATGGAACTACTGCCTCTCAAATCGGTTTCTCCCAGAAACTCTAGAACCAATGAAATCACCAGAAGCCACTGGAGACAACCCTCCATCAATGGAGCACTTTCGTGCTCGCACCCCAGCTGTAAACGAACGTTAAACATCAAGAATGGCATAGTCAATTGCAGAAAATGTGGAAACTTGTTCTGTAACGAACACACGCACTGCAAAGTACGATTACGAAATCCTGAACCAGGAGAAGGAAAGCTACCTTTGTACGATTGTACCGCAAATGGAGTTTGGTGTCGTAGTTGTGAAACGTGCTACCTAAATAAGCCCGATTTCGTGGCTGGAGTCGAGGTTACCGTTAACGACGTGACAGTGCAATTTCAGCTGAAAAGAAGTGAGTTTATTGACACCAAGACTCTTCGCCGCATCAAAATCCAGAAACGTTTCATCAAAAATGCCAATCTCATCACTGAACGCTTCGTTGCCAATTCCAGGGCATCTTTCTGGAATGGCTTTGCCCTTTCTGCTTTCAATTCTAAGAACGACCCTTTGATTGCACAACAAAAACAGCTCGTAGGAAGCGATAACTGGCAGGACGACTCCATAACTCATTGTGCGATTTGTTTTACCAACTTCAACTTTTTAATCAGAAAGCATCACTGTCGCCTTTGCGGAAGGTTGGTGTGCAACGACCCAGATGGGGAGCGAATGTATTGCTCAATTTTGTTACCCATTACCAGTTTTATTGAGAAATTGCCGACCCTTAACTATGCAAACCTTGTCAAGCAAAACTTACCCAAAATGCTTGAAGTTCTACCCGAATCTCAAGATCGGATCTCTTTACGTTGCTGTGTGGATTGTAAAAATGATCTTCTTCATTCGTGGAAAGTGAGCGACGAGCTCCGTCAAGAGAGTGATCGAGAAATATTCACCATCTACAACGGAATTCTAGTTCTCAAGAATACAATTTCTACGTTGCTTCCTCGCTATAGAAAGCTTGTGGAAGAAATCAGTCAATCCGATGCTGATGCCGATCGTCTGGACTTGAATAAAGCTCGTCTTCGTCTAATGTCAGCTCTTAAAGATTTTGAAGGCGCATCAACAAGATTCAGGACCCAATTTCTAAAACTACAAGATGGAAAATTGTGCATCAAGAATGAATACAGCAACCACAAACAGCTAGTGCTCAACATGTACCAATCCACCATCATGTTTTTGCAAGATAACCTCGAGACCTTTAAAAGTCTCAACGCCAAAATCCAAGAGAACGAGAAAAAGACCATAGAAAAAATGGAAGCTGGAGTTCAGCAAACTGAACGCCCCCGTCTTACTAAGAGAGAAGTACGCGAGAAGCGTGAAAAGCTAATGGTCATGAAGGAGCAGGCATTCATCGTCGAGAATTTGATAGATAGTGCTACGAAGCAAAGAAAGTTTGACGAGATTGACCTGTTGCTTGGCAACAAGAACGAACTAGCCAAGGAAATCGCGGTCTTGGAAGAAGAGTTGGGGGACGAAGGGTTCTAAAAGTCCCCCACGAAATCAACGTGGGGGCACGGGACGGGAGTGGGGGATAGAAATCAAGAAAATTGGGACAATTTGAGTGAGAATTGTTGCACACACGCGCATTTTGTGAAGGGTGTTCCAATTTTTTGCACCATTTCCTGGTACTAGCGACGGTTTCGTCGTCCCCCCACGCCAATGCTGTTGTCCCCCACGTCTGTGCCCCCACTTTCGATGTCAACCCCGCGATGCGCACCAAAAAAAAGTATGGGGCTGACGCATAGATCCTTTTATCACTGGGGTTAATTACGAAATCATGCGTATATCTTTGCAGTGGATACTAAGGTTGAGTTTATAAATTAGCCTGTTCCCCTGTTTGATTTTTTATCATCATTAACCATGACTTCGCTGGTCGGAGACGAACAAAGCTCATCGACAAAATCTCTTTCCAAAGGGTACACTGAATCATTAATGTCTATTGAAGGTTCCAAAAATGCACCTGTGTTGAAGCAGGTCAAAGATTTGTTGACAATGAAAAAGTTGTTTGAAAAAAGCGAAGACCGTCCAACTCCTGCTGCTGTCTACAATTTGAGAATATACGGAACCGCTTTGATAGCGTCAGCCGCCGCCATCATCATTGGATACGACGGGGGTTTCATTGGTGGTACTGTGGCATTACCTTCGTTCAAGCTGGAGTTTGGACTCGACAAGATGGATGTGAGCCACGCAAATAGCATAATTTCCAACGTGATCTCTGTTTTTCACGCTGGATGCTTCTTTGGTGCTCTCTTTTCGTATCCATTTTCTTACTATTTGGGTAGAAGAGTGTCTCTTATTATAGCAGCCAGTCTCATTACGGTTGGCTCGGCCATAATGTTGGCAGCATCCTCCAAAAATGGACTTGGTCCCATCTACGCTGGCAGAGTGTTGGCTGGTATAGCCGTGGGATTCTCTACGAATTTGACGCCGGTCTATTTGAGTGAGATATCACCCCCAGCAATCAGAGGACGTATAATTGCTCTCTACGAAATTGGCTGGCGTGTTGGTGACTTGGTGGGATTCTGGATTAATTATGGAATTGATTCTCATATCGGCCCTTCCAAAAAGCAATGGCTCATTCCATTTGCAGTGCAAATGATCCCCTCGGGAATGTTCCTTCTCGGAAGTGTGGTCATGAGAGAATCTCCACGTTGGTTAATCAGTGTGGGAAAGTACGACAAGGCAATCGAGAATTTAACTTGGTTCAGAAATTTGCCAGAAGATGACGAATATGTCGTTTACGAAGTTAATCAGGTTAAAGAGTCGCTTGATTACCAACGAGCACATGTCGGACTTGGCATATGGGATCCTTTCAGACAAGTGTTCTTCAAAGACCGCAAGATTCTCTTCCGTTTGTGCATCACATGTTCCCTTTTCTTGTTCCAAAATTTCTTGGGTATCCAATCCATCAACTACTACTCGCCTATTATTTTTCAGAATTTAGGAGTCAAGGGCACGAACGCTAGTTTGTTTTCGACTGGTATGTTTGGAGTGGTTAAGTTCATTTGTACATTCATCTACATTTTGTTCATCGTTGATACCTTTGGAAGAAGAAAAGCATTCATGTGTTCATCTACCGTTTGCTCCATTTGTTTCTGGTACATTGGTTCATATTTGAAGGTCAATGATCCAACAAAACCAGGCGTGGATGCTGGGCCAGGTGGTACCGCAGCCATTGTCATGATGTATATCTGGATTGCGTCGTTCATTCTAGCATGGTCTGGAGGACCTTTTGTCGTGGGTAGCGAGGTATTTGATCAAAACATTCGTTCATTTGTCCAAGCAATCAACGCTGCCATTTCGTGGGTTCCAATCTTCATCATGTCTCGGTTCACCACGAAAATGATCGAGAAAATGCATTACGGAATATACTTTTTCTTTGCCAGCTTGGCCATATTGTCAGTGCCATTCGTGTTCTTTTTTGTTCCTGAAACAAAAGGAATTGCTTTGGAGGATATGGACAAGTTATTTGATAGAAGACTTCCTGCTCACAGAGCTCACAAGATTGTTCTTGGAAGAATTCGGGCAGAGGCAGAAAATCAACGTCGTGAGCACAAGGGCCTTTACAAGTTGGACACGAATAAAAGCAATCAAGTGGAGAACATCGAAGATGCAAACGATCTATTTGTTAAGGATGCATAGTATGAGAAACGTAATAAACTGTACAATAAGATATGAAAGTAGTTTTTCAGTTACTCAGTACTACTAGACTAGTGCGGAGAGCCAGTCACACGGGTCTTATGTCCAACTTTCGCTTATTTATGCGACATAAGCAATATCCCAAGTTCTGTGAATACCCTCACATAGACTCAAGTTCAACTTGATGATAGCACGTGACTTCTATCGAGTCTGAATCGAGTCTGAATCGAGTCTGAATAGGGTCTGAACTGGTTCCCACTATAATTTGGCAACTTGTCCGAGCAAATTTTGACATTTGTCGCAATATCCTAATTTCTGTGAATACACTCACATAGACTCAAGCTCAACTTGACGGTCGCACGTGCCTGTGCACCAAGATAGTGCGGTGAATGATTCAATCATGACTGGATCACTATATATTTTGGCAACTTGTCCGAGTGGTTAAGGAGAAAGACTTGAAATCTTTTGGGCTATGCCCGCGCAGGTTCGAGTCCTGCAGTTGTCGTTTTTTTGAAATTTGAACACTATGCAGGAAATTTGCAGCTAAATTTTAACTAATTGCTAACTGAACCGCTTCGTGCGACATTCCCAAGCCACAGAGATATCCTTCTCCTCCAGCTCCATAGTTGTGAACTATAATTTGACCTCCATTTCTGGTTTCAGTTTCAATTCTTGCTCCACCTTGTCTTGTGGGTCTTATACCAGCAACCACTCTTATCACTGGAAGGCTCTCTAAAGTAGTACCGAGGGGGTTTTCTGTTAACAATTTGGGAAAAAGGCGAGTTGTCCGCTCAAGGATGTTCTTTGACTCGTCGCCGTATGTATTTGGATCGGAATTTCCACCCTGGTAAAAGCCACCCAAGACTACCTCGTGCAAAGCTGAATCTGGGCGTTTTATTATGTATGTTGAAGTGTCTGTCCATAACAGAACACACTCATTGATGTGGGGAGCACTCACCACCACAACTTGGCCTCTTGTAGGATAACATTTTTTGTCTGAAACTCCCTCTAAGGTCGCAGCACCATTGCCTGTGCAATTGAACACAGCCTTAGTTTCGGCATCAAATGCTTCGTCTATGCTCTTCAATTTCTTACGGTGAGCCTGGACACCCAAACCCTTGAGGTAATTGAAGAGATTTTGAATAAGTAGTGGGGCATTGAATACCCAAGCCTTGTAACTTACCCTCATGATTGCTCCAGGAACTTCCGATTTGGCTACTGTGAAGTCCTTCAAAAAGGCTGATAACTTTGCAATATACTCCTTATCGAGCTCCTCGGCAACATGTTCCGAAGAAGGAACCATCCCAAGCCCACAGCCAGTGCCCAATGCTTTCAAAAGTTTAGGAAGATTTTCATAAGTGTAGCTACTGTATTTCAAATTTGACTCTTCAATACAAGCAGAAAAGTACGCTCCAGCGTACGGCGAAGTATAATTTATAGAAAGGTCTCCTGGAAAATACTCAGCAATAATGGTGATACTTTTGGCGTCCACACCACTCTGTATGAGCTCAAAGGTGGTGTATAGACCAATGATCCCTGCCCTGGGTTAGTTTTGTAACTTTAAAAGAATAAAAAAATCCTACCCTACGACTGTATAGCTCATTGTTGTATGTGCATTTCCGTATCCTTATCAACTATTCCTGTGGTGTATGGGCGTGTCAAAATGCAAGATCATGCAGCCTCGACAGGCACTGACATGAACTGACAGGCACCTATGGTTTGGCGTAAGAGCACATCTATATTAACCCACTGAGTGTCAAGCGCTCGAGAAATGGCGACAAGTCGTCGCGCCGGATTTCGATCACGGATGAGTCAAAGCTATCGATTCTGACTTTTGCACCCAGCGTCAGGGCCACTTGCTGAAATGCAACACTAAAGGTATTGAGGCGAGTTGTTACGGTGGCATCGCCGTTTTTATGGAGCATCTTTGCTGCGTCTGAGTTGCTCATTCCGCGAGGATACTTTGGAGCCAAACCAATCACCAAGTATGTGTCACTTGGGACATCCAAACTTGCAACCACCAAAGGTTTGAGAGTGGTGCTATTGTTCGCAAATTCTAGCTCGGTTATGTTCTCCAAGAGCCATGTTCCGAGCTTGGAGAGAATGAGAGGGTTGCTGAACACCAGTAGGTCGGGAATGGCACCGTCGTTCAAAACGCAGAGTCTGTACAATCGGAGATTCTTGACTAGACGTCGTTCGAGAAGTGACATTCCTGCTCTGAATATGAGTTGCTGGATCCTCTTGGCGTGGTCAAGACCTTCGAGAAGTAAATCAAAGCCCTTATTTCCCTTGGTGGTCGATTTGTTCTGGGTTCCATATGTGCTGAGTGCATCCCACGACATCCAGAAATTGCTCACCCATATTCTTTCCTTGTCCTCGATTCGCTGGTGAATTAGTCTATCGTCGTCCGGATGGTCTCCGTTCAGCACCTGAGCTCGGTCACATTCCAAGAGTGCTGTGAGTGCCTCAACACACTCCATGGCCAGAAGCTGGCCTCTGTATCCATATGTGCGTACAAAGCCGTCTCGAACGATTCCCTCGAGCCCGTAGAGGGGGAGGTACTTGTTGAAGATGTAGGGAAGTTGCTTTTTCACGGTAACGTCCATGTAAAGCCACTTTTGTTGAGCAGTGGCCAAAGAAACACCCATCTTTGCGAAAAGCTTGTGGAGCCGTTTTCGTCCTTCCTCCGTCCATAAATTGAGTTTCGAGTTGACATGGCTCAGGTAGAAAAAGGCGTCATAGAGTGTCCAATGACGGAGAAGAAAAAGATGGTAGTCTTTCTCCACGGAAAGAGAAGTGGTATCGGCTGTTTTTTCGCTTGTGGATGAGGGGTTTAACCGGTATACCTCTTCGTTGAATAACGGCTGGATCTTGTCGTAGACATCTGGATAATAACTGTCGAGAGACGATGTGCCCACTATGGCCAACCACAAGTTTTCTATGGTAGTTTCACCGATAGAAGAGATTAAAGCATACATGGTAGCAGTAGTGGAGGTGGCCACGGTGGTTCCTTGGTTGTAGTAAGACAGGATGAGATTTTCAGCGGAATTCGATGCCGATTTCCTCAGTTTTTTCTTTGAAATGCTTAATACATCTTCATCTGTATCGACGTCCTCGCCAGTAGCCTCATCGTCACTTTTTTCAACTTCATCTTCTTCATTTTCATCCTCCTCTTCATCCTCATGTTCCACCAAGTACTGATACGCCTCTCGTTCTTGTTGTAAGTTGCTGTCGATGTACCCATCGTCGAAACACACCACCATACTCAGCCCAAACACATTATCGAGGTTCCAGGGCCGATGACCATCCATTATATACACCTTTCTCAACATGTCTGGCTGCAATTCCACCTCGAAAAAAGACTCAATATCCAACATGGCTCCACATCCTAGCAATATCACGTTGTTCACTTCTGTGTCGAGCGCCAAGTAGCGTCGTTTCAAGTCTGCATACCCCACAACGGGCACCAACTGGTACAGAATGAGTTCTTTTCGTAATACTCCACAAAGAATTTTTGCCGAAGTTAATGCATCTATATTTAAGCACAGAACAAATAGAATGAGTTTTGTAGTCGAGTGCGATAGCGACGTTCGTTTCAACTCACGAAACTCGCGAGCATAGTCACTGGGCAAGATGTGCATAAAGAAGAGGATGTAGGTGTTGAACTTTAGTGCATCGCCTGCATACGGAGACGCGTACTGAATCTGAAATGAGTGCGAATGAATTCAGTGCACATCTCGCTCATCTACATTACTTTTTTTTGGTTTTATTAAACGTAAGAGAAGCTTCCGAAATTTCGGCGCGCCACCTGGTTGATATCCCACGTAAGAATACCGCCTCGTTCGCACCCAATAAGTAATTTGTTGCCGTACCACGCAAGTCCTGCCAACTCCATTTCTCCATCAATGTGGTTATATGACTGCTGGTACGAATCATGATGTAGTTCAATGGCAGCGTTCGATGCCCGCAGAGTCGGTATTTCGTGGTGTAAAGATACCATTGGTGTAGATGCGTGGGTCAATGGTTCGGCATTTTCGTCAATTCTACACTCTTGTGCTTGGTCTCCACGGTTCTGCCCCCATTGAGGAATATTGAAATTGGGGGCTCCACCTTCTGCTCTGCTGATGGCCGTGGGTGGTGGGGGTGTGTAGGCATAGTTTTTGAACATCTTGGGTTTTACGTTTGCGACGTAATCGTAGTCATATACCAATGGAGCCGTGAACTGGACTCGCTCTTCGATGGGATTGACACCTTGTGACTTGAAATTGGTGCTTGGGTCAGCATAAACGCTAACCATGTTGTGGGTGTCTTGCTCGTCTGACTCGTCCATATACTCGTCGCCATTCTGGACTCGCTGAAGTTTTCTTGCTGCCTCCAACTCGCCGTCTTTATAGTTGCCAAATTGGTCCAAAGCAAATGGGAACACTATTACCTGATGGCCTTCCGGCTCGGTGTTGCGCTTCAAGTCCACTATGTGTACACGACCTACGTGCTCCAGAACAACCAACAAATCGTTAACGTTCAAGTTGGAAAACTTGCAGCACCGGAAAGCTCCAGACTGGTGGCCTGGACGAGTCGATCTGATTTCGTGCGTAGGTTCGCCCATATTACGTACGTCGTACACCAAACATGTGCCGTCTTGAAATGTCACCGAGAAAACTTCTCCCAGTGAGTGGTAGGAGATTCCAAACCCAGAGTCATGGTCGGTGGTTATCTTGTCAACCACCCCATTTCGGACTTTTGGGTCACAAAGAAATACGGATGGTGAGTCACCGGTGACGATAAGCAGATCGTTGGTTGGGGACTGACAAACATTGTTGAGCGAGGTGTTGAGTTCACAATTGATTTTCGAGGTGACGTCGATCCGGTCGCCAGTGATGTCTAGCAGGTACAAGTTGGAGTCGTTATTACAGACGTATGCCTTGTACTGTCCATTTGTATGCTGTTTTACTGTCACAGCGTTGTTGATCATGGCTCCAAGTTTGCCCACTTTGGTGATTTCTGTGTCTGGATGATAAAACGAAAAGAGTCCTTTCAAAGGTCCACTATGTCGATCGAGACTGGTTAGGTTTTCTGCGTAGTAACTTGCATGATGCTGGGATGCCAGAGACATGATCACACCACCAGTCACGGTGGCTCGGTCGTTTGTGTTGAAACATCTTGGACCGTAATCGGAACAAAAGTGCACCCTCGAAGTTGCCTTTTGGCCAAGTTGAAGTTCTCTTATAGTATCTGCTCGAGTGTAGTAAATTGCCCCCGTACTCCGATCGACTTGAAGAAGGTCCCTGAGCTGCCAGTGGTTGACTTTACATTGTATTCCAAGAATATATTGGGGATGAGGATAAAGATAACGGTGAGCATGATAGTAATTTTGAAAGCAGCGATAATAAGTTGTGGAGGAACGTCTTGGAGCAAGTGACGATCTACGCCGTGGCTCTTCGTGGATATCTATGGTCATTGATGAAATAAGGATACCAATTTTTTAGGTGGTCTTGAAATGATCCGCAACTAATGGTTTTTATCGCCGCTCCCTGTCCTGCACGGAAAAAGAAACGAGAGTCGTGTGATTATTGTTTGCGGATAAAAGGAGGGTTTGAGAAGCTGGAGAAGAGAAACAAAAGTGCAGGGTGTTTATCCTCATAAACTTGAGGGTACTGTGACCTTAGATCTGGAATTTTTTGGTTTTTAAGGTCAGTCGAGATTGCGAGCCCGGACGATCGAGGACTAGCATGCAGTACCCCACACCTGGCTAGTGCGGGAGCTGCATGAACGATTGCGGACGAGAGTGTATATGCGCCGTGCGATTGCGGGGTGTATCTGGGGATGGGATAGGAAGGGAAGAATAGAGACTAAAAGTCAATTTCGTTTGAGAGTGTTAGTGGAGGAATGGGGTTTGGGTGTGACTCTGTTTGAATCAGATCTTCAAATTTTTGTTGTTTGTCCAATTAGGCAATTTCGAAGATGTTGCAAATGGCTGCAACTGTGCAGATACGATAGCATTACGTTATAATGAATAAAGTATAAGAGTCATAGAATCGGCTGTGAAATGTGATTTCATAACTGAATATGAACAAAAAATGATCTTTTGTCACTGCCAATCAGATGCATCCATGTTGGTTCAGAAAAATGACGTAGAACAAATTCACGATGAATTCAACGAGTATAAATTTATAGCCTTCCCATTTCCTTTGTAGTGGGTATAAACTGTTTGTAGACCAATTCCATTCAACTTTGTTTATATCCTTCGTACACTTTTCCATCATCATTTTTCAGATAATAGCGTGCGACAGTTTTCAATAGCTGCAATATTTGAGCCATTTCGAAGCTTATCCAACACATCTTAAAATTCGTCTAACACATCTCAGTTCATCACAGATTGTTCATCTAATGCTACATTCCATTCAAATAAATATTATATTAAAATTAAAATGTAAGTAAATTGTAAGTCATAAATATAGCCCTGCTACACTAGGTCGCGGATCATCTCAATGCCAAGTACTGCGCTGCAGACTGGTAGCTTGATTTCCGCTTAGGAGCTGTCGTGGGATTATTCGGGTCACTTAGGCAATTCCTTAGCTTCAGCATATAACTCTTAGCTTTGCTAGCTTTGCTAGTCTTGGTAGAAGTCGAGTACCCGCTAGCTGTATCAGAAACGGAATAAGTTTCAGTGTTGGACAAGTTATCTTTTTTACTGTCTGTCATTGTGAATGATAAACCAAGGGGATGACCCCTTTCTTTTATAGACGTGGCGCTACATAAGTATTACCAATCTATATTACGAAGATCGCATTTACGAATCCCAAAACGTGAGGGAAACCAAATTGTGAGTCAGCAGCGCCGCACATGGTAAAATGTGTATTCGTCATATTTGCACGAACGACATACAGTTTGCTGGCGTGGGATTGGTGAATAATGGCCATGAGTCAATTGCATCAGTGTTCCCCATTCCATGTATAATGTATACATGCTTTTTTTTCAGAATCTTCCAGTCAATTCTTAAAGTGTTCGCGCCGCACTACTATTATTGAACTATAACGATGCCTGTAATTTTCGCGAAGCCACGTACCGTATTGGTATCCTATCAATTCTAGACTCTATAGTGGTCTCCGATAATTCTGGTCTCCTATCAATTGACGGAAATCCATCAATTCTGGTCACCTATCTTTCACAACTCATCAATTGTTCATGCAACGACCACGGTTGCGAAAAGGTGTGTTTAGCAGATTATGCATATACCATTAGTAACCCTGGAAAAAAGGAAGGCAAGTCATTGCGCCACCAATTTAAGAACCTAAGGCAGTTGTAAAACAACTGTAATGCCATTGTAATGCAACTGAAATTGCATTGAGATGTGACTCTTAAACGACTCCCTTCCACGCTCTGCTCACCCAGCCGCAGTCTCGTATGTTGTCGTCCTTCGCGTCCACTTTCCAGTTTGTTCTAGGATCGTCGTAATTTGCGGCCACGTCACCAGCTGGCTTGGAAATGCACAAATAGCGGCCATCTGGCAAAAAACATCTCAACTGTGACGAAGGGTAAGGACAAGGACAAAACTTGGGAGCGTCTACACAGAGTGAGGTTCCTGGACAAAGGTATTTGTCACAGTTGGAATTCAACACTTGTGCCTCGTAATGTTCTGGGCTCTTTTGGGCCTGGCCTCCACCGCCAAATTGGTTTTGGATAAAGTCGAAAAGACTGGCGGAACATCCAACTACGAGGAATAAAAAGTATATAAGATGCATGAATGAGCAGACTGGTGTGCTAATCAATGAGATTGTGTGAGTGATGTTGTGAATCTCAGTGAACTTGTATGAAACTCAGCGATGTTTTATTGGTGTGAAGCTATCACCTAGTAGTTGAATCTGCCACTTCACAGATCGCAGTTCGCGCTGGGCTGGCGCCGGGTAACGGTTTAGGGTCCCCGGTCCCCGCGCCCTTTAAATACCCATCGGTTTGACAGGGGGTTGTGTGCAGTCCGCTATATAAGTAATCAAGCACCCGGTTCCGGACACGTTCCGAACAGCAATTGTGAAAAATTAACATGAGTCTTGGAAAGTGTTGCGTTACCACCTTCAAGCACGAGGGAACCTCTACAGGAAAAATCACCACGGTGGCTGGTGTGGAGTCTTATGTGGCTGGAGCTGAGAATGGCTTCGACAAGGTGGTGGTTATTCTCACCGATATTTATGGTCCTAAACTTATTAACACCCAATTGATTGCTGACCAGTTTGCTGAGCAGTTGAAGGCGCAGGTTGTTGTGCCAGATCTCTTTAACAATGACCCTTACAATCCTGAGAGTGGTATTGAACTTATGGACTGGTTGAAGAACCACGGCATCGAGGGATCCAAAAAATTCACCAAAACCTTCTTGGAGAACCTTACCAAAGAGTCGTCGCCCAAGGAGATTTTTGGTGTGGGTTACTGCTATGGTGCTCCATTGGTGCTTGAGAACTTGGTTGAAGGTGGATTTTTCAAGCTGGGAGCCATCGCTCATCCTTCTTTCACCACCCCAGAGGAATACTCCAAGGTGGCCAAACCCTTACTCATTTCGAGTGCTCCCGATGACGAGTTGTTCGTCCCCGAGTTGAGAACGAAGGCAATTGAGGTTTTGACTGCCAACAAAACGTGGTTCCTTGTGAACCTCTTTGAGGGTGCTCCCCATGGTTTTGCCGTTAGAGGTGACTTGTCGCAGCCCAAAGTCAAGTTTGCGAAAGAAAAGGCGTTCGCGGACGTGGTGCTTTGGTTCCAGCAGTAAATATTATAAAAGTATTTGTGTTTTCTTGCAACTATGTATCGGAGACAAGCTTCGAGCCCCGAGTCCCAATCGGGAAATTCGGCCGTGTTAACGGCGAGCACCGAGACACACGGACATACCTGAGGTGCCCCAATTTCCCAACTATAAATACCGCTTCTCCTGCTCCAGATTATTCACACAATGTCATTGACAGACTGCTGCAGCACAGGTTTTAAACACGAGGGAACCCCAGACGGAACTATCTCCACCATCGGTGGACTTGAGACATACTCGGTTGGCGCCGAGTACGGCTGGGAAAAGATCGTGGTAATCTTTACCGATATCTTTGGCCACAAATTTCTCAACAACCAGCTTCTCGCTGACCAATTGTCCAAGAGTGGAAAGTTTCAGGTGTTAATTCCTGACATTTTGGAGGGTGATCCCATTGCAGACTTTGGAAGCTTTGATGCAAAGACATGGATTCCTAAACACAACCATGATAGAATTAAGGGAATTGTCGACCCATTTTTGAAGCAGATTGTGGAAAAGGAGCAGCCCAAGGCCATTTATGGAATTGCTCATTGCTTTGGTGCTCCACAGGTTTTTAGGCAATTGACCAAAGATGGCTATTTGACTCGCGGAGCTGTAGCCCATCCATCTATGGTCACCAAGGAAGACTTGGAAAAGGTGGAAAAGCCACTTTTGATCTCTACTGGTCCGGATGACGCAGCATTTGGACGTGAGCTTCGCAACCAGACAATTGACATTTTGACGGAAAAGGACGTGATTTTCCAAATGGACATCTTTTCTGGAGCTGATCATGGCTATCAAGTCCGTGGAGATATCACTGTGCCTCGGATCAAATATGCCAAGGAAAAGACGACCTACGACCAGGTGGCATTTTTCAGCCGTTTATAGGAGATAGTCAAGAACTTTGATAGCAATTGAATCGGTTGCAAAAAAAACACTGGCTCGCCAAATAGTTTTGAGTTATAGGTTTGCTAATTGGGGTGCTCTTTCGATCCGTAAATCATGTCCTCCACCTCACTCTTCACCTCCAATAGTGCCCTCTTCTCTGACCGCACCCCCAAGAACCAAATGAGCCCGTTCACCACACCAGTTATGCCTATTATTGTGCTTGCCAACAGGAGAAGAATAGTACTCCAGGCACTTCGCTGAGCAGCCCATGTCATGCCAATGTGTATAATAATGATTAGAACAAAAGAACCAATAAAGTGCCATTTTCTCCATTGTGCTTGGAAAGGAATGGTGTGGTTCAAGTAGATTTCAATTTCCCGTTTGAGTTCCTGATAGACTTCAATGCGCTCAGAAGGACGGTGTTCTTTGATGCGGCGGGATTCATTTGCAATTTGCAATTCCACAGAGTATGCAAAGTGGTCAGAAAGCGAGCAATTGTATGGAGATTCAGATACTTCTGTGAACCGAACTGCGGCGTTAATAGGAAGAACCGTAGCCTTATCAATAAGAGCATAGTCCAAACGACATGCTTCAGAGAGACGTCGGTTTGCACGCCAGGTGTTCAATGTGGAGTTACAAGTCACTCCACCAATGAGAATTTGGTCCTCTGGAGACATTTCTGCTATGGGAGTAATACCAGCGGGCCCGATCGCCGGAGTTGCAGATGCCATAGGACCAACATTGACATCCACAGGAGGTGCCACATCCTCAGCTTTCTTGCCAGAAACACTGCCTAGCACATCCCAAGAGTCTTCCAAGCCTCCCTCTACGGTAAATAGTTTATAAGGCAAAGAACCAGGTCTGGAGTTGAGATCTCCAACCTGAACCACAGCGTATCCTGCCCGTTTGAGCATACGAACCAACTTTGTAAAGTCCCACGCCTGGCATGCTCTGTGGCAGCTATAAGCAGCATCACCCGTGAGGGCATAGGGGGCATGCATGTGGGAGTTTAGTAGGGCTATAGGAAGTGCACCTTTTGTATGAGGTTGGAGTAAAGTCACACTTATGCTTTTTCCCACCATCCAGTCGCCTCGGAAGAACGCTGACGGTCTCCCGTTGATTGGAAATCGATATAGAAACGTCTCCTTGATGGGGACTTTGGAGAGTATACAAAGACCAGGACCGGTGATTATTCCTGAATTAAAATTGCGTCGATATGGGTACAAATTTTCACAGCGGCTGCTGAGATATTCCCAGTCTTCACTACACCACACCTCCTGCAACGCTACTATGTCATAGTCATCCTGGGACCCAGGGACGGCATTTGCAAGCCGATCGGCTATGGCACAAAGACGAAATCTTCGATATTTGGAAACGTATTTTAAACCCCAAGTGTTATAAGTAAGAAGTCTTATATTGGCGCTGTTTGTGTGAACACTTTCCTGTAATTCCAACTCCCGAACTTCATCGGCAGCTTGTACTTTATCCATGCCCAATAAATAACAGTCTCAACTGTGAGCTTAAAATATGGGTGTCTGGATACAAAACCAGCGCGATGTGTGGGTTTTCGGATGTAAATACCACAAAATCAGAATCTCACTTTTTGTTTACTGCTTTGGATCATGACATCGTTCGATGATTTTGGGACCTTGCAGACCCGAATGAACGACTTGACGGTGGATTTCGACGCCTATATCAACCGGACTCGTACTGAAGTCATTACCTCAAAGCAGGATCATTATGGACGTGTTACAGAGTTGAAGAGCAGACAAGCACAGTTGGAGATGGAAATATCTGCCCTTCAGCAAAAGGAAAAGAAGGTTAAAGACACCATTACGCGTACTTTGGAGGAACTCCAGGTGCAGCAGCTTAAAGTAGAGGAGTTGAGGTTGAAAGAACAAGCACAATTACGAGAAAGAGAAGAATTGCAAAAGCAAATGGCCATTCTGCTACAACAAGTACGACAGGCAGAGGACTCTTTGCGTAACCAGAAGCTGGATTTACAAGCACAAATGCTTCGGGACCATCCAGAGCTTGCCAAATTTGAGCATTACTTGGGACTCCGTATCGAGGCCATCAAAGAAGACTGTGTTCGCTTCATCTTTTATAATGTGTTTTGGAATGACGTGGATCGCGAGGTGTATTGCCAGCTCAATGTTGGCGAGGACAAGTATATCATAGACGGCACTAGTCCTGTGCTTGAAGCTGAGGTCTTGAACCGTATGGAGAGCTTATTGAATGATAACAAAAACTTTGGCAAGTTTTTGAAACATGTAAGAGAAGAGCTTCGTGATGCTGCGGATAAGGAGGCGGAGAAGGTTGAGCAGGATGCCGAAAGAGAGCGTGAGAAGGAGCGTGAGAAGGAGGATGAAAAGGAGCGGGAAGTGAATGCTGGTGTTGCAAGAGAAGAGGCGGTAGTTGACGAGGCAGACAAAGAACACAGTGCAGGCGATGGACCGATAAGTGTTGGCGCTGAGACAGAAGATAATGGAACGGACGGCAAAAATGATACCCCTGCGGAACCTGAGAAAGTGACCGAGATGGTTGATGCTGCAAAATCAGAGGAAATCACCGTCCAACAAGACATTATAGAAGAGTCGGTTGAGTCGCCTAATGAGCCCATGGAAGAGGAGGAGATTTCATCGTCCTAAGGCTAACATTGTGGTATTTCAACAACTTCAATTTGCATAAAACACAACGCTTTTTTCGGCGTTCTTGACTTTGCAGGCAAAGTCGGACAATCATCAGGTTTTCTCTACTAAAACTTCAACAAGAAACTAATCAGCTTTAAGCTACAAACATCAATGCACTAGTTTCCCGAAAGACAGATGACGTCAGTTTCTCGTAAACTACCTATGACTGTGTTTCCCCAGTTTTTTGTTGGTGTATCGGTGTTTGCTTCACATGTAAGTATCAAAATTCAAAACTCAACTTGTTGAACATTCCTCAATAAAGCAAACTATGGACCAGACAGCTCGTATCAAGTCACACATGACCAGGGACCATAACTTGGCTCTCCTTGACTACTTGGTGGTATATGGAAAGGTCAATGCCAATGCAATAGAACCCGGTACTATCAACATGACAGACGTTAATACCGAATCTTTTACCATTTGTTTCTACACCAGCAGTCCTCAGAAGGTCACTATTCGGTGGAAGGATGCTTGGGAGAGCGAAAACCTTCCAGTTGATGACATATCGGATGTCAAGCCAAAGTTAGTCTCAATGGCCAAGTATGCCGCTGCCAAGCAAGGATATGCCCACACCCAGATCAACAAGACGGTCCCACCCACTCCAGCAAGCTACCCTATGTACGTTTATTTTGTGGTTGCTGGTTGGGCTGCTTTCGCACCCGCAAGTTTCCAGAAATTCGTGGCCAACAATTATGTCTTGTCTCGTATCGCTGCTTTGTTACCACTTACCTTTCGCAGCTACCTTTCTAAGAACATTCGCAAAATCTTCATTGGCACCTACATTGTTCACCTCTTTGAAATTTTCACCTATTCAATCCCAACTTTTATCAAGTACCGTGTGCCTGCAGCACAGAGATTGCAATGGACACTCATGCATTTTGTGGAAGGCTTTTTAGTGCCATTGAGGCTCAAGAAGTTGAAGGAAGGCCATTAGAGATGATGAGGTCCCCTAGGATTTTTCAAGTTGCTACCCTTGGCAGCTCACCACAGCTTCTGTAGTACGAAATGGCAACTTGTCCGAGTGGTTAAGGAGAAAGATTAGAAATCTTTTGGGCTTTGCCCGCGCAGGTTCGAATCCTGCAGTTGTCGTTACTTTTTTGATTGACGAATATATATGGGCTTAAAGTACGTTTACAAGATCTATTAGTGGTTTGTGTATATGTGGTGTGTACTGTGGTATGCCTCGAGGCATGCCCGAGAGACTAGCTCGTTATATGTTTTTCTTTGTGCAGGAACGTATACGAGGTCGTTTGGATTTCGCAGCCGATTTTCTTCCAACTGTTGACGTTTACGATGACGACAAATTCGAAGGTAGCATTAATTACGGGTATTTCTTCGAACCTAGGCATTAACATCGCCTACAGACTCTTGGACCAAACCGATCCTGCCATGAAGTTGACTATTATAGTCACTTCCAGGACATTTCGCAAGACAAAAGAACTGATTGAGCTCATAAACGAGTATGCCAATTCAAAGGCTGAGAGTAGAACTGGCACTGTGGAGTTTGACTATCTTCTAGTGGACTTTACTGACATGGTTTCCGTACTTTCGGCGTATTATGATTTGCATTTGAAATACAAATCTATAGACTACGTTTTCGTCAATGCCGCTCAAGGTGTTTATTCAGGCATTGATTGGGTTGGCGCTTGCAAACAAATTTTGCGGAATCCCGTGGAGGGTGTGTCGTTTCCCGACTACAAGTTGCAAAGAGTGGGAGTCAAGACCGCTGATGGAATGGGACTTGTATTTCAAGCGAATGTGTTTGGTCCATTTTATCTTATTCACAAGATCAAACATTTGTTGAAGGGTGGAAGTGTCGTTTGGATTTCGTCGCTCATGTCGAAACCAAAATACTTATCTTTTGATGATTTGCAACTCTTGAGATCATCAGAGTCATATGAGGGCTCCAAGCGGTTGGTGGACTTGATGCACATGGGTCTGTACCGGGAACTCGAGAAGATTCATGTCAACCAGTATGTGGTGGAACCAGGTATTTTCACAAGCTTTTCCTTTTTCCAGTACTTGAATGTGTTCACTTACTACGGTATGCTTTTGCTATTCTATCTCGCTCGGCTTTTGGGCTCTTCTCACCATACTATATCTGGGTATAAGGCTGCTAATGCCCCGGTATCGTGTGCACTCTCACAGGAACCCAAGAATGTCAAGCTTGGTTCGGCAACTTCAAGAACTGGAGTTGAGTACCTCATTAGACATGACATTGACCCTACTGGGGCGGAAGACGTTGCAGCTTACTTGAATAGACTATGCGATGAATGGGATGAAAAGTTGAAGGACCAAATCACCGAAACTCGCCAAAAAGTTTGAAAGATTTACAGAAAAGTTTGAAGTTCTACAGATGATGTTTGAAGGTTTACAGATGAAGTTTGAAGGTTTACAGATGAAGTTTGAAACGTCTATATTGGGGCTTCATATTTGCAATTGCTTGTTGTGGTCAGCTGCAGAACTTGCCAGCTCGTTGCTCTTGGAAATTGTTCTCTGTTTGTACCACATTTTGGATTTTGCATTTGTGTCATTGCAATATATTTCCAAACTGGTTATTATCAATTGGTGAACATGCTTGTCTCGAGAAAAGACATCAAGCAACCCTTGAGCCCGTTACGAATCAAGAAGCGTCTATCCAGGTTTCTAGGGAAGGGACTGACGGCGAGCTCTGCTGCATCGCCCAACTCAAACGCAGAAATATTTCATGAAGAAAATTCTGTGGTTACTCTTACTACATTGCCCACACTGCCCCTTAGCGTAGCTATTAGCAGCTCCAGAGACAGTGTTGCCTCATCTGTCAATTTACCTAGCAAAAATGACGACAATGATATCATTTCCAAAATATGTATTTGTTTGCAAGATGTTTGTGTTTGTACTCCGTTAGAACCTGAACAACCACCACAGCCAGTGAAGCTCGAGCCTCTTGTATGCAAAGACCATACTTGTGTTTGCTTTAATCAAATCTGTAAATGTGCTACTCCACTTTGTGTTTGTTGCACTATTGATGAAAATGCACAAAAAGTCCATGATAAACCCTACTCTTATAGGCCATTTGTGTCTTTGGGTACATTGAATGAAGAAACAGATGCAAAGGGCATATTAGCTGAAGAAACAGATGCTAAAAATGTTGAACCTTTGTCCTCACTTTTTGTGCCTTTTGAAGACAGAGCTTTTGGATACTGCCTCGCTCAAAGATAGTAAAACTTATGAAGATCCCTCCTCTTTAAACAAGAAACTTGAAGACAAGCCCCATGAAGCATCTTCAATCCACTTCTCTAAAGCTTTCAAAGATTTCAAAGATGCAATAAAGAGAGGACTCGAAAAGTCGTATAAGTACAAGTTGAAGGTACAGTTCAAAATTCACAGTTTGCGACGTACTAAAACATCTAGTTTGAGCTGGTTTAAAAGACGTCGTGATCATTTGCAAGGCTCTCCTTCATCGGAAGCTAGCATGCCCTTGTGCTGTCGTCGTTATGATATAGCTCCTGCGCCGGTAAACTTGAGCGAACTCGAAAAGCGTAACTACTACCATGAGCAGTATCTTTCCCACCAAAAAGCCTCAGACTACAACGGGGCCTCATATCTCAAAGCTGTTATCATGAAGGCCAAAATGAAGAGCTCGGCGTCTCAAATCAGGAAAATTCATGCTAAATCTTCAACACCAAAGTTCTCTTCCCACGGAAAATCGCTGCATAGAAAAAATCTGCCATTTGTTGTTGGTCACTATTATACTTTCAAGAATTCTCCTGTGCGTCCTGCCAGGCTGATTTCTCCTCTTGTGACTCGTGAGGAAACTGTGGATGAGAAACTTGCAAGACTCTTGGCTGAGTTTGCAAGGCACCGCTCATTTGCAGCC